CATTTTTGGCAATTTTTTTGCAGAGAAATACTAGGCGAAACACAAATGTGCATTAATTTCAGGTAGAGCGCCAACAAAAACAGAACCGGTTTTCATTTTTTTGGAAGCGGAAAAGAAACGACTGACCGTTTGGCCGAAAATTCACCGAAACGTTCAAATCGCGGCCATTTCTCGTCGCAAAATACGGCATATTGCTGAGTTTTCTTCTAAACAAAAAAAATTTGAAAAAAAAATGATTGAATCGATAATTTTTTTAGATGCTCACCGCTCGTTTGTCATGGAGTGCCGTCGTTGATTCATGGCGCCGCCCGAATGGTGTATTGGTGCAATGATGGTTTTGTTTTGATTGTAGACGATTTACTCTAGCGGTTTGACGAATTTTGAAAGACACTAGACGACCCGAATTGAAAAATCTGAAAAACAAAAAATCGAATGTAAAAAAAAAATGAAAAATTCCATACAGAAAATTGCGTGATTTTTCGAATATTTCGACATAAAAATTTCAATTTTTTTGATTTTTTTGCTCAAAACTTCCAAAATCACTCATTTTTGCAAATTTTTAATCAAAATTTCGAGATTTCATCGAAAAATTGCGAGATTTTTGAAAGATATTCGATTTTTTGATTATTTCGACATAAAAATTTCAATTTTTTTGATTTTTTTGCTCAAAACTTCCAAAATCACTCATTTTTGCAAATTTTTAATCAAAATTTCGAGATTTCATCGAAAAATTGCGAGATTTTTGAAAGATATTCGATTTTTTGATTATTTCGACATAAAAATTTCAATTTTTTTGATTTTTTTGCTCAAAACTTTAAAAATTACTCATTTTTGCATATTTTCAATCAAAATTTCGAGATTTCATCGAAAAATTGCGAGATTTTTGAAGGATATTCGATTTTTTGATTATTTCGACATAAAAATTTAATTTTTTTTTTTATTTTTTTGCTCAAAACTTTTAAAATTACTCATTTTTGCAATTTTTTAATCAAAATTTCAAGATTTCATTGAAAAATTGCAAGATTTTTGAAGGATATTCGATTTTTTGATTATTTCGACATAAAAATTTTAAAACTTTCGATTTCAGACAATTTTTTGCTGAAAAACATAAATTTTTCAAAAATTTCATCGAAAAATGCCAAAAATTGCGAAAAACTGGATTTTTTTTGAGGAAAATTTTATTTTCATTCTTTTTTTGACCCAAAACTTCGAAATTTTTCGAAAATAACATTTTTTGCACATTTTTAAATCAAATTTTCAATAATTTCCTCGAAAAATGCAACATTTTTGAAAGAATTCGGATTTTTCGACCGAAAAATTCCGATTTCTTGCATAATTTGCCAAAATTTCGCAATTCTCGCAAATTTTTTTCATTTTTCGCTTTAAATCACCTAAAATTTCGATAAATTTGCAAAAAAAAAAATAAAATTGGCTAAAATTTTTATTTTAAAAATTAAAAAAAATTGCCATTTGGTCGAAATTCGAATGGAAATGAAGGGACCATCGAAACAAGAAGGAAAAATTGGCGAACGAACAGCCCATCTCTCTCTCTCTTTTTTTCGATCTATCGTGTCTCACAAGGGACCATCGAAACCAAGGCGTCCGGCGCTCGACGAAAAAATCGATGCTGACCTATTATACAGGGAAAAGCTCAGAGAAAAAAAGAAGAAGAAGCACATAAAATCTGATATTCACTCATTATATCACTAACTATACATTATTATGCTAACTAGGAGGTCGAGAAACTTGAAAATCTTCAGGAGGCGGGGCTTTGTGGTCCCAAAAAGGTTGTGAGGCTAATTTTTGAAATATTTCGCCTTAAAATTTTGAATTTGAAACGAAAATTGCAGAAATTTTTGCAAAGAAAGCAGAATTCGAGAATTTCGATGGAAAAATTCAAAAAAATGTTGGGAAAAAAATTTTTCCGCGAAAATTCGAAAAATACCAAATTTTTTTGGAAAAAAAAAATTGAAAATTCGAGATTTTCGACGAGAAATGTTAGAAAAAAAACTTTTTTTTTTCAATTTTTCTATAAAAATTCGATAATTTTACGGAAAAAATCAAAAAATATAAAATTTTGTGCAAAAAAAGTGAAAATTCGGTGGAAAAAATGTTTTTTTTGAATTTTTACATTATTTTGCAAAAAAAAAAAACGAAAAAAAATTTAAAGGGGGTCCGCTTACGCAAATTTGCGGACTCGCACAAACAAACCAAAAAATTTTTTTAAAGGGGGGTCCGCCTACGCAAATTTGCGGACTCGCACAATCAAACCAAAAAAAATTTTTAAAGGAGGGTCCGCATACGCAAATTTGCGGACTCGCACAAACAAACCAAAAAATATTTTTCTGTTGCTTTTCGTCAAAAAAAAAACAGCGATTCGCAATGGAGCACGTTTGCTGGCGAGAAAAACGAGATGGAAAATACATTTTTTTTTGATAATGTGCCCCGTTTAAAGGACGATGGACGCGAGTTCCAAAAAAGGGTCCCGTTGGGAGAAATTCATCAAATAGACGCCGAAAAAAAACGAGGTATATTCGTTGGGACTGGGTTTTGAAGGGGGGGGTCTGATAAAAACAGACACACAAACACTAATAGATGAGAGAGGAGAGGAGAGGAAGAGGGGGGGAAGAGAGAGGGAAGGCGAGGCATACGACCTCCCCCCAGGCACCTCAAAAACACAAATTCGCATTGGTCAGTGTTACACACCACCGACTACCGTAATCGGACCCCCTCAAGAGGCTCTAGAATTGCTAGAGTACTCCCGATGGTCCGAAAAGAAAATGGGGGCGGAGCCTAGGTATTTTTGAACAAATTTTGGCTCGAAAATCCGAAAATTTTTGACGATTAGCGAGAAATTCTTGTGAAAATTTGAATTTCATTCTGAAAACGACCAATTTTTTCAATTTTTTTGAATTTTTGGCAAAAATTTTGACGATTTTGTGGAAATTTGATTGAATTTAAAAAATTCGCAAATTATCGCCGAAAAAAAAGCGAAATTTTTGAATTTTTTTCATGAAATTTGAAAAAAAAATTGAATAAAAAAGAAAAATTCGTCATTTTTTGTTGAAATTTGGCAAAATTTTGTCAAAACTTCCCAATTTCATCACAAATTTCGCAAAATTTTTAAATTTTGTCAAAAACTTCCAAATTTTGCCAATTTTTCTGGAAAAAAATTGGAAATTTTGTGGAAATTCGAAAAAATGTTTGAATTTTATCACAAATCTCACGATTTTTCGCTGAAAAAAAATGCGAATTTCGTCATTTTTGCTGAAATTTATACAATTTTGTAGAAATTTCTCATTTTTTCATGAAATTTGAAAAAAAAAATTGAATAAAAAAGAAAAATTCGTCATTTTTTGCTGAAATTTGGCAAAATTTTGTCAAAAATTCTCAATTTTATCACAAAATTCGCAAAATTTGTTCAATTTTGTCGAAAACTTCCAAATTTTGCCAATTTTTCTGGAAAAAAATTGGAAATTTTGTGGAAATTCGAAAAAATGTTTGAATTTTATCACAAAATCTCACGATTTTTCGCTGAAAAAAAAATGCGAATTTCGTCATTTTTGCCGAAATTTATACAAATTTGTCGAAATTTCTCATTTTTTCATGAAATTTGAAAAAAAATTGAATAAAAAAAAAGGAAAATTCGACATTTTTCTGAAATTTCTCATTTTTATCACAAAATTCGCAAATTTTCGCTGAAAAAAAAGGGAATTTCGTCATTTTTGCTCGATTTTGTTCGATTTTGTCAAAAACTTCCAAATTTTGCCAATTTTTCTGGAAAAAAATTGGAAATTTTGTGGAAATTCGAAAAAATGCTTGAATTTTATTACAAAATCTCACGATTTTTCGCTGAAAAAAAATGCGAATTTCGTCATTTTTTCAGAAATTTATACAAATTTGTCGAAATTTCTCAATTTTATCACAAAATTCGCAATTTTTCGCTGAAAAAAAAGGGAAATTCGTCATTTTTGCCGAAATTTATACAATTTTATCAAAAACTTCCAAATTTTGCCGATTTTTCTGGAAAAATTGGACATTTTGTGGAAATTTTACAACATTTTTAAATTTTATCACAAAATCTCACGATTTTTCGCTGAAGATACGCGAATTTCGTCATTTTTGCGGAAATTTATGCAAATTTGTCGAAAATTCTCATTTTTATCACGAAAAATTCGCAAATTGTCGTTGAAAAAAAAAGAGAAATTCGTCATTTTTGCCGAAATTTATACAATTTTGTCAAAAATTCAAAAAAATTGATGAAAAACACGCGGATGTCGTCATTTTTGCTCGATTTTGTTCAATTTTGTCAAAAACTTCCAAATTTTGCCAATTTTTCTGGAAAAAAATTGGACATTTTGTGGAAATTTGACAACATTTTTGAATTTTATCACAAAATCTCACGATTTTTCGCCGAAAAAATCGCGAATTTCGTCATTTTTGCTCGATTTTGTTCAATTTTGTCGAAAATTCTCAATTTTCACCAAATTTTGGCTAGAAAAATCCCCAGAAAATTTCAGATATTTCGCGAAAATTCGCGTCGAGACCGGTTCATTGTCGTTTTTTTTGGTTGTTATTGGCGGTGACGAAACTCGTTTTTTCTCTCTCTCCCTCTTGTTTTTTTTTTGGCGTCGCTCTCGTGCCAAATAAGCCATTTATAAACTAGTAGACCGAATTTTAGGGACCAACAATGTTTTTAAGTGGTAAAATCTACCAATAATCGACAAAAATTATTCCATCATCGAAAAACTTCAATTTGTTTTGCAATAAAAATGCGAAAAATATTACAAATCAACGTCTACAATTAAAATTGTTCATTGTTTCAATAAATATCCGGTAGAGAATCACATATAATTTTAAATTGCTTCGATTTGCACAAGAAGAAGAAGAAGAAGGAAAAAAATAGCACAAATACCGGGTAGAGCTAGAGAGAGAGAGAGAGATATATATAGTATAGGCAATTGAGAGAGTGTTAGAGAAAAAAAATGTAAAAAATCAATCTAGGCCAAATATTGATACTCGTCGTTTTGATCAGTTCTTTGAATGTACATCTTCTCGATCAAATCCTCGATGCTTTTTTTGATGAATGGCACATCTGGAGTGAAGCGGCCCTTCGTCTGATCCATTATCTGCAAAAAAAAAACGTTTCACTTCCTTTTTTGGAATTGTCGGCGACTGAAAGGAGGCGTGGCCTTCAAATCAGTGTCGATTTAATTTGCTCGTTGACTGAGTATTAAATGCGCGTACGCAGTCTCGCGTATTTCTCGAGACGAATTGGCACCTACTCAGGTAAATCAAATCAAATATTTTGAGATTCATTGAGACACTAACGTCTCTCTATAATATTTTAGATTTTTCTCAATCAATGTTAGAAATTATTTTTTTATAATTTTCAAATTTATTGAGATAATTTGGAATTTTTGCTCAATAAATATTTTTAGTTTTTTTTTTTAATTTTCTAAGATTAAAAAAAAAAACATTTTTGCTTTTATCGAGATTCCATAAGTTTTGAAAAGCATCAATAAACTTTAGAATTTCTCCAAATATTTTAGAGTTTATTAACAAATATATGATTCTCAAATTTTTTTTGATTTTCCCGAGTAGCCAATAATTTTTGAAATTTCGTAGAACATTTCGAAAAAAAACCCGGGCCTCAAAATTTTTTTCAACTCCAAAAATCAAAAAGTTTCCACCAAAAATTTCGCATTTTTTTCCAAAAAAAAAAAAACAAATCAAACATCCAATTTTTTCAGCAAAATTTCGCAAATTTCAATGAAAATGGGAAAAAAAACACCAAAATTGACCTCGGCAACCAACGCGTTATGCTTCATCACTTTTCTCGTCTTCATTATTCGAACAATCGCGCATTCCATATAATATTTGCGATCTTGGGATACCTGAAAACACCAAAATTCGATCAAATCTCGATTAAAAAAAAAGCAAGTCAAATGTGTTAAAGGGGGGGGGTCCGAATTCGAAATTCTCGCAAAATTTCCAGAAAATCGTCGAATCGATGTGATATTAGTGAGAAAATGTGGGGGGAGGGGGGGTCCGAATTTAAAAATGATCCTAGCGGTTTGGAATTTCAAAAATTGTTACCCAATCGTGTCAAAAATTAGAACTTCCAATTTTGGAAAAAGTGAATACGTGTTAAATTAGGGTAAGTAAATCTACACTAATTTAATTGCTATCAAATTCTGAAATATCAGACCTCTTGGATCATTTTTTGTAATATTTGAAGGACTCCCTGTACTATCATTTTCAGACATTTCGCATCGATCGCACAAATTTCAAATTCGGACCCCCCACCCCGCTAGGCTTCAGAAAATCAAAATTCTACCGTGTTCGCGACCGATTCTTGCTCCTTCTCAACCGCTTTATTGATTTGCGGCATCTGAAGCCGGAATTTCATTCGTCGCGACGTCATCGACAAATTCAATCGGATTCTCGAGTCAACCGTCAACGTCGAATCCTGCAACAACAAAAAAAAAGAATGCTTGGAAGAAAAAAAAAGAACGCTTCGCCGCCAAACCTCGCACGTGAATATCGACGCATCCATGATGGTCCGAATCGTTTTGAGTAGATAATCGCCGCGAATTCCGACGCGATCGCTGATATCCTTCACCTGAAATTCAAGAAGAAAATATTCTGCGAAATTCAGCTTAAACGCAAAAACCATCAAAATAGTCAAGATTTTCAGATTTAACGAAACTTTTTAGAAAAAAATACCAAAAAAATCCTCTTAAAAAAATTCTGGAATTCCGCTCAAAAACCATGAAAATCTCCGAGATTTTCAAAATTTTCATTTTCAGCACAAAATCAACTTTTTTTTCAAAATAAGAAAACCAAAAAAATTCTGGAATTCAGCTTAAACGCAAAAGCCATCAAAATCTCTGAGATTTTCAGATTTAAAGAAACTTTATAGAAAAAAAAAAACCAAAAAATTCCTCTAAAAAAAAGAGAATTCTGGAACTTCACTCAAAAACATCAAAATATTTGAGATTTTCAAAATTTTTTTTTCATTTTCAACAATAAAAAACCAAAAAAAACCTTCCTCTTCAAAAAAAAAAATGAATTCCTGATTTTTGAGAATTCCGCTCAAAAACCATCAAAATATTTGAGGTTCTCAATTTTTTTTTTCATTTTTAGCAAACAAAAAAGAAATTTTTCAAAATCAAAAATTTTCCTTTGAAAAAAAAAGAAAAAGAATTCTGGAATTCCGCTTAAATCCAAATAAAAAACCCCATCAAAATCTCCGCGATTTTCAGATTTTTCCAGCAAAACCAATTTTTGTCTCTTCAAAAATTCGATTCAACCCCCAAAAGAAAAGCGCGCTCACCGTCAACACATCGTCGCGATCAAAGCACAACGTGACGGCCAATTGATAAATATACATCGAGACCACGTAATTCTTGTCCAAATATGTTAGTCGAACGTCGCCTTGCGACATATTCCACAACCACGTCAATTTTCGACCGTTGTGCTTCGACGTGTAGAATTTCTCGAGCTCGTGCACCGACGACTCAAGAACGCGCGGCAATTGGAAATTCGCCAACTCTTGCGAGATCGCGTGGTGCGACGATGTGAGAGCTGCAACACGAATTGATCGTTTTTTTTTTTTCTTGATGGAAATTGCCAAAAATTCACATTATTCAAACATTTTGACCTTTCTAATACCGATTTCGTCGAAAATTCTTACAACTTTGGTGATTCTCGCCTCAATTTTCAGCAAAAATCATTTATTAAAAATTTTTTCTTTACAAAAACAAACATTTTCGGCATTTTTCGTTTCAATAATTTGAAAAATCTCACACTTTTCGAAAATTGTTGGCTTTTAAACTCGATTTCGTCGAAAAATCTTATAATTTTGGCAAATCTCTCTCAATTTTAAAACGATTTTCTTCAAAAAAATTTTTTTCTACTTTTTTCGTCTCAATCATTCGAAAAAAATGAAACTTTTCAAAATTTTTAGAGTTTAAAATCGATGTCCACAAAAAAATTTCTTAAAAACCGTCTTTGGCTTTTCCCGTCAAATTTTTCAAAAATTGTTGGCTTCCCAACTAGATTTTGGGCGTAAATTCATCCAATTTTGGTAATTCTCACTCAATTTTCAATAAAAAATCAATTTTTAAATAATTTTTCAAAAAATCCACTTATTTCGTCTCGCCAAAACTGATTTTTTTTTTGTAAAATCACCACAAAAATCTCGCAAAAAAACATTTTTGCTGCCAATTTGTTCAAATTTCAAAAAGAAATTATAAAAAATATGAAAATCCAACCAATTTGCGGCGCGTTCAACGGCCAACTTCCCGCCTGAAGTATCAACGTTTGCGTCGGCACAAATTGCGGCGGATTCGGACGATCGGCGACGATCGACTCGCAGTGCTTCTCGAATTGCGCCGACAGCTCGTGGCTCAAACCAATGTCGAGGAACATTCGCGACAGTTTGCTGGTGAACTCGTAGCCGCACGCTTGCTGGAAAATTTCGAATCAAACCCCTCGAAAAACAATTTTCCACCAATTAACACCACCAAAAAAAAACGCAAATTACCTTGAGCTTGTTTATCATCGTCTCTTCGGCATCCATCGACACCGAATAATTACCAATCAATCGTGTCGCGAGCATCTTCGAGTAGTACTGCAAAACAATTCAATTTCGCGACAGGACCCCAACAACAAAAATCAAATCAAAACCACACTAACCTTCTGAAAAACGTCCTTATCCTCGATATATCTGAATATCACAATCGCGTTGCTCAGCTTCTCCTCGATGTCCACATCCGAGACGCCTTTTCCCGTTTTTCTCAGCAAACCATCCGTATAGCGGGCGAGCTGTGAAGAAAAATTGATAATTATAAAATTTTTTCGGGTTTTCGGGACAGAAAAAAACCAATCAAATTTCGCTCAAAAAAATTTTTTTGATCTCCCATTTTAAGCGCGAAATTCGAAATTGCTTGCAATATTCAATCATCGCATTCGCGTTTTTTTTGTTGCCAAATCCATTTTTTCTCCTTCACATTGCTGTCTGATAATCGAGAATCTCGTTTCAGATTAACTATCAATCCAAGTTTGCGCCGAACGCGCAACAGTTCTTCTCAAACTTGCCGACTAAACCCACACCACAGCAGCATTATTATCACCAACACCAACACCACGCGCCCTACACCCAACCATCATCAATACTACATCAACAATACCAACACCATGGCGCCGCCTCTTCTTCCGCCACCATCATCGATGACGACGTCAGCTCCAGTGATGAGCCGCCCGATGGCAAAAATTGGAGCACGACTGTGCGCGATGGCATCGCGCCGCCGACACCGTCGTGATCGTGGGTGCCGCGTACGCCTCTCCAAACATGGCACGGCTTCTCGAATCAGAATCAATATTCCAACTAATCAAAAGATGTTCGCAGATATCAAAATATTGACATTTTATTTACAAATCGTACTTATATATATTTTTTTTCTATGTTTGTTACAATTCTTGTGCTCTTGTTGCTTTTTTGGTTGTTGATTGAATAAAGATTGCAGAGAAGAATTGCGATTGATTGGGGTTGGTGATCATATTTGAAACGCTCTCAAAATTCCCGCCCCGATTCTAATGTTAGCCGAAATCTGGAATTTCCGATTTCCGGATATATGGCCTTGAAAAACGCTCGATAGGGCGTTAATTAGCTAATTAATTAAGCAATTAGAAATTAATCTTTTTTTTGGTCAGACTGAAGGAAGGACGAGAAAAATCGGAAATTAGGAATCTAAATTTGGCAAAAATGAATAAGAATTCTGGGCACACTAATTTTCTTTTAAATTTTCTTCAAAGCTCTATTACGCCTCAAACGATACGAACATTTGATTTCAACGATTTTCAACATGAACGAATGACATAGAAAATAATTTTTGAGCGCGCGTCAAAATGCTACATTCTAGTCAGAACACAATGCCAAGCCCCGCCCATTCGATTGTGCAATCGCGCTCTACAGCAGCACATCGTCGATCGCGAACGCGCGTCTGTGAGCAGAGAGTGTGCTAAAATGAGAGAGTCAGCCGTCACTTGACGTCGATGGGCAGTTATTTTTGACAATTGCGCTCTATTGCAAATCTCGCATCGACGCCCAGTGGCACTATAAAAGGCCGGCGGAATGCGCAATTTGGTCAGTTCTCGCAGCTCCTCGAGTTGCGGGATGCCAGCCAGCGTCTCATGTGGGATCCACGTGCCCCGCATAACCTGCGGGCTCCTCGTGCCCCGCATAACCAGCGGACTGGCTGTGGCTCGCTTATCCTGCGGGCTCGTCGTGGCCAAGGATCCACTCGGTAAGTCACATTCATCGCAATTCTTTTCTCAATTCCTCGTATTGCAGATCCCGATGAGAGCCACAGTCGTTTCTCATTCGAGCTCTTCGGATGTGATTTGTTGAAAGTGTCGGGGATTCTCGACTGGTGCGACTCGGTCAGCCAGTACTAACCCTACTGCAGTGACGCGTCCAGGCCGACGTTAAACCCACATTGCATGAGTAGGCATATCGCGTGAAGATGGGCAAGATTGGGAGATGGCGAAAGGTCGATGCTGCCCGGGGCGTCGAATAGAGCGATGAAGCTCATTCGAAAGGTAAAGAAGGAGTCACAATCTATTGGAATAACTCGATTCATTGCAGGAATCTCGGATCACATGGATCGGATCTAATCGAAGGCTCGAGGAAGCGACGAGGAAGGAGCAAAAAAGTCGGGTATTTGGTAATTTTTGGCCCGGGCCTAATTTTTTTTTTACTTATTATTTTTTTATCACTTGCACCAGTCGTACCACTTACGGCTTCCCTCTCTACTCTCTGTACATTCGTACCACTTACGTCTGTACTTCCTCCCGGTCCTACCGTTTGGGACCATGTCATCTTTCTTCGGGGAAAGCCGGCTTCCCCTTTCTCCCACCAGTCGTACCACTTGCGACTGTCCCTTCTCTCTATCAGTCGACTGATTCTTCTCTGCCTTACCACTCTCTATCCCACCACTTGGGATTCTCTTTCTCTCGGTCCTACCGTTTGGGACCATCTCATTTTTCTTCGGGGAAAACCGTACCACTTACGGTCATGCCAGTCATTCCACTAATGACTGGTTTCCCCTCTTTTTTTTTTAAATCTATTCTACGTATTAATTTCTGTTTTTAGGTGTTTAGGTATCGCTGTGTTTAGGTGTTTAGGTATCCGATGGAAGGACGCTGCCGGTGAATCGATTCACCACCACAAGTAAATTGTCCCCCCCCCACCATTAAGCCTAACCCATTCTAAGGTCCTCTATTTATTTTCTACTTAATCCGCCGTAGTCGGCTCTATTAGGGCCGTAGTCGGCCATTCCCCAAACGTCAAAGCTTCCCGATCCCCCCGTAGTGCCGAGGCGTTGGCTGGATGGCGGCTTATCCGCTGTATCCTAAATTCGGGTGATTGGCCTGGCAAGCCCTTCAGCCCTGATTCCGTAGCCGGGAATCGAACCCTACCCAAACGCCCGTTTCAAGTGCTCTCGAGTGCTTATTGGGCGTTATGGATGGTTATGCTTTAAAAAATTGCTTCACCGGGTGTCCTCCATACTAGTCAGGATGGCATCTGGCCCAGACCTATATTGACGTGGATTGGCCAGCTATGTCAATATGTCCAGCCTTTCGGGTGCACATGGACCGTGCTTCTTGGCATAGTAGCTTGCTGCTTTGTAGTGGCTTGCTACTACTTAGTAGTAAGCTTCTGTGCTAAGAACACAAAAACCACATTACCATATCACCAGTAGACCCGGGGCCCAGCCAGACGTGGCTTGCCCAACCACTTCTACTTCTATTATCCTCGGATGATAGTTGTGGGATGTCCTTGGGTGATCCCCATGGTGGGATCGGCGATGACCCACATCAGGTTTCGGCCTGATGCTGGTGAGCCTCTCCTTCAAGTGTCGAGCCTCTACGCGGCGAAGGAGATCAACTGACTCGGTCCTCCTTCATCGGGGGGTCGAGTCAGGCTAATCGGCACACTTTCTCGCGCAGGTCGAGGATATTCTTCCTCAACCGGAAATTCGAATTGCTCGATTTATATAATTAAAGATTAAAGATTTTTTGAGAGAATGATGAACAAGCCTTTTCCGATTTTTTGACCAAAAAATTAAAAAAAAAACGAGACCCACCCGCTCGCTGGCCTTCGGCACATTACATCCCGGCTCTTTCGCATTGACAACGCCTTGCAAGGCCTTGTCGAGACCGCTCGAGAACTCGCCGTCGTCCATGAAAACCGTCGATTTCATTTTGTTGAACTTATTGTAAACGGTGAGCACGTTCTCGACGAACTGCTGCGGCACATTGTCGCCGGTGAGCCGCGCGATCGCCTCGAGACCGCGCTGCTTCACGTACTCTTCAAACTCCTTCACCATCACTGTGAGTCCCGCGTGGATCGGCTTCAATAGGCGGTACATGTTGCGTAAATCTACAATTATTTTTTGGCAATGTTTCAAATTCCATTTTTTTGTAAATTTTTCAATTAAAAACTATTTAAAATTCAAAAATCTTCAAATAAATTTCTCGAAATTCGTCAAAATTGTCTCAAATTCGACTAAACTTCATCCAATACCTCGAACTTCCTCGTTCGTGATCAAATCGTGGCACACCGCGTGCAATTTGTCCTTGTGCGCTTTTATCATAACCGATTGGCATAGTTCAATCACCTGAATGTTTCCAATTATGGTGATTTGCAATTTTTCAGCTCAAAATCAAGCAAAAACACTCGAAATTTTCGCAATTCCTACCTTTCTCACGCTCGATTCGTGTAGGAATTTCTTGGCTCGCACTTCTTCTCGATCCAATTGCTCAATCACAGCCTCCATATATTGGCTACAAGTCATTTCGGACAACATTTGCTGAGCGAGTGCCGAATAGTAGACTTTCGTGTCTTCGAGGAAGCTCAAAACACAATTTTTAGGTGAAAATTTCAATTTCAATCCAAAAAATTCGTCAATTATGATAGTTGAGGGAATTTTTTGCAAATTTTCTTCAAAAAATAAAAAAAAAAATAGCAGCAACAATGGCAAAAACCCACTATTTCTCGAACGTCTCCTGATAGAATCGCGTCGGCGACTCGTTGATGCTGCTACGCACCGCCGCCTCCGTCCGACTGTAGTTGTCCTTCGAATCGAGGCGATGGTCCTCGATTTGAACGAAACTCTGAATCACGCCGCTCACCACTTCCGAGTTGTTCGGACAATTCCCGTGACGATCTTCGCCGTAGGCGACGAGAAGAAGCTGAATGAGACGCGGCAAGATCTCCTTGACGAGCTCCTCTTTCCAGATTTCGAGAGCCAACTGGAAAAAAAACATGAAAACCCAATTTTTCGCCGGAATTTGCCACCAAATTTGAGGGCGAAATTCCAAAAATCTGCTATTTCCTCAACTATTCAAGTTCTCTTGAATTTTTCAGAACATTTTTGCGCCAAAATTTGAATATTTCCCAAAAAAAAAAATCTCCTGCGATTTGCGAGGCGCTACCGCAAAAAATTATTAAATTTGTCGAAAATTGCCCCAAAAAAATCAAATTCTATAAGAAAAAAACAATTTTCCACGCAAATAATTGCATTTTTCTAAAAAATTTTGCAATTTTTCGCCGAATTGTGACGATTTTTGCTAGTTGGCAACAAAATTTGGAAATTTACGAGGCGCTACCGGAAAATTATAAATTTTCCTCGAAAAATTCATGGCGACACGAAAATTTCAATATTAAATTTTGAAAAAACTCACACATCCGACTTCTTTGATGTTCGGCACTTGCAAATATGCCGAATATTGAGCAAAACTGTCGACATCCGTGCATTTCTTCTGCGAAACGAATTGTTTGTTCAAATATCTGCAAGAAAAACGAAGAAAATTGAACAATTCTCGGCGGATTTTCACTTTTTTCTTTAAAATCTTCAATTTATCAATTTTTTCATCTCAACATACCCAAAAAGACGATGGATATAGACAGTTCCCTCATAGAACATTTTCCACATTCGATAATACTCCTGAAGTAGGTTGTCGGAGCCGACAGTGAGGATGATCTCGCGCTGTTCGGTCACATACTCAATAAGGCACTTCTGGACTTCTTCATACAACTTTGAGCTTAATGGGTCCGGCACCGATACGCAAATATCATAAACATCGCTGGAAAAAAAAAGATTTTTTTTGGAAAATTTTGAAAATCATTTCATTTTTTCCCCCAAAATAATAATTTTCTTCAAATTTAGATCAATAATCGACATTTTTTCAAAGGACGAAATGGTTCAAAAAATCGCGGCGGCCGCCACCAAAATCCGGTTTTCCGGCGACAAAATCAGATAAAAAAACGCAGGGGGGAATTTTTTGTTTGAGAAGAAGGAAAGAAAATCACGAAATGTAGTGAGAATCGCAAAAATTTTAAGAAAATTTGAAACAAAAAAAACCGCCAACCTAAATTTGTGGTGCCATTCTTTATAGGGCACCGGCTGCATTTTGAGAATATCGATGACGGTTGGCCGCAGCGATTTCCACGTCTCATCGAATGTGATCTGTTTCGGCTTCAGCGAATACATGTCTGCAAAAAAGAACAAAATTTGAAATGTTGTGAAGACGCAAAAAAATCAAATAAAAATCATCGCCGTCGCACGAGAAAACACCGTGTTGTCGTCGGGTGTGACGCATTGTCCGCAAACACCGACGCGTACCGTAGTCGTCGGCGAAATGACAATTCGCCGAAATCAAAAAAAAAAAGCAAAACGAAACGAGAAGGAGTGTTGGCGATCTTTTTTGCGGGCAAAATTGTGAATATTCAGGGGAAACGTGAAAAACTGAAGAAATTTTGCGGGAAAATTGAAGGATTTTGTTGGGGAATTTGCGAAAATCCACGAATCGTTGCCATGGCGACCACCCATTGCCCCAGCATTGACCATTTATATACACATTCGCCAATGAAGGTAAGATTTGGTGAATTTTTGGACCAAAAATTAACAATAATTCCAATTTTTGCCAGCTTCAATATCGAAGGACCGACGAGGATCTCGGCAATGGTCCGTTGAAGGTACGCTGGCGGCCGAACGCGCACTCGCTGGCCGTCGCGTGTCCCAACGATTCGGTGATTTACTACGACAAACGCGGAAATATCATCGACGCGCTCGATTTGACCGGGTAATTGTGGATAAACAAGCCAAACTCAAAAAAAACCAAAAATTATAGCTCGAAATTCGAAACATTGACATTTCAGGCCGGTTTTGGACATCGCGTGGGACAAGGAGGGCGATTGTCTGGCGGTGGCGGCGCGAAACTCATCGCTTATCACGCTGTGGGATGTGAATTCGCGAGCGACCGACTCGATCGAGAGCAGCGCCGCTTCTTCAAAGTGATCCTCGTCTTGTTTTTTTGTTTCTTGAGAATTTCAATTTTCAACTCAACAATAACACTCACATTCAATCGATTCGTTGGAATTGGTGTACATGCTCAAACGAGAAATGACCGACGAGTCTGAAAAAATGAAAATTTCGTGTACAAAAATTGGGAATTGCTATCGATTTTTGAATATTTCTCGATGAAATTTTAATTTTTAATTTTTTTAAATCAAAAAATTGATAGAAATTCCAAGAAAACCGAGTTAAAACGCCGAAAAAATGAGAAAAATGATTGCAAAAAAAATTGATTCAAAAATTGAGTTACAGTAAGCTATTAAAGGCGCACGCAAAATTTGAAAGCGGGTCTCGCGACGAACTAGCCGTTATTTTTTAAAAATTGCGATTTTTTCCGCGAATTTTCAATAAAAAATTTTTTTTTTTTTGCAGAGAAGTACCAACATGCATCGCCTGGTCGCCCGTCTCATTGACATTGGCGGCTGGCAACAACGCCGGCAACCTTTTCGTGTACAATCATCGAACATCGCGCAAAATTTCGCTAATGGGCAAACATCAGCGAAGCATCACCAGTGTGAGGTTCACGTCGGAAGATTTGATCGTGACGTGCAGTGATGATAATACAATAACAAGTGAGTGGAGAAAAAAGATTGCAAAAAGCGATTCGCATGAGGGGGGACTGAACTCGACGCGCCAATTGTTTTGAAACGGCGACGCTTTGCAAAAAGCCACAAGTGCGGATATGCGCTAGGGGGTGAATGGCAGTGAAGAGTATGGATTGCAGTTTCGAACGTTGACGGCGACACAGTGTCGACGTGCGCGCTTTCCGGCGAGCCAACGAATCTCGACGTCGGCGTCGTCTCCAGAAGCGGTGCAGCCGCTCAAACAATGGTTAGACGATGTCATAAGCTTCAAGCAGACCGACGAATCCGAAACAATTGCAGATCAGCTGCATTCTCAGCCGAATAATTTTAATGTTGGCGCCGGTGCAGAACATCGAGAATCCCATCAATCTTCAATTTCAGGAGCGCTACGGCAACATTGTCGCATACTCATGGTGATTTTCAGCTCGAAATTCGCAAAAAACCGCATTTTCCAGGTTCAACGATGGCTATTTGGCAATCGGTTTCGATCGCGGCTACTTGGTGACGATTTCGGCGCAGCAAAACGAGCTCGGATCGGTTTTTTTCGAATCAATATTGAAAAATTAATGTTGAACGAATTCCAGGAGATTGCGAGCATCGCCGAATACAAAAATTATTTGGGCGCCGTGTGCACGAGTCAGAGTTTCTCGAAAATTCTCTCCGTCGGCGATCATCAGTGCGTTGAAACATCGATATCATCGTAAATTTTGAGCGATTTCCAGAATCAAAATTCGCGAAATTGACCAGTTCAACGATTTGTACGCGATTTCCGACGTCGACACCGATAAAGGTAGGCATTGTGTGCTGCGGACATCGCTCTAGGCCACCATTTCGCAAAAATGCCTGATTTCGTGTTTTTTTTTCTTAAATGTTAGCCCATTTTTGCCGGATTTTCAAAAATCCATGCTGCGGACATCGCTCGAGGCCACCATTTCGCCAAAATAGAACATTTAGTCTTTTTTTGGTAAAATTTAGCCAGATTTCGTTTGAATTTTAAAAATTCATGCTGCGGACATCGTTGGAGGTCACCATTTCGCCAAAATGGAATATATAGTCTTTTTTTGGTAAAATTTAGCCAGATTTCGTTTTAATTTTAAAAATTCATGCTGCGGACATCCTTGGAGGTCACCATTTCACCAAAATGGAATATTTAGTTTTTTTGGTGAAATTTTGCCAGATTTTGTCTTAATTTTAAAAATTCATGATGCGGACATTTTTCGAGGCCGCAATTTCGCAAAAATGAAACATTTAGCTTTTTTTTGGTGAAATTTAGTCGATTTTTGCCGGATTTTCAAAAATCCATTCTGCGGACATCGTTCGAGGCCGCAATTTCGCAAAAATGAAACATTTAGTCTTTTTTGGTGAAATTTAGTCGATTTTTGCCGGATTTTCAAAAATCCATTCTGCGGACATCGTTCGAGGCCGCAATTATCTTCCAGACCTGAACGACGTGTCGATCACCAACGACGGCCAACTGGTGGCGATCGCCTCGCAATCGGGCACCCTATGCGTCTACGTCACCAAAATGCCGTCGCTGGCGGCCGCCCATCTCAACACGGTCGCCCATCTGACGAGTCTCACGCAGGTCACAATAACCGCCGAGCTCGATCGCGTGAGTCCCGCCGAGCCCCCATCATCATCATCCAATAGCGAGAAGCCCTTCAGAAGCTGTCGACGACAATCGAGACCGGCGTCGAGCCGTCGCTCATCGGACTCGGACCAACGCATCTGGCGGTGGCGTCGAGCAACCGCGTGTTCTACTTCGAGTACTTCCTCGGACCCATCAGCCAAACAATTCCCACTTGTAATCGCTCGGGGGGACCATCTAATCATAACTAGTGTTACAGTAAGCCAAGCGCCGACGAGCATCCAAATCGAGTATCTCTCGACGGTCACCGACGTCAAACTGAATCACGAGTTCGCCGCGGTGACCATCGGCGCCAAATTGCGCCTTCATCGGGTCAGCCGGCCGAGTGCTACGGTAGCCTCTAATCGTCGGTGTTTGCAGATTCACAATTCCGACGAGAGCGCCTCGATGACGTTCCCGGAAGCGTCGAGAAGCGCTCGACTCGTCTCATCGGCGCTCACCGACGACTTCTTGGTGTTCACCACCGACGTACCCATCCACCCCGTCCACCCAATACCTACAGTAACCTTTTCAGACCAACTATATCGTCTACTTCTCGCTTCAAGAATGGGCGGTGGTGAGCGAGTATCGTCACGCGGTGCCGTTCAAATCCATCTATCCGCATCCGAGGAATGTGATTTGTTGTTGTTTCGATGATCGCTTGGAAACCATCATTTATTCGTTGGTTCTTCGATTTTTCTTGTTATTTGGGTGCAAACGCGCTCCATTGACAATTTTGATTTTTTGCTGATATGTTTTTTAAAAAATGCCGAATTTCTGGCAAAAATTGTAAAAAAAAATCGTGCAAAAATTGATTTTTTGTCAATTTGGTGCAAACGCGCTCCATTGACAATTCAATAAATTTTGAGTGAAATTATGATGAATTTTAGTCAAAATTAAAGAAACTCTGAATTTCATTGAAATAAAAAACACTCTTTTTTTTTAAATTTTTGATGCAAACGCGCTCCATTGACAAATTGATCGAGTTTTGGTGCAAAAAATTGAAAAATTCAAAGTTTCATCACTTTTTTATTTTTTCGATGCAAACGCGCTCCACTGCGAATTTTTTAGGCGATCGTTTCCCCCTGAAATTGTGTAAATTTTTGAGCGAAATTGATATTTGGGTGCAAACGCGCTCCATTGACAGTTTTGATTTTTTGCTGATTTGTTTCAAAAAAATGCCGAATTTCTGGCAAATATTGTAAAAAAAATAGTGCAAAATGGATTTTTTGTCAATTTGGTGCAAACGCGCTCCATTGACAATTCAATAATTTTTCAGTGAATTTTTGAAAAATTTTAGTAAAAAATAAAGAAATTCTGAATTTCATTGAAAAAAAAAAACACTAGAAACTCGAAAAATGTCGATTTTTAAATTTTCGATGCAAACGCGCTCCATTGCCAATTCGTTCAATTTCAGCGCAGTCGACGATGGAATCCTCAAACTTCCCGCCGTCGGCTCAACCGTTCACGTAATCGTTCAGGGACCATCCTATCAAGGGACCATCCAATTATGATTGCAGTACAAAGGCGCCGTCTGGGAGACGTTCACCATCGATCGCGACACGTTCGCGGTGTTCGACAATCAGAACATCTACGTGTTTCTGATGACGAAACGTCGAATCGAGGGCGAGAGCGTCGTGTTCGTCGGCACCACAAAACTCCCATTCGGTCATGCGCCTTTAAGTTTGAACAAAGTATGATGGTAGATCAAAACGCAAAAAATTCAAAGTTTCAACGATTCAGGGCGTCATCAAGTGCCTTCTACCATCCGGCAAAATCTCATCTGTGCTTCTCGACTCGCACAAAACCGATACGGTGTTCGAGAAGAAAACACCACAACAGGTAGATCAAAAAAAAGAAATCGAAAATTTTATGTACACATTTCAGTTGACCGAGTTGCTCAATCGCGCTCTACTGATGCAGCGGTGAGTGCGTTTTGATCTACCAGTTATCGAGCGCCTCGAACGGGTCCGTTCGGCCATTTTGTGGCGTCGGCACCACCAAATCCGGTTGAGTGGTCCCTGTTGCTGTTGGCTGAGCGGGCCGACCTGCTGAAAATCGCCACACCCATTTTTCATTGGCCGTTTAGGGAAAAGCCTTACGCGGATTTGAATAGTAGACCGGATCTCTTGGCGGCGGGATATCGCTCATACCGAAATTGTCTAAAAAAAATTCCGATTAAGATGGTCCCTTCAAAAAAAAAATAGCGACTCACTTTCACCATAGCGCATTGTTGGCTGAAAAAGTGAACAATTATTTGTTGTAGCGAGACCCCTTTAAGAGGTATCAATTTCTAGATGGCATATTCGGTTTCTACGGTGTCGAAAACCCTAGGGACCATCATAATTTGATGGCAAATCGCTGAATGGTTGCAAGTGCGCTCTATTGCTAATTCGCGGATTTTTGGCTAAATTGAACCAATTTTTGACGACAGTTTGACAACTTTTATCGATTTTCAACTCTAGACTTGCGCAAAATTGCAAATTGGGTGGTTGCAAACGCGCTCCATTGCGAACTTAGGCAATACTCCCCAAATTCCGGGCATAAATTGGTGGGAATGTGCGCTCTATTGCAAATTTTTGAGAATTTCACTCAAAATTGCTGAAGCTAACAAATTTTCAATTAAAAACTCCCAAATTGGCACAGCGTGTGTTGCAAACGCGCTCCAATGCAAATTCGGCCAATTCGAGCCATAAATAGGTTGGAATGTGCGCTCTATTGCAAATTTTTGGGAATTTCACTCAAAATTGCTAAAACTAACAAATTTTCAATTAAAAACTCCCAAATTGGCACAATGTATGTTGCAAACGCGCTCCATTGTCAATTCGATCAACTCACCGCCTTTTTTCGACTCATCATTGTCCGATAGGCGAAATAGCACAAAATTCCAACAATCAGAAATCCCTAAAAGTTTAACTGAGAGTGGGGACCATCAAAATCGGACGGACCTCAATGATGGCGATCGCCGTCGCCGCTTTGTTGCTCTTGACGACCGTCGGCGGCTTCTCATCGAACGCCACTCGAATCCAATTGATCTACAACCAACGAAAATGCGATCATTCATTGTCGACGAAGGCGCCCACTTTTGCGACACCATCGCTCGCCACCAATGGTGCAATTGTGGTGGCGTTGGTTGGTGGTGGCGACGATGGCGTCGTCGTCGCCAACGACGCGACACCATTCAGCCGAATGGTGGCGGTGTGCGGCGAGTTGGCGGCGTCGGCGGTGAGTGTCGCGGCGAACTCGCCGCTGATCGAATCGGTCAGCGTCAGATTCGGCGACGTCAGAGTTATCGTCAGATTTGGAGACGTCATTGGAGAGGGCTGCAAAAAAAAAAGAAGAATCCGATCTAACAAGGTCTAGGTTCCTCGGAGGATCGGATCGGATTGGATCCACTAACCTCTGGATTCGAAATGAATAGGAATGTCGGCGGATCGCCGGGTTGAGTATAGCAGTTGCCGTTGAATTGAGCGCCGGAAAACTGGAAATTGAGTGGTAGATCAAAAAAAAACGACGACGAATATACCGTCAAATTCGCGCCATTGCACTCGGCAATCGAGCCATTATTGAGTTGAATTGCGACCGATTCGATGAAGAGCATATCGCTGGCTTGAATTCGAGCGAAGCACACGACGAACAAGCCGAATTTCAGCATGGTTTTTTTTTGTTTTTTGACTGAAATCATTTCAGATGGGCTCAGGCGTGGCGAATTTGCGACTATTCGCAACAATTGCCGCATTGGAATATGTTCGCGCACGCGGCGCTTCTCGACTCCGACGTCACGACGGGTTTGTGTGCAATTTTGCGTCAAACATTTTTTTTTCTCTCATGGACAATCGGCGCGTTTTCGATCAAAAAACGCCGATTTTTTGGCGGATAATTGTCAAAATTGAATTTTTCTGCAATTTTGCGTCAATTTTGGTGAAAAATTGTGGTTTTTTGAAAATATTTCATTAGAATTGAATTTTTCTGCAATTTTGCGTCAGTTTTGGTGAAAAATATTGATTTTGTGGAAAAAATTTGTCAAATTTGAATTTTTCTGCAATTTTGCGTCAATTTTGCTGAAAAATTGTGGTTTTTTGAAAATATTTCATAAGAATTGAATTTTTCTGCAATTTTGCGTCAATTTTGGTGAAAAATGTTGATTTTGTGGAAAAAATTTGTCAAAATTGAATTTTTCTGCAATTTTGCGTCAATTTTGGTGGAAAATATTGATTTTGTGGAAAAAAATTGTCAAAATTGAATTTTTCTGCAATTTTGCGTCAATTTTGGTGAAAAATTTTGATTTTTCGAAAAAATTTCGTCAAAATTGGAATTTTCTGCAATTTCTTATGCAAATCAAATTTTTGCGCCCAACTTTACGCGAAATTTCACAGAAATGAACTGCAAGCATAATTTGAAGAAATGCTTACCATGAATATCGATTTTTTGAATAAAAATTTTAAATTTTGATACAAATTATTGCGCAAATTTCGTAATTTGATAAAATGCACCACAATTGACGCGAAATTGCACAAAATTGAATTTTCAGCAAAAATTTGGTGTAATTTCGCGTCACATATGGCTATTTTAGAGAATTTCGATTTTTCTGTGCAAAAATTTCGAAAACATTAAAAATTAAAACCACAACATCGAAATTGACGCGAAATTGCACAAAATCGAAAAATGATGAAATTCTCGACAAAACTAATTGAACAATAAATCAAAAAAGGTCCAAAAAATTTTTTGTTTGGCGACGTGTCGAAATTTGGTGTGTTTGAATAGGCAGAAACTAACTGATAAGAGAATCGTCATACTCTCGTCGGCGATGCGCAGACGATAAAAAAAAATTAACAAAGAATTCGACGTTTCAGCGATTCGCATATTTCGCCATATTGGCGATGTCGCCATGGTGTACGCCCTCGAGCAGATCGAGCACATCGAGGAGAAGAATCTGCTGTCGGCGCAAGTCGCCGTCATTCTCGGACGATACGACGAGGCCGAGAATCTGTTTCTGTTGAGCTCGCAACCGAATGAAGCGCTCAATGTAAGTCATAGGGGGCGGGGGGGCTAGAACCCTCGACGTTTTCCTAAGAATTTGAATTTTGCAAAAAATCTTCTGTGGGGAGGAGGACTCGAACCCTCGACGTTTTCCTAAGAATTTGAATTTAGCAAAAAAAAAATTATTTTGGGGAGGACTCGAACCCTCGACGTTTTCCTAAGAATTTGAATTTTGAAAAAAATCTTCTGTGGGAAGGAGGACTCGAACCCTTCACGTTTTCCTAAGAATTTGAATTTTGAAAAAAATCTTCTGTGGGGAGGAGGACTCGAACCCTCGACACTTTCTTAATAACTCGGATTTTGCAAAAAAAAAATTTTTTTGGGGCGGACTTGAACCCTCAATGTTTTCCTAGCTTCGAGTACACAAAATTGCCCAAGATTTTCTTGCAAAAAATTTATGGCGGCGATGGCTGGGCGCGAACCCTCGACGTTTTCCTGTTTTTGCAATTCTTTTCATGAAAACATAGACTTGAAAAAAATTTTTGCCGACGACGCGGCCCGGCCTCGAACCCTCGCGGCTTTCTTTTTACACACACACAACACTCGATCGATTTTCAGATGCGTCGCGATCTCCTCGAATGGGACCACGCGCTGGTGCTCGCCGAGAAGATGGACCTCTCGCAAATACCGTACCTGTCGAAGGAATACGCGCAGAAGCTCGAATTGATCGGCGACGACGCAAACGCGCTCCAATACTACGAGAAGGGCGTGATCGACGACGACGACGGCGGCGGCGTCGAGCATCAGGAGCACAATGAGATCTGCCTTTCAGGCATCGCGAGGATGTCGATCAAAACCGGCGATTTGAGAAGGTGCCCATCAAAAAAAAATTTTTTTTCTCAACAAAAAAAAAATTTTTTAGAGGCATCCAATTGGCGAAGGAGCTTGAAGGAAGAGTTGTTAAACGTGATTGCGCCCTAATTCTTGAGCAATTGAAGGTTCAATTATTTAATTACCCCTTAATTACCCGCCTAATTATAGCAATATACCGAAGCTGCGCAATTATATGAAATTGGCTTGTTTTTTGATAGAGCTGCCGCGGTGTGCCTCAAGGCGAATGCATGGTAAGACTTATACACAGTTCACCCCATCCCAGCACAATAGCAGCATGGCGAATTGCCAACGTTTTGGCTGTTTGCGCGAGGGGTGGCGGGTTCGAGCCCACCCGGACGCCTCCCATTTTGCAATCAGTTCTCTTTCAGGGGAAAAGTCGGCGAGCTTCTCGACAAAGTCAAATCGCCAAAAATTCACATCCAATACGCGAAAATAATGGAGAAGGAGAGGAAATTCAAACAAGCGGCGATGTGCTACGAGCGCGGTCGCGACTACGACAACCTCGTGCGCGTGCTCCTCGAGCCGCTCAACATGCCCGAAGAAGCGGTGCGTGTCGTGCGCGAAAGTCGCAGTATCGAGGGCGCGAAACTCGTGGCGAAGTTCTTCTCGCGTCTCGGCGACCACAGTTCGGCAATCCAGTTTCTCGTCATGTCGCAATGCTACCAAGAGGCGTTCGACGTCGCCGAGCGTTTCGACGCCGTCAGCGACTACGCGTCGGCCATCGAGCAATGGGGAAGCGGCGAGCAGGCCGTCGAGCTCGCCGAGCACTTCGCCGCCGCCGGCGATCATTTGAACGCGGCGCGGTTCCACATCAAAGCGGCACGCTACGCGACCGCGATGCGATCGCTGATGCAAATCGCGAATCGCGACGACGCGCTTCTCCTCGCCACCGAGTGCGCCATCAAATCCAACGATCGCGAGCTGATCGATCGGCTCATCGAGCTGCTGACGGGACACGCCGACGGCCAACCGCGAGACGCCGGCTACCTGTTTCGCCTCTACGTCGGCCTCGGAATGGTGAAGGAGGCGTCGACGACGGCGGTGATCGTCGCGAACGCCCATCAGAATCGCGGAGCGTATCGTGTCGCTCGCGACGTCCTCTTCCAGATGTACATGAAGCTCGACGAGCGCAACATGCGCGTCCCGCTTGAGATGCACAACAGCCTCATGCTCGTCCATTCCTATATGATTGTCAAGCCGCTGATCGCGAGAAAGGAGACGTCGATGGCGGCGAGAATGCTGATTCGCACCTGTAATCACATCAGCAAATTTCCCACTCGTAAGCTTTATGTTTTTTTTTTTTTTGAAAAAATTTTGGATTTTGTTTGAAAAATTGCAAATTTCTTAAAAAATAACACAAAAAATTAAATTTTCCACGTTTTTTTTGTGAAATTTTGCAATTTTTGCCCAAAAAATGATGAAATTCAAATTTTTGTGCAAAAAATTGCAAATTTCTTGAAAATGTATATTTCGTAGACTTTTTTCGATAAAAAATCACAAAAAATTGATTTTTACACGTTTTTTTGTGAAATTTTGCAATTTTTGCCCAAAAAAATGATGAAATTCAAATTTTTGTGCGAAAAATTGCAAATTTCTTGAAAATGTATATTTCGCAGACTTTTTTCGATAAAAAATCACAAAAAATGGATTTTTACACGTTTTTTTGTGAAATTTTGCAATTTTCGCCCCAAAAAATGATGAAATTCAAATTTTTGTGCAAAAAATCCCAAAAAATGGATTTTTCAACTATTTTTTATCGGAATTTGCATTTTTGCTCAAAAAAAAAATGATGAAATTCAAATTTTTGATGAATTTTTCAACTATTTTTGGCAAAATTTGCATTTTTCGCCCAAAAAATTGCTGAAATTTAATTTTTTGTGCAAAAAATCCCAAAAAATTGATTTTTCAACAATTTTTTGTCGAAATTTGCATTTTTTACCCAAAAAAATGCCGAAATTCAATTTTTTGTGCAAAAATTGCAAATTTCTTGAAAATGTATATTTCGCAGACTTTTTTCGATAAAAAATCCCAAAAAATGGATTTTTACACGTTTTTTTTGTAAAAATTTGCAATTTTTGCTCAAAAAATGATGAAATTCAATCTTTTGTGCAAAAAAATTGCAAATTTCTTAAAAATGTGTATTTTGCTGATTTTTTGATAAAAAATCCCCAAAAATGGTTATTTCCATGTTTTTTTTTTGTAAAAATTTGCCTTTTTTCTTCAAAAAAATGCTGAAATTCAATTTTCTAATGAAATTTTTCAACTATTTTTAGTCGAAATTTGCATTTTTTACCCATAAAAATCCTGAAATTCAATTTTTTTTGCAAAAAATTGCAAATTTCAAAAAAATGTGTATTTTGCACACTTTTTTTGATAAAAAATTCCCAAAAATCTGCTATTTCCACGTTTTTTTTTGTAAAAATTTGCAATTTTTGCTCAAAAAATGGTGAAATTCAATTTTTTTAATGAAATTTTCAACTATTTCTTGTCGAAATTTGCATTATTTGTCCAAAAATGCTGAAATTCGATTTTTTGTGCAAAAAAAATCACAAAAAATTGATTTTTCAACTATTTTTTGTCAAAATTTGCAATTTTTGATCAAAAAATGCTGAAATTCATTTTTAGTTGCGAAAAAATCCAAAAAAATGGATTTTTCAAACCATTTTTTTTTCTAATTATTTGATTTTTTTTTTCCAAAAAAAACACAAATTTAACAAAAAAAAAAACTAAAACTGCATTTTTAGAAAAAAAAAAAAATGCCGTCCCAAAAAAAAAAAATAGAAACGATTCAGACGTCGTCCAAATTCTGACAAGCGCCGTCGTGATTTGCACACAGGCGAATCTTCGCAAATCCGCGCACAAATGGGCCACCGCTCTCATGAATCCCGATTATCGTCCGAAGATCCATCAGAAGTACAAGAAGAAGATCGAGGACATCGTGAGGAAGGGCATCAACGACGACGATGTTGGCGAACCGAAATCGCCGTGTCCGTTTTGCGAGTATTCGCTCGAAGAGTCCCAGTTGACATGCCCAAATTGCCGGAATTCTCTTCCCTATTGCGTGGTTACGGTAGCAATCGTTTTAGATGTGCCAACAGAAAAATGAAGGCTTCATTTTAGGGCCGTCATATCGTTGTCGACGACTTTTGCCGATGCTCATATTGCCATATGCCAGCGTACTTTTCGGAATTCAAGAAGTGAGTGGGGTGGAATCGAACCCGCGACCCTTCGCGCACCAGCCTAAATCGCAAAACGCATTGACGAAATTACATCGGAGCTTGCGTGTGATACGCGGTATACGCGCGCGCGGCACGATTTCTCTGCGCCCTCCTCACATCACCCACTATCTCGTTGGATTTCAGACTTGCTTCGCTTGGCGAGAAATGCCCGCTGTGCGGCGCCGAGCCGGGCGACACGATTCCGTCGAACGCCAAAGAGTACATCGAGAGCATTTCGATCGACCGTCCCTAAATTATTTATTTTTTTTTGAGTTGCAAAAAAAAATGAGGAATAAAGAAGCATGACCCAATGTCAAGTGGTTGGCGGGAGTACATCTCACATTACCAAATTGACGAAGCTCTTTTTTTTGGGGGGGGGGGGGATTGTTCTGATCAAATAGTCCAAAAATGCGAATTTCGACGTTTTTGAGGTGGAAAAAGCCGGAAAATTGCGTTGAGGATCTCGTCTCGGCAAAAAAAACAAAATTCCATGGTAGATCAAATTTTGAATTAAATTTTTTCCACTTAAAGAGGTAGTGTACGCCTCAAAATTGGATTTCGGTTCACTAGGACCCGTTTAAAAGGAGGGGTGGCTGTGGCAAAAAGAAAAAATGCAAGAGTTCCTGTGGCGGGATGTGAACCTTCGCCACACGATTACTATCACGCGCTCTTACCCACTCCATCTCCACTGATTAAGCGCGACGCAAGCATAATGGAAGTATTGTGGGAAATCTGTGGAACGGAAGCATAATGCTTCCATATAGGAAGCATAATGTAATTCTTAGTGGCTGTGGAAGAAATATGGGACGAATATGGATGGAATGAAAACGGGATGAATATGCTTCCGGTGTTTGCGAGCCGTGGAACGAATATGGATGAAATATGGATAAAATAATCATATATCATTACACATTATACAATTGGCGTCTGGACGGCAGACCAAGACAATTTCTAGAAAAATCAATACAAAAAACTTATGCTATCATATAAACAATGAAAATTTGAAAATTACATGATACACAACATACGAAATTTAGCTTCTACCATTTAATGACTTATGCTACTCAGATTTATGTTAATTCAGTCAACTGTTCCTTACTTTGTTTAAAGATTGCCAACTACAATTTAGTCGTATTAATATATTTTTGCCGGTTTTTCCGAAATTGGCATCGCAAACTACTCACAATTGGCTCCAAACTGGTAGCAGACGCGCGTAGAAGAGGCGTGCCGCAGCATTGCAAAACCGTGCGCCGCTTTGCACAATGCGGCCACGCCTCACATTTTCGAAATTCGTTTTCAAAATTTTTGTCCTTTTGCTTTTTCTCAATGAATTTTCAAGATTTTTTGTTTTTTTTTTTGTCAAAAATTAAAGAATTTTTTTCAAAATTAAAGGAAAAATGTTTTTAAAAAATAAAGGAAAAATTTTCATGTTTATCATTTTCATGTTTATCATCATTCGAAAATTTTAAAATCGATACGATGTTTTCAAATCGTTTCCGACACTTTTAAAATCGAATTTAAATATTTTCTCAATCGAATTGTGTTTAATTTCTCATCGAATCCGTCTTATTTTTATTTACTTTAACATATTTTTTATTATCGCTCGCTTTTTTCTTTTAATAAAACATAATGTTTTGAAATTTTTACAGATGAAGACAAGATCGAGAGTGTTGTCAGATATAACTGAAACTGCTCTAGAAGTCAATAACAAAGAACCAGAAGTCCCTAACATGGAACCAAATTCGCTCGACACTTCAGATCCAGATAGTCCAATTTACTCGCCAACTCAGCAAAAAAATTTTTCTCCACAGTCCTCACAAACAACAAAATCAACGCCAATTCCTAAACCTTCGTACGCGCAATTTGTAAGTTGTTATCATCAAAAATTGGCCTGTTCGACTCCAGAAATGGTTTCAATTAGAAAAATATGCGCAATGAAGTCTTTATAAAGTACTTCCTAAGTTTAAAGCTTGTTGATTATTTGGTTCCAATCAGGGCTGTGCGGCAATGGAATTGCCGATTGCCGAAATTGCCGGTTTTTCAAATTGCCGAAGAAAATTTCGATCGGTAATTTGCCATTAGCCGAATCGCCGAAATTTCCGATTGCCGTACAGCCTTCGTACCAATATCATTCAGTGGCATTTATCTTTTTAAGTGGGGCTCTAGTACAGAAGTCGCCAGACGCCGACTATATAAAGATCCTATACTTTATTGCAAATATCTATATTACAGATGTTCTTATCCATGGCTTTGGGCAACAACCGACAAATGACTTCAAAGCGAAAGCATTACGCATGGTTCGAGAAGTCATGGATAATCTTCTGTAAGATTTTGAGCTATGACTATTAATTTATTTATTTGATTAAGCGATAGAATGCGCCAACGACTTTAAAGGAAATTTGGTGTAGCGCCGGAAGCGCTCGCGGCGCAATTAAGGAAGCTGCTTGATTCTACCAGCAACCCTCAGATGTGAGTATTCATATGTCTTTGAAATTTTAACCAAAATGCCTTTTTGCTTCAAATTTTGGAGTTGTTCTTTCTTCCGCCAATTCACTTTTTATTTTGTGCACTAAAGGGTTTCCAAAAATGCAATAAAAATAAATTATTTTTATTTTTAAGAAAATTATTGATGTAAAAAAAACTGATTGTATTTTCTCGAAAAATTTAGTTTACGTAACAATGGTTTACAAGTTTTTCAAATTAATAGGCCCATTATAATCGAAGTGTAGCGACTAGGAAAAGTGGAGAAAAGGTAAATATTCGATAACGGTTTCTTTCTACAAGCGTATATTTGCGAAAAAAGGATAGGTTAAATGTGCATTAGGACTTTTGCCTAATTTCTTAGCAATAGTTGTTGTTTTTAAAAATATCATAACACGGCTTTTTAACCAAGTGTGAACGATATGAATTCTACTTATTACAGCGTCCCGCTCGATGTCAGTACTGACAATGATTCGAATAGTTCGGCAGTTGCCAGTAACTAATGGTTTGATTATATCTTAATTGAAATTCATTTCATTGTTGTTTTTTTTATTTTAAATTAAATAAATGTGTTAATATGAAATAAATTTTGAATACAGCAATCAAATTGTTTTCTTATTTGCCCATATGGAAGGCATACGGCTCATTCCATATACGAAACACGCGGTTCCGCAAAAAAATGCTTCCATTATGCTTCCATATAACTTGCATATAAGATTCCTATGATATCCACAGCCGTTCCATTATGCTTCCATTGTGCCTATGCTGCCGTTTATCTGTGTCACTGGACCTGCCAACTTTTTCGCCAAGAGGCATATATGCAACCTCTTGCCAAAACGAAGAAATCACCTCGAATTTCCAGACGGCCATAATTCGTCTGAGACCTCAGGCTGGAATTTTGAGAATTTTTTTTGCTGGAATTTTCTTTTCACTCAGAAGACCTTCGAGTTTATGTGTTCAAACAATTCCAAGACGTGAGTTAAAACAAGTTCCCTTGTGAGATTTCTCGTTTACCGTCATCGATAGGTGTCGTCGTGTCAGCGGCTCAAAAACGGCTCATCGACTTGTATGTATGCATAAGCTCGGGTGAGAGGTCACAGAGACACAAGTGGACCCCCCCCCATGCTGTCGAGATTTTCTCACAGCCGCCACTGCTACTCGTCTATGTTTGCATTGTTCGATCACCCAGTCAGCCAGCCCCCCCCCCAGGTCAACTTTTACTGTTTCACACCCATATGGATGTATAGCCGATGACGAGTCGCCGTCTTCTAGTCGTGCTCGTGGTGCTCGCCGAATTGGGCTTCGGCGAGCCGCAAGGATTGCACAGTGTGTTTCCGAGGAACGCCGGTAGGCACCATCATCTTCTTCAGAATCCTCGCCCCCCATCCATCCATCTATCGTTTTTTGCAGAATTGAAGACGATCAACGAGCGTTGCGTCCGGAATTCCGAGTGTCCGTCGGGCGCGTTTTGCCACGTCACGTGTCGATGCAAATCGACGCATGTGCCGATATCGAATCAGTGTTGGAAGAGTGAGACGATTTTGCCTTTAAAAAAAAATTTTTTTTGGTCCAAAATTGCAATTTTTTGGTTCGAAATGTGTGATAAAATAGAGCAATTTTCTAATTTTCAAATTTCAAAAAATCCCAAAAAAATATTCTTCAATCTTCTCCCCCAAAAAAACGCTTTTTTTTCTGAAAATTATTCTGAAAAAATCTTGTGAAAAATTGGTCAAATTTTACGCAGCGCCCATCTTTTTTTTTCATTTTTCCGCCAAATTCGATTTTTTTTGCCCAACGACACTCCACTGTTGACGCATCACCCTCAATTTATTGGAATGTCGCATCAACAAAAAATCATAAATTTTCAAATTTTTGAGCCTCAAAAATTTCAAGAGGAACTTTTTTTTTGAAAAAGCAACGACACTCCGTCATTGACACACCGCCTTCGATTTAGCGTATCAACAAGAACTTGCAATGGTTCAAATTTTTTGGTCTCAGAAAACTAATTAAAAAGAATTATTTGAAAAAAAAAAAAAACGACACTCCGCCGTTGACGCGCTGCCCGCGATTTAGCGCATCAACAAAAATATCATGAATGTTCGAATTTTTGTGCCTAAAAAATTTAAAAAGGAAGCATTTTAAATTAAAAAAAAACAACGACATTCCACTGTTGACGCATCACCCTCAATTTATCGGAATGTCGCATCAACAAAAAATCATAAATTTTCAAATTTTTGGGATTCAAAAATTTCAAGATTTTTTTAATCAACGACACTCCGCCGTTGACGCACCGCCCGCGATTTATTGTTACAACAAAAATCCTCAATTTTCGAATTTTTTGGGTCTCAAAAATTTCAAGATTTTTTTTTAATCAACGACACTCCGTCGTTGACGCACCGCCCGCGATTTATCGTTACAACAAAAATCCTCAATTTTCGAATTTTTTGGGTCTCAAAAATTTCAAGATTTTTTTTAATCAACGACACTCCGCCGTTGACGCACCGCCCGCGATTTATCGTTACAACAAAAATCCTCAATTTTCGAATTTTTGGGTTTCAAAAATTTCAAGATTTTTTTTTAATCAACGACACTCCGTCGTTGACGCACCGCCCGCGATTTATCGTTACAACAAAAATCCTCAATTTTCGAATTTTTTGGGTCTCAAAAATTTCAAGATTTTTTTAATCAACGACACTCCGCCGTTGACGCACCGCCCGCGATTTATCGTTACAACAAAAATCCTCAATTTTCGAATTTTTGGGTTTCAAAAATTTCAAGATTTTTTTTTAATCAACGACACTCCGTCGTTGACGCACCGCCCGCGATTTATCGTTACAACAAAAATCCTCAATTTTCGAATTTTTTGGGTCTCAAAAATTTCAAGATTTTTTTAATCAACGACACTCCGCCGTTGACGCACCGCCCGCGATTTATCGTTACAACAAAAATCCTCAATTTTCGAATTTTTGGGTTTCAAAAATTTCAAGATTTTTTTTTAATCAACGACACTCCGCCGTTGACGCACCGCCCGCGATTTATCGTTACAACAAAAATCCTCAATTTTCGAATTTTTTGGGTCTCAAAAATTTCAAGAGAAAGGATTTTAAATTTAATCAACGACACTCCGCCGTTGACGTGCCGCCCGCGATTTATCGGTAGCGCGTTTTTTTTGCAGAAATCGATCCGGGCGTCGCCGGCTGCACCTATCACGAGCAGTGCGACGCCGTCTGGCCGGGCACCCGCTGCGAGCACGGCGTGTGCCATTGTCAACCGCACGAGAAGCTGGTGCACACGCGCGAGGGCTCCGTGTGCGTGGTGCCGGGCGCGTGTCCGACGAACGGCGTCCACGGTGCGCTGTATGATCGCGCGACGAATCGCGTCTCGACGTGCCTCACGTTCGTCTCGAAGGTAAGACGACGACCCCCCCGCTTCTGAAGCAATCCACGTCGATCGTAGAAGGACAACAGCCAGTTCATCGGATGCGACGAGTACCCGGAGGTGTACGACTGCATCGCCGGCGTCTGCTGCCCGACGCGCGGCCTCACCTGCATTCTTCCGATGAGCGAAGGCGAGCACCTTCTCGGATCCAAGGAGGAGATCCGATGGTACTATGATCCGGTCGTCGGACGTTGCGACTCGTTCAATTATCTTGGCAAAGGCGGCAACTCGAACAACTTCCTCACACAGCTTCAATGCGAGTCCTATTGCATGAATCGTAAGTCCGATCCGACCAGATCCGATCCAATCCAAATCCTGCTGATTGTTTAGGCTGCCCGCGAGGCGATCCCTTGGTCCTATCGAACTCGGAGAACAGCGTTCGCATCAACGCCGACAACTATCATTGCAGCGTCAAGGAGGGCGATCAGCTTCAATGCTGCCCGACGCCGTCATTCATCTGCAGCAGCATGGGCGGCGTCAACGTCGAAGCGCACACGATTCGATCGTTCTCGAACGGATCGCCGCGGCGGATGATCCAGATGATCCATCGGTTGGGTATTCCACCTAGAAGACTCTCGAGACGTTGTCCGATTTCAGCTGGTATTGGGACTCGAGCGGCCACGTGTGCAAACAATTCAAATACTACGGTCAAGGCGGCAACTTCAACAATTTCGAGACGAAAGCCGACTGCACGAAATTCTGCGGTTCGGATTTGTGCGCGCACGGCTCGCCGCTTCGCGATCCCAGCGAGAACGTCCAACGCTGCTCGACGAGCGAGCGTTGTCCCGAGACGCACGAGTGCCGCCACTCGTTCTGCTGCCCGAAACCGTCGACGGTGTGCTCGGTGAGTCTGGCGGCGCGTGACGACGCGTGCGAGCCGCGCGAGTCGCTCCTCAAATGGACGTACTCGCTGGAGCACGGCATGTGCAAAAGTGTGATGGTGAGCTCGTGCCTTCACGGCGACAATCAATTCGAGACGCTCGAAGCGTGCGAATCGGTGTGCGCCTCGATCCAACCCGAACCCAAATGCCCGATCGGTCGCGCGCTTCGCACTCCCGACAATGTCGTTCAACGATGCGCGACGTCGAAGCCGTGCCCGCCGAACTACGAGTGCGTCTACTCGGGAACCAATCACGCGTGCTGCCCGTCTCGCGGTAACCACCATCTCAATTCAACGCCATCAGCGATTTCAGAATACGCTTGTAAGCAATCGATGACCATCGGCACCACGTGCGGCGTCTCGACGCTCCATCGCTGGCACTACGACGCCGGCAAGAACAAATGTGTGAGCTTCGAGTATCTCGGATGCGGCGGAAACGACAACAATTTCGCGACGCGTCTGGACTGCGTCGAAACTTGTCAGAAGTTTGGTGAGCGTGTTTAAAGGCGCAACCAACATTCACCATCAACTTCTCTACAGAATGCGCCGACGGCGGCGATCCGCTCGTCGACTCGACGACCGGCGCGATCATCGAGTGCTCGCGCGACGACGAGGATTGCCCGAGCACACACACGTGCTCGCGAATGCTCTACCAGAATCGCACGGCGTGTTGTCCGAATCGCAAATGGGTGTGCTCGCACGACGCCGACGAGGGCGTCGCGTGCGGCGCGCCGTCGACACGCTTCCACTTCGACGCCGCCACCGAAACGTGCCGCCAATTCGAGTATCTCGGTTGCGGCGGCAATTCGAACAGCTTCTCTTCTCGGGTCGCCTGCTATCAATATTGCCAGAGTTCGTGTAAGTCCAACGATCCTCGCCTCGCCTCCGATTCGTCGAATGTGTTCAGCGTGCGCCTCATCGGAGATCGTCTATCAGCCGTCGAATCTCGACGAGCCGTTCGACTGCTCGCTGAAGCCGTGCCCTCGGCATTTCGCGTGCGTCAAAAGCGTGTGGGACGAGACGCGAAGCGTGTGCTGCGGCAATCCCAACTTCGGCGTCTGCCCGTCGACTCAACATCCGATGATCGACTACAGCAGTCAGCAGCCGATGGTGTGCGCGCCCAACGTCAAAGACTCGTGTCCGCTCGACTTCCAGTGCGTCTACAGCAGCATTCGCGCGTTGTACTTTTGCTGTCGCGACAACACGCGCGTCGGTAATGTGGTACGAATGACATGGTCCCATGAGGTTTTGCAGACAAATGCCTGAAGGGCAGTCGGCCGGAGGTGTGGACGACGACGGCGGAGACGCGCGCGTGCTCTCGGCACTCGCAATGCGGCGACGCGACGCGCTGCTTCGCGCCGGTGCCCTACACGAGCGGCGTGTGTTGCGCCAGCATCGACGCCGTCTGCCCGGCGACGTTCGTCTACGAGGCGGCGAAGTCGGCGCTCGCCGAATGCTCGCCGCTGATGCGCCACAGTTGCGGCGGCGACGGCCAATCGGTGTGCATCTACGCGGAGGCGAAAGCGCGCTTCGTGTGTTGCCGACGCGAGCCGCGAGCGTCGTCGTCGCTCGACAAATGCCCGCCGGGCTCGGTGCCCGAACCGACGCGTCACCACTGCGATCCCGAGCATCCGTGCGCCGCCACACACTTCTGCATGAAGAAGGCCGCCGATCGAAGCGGCATCTGCTGCCGCCATCCGCACCTCAAGCGCACCAATCCGAAACCGAAGGAGGAGCTGGCGAGATGTCCGAACGGCGAGCGAGCGTTCGCCGACGACGACGGCAACCTTCAAGTGTGCGCCGTCGACGCCGACTGCCCGCCGCTTCATTCGGTAAGCGAGATCAACGAAATCGAGATGATTGAGATGTTGTAGTGCGTCTTCCAAAAGGGCCTCACGGCGGTCTGTTGCGGCGTCGACGATCCGTTCACGATATGCGCGTCGGGCGTTCTGCCGACGTCGCGAGTCAAGAAGTGCGCCATGTGCGCCCCAGAGCACACGTGCCATCGCAACTATTGCTGTCCCGCCAATGATTTGGTGTGCTCGCTTCCGCCACCACACCCCATCAATGATAACAGCGGCAAGTTACGGTAAGGGGGGGGGGTGTCGCGATGAGACCAATCATCGCATTCCAGCTACTTCTTCGATTCGGAGACGAACACGTGCCGATCGTTCGTCATCGACGAGGCGGCGCCGCCGCCTCAAAACGCGTTCTCCGATCATTCGGCGTGCATCCGCGCGTGCGTCTACGAGCCGTCGTCGCGACTCGCCGATGACTGCCCGCTGCCCTACACGAATCCCGACGATCATCCCCAATACTGTGTGATTCATCGAAAATCGTGCGACGGTAAGCGAGCATCGTTTCCATTCGTCACACTTCGCCGATTTTTGCAGACAACGAGACATGTGTGCTGAGTCGCGCCGGCGGCGCCTACGTCTGCTGTCGGAAGCCGCCGACGAAAAATCTCGTGTGCGGCGACAACTACCTACCGTAACACGACAACCCACCTACCGTAATCGAATTGATTCTTGTAGGCAATTGGATCGAAACGGCGCGCCGATGCGTTGCGAGACGAGCGCGCAATGCGCCAGCAAAATTTGCGCCAAGTCGTCGACGTCGCCGACGCTGACGATATGCTGCCGACGCGTTCGATTCAAACCCGCCGCGCGCCTCGACGACACCGAACAGCCGATTGCCAACAAATGTGTGACAAGTAATTCGGACCCCGCTTCATTATTATTATTGGGCTCCTCTCCCTTTATTCAGAGCTTTACCCCGGCGAAATTGGGTGCACATCGAATGAGCAATGCGTCGGCTCGACGTGCGTCAACTCGACATGTCGGTGCTCTCAACGAACGGTGTTGTTTCGAAAAATGTGCGGTACGTCGCTAATTAGCCCCCCCCCCCCCTTCATAATTGATTGACTAATTCAGCGTCGTCATGTCCGCCGTTCTACAGAGCGCAAAATGGTGTATGCGTTTAATTAATTTCAATTCATTTTTTTTTTTTGAATTACGGGTGACCATTTATGTGTATAAATTTTTTTTTTTGAAATGTTTTTGAGAAAAAACGACCAAGAAATGATGATTTTATCAACATTGCTACAGTAATTCAAAGGCGCATGACATATTTTTTGTCACAATTTCACGTCTAAAATTTTTGAAGAATTTTGTTTTTTTTTTTTGAAACATAGCAATTTTTGCCTGAAAACACCCATTTTCACACAAAATTGGGGAAAATTCTAGTCTGGTTTTTAGAGAAATTGGGGAATTCAAAGTTTTTGCTCTGAATTCTATATGTCGTCTCAAAATTTGAATGATCGCGCTGAGGGGGGAGACGCAGGTGGCACTCATATGCCTTTCGACCGGCGATTTCCAACGACACCTGTGGCGCAGTGGGGAAGGTGCGCGTTGCAACACAGATGCTCGCGGTTTTGCACCCCACCCCCATCGCGGTGTGAACCTTTTTATTTTTGCTTCCATGTTTTCTCTGTTAATTAAGTCATGGAAAAGATTAGAAATGCGCTCATAAATTTCAATGGATATCGTAGGCCAGCGGGCGCAAATCGAATTCAATTCATAAATCCTTGTTGAATGTCATTGTGCGAGGGACCCAAAAGCGCGGCGTGGAGGGGGGGGGCAGCTTATTCGGCTCATCCATCAAAAATAGTTGGCATTATGAAGAAGAAGAAGAAGAAGGCAGGCATGCCCGGCGAAAACTAATGCTACCGTATGCCGCTCGTGAATGCCAAATAATTTGTTAGGCCGACAGCCGCGAGAATTCCCCAATGAGAAGTCGGCGAGCAAAAAAAAAATTTTTTTTCTCATTGTTTGACGATGAAAAAAAAAGCTTTAGAAGTATTTATCTAGAAGAACAGAAGCAGACATGCAATAAAAATGGCATTTTTTGCGATTTAAAGAATTATATTGATCCATTTTTTTTCGAATTTGCTGAAAATCACCGTAGAATTACGAAGCGCACGACGACGACGACGACAAAGAAGAATAAGATGATGATGTTGATGATGATGAAGCTGAGATTCAATCAATCAATCGCGATTCGGCGAGTTTCGCGGCGAGACCGAACTCGACGGCGTCGTCGATGAGAAGTTGAGCGGCTTCTCCTCCTCTTCCTCCTCCTCCTCCTCCACCACTTCCTCGTCATCCTCGCCGTCGTCTTTGCGAGGATGTTGAGGAATTGGTGTCGGCGCGAATTGAGGAAAGCCGGGGATTGGTGGAGGCATTGGCGAAACCAGGTGTGGCGGAACGCCCGGCGCCCTGAAATTGGCGAACATTTTTCCCGATGGTCCCAATTGTTTTGTCGATTTTCGAATTTGTCAAAATTTGGATTTTTTGGATTTTAATGGTCCCAATTAGTCTAGAATCAATTTTTTCCCGTTTTAAGAAATTTTAGATTTGAAAAAATTTTCAAAAACTAGGTCACGTCAAATTTTTCAAAAATTCCCAGCTCGAAAAATGCAAAAAGCTTGGAAATTGTAAATTTAGAGATTTTCGGATTTTAATGGTCCCTAAAATCAATTAGAAAAATTTCGCAAAAACTAGCTCACATCAAATTTCCTAAAATTCCCAACTAAAAAAAGGAAGAAGCACGAAAATTGTAAAATTTGAAATTTTCGGATTTCAATGGTCCCTGAAATCTATTTTTTCCTAATTTGAGGAAATTTCAGATTTGAAAATTAGGTCCCGTCAAATTTTTCACAAATTTCCAGCTTAAAATAGCAAAAAGCTGAGAAATTGTAAATTTTGAGATTTTCGGATTTAAATGGTCCCTAGAACGAAATTTTCAAACTTTGAAGAAATTTCAAATTTAAAAATTAGGTCCCATCAAATTTTTCACAAATTTCCAGCTTAAATTAGCAAAAAGCTGAAAAATTGTAAATTTTGAGATTTTCGGATTTTAATGGTCCCTAGAATCAAATTTTTCCCAATTTGAAGAAATTTCAGATTTGAAAATTAGGTCCCGTCAAATTTTTCACAAATTTCCAGCTTAAACTAGCAAAAAGCTCGGAAATTGTAAATTTTGAGATTTTCGGATTTAAATGGTCCCAATTCAACATCACCAAGATATTCGGACCCCACAAAATAGACAAAATTTCAAAATTGTCGAATTTTGGTCCCAATTAGTCAAGAAGCGCCCAAAAATCGAATTTCGCAAAAAAAAATTGTGAAAATTTACCAACCCATTGGGCGAGGTGGCGGCGTTTGGCGAATAATTGGCGAATTGGCTCGCCGCCGTCTTCATCCACATCTCATACGCGAACGGGTTCAACATATAAGCGGCCATTTGCGTCGGAAACGGCCACGCGATCCGCTGCCGTTTGTCCTTCATTCGTCGATTCTGAAACCAGACCTGAAAGGCGGATCGTGAATTAGACAAGCGACGCCGGGCGTCACCTTGATGGTGCCCTCGGGCAAATTGAGCTCGTTGGCGAGCTCGCCGCGCGTCTTTCGGCTCACATAGTTCTCTTTGGCGAATTCGCGTTCGAGCCGTCCGATTTGCTCGCGCGAGAACGCCGTCCGATAGCGACGCATTTGGCTATCATCGCGATTATCTGCAATTGTTAATTAGTCGACAACTAGCTAATTAATTAATTAACTAATTAATTCATTGAAAATGGCCGCTCTCGCGCGCAATTAAATTCCAATATTTTTCATTATGCGGCAAAGCGTGTAAAGATGTGCGCAATTCGTATTATTCTAATTGGTGCGCGCACGCGTGTGTGTAGTTTATGACCATTGACACCTGCTTTTCGAATGCCTTTTTGCCTAATTGGGTCTCGCGTGGAATATATTTATGATCGAGCGCCAATTGGTAACATTTTTGGGGCGAATGCGAAACGCGACGAGAATCATGCTATATCGAATACTAGCTGCGGACACATTCGCGGGACACCTCTAGAATGAGCTGCGGACAATTCGCGGGATTTCGCGGCGACACCTTGAGCGAGCTGGATGCTTTTGAATGATACCCTGCATTTCAGGAATTTTAGCTGCGGACAATTCGCGGGATTTCGCGGCGACACTTTGAGCGTGTTGCGGACCATTCAAAGGCAGCATTTTTTTGAATGGTGCCTTGAATTTCAGGAACTCTAGCTGTGGACAATTCACGGGACACCTATAAAATGACCTGTGGACAATTCTCGGGATTTCGCGGCGACACCTTGAGCGAGCTGCGGGCAATTCAAAGGCAGCATTCTTTTGAATGGCGCCTTGCATTTTAGGAATTTTAGCTGCGGACAATTCACGGGATTTTGTGGCTACTTCTTGAGCGAGCTGGATGCTTTTGAATGATACCCTGCATTTCAGGAATTTTAGCTGCAGACAATTTGCGGGATTTCGCGGCGACACCATGAGCGAGCTGCGGACAATTCAAAAAAAAAAAACAATAATTATTGCAAAGTTGAATCGTGTTCTGGATTTCTTCAATATTTGCTGCGGACAATTCACAGGACCCCCCTCTCAATCGAGCTGCCGACAATTCAAAGTCTGCATTCCTTTAAATATGCGCTCTGCATTTCTGGAACTCTAGCTGCGGACAACTCACGGGACACCCAATTTCCGTTGCCAACGCTTCGCGCGCGGTTTCTCGCGTCAATGCTTCAAACCCACCTAGCTGCGGACAATTCACGGGTTTCGAAAATGGTTCCCCCCCCCCCCAAAAAAGAACTTTTGAGCACAATAATAATGAATGAAGGTGGGGGAAGAATTGTAAACGCGTCGACCTTGATCAATCGATGTCGGCTCTTTCATCCAATCATAAAGATAGATATAGGAAAATTGGTGTGACAATCAAAAAAAAAAAAACAAGAGAGAAAGAAAAAAGTTGCGGTGTATACACACACAATTATGTCGTAAATGTAGTGTGTTCTTGCATTTGTTTTACGACATCATCGCACGGGTTGCGAGCGGGCGAGACGCGCACCGCACCTGGCCGCCGCCGCCGCCGTCCTTCCGCTCGCCTCCAACGGATTACGGTAGCCAATTATCGCCTACTGATAACACCAATTTGTGTTGCGAAAAGAGGAACCAGTTTCGACGAGTTTGTACGAGGAAAATTGCGATTATTTCCGCTATGCTCCTTTAAACGGCATGCGCCTTTAAAATCGAACCCCCCCAAAAAAAATGATTGGCGATTTATATTTTTTTCTATTTGATGGGAGTCTGACGCGTGCGAATCGCCATCAATCTCACTCATTTGTCAGTTTCGGTGGGGGGCTCCGCACACACAAATTAGCGCGGACCTAATTAGCATATTGTGGTCCCCAGGACATGACAAGTAATGAGTCGCGTCAATCTCGACGGGGCATTCATTTTTTATTTTTTTATTTTTTTTTGGTTGGCTCAACCCAAAATGAGGGGGCGGCGAGGAGAAAAATGCAAATGCCCGTATCTGCGGACGATTTTCCGGGTTTCGCCGAAATCCCTAAACTTCAATTCGGCTCTCCCAAAATACAATAATTTAAAGGCGCATGATGGAAACAATTTTCGAATGCTTGGATTTTTAAAGGGGGCGCTCAAAAAAAAAAAAAAGAAATTTTTTTCTGGACAGATCGCAAGGCAAAAAAAAGCAATAGAAAAACAAATATTAAAGGCGCATACCGTATGGTGTGTGGCGCGATGATGGCGTCGAAACATGCGGATCATCATAGTCGGAACGCGGTCGAATCGACTGATGCGCCTGAACAATGTCGGCGAGTGTCGGCAGCGATTTTTTGCGATTCTGAAAAAACGAACGAAACCAATCAATTTTGTTGGAGTTCTTCGAAATCGCTTCGAGACCCACCTCGTCGCCAATTAAAGAATCAATGTCGAACGGCTGCATAGCGCTGGTTGAGTTATAATCGAGTATCGTCCGAAATCGGGGGACCCCCCAAAACGCACAACGTTTGAAAGTATGAGAGCGAGTGGGCGGAGCCGAAGAGGAGACGAGACGCCGATTTGACGCGAATACGGTAGCCTAAGCCCCGCCCCCCCACCCCCCTTGCTGGCCGAATCGCGAGAACGAGCCGACTCGTGAATAATTCGAATGAATGAATGAGAGCGAAACAGATACTAATGGAATTTTTTACGATCGTTTAGGCTTTTTGTTTTTTTTTTGTGGCGAAAAAATTTTGGGAAATTGACAGAAATGCAAAAAATTGCATTTTGACGATGGAATTATGCGAAAAATGAAATTTTTTGAGTGAAAAAAATGCAAAAAATGAGATTTTATGGTAAAAATGGGTGAAAAATGAAGTTTTTGCGTAAAAGATTGGGGAAAATTGAATTTTAGAGCAAAAATGTGTGAAAATGAGAATTTTTGGGTAGAAATATGCGAAATATTAAATTTAAGGGTAAAATTATGCGAAAAATTAAATTTTAGGTAAAAAATAAGCGAAAAATGAGATTTTAAAGGAAAAAAATGCGAAAAATGCAATTTTTGTAGAAAATTTAAGAAAAATCGATTTATTGACTAAATATTTGCAAGAAAATTCAATTTTAAGCAGAAAATGCGAAAAAGTGAATTTTTTCATCAAAATTTGTCCAAAAAATGCGAAAAATGCAATTTTTTGTCGAAAAATTAAGAAAAATCGATTTATTGACTAACAATTGGCAAAAAAATTCAATTTTAAGAAGAAAATGCGAAAAAGTGAATTTTTTATATCAAAATGTGTCCAAAAATCGCGAAAAATTCAATTTCAAAGTCGAAAATTCAAGAAAAATAATAAATAATCAAATTTTCGATTAAAATGTGATAAAAATAACTTTTAAATAATAAAAAAAAATAATTTTTTAGGCCAAATCGATTTTTTGTGCAAAATTGTCAAAAAATCAATTTCCTTGTTGAAAATCGACCAAAAAATGCGATTTTTTCACAAAAATTGCAATAAAATTGGGCATTTATGGTTGATTTGTTGTGTGTTTCATTTAACAACCGCCCAATTAATAGTGTACGAGGTGTGATGATAACAATAACGCGCAAAATCGGCACTCCTTTTCCGGTCGTCGTAAAAATCGCGCGTTTAATTACTGTAATTCTCAAATGGTCCCAAGTGGCCTACACATATATGTGTTACACCATAAAATACTGCCCTAGCTTATTGAAAATGGCCCCCCGCATGCACAATGCGCGTGTGTACACAACAAAAAAAGTATCATTAACTTGAATGAGTCATTGATTTGATTGTGTTTCTTTATTTTTCGGCGGCAATACTATGTGATGATGATGAATAATCAATTAATTGCGGTTGGGTGACCCGGATTTGCTAAAAAAAAAAGAAATTTAAAAAAAATTATTGTTGAGGGACGCGGGCGGCATTTATACGGCGTTCGCCCCTCCGGCGCTCGAACCTCCGGAGGTTCCGGTGGCGCAGTGGCGATGTTGCGCGTGTTCTAGGAAAACTGTGGCGGGCTCGCTGCCGCATGCCCTGCGAGTTTTTGCAGTTGACACCTTGATTGCGCAATCAGCGGTAATTGTGGACGACAACAAACGGCGATAAGCAGCCGTCGCGCAACTTTGTCTCGCGATTGTTTTTATTTTTTTTATTTACAATCCCGGCTGTAAACTTGTGCACAAAGGCGAGCCGGCGTGCGAGTGTGCCAAGAAACCGACACGCGCATAAACATATTAGCACACGGACAGGGAGGAGGGGGGGGGACCATCTTGTCTTGTCTCGTGTGTCCTTCAAGTGACTGATTGGCCCCTTTTGGTTGGGCTCTCAAGTACACCCAATGGCTGAGATTTGCATATTAGGTCTTTCATTTCAATTTCAACTTGTTTGATGTTAACACTTTTGGCGAGAAGGGGCCAGCGAAACCCGGAAGATTGTCCGTAGATGGAATTTTTCAATTGTAGGGACGACTGGAAGAGGTTTCAAAGAAAAATCGCAAGTTTTCTTTAATTTCTAGTCATTGAGTTCTTTTGAGGTTTTTTCGTCTTTTTTTGGGAAATTATCACATTTTTTTAAATTCGTTATGACTAAATTTCAAATTAATGCGAAAAATCAGAATTTTTGACAAAAAAAAAATCTTGAAAATTCCAGAAATCACGAATTTGAAACGATTTCAGCAACTGGAAGATGATGGTTTTCGTTGTCGACGTCGGGATTCGTCAAATATCGTTCCTGTTCATCGATGGAAAGCGTTTGACCTTCAATTTTTAAGCAATTTTCGACAAAACTTTTATTACAATGCTTCATTTTACAGTTTACGCGTATAAATCTTTTTTTTTTCAATAAAAAGCTTCTTACCTATACAATTCGACCAATAACTTAAAAAAAATGGAAATTACAATTTAAAAAAAAATGGGAAAAAATTTCCACTGAAGCAATTGCGTGCGGACGGTTTGCAAAGCCACGCGCCGCACACTGCCAACGCGGGCCACGCCCACATTTTTTTTTTCGAATTTTCTTTTTAACTCGCGTTTTGTTGAGATTTTCTCGAAGTTTTTCATGTTAAACACGCCGAAAAATCGTGAAAATATCGCTGAACACCAACTTCTTTGATTTCCCGCCTAAAATTTATTGAATTTCTCTTCAGAAATATGGACGAACACGACGACGAAATCTCGCTGACCTCGCTGTTCGATTCGGCGCACAAATTTGTCAGCGATATTGAGAGCGGCGCGTTCACGACGCCCGAAATTCAGCCGAGGCTCGCCGAAAATATTGCGAATTTGGAAACGCTGACGATTCTCGTCAACAAATTGGGATTGTTCTCATCGAACGAGCTGGTTTGGGCGATTTTCGCTTTTTTTGTTGAATTTTTGTTTTGATTTAGATTGATGACGTGCCGACGGCATCACTGCGATATCTTCTGATTCCCTGCTACCTCGGCGTCCTTCATCAGAATACGATGGCGGAGCCGAAGACGAGGCTCGATGCGTTGAGGAAAAGCAAAATCTACTATCGAAATTTTCTCGAACGCCTCCGCAATCTCGGCCTCATCGACTATCGCCTTCCGTGGGTTCTCGACGAGGAGGAGGCGAAAAACGTGATGAAGTTGACAGCCGAGGAAAATCGACGCCAGAAGCTGGAACGACATCGGAAGAAGAAGGAGCTGAAGGAGTGCGAATCGCAGCTATGCAAGCAGCTTCAAGCAATGTCCGTCGACGAGGGAAATGTGGTAATTTTTCCATTGCGCTACGACCAAAAATGAGCGTTATTTGAAAATTTAGAGGGATCTCTACCTGACTCAACTACGCTACTGGATCGAGAAGGCGTTCGAGGAGCTTCAATCGATCGATGAGGAGCTGCCGTTGCTCAAAATGATTGTCAGAGGAGCGACACGACCGGATCCGCCGAAACAGCCAACAAGAGGTAAATAAAGGAGGCCACTCCAATGTGCAAAAATGCTGCTGAAATTTGAAAATCTGAAAATCCCTAAGCTTTTTCTTCGTGGATTCTGCAAGAAATGCCGATTTTCAGCACCGATGAAGCCATTTGTGATCACGAGAGATGCTCAGCAGAAGGCTGTGTTCGGTCTAGGCTACCCAAGCATTCCGACGATGACCGTCGATGAATGGTATCAAGAGAAGTTTGGATGTCACGGAGGTCCGGCATCGGCGAGCCAACCCTCAGCAGCAGCAGCAGCAGCAGAAGGTTCGGATCATTCGGATGGCGAGGATGAGGATGCGAAACGAGCGCGCCTAATGCAATGGGATGAATACAAGGACACCCATCGGCGAGGATGGGGAAATACGCATAATAAAGGATAAACCTATGTGTATGTGTAAATAAATGATTTTCGCGAAAAAATTTTTTTCGACGTCAATTTTTTGTGTGGTTTTTGAAACTATTGAATATTTCAATGTGCTTTTCTTTTGAAAAAAAAAATAATAATCCCACTATGGACCTAGAAAAATGTCGTTTCGGAAACGTCGCAATGAGTCGGACGAGGAATCGGATGAGGATTGCGATTTGCCGATTCGTCGCGATGATGAGGATCCGGTATGCATTCTTTTTTTGAGGGCATGACGAGAGAGAATTCGATTTAGAGCGACGGACCATCGAACGCGAAAAAATCGAGGAATTTGTGGTCCGATATGCTTGTCGAGGAGCAACTTCTCAAAGAGGGCAAAAAGTTGGAGCTTGACAAGCCGCACACGAAGAAGAAGGTTGGTGGAAGTTTTTTGGTCTAATTTTCGACATTATTATTTTTACTTTTCTGCTTTTTTTGGAAAAAACGCACTAAATGGGCACCAATATGAATTATTCTCGAATTTTTACGCGATTTAAAGGCGCATAGTACAATGGAGATTTCGCGTCGAGACCAACGGCGCAATTCTTTTTTCGAAATTCATCAATATTGCGAATTTGTATAATTTCTGGTCTCGAAGCGAAAATCAACTCAAAACCTCGTTCAGAGGTCTCGAGGCGGAAATTGTGATTTTTAGAGATGGGGAAAAAAAGTTTAGAAATTTTATTTCTTTTGGTCTCGAAGCGAATATGACAATTTTCTTGTGAATCGACACCAAAATGAAATATTCTGGGATTTCTTTTAAAGGCGCATTGTATTCGCGTCGAGAGGCGCATGAATGAATAGCTCGAACCGTTTTTTTTTTTGCAGACGACAATCCATCGTGGTCCCGAATCGTACGTGATGCCGAAAGATGAGCGAAACGCGAAGAAGCAAGCCGACGCGGAAGCGGCCGAATGTCGTCACGAGACGCCGGCCAGCGATGATCCGTTCGGCGACACGCCGGACGCGCCGAGCGAGAATTTCGGCGTGAAGAAGGCCGATGAGAAGGCGAGACGATCGCATGATGGCTGGTGGACGAAGCCGGGACACGCGCGAAATTTCGGCGGCCGCGGCGGTGGCCATCACCATCCGCACAACAAATGGCATCCGACGGTATTTCGTTTTTTTTTTTCAACGGACCATTCATAATTTGACGTTGGTCTGTTTGCAGAAAACGTCGGCACTACTCGCGCCCGAATATAGTCTTGAGAGTTTGCTGTCGGCCGAATTCATGGAGGGCCTACCATTGGCGCAGCTCGGCGAGCAGATGGCTCGCGTACTCGGCGAAAAAGAGCCGGCGACGATCTCGAAGATTGTCGAGGCGATTGGTGAGGCGAACGCGCGCAAACTGTTCGAGAAGACGCGCGAGACGGAGAAGAATGGCGGAATGATGGTGGGTGTGGTGGAAAAAAAAACCCATGGCGCAATGATGGTGTTGTTGCAGACCAAAGATGGTAGTCGTCGTCGTACGCCCGGCGGCGTCATGATATTGTATTTTCGCGAGGATCCCGACGTCGCCGACGATGTCAAAGACGCGATTTTCGGCGACATGCGCAATAATGTGAAGGAGCATCGAAAGCAGAGTCGAAAACGCGCGCACGACTTCAACACCAAACTTGAAGATGTGGGGAATTTTTGATTTTTTGATGATCAACGCAAATTCTTATGCGCCTTTAAATTTCGGCCTTTGAGTCCTTTTTCGCTGATGATTGTCAATTTCGAACCCAAGAAGCTCATGTGCCTTTAAATTTTGATCTTTGAATCCTTTTTCGCTGAAAATTGTCAATTTCGAACCCAAGAAGCTCATGCGTCTTTAAAATTTGATATTTAAGTCATTTTTTCGCTGAAGATTGTCAATTTTGGGCGAAATCAGTCTATGTGCCTTTAAAATTCGGCTTTTGGGTCTTTTTTCGCTGAAGATTGTCAATTTCGAACCAATGTGCCTTTAAACGGAATTTCGCTGTGAGACCCTCCGTTCGAGACCAAAAAAAAAAAGAAATTGTTCAATCAATATTCAAATTGTAAAATATGATTTGCTCAAGAAGGCTTAATTCAATGATATTGCTTGAAAAATTCCATATGAGACCCGAATGACAACTATTGGCATGTGCCTTTAAATAAAACTAAAAAAAATAAGTGAATTTGCTAGGTTTTTTAATGCTGAAAACTGTCGGAATTACCTCGAAAAAGAAATACGTAGTAAATTGTTAGATTAATGTCCTAATGTGCCTTTAAATAGTCAATTTTTTAAATTAAAATTTGCAGATGAAACGAGTAATGGAAGGCGCGGCGGCTGTCGAAAAGAAGGCTGATGGAAGCGAAAAAATTGAAGACGGTGAAGACGTTGAGAGAAAAACGAAAGAGGAAATGGAGACGAACTAAATTGCTCTCAACTCTTCAAAAAAAATATACAATTTATGGTACTGTGCAGATTTTGCAAAAAAAAAAATTCGAATCAAACCTACAGTATCCACAAAAATCGCTTCAAGAGCCATGAAATAATTATCGCATGCGCCTTTAATCTGAAGGATTTCCATTTATCAAAACCGACGTTTTCCTTTCCTATTACGTTTAAAGGCGCATATACTTAAATTGTATTAAAATTCTTGAGGAATACTGTGATACGGTAGGGTTTGGAAAACGTGGCCGTGGCCGAATTTTTCTGCTACATCTGCACGGTACCATTCTATAATATAACTGTATGATGTTTTCTTTGTTTTTGTGTTGTCTATTTCTCGGTTTTGTGAGACGGGTGCTCTCTCTCTCTCTCTCTCTCTCTCTCGTTTTCCGTTGTCTTTTTTTCTTCTCTCTCTTGTCTTGACGCGAAATTTGATATGGATTTCACCTAATAATTGAAATGAATGCAATTTTTGGCGGAAATTCGAGCCAATTATCGGCAGTATATATATAGAAATGTATACATCGAAGGCAAATCGGGGTCATTGTTGTTTTCGTTCTTCTTCTTCTTCATCTTCTTCTTCTTCTCATATCCGATGCGACGCGACCTTGACACCCCCCGCAAAAAAGCTTTTCCCTTATCACTATTATCCATATCCAGCTGACACGATGCGATTTCACTAGTTTCTAGGTCAATGGACTTTGACGCGAAGAAGCTCGACGAGGCGCGCAAACAGAAGATTCGGTATGACGTCGATTCGACGAGATCATCACAAACACACACACACGATGTCATTTTACAGATGGGAGAACTGGAAGCGCAACGAGATCGAGGCGAAGCAGCGCGGTCTCGAATTCAAAATGTACTGGGAGAAGCGGCACGCCGAGGATCGCGAGTTGTGGAGACTCAAGGTGAACGTCTCACGACGGCGCACCGCAAACGATGCTTGTTCAGGATTTCGCCAACGCCGTCGACAAGGCGAGCCGCGCCGGCTACACCGGCAAACACGGCGAGTTCGACGTGCCGCCGGAACGCTTCGAGGATCTCGACGCGCTCTACATGCAGGCGACGATCGGCGACTACGGTAAATCTGTGTCGGCCGACGACCGGCGTCACTTGATCGAATGTTGCAGACGGCAACACGTCGATGGCGTGCAGTCAGAAGTGGAAGAAGCTTCACGGGATGGCGACGGTCGAGGCGATTCGCGAGTTCATCAAATTGACGAACGCGACGCTCACCAAGTACGGCTGGAATCCGCCGGAAGGATGGGTCTGAATCGTACGATGAAATGAATAAAGCACTTTTTATTTTCGACACGTGTTGCAAGTGCGCTCCGACGCATTTTGATCTACTAATCAACATTCTTGCTGTTGTTGAGTTCGCCTTTTTGTTGGATTTGGTAGATCAAATACTCAATTTCGATTTTTGCTGGTTTGCCAAACGCGCTCTGTCGAGAATCTAGTAGATCAAAAAAAAGTACGTCCCCCATTTTTTGCAGAATTTTTAGTTTGTGACACTTAAATCCTCCAGCATAAATATAGTGTTGCAAACGCGCTCTATGGAGAATCTAGTAGATGGCACAATTTCATATTCTTCATGGCGATGAGACGATCCCTCTGTCGTTGCAATCGCGCTCCATTGAACTCGAATCGTGATCTGCTAGACATTAGCAGCTCAACCTATTTAAGTTTGCAAAACGCGCTCAATTGAGAATCTAGTAGATCAAAACTTTATCGCTTCAATTTGTCAAGCTTGGCGATTTGCAAAACGCGCTCTATTGCAAATCGGGTAGATCAAATTTGAAGTTATTCGATTTTCGCTCGCTATTGAGAAGCTAGTAAATCGAAAATCAACCCTTCACATCGAAATTGTCTGGTCCCAGCTAGCATCACAAATAAAGGTGGTCCCATAGCCATAAAATGAAAAGGGGGGGGGAGGTAACAGTTTGATTGTTGATCTCATCGGTGGGGGGTCGATGCCAGACACCCGCCGCACCCACATTTACTGACAGCCGAGGTGTTCTCTCTCTCTCTCTCTCTCTCTCTCTCTCTGTCTGAATGTCGAAATATTTGCACGTGTCGGAATCGGTGCGTCCGTCCGTCCGTCCGTCCATCCACCAATTCGCTCCTCGCTATCGATATCCGATCTCCGACGACAAATCCGACGATACCCGAGATCGAACGTACTTGTATACATAGAGGCGAGGAATGAATGTCCCCGATTTTTGAAAAAAGAAAAAGAAGAAGAGAGACTCCCCCCAAGCGCTCAACGGCGGCCGCCGCCGAACGGCCGAGACACACTTTTTGCGACATTCCTTTTTTTTTTTTGATGATCAGGGGCGGCCGACGAATTCCCATTCAATTGCCCATTCGACCGTGGGATTTTTGACCTTTTACGAGTCGACGCGTCGAGCGTTGGAGGTGGAGATCGTCTAGGCAGTGCGGCTTCTTCTACATGACGAAATGCCCGTCAGCGTTTTCGGGTTTGACGCGATTTCTGAAATTCCGATACACCGCAGGACTACTTTTTAAAAATTCACTATGATTCTCTTTATACAAAATCCATCCATTAAGTATGACCGTGGCCGAAGCTATTTTTCTGGAAAATATTTCTAGGCCGCATCAGCGCTGCGGCGAGCCAAGGCTCGAAATTCATATATTCCAAATTAGTGGGAATACGCGTGGAGGTCACGTATACCGCGCGCAAATCGGGAGCGTTGGTGTCACGCGTGGTGAGGTGGAATGCTTTTCCGCTCGCGCGTTTTGCCATCGGGGTTCGAGTCCACCCCACGCTTTCTTGCCTGCTTTGCTTGGCAAATTTCTAATGGTTGCTTTTTGACGCTTTTTAAGAAGCTCACAAATTCATGATTTCTCATTTTTTTCTTCTCGTTCTTTTTTTTGAATGCGACCCCAAAAATTGGGGGGAAGAGGGCGACACGAGGAGGCGATATTTGTGCAACATTATGCACAAAAGGCACACCGGAAGAGTCATCACATTGGCCTTTTGATGAATCATTCGACGACAACACAAAAAGGTGAGCCGACCGGTCAACGAGCACCGGCTACCGTAATCGTCAAAAAAAATGGTTAAGGGGGGGGGGTCCTAAGACAATTTTTGACACCAATTTAAAGGCGCACACAATTCTACCGTATCTCGATGGCGTGTCCCATCATCTTATCGCGATGGCCGATCTTCCAATGCGCCTTTAAACGCGCATTTTCAACACTGCGGTCAGCCAATGCGAGATCTTGATCGCGCCACTATGAGCCCCCCCCCCCTCTGGGGGAGGGGGGGGGACCGATTCCAGATGTGTGTCAGCAGATAGTCAAAAACGGGGAAGAACACGAAAAAAATCGTTTTGGGTTGAATAGCGTTGTGTTGGGCTTGACACGAGAGATCGCCAAAGATGGAGATAGAGAGACTAGAAGGTGAGGGGGGGGCTGTCGATTCATCATCATATCGTCGGCCATTTTTGCCGCCGCCTCGACCCCTCCTCACCTCAAATGCGACTCCGCCCACATTATTGCGGGGGGGGAGACGATCGACATGGTGAGGGCGGCCGGCCGGGTGGGGCCTGTCGATGCAGACGGCTGTCCGCAACGCCGCGGACACCATCATCATCATCACGACGACGACGACGACAATCAGAAGTGTGCGCGCGGCGCCGTTGAGAGAGGAGCTCGACGACGAGCAGCAACGCGATTTCGAGTTCATTCGGGTAAGCGCCATCATCTGCCGACGCTGCCGCGGGTTTCGCCTACATGATGGTGGGCGAGCAATAAGCGGTCGAAACGCCTTGACATTGGCGGTGGCGTGAACAAAAAAAACCGGCTTTCGTTTTTTTTTTTTTGAAATTTCCCCCCTCCCTGACGAAGCTAACCCCGTAAATTGTCGGCAGATGAGAATTTGTAAAGCGCGTTCAATATGCTCGCTGATTGGCTAGTGGCGAAACCCGTGAAATGTCGGCAGCTGGAAGTTTTCTTCTTCAAATGCGCACTAGATTTCTGTTGAAGTGAAACCCGCGAAATGTCCGCAGCTGGGATTTCTCAAAAGAGCGCGCGTCGCGAAATATTTTTAAGACGCGCAAAATAATTGAAGAGCTCTTTTTTTTTGTTTAACACCGCTATTCATTTTTTTTTCTGATCTACTTCACCTGAAAGTCGCATTAAATTGCCTCGGCCAACGATATCGCCAATTTTGATCTACCATCATTTAACCCCGAAAAATTTCCTCGCGCGAGAGAGAAAGACCGAGGATTTTCACTTTTTCGCTCGTATCCCTTTTTATTTTCGCACTTTTCGTCTTCAAAACCCCCGATACGGTAGACCGTCGGATGTTGCGCAATTTTCCCACTCCAAACGCCTCCCGGAATATGATTTTCGTCGTAAACAATGAATTATTGAAGAACGCCGAGGCGGAGGAATGATCATGAGGCTTCGGGTTACGGTAGCGCAAAGTACAGTAATCCCCCCCGGGATAGATGGCCTCCGACACAAGAGATGAATGAATTTGTCCTATATTTGGACGGCCGAATCTCATGATTCGCTGCCGATTTTCGAATTGATTTATGAAACGCTATATCCGCGCAAAGTTTTTTTTTCTCGGGATCAATTCGCGGGATTTTTGATCTACGCCCCCCCAAAAAAAAAATGAGACATACGCCTTTAAACGATTGTTTTTCATTGTCAATTTTTTGTTTGCAGAAACAACTCGAACAGTATGGCTATTTGCGCGGAAATCCGACGCTTCACGAGTTTGGCGACTCGCTGCGCAACTTTCAGGCGGTGCTCGGCGTTGAGCCGACCGGCGAACTCGACAAGGCGACGATTGAGGCGGCGACGCGGCCGCGTTGCGCTCACGCCGACATTCGCGCCACGCCGAGCGGCGGACGAATCAAGCGATTCTGTAAGTGGGCCCATCTCGCCGTGATTGATGGCTTTTGATTTGAAGCGCTCTCGAAACAGGCGAAATGGGATCGCAAGCATTTCACCGGACACAACGAGCTGACATTGAAATGGTTCATCTCGTCGTACACGCACGACATCGATCGGCATATCGTCAAGTGAGAGCAATTGTGAAAAATTGACGATTTTAGGCTTGCAATTGTGCAAAACGTGTACTGTAGTTGAAAATGTGTGCACGGTGCTACACACTTTTTGAATTACAGTACCAATTGTTGACAATTCTCGATTTTTTATTTAAAAAATTTCATATTTTTTCATATTTTTGAAATTTTGCTGAAATTTAGCAAAGAATAATTAAGAAATTGTTTTTTAATCAAAATTTGTGCTGGAATTTGGAATATTTTAGATTAGACAGCGATAAATTTGAAAATAATTTTAGGCCGAAAAAATCAAATTTCTTTTATTATTCAAAAGCTTGAAAATTTAAAGTTTTTTTCCATTTTTTTCTTCTATAACTTCGTTGATTTAAATATTCAGCTAATTGCAGAAGCGTTGTTCGCAAAGCATTCAATCTCTGGGCGACGCAAAGCAACGCCAAATCGTCGCACAAGAAAATCGCTCTCAAATTCGTCGAAGCCGCTTCGAAAGACGACGCCGATATCAACATTCTATGGGCTGAAGGCGCCCATGGCGATAACTATGATGTAGGTCAAAACTTGCCGAGAAACTGGAAATCGGTTTCGCGTTAATCGAACAACTACATTTTTTTTCTTGCTGTTATAACGATGCGATGTTGGCGATGACTGTCCGGTCATAACGGGATATTAATGATAATGAACACGATTTTCAAGATCCGCCACATGATCGGTTTTTCGAGAATCCTCTCGACGGCGAATAATTTGTTTTCACATCCGTTTTTGCAGTTCGACGGCGCCAATGGAAGTGTCGGCGAGAACAATCGGAATGAGAACGTGCTGGCTCACACCTTCTTTCCGGGATTCGACTATCCGCTGAACGGCGACATCCATTTCGACGACGCCGAGGTTTGGGTGGTCGACGCGTCGACAGCGACAGAGGAGAACGGCCGCCGATTTTTCCCGTACGTGCTGGCTCACGAAATCGGGCACACGCTTGGCCTACAGCACAGTCTCAAATCGAACGCGCTGATGTATCCGTATTACAAAAATGTGCCTTTGGATAAGGTCCAACTCGACATCGATGATCAGTGCAGCATCAGCATGAACTACATCGGACCATCGCAATATTGCATATTCGTTTGGGTGATGACGGAGGTCGTCGAGCCGCACAATCTCGCCCTTACGAATAAGGAAAATTATGATAATAATAGCATCAACAATAACAATAATAATCAGCAGCAGAAATTATTAAAAGGTGAGTGATTTTTTTATTGTCGGAAAATCAAATTCATCTCGCATCTCATGTCATTTGCACGATAAAAATCGCGCTCAAAAATTGATACAAGTATCTTTTTCGCGCATCATTTTCATTCGCATTTCCCGCAACCCACGCACTCGAAATCACCCGCCAAAAATATCGACGACGTCACAAATTTCCCTCGGCCTTCTTCATCAAATTCGCCGCGATTGGCTGTTTATTTTGGCGCGGCAGAGAGAGAGGGGGGATTGGTTTTAACCATGCGTATACATATAGTATAGATATGAATGATATAGGAAGGAAGTTATTGTGTTTGGTTGGCGCTCGATTGCGATCAAGATCAATATCGATCATTAAAAAAAAGTCGAAATGAGAATTTGGGTTTTTTAGGCACACGGCTGCCGAAATGCACATCGGGCCCGGACAAGATCCGATTGATGATCGAGGAGAAGCTCGCGAAACAATTGCATTTGTCGTCGATTGAGGTTAAAAGATACAGTAAGATTTGTGTCAAACGAGTGGACCATTTTGATTTTCTAACATTTTGTTTTCAGCCGAAGCTTCGTGCAACTTTCTCGCCGGCCTTCATATGTATCGAGCGTCGAATGGATACTCGTCATCGGACTCGATTGAGAAGGAGTTCAACGGGGTGATGCACGAGGTGTCGTCGTTCGCCGGCACGCTGTCGGTTCGACGGATGCTCAGGCACGTTGAGCAGAAGACGAGGGAATTGGAAATTTTTGGTAAGCGGACAAAATTTTCGCCGAAAATGCTGAGATTTTTGTCGATTTGCAAAAAAAAACCAATGACATTTTAAAATTTATGGAGGAAATTTTAAATTTTTTGACGGAATTTTGCAATTTTGAAGTTAAAAATATTGAAAATCGAGGGAAAACGAATTTTTGTCGATATTGATATTGAAAAATTTTGGATTTTTGCATCATTTTTACCCGAATTTCGCGATTTTGATGCTAAAAAATGATGAAAATCGAATTGAAACGATTTTTAGCCAATATTATAATAAAAATAAGGAAAAAAAAACGAAAAATTTTGAATTTTATTTTTGAGAAAAATCCAAGAAAATAATTTAACATTGATTCTCAAGCCATTTTGGTGAAAATCTTCCAACTCTTTTAAATTTATAATTCCCCATTTTTCTTGCAGACGCCAAATTCTTCGACAAATCGTTTTTCGACAAATTCTTCTCGAACTACTACAGTAATTAGCCACGTCATTTGCGAGCAGCAACCGAATTTTGTTTCCGTTTTGTTTTTTCCTCTGTTTCCTCCCTCCCCCAATCATTTTTGTTGTTTCTCCGGATTAGTCAGCGCACGTAGTTGTTGTAGGACTATTTATTTCTCATTCTTCTAAAATCGCATGGGGCCAACGGTTGTACTACCGGACGCCCGGCGAGACCCAAAGAAGATCCTAACCATTTTTGTTTTTGTCGCCCGCACTCGTTCGCCAAAGAATTCAGAAGCCACCCCCCATCCATCTCCGCTCCCACCATGTATGTAAAGAGTTCCATCGTGCAATTCGCATCATGTTTAGCCTCCCTCGGTTAGCCGCACTCCCAAATTTCATTAATTTATTTCGTTTTCTTGTAAAAAGCGCCACTTTATTTCGTACTAGATTTAGACATTTTGACCCCCCCAACCCCATCCCCATCTACCCTAACAGATCTCGTCTTTTTCTTGTTCGTGTTTGTGTATTTGTGTGTGTGTTTGTGCGTGTTGTGTGTGTGTGTGCAATTTCGTTTCGAATTTTTTTTTTGGCCGAAACATCTCTTCCTCATTTTTACATATTTGGGTTCAATTTTCTCGGGAATTTCAGCACAATTTTGTCAAAACGTTTCGTTTTGTGGGTTTTTTTTCTTTTCATTCTTCCGCATGTATCATGGACGATTTTTTTTCTGTCTAGCATTCTTATAAAATGCGTTACAAATAGATTGCATGAGCCGCAAGAGCCGCAACGCGTACGCGACGCGCTCGACTCTATTCCGAGTGCGCGCGTCCCCAGATCAATTGGCCTTCTAACGACCCATCCTTGTGGATTACTGTACCTACAGTAGCCTATTCATAATTTTTTTTGCGTAACTATCCAGTTTTCGATTTGCTCGAATCTCGCCCAACAAATTAAAATCGAAACCAAAACCGCGGTGCGATAACATCGAAGCGACGTGCCACAAATGAGTGAAGGCCGCGACGACGTTGGTGTTGAAATTGCGATGGTCGATTTAAAGGCGCGTTGAGTCGTTGACAACTTGCTCGGCCTTATGTTGACGAGATTGCAGCGAGATTTTAAAGGCGCATTGGGTCATCGAAAAATTGCTTGCTTCAAGCTCCCCCTAATAAAAAAATGTTAAAGGCACATTGAAAAAAAAAAATGGAATTAATCCGAATTTATAGCAATTATCGAATTTAAAGGAGCACGCGCTGTTAGCTCGCTTTAATTTTTTGATTTCAACGCACTATAGGTGGGGAAATTTAAAGGCGCATTGCAGCAAAATCGAATTGTTCAAGAATTAATTTCTTAAGCTCCGCCCACTTTTCTTCGCGGTAAATCGAATTTAAAGAGCCATTGTAGTATGCTGCTCCGCCCACTTTTTGTCGAGCTTACGATACTAGATGAGATTTAAAGGCGCATTGAGCTGTGAGTGTTTTACGAGCATACTGTAGAAGGCAACGTTTAAAGGCGCATAGAAATCATGTGCAAAATTATCGAGTTCCGCTAGAATTTTTTTCGAGCCTACTGTAATCGAATTTAAAGGCGCACCGACCACTACGAGAGCAATACAGTAAGCTAGTGCAATATTTTTTCTGGCGCCTACTTTTGAAGGTGAAATTTAAAGGCGCATAGAAGTCACATTCGAAATCATAGAATTTGACCATCATTTTTTTTCAAGCCTACCGTAATCGAATTTAAAGGCACATCAATCCAGCGAATATGTCGAAAAAGAGCAATATCATACATATATATATATATATATATTTATATTAAGTTGAAAGAGAAGAAGGGGAAGAAGAGGGGAAGGGGAGGGGAAATAAAATAAAAATCGACGTCTATTAATGGTGGCAGTGGTTTGAAATATTCAGTGAAAATAATTTGGGGCGGTTGTGGTTTTTTTTTGTTGAGCACAATTTCGAGATACAAAAAAAGAAATTTGGGGGGGGGGGTCGGAAATTTGTTTCTCTTTCTGAGCTTCGGGACTATACTTCTATCAATTTGGGTCATATATAGCACCTTTTCTGAACGAATTTCTTGACAATTTGAAAGAATTTTGCTGAAAACGAAAACGAACTGAAACTACGACGATTAGAGACAGAAAATCATTGGGGGGGGGATAATTTTAAATTCGAAATAAGCACCGTTTAAATGGCAGTGATGAATTTAGGCACTGGTTTAGCGGCCCGATGAGTGCTCCTCCTTGTAGCTTCGATGGTATTTCTCCTCAACTACCTCGCCACCGGATTGGCCGCCGCTTTCTGCAAGAAAAAACGATATAATTACATTTTTTCAAATTGTGGGTACTGTAGCGCGGGATTTGTGCACGCGTGTTTGCACACTTGCGCCCAAGCCTACGCGCAAAAAATAAATTCGCCGCGTTTAAATTTTTCTTTTCACTCACCAACATTACTAGTTGATGTCGAGAACTTCTTCAGACGTTCAATGGTACGATCAAATGGCTCCGAAACGATATCGATCAGCTCGTCGGCCCATTTTCCGGATGAATCGTCTAGAAAAGAGAACGCGGAATTATTAATTTTTTGATAATCGGAAAAAAAGCGCGTGAGTTTGAGAAAAGTGAGAAATCGCATTCGGTATTAATTTTTTCAGTTTGCAAAAAAAAACCACCATGCATACTTTTCGTCGTCGGATATGGAACCTTGGCGGTCGTCGCCGCGGCTCCAGAAGCCGTCGCCGCCGACGTCGAGCCCTCGTGTTGCACATTGCGCGTCGACGATGATTGATAAGTATCTAAAATCAGAGGATTCCCGTGCAAACACCATCAATGGGTTTTTTTTCGCTAGGCAAACCATAATCATAATTCGAGTATCCTCTCGCCTTGGATCGCACAGTGTCATAGGCGTTGGTGTCGGACGTGTAGCCGGCGGCGGTTCTCGGCGTCGCGCCGCGCACATCGGGACTTCGGCTCAGCGTGTCGAGCTCCTTCTGGAGTGTCTGAAGCGCGTCGCGTCGCGCGTGCGGCGTCGATGGTCCCGGACGCGAGCCGTCGAGAAGCGTCTGACTCGCGTAGCGTCGCGGGCTGCCGACGTCGCTTCGCGATCGATAGTTGTAGCGTTTCGCGTAGGTGTCGGTTCCCGTCGCCGACGCTTCTTGAGCGGCGCGCGAGAGGTACGACGAGCCGGCGTGCGACATGTGATGGCGCGAGCGGCTCAGTGTGCCGCCGGTTTGAAGGTACGATGATGATTGATGCATTGCTTCTAAAAGAGTTAAGGGTAGAGAAGAGAGAAGAGGACGCCCACACAAAGTCAGTCGCATTCCAGAAGAAATGGGGATTACGGGGGGAAACGCTCACCTCGATTAGCAGCTAGTGCTGATGCTGAAAGCGATCTTCTGTTTCGGCTCAGCGAGTTGTAGCCTTCCTCAGCATCATGCTTCAAGTAATCTCCCGGCTGTAATGCTCTCTATGTGATGCTCTCTATGTGAATTCTTACCGTGTAATGTCTTCTTAAGGTGCTTCGTCGCGACGTGCTTCCGATCTCCTCGAGCTCTTGCGCCAATTGGGCGCCGGTCGACGAGAACGCGGCGCCTTCGGGCTGCTGATTGTAGACGTGATAGATTTTCGTCGAATGGATCTCGTCGCCTTTCGTCTTCTCCAACGATTGTAGGCGTTCGGTGAGCTCGGTGAGCGATTGCTGAATGCGTCGCGAGTCCTCGAAACGCTGTTTGTCGCCGACGCGACTCGACGCGCCCTCTTTGAAGCCGTCGACGTAGCCCTGCTTGAACTCCTCCTGTCCGGCGTATTGCTCGTCGAGACGCGAGAGCAGCGACGGTGTCACGCGGTCGCCGAACACGCCCGAATTGCCGTCTTTGTAGCCCTGCACGAAGCCGGCCGAATAGCCGGCGCTGGTGCCGCGTTGCGCCAAATTTCGCATCGACGTCGACATTCCCGTCATTCCGGCGTCCCTAGAAGCTCATGTGATCATAGATTTCGGTTAGACATCCCCAAAAAGGTTCAATTGGAAAATGAAATCAAAATAGTCAGTTTCTAAAGGTATGCGCTGTTCAATTTTGACCACAAATCTTCCAATAAATATATTTTTTTAAAGGCGCACAGAACGACTCACTTCAATCCTTTGGCGTAGCCCTCATGGAATCGATCATCGCGTCCGCCATAATCATCATCGAGTCGTCGCCTCGCCGCCGACGCGCTCGTCAACTTGTTCGCATCCTTGTAGCCCTTCATGTAGCCGTCCTCGAAGTCGCCGCGCGAGCGGCCGTCGATCGTGCTCCTCATGTTGTCCAATCGTTGCTCCAAATGTCGAAGATTCTCGTTCATTCCCGCCTTGTTCTCCTCGAGAAGCGGCATTCGCTGATTGTTCGACACATAGCGATTTTGCTCTTTTCGCGCGCGGAAACGGCTGCAAACGCAAAAGTTGATCGAAACTCGATGATAATGAGGTATTGAATTGTTAAAGGATAATGAGAAAAAAAAGTGTGTTAAACCGTTGCAGGCACCATAGAAGGCAGCAGCACAGAAGGATGAGTAGGAGAAGGGCGAGAAGCGGCAGCAGAAGCCACCACCAAGGCCAACCGGTCGTCAGATACGGCGACGCTGAATTCACACATTAATTCATGCAAGTTTTCACATGTTAGTTTGATTGTTTTTAGTTTTGCTTATTGGTTTTTTTGGGGGGGGGGCTTCAAGGGGTGGTCACATCTCTTCATCTAACTAACTCTTTGCAGCAGAACCATAAAAGGCAAATGAGCGAGCCGAGAATGAGAACGGCGGTCAATGGCAACAGAATCCAGCGCCATAGGATTCGACTCCACAGCCAACTCCAGCCGCGGACATCTTCAACGAGATGGGTTTAAAAAAAGACTAGGTATTTTATTTTTTTGCTTTCCCCAAAAATTTGTTGAAATTGGCACAAATCGACGTTCTTTTTTTTTGTGGTAAAATTTGACCTAGAATTTTTTGAAATCAAAAATTGCTGCAAAAAATGCACAGGAATCTATTGTTTTTCTTTTTTTGCGCAAAAATTTCGACTAGAATTTTATTTATCCCAAAATTGACATCAATCGAAACTTTGTAATGGCAAAAATTCTTTTTCTGCGCTAAAATTTGGTATATAAATTTTCTGCACAAAAATTGATTTATTATTTTTTTTTTTTCGCCAAAAGCTAGCAAAAAAATGGGAGAAATGGAAAAAAATGTATTTTTTTTTTTAATTTTCCCCAATTTTTGAATTTCCAATAACACAAAAATCAACCTACCATCAGCATATGAAGGCATTTGTTTCACACTAGCCAATTACAATACAAAGAAAACAATAATAACAAAAAAAGGAGGGGCGCGAGATTTTGGTCGAAACAAATGACGAGAAATGCCGGTGATGCGAAACGAGAACCACACCCATACTTGGGTGTTACTGGCCTCGTCGCGATCACCGCACTCTCTCTCTCTATCTCTCTCTCTCTCTTGCACTCACACACACGACGAATTCGACATTCAATATCAATCATCGTCTCTCACACTCTAAACGCGCGTTATCATTAGAATTGTTGTTTGAACAATTAAAACCCCCGACGCCTCGCCGCAAGCAAACTTCCGATTAGCGAACGAACTCACCGCGAAGCCTTCCGACGAGCGGCGCGCCGGTGACATTCCAGATCGTGTACACCTCGTAGTTATACTTCTTTCCTTTCGTCAGCGGATAGTTGAGATAGCCGCCGATGACGGTGCCGTCGCCGATGCGCACCTTTCGCGGTTCGGGAAGCGTTTCGAGATTGAACGAGGCGGCGACGTAGTAGGGTATCTTCAAACGATTGGCCGTCACCTTGTCGGTGAGCTCGGTCCAATTGGTGTCGCCGGGCGGATCGCGCTCATCGACGACGACGTAGTAGCGCGTCACGTTGTTGTCGGTGGCTGCCGGATTCACGTCGACCTCCCAATAGGTGTTCGGCGCGCCGATGTTGTCGACGAAGTAGGGCGGCGGGACGATGCAGCAGCCGCGGCGGATGTTGGCCGGCTCGCGGCTCGTCACCTTGCGCGGCGCCGACTTCCAGTGATTCCATTCGCCGTCGACCTTGGCGCGCACCTGAACCATTTCATTAAGCTATCATGCGATTCATTAGCGTCGCATCATACCTGGAACACGTATTCCGATGGATTGTGGGGAAGATTGAACACCAAATAGCACATCCTTCCACAACCGTCTTTCGGGCAGAGAAGCTCTTTGGCCGGTCGCGCTTCCTCCTCGTTCCACACTCCGTCATGCTCCTTCAATCTCAAGTAGCGCACTTGGTAGTCGGTGGCCATGTTCAACTCGACGGGCTCCCACGACATCGACACGGCGAAATCGGTCTTGTCGCACTGTTTGAGATTCTTGACCATGAACCAGCCGGGTGGTAGTGTTGCGTACGCGCCCCAAGCCACCTCGTTGTGATCCTTCGGCGTCAGCGTGACGTTGTAAACGGTGCTCGGATGCAATCCGCGTATCACAAACTCGGTCTCGGTCGCTTCGACGTCGAACGTCTTGATCTGATGGAGGCGAACGTTGCCGTACACCGAGTAGAGTGTTCGCGCGGTCAGCGTGTATCCCGAATGTCCGCGACCCCAGACGGGCTCCCAAGCAACCGACAATGTCGTCGGCGTTCTGTTGAGCAATCGCAGAATGTGTCGTTGTCCAGGCGCCAGAGTGCTGTAGGTTCCCCAGAGGATGTGACCGTAGCCGGAATTGGTGCCCGCTTGGACGGTGATGTTGTAGATCGTCTCCGGCATGAGACCCTCGAATTTGATCGAGTTTCCTGGATACGGCACCGTGTAGTTCTTCGGGCTTCCCGTTTTTCCAGTTCTTGGATCGAATGGAGCAATGGTGATTCTGTAAGATCGATGAATCAAGATTCGAGGTTCGAAGCGATCTCGAGCTACCTGTGATGAGTGATGAGCTCTCTCTGCTCGGGATCGAAGATTTCTGGTGGGACCCAGTCGACGTGAAGCATGGTATCGGATTTCTCAATAAGATGAAGGTCGGTGGGTGGTCCGAGCCACGAAAGAAGACCCTCGGCTGAAAAAAAATCGAACTCTTTAACTCGATGCGCCTTTAAACGTGAAACCTACCGAAATCTGTGGTGGCGAACACTGACGAAATGAACCAAAGGCGATTGCCTTCAGATTTTCCCTGAACGGTGACGTTGTACTGGGTGACGGAGTCCAAATCGCGGAAGTGATAATCGGTGGTGTGTCCCGACACCTCGAACTTCTTCGGATTCTGATCGAGCTCGGTGGCGACGGAGATGAACAAATCGTAGGTGTCGATCTTCTCGCCGATGACCGCTGGCGGTGTCCACTTGACTTTGATGTTGTCGTGACCGGCGGAGAGAAGCTTGAGACTTCCGCCGAGCATCTCGTTGTCATCCTTTCGCGTCGTCGAGAAGTAGTCCGACGACCATTCGCCCCAGTTGCCCGACGCCGATTGTCCTTGAACAGCGAATCGGTAGGTCGTCGATGGTAGAAGACCTTTGATCGTTGTGCATAGATTGTCGGTGGTCAATATCGGCGATTTGTAGCCGCTGCACGAGAGCTCGTCGCCGGATATCTCGACTTCGGTCGGATTCGAGTCGTCGGCTCGCGGACTATAGCGAATGCGGTACGCGGTGACGATCGCCTTCTCCGGATACGGTGGAAGCCAAGTGAGCTGAATCTGCGTGGCCTTCGTCTGAACGGCGGTGAGCTCGCGCGGTGGGCCGAGCTCCGAGCCCGTCGTTCTCACTTCCAACGAGTCCGACCATGGTCCCGGTCCTTCGGCGGTGTAGGCGCGCACACGAATGCGGTACAAGCTTCCCGGTTGTAGCTGATCGATGGAAGTAGTGAGACGCGGTGTGACACCCTCGCGAGTGCCCTCGTTCCATTCGTCCAAACCGACAAGCTCGAACTCGTACTGCGTGATGTTGCCGTTCTGCTCGGCGCAAATCGGCGCCTCCCACTTGAATCCGAGCTCGGTGTCTTTTCTGACGGTGGATTGGAGATTTTGCGGCGCGCCGCTCGGCACGTCGTTTTTCGTCTTGAACGTTCGCACCGTCTTCGGTGTCACAATCGACGACTTCAACGATGGCGGCCGACGTGGGGTGACGACGACCTCGTAGAGCGATCCGGGCTGCAAATTCTCGATGGGTATCTGCTTCTCCTGCACGTTGAGCATCGTGACGGGCTCCTGAGCGCCGGTCAACGATTCCGAGCAACCGCCGAGCTGCTTCAATCGATAGGTGATGTCGACACCATAGTTCCACTTTTGATCCTTGTCCGGCAAATCCCATGTGATCAGCGCCTCTCGTGGTCCCTTCGGCTCGACGGTGACGAAAATCTCTCCCGGCAACGATTGCGTCGTGATGCTGACTCTGTCGCTCCATCGACTCGATTGCGGTTTGTCCTCGACGGTCTGCGTGCGAATCTTGACATCCCACTTGGTTCCCGGCTGCGTTGGAACGATGAGCTCGCTGGGCGCATCGGTCGAGATGGTCCAGTTGCCGTTGGAGGTGGTGTTGACGAAGCTGATGAGGTACTCGACGTCGTCGCATCTCCACGTCTCCTCATCCGGCGGATTCCACGTGATTTTAAGCGTCTCGAAGTCAAGCGATTCCAATTTCAATCCCGACGGCGGCTGTTCCGGTCTTCCGCACGACGTCGTCTCTTTGGTTTCGGGTCCCGGCGCGCCTCGCTTGTCGTTCTTGCCAGCGACGCGAAGTCTGAAGAAGTACAATGTGGCCGTCTCCAAACCCTTGACGGTAATCTTGTAATCGCCGCTGCCGCTCTTTCGATGCTTCACGACGCCGTTGTACTCTTGCCATTCGGCGTTGTCCTCTTCCGATTTGAACTCGAGCACGTAGCCGACGACATGCGCCGCCTGATCTTGCGTCAATCCTTCCCATTTCAGCGAGATCGAGCTCGACGTCTTGTCGGTGACCTCAAGCTCGCGCTCGAGCACCGGAATGTTCTGCTGCTGGGTTCTCGACGTGAGCTCGTCGGACCAGTCCGACCAGCCGCCGCCTTCGGTGTGCGCCGACACCTGAATATCGTACTCTTGCTCGGGCTCCAAATCGCTCAATCTGAAGCACAATCGATCTTTTTTCGAGGAATCGGAGCACTCCAGTCGTTCGGTCTCGACGCGAATCTCTCGGAAGTTGGCCTCGCTGCTCGGCGTGTACCGAACTTTGTAGAAGTCGACGACGCCGTGCGGCGGACTTGGCGGCAGCCATGAGATCTCAATCGCGTGCGGGAACGTGCCCTCCTCTTGAAGATCGGTTGGCGCTGGTGGATTGGTGGATTGTGTGGTGAACGGCACCCATTCCGAGAATGGACCCTCGCCTTCGTTGTTGATGGCTCTCACGCGAATTCTGCAAATCGATCGAATTCAATTACATATGGGACCATTGAAAACTTACTGGTATTGAGTGAACGGCACCAATTGATCGAGGGTGAGCCGCTCGGTCGGATTGTGCCCGGTGGTGTTCTCGGCCCATGAGTCCATGCTGGCCAGCTCGTACTCGTAGTTGGTGATTTTTCCGTTGCGCTGCTCGCATTCCGGCTGACTCCACGTGGCGTCGGCACGCGTCGACGTGATCGATCCAACTCTGACGTTCTGCGGCGGTCCCGATGGTGCCGCCTCGTCGGTGGTGACGGTCACCACTGACGATTGTGGTCCAGCGAGGCTGGTGTGCGCGATCACGTGAATCTCATAAGTCGAGTCGGGAAGGAGACCCTCGAGTGTCTGATGCTCGTTTCGGACGTGCTTCTCGATTGGTGTCGAGCTTCTCGGCCCACATTCACCAATTGACTTGAGCTTGTAGACGAGGGTGTAGCCGGTGATGACACCATTCGGATCTCTTGGCGGCTTCCATGTGACGTCGATGGTTGTCGGACCAGTCGGTTTGGCCTTCAAGTCATCAATGGCGCCAGGCGCTCCCTCGCCGGTGGTGATCTCCAACTCCTTGCTCCATTCCGACGCGCCGGCATCGTTCTCGGTTCTGATTCTCACCGTCCATCGCGTGTTCGACTTCGAGTCGAACAGATGCTCGATGCTCGACGATGGCAAGTCGATCTGTTTGCGCGACTCTGTGCCATTGACGTACTCGAGTTTGTAGCGAATCGCCGAACACTTCCACGAGTTCTGGCTTGGCGCTTGCCATGAGACGCGCACTTGGACGTTCGTCGGCGACGCGAGATTGAGATTTGTTGGCGGCGAGATTGGCGCGGCGCATCCGGTGCGCGCCTGAGCTTCGGGCGATGGCTCGCCGACACGCTGGCGATGATCGACGACCTTGATTCGGATGAAGTACAACGTGTCCGAGTCGAGGCCAGTGAGCTTCTTGAAGTAAGTGCGCTTCACCGAGTCATGATTCACGATTCCACCGATCTCCTGCCAGACTGGTGTGTCCGCATTGCGAATCTCAATGATGTATCCTTTGACTCGATTCTTCGGATCAACAACGGCATTCCATTCGACGTCAAGAGCGTTCGAGCCGTCGGGTGTGACGTGCGGCATGGTGCCGACGATTGGGATGTGGAATGGATCGGTGGTGTATCTTGTCCAGATCTCTCTTCCGAATCCTTGCTTCGTTCCAGCGGCAATCGAGATGTTGTAGGACGTCTCTGGATTCAAGTCGTCGAATAGATAGGTGAGGGTTGGGTGGTTGACAAGGAATGTGCGCTTCTTATCATTGACATCGTCAAGGCTTTGAATCGACACGCGGTACTGCGTGATATGACCCTTCGGATCAATCGGTGGCACCCATCTGATGTGAAGCGAGTGATCGGTCTTCTCAATCAAGTGAATCGCTCTCGGAGCATCCGGAAGGACTTGAAGGGTATTGGCGATCACCAGCGATGACCACGGTCCGTAGCTTCCTCCCTCGATTCTTGTGCTGACCTGAACCTTGAACTGTTGTCCCGATTCAAGGCCGGTGGCGTTGAAGCAGAATCGCGGGCTCTCGCCGGGGCACTTGAGAGCTGGATCCTTGATGCCCTTCTCGATCTCGACCCAATTCTCCGATGGGATTTGTTGGTAGCGAATCTTGTAGGCGTCGTGTGGTCCGTATGGTGGGTATGGTGGCAGCCATGAGACCATGAAGAAGTCGGTTCCCTCTTGCGCCACCACGAGATCCTGTGGTGGAAGTGGCGCGTTGGCTTTGGCGGTCATCACGACGAGATTCTCGGTGTTCGGACCACCGCCGATCGAGTTGTAGGCTTTCACTCGCATCACGTACTTGGTGTACGGGGTGAGGCCATCGATGGTGACACGCAAGTCGGAGGTGTTCGCGATCTGACGTTCAAGCTTCGCCCAATCATCTTGTCCAAGAATCTCATACTCGTAGTTGACGATGTGGCCGTGTCGCTGCGAGCAATCGACAGGCTCCCATTGGAATGACAGCGATCGTTCCAAAGCGTACGTCGATTCGAGATTGAGCGGCGGCGACGACGGCGGCTGCTGCTCGGTGGACACTTCTTTCGTCTCTTCGGGTCCGAGCTCGGTGGTCCGTGCGCGCACGCGAACCTCATACAGCGAGTAGGGCAGAAGTCCGGTGATGGTGTAATCGAGATCCTTGTGATTGTAGACGGTGACGAAATCGCGGCTCACGTCTCTCGGCTCCTCTTCGGGACACGCGAGACGGTGCTTCAATCGGTAGGAGATGTCGTAGCCGACGATGGTGCCGCGTTGAACGAGCGGCGCCAGCCATTGGACGTGCACCTCGTTGGGCGAGAGCGCCTTGACGCGCAAATCCCTCACGAATCCCGGCGCGCCTTGACGCGTCGTGATCGTCTGCTCCTGCGACCATTGACTCGATCCGACTTGATTCGTCGCTCTCAGCTTCACAATCCATCGCTGATTCGGCTCCGCTGGGAACGTGTACTCGGTTTGATCGCCGGGCACGGTGAGAATCTTCTCCGGCTGATTGCCGACGCGATACGAGATCTCGACGCTCATCTGATCGCACATCCACGTGTTTTTGGCGGGACGCGCCCACGCGACGCGAACCTCGTTGGTGGTTGGCGCGTCGAGACGAACGCCTTCCGGTGGCGACGTTGGCGGCGAGCATTTGGTTCGCGCGCGAACTTCCGGCGACGGATTCGACTGCTCGTTGAGTTGCGAAACGACGCGAACGCGAAGATCGACAACGGCGTTCGTCGGCAGATTGTCGACGGTGGCGGTGTAGGTGGTCTGCGACGGATGCGCCGGCACGCGTCTCGGATGCTGCTGCCACGCTCTTCCTTCAACTCGATACTCGACGATGAATCCACCGGCTTCGCGGCTACGGCTCTCCCACTCAATGGTGATCGACGTTGGCTCTTCGGCGATGACTCTTGGCGCAAGAGCGAGCGCGGTGAGAGCGGCGGCATCCGTTGTCATGATGGCGCTGGTGCCTCCGCACATTTCCTTGTGCGTCGCTGCCGACACTGTCACATTGTAGGATGTTCGCGGTCTCAAGTTGTCGATTCGGTATTGATAAGTCGCACGATCCACATTGTAGGTCTGCGATCGTTGCGATCCGTCCTGCGGTGTCACCACCAATCGGAACGCGGTGACGCGATTGCGATCGTCGGGACGAACGTCCCAATTGACGGTCAACGAGTTCTCGGTGCCGCCGATTTTGCGAACGTAGAGCACCTGAACGGCGCTGTCGGTGATCTTGGTGCGTTCGGGCGGCGAGTACGGACCCCATCCGGCGTCTTTGACGTGAGCGGAGACCTCGAAATCGTACGAGCTCTCCGGCTTGAGATTCTCGATGCGGCCGCAATGAAGGCGCGCGCCCGGCGGTGTTGGCGGCAAATTCTGGCGCTCGATCTGTCGCTGCTGGCACGGCGAGACCGCTGGGAACTGTCTCTCCTGGTACTGTTGGGTTCCGGTCGGCGCGTAGCGGCACTTGTACTTGTCCACGTATCCGGGATTCGGGTACGGCGATTGCCAGACGAGTTGCGCGCTGTCGGCGCCGGTGTGAAGGACCTTGACGAATCCTGGCGCGTGGTTGTTCTCTCCGGCGGTCGTCTGGAACGGCACCTCAGCCGACCATGGGCCAGGTCCTCGCGCGGTGTACGCTCGCACTTTGACACTGTAGCGTGTCGCCGGCTGAAGGTTGGAGATGCGCGCGCGAGTTCCGCGAATGTTCTCGGTGGTCTTCTGAACGGTTTGTCGGCGATCGGCAGCGGTCACCTCGTACTCGTACTCGGTGATCTCGCCGTTCGTCTGAAGGCACGGTGGCGCTTGCCACGAGATGCTGGCCTCGGTGGGTCGTTGGTCCTCAACGCGAAGATAGATTGGCGCTCCGGTTGGCGGCGCTTGATCGGTCTGGATCTCAAGCGAGACGCGCTCGCCGGCGCCGACGTTCGATTTCGCCGCGACACCGACGCGATACTTCGAGTGCGGATGCAATCCAGTGATGGTGAAGTGTGGTCCGTTGACAGTGATTGTTCGTGGCGCTTCCTGTTGATTGTCGCAATTGCCGCGGCTGATCAGCTGATAGGTGACCTCGTATTGTGTGACGCGGCTGTTCGGATTCGCCGGTGGCTGCCAGCTGCACTGAAGCGAGTCGGAGCCGACTGGCTGAACGCGAAGATTGCTGACGGCTCCGGGAGCGACGCCCTGCGTCTGCGCGGATTCGGGACGCGACCATTGCGTCTCGCCGGCGGGATTCGCCGCCTGAACCTCAAAGTGCCATTGCGTGTAGGGATCCGAGTCGAAGACGACGAAATTCTCGCCGTTGGTGAGATTCTTGAATCCTTGATTCCGGGCCGTCGAGTACTTGACAATGTACCAAACGCGATCGCAATTCCATTCGGTCTCGTGAAGCGGCGCCCATTGAAGTCGAATCTGGGTGGGTCCAAGTGGCGACACTTGAATGTTGGTCGGCGCGCGACGCGGCGGCTTGCACGCGGCCTGCGTTTGCACGTTGACGATGGCAGACGTGTAGGCGGTTCCGCGATTCGGATCCTTGGCGGTGATTCTCACTTCGTAGACATGGCCCTTCGGAAGCTCGCCAAGATCAACCGAGTAGGGTCGCTGCCATCCATTGTATGGGATCGGATTGCGATGCTGCCTCCATTGCGTCTCTCTCGTCGATTTCCATTCGAGCACAAACGATTCAATGATGTCGTTGGTGTTCTCCTTGCTTCTCCATGAGATGATCGGATTGCCTTGACGATAGCTAACATCGGGACCGATGATGAGCTCGCCGCCTGGCGGTGTTCTCGTCTGTGCGGCCGGCGTCCACGGCGAGTGTCCGGCGCTGTTGATCGCGCGTATCTTGACCGCCCACGGCTGATTCGGCGACGCTTGGAAAATGTGCGACGTGTGATGGCTGCCGAGAACGACGGGCTGCTGACCGCGCGGCTCGTCGGCCTGAATCTCGAATTGAATGTCGGCGCATCCCCACGTGGATTGCGGCGGAAGCACCCATGAGACGCGAATGTGACTCGCGTCGGGCGCCTGCACTTGAAGATGCGACGGCGGATGCGACGGCGGTGTGCAGCTGCTCTTCGCGTTTGATTGTGGGGACGTGTACATGACATACGAGTTGCGATCGAGAACCTAAACCAAGCAAGCGTCAATCGGATCTCAGGATCCCGTCGAAGTATACCTGAATATGAATGAAGTAGGTGTGACCGCGTTCCAAGCCGGTCAATGTCTGTGTGTATTCCATGTTGTCGCCGACATATGGCACCAATTGTCCGTACGTCTTCCAGCCGGATTGCTCGGATCGGAATTGAACGTGATATCCGAAGACGCCGCGACCGTCGCCCTCGCTTCGCCACTTCACGATGAGATCGTCATCGCGCGAAGTGACCTGCGGAACGGTGACGAGCGCTGAAACATGACGAGTGTTTTTAGAATGTCATGGAATTTGTCGGATGATGTTAGTGTCACACTCTTTTTTTTGGAAACTGAAAAGATTTTTTAAAAGGGGCTAAAGGGGGTCTTGCGAGAAGAAGAAGGGCGGTAGAAGTTGTCAGTTTTGTTTTTGAGAGAGAGAGAAAACTAAGAAGAGGTCGAACTCAACAAAACTAATGAGTTAGGCTGAGGGGGAGGGGCACTACTCATGCGTCGGCACCTTCATCGGCATTCGAATCGCGAAGCGGCGCATTCGAGAAATGGCCTTTGCACCAGAAGTCGGTACGCGGATCGCAAACGCTTCGCTTTTGGCGTCTCGCTGGAGAGAAATTTTTTTGTTGGCATTCTTTTTTTTTTTATTTGAATCGAAATTTTTCATATCTGCCATCGTCGACGCGCGACTTACAAGCTTGCGATGAGGCGAAGACGGCGTCTCTTGATGGTGTTCCGGAGCCGGCCATGTTGACGGCGCGCACCTGAACACGCCAGTCGCCGTCGGCGCTTCCAACGATGTCGACACTTCGATCGGTGCCCGGCACTCGTTCATTGATTGGTCGGCCATTCTGTAAGAATGCTCGAGTTGATGAAGCCGTTGAGTTTTGGGGGCTACCTGCTGGCCGGTGACGAAGAAATATGATTGGCACGCGTCGTCGTCGATGCCGGCGTCCCACGAGACGCGAACCGTCGTTTCGGTGAGCCGCTCGAGTCGCACGTTCTCCGGCGCCGACGGCGTTTGGCACGCGACGGCGAAACTCGCCGATGGCGACGTCGAGACGGTCGAGTGCGTCTCGTCGAGCGCCCGAACGCGCACCAAATATGTCGTCGACGGATTGAGGGCGCCGAGCGCGACGCGATAATGCGTTTGCGTCGGCTCGTTGCGCACTAGCGAGCCGGTCTCGCGCCACGCGCGATCCTCCGATGAGCGAATGTCGATTTGGTAGCCGGCGAGATTCGCGCGTTCGCCGACCACCGACCAATAGGCGACGGTTCTTGAAGCGGTCTGCTCGATTCGCGGTTGCGTTATCGTGACACCGCGGCTCTCCTGAACGGCGCCGTCTGCAAAAATCTCGAGTTCAACGATGATGATGATGATGATGATCAGACATCAGAATTGGGCGAACATTTTGAAATTTTGTGTGCAATCGAGCGCGTTTGCCTCCTATGGTAAATTTTGGGCTTTAAATCGCACACAAGTGTGCTCGATTGCACATAGAAAGAAAAAAAAAGTGCGAGTTTCGCCCAATTCTGCTTCCATCCGACGAGTGTACCTAATTGAACCAAGGTAAAATGTAATGGATTGCTAGCGGGTAGCATTTTTCCGTTGGTTAGCTCATAGGAGATCTGTTAATTGATTCATATCGATTAGTCAATTAGTGTGGTTACACTGCTAATGTAGTGGACGCCGAAGAAGAAGCCGCGAAGCTCGTAGCAATAGTCTTGCGGATCGGCGATGCCGTCGGGACATCTGAAGTGCTCGACGCCGCTGTTGAGTCGCGTCCATTTCGTGGCGCCCTTCTCCTTATAGACTAGTCTGCGATATGTTAGAAATCATCACTGATCATTAACGGGGGGGGGGGAAGTGGGGAGGAATAATCGAGGAATCGGCAAACCCGCGCTCAAATGCCAAATTGGATGTTTGAGAAATTGCGTTGGCATTGGAGCGCGTTTTGAGCGTCCCCTCGAAACCAACTTGAATTTGCGAATGTGATCGCGATGAATCGCCAACGGCGTCCAGACAAGGAACGAGCTCGGCGGCGCGAGCACAATCCTCAACTTATAAATGTTAAGCTCATCTGGAATAATGAAACGGGTTACGGAGTTAGTCATTAATTGTGATGAATGCGATTCGCATCAACCTCGAATCTGGTCCTTCGCCTGCCGTCGAACGCGTCCTTCTTAATCGGAGGATTGTTTTTGGTTAGAATTGGAAACGACAAGAAAAAATTAGATTCAAAAAAAAAGATGAGAACGACGAAATCAAATGGAATTGCTTAGGCTTACTTGGAATCATGTTGGCGTCGCCGCTGCTGCTGGTCACGTCTTTCGACCATTGCGTATGTCCGTTGATCGATCGCGAACGCACTTTGAAGACGTAGTTCGTGTTGGGACGAAGGTTCGAGATCGTCACCGAATTCGAGCCGATGTAATTGGCGCCGTCGATCGGCACCGGCTGCGATGGCTCGTAGATGATGTACTCGTAGCCGTCGATCGGCGCCAGCGATTCGTCGCATTGCGGAATTTGCCATTCGAAGCGAATCGTTGTCGGATCGATGACTTTCGAGACGATCTGCAAATTTTTTGGTGTTGAGTGGAACGCGATTTGGAATTTGTGGTATTTCAGATTCTAAATGTCTTAAATTGCAATTTTGGAAAAAAAAGTTCTGGAATTTGTGATGTATACGGCGCTATCTAGCACGTGACACATGCACAGGCAAAACGCGACGGATGAAGTCCGGGCGAAGTCCGGATATTTAAAGAATGGACCAAGTACGGATCATAAATTTCTTTGAAAAACGTCGCGGTAAAAAAACGGACAAAGACCGGAGATTTATTGGCCACGTTTTTAAAACGTGTTAATTACGGATCTTGATTTTCAGGATGAAACGCCACGGCTAAAAAACGGATTAAGTACGGACGCACATGTGCGTCTTGGCGCAGTTGGTAAACGCGTTGAAGATTGTGCTGAAGGTCGCTATTTCGAAACCCTCGAGCGTTTTCTGTTTTTTTTTTTGCAACTCACGTTTTGCGGGACTCCCGCCGTTCCGACGCACGACGATTCGGCAGCTTCTCCCACGTTCATCTCATCGGTGCGCGCGACGACCTTGTTTTGTCCGTCGATGGCGACAATGCGCACCGTGTAGAACGGCACGTTCATGTTTGATAGCGCCACCGAATAGTCGCCGGAGCCCTCGGCGACGCCGGTCTGCTCGGTGCTTCGCCAACTCGTCTCGTTCGGCAATTTGTATTCGAGCACAAATTTCGCGACCTCGATCGACGTCGGCGGCAGCTTCCAATGAACCGAGAAATGCTTCTCGCCGGAATCGACGACCATCGGCTTCTCGTCCCAACTCTCGATGCCGCCCGACGTCGTGTGCGCCTCGATGCGATAGATCTTTTTCGGCTCGTGATCGACGAACGCGATCACACCGATCGTGTATTTGGTGTTGGCGCGAAGGCCGGTCAGCGTGAACGAGCGGATGTTGGGTCCGACGCGGGCGCGCTCGACGCGACGAGAATCGTCGCCGGATTCGACGGCGGTCACCTGTAAGACAGACATTTCGAGGCGTCGGAAACGCAATCCATTCTCGAATTACCTCGTAGTGTTGAATCCTTGGATCGGCGAGCGGCTCCCAACTGACGCGAAGCTCCGAATCGGTTCTGTACAATAGCTGAATGTCGTTCGACGTCTCCAAGGCTTCTCCTTTCGTCTTGATCTCAAGCACTTCCGAGTTCCATGGTCCGACGTTGCGGTTGCGATCGCTGGCGCGAACCCTGAACAACAAGAATAAATAAAAAGCGTGGTTTTGGTTTGTTTCGCACTTGACACTGTAGAAGGTTCCCGGCAACAGATTGGTGACGCTGACGTGCGGCTGAGTGACCGTCTGACGGTGGACGTCGAACGGCGCGTCGACACCGGTGAGCTCGACCTGATACTCGCCGACCGAGCCGCAATCGGGCGCGTCCCATTTGATGGCCAACGAGTATTGGGCGACCTCGGTGACTTGCGGATAACGCGGCGACGTCAGCTCGTCGTTCTCGCATTTGATCGAGACGATCTCGTTGTGCGCGCGAATTTCGGGCGTCTCGACGAGCACCTCGTTGTTCTCGCCGATGACCTTGATGCGCACGAGGTACGAGACGCCGGTCGGCAATTTCGGTATCTGCACACGATACTGATGATTGGGTCCCTTGTAGGGAATGATTCCCGGATGGAGTTGCCATTCGCCGGATTTCTCGGCGCGATACTCGACGAGGAACCCTTTGACTTCCGAATCGGCGTGATCGCCTGGAAAAGTCGATTGAGCGGAATGGAGGGTGTGAGGGGGGGGGGGTTGATCGACAAACCTGTCTGAATTCCTTCCCATTCAACCGTTAGCAGGCTGTCGGTTCCACTTTGCCGCTTCACTCGGATGTCTGCAAAGAGGAAAAAACCCCACAGATATGTACATATAATTTGATTTGATTAGGATTTCCGCGAAATTATGGGGGATTGTTTGATGTAGTGGTGCCCGAATTGCATTTCTCAAATCTCACAAATTCGCGTTGAAATTGGATTTTGGGGTTCTTCAAAATTCATCAAAAATTGATGAAAAAAAATGTTTGGCCTCGAATTTTACAAAAAAAAATGTAAAAAAAAAGGGAAATTGGTTTTTAGAACATTTTGGTGCAATTCAATTGAGAATTGAATAGAAACTTTAATTTTTACCAAAAAAAAATTAGTAAATGCAAATTTTTGATTGAAATTATTTATTTTTCAAATTGACAAAATTTCGCGAATTTTGAGAAAATCACAAAAACGAAATTTGAAGATTGCTTAAAATTCTCAAAAGAAATCTAAAACTCTAAAAAATGAAACTCACTTGATGTTGTCAAAGTTTGACTAAACTGGAGGAGCCATATTGCGATGTAGAGGAGGCTCAAGGCGCCCCTCGAACGGAGACCCATCCTGTAGACACAAAAAAAGCATTATGAGCAAGAAAAAAACGGCGAGAAATAATGGGTAGATCAAAAATCGTGTTACATCAATTCCATAAAACGGCGCAAATTATTTACGAAATGAACTAGAATGAAAATTGTCCGAATTCATGTGCGGACAGTTTCGGGGTATTGAGAACGGAAATGCCGAAAAAAGTTCACGGAAAATTTTGAGTTGGAATGTGTAACAAAAAGAATACGATTTTAACAATTTCCATCTGCGGACAATTTCAGGGATTCGAAAGAGCGCATTTTGGTAATACGTTGGAGATATGATATTACATCTGCGGACAAATTCAGGGATTCGAAAGAGCGAATTTTGGTAACACGTTAGAGATATGATATTGCATCTGCGGACAATCAAGCGGGCAAGGGTACAGACTTCCATCTGCGGACAATTTCAGGGTTTCGAAAGAGCGCATTTTTGGTAACACGTTGGAGAAATGATATTGCATCTGCGGACAATCAAGCGGGCAAGGGTACAGACTTCCATCTGCGGACAATTTCAGGGTTTCGAAAGAGCGCATTTTTGGTAACACGTTGGAGAAATGATATTGCATCTGCGGACAATCAAGCGGGCAAGGGTACAGACTTCCATCTGCGGACAATTTCAAGGATGAACCCAATGATATAGCGCTTCATGGGAGGTCGAGTTTAATTGTTGGGTGGGGATTTTTTTTTTTATTTTCGAAAGGCTATTGAACCGAATATACGCAATGTTTATCCCTGCCCCTCCGACAGATTATGCCGTTCGCTCGACACGAATGTTTCATAGGATTTTTTTTGTTGGGTGGCTGTTGTCGCACACGCGCGGCGTACCAGTTACACGCACATCCAACATGTGGGATGATTGGAATCGAATTTCGAGAACAATGCATAGATTATTAAGGACTGGATTTTGGGTAATGCTGGCCCGGGCACGGTGGGGACCTTTTTTTTGGGGAAAATCGGCGTTCACAAGGTCGACATGACACACCATTGTTGTTCACCGCCAAAATGAAAAAAAAAGGAAGAGAAAAATTGGTTTTTTGGGTGTGTCTCCTGGTATTCTCACCGCACGATGATCCTGAAGCGCCCATCCCATCGCCGCCGCGATTCTCTCTCTCACGATTTTTTTTCTTGACTGATTTATTCACGATTTCGATTCGAATCGTCGTTACACAACACCAGAGCGATGCGAAACCCATAAAAGGAATTGGAAATCAAATCGAACGTTGTGAGGAAGAGATGGAGGGGGGGGGGTGCCCGAATCAATAGAGGCGGCGCCTCCTTTAAACATTTGATGTCCCGATTTTGGGAGTACAAATAAAATGAAACACGCATTGATTGATAAGAAACTGTTGTACAATGGCAGTTCTGGAGGTTTTGAGGGACCCATTGGAAATCGAAATGGTCCCTAGCAAGAAGGAGAGAGAATTTTTGAAAGAAAATATGAGGGTCCATAGAAATAGTTGGAATCAAAGAGAGATTCAGATTGGGTACTAGAAAGTGGTCCAATGATGGTTAGCACGAGAGAAATACCTGAAAGAAATTGTAAGGGTCCTTGTTGGAAACTAGAGAGTGTCGCAATGGTCCCTAGGTGGAATATAGTGTTATAGTAAAAAAGAATGATGGTCCTTAAAAGCGATTCTAATTCAATATGGTCGCAACAGAATGGTCCCAAGAAAGGGTTTCGAATGTCTAGAAATTGTGGTCCACAAAAGATGGTCCCAACAAAAATTGTGGGGGATTGAATTTTTCTTTTTTTTTTTGAGTTTCGCCGAAATGGACAAAATGCAAGTGACATTGCGATTTTTGGGTGTGTCGATTTCTTGCGAGAAAAGAAAAAAATAAATAAATAAAATGAAACTATGAACCATATCAGGTCGACGAATCTGTCATCAATATATTTGGGCAAAAAGTGTCGAAGTGCGCTCTCTCTCTCTCTCTCTCTCCGTGTCTTTTGCTTTCGCACTTTTTTTGGGCGTGGTCCGCGTCGCGTTGTCTCCGAATGAAAAGACGACGACGTCGTCTTCGATTTGCAATTGTATTCATTTGAAATCACACACGAATGCGCGAGTGGAGAAAAAAAAAATACATTTGTTTGGTAAAGGAACTTGTTTGCCTCATTCGGCATAATACGGTTTTTTTCTTTTTTTTTTTTGCAAATTCCGAAATTGCGCGTTGCGCTCATTTTTGGTGTTCATCTGCCGACAACTCGCGGGTTTGCGCGCCATGTTGAAATATGCGTTGTGGTTTTGCATCTGCGGACATCTTGCCAGCCAATTTGTCGATTTAGCAACTCCCATCTGCGGACAATTTCGCGCGATGTGATTGGTAGTTTCAACGTGCCGACAAATGCCGGGTTTGAATCAATCTGCGGACGTCTCGCTGGAATCGGCAATGGTCGGCAGGGTTTTGGAAATTCGCTGGTTTCGAGACATGATGATTCTGAGCGAAAACCAAAATGCAGTATTCAAAACCTCGACAATTGTCCGCAGCAAGGAATTGGCAAGTGAGCAATTGAAGAATGTTGTTCTGCGGACAATACGAAACCGTTTCATAAAAAAATCGTCTCGACACGCAAATCGCCATAAATCTATTCATCTGCGGACATTTCGAAGTGAAACACGCTGCATAAATCAATCTATGCTAATTGTGCGTCAAAACACGCGCGCGCGCGCCGGTTTCGGTTTTACAACGTCGAAGGAGGTCAAGTTGTACAGAATGCATAGTTATCTTAACTATACATTATATATTTATATATAGGTATGGAAAATTCCTCATCGGTTTTGTTTTGTGACGTTGAAAATGGTAAAAAGTACAGTGGGTGGGGGGTTTGTTGACAAACAAACAATGATGATTGGGCAAATTGGGCGTGAACCTGTGAAGGCGTCGAAAAACTGGAAATTGTCCGCAGATGGAGAGGGCGAGTCGGGTGCAATGTCCGCAGATGGATTTCGCGGCATAGGCGCTACTAGTTGAAGAGGGTGATGAAGCGCGAAATTAGCAAAAAATTTGGCATTCAATTGCCGGGTTGAATGATTGTCCGCAGCATGATTGAACAAAACCCGGGAGTGTGGGCGTGAATTGTCCGCAGCATGATTCTCGATGAAGGTTTGAGAGTTGAGACACTGAGCAGGTGGGTCGTAAGAGGGCGCGTTTTTGAAACCCGCGAATTGTCGGCAGCTTGATTTTGCGACGTCGGCGAAACAAAAAAAAATTCAACAAAACACAATGGCGGCGAGGAAAATTTTTGTCGGGCCGATGGTGAAATTTCGAGTTGGCAACACGCCAATGAGCAAAATCGTTGCGCTTTTGCTCAGCACTCTTCGAGTTGGCCCCCCCCCCCTCAAAACAGTGTGCGCGCGGCGGCTAATTCGCAGCGTTAACACTTGTAACACACGATTTTCCACGAAAATTATTATGTGGGGGGCCTAAACGGCGGGGAAAATATAAAGGGGTTGGTACTGTAATAATAGAAATATAACAATATTACACATAAAATCAAGAAAGCCATCATCAAAGGTAGTAGATCAAAAATCTTAATGATCAGCAATGAGATCGGGTGTGGCGCATGGAAAATTGAAATGTTCTCGTACACAAATTGATTGAAGGGGGGTTCATTTTTCTCTCGATCTGATGAAGGGGGGGGGTCTGATTAGAATCGCGTGAAACGCCCAATATTTTGAAGGTGAATTATGGGGGTCGGATCGAGTCGACCCCTTGGTGACACATCCTTCTTCTTCTTCTTCTTTGGGGTGTTTTTTTTTCCTTTTTTGGGTGTGACTCACCCAGATGGTATTTCGCAAAATTTTGCGCTCTCATTTTTTTTGTGGTGTTTTTTTTTCGCGGGGATTGTCGCATTTTTTTTTTTGCGCAATTTTGACATCCAAAATTGAAGATTTTGGGATTTTCTGCAATTTTGCGTCATTTATCGCGTTTTTCCGAAAATTTCCAAAAAAACAAAACAATGAAATTGACGCGAAAATGCGGATTTTTGAATTTTCTGCAAATTTCCCATAAAGCGTCGAAATTGACGCGAAAATTGGGATTTTTTGATTTTCTGTAATTTTGCGTCATTTATCGGGTTTTCCGCAAATTTCCCAAAACATTGAAATCGACGCAAATATGCAGATTTTTGGTTTTTCTCCAATTTTCCCAAAACATCAAAATTGGCGCAAAAATTGGGATTTTTGCATTTTCTGCAGTTTTGCGTCATTTATCGGGTTTTCCGCAAATTTCCGAAAACATCAAAATTGACGCGAAAATGCGGAGTTTTCAAAATGCCGAATTGATTGAAATCACAATTTTTGTGGGGGGGGGATTTCTCAATTGAGCGAAAAAAAAGTCAATACAACGCATCTGACGCAAAATTGCGGAGAGTCGAGACGCAAAAAAACGATAGGGAGAAGAAGAAAAAAAAGAATGTGGTTGGCCTGGCGTCTGGCTCAACAACGAGAGAAAAAAAAAACCAGAAACCGCGTGTGCATTTTTGCGTAGGATAAAGTGCAAAAACTCTCAAGACGACGAGAAAAAGTTTCAAGTGCAAAATTGATTTGTTGGCGGCGCGGCGGCGGTGCGGTGGAAACGGGTAAGGGATGAAAAAAGGGGGGGGGTCTCGCGCAAGCATAAACAAACACCACCACCAGCACCATTGCGAAACAAAAGAGATAATTCGAACTGTTGAGGAAGAAGCCTTGAAACTTGCTCTCTCTCTCTCTCTCTCTCACTCACTTCTGGAGCAACCAAAAGTGCGCAAACAATCATAAGTCGATCGCCGAGTTGGCCAGTCTCAAGGAGAAGCAACAATTTTTTTTGTTCGCTTTCGCCGCGCGCCAAAAAGATTATTAAATAAAAATTGAGGGCCTGGAAGGTTGTCGGCAGATGGCAATTGGTTTATATTTGGAGGCATGGCAACACCCAACCAACCAAAAAAAAACAGTGGAGGGGAATGTTTGAGAGGTGATTGGCCAATGATAATAGTAATAATAATCACGACGATCGCCACTAGTAGTGGTGGCCCCCATCGACTACGACCTTAATTAAGAGATCTATCTATCTCTCGCCGACATCGGTTTTTCGCATACCGATGTACAATTTGGGGGGGGGGCCGATTGATACGACGAAAACGATGATGATGGGAATGAGATGATTGAATGAATCTAATAAGGGATGATATCGCTTCTTCAAGCTTCACAAGTCACACCTAGTGATACCGTATGCCTAAATTTGGGAGGGCGAGGCAATTCTAGGCAATTTTTATTGCATTGACGATGGGCGGAGCTTACATCGATTGCTGTCGGTTGCGCACATTTAAAAAGTTGTGTTACCGTATGCCGAATAGAAGGGAAGGGGGTGGAGATTGAGGGAAAACAAATCTCCAATGGAAAGTACATTAAAAAATGGTGTTACAGTATGCCCGGGAGGGCGGAGTCGAATAATATGAATTCGCGAAAATGTCAAGGACGACGAATGATGTAAACAACGATTACGATTTTGTGGTGATAACGCAAAAATTTTTGCATCCTCTCAATTCTTTCTTTTTTTTTTCTTGGTTCATTTTTGCTTTGGAGGGGGGCCGCCCGCGGGCCGCCCGCTCGCGCACCATCAACCGGTTATCTCGATGACAAATCACCGAAAGGTGATGGAGGAAGGGGAGGGGAAGGGAGGGGGGGGTGGTTGGTGATAAGACGATGAAGACATTTCAACGAGGCCCGGATGAATGTCGGCAGATGGCGGTGAATTGTTGTGGGGTGAGAATTTGTGACCAATTCGCTTATATGGGCGGCATTTTTGGCGAGAGGAAGGAGGGGGAGGTGGGGGTCCAAAAATGGGTGGAAATGACTAATCAGGTATTGTTATTATTGCGACAATGCCAAACAATAACTCAGCGCGCCGATCGATATGTGGGGCGAAAAAAAATTCGTCCCCAACGGCGGGGAGTGTGGGCGAAAGATAAACACGATGGTTGTGGGGGGGGAGAATGTTCAGTATTTGTGTTGAAACCCCCCACCTTCCCCCCCGAAAGGTTTATGCTTGAGGAAGACGAGGAGGAGGTGATGGGGAAGAGGGGGTCTAAGTACTAGCTGATAGTGCGATAATTTTTGTGTATGCCTTCCACTCTTTCTCCCTCTTTTACCCAATTTGATATTGATTTATCGCCCAGTTTAAACCGACCGTTTCCGGTTTTTACTACATTATTACGATCATTTTCTTTGCTGGGCGACGACGCACAATTGCGGACTTTTTGTTGATTGGTCGAGAAAATGCCGACTGACCGTGTACTCGAGATTTTTCTCGTCACACCTTAATCGGCGCACAATTGCGGACTTTGTTTTTTTTTCAATTGTCAGACACTTTAAATGACGCACAATTGCGGACTTTTGTTGATTGGTCGAGAAATTGCGGACTTTTGTTGCTGCTTATGCTTTTTTTTTGTTGGATGCGATTTGATTTTCTGACCGTACTCGAGATTTTTCTCGTCACACCTTAATCGGCGCACAATTGCGGACTTTGTTTTTTTTTTTTCAATTGTCAGACACTTTAAATGACGCACACATGCGGACTTTTGTTGTGGCTTATGTTTTTTTTTCTGTTGGATGCGATTTGATTTTCTGGCAGTCGTCGAGATTTTCTCATGACGCCTTAATCGACGCACAATTGCGGACTTTTCGATTTCTACGCGATATTCATTTAACTTGACGCGAAATTATGGGGTTTTTCAATTTTTGCACTTGATTTGACGCGAAATTGCGGACTTTTTGATTTCGACGAGACTTGCTGTTAATTTGACGCGAAATTGCGGACATTGACCGAATTTCGGCAATATTCATTTTAGATGACACTTGAATTGACGAAAAATTGCGGAAACCATAAATATGTTTATTGAAATTCGTATATTCCTTTTTTTTCGCGGAATTGCCGACCGATGACACTTGAATTGACGACATATTGCGGACTTTTGACGTGACACTTGAATTGACGAAAAATCGCGGAGAATGAAACGTTTTCTGAAATTGGTTGCGTGACCGACTTAAATTCGCGTGTTGACGCCACCGTATACATGATAATTGACGCACAATTACACAACTTTTTATTTTTGCGACGACTACTGTAGAGTGTGACCTACCGTACTCGAAAAAAAAATGGAAAAAATAAAAGATTGTCTGTTAGGCGCGCAATTAGCGATCGTCACCCAATTATTATTTGATTGATGGGCGGCGTGCTGCCGACATTCAACGAGGCCCGTGTGAATGCGAAAAAGAATTTATGAAACGGAATGTTGAGTGATTCGACGAAACAAATTGATGGTCCCTCTCTCTCTGGGCCTCCTAGACGACGTCCTTGTGGAAGCTCAATCGCCACTTCTTGCGTTTGCCGTCGCTTTTCGATTTGTCGCGCAACGCGCTCTTCGGCAACACCAACGTCGTCGCCGTCGGCGGTTCGGTGGTGGCGCGCTGAAGCGGCACGGCGGCACCGCCGACGACGCGCGTCTGTCTCGACGAGCTCGACGCCGCCGCCGACGACGACGACAATCCGATGAGTGTCGGCGAGGCGCCGATCGGCCGATGCGTCAAATGGAACGACGCCAGCGATCTAGATGAATCCTTTTTTTGCGATTGGTTTGGTTACGGTAGCACGAGTTGCGTTACCTCGACGTGTCGTTGACGATGTTCAGCGATCTCAGCGATGTGGTGTCATTGACGCTGCGCGCCTGCGAACAACAAAAACCTAGAGTAATGTTTAAAGGCGCATACCGACAAATTGCACGAGGCCAACGAGTAGCGATCGTCCTGGCTCATCGTCTGTATCATCTCGTCGTAGAGCTCCTGCCAGATGACGTCGGGCACCTTGCAGCCGGGAAGCGGCTCGATGATCTGGCAGCTCGTCGCGCCGCGCAACTAGAACACACATCACACGTTGAGACGAATTGGTCCCAAAAGGAATTGGTCCCGCCCGCAAACCTTTTGCTCCAAATCAATGAGCTGCTGGAAGAAGCCGACGTTCGGGCAGATGATGTTGCGCGCCGTCTGCACCGCCTTGTAGGCGTCGTGAAGCGACTTCCTAAACGGCTCGTTTGCGCCTTTTCTTTTTTTTTTTTTTTGATCTACCACCCACTTTTCGTGCTGCATCACGTAGGCGATGGCGAACGTCGCCGATCGCGAGATGCCCATCGCGCACAACAGCAGGGCCCTTCCTTGGCCTTTTCGCGCCTCTTCGATCTCCTCAACGATGACTACAGTAACCGCTACCGTAACCGACGACGACCCTACCTTATATACATTGGCCCAATGGCCGGTGAGATCGGTCTTCTCGTCGTCCTGCAATGGCAAATGGACGACCTTCATGTGGCTTGGAGCCGAGAGTCGAAAACCCGGTATCAGATTGATTGTCACGCAGAATTTCGCTGCAAAACGAGACGTCAATGTGGTGTGCAATTGCGCGTCGAATCAGGTGCATAACGTTGCTGCTCAACATGATTTGCGATTGTGTGCAAATTGTCGTCGGTTATGATGTATTAAAATTGTTTTTTTTTTTGAAGATTTTTTCAAATTTCGTTCGAAACTCGTAGAAATTGAAAATGTCCGTAAGTTTGCGTCAAATTAAGTGCAAATCTTGCAAAAATCGAAAAATGCGCAATTTCGCGTCAAATTAACTGCAAATTTTGTTAAAATCAAAAAATCCGTAATTTCGCGTCAAATTAAGTGCAGATCTTGTTAAAATCGAAAAGTCCGCAATTTCGCGTCAAATTTAATGCAAATCTTTTAGGAGCTGAAAAGTCCGCAATTTTGCGTCAAATTAAATGGAAAGCTTGTTAAAATCGAAAAGTCCGCAATTTCGCGTCAAATTAACAGCAAATGTTGTTAAAATCGAAATATCCGTAATTTCACGTCAAATTAAATGCAATTTTTTTCTCTAGAAACTGAAATGTCCGCAATTCATCATAATCGACGACAAAAAGCGATAAAAGTGCAGTTTTCAAGCAAACTGAATAAATCGCTTCATCAATATCGCTGAGCACACTCAAGTACTCAAAAAAAAACGAATAAAGATAGAAGCGAAACCGGCCATAAATTGTGGTCGTCGGCGAAGACGAGAAAAAAAAGAAGAAAATTTAATGATCGTCGTCGTCGTCGTCGTCGAGACCCAGGTGGTGGTTTCCTGGCGCCGGAAATACGCGGACTTCATGCAGCTCTCAATCGAGCGCTCTCACTTACACAAAACGCGCGGCGACAACGCGGCGAGACCCGACACATACAAGTACGGTCGAATTTGCGAGCATTGCCGCTGCTCGCGATTGATGATCCGTCGCGACGTCATCGTCGTCTCGACGCTTCTTCTCGTCGTCGTCGTCGTCGACGGCTTGAAATGCTATAGTTGCTCGTTCTCGTTCAACGAGATGTACGACGCCGAGCACAGGTAGAGTGGGGGCGGGGGCGGGGCGGGATGGTCCTCCTGTAATAGCGATGTGAGATTTTGGTGTTGTAGGGACGCGTGGTGCGCCAACGAATCGCTCGTTCAGTTCGACGTCGACGAGACGGCGAAAATTTGCGCGCCTTGGGAGAAATTCTGTGTGGTGAGTCGAGACGCCAACACCAAACACCCCCTGCACACCAATTTGGTAATTTTCTTTTTTTTTGCTAGACCGCCGTCACCACCATCAACAAGGCGTTCACGTCGGTGACGCGCGGATGCGGCGAGCGATGCTCGGAGTTGTGCGAGTCGATCGGCTACGGTCAGGATCAGGTGAGGCGAAACCCGCACGCGTGTCCGCAGCACGCTTACATGCCAATAGTAGATGTAACAAAAAAAACAACAAAGAGAAAGCGTTTCGCTTCGATGCGCGCACCGATGCCAAACAATGGGTGAGGGCGGAGACTTCATGCTAGGGGGGGGAGGGAGGAGCTGGACGAGCTCAAAAGAGCATGAGCTAGAGGCGAAAGGTGGAGAAATTCAAAACCAGGCGCGCGCGCGTGGCCGCAAAGTTTATGAAAATTTTATGTTTCGAAAAGCGCTCGAATAAAGCGAGGTGCAAGTTGGCGTCAAATTCGGTGTTGAGTCCGCAAATGAATCGTCTTCGTCGGAGATTTGTGCGACGACAGCCGCGCTCCCAAAAATTTATGACTAATTAATGTGGCGGCAGCTGACAACGATGAAGATGACGATGGAACAAAAAAAAAACGAAAACTTTCGAGTTTTGTAGTTTCGCTGCCTCCTCTCCCACCACTACCGTAATCAGCTACCGTAATCCGTTGCAGGTGAATTGCGACGATTGTTGCGAGGAGGATTTGTGCAACGCCAACTTCTCGGTGCAGTACTACGAGGTGCTCATGAGCCGACAGTACACCTCATGGACTACGCCGCTGCCCGGCGAGGTACGCAATTTTCGCGAGCACACCCCCTTTAAGAAAATTTCTGCAATTTGGCGTCAAATGTGATGTTTCGGCACTGTGTTTAAAATAATACGAAAATTTCTGCAATTTGGCGGCAAATGTGATGTTTGGGCACTGTCTTTAAAATAATATGAAAAATTCCGTAATTTGGCGTCAAATGCGATGTTTGGGCACTGTCTTTAAAATAATATGAAATTTTCTGCAAGTTGGCGTCAAATGTGATGTTTGTGCACTACCTTTGAGAAAAGTTGAAAAATTCCGTAATTTGGCGTCAAATGTGATGTTTGGGCACTACCTTTAAGAAAAGTTGAAAAATTCCGTAATTTGGCGTCAAATGCGTTGTTTTTTGGGACTCTAAGAAATTTTTTAAAAAAATCAAAATAATGTGTAAATGTTCGTCAAATATGATGTTTTGAGAGAATGCTCAAAAAAGAGCAGACTTCACAAAAAAAATAGAATTAGTCGGTAAATTGGTGCTTTACATTTTGAGGCTACCTTGAAGAAAAAAATGTAATTTTCTGTAATTTGCCGTCAATTGTGGTGCATTGGAACGGACTTTTCGTGAAAAGCGGATTTTCTGCAATTTTGTGTCAAATTGGCTGCCCCCTTTATGAAAATATTTTAGTTTTTCAACAAATTGGCCTATATTTTAACTTTTGGTGCACCCCTTTAAGAAAATATAAAAATTTCTGCAAATTTGCGTCAAATGTGTTGGACGCCCCTTTAAAAAAATTTTTAAAATATCTTCAATTTGGCGTCAAATTTAATGTTTGGACATCCCTTTAATAAAAATTTTTAAAATTCTGCAATTTATCGTCAATTTTAATGTTTGGGCATCCCTTTAATAAAAATTTTTAAAATTCTGCAATTTATCGTCAATTTTAATGTTTGGGCATCCCTTTAATAAAAATTTTTAAAATTCTGCAATTTACCGTCAATTTTAATGTTTGGACGCCCCTTTAACAAAATTTTTTGGAAATTCTGCAATTTATCGTCAATTTTAATGTTTGAACACCCCTTTAATAAAATTTGTTGGAAATGCTGCAATTTGTCGTCAAATTCAATATTTGGACGCCCCTTTAAGAAAATATTGAACTTTCTGCAATTTGTCGTCAAATTTAATGTTTGGACACCCCTCTCATAAATTTTTTGGAAATTCTGAAACAAATTGCAGGTGGAATGGAATCGAAAACGAAACATCAAATTTCCGTACTCGATCGCCGTCGCACCAACCCATAATTTGCTCGTCATATGTTTTCTGTTGATTGCCGCTTAGTAATTGATGTGGAATAGAAAAAAAAACGAGCACAGAACCCAACGATTCGAATTGAAAATTGGAGTTGTTCGACGGGAAAAAAAAGAGCGAATATGGGGAAAAATTTTTTTTTTGAAAAACGCGAAAAACCCGACGTACTCAAGTGAAAAAAAAGGAAGAAATGATTCTTGATTTTTTTTTTGAGACGCTCCTGCAATTGTCCGCATCACAATTCCTATAGCAACGAGTGCTGCGGACATCTCGCGACTTTCGCGACGACATTCCTACAGTGGGGACCATCGAGGGTTTTCCGGTGGGACAAAAAAAATGAGAGAAAAAAGTGAAAAGTTGCGGCAAACAAGATTATAAGGCACCGAGTCTTCAGAACACCCCGCAACTCTGTTTTTTTTCTCCTCTCTTCACCCCCCTCTTGAGTAGAAGCTCGAAGGGGGGGGGGCGAGGAAGGCTTTATCGAAATAAAATCTTAATGTCGCTTTCGGCTTTCGATGGTCCCCGGAGGACGTGAAGATAGTGGGGGGGGATTGACCCCGAAACGCTAAAACTCTTTAGCCCATTTATCTTTTTTCTCGTTATTTTGACACCGCCCCGCCCAAATTGTGCTTGTTTCTGCGACACACCGAAACGAGGTTCGACGAATCAAAGAAGAAGACGAGTAGAAAAGGAGAGAAAAAAAACGCGGCAATTTATCAAGTTGACATATTCGGCGCTGCGCCGCCGCCGCCGCCAACTCGAAAACTTTTTTTTTTTTTTTTTTTTTGAGAGGACACCAAAAATGGAATTCTTCCCAACACACCCACCAATGACAGGATTACGGTAGCACCGATTTATTTCATAAATTGTCATCAATTTTTGCGATACGGTAGATCAAAGCTGTGAGAGAAACTTGGATTACGGTAGATCATAGTTTTGAGCTTCTCGGGGATTACGGTAGGACCAATTGATTCCAATATTGGGTTAGCATAAATTGTCAAACATTTCTTGGGGTTACGGTAGATCATTCATTGTTCGATGGGCACCTCTGGGCTACAGTAATCTGTGAGAGAAGTTTGGATTACGGTAGATCATAGTTTCGATGATTACGGTATATTCTCATAAATAATATTCACTGAAATTTTTTTTGGATTACTGTAGACGCCTTCTAACTAGCCTAATCACTATAGTCGGTGATACTGTAGAAAATTTGAATTCAAAAAAAAGCCTCTCAGATTACGGTAGTTATTTTTTTGTATGCCAATTTTAAATTACGGTAATGTTACGGTAGGCAATTTTAGATAATATCGAACTCGCGGAAAAATTCCCAAAAAAATAAATGCGAACCGCTCAACTGTCCGCAGCTGCAAAGAGATTTTGCAGGCTTTTTATTTTCTTTAGAACGAACAGCTGCGGACAATCAAGCGGGTCGAAGAATGAACCGAGTTCGGGGGTCCCGACGCGAAAATTAAAAATCTGATAGAAAGATTTCGGATTGACGGATTACGGTAGTTGGGTCCTAAAGCGAAAATCCACTCATCAAAAAAGACGACGACAGTAGATCAAAAAGAAAATTGTGGCCACAAAATGGGCGAGCCGGAAGACGGCGTCGAACTCGACGCAAATTTCAAAAAACCGGAAACCATTTTGTTTTTTGGGTTTTGTGCAAAAGAAGAAAAAGACGAGGAAGACGAAGCGGGTGGGTGGTGTGGGGTGGGGGGGGGGAGCTGGAGCAGCCGGAGGAGGTCGAGCAGGAGGCGAAAGGTGAAAACACGATGAGGGATGATGAAGCTTGGACTCTCGAGCTCCGCGAGTAGTAATTGACACAAGTGTCTTGTGGCAGGTCAAACATTGAAATAGAAAGCTTTCGAGAAGAGCGAGAGAGTGAGCAAACCGCCGTCATCAGCTGCTCGATTTCTCAAATGTTTTAGACGGCTTTTGAACAATGCGCGCAGATGAATTGAGCATTAGAGATCAAGATCAATGTATTTCTAGATGCTTTTTCCATTTATAGCGCTGGAAAACTAATTTTGAACAGGTGAACAAAGAGGCAAAAGGTGAATTGCCGGCATGCGGGTTCAAAACCGCGCCATCAGTGTGCAAGCCGCCTCGGTGCAAACGAAATGCTCCAGTTCGGACGTGGGACTGCTCCCGTTCGAATGTAAAACTGCTCTCGCTCGACGTCGGAGGGGGCGCAGTTTCACGTCCGAACGGGGACAATTCACGCCCGAATGGGAGCAGTCTCACGCCCGAACGGATGTGAGACTGCTATCAAACTGCGACAAATTGGTTGCGAATTGGGCCCGATTCACGCCAGATTCTCGTTCGAACTGGCGCCAGATTACGCCCAGTCGGCTCCAGTCAAATTTTATTCTTTTTGTGTATTCGCTACAATTTGGATGCATTAGATTTATAAAAATCAAATAATAAAATAAAATAATAGATATCGAAGGAAAAATATTAATTATCGAGTAAAGAGGAAGAAAATGGGAGGGAGAGGGAACATTAAAAGCGGGTTCGAGGAATTACTGTCGCGGAAATCGGAAAATAAACTAAATGCCAAAAAATGAGAAATGTCTTGGCCCACGGCATGAGCCTCAATACTTATATTTTGTCCGTATATCTACACATTTAGTTTTGCACCAAGACATCTCCTTCAATTTTTGACACTTTGTAATTTTCCGCAATTTTACGACAATTAAATACAATTAATAAATGTATTAAACCATCTTACAACAGGAAGGGGATACAAATTCTTCTTCCCCATGACTCTTGACATTTCATCCATTTGGGATGTTTCCTAGGTCTTCGCATTATGAGCTGGGTCTAGGTTGAAGCAGTTAGCAGCTTGTAGTTTCATTCTGAAAACAAGGGTTAATTGATGATAGCATCAATATTTTATAATACTTACTCAATATTTAATTCCAAAAAAACCAGTTGGTCCTCCAGTAAGCATATAGCCAATTCATCCAGCATCGCATTCAGCATCAGAAATCAGCATCGCAGCTTGCCATCTCATTTCTAAATTATAAGTGTTTGAAAGATATTTGAATTGCGAAAAACGACGAGAAATAATGCGCAAATTTAAAATCAATTTCTATTCACTTATCGAACCTTTACCGTTATAACAAAACTTTAAAAGTTCTCCTAATTTAACATCATTTTTGCATTTAAAACCATCCAAAAACGTGTTTCCGGCTTTTAATGGCAAAAATCAATACAAATGTGTCTGAAAACTACTTTTTTCTTAGAAAAGACAATGAAAATGCCCAAAAGTTTCAGTTAAAAACATAGGATAACAAAAAGACGCGAAAGTTTAATAAAAAACAGAAACGTTCCACTAAAATACGAGCGAATTGATAGATACACATTTTCTTAAGTTTTAGAAAAAAGAATTACGAAAAAAGCTCGAGAAATGATCGAAAAAAAGCAATAAAAGTGTTTAAAATAAAAGACGCCATTTCGAAAAAAAAAACAACCGCGACGCGGCAATTCCGCGGCGCGCTATTTTGAATTGCTGCGGCACACCATTGACTGCTCCCGTTCGGGCGCAAATTTGGCTACCCGCTTCAGTTCGGACATGCGTCGGCGCCAGATTGGGCAATGTTGTCCAAACTGGAGTCGTTAGTTAACTGTAGTGAATGTCTGGCTCCCGTTCGGGTGCTCACGCCCGAACTGGAGTCAACCGCTAAAAACCCCTACTCCCAATTGGATGCAAATTGGCTGCAGTTCGGAAGTTGAAATAATCCTCTCCAGTTCGGAAGTCCGCCTGCCACCGATTGAACGCTATCGCCCGAACTGTACCAGTGGGAACTTTTCGGTCCCAGTTCGGGAGTGTGTTGGCGACCAATCGAGCGCTATCACCCGAACTGGAGCAAATCGTTTGCACCGAGCGCGCAACGAACCACCTGCGCCACACCGGTGCTGATAGTCGCTGAGTAAGCGGCGATGATAAGCTGGCGCATGTGGAATTTTAAAACTCACATCAGAGTATTATAAAAATCCATCATTTCCCTATAATTGCTTTAATTGGTCTGAAAATTGTAATACTTTACACGGCTCTAAACCGCCTAAATATGAGCAATTTTGGATAATTCAAATTCGACAACAAATAAAAAAACAAATTTTTTTTGATTTTTTCAATTTCACCAACTTTGCTGAAAATTGACGTGGGGAGTTTTTTTTTTCAATTTTTTAAGCGGAAATTTATATTCGACCAACAAGAGAGAGTCAGATTTTAATAGGAAATTCGTAAATTTAACATTAAAATAAAATATATTTCGAAATTCTAGTATGAATTTCTGGCAAATAATTCCAAAAATAGAAAAAAGAAATATTTTGAATTTTGTACTTGAATGTTTGATTCTTTGAAAATTGATGGAATTCAAATTCGAGTTTAGGCACGATCCTAGAAAAACAAAATTTCACATTTTCACCTTTAAATACACATTCAAGAATTACAATTCTGCCGACAAAAATGGAAAAAGGAACGCAAAAAGCGAAATTTGTGAGAAATCGTAGTGGGTGGGTGCAAAACCTCGGCGATCAGCGTACAAGCGGCGCGACAAACCAACTGCGCTGTCTTGACTGCAATAATTGTGCTGGCAAACGGCAGTGATAAGCCAGCGGACAAATTTTGAGAGCGCTCGAAAAATTGTCAATATTACGCGAATACGCGAATAACCATGTCAAAAACTCAATGAATCGCTAAACATTTTGCCGAGTAGGTGGCGTTTCTCGTGTGCGCATCAATGCGCCAATTTTCTGGTCCGTCAAACCCTCGCAAAACCGAGTCATGTGCCCAAATATGACTAAAAACGCGTAAAACGAAAAAAAAAAGGGGGGAGGGTGTATGAGAAGTTGCGATTCTTATCAATATTTGCTCAATGATAAAGAAGAAGTTCAGTCATGCTTCAACAAATTTTCGCACTACCTGTAAGGCGAATTTCCAGCGCGTTGAACCATTTCATTGTTTCTTTTTGTTTTTCAGACCATGCCCTTCCACAGAGACATTGATAATGGTCTCACGACGGGCTCGAGCATCGAAATTCTCGCAAAAGTCTATCAGGATCAAAAGTTGGTCGAATTTCGCAATTATTTCATTTTTTTTTGAAAAAAATTTCAGAAATCCCACAATTGCGCTGAAATCGCTGAATAATGATGGCGCGTTGGTGATAACGATTGTGATGGTCCCAACGCCAAAAGTGGGCGTTTTTTCTTTTTACCCGAAAAGAAAAAACATTGTTCAGATCAGAATCGAATGCGTTCTCAGCGGCAAATCGTCGACGCCGATCGAGAAGGCGGCGATTCGCGTCGGCTATCAAAGCGACTTCAAGCTCACCATTGTGACCCTTCAATACGCGTTTCGGGTACGGGTTTGTGGAAGAATCTGTGTTTTTTTGTTTTTCGAATTCACCGTTTCAAAAATTATTGATTTTTGATAAAACTGAGGCAGCGTAGTGGTGGTGGTGGCTTATCAACGCCATTCGATCGCGCGCCGATCACCGGTGTAATGGCGCTATGGATGTGTCGCAGAGCTCGCGCGCGGAGCGTCACGGTTTTGAATCCGCACACCACAAACCCGACCATTTTTGCAGATCGATTTGAACGGCGAGCACTTCGCCGACTTCGTCCACCGCATCCATCCGTCGCAAATTCGCAAGATCTCCATCGAGGGGCCGATGATCTGCCAAGAGGTCGTCATAAATCCGGCGAAAAGTCGACGAATCAATTGTTGTCGATCGACAATCAATATCAATTGCAGATCTGCCGTCGTACGAGCAAGCCACGTCGCCTCCAACAAATCTGATGGCCAATGTGAAGTTGGAGGAGGAGAAGCGCGAAGCGCCGTCGCCCGACGACGACGATCCGCTTCCGCCACCGCCGCCGCCGCCGGGACCATCGTTCAACTTCACCGGCGGCCTACAGGGCTTCTCCAATCATCCGGTACCGTTGCCGGGGCTCATCGGCAACGAGACGAACGCCTCGCAACAGAATCCGGTCGGCCGTTTGGATGGTCCGGCACCGCCGGCGCCGCCGGCGCAATTCAGTCCGGTAGATCAAAAATTTCAAAAGTCCCAAATTTGGTGATATCACTCGATTACAGTACTCGCCAGCCGGCGCTCAATACGTGCCAACACCGACGAAAGACAGCGTGCCGGTAATTAATTATGTGCCCCCCCCCAATTAAGCGGCCATCCTTAATTGCCCTTAATTGCAGTGCCAACAGGGTGTGACTGTGCCGGTCGCCAGGCCCGTCGTTCAGCCAACCGTACCCGTCGGCCAGCAACCTGGCTATCGGCCGGTGAGTTTTTTTTCGCGAAACCCCTCTAAAACGAGTGTTACAGTATGCCAATCAGCAAGCTCCGCCCACTGGCGCTCAGGTAGGTCCCCCCCCCCGGCCATCTCACACAGTTTGAACTATTGTTACAGTACCCCCCGCAAACGCCCGGCCTACCGTACACCGTGGTTAGTTTGAGCCGACACAATTTCGAGGAGATCTCGAATTTCAGACATTCCCGCCGTCGACGCCTGTTGGTAATCCCACCACCATGATGGTGAACCCTTATGCGCCACCACCACCACCGCCACCGCCACCAACTGTTGGCGTTGCGCCATTGGTGCAATATCCGGTGTACCAGATTGGCGCAGGATGCTATCCGATGGTGTACTATGAAGTCGATTATTGCTATCCGCATCATCATAGGGTAATTAGCGGCAATTAATTGGTAATTAAGGGCAATTATGATTTCAGCATCATCATCATCATCATCATCATTAGAATTCTAATTGTTGATTTTTGATTTAAATGAAAAAAAATTTTAATAATAAAAAATCTTTGTTGAAAAAAAAACAAAGCATTGCAAAAAATGGGAATGTCACGGGCTGGCGTCGATCCAGCGGCTTTTCGCACGCCAGTAAATCAATTGGAATCTAGAAAATTGGAATCACTAGAAGCATGAAAATGGCATAAATATATCACAGAGGCGAATTTTGTAGAAAAATTGGAATTATAACACTTTTGCATAGAATAGAATGAATATGATTAATGCGGTGATGAGAATGACGCCGGTTGTGATTATGCAAATCTTCTTCTGAAAAAAAATTGTCGAAAATTTGTTTTCAAAGAAAAAACATAGAAAAAAATCTGAAAATTTGACATAAAACACAGAAATAACACAAAGATGGTTTTTTTTTTCAATTTTAGGCCTAAAATTGTCATCAGATTACTGTAGATTTGTAATTTCCGGAAAATTTCGAAATTTTGGACCAAAAATGGATTTTTTTTTCAATTTCAGGCCTGAAATTGTCTTCGAATTACTGTAGTTTTGTAATTTCCGGAAAATTTCAAAATTTTGGGCTAAAAATTGAATTTTTTTTATTCTAGACCTGAAATTGTCCTAAGATTACTGTAGTTTTCAAAATCCGTGAAGATTTCCAATTTTGAGAAAAAAATTTACGATTTTTCAAAAATAAAAAAATTTTAGGCCTGAAATTGTTTTCGGATTACTGTAGTTTTCAAAATCCGTGAAATTTTCCAATTTTGAGTTTAAAAAAAAAATAAAAATAAAAATTTAGACCTGAAATTGTCCAAGGATTACTGTAGTTTTGAAGCTGTATGAAAATGTGACATTTTTAGTCAAAAATTGAAAATTTTCAAAAAAAAATTACTGTAAAATTTTCCATTTTACTGTAGTCTCCATCCTCAAATTTTGTCGAATTTTTACCAAAAAAAAATTGCAAAAATCGAAAAAATCACCAATTTCTTCGCGTTTTCGCAAAAAACCACACTCAATTTTTGGCAATTTTCAAAAATTGACATAAAGTGAAAAAAAAACCGTACACATACAAGCGGGTTGGGTGATTAAACATTTATTAAACTAAAAAAAATTGAAAAAAAAAATAACAATCGGCTAGAAATTCTTGGAAAAAATTCCGACAAAGCGCGATTAGTCATTATTAATAGTGGTCAAGCGGGTTGAGAGGGTACAGAGAAAAAAAGAGAGAGAGAGAGAGAGAGAGAAAAGCGATGGTGAGAGAGAGATCATACAGAGAAATACACACATACACACAATTGGTCGAGAACATGATGACAATAGATCAATTATGTATAATTAGCGATAATTATAAATAAATAAATAAATAATATTGAAGAAAAATCGCGGAAAGGCAGTGTGATCTATTGGAAATCGAAACGAACAAAAAATAATTGAAAAGTATTGCGTGAGCCACGTATTTTTCCTCAAAATCTAGCATTTTTTTTTTTCTCAAAACTCAAATTTTTTGCGAAACGAGGCGGTAGATCAAACTTAATTGGCTAGTAATTAGTGCACCCCATCCTTAATTGGTGTGGGAGAGGCCGATTGTCTCAAATGCCGGGAATATATTGGACGAGCCAAAGCGACAAAATCACTATGATTATCGTGACGACGATCAGTATAATGATCTTCTTCTGAACAATTTTTGACACATTTTTTTATTGGTCAAATATGGTCTCAAATGGAATTACGACACCGATTTGCTATTTCATTTTTTTTTTGGAATGATATGAATTTGGAACAAAAAATATATATTCTAGTTTTTTTCGGGCCGAGCACAAATAAATTGTTGTGCTCATCCGATTTTTTGGCGATTTTTGTCCACTGTCGGATTACCTGTAGAAAATGCGCATTTTTCTTGAATAAAAAATTGAGTTTCGCAAAATTTAGCCTTCAAATTTTTTATTTTTGACAAAAATCCACAATTTAGGCTTCAAATTGTTATCGGATTACTGTAGATTTTAAAACTTGCATTTTTCTTGAATAAAAAATTGAGTTTCGCGAAATTTTGCCTTCAAAATTTTTATTTTTGACAAAAATCCACAATTTAGGCTTCAAATTGTTATCGGATTACTGTAGATTTTAAAACTTGCATTTTTCTTGAATAAAAAATTGAGTTTCGCGAAATTTTGCCTTCAAAATTTTTATTTTTGACAAAAATCCACAATTTAGGCTTCAAATTGTTATCGGATTACTGTAGATTTTAAAACTTGCATTTTTCTTGAATAAAAAATTGAGTTTCGCAAATTTTAGCCTTCAAATTTTTTATTTTTGACAAAAATTCTCAATTTAGGCTTCAAATTGTTATTGGATTACTGTAGATTTTAAAAAATGCATTTTTCTTGGACCAAAAATTGAATTTCGCGAAATTTTTGACAAAAATTCTCAATTTAGGCCTTAAATTGTCATAAAATCGAATTTATGTTAAAAAATTTCCATTTATAGCAATTTTAGGCCTAAATTGTTTCCAGATTACGAAAAATTTGCGATTTTTGATAAAAAATCATTTTAGGCTTCAAATTGTCACCGGATTACTGTAGAATTCGAAATTTGCGAGATTTACAAAAAATTGACTCAAAATTTTTTGATTTTTTGCAATTTTTAGGTCTAAATCGCTTCTAGATTATTGAAAATTCTGAAAATTCGCCTAAAATCAAAATTCTGGTGAGTCTTTTTCTCGCTTGGCAAAATTTTCGCAATTTTAGGCTTCAAATTGTCATCGGATTACTGTAGACGTTGAAAATTCTTTGGATTGGCGCCAAAAAATCGGATTTCAAAAAAAAAAAACAAAAACGAAAAAAAAAGCGATTAGCTGAAAGACACATGACACGACGACACCATTACACACACACACACACACCCAAGCACAGAGAGACACGTAGATCAGATTCTGAAGCGTTTCGACGACGACGATGTCGGCGCGACGAGACGCGTCGTCGTCCGATTCGCCAACACGACCCACAGAACGACGGCGACGACACAACAGAGCAGCACGAGCACCAATATCAGACAAATGAACACTTTTTTCTACAAAACACAAAATACGCACCCGCCGTCGGTTTTTGATAGTGCCCCCCCCCTTCACCTGTGTGCGAGTTTTAAAGGCGCATGGTTATTGTAGACCTTGGGGGATTGTCTCGGCGCAAATGTAAAGATGTAGGATTACTTTAGCCCTTGGGGATCGTAAATTTAAAGGATCATGATTACTGTAAGTTTTGGGATCGTAAATTTAAAGCGACAGGATTACTGTAACCCTTGATATCGTCTCGGCGCAAATTTAAAGGTGCAGGATTACTGTAGGTCTTGGTATCATAATCTTAAAGTGACATGATTTCTGTAGGTTTTGGGATCGTCAATTTAAAGGCACATGGTTACTGTAGGCGTTGAGGCTCGTCAATTTAAAGGCGCATGGTTACTGTAGGCGTTGGGATCGTAATTTTAAAGGGACAGGATTTCTGTAGGTTTTGGGATCGTAAATTTAAAAGCCCATGGTTACTGTAGGCGTTGGGGGCTTGTCAATTTAAAGGCGCATGATTACTGTAACCCTTGAGATCGTCTCGGCGCAAATTTAAAAGCGTCGAATTACTGTAACCCTTGGAATCCCAAATTTCAAGGCGCCGGATTACTGTAAATGATTTAAAGGCGCATTGGGGGGATGAGAGAGACGATGGGAGGACACTATCAAAAATTGTGGCGATCATCACAACGACGACGACGAAGACGACGAATAAAAAACTGGCGTACCCTTCTCGCTTTGCTCTGATACTGCACCGCCTTTTTGGTGTCGGCGACGGCGCGATCGACGAATTCTTTCGCGTGTTCGACGTTGTACTCGATGCGATCGACCATCTCGCCCTGCAATCGCATCATCGTGTGTGACGTCGCGGCGCGACCGACGACTCACCTGACTCTCGACGAGCATCGCCATGTCCATGAACATGTCGTGAAGCTCGCGAATGCTGCTCTCCAACTTCATGATGTCGTTGTGTCGCGCCTCGATGTCGGCCAACGTCTGCTTCGCCTGCTGCGTGTCGGTGATGATGCCTTGCGTGAACACGCCCGGATTGCCGCTCTCGATCATCTCTTCGAGATCGTCGTCGCCGACTTGTTTTCCGGCTGCAATCAATCACCTTTTTTTTGCTTCTTCTCATTTTTGTGCAATTTTGCGTTAATTCTAGAGCATATCTGATTTTGTGTGCAATTTTGCGTCGTTTTTAATGTTTAGCCACTCAATTCTACTCAAGTGAACAATTTGTGCAATTTTGCGTCGTTTTTGAGCTAATTTCTGTATCTGTGCAATTTTGCGTCAATTCTAGAGCATATCTGATTTTGTGTGCAATTTTGCGTCATTTTTAGTGCTTAGCTACTCAATTCTACTCAAGTGAACAATTTGTGCAATTTTGCGTCATTTTTTGTGCTAATTTCAGCAAAATTCACTTTCTGTGCAATTTTTCGTCATTTATAGCGCATATCTGTTTTTCTTTTAAATTTTTCATGTTTTGAGTATCAAAATTGCCTTATTTCCACTTGAAGTGACCTTTTGTGCAATTTCGCGTCAATTCTAGCGCACATCTAACGTTGTGTGCAATTTCGCGTCATTTCTCGTGTTTTCAGTATCGAAAATTCCAAATTTTCTTCAAAAATTTTCGTATTAGTGCAATTTCGCGTCGATTATTGCGCAACACCCATTTTTCCGCGCATTTCGTCGTCGTTCGCAATTTTTTCTGTAATTTCCCGTCATTTCTAGTGTTTCACATAACAATCGGTGCAAATTGTCGTCAAATCGCGCGCATTCGCCCATAACATTGCAATTTGTGTGCAGTGTGTTTTTTTTGCGCCCGTCTCAACACTTCCGTAATTGCGCGTCAAATGTGACGTTTCCGCTCCGTCAATAATAGTGCATTGTGTCGTCAAATTCGGTGCACATTTGTTTTCCATCGTCTCCCAAAAGAGAACCCGCATAATTTGATGTTCTTGGCGAGCGAGAGCAAGCGCAAAAAAAAACGGGGAATTCTTTGAAAACGTCGTAAAATATGATGTATTACATGGCGTTTTTCCCCCTTCGTTTTCGCCAAAAAAAACGAGGTCAAACAAAATTTTTTTTTCGACGGAAATAATGCCGACGTGTTCTTCAGTGCCTTTTTCGTCTTCGGCCAAAAAAAATCGAAAAGCGAAAGACAAGCAAACGAATGATGAGTAATGTCGAGCGACGTGCTTCTTTTTCTTTTTTGTTGTTGAAAACATAAAATTGTCGTCAATTTCGATGTTTCAATGGTCCGCAAACACCGACAACCAATAGTGCACAAATTTTGTTTAAAGGAGGTGGTCAAAATCAAGTCCGCAAACACACAATTAAAATTTTTGATGTTTTAAAGGAGGTGGCAGAGATTTCAGCACTGTCGTCAAATCTAATGTTTTCGGTCCGCAATCACAATAATTTGATGTAGGAATCGCCAAATACGAGTTTTCAAATTTTGTTTAAAGGGGGTGGCGACCCAATTTTGCTTTTTGTCGCAAACACCAAAAATAGTTTCTCATAATCGTTTAAAGGTGGGTGGCTGGCCATATTCTGACTTTTTGCCAGTCCGCAAACACCAAAAAAATTTGTATCGTTTAAAGGGGGTTGAGGACCCAATTTTGAACTCTGCCGTCAAATCTGATGTTTTCAGTCCGCAAACACCAATCAAAAAAATTTTTTAATCGTTTAAAGGGGGTGGCGACCCAATCTTAAACTCTGCCGTCAAATCTGATGTCTCCAGTCCGCAAACACCAATCAAAAAATTTTTTTAATCGTTTAAAGGGGGTGGCGACCCAATTTTAAACTCTGCCCTCAAATCTGATGTCTCCAGTCCGCAAACACCAATCAAAAAATTTTTTTAATCGTTTAAAGGGGGTGGCGACCCAATTTTAAACTCTGCCCTCAAATCTGATGTCTCCAGTCCGCAAACACCACATAAAAAATTTTTAATCGTTTAAAGGGGGTGGCGACCCAATTTCGATCTCTGCCGTCAAATCTGATGTTTTCAGTCCGCAAACACACACCCACACAATTCGAGACTCACCAATATCGAGTTGGCGCTGAATTCTGCCCTTGCATCGCTCGCGATAATCGGTTTGCGTCTTATTATAATCAGTCATCACCTAAAACCAAAAAAAAAGTGAGAAGTGATGAATCAAAAAATAAAAGCGTCTCCGTTTACCTCGACGAATCGCCGCGAGAGCGTGCTGTGTTGGGTCTTGCGAATTCGCAGGTCCGCGTTGCCGGCATTCTGACCCTCGTCGTGCTCGATGGCGTTCTCGATCAGCTTCAGCTTCCCGCGAACTTTGTTCGCCGTCCGTTTGATGCTCGCCATCAGCTCGTCGAGCTCATCTTTCGTCTCTGAATCGCAAACAACCCATCAGAATTGCGAGTCGTCAACCGCATCGACTTACTCTGATCGTTCACCGGATTCGAGAGGATCGCCGAGTGCTTCTTTTTCACCTCTTCGACGTTGTTCGCAATCAAGTCGACACTTCCGCGAATCTCATCGACCTGCTCGAAGAACTCTTCCATGTATTGCGCGTTGCCGGTGTCCATGTGCATATCATCGTCCTGCTCGTCTTCGGACTGCGCCGCTTTCAGCGCCGCCAATCTGAAAATCGAGAGACGGTTCGACAACCATCAAAGCGTCGCACCTGTCTTTAGTCATCTTGGAATCGCTTCAAAATCTGCTTCTTCGCTCACACAACGTTGCCTATTACCGCATATCCCGGCCGCTGTAAAAACAAAATCTATAACTGCCGAGGGGACTCGAACCCAAAAGGGTCGGTGTGGAATCGCGCACGCAGCAACCCGACCACACCACTATGACACATGGTGGACTCGAGCGCGAACGGCGTACAAAACACGGGGCACGCCAGACGCAACGGTTCATTAACCCGTCACATCAAAAGAGGAAAAAATGGAGAAATCGCAAAAAACATCCAAAAAAGAGAGGCAATTTTTCGATTTTCTCAACCAACAACAAAAATGGGCAAAAAAAAGAAGAAAGACGAAGAAATACATACATGGGGCGTGTTGACTAGCGCGAGTGTCATTGGGCCGACAAGAGAGCGCTAGGCGAGCAGGCGCGCGTTGCTAGAGAGCAAGCAGCCAAACCGAGAGGGGGAAAAGCTTCATCTATACATACACTTTCGCCATTCATGGGCTCGAAGCTCCGCCGCCGCTGCGGGCCGAGCAAAGCAATTGAAGGAAGGACGGGGGGGGTTGGCGAAAACGCTTCGGCGCGCCAGGGTCACTTGGAATTCCTAATGAGATGTGCCGGTTGTGTGCACTCGCTCAGGTGGGCTCTCAAAAAACACCAAAAAAGGGGAAATGCTCGTCCCAAATGGGTGTAGGTGGCCAAATGGCGAAGGGATTTTGCAAATCTTGATAAACTTCCCAGTGCGCGTTTGAGCTCTAGGGATTTCGGCCGCTTTTCGCCTTCCATCAATCGACGCCATTCATCGCCTATGCATTGCGCGCGCTTTCTTGTATCCAAAGAAGGCAATCTTATTTTTTTGGGGGGAAGGAGGCTCGAATGTTGGTTGATAACGCTTGTTTGGTTGGCGTATAGTGCAAAATGACGATTTTCTCACCAGAAATTTGAAACCATCCGGTGTTTTGTTTCAGAATAAGCTTTGGGCACACAACGGCATTCAACAGAAAAAAAAGTAATTTTAATGCAAAATAAAATTTTAGGCGTGAAATTGTTCGTGACACCGTCGGGGTACTGTAGGCGACGCGAGTCCGCAATCGCCACGCGCAACTACACACTTTTTTTGTGGCGTCGCGTTTCGTTTTTTTTTTTTGCAATTTTCCCAATTTTCAGGCCAAAAACACAATTCTAGGGGGCGAAAAAAAAAGAAACGGAGAAGCGAAAATTGGCGAGGACGTAATCAAGCCAGTTTCGAGGAAAAAAAACGCGACGAAGACACAAGTTTTTTTCTTTCTTTCTTTCTTCCTCTCTCTCTCACGTTTTTTTTTTCTTAGAATTTAAAAACGACGAACGTGAGCACAGCGACGCAAAAAAAAATGGCGAAATTTCGGCTCGACGCGCGCGCGCGCAAAAAAAAGGAATCGAATTCGATTATTTGCGAGAAAAAAAACGAAACGAACACAAACATTGGCCGGAAAAAAAATTCGGTGTCGCAATTATTCGACATTTTTTTTAGCGCAAAATGAAAAGGAAAATGAATAATCGTGAAATTGCGATTAAAAAAACCAATATTGAATATTGCGTAATCGATTTTTTTTCACAAAAAATTTAATACGAGTTTCGTTTTTTTTTTTGGAAAAATTGAAAATTCCTGTGAATTTCTGAGCGAAAAGTTTTAGTTTTTTGCAAAATTCAGTCGCAAAATTGAGAATTTCGAAAAAAACACAATTTTTTGGTCGAAAAACTCAGATTTTTGCAAAATTGCGTCGCAAAATTGAGAATTTCGAAAAAAACACAATTTTTTGGTCGAAAAACTCAAATTTTTGCAAAATTGCGTCGCAAAATTGAAAATTGCAAAAAAAAACACAATTTTTGGTCGAAAATCTCAGATTTTTGCAAAACTGCGTCGCAAAATTGAAAATTACAAAAAAAAAACATATTTTTTCAATTTTCTGACCGGAAAAAATTAGATTTTTGCAAAATTCCGTCGAAAAATTGAAATTTTCGCAAAAAAACTATATTTTGTTTCATATTTTCGGCCAAAAAAATTAGATTTTTGCAAAATTCACTTACAAAATTGAAAATGGCGCTTAAAATTGCAAAAAATGCGATTTTAAAAATTTGTTGCTCAAAAATTTTGGATTTCCTGCAAAATAATTCAAATTTATTACATTTTTTCAAAAAATAATCCAATTTTCTGCAAAAATTTCACAATTTTTGAGCCAATTAAGCAAAATTCGATTGATTTTTTGAAAAAAAATTAGTATTCAAAATTTTCTCAATAATTTCATATCGAAATTGAGGGTGCGTAGAGAGTCGAAGGAAAAGCAAATTTATTGGCCATCGAAATTTGCAAATTTGACGATTTGCGGTGGGAAATCGCGAGTTTCGTCATTCGATCGCAAGCTGTTTCAACAAAAAAAAAAACGTCCGATGAGCAATTTTCGAAGCGGAAACCAAAAAAATGAATAAAAAACGCAGAAAAAGAATGAAATTTCGCCACAAAAGTGCGCATCCGCGCGCGGATTATAAACTAATCCCCCCGCAATCCCGCTCTCGGTTTGGCATGACGCCGGCAAATCCATCAAAAAGCTAGGCAAAAGGAAAAAAAGTGAATGATGGCGCGAAATTCATACACATATAGTATATAATATATAATATATTCAGGCCGAACGTGAGCGGGGAGGGGGGAGGCGTTTCGTTGTTGTCGATTCGGCCGCCACCGAAATGGAATTCATGTCAAAAGTGGGCGGGGCGGCGGGATGGCCATGTGCGGCGCGCTCGGCGCGCAACACGATCGCATCGCATCGTTCCCAACCAAATTCGAATTAATTTTTTGCGCGTTTTCAGAGATTATGAATCAGCCGTTCAAAAATCAGTTTATCAATGATCGCGATCGATCGCAGCGGTCCGTATTTGGTATGGGTTCTTTTTTTTTCGCGTGAACCCCCATAATTTTGATTTTCAGTTGGAAATATATCGTACGATGTTCCCGAGGATATTATTCGATCGATTTTCACCAAAGTAGGTCATTTGGAATCCGAAATTTGGACTTTCTCGCGTTAAAATTGAAGAGAATCTCAAGAAATTGAGATTGTCGAAAAAAATTGCTAAATTTTTGCGCTTTTCAGGTTGGTCCGGTGGTTTCGATGAAAATGGTCCACGATAGGGAGACGGGAAAACCGAAAGGCTACGGATTCATCGAATACGCCGATGTGAACACCGCCGAAATGGCGATTCGCAATCTTAATGGGTTGGTCCCAATTTTTTTGCGAATTTTCCATAGAAATTTTGAGATTTTTCGAAAAATCATGCAATTTTCGCCCAAAAATCATCGATTTTGATGGAAATTTTTTGGTTTTTACGGGCAAAAAACGCGCGCGAATTATTTGCAGGTACGAATTAAGCGGGCGTCCGCTGCGCGTCGACTCAGCCGCTCACGGCGCGAACACGATCGACGAGATCAGTGCACCGCAGGCGGTCGTCGCGCCGCAAGAGGAGAATCCGTACGGATCGGAAGTCGAGCCCGGCAAGGCTCCAGAAGCCATCTCGAAGTGCGTCGCCTCGTTGGCGCCGGAGAAGATGTTCGAGTTGATGAAACAAATGAAAGACGTGAGATTTTGGGCAATTTCGTTTTTTTTCGCCGAGTTTTCTCGCAAAATTTGCCAATTTTTGAAAATTCGTTGGATTTGGCACGATTTTTAAATTTTTTTCCCACATTTTTTCAGTGGGAGGAATTCGAATTTTCTTTTTATTCCAGAGAATTTTGGCGGCAATTCGAATTTTCAAATTTCTGACATCTCAATTCGTTGGGTTTTGACGCGAATTTGAAATTTGCTCGTCGAAAATCATTTTTTTTTTTCTCTCTCTTAAATTCAGTTTTTTTTTGACATTTTTTGTGTGAAGCTGATTTCTTTCGACGGAAATTCGAATTTACGAGCTGCAAATTTTAAAAAATGGAATTTTTTCCGAAATTTCCCGATTTGGTTTTATGGCGGGAAATTCAAATTTCTGACATCGATATACGTCATTTTGAGACTCTTGTCGGAAATTTGAAAATTTCTAATAAAATCTTAAAAATTGACGTTTTCAAAAAAAATGTTTCGACTATATTTTAGAGCGGCAATTCAAATTAAATTTCATCTTTTTTTCCATATGAATCAAACGCGAAAAATCCAACATTTTTTGGCGGATATTTGAAATTGAAATTTTGGCGGGAATTCAAAAAAATACGAATTGTCGTTGTTTTTTCCAGGCAGTCCACGCGAATCCGAACGAAGTGAAAGCGATGCTGACATCGAACCCGCAACTCGCGTACGCGCTCCTTCAAGCGCAAGTCGTGATGCGAATCGTCGATCCGCAAGTCGCCATGGCGATGCTCCACCGCGAAACCTCCACCAACATCACACCATTCCACCATATGCAAACGTCGGCCGGCCCATCGCCGAGTCCGTTCGCGATGCCCACGAGTAAGAACGCAATTCTATTTTTTTTAGTTTTTTTTTTCCGGCGAAATCGATAATCAGAATCACAAAATTCGCGTTTTTAAGTCACGAATTTGAATTGTTCGAGATTTAGAATTTAAAAAACTAAAAAAAAAATAACGAATATTGCCATTTTCAGCGAGCGCACCAATGAAGCCGCCAACAGTGGCTCCAGTGGCGGTTGGCGGTGGCTATGCGGGTGGCTACGCGCCCGTCACCCAAATGCCGCCACCATTCGCCCAACCGCCGCCGCCAATGGTCGCCCAAACGCCAATGCAACAACAACAACAACAATCCGACATCACGCCCGAAGAGCAACAGAACGCCCAACTCCTCATGCAGGTCATGCAGCTCTCCGAGGAGGAGCTCGAGCTGCTGCCACGTGGCGATCGCGAGAAAATCATCGAACTTCGCCAACAGCTCAAACGCAATGTCAAATAGTGACGAGAAATTTTCGTTTCCTTATATTCTGGTATCTCTCTTCCTCTAATTTATTCTATTGTTTTTTTCTTTTTTTCTTAAATCATAAATTTTGAAAGTGCGCTTCATTGCACCATCGAGTTGAAATTTGGGGAAAAAAGCGTAAAAATTTTGTTTAACTCAAAATGGTCTAAAAATTCGAGACCCTCTGAAATTTGCTGAAAAATGCGAGAAAAAAATTCTCAATTCTTGAATTTTTTCTCTCAAATTCCTCAAAATTGTAAAAATATTGTCAAAATTCGTCTCAAATTCATCCAACTCCTACAATTCTTCTTTCTCATCAAAAACCAATAGGAAGACGCAATTTTTTTTTAAAGGAGCATGCATATATAAAGACGCATACTCAAAAAAAAAAAAATAATATTTAAAAATGGCCAAAAAAAACGAAGAAATCCATCGAGTAGACAAAAAACAACCGCAAAACTCAAAAAAAAATAAAGAAGAGAGAAACGAAAAATTTTTGGGCGTCAATTGTGTCGATTATTGAAGGGTCTTGATGGCCGCCTGGAATCCCGACTCCATCAATTTCGACACGAAAATCTCGATGCGCGTGAAGACGTAGGCCAACGCGTTGGCGATGTTGCGCAGAATGTCCAACGTCATCTCGACGAGCATCTTCGAGCCCGTCACGACGGCGTCGATGAGCCATTGGAAATGCTTGTGGCCCTCTTTTTTGTACCACACCTGAACGGTGTTCACCTGAAACGAATGAATGGGAATCGAAGCAGTTTTAGCAATTAGCAATTTTCGGCCAAAAAAAAACATTCGACTCAAAATTGCACCCATTTTTCTCTGCGCAAAATGATGGCAATTTTCAATTTTCTCCACAAAATGCTCAAATATTGAAAGCGATTTCAATTTTCGCTCAAAAAATAGTCAAATTGCAAAAATTTCTGCTCAAAATTCAAAATTTGCAACAAAAATGCGCAATTTTTCAAATTTTCTTCTCAAAAAATCTCCAATTTTCAAAAAAATCTGCTCAAAATTCAAAATTTTCGCCAATTTTGCTATTTTCTCAAATTTTCACTTAAAAAATTGTAAAATTGCAAAAATTTCTGCTCAAAATTTAAATTTTTCAACAAAAATGCGCAATTTTCTCAAATTTTCAACAAAAATGCGCAATTTTCTCAAATTTTCAACAAAAATGCGCAATTTTCTCAAATTGTCTTCTAAAAAAAATCAATTTTCACCCAAAATTCCCAAACAAAAAAGCCCAATTACCTGCTTTATGACGACTTTCGCGACATTGTCAACAAACCAAGTGTGAATTCGAATCGCCAATCTGCAAAAAAAAACCACAATGATCGCCTAACCCAAAAATCGCAATACGGACCTCTCAATTTTGGCTCCAATGTCCGTCTTGGCAAATTTCCTATAATATTGACTTGTAGTCTTCGTGATTTTCGACGTATACGGCTCCAATTGTCTCCTAAAAAATGCATTTCTTTGAAGAAGAAGAAGAAGGTGGAGGGGGGAGGGGGGTCCAAAAACAGAAAATCAATCTCACTCACTTGTATCCGTACAACACCGTTCCATACGTCTTCTTCGTGTTCTGCCAAAACAACGCCGACGGCTTCTCGAACGCGGCGATTCGCGTCAAATCGCGGCAAAGCGGCTGCAAAATCGACACCATATGTATGTAGAAGCGACGCGAAAAAAAAAAAACAAAAAAAAAACTCAAACTCACCGCGCTTCCCGGAATATTTTTGGCGCCGTCGGCGCAATTGATGAGAATCGCCACCGTGGCGGCCGCCAACACCGCCACCGTCACATAGTACATCAAGTTGAACGCGTAGCCAAACACTGAAACCAACAACGGTCGTCTCATGGGGCTCCTCGTCAGCACAACAACTGATAACCCAAAAATGGTTCGCCCGGAATCGAATAAGTTGACGTGTACTAAAAAAAAAACCCCCGCGAAACAAAAATTTGGAAATTTCGACATTGATATTTGTTTGCCTAGTTTAAAGGCGCATAGTTCAATCTTGCAAAAAATTTAAATTCCGAATCATCCATGAGAGGACGCGTAGTCACTACTAAATATGTAGATATCGTGTCGGTTTAAAGGCGCATAGCCCAGGGCAAGGGATTTTGATTGTTATCGGACAGTGGCCAGCTTGTTGGATTCCAAATTTTAAAGGGACATAGGTCTGATGGGTCCTCGACGAAGGTCTATTTAAAGGCGCACTGCCATTAGGGTAAAGGCTTTAAAGGCGCATCGCCTCTGGGTCGCGGTTCCCAGAAGGTTTATTTAAAGGCGCATAGCAACAACTCCCACGAGGGTAAGACTTTAAACGAAATCCATATGCTAAAAGCCCATAGGTCTAATGAGTCCCTGAGGACGGTTTATTTAAAGGCGCATCGCCTCTGGGTTCCCGGAAGGACCATTTAGCCGTCTCCAACTTGTAATGATTGCCTGTCGGCCATCTTAAAGGCTCATCGGATCGCGGCGAGACAAAAAAAAACAATCAACAAACCTCCGCGTCTCTTCTTCGTCGCCACACCGTCGACGTCGTCGGCCTTCTTCGCCGGCGACGCCTTCTTCGCCTTCGTCATCGTCGCCGCCGAAAGTCTCGCGTCTTTGTTGTGTGAAGTGTGCGCGGCGGCGCCGTTCGATTTCGCGTTTCCTGAAACAAGAAAAATTTGATATTGATCGATGCTTCTTCTTCTTTTTTTTTTGCTCATTTTCAAAAACTCACTAGCCATTCAAATCGTTAAAGTCGAAGAAAATCGAGGCCCAACACAACAAAAAAACTCGCGAGGACGACTGAAAATCGGCGAAAAATGGAATAAATCGATCAAGTGATCAAAAAAAAAATCGAAAAGAAATTGGGAGGGGCGGGGTGTGGCGGGAAAAAAAAACAAATACGTGGCAGGTCAAAAACGACAAAAAAACCACACCGAAGGTTTCACGTTCTCAATTTTTTTTCGCAATTCCTCTTTTTTTTTCTCAATTTCCCAAAAAATTCGACCTTGAATACGCCAAATTCCATCAATCAGTTCGCAATTTTCCGATTTTTCGACCCAAATTGACGAGTTGCGCGTCGAAAATCGATTTTCGGGGGCACATTTTTCGAATGGATTCCCAAATTTTTGGCCACAAATTGCGAGGAAACGAACACCGACTAAAATCAATATTGAGGGGCGAAGGAGAAGAAGAAAAAAAAACAAGGAAGGACGGCGGTCAGTTGGTTCGTTGGGTCAAGCAGCGACAACGACGACGAGAGCGAAAAGGGGGCGTGGCTTGCGGGATAGAGGAGGGAATTCGAAAACACACTCACTCTCTCTCTCATTTTGGCGTGCTCTCTCGCTTCGCCACGTGGCACACACCGCTTTAAAGGCGCATTCAAAAATTCTTATAAATCGCAAAACGACAAATTGTTGAATGGTTCGCATTTTTCGAACGACTCGAGCCACCGCCAAAATGGTGGGGCAGATGGTTGGCGTTGGTGTAGTACACCATCTGTTGGGCTCGCCCATTCACACGCCATATGGAGCTCGAAAATCCGCAAAATTTGAAGAATTCTCGAGTTTTTGCCACAAAAAAATGCGTTTTCCAAAAAAAAAAATGTCGGGTATTTTTGATGAAAATCAAAAAATCCAGCTTTTTGAGAAAATTTTTTTTCGAGAAAATTTCGACAAATCTCAATTTTGTCACAAAATTTCGCGAAATTTCCAATTTTTGCAAAATTTGTCAAACAAAATAACATAAAATCCAAAAAATTGAAGAAAAATTCGAATTTAGGCCATTTTTGGGTCGAAAAAAAGCATTTTTCTGTTTTTTTCCGAATCTAAAATTGTTGAAATCGTGGTTTTTATGATTTCGACTTCAAAAACATCAATATTTAATCAATTTAATTCAAAAAATTGTAGAAATTGCAAATTTTTTCCAGAAAAAGCGACAAAAAAAAAAACAATTTTTCGCTATTTTTTTTTCAATTTCCAATGGAATTTCATTCGAAAATCGTTAAAACTCGGGAAATTTTCAAATTTTATACAATTTATGAGCGAAAAAATTCATTTCTGGTCATTTTCAAAAAAAAATTGAATAAATCGCGGGTTTTTATCATAATAATTCGATGTTCGACGAAATTCCATTCAAAAAATGTCATATTTGAGTAAAAATTGACAAATTCTCAAAATTTGAACATTTTTCGAGCGAAAAAATTCAATTCTATTAGTTTTCAGCAATTTTCAGGTCATATAAAAACCGAAAAATTTCAATTTCTGATAAAATTCTTCGATTTTTCGAAAATAGACCATTTTTGGGTCGAAAAAACAAAAAAAAAAAGCATTTTTCAGCAATTTTCAGCTCATAAAAACCGAAAAATTTCAATTTCTGATAAAATTCTTCGCTTTTTCGAAAATAGACCATTTTTAGGTCGAAAAAACAAAAAAAAACATTTTTCAGCAATTTTCAGCTCATAAAACCCCAAAAATTTCAATTTCTAAGAAAATTTGAGTAAATTCTTCAATTTTTCGAGAATATCGAATAATTTTAGCAAAAAAATGGAAAATTTGTCAAAAACCCTCGAAATAATCCCATTTTTCGCAAATTTTCATTCATTTTTTGAAACCAAATTTTCAAAAAAAAAAAATCAACCTTGCGCCGCTTCTCTCAACTTCCTCTGCTGGTTCTCGACGCGATTGCGCTTCTTCTCCTCCAAATTCATCAACTGGATCTTCTCGTGCACTTTTCGCTCGACGCTCTTCAGCGCCTCGATGTCCTTCTTGCGATCGCCGACGAATCGGACGACGCTGAGCGCCGCCGCCTTGCACTCGTTCTCGTTGCCGCAATTGCCGGCCGCTTTCGCCAATTTCTCCGTCAGCGGGTTCTTCTTCAAATCGAGCCATTTCAGCGATTTCAAGTCGGCGAATCCCAGCGGCAGATCCTCGATTTCATTGTTGTACAAATTCAAATATTGCAAATTTCGCAAATTTCCGATTTCCGACGGCAAATTGTAGAGGCGATTGTTGGCCAAATCGAGCCTGAAATATTCTAACATTCGATTAGTTTGTAAAATTTTATAAAAATTTTCATAATTGGGATATTCCAAAACTTTTCTGTGCAAAAAAATGGGCAATTTTTAGAAAATCGACGATTCGAAAATCGCAAAAAATCGAAAATTCTCAATTTTAGACGAAAATTGTCATTTTTGAATTATTTTTTCATAAAATTTTATAACAATTTTCATAATTGGGATATTCCAAAACTTTTCTGTGCAAAAAATTGGCAATTAAAAAAAATCGACGATTCGAGAATCGCAAAAAATCGAAAATTCTCAATTTTAGACGAAAATTGTCATTTTTTTAAAAATTTTTTTAATTAAAATTTTATAAAAATTTTCATAATTGGGATATTCCAAAACTTTTCTGTGCAAAAAAATGGGCAATTTTTAGAAATTCGACGATTCGAAAATCGGCAAAAAATCGAAAATTCTCAATTTTAGACGAAAATTGCCGCTTTTGAAACATTTTTTAAATAAAATATTGTAAAAATTGTCATAATTATAAAATTTCGAATCTTTTCTATTAAAAAAATGAGAATTTTTAGAAAATCGACGAAAAATCGAAAATTCTCAATTTTAGACGAAAATTGTCCATTTTGAATTATTTTTTTTTGTAAAATATTTAAAACATTTTCATTATTAGGAAATTCCGAAAACTTTTCTTTGCAAAAAATTGGAAATTCTTAGAATTTTCACAAAACATTTTGTAAAATTCAATGATTCGAACCGATTTGGCGAAAAATTGGAATCTGAAAAGTACGAAAATTCGATTTTTCGAGGAAAACCTAAAATTGTCGAAGTTTTTCAGCAAAAATTGCGATTTTCGCCGAAATTAAAAGAAAATAAATTCGAAAAATCGTCAAATTTGAATGTGAAATTCGTTTTTGACGGGCAAATTCAGCAATTTTCGCTAAAAAATTGCCATTTTTCTGGCTCAAATTGAATTTGATTTTCAAAAAAACAAAAATTGCTTGCTTAATAATCCTGGTCATTTTGCAAATCGCGCTCGGCAAACAGACAATCTTATTCGTGCTCAGATCGACGTGAGATATCTTCGAAAGCTGAAATAATTATTTTTTTTTAATTTTTCCAAATCCAAATTTTCTCACTTTCACCAACGCCGGCGGCACATCAACAAGCTGTCTCGCCGACAAATCAATCTCCTCATCTTCTTGAAGATTTTTGAGCTCCTGAAGGCTTAAATTCTGCGACATTTCTGCAAAAAATCGGCGTTATTTGCGAAAAAATTGAAAATCTGAATTTACGACGACGTGGTGCAAACACCGCGACGCGCACAATGCACACAATGCGCGCGGCAAACCAACCAACAAGTAATTTGTGTGCAAACACCGTGTCGCAACGATTGCAGAAAAAAAACAAATCAAAAAAATGAGATGAGAATTCATTTATTTATTTAGTTAAGGGTTTCGACGCGCGTCTTCTGCACCGCCCGTCTGCGGCCGGTCTTCGTCGTCCGCCGATTCGACGTGATCCACGCGATTTTCGCGAATCGCGTTCGCTTCCTATTGCGAATCCGATGCGGCACGTCGCCCTTCTCCAGTATTTGTCCCAAAATATAGTGCTTCTGGAAGAAACCAACGATGAAACGCAACGGACGTCGTCGGAACCTTGCGTTTCGCCACTTTTATCGACGCCGGTATCGACGGAATCATCGCCGACAGCGCGTATTTGAGAAGGAACACGAGATTTTGGAAGATTATCACAATTAGTAGGCGATTCTCGATGCTGCAATACATGACGTCCTTGAAGAATTTCGGGCAAAAGTCCGATGTGAAGGCGACTGGAAGAAAAAAACTGAAGTATTCATTGGAAAAAGTGACAAAAATTCGAAAAATTCCCAAATTTTTTACGCATTTCCCTTAAAAAAATGCGAAATTTTAAAATTTTACATTTTTTTACGGCATGAAAAAGCCTATTTTTTGAATTGTACTTATATATTTTGGCGGGAAATTCAAATTTTTCAATTTTTTTTTCTTGGAAAAATTTCAGTATGTGAAAATTTCCAAAAAAAATCAATTTTTTTTTTGTTTTGATTAAAATTTGGAATTTTTTTCTTGAAAATTAAAGTTTTTTTCTGGTTTTTAAAGATAAAATCTATTTTTTCTCATATTTTCTGATATTTATTCGAAATTTTCGACAAAAAATATGGGATTTTTAAAAATCAGTTTAAAAATTGCAATTTTCTTCAAAATTTTCTCTCAATTTTTCAAAACACAAATAAATTTTTTTCCGTTTTTTTTGAATTCTATGTATTTTGGCGGGAAATTCAAATTTTTCAATTGATTTTTTCTTGGAAAAAACTCAGAATTTTCAAATTTTCGAAAAAAAAATCAATTTTTTTCTCATATTTTCTGATTTTTATTCGAAATTTTCAGCTTTTTTGCCGATTTTCGACAAAAATATTTGATTTTTAAAAATCAGCCTCCAAAAATTGCAATTTTCTTCAAAATTTTCTCTCAATTTTTCAAAACACAAATAAATTTTTTTTCCTTTTTTTTGAATTCTATGTATTTTGGCGGGAAATTCAAATTTTTCAATTGATTTTTTCTTGGAAAAAACTCAGAATTTTCAAATTTTCGAAAAAAAAAATCAATTTTTTCTCATATTTTCTGATTTTTATTCGAAATTTTCAACTTTTTTTGCCGAAAAATATGGAATTTTTAACAATCAGCCTCAAAAATTGCAATTTTCTTCAAAATTTTCGTTGAATTTTTCAAAACAAAAAATAATTTTTTTTTCAATGCGTTTTTTTTTAATTTTAAATCATTTTTATTTCATTATAAATAATTATTTTTAATTTTAAATAATTTTTTATTATATTCTAAAAGAATAAAATATCAAAAATTATAATTCTTAGATTTCACAAATTTTTTTCATCGATTTTTTTCATATGGAAAAAAATTTTCTAGCTGAAAATACGCAATTTTTCAAATTTTTACGACAAAAATGAATTTTGCCAGAAAAATTTTCGACATTTTGCGTAATTCCAACCAAAAAAATGCAATTTCAGCAATTTTCTCCAAAATTTTCTTCTTGGCGTACCAATAAACGCATTGGTGAACACGGCGCAATATTGCAGAAACGTGAGAATCGGCAACCAAATGCCGATTCCGTTCGAGATTTGCGGAATCGGCTTCCGGTTGAACCATAAAAGTCGATGGGCGTCGATTCGAATGTCAATGAGCCCGATAATTAGGGTGAATAATGGCGCCAATGGGAATAGAGAGGCGAACATCTGAAATGTGTGCAATTTGGCGTCAAATTCGGTGCCGCCACCAAAAAAATTGAAGAACTCGCCATCGTCGTGCCGAACATGATGATTTTCTCGTTCATCTCCCACAACACGAAATCGCCGGCGCACGGTTTGAGCCATTCGCGGACGAGCACGTTGGCGGCGCGATCGTCGGACTCGCAGAACGACGACGACGACGACGTCCAGCGGCGAGCGCGCAACGCTCGCACCAAATACGGCACGACGACGTCTTTCGCGAATTTCGGCAACGGTTTGATGAGCGCGTGCGAGACGAGCTGGACGGCGAGCAGAGAGCCGCACGTGCCCGCCGCGCACGTGTCTTTGAACGACTCGCCGAGGCCGAACAGGCCGTTCTTCTGGAAACCCTGCAAGTCTCGACGGTTTGATGGGCGCGTTGAGGCGAGATAGGCGGGATTTAAAGGCGCCGTTCAGTTGAGATTCACAACAAATATGGTCTCGGCACGATTTTAAAGGCGCATTGAGCTGAGATTTCCAAAAAATGGTCTTGACTCGATTTTAAAGGCGCATTGAGCCGAAATTTCCAAAAAATGGTCTTGACTCGATTTTAAAGGCGCATTGAGCCGAAAATTCCAAAAAATGGTCTTGACTCGATTTTAAAGGCGCATTGAGCTGAAATTTCCAAAAAATGGTCTTGACTCGATTTTAAAGGCGCATTGAGCTGAAATTTCCAAAAAATGGTCTTGACTCGATTTTAAAGGCGCATTGAGCTGAAATTTCCAAAAAATGGTCTTGACTCGATTTTAAAGGCGCATTGAGCTGAAATTTCCAAAAAATGGTCTTGACTCGATTTTAAAAGCGCATTGAGCTGAAATTTCCAAAAAATGGTCTTGACTCGATTTTAAAGGCGCATTGAGCCGAAATTTTCAAAAAACGATATCTACGCGATTTTAAAGGCGCATTGAGCTTAAATTTCCAAAAAATGGTCCTGACTCGATTTTAAAGGCGCATTGAGACGAAATTTCCAAAATTGGTCTTTACTCGATTTTAAAGGTGGATTGATTTCAAATTTCCAAAAAATTGTCTCGGCACCATTTTAAAGGTGGATTGAGTTAAAATTTTATTAAAAATGGTCTTGACGCAAATTTAAAGGCGCATTTAGTTTAAATTCCCAAAAAATGATCTTTGCGCGATTTTAAAGGCACATAGAGCCGAAATTTCCAAAAAAATGTCTTGACGCGAATTTAAAGACGCATAGAATTGAAATTTCAAAAAAAATGCATTGATGCGATTTTAAACGCTCTCACATCCTTTAAAGGCGCATAGGAAAAAATGTCGATTAATCTTTTCTAGTGGTCTTGAGGCGACTTTAAAGGCGCACACCAGGAAAAAATAATGATTTTAGAGACGAAGAGTCGCTGTTCTCGTGAGTGGTCTCGACGCGAAACGCGTGCAACCGACAAAATTGGCGGCAAATTCAAAACCCACATGAGTTTCGGGTCGAATGAACGCGACATAGAACAACGAGGTGTAGGTGTTGACCATTTGAAACGCGAAAATTTTGACGATGAGCGCGTTGTTGTGCTCGGTGAGCGTTCGATGATTCTCTGGAAAACCGAAAAACAAGATTCGAACGAATTCATTGATTCAAAAGCCGAACCCCAACGATTGAGCCGCTCGGCGAGACGATTGTAGATCGCGCCGAGACCCATCGTCGAGAGCGTGTTGAGAAGCGACGGCGCGAACGCCGTCAGCGACCAGCAGCGCAATGAGAAGTCGGCCGTCGGCGAACACTCGAAACGGTGCGACGTCCAGAATTTGACCAACGCCACCAGCATCACCGAGGTGCCGACGAGAAGCATCGAGAGGCACACGAAGAGGAATGAGGCGACGAGGCGGAGGTAGCGGACGACGGCCGGCGAGATCCAGATGTCCTCGCCGGTTATTGGGTCCTGACGCGATGATGATGATTGGATTACGGTAGGCAATTTTTTTTTCGGTGCAAAATTTCCAAGAATCTTCTCGGCGCTACGATAGCACCAATTTTGGGAGTGTCGAATAATAAAAAGCATTTTATGTCATTTTTAAAGAGCTCCAATGGACAATTAATTTCTAAAATCAAAAATCTGCAATTTTACGTCAATTCTAGTGCGATTTTTCGTAAATTTCGAATTGTCCGCAATTTTGCGTCGATTATTGAGCAATCACTCTAAAAATCTGAAATTCTGCATTTTTGCGTCAATTCTAGTGCAATTTTTCGTAAATTTCGAATTGTCCGCAATTTTGCGTCGATTATTGGACAATTACTTTTTGAAACTAAAAATCTGCAATTTTACGTCAATTCTAGTGTATTTTTTCGTAAATATCGAATTGTCCGCAATTTTGCGTCGCATATTGGTCAATTAATTTCTAAAATCAAAAATCTGCAATTTTACGTCAGTTCTAGTGTATTTTTTTTCCTAAATTTCGAACTGTCCGCAATTTTGCGTCGATTATTGAGCAATTACTCTAAAAATCTGAAAATCTGCCTTTTTGCGTCAATTCTAGTGCAATTTTTCGTAAATATCGAATTGTCCGCAATTTTGCGTCGCATATTGGTCAATTAATTTCTAAAATCAAAAATCTGCAATTTTACGCCAATTCTAGTGCATTTTTTCCTAAATTTCGAATTGTCCGCAATATTGCGTCGATTATTGAGCAATTACTCTAAAAATCTGAAAATCTGCCTTTTTGCGTCAATTCTAGTGCAATTTTTCGTAAATTTCGAATTGTCCGCAATTTTGCGTCGAATTTCAATCCGACACGTCTCAGCCCCGGTTTTGATCTACCTCAGTGGTTTTCGAGCCGCGAAATTCGGGTCGATCGGGCTCGATGACATGAATCTCCTCAACATTCCACTCATACGACAACACCGAATTATTGCGTCGCCAAATTTGCACAAAAACACTTCCTGAAAACCCGCAACGATGTCGGCAGCACATCATCAACTACCCCAAATCGACATGAAGACGGCGTAGACGGCGTTCATCGGCGTGTCGAACGAGCCGATGAGCCATTCGGCGAGTTTCGCCGTCAGCGGCGCGTCGTCGTCGTCGTCGCGACGCCACGGCGCCTCGCCGACGCCGTCGACGAGCCCGCTGACGAACACGATCAAACCGAAAATGGTGGCCGGCCAGAGGAGTGTGACGAACGTGCCCTGCCACGCGAAATAGTAGGCGATTTGTTCGCCGAAATACTCGCGAATTTTGTTCAACGGCTGAAATTTGAGCCATCTGAAAAATTGTGTTGAATTTTTCGACGTCGTCGTCATCGGAAGCCGATGATCACACCGTCGCCATGAGTCGCCGAGCGATTTTCGCGGATCGTCGTCGATTTCGGCGATGAATTGCGTGTAGTTTGACTCGCATTTCGTTTTCATCTCGCGAAAATACGGCTCTTCCTGCAAAATTTTTACTCTTGGGTCTCGCGACGAACGGAGACGATTTTAAAGGCGCATCGAGAGCGTTTGAGATTCTCGTGTTTCGAAAATGCAATTTCAAGGGTCCCAAAGCGGTTTTAAACGCGCATGAGATATTTCAAGGGTCCTAAAATAATTTTAAAGGCACGTGAGGTTTTCAAGACTCTGGAGTCAATTTTTTTTTACAAGAGTCCGAAAATGATTTTAAAGGCGCATGAAGTATTTATATCATCTTGAGTCAATTTTAAAGGCGCATGAGGTTTTACAAGAGTCCAAAATGATTTTAAAGGCGCATGAGGTATTTATATGATCTTGGGTCAATTTTAAAGGCGCATGACGTATTTAAAAGATTTTGGGTCAATTTTAAAGACGCATATGGCATTTTTAGGATCATGGGTCAATTTTAAAGGCGCATGAGGTTTTATAAGGGTCCAAAAACGATTTTAAAGACGCATGAGGTATTTAAAGGATCTTGGGTCAATTTTAATGACGCACGAGGTTTTACAAGAGTCCGAAAATAATTTTAAAGGCGCATGACGTATTTATATGATCTTGGGTCAATTTTAAAGGCGCATGAGGTTTTACAAGAGTCCAAAATGATTTTAAAGGCGCATGAGGTTTTACAAGGCTTCAAAAACGATTTTAAAGGCGCATAAGGTTTTCAAGGATTTTGAGTTAATTTTAAAGGCACATATGATATTTCAAGAGTCTGACAACAATTTTAAAGGCGCAATGGAGAATCTGATGAGTCTCGAAGCGATTCCAATAGAGCACATTCAGCACAACTATTTTCAAAAGTCTCAATGAGCAAGTGAGGGTCCCACGACGAACCTACCGTACTCGGCGCGTGAAGCACAAACGCATCGGTATAGGCGTCTTGCATCAGAAGCCAATTGAGTCCTTTTCGCCTCAAAGGCGCATCGGCGATGAGCGACGCCGCCGACGAGTTGGCGTCGCCGTCGACGCGATTCGCCTCGACGTCACGACTGACGTCGATTCGCGCCAGAATCTGATGCGTCAAGAATCCCTTTTGGGCGGGCGTCAAAAATTGGCGCTCGTTGGTGTAGTTGGCGAACAGGTGGCCGTTTTTGCGTTGGAACGGCGCGTTCACGAAACGCACGGTGTCGTCGGTGACGAACACGCGCGACAATGGAACACAGCACGACGGAATCGCCGGCGCGATCGGACACTGCAACAAAAATGAATGAATGAATGAAATGAAACAATCGGAAGCGGTGTTAGTCATCAAGCTTTTCAATGTGTGTTTAAAGGGGGTGGCACCAAGTCCGCAAACACCGACTCAATTTAATACTGCTTTTTTGTTCGCCAATCAACCTTGAATTTGTCGTTTTAACGAAAATTCCATTTATTTTTGTCTGCAATTTGTCGTGAGATACCGACATTGAACTTGACGAAAAATTGCGGACCTCACGTTTTTTTTTAAATTTTTTTCTCTTCAAAATTTATTTAAAAGGGTTGCTAACTCCGCAAACAGCGAATTTGACGAAAAATTGCGGATCTAAATTTTTTAATTTTATTTTTCTCTTCAAAATTCATTTAAAGAGGGTTGCCAAGTCCGCAAACACCGACTCAATTTACTACTGCTTTTTTGTTCGCCAATCAACCTTGAATTTGTTGTTTTAACGAAAATTCGATGTCCGCAATTTGTCGTGAGATGCAGCGCCGACGCGGAATGCCCGCAAACACTGAATTTGACGAAAAATTGCGGAACTAAATTTTTTATTTCTCTTTCTTTTTAAAGTAAAAAAAAGAGGGTTGCCAAGTCCGCAAACACCGAATTTGACGAAAAGTTGCGGACCTCAAATTTTTATTTCTTTTTCTCTTCAAAATTCATTTAAAGAGGGTTGCCAAGTCCGCATACACCGAATTTGACGAAAAATTGCGGACCTCAATTTTTTTTATTTCTTTATTCATAAAAATTTCATTTAAAGAAGGTTGCCAAGTCTGCAAACACCAATATTTTATTTTAATGTTTTTTTTTCAAAATCCTTTTAAAGAAGATGGCAAACATCAAACTCGACGACACATTGCAGAAAATCGAATTTAAAGGCGCATGCTCACATCCTTTAATGGGAAGCTCATTTGCGACAATTCGGCTTCGCGGCATAATCGATGAAACGGCGTCGAGATGAGCGTGAACTCCAAATCGTCGACCTTCTCGTTTCGGACCACCAAACCCTCTTTGGCAGCCGCCTGCAAAAAGGTCAAAGGTCAACAAAGGTCGCGGTTGAACGACGACCTTCTCGAAGAACTGCCGATAGCGGTGTTTCGACGAATTCAGTGAGTTGTGGACGAGCACGAAGTCGATCGAGATGCGAAACGGAAAGTATGGATAGTCGACATCGGTCGACGCCGCCAACATACGGTATTGATGGAGTGGGATCTGCAAACACCGAACGCGCTAGACGGCGGGTAGATCAAATTAGAGACGCGAAAAAAGCTAAAATTAACACAAAAATGCAGATTTTCAGCGTTTTACAGTAATTGCTCATTAATCGACGCGAAAATGCGGACAAATCGAAATTTAGGAAAAAATACACTAGAATTGACGTAAAATTGCAGATTTTTAGTTTCAAAAAGTAATTGTCCAATAATCGACGCAAAATTGCGGACAATTCGAAATTTAGGAAAAATTACACTAGAATTGACACAAAAATTCAGATTTTTGATTTTAGATTGTAATTGTCCAATAATCGACGCAAAATTACGGACCTTTTGAAAGAACAAAAAAACTTTCACATCGAATGAAAAAAAAACTCACATCGTATTTTTTGACGTCAGTCGATGTCATTAGGTTAGCGGCAATTTTTCTATTTTTGTGTGGACGGCCTAGTCGCCCACCCTCACACCCAGAAATTGCAACAAGAACAACACACAATCAATGAGGGGAGAGAGAAACGGAGAGAGACAGAGAGAGAGAGAGAGAGATAAGAGGAAGAACAAGAGGAAAAGGTAATCCTCAAATCTCAATATACGAAAAATCGGCGTGTGTGTCGGTTTTGGCGAGTATCATGTCGTCGAGCGGGTTGCCAATGACAACCAAACAATGCGAATTATCATTCTCGCCAAATATGGCCAACGAAAAGTAATTCGAATTATGCCGGGGGTCAAAAAAGAAATTCTGGACATGCCACCGTAGTCCTACAGTAATCCTTCGTGTGATCTACCCCTTTAAACAGTGCATTATTATGCAATAGCTATCGTAATCCTACAATCATCATATTCTCCAAATATGACCGCCGAAATTGAATTTTGTCAATCGCAAAGCTACCGTAGTTCTACAGTAATCCTTTTTGAGAGCGGTTACCCCCTTTAAACAGTACATTATTATGCAACAGCTACCGTAATCCTTCAGGCATCGTTTTTTTTTTCCAAATACAAATATGATCATCGAAAAAACGTATTTGAATTTTGCTAATTGCAAGGCTACCGTAGTCCTACAGTAATCCTTTTTGAGAGCGTCTACCCCTTTAAACATAAATATGCATCATCCACAATTTTATCCAAAAGCTACCGTAATCCTACAGTCGCCAAATATGGCCAACAAAACGAATGTCGAATTTTGCCGGGGACGAATTCGCTGCTACCGTAATCCTACAGTAATCCTTTTCGAGAGTGTCTACCCCTTTTCCGGCCGAATTTGAGCACAATAATCCTACAGTAAAATATAATTGGTAGCAGTAATTAATCAATTATCTCGATGGAAAATTTCTCTAATTGACTACAGTAATCCAATCTACCGTAATCCTACAAAAATATTGGAATTCCAAAGTAATACCTTCTTGATCGTAAAATGGTCGAATGACCGTAATTGGAAGAATTTAAAGGGGGCTTCCGTCTACAGTAATCCTTAGTCTAGCGAAATTTGCTACAGTACCCCGTCGGATTACGGTAGCTGAACAAAAAAAAAGGAATTTCGCAATTTCGGCCTGAATGACTCATCGAATCGCAACGCGAACACCTGTCCGAGTTTTTGAGAGATGCGAGGCGGGGAGGCAGTTGGGTCCCGCCACGAAAATTGCGATTTATTGGATTTGATTGAACAATTAGAAGAACGGCTCCAAATTGGCGATCGGCACACAACGATTGGCCGACGAATTGCACACGGCGTCCTTCGGACACGGCGGAACACAATCGGCGTCCGACGGCGACGTCGAGAATCCCAACAGCACGAGCTGAACATCGATATCGGTGTGTGGCGTCGTCGACGACGTCGACCTACCAGATGAACGACGACAGCGATGAATCGCATTTTCCTAGGCCAGCCTCTCCAATTTCCTTTTATAGGCGCCCAATCGGACAATCGAATCAAATTTGATGGCGAGAATTCGGTCGGCGTGTGGGAAATGTCGCGTCGTATGCGCCTTTAAACGTGTGCGCCTTTAAACAGAAAAACATTGGCTGTTAATCTCGAATGCCCATAAAAAAAGCGAAATATCGCTTAGAATTGATATTTTTCATTTTTCATCTACAGTACCCCATTGTGTGCCTTTAAAAATTTAATCTCTTGACCTACAGTACATATGCAGCGTCATGCGCCTTTAAAATGACGATTTTCATGATTTCAGATTTCTTTTTCCGAAAAAATAGTTTTTTCCAAGCATGTTGTTCAATTTTTTCGTCAAGCCCCCTGCAAACTTCCAGCATGCGCCTTTAAAACTTTGTTCAAAATTCTTTCTACTTCTTCAAATTTTTCAATTTGCGCATCTACAGTATCCCATGCGCCTTTAAATTTAATCATTTGTGACATGCGCCTTTAAAAAAAATCGCAAAAACATTTTGTATTTGAAAATCTTGCTGCCCCTTTAAATTTTTTTATTTCTTTAAATTATTCAATTAGCGCATCTACCGTATCACATGCGCCTTTAAATTTGATCATTTGTGACATGCGTCTTTAAAAAATTCGAAAAAAATGTTGTATTTGAAAATCTTGCTGCGCCTTTAAAATTTACTCTCTCAATACTATCCCTTAAAAAACGTCAATCCAATGGTCCCTTCCGACATGCGCCTTTAAAAAAATTCCAATCAAGTCCCCCCTTTGAAATTTCCACCATGCGCCTTTAAACCAATTTTTGTGTGTGTGTGTGTGTGCGGCCAACAATACTGCGCCTTCAACAAAATTCTCGTCATGCGCCTTTAAAAAAAATTTCCAACAAGCGCGCCTTCCAATCATTGGTTTTTTTGTAGTAGAAATTCCGCCATGCGCCTTTAACTACAGTAATCTGGGCAGCAGTTTTTTTGGGGGGGTTTTTCGCAAGAAGAAGAAGAAGAACAAAAAGAAAATTTGAGACTCGGAAAAGCAAAAAAAAAAATGAGCCGAGGTATTTGTTTGTTTTGTAATCCTTTCTCTCTCTCTCTCTCTCCCAATTTGTTTCGATGCCTTAATTGCCCAATTAACGCCCAACAAGAAAATTAATGTCACGTGGCCAAAAGTGAATCGGGGCGACGTCGAATGGTGGACGGGATCGGCCCGCGGCCGGCCGGCCTTGAGCGCCTTCCCGCAAAGCTCGTCTCGCCGTCGGGCGCCCTCTCGCCTCGCCACACTCTCTCGCCCTCCCGCCTCGACGCCTTTGTCATCCCAAATCGTTGAGTTTCGGCTTTGCGAAACGTCTCGCGGGTCCCACACCATCGCTATTGGTGGGCGTGGCCTCATAGACGACAACACACACACACACACATATACACTCCAAGCGTCTCCTGGTCACTACTACGACGACGGCCTGCCGGCCGGGCCGGCCGGGCTCGCCGACGTTCATTTTTTTATTTTATTCATTTTTTTTTGATCGCCAAAAATTCAAATTTCCCGCCATTTTTCGCTGGCCTCCTCGTTTTGATCTACCTTGCCGAATTTGCGTTAGTTATTTTTTTCCAGCCGTGTCGCCGTTCACCTCGTCATGGGCTTTTCCAGTGAATGGCTGGAACGGTCCTATTTGGCGTGGCGACTTTCGACAAGCGCCAGGTGAGTGCATTGTGCGGTGGAGCGCGTTTGCCGATTTTACACAAACTCGAAAAATTCGGGGGCCGTGCGAATTTTACGACGACATCATTCGTAAATCATCGGCCGGCAGATGGTTTAGAAAAAAAAATTCGCGAAAATCCGATTTTTTTCGGAAATTTTTGATAAAACTCCCACGAAATTGGCGAATTTTGGTGAAAATCGCCAAATTTTCATGAAAAAAATGGAAATTTTTCGCAAATTTCTGCGAGAAATTCGACGTTTTCACGAAAAATCTCAAAACGCCCACAAAAAATCAAAGGAAATGTCGAAATTTTACAAATAAAATGTGAATTTTTCAAAATCTACACAAAAAAATTATGAAAAAGTTAAAAATTTTACAATTTTCTCGAAGAAAAACTTGAAAAATCATCAAATATGTCAATTTTTCAAATATTTTCAAATTTTTTCAAGCAAAAAATTGAGAAAATCATCAAAAATATCAAAATATTTCAAATTTTCTCAGAAAAATGTTCAAAAATTATAAAAATTGTTTTTAAAAAAAAATTCAAAAAAAAATCATCAAAAATAACAAAATATTTCAAAAAAACCTCTAAAAACCAACAAAAATGCCAATTTTTTTTCAATTTTCATTCAAAAAATCTAATTTTTCGAATAAAAAGCTCAAAAATCTTTAAAATTGAGAAAAAAAAATGAAGAAATTCATAAAAAGTGCCAAAATTTTCAAATTTTCCCCAAAAAAAATCAAAAATCTTTAAAAATTGGCCAAAAAAATTCAGAAAATCATCAAAGTTGCCAAATTTTTCAAATCCCACACAAAAAATGCTCAGAAATTTTAAAATTGTTTTTAAAAAATGTAAAATCTCATAAAAAATGTCAAATTTTTCAAATTTTCTTAAAAAAACATTCAAAATTCATCAAAATTATTCAAAAAATACAAAAAATCATCAAAAATGCCAATTTTTCAAATTCCACTTCAAAAAGTTCAGAAATCTTTTAAATTGAGCAAAAAAAAATGGAGAAACTCCTAAAAAATGTCAAATTTTTCAAATTTTCCTCAAAAAAAATCAAAAATCTTTAAAATTTGGCCAAAAAATGCAGAAATTCATCAAAAAGTGTCAAAATTTTGCTTGAAAAATCCAAAAAAAAAATTTTTTTTCTTGCAGACTCGTGCGCGCGGTGCTGTGCGTGACGTCGGCGTGCGCTCTTCTGCGCACCGTCGGCCACGTGCCGACGCCGTTCGCCATCTGGACGTCGTCGATTCTTCTAGTGTCGACGATCGCCGTCGTCTTCCACATCGTGCGTCCGAAGCGCACGGCGGCGTTCGAGGTGTGCGCCGCGCTCGTGCTGGCGCTCGACTTCGTCGTCTCGCTGCCCGACGCCTACTCGGCCCTCTTGCCCGCCGTCATCCTCATCTACGTCACCTACGCGTTCGTCGCGTTCCCGTTTTATTCGGTGTTGGCCGTCGCCACCATCGTCTCCGTCGTGCACACGTGCGCCTTCGTCATCGTCGTCGAGCCGCTTCACACCAATGAGGTGAGTGCAAAAAAAAACAAATTTCGCGTTGCTCCCGCGAATTTCTAGCACGTTTTTTTCCGGCTAGAATCGCGCTAGAAACTCGCTTTCTTTTTTTTTCAAGATTTTTCCCAAAAAAAAATCTGCAATTTTTAAGATTTTTCACATAAAAGATTGTGAGTTTTCGAAAAAATCTTCAATTTTTAGAATTTTCACAAAAAAAAATACGATTTTTCGAAAAAATATGCAATTTTTAAGATTTTCCAAAAAAAACCAGCAATTTTTAAAATTGTCCAAAAAATTTGCTTTTTTCGCCAAAATCTGAAATTTTTAGAATTTTCAAAAAAAAAGATTTTTCGAAAAAATCTTCAATTTTTAGAATTTTCCCAAAAAAAAAAAAAAAGATTTTTCGCTAAAATCTGAAATTTTTAGGATTTTCCCAAAAAAAATCTGCAATTTTTAAAATTTTCCAAGAAAAATTGTATTTTTTTGCCAAAATCTGAAATTTTAAAGATTTTCCCAAAAAAAAATCTGCAATTTTTAAAATTTTCCAAGAAAAAATTGTATTTTTTTGCCAAAATCTGAAATTTTAAAGATTTTCCCAAAAAAAAAGTGATTTTTTGCGCTAAAATCTGAAATTATTAAGATTTTTCCAAAATAATGCGATTTTTCGAAAAAATATGCAGTTTTTAAGATTTTTTGCAAAAAAAATTTCCATTTTTCGCAAAAATCTGAAATTTTTAAAATTTTTCCAAAAAAAATTGCGATTTTTCGCCAAAATCTGCAATTTTTGAAATTTTCCCAAAAAAAAAGAATTACAAGATCCGCAATTGCGCGTCAACTCGTGCGCCTCGTGTGCAAACACCAAACCCCCCGAATTCATTCTAATTAAGGCAATAAAAAATTAATGGCACCTTAATATGCATTCTCGCACGAGTATACATTTTCATCGGCCACCTTCGGACCCCCCTTCCTCCCGCTCTCCCCCATCGGCGATGGGGTCTCGAAAAGATTGAACCGCCCGATAAAAATGGGTTGACATTTATCAAAAATGTGGCATTTATGCGACATATGTCGCAAAATTCGACGAATTGAATGCGAATCGCAATTTTTTGGTTTTTTTTTTCCTTTTTTGCAATTTTCTCCAGAAACCAGTAATTCGATTTGAAATCCCGCCGCACACCTCCCTTTAAACAAAAAAGAACCGGATGAATTATACACTTTTTGCGTTTGATTGGATGATTCCGAACGATGGCGGCCACTATTAATGTCTTTCATCGTGTTTTACACACAGGCGAGAGAGCGAGAGAGCGCAGGCGGCGAGAGAGCGAGCGAGACAGCGCGACGAGGGTGAGAGACGCAGAGTGCGCGAGATGGGGGGTCGAGGCGAGTTTTTGATGAATATTCTCATTCCACACTTCTCAAGGGACCATCAAAATTTAAGTATTATAAAATATTGATTCGGCGAACTTCAAAGAGGAGGAGAATACTTGAAAATGTTGAAATTGGCTCCCCAAAAAAAAAAAATTTTGGCGGCAAAATTCGATTTGCAGATTCTCGCCGTCATCGTCGTGCACGTTTGGACGAACTTCACCGGCATCTATTTGTGTTCGACGTGCGATCGAATCGCGCGCAACGCGTTCCTGTCGGCGCGCAATTCGGCCGAGGCCGAGAGCGGCGCCGATTTGCAGAGCGGCCGACTCGTGAGTTTCAGACAACCATCCGAATTGTCCCCCCTTGAAAATTGGGGGTCTCGGGTAGATTTACGCGCATGCGTCTTTCTCTTGGTCTCGCACCGATTAACAGGATACTTCAAATTTTAATTTTTTTTATGACATTGGAAATTCCGAGAAATGCCAGTTCACGCGTGGCGAGACCTTTTAAAGGCGCATGCCGGACGATCCCTATATACAAAAAATTCTCAACTTCAAAACGCGAATCCCTTGATTATTATATTCATTTCATTTTTAATCGCTACTTACATTATCAAATCGACTAGTGACGACGACACTCCGCGTTTACGGAGTGCCTTTGTTTTATGGAAATAGGCGTTGGCGGAAATTCAAACAAAGCTCGTGTTCCTTTGAGATGGGGGGTGGTCTCTCTTGTGAAATCCGACCAAATCAAACAATATCACAAGTTTCGATGATGGCAAACATCGTTTTGAACCAGCGACAAGGATTTTCGAGGGGGTGTTTAATTAGACCTGAGGGGAAGACAAGGGGAAGTTGGGAGGAAAAGCTGCTCGCTTATTTCCTCTTCAAATTCAAAAATCGCCAAAATTAACGAGCTACGTTCCAATGAAAATCGAGACTGCGTACATACATCGCGCATTTAATACTCAGCCAACGACAAATTGAAATCGACACTGGTTGGAGTGATTCGCCGCGAGACCCATCGCATAAATAGGATTTTAATTTTTTTTTGACAAAAAAAACGGAAATAAAGGATAGTTTAAGACGCATTCCATTTTTTTGCGATCGGTCTCGATTCCCTTTTTTCCTAAAAAGGAGAGATGCGCGCTAGGCCCGTAAATCGATACCTTTGCTTTTTTTGCCAATTTTTAATTTCAATAAAAAATTCAAGAATTTTGGCCTAAAATTTTCTATTCCAATTTTTTTCGATTTGACTCAAAGCCGAAAAAATGAGAGAAATTGAATTTTGGCGGTAGGAGATTTGCACGAATACCATTTTTGTGACTCATTTTCTCGCCTAGTGTGTACATAAAAGTTGTCATACGATATTATATTATGAGCAACAACATACAAACAACACCATCGCAAAATAAAATAAATATAATATATCGGCGGGCGGCCGACAAAACTGTCAACGCCGGCGCTATTTGTGCACGTTTTCATTGGGGATTTTCGCGGCGAATCGAACGAAAGGGATCCGAATCGTAGAGAATCTGAAAAGAAAAAGAAAAAATTGCATTTCAGAGTCGACTTTTGTCGGCGTTTTTGCCTTATCACCTCATCACTCATGCCAGACATCAAATCACGCTCTACAAACCGCATTTGTACAATGAGCATTATTCCGAGGTGCGAGAAACTCTGCAAAACACATGATAATTGATTTGATTTTAGGTTTCTGTCGCTTACGGAAGACTTTTGGGATTTGAGAATGTTCTCGGCCAGTGCTCGTCCATTGATGCCGCGCGCGTTTTGAAGGTAAACGCGATTTTTCTGGAAAAAATGCGTTTTTTAATTGATAAAAAATTGTTTCGCAAAGTTTTTTGTTGAAAAAGAAACTAAAAATAAGTGAAAAAAATAATTTTTAATCACAAAAATACGATTTTTCAATTTGAGTTTACGATTATCGCTTCGAGACCATTTCAATTTTTGCCGTGCGCCTTGATTGTAGGTAGGGTACTGTAATCGATTTTTTGTCATTTTTTTTCAAAAATCTCAATTTTTTTTTTTGAATTTTACTCGATTTTTCTAGGCAAAAATTGAAATTTAGGAGCTCGATGCACGAATTGATCGACTCGCCGCGGTGAATGGCTGCACGCGGATCGCATCTGAAGGAATTACAGTGGTGTGCTCAATTCCAGGTATTTTTTTTTGTCGAAAAAATGAATGCTTATCGATTACAATGTGCACAGGAATCGATTCGCAACACGCGGCGAAATTGTGTCGTTTCGGACTCGAACTCGAAACACTCATCAATTCGTTTCGGGACGCCACCGGAGCCGATGTCTCGGTGGCGTTGGCCATTGACAGGTGATTTATGCGACCAAATCACTCTTCCCCTTGCGAAAAACACGCGCCCGCAACAAATTGCCGCAAAAATTGAGCGGTTCGACGAGGGGAAATTTGCGATTTTTCGGAATTGGCGGCTCAAAAATTTTTTTGGTCAAAAAAAAAATTTTTTTTTAATATTGATAATCGATGAAAAATGTCGATTTTGAAAATTTTGGAATTTTTTTTAGCAGAAATTTTCAAAAATTGTTTTTTTTTTCAGTTTTTTTTTCAGCTCAAAATTCTCAACTAACAAATTTTGCAATTTTTTGGAAATTAATGCTAAAAAAAAACTTCTAAAAATTCAAATTTTCGAGAATTTTTCGTCAAAAAATATTGAAATTTTGTATTTCTAGCCGGAATTGCTAGATTTCAAAATGCAACAAATTTTGTTTTTCAGCGGAAGCATCACCGCCGGCGTCGTCGGCACCCAAAAATGGCACTATGACGTCATCGGACGTACGGTTGACAACGCGCTTCTGATGCAAAGCAACGTCGATGAGCCGTAAGTGCGCAAACACACGAGTCGACGCGAAATTGCGGATTTCAGCGGCGTCTACGTTTCGTCGGAAACGCGAAAATTTCTCGGCAACGAGTTTGACATTGAGAAATGCGCGATCGGTTGGAAATTGCACGCCAATCTGCCGTCGACCGAAAATTTTCCCGTCAACAAACGGTAATTTTTGATTCATTTTTCTGTGGTAGATCAAAAAAAAAAATCATGGTTTTCGCAGATTCTCGATGATGACCGTACCTCAGGCGGTCAATCGTGTTCTTCAATCGATCACCGCCATGGATCAGACGCTGAAGACGGTCGGCACGTCGAAAAAACGAAAATCGGAGAGATCGCGCGAGAAGTTCGACATGAGCCAACAGAAGAACGACACGATCATCACGTTTTTCGCGCAAAAATTCCGAAATCGCGGATTAGAGGACGAGGTTTCTTTTTTTTTGTTGAAAAATGGACGAAAAATGAGCAATTTGGGAATATTGAAGAATTTTGCCGTTTTTTTTAATTGAAAAATCGACGAAAAATGAGCATTTTTCAGAAATTGACAAATTCTGGCAGTTTTTTGTTGAAAAATCGACGAAAAATTAGAATTTTTCAGAAATTGCCAAATTCTGGCAGTTTTTTGCTGAAAAATCGACGAAAAATTAGAAATTTTCAGAAATTGACAAATTCTGGCAGTTTTTTGTTGAAAAATCGACGAAAAATGAGAATTTTTCAGAAATTGACAAATTCTGGCAGTTTTTTGTTGAAAAATCAACGAAAAATGAAAAATTTTCGGAAATTGACAAATTCTGGCAGTTTTCTGCTGAAAAATCAACGAAAAATGAAAAATTTTCAGAAATTGACAAATTCTGGCAGTTTTTTGTTGAAAAATCGACGAAAAGTGAAAAATTTTCAGAAATTGACAAATTCTGGCAGTTTTTTGTTGAAAAATCGACGAAAAGTGAAAAATTTTCAGAAATTGACAAATTCTGGCAGTTTTTTGTTGAAAAATCAACGAAAAATGAAAAATTTTCAGAAATTGACAATTTCTGGCAGTTTTTTGTTGAAAAATCGACGAAAAATGAGCAATTTTCAGAAATTGGCAAATTCTGGCAGTTTTTTGTTGAAAAATCGACGAAAAATGAGCAATTTTCAGAAATTGGCAAATTCTGTCAGTTTTTAGTTGAAAAATCGACGGAAAATGAGAATTTTTCAGAAATTGACAAATTCTGGCAGTTTTTTTTGTTGAAAAATCGATGAAAAATGAGCAATCTGGGTTTTTTTTTTTCCAAATTCTCTCAAAAGATAATATTTTACCGATATCGAGGGGGATTTTGATGACAATTTTGGCATTTTTCGAATTTCTTAAAAAGCGTTTCTTAAAAATCGCGAAAAAAAATTTTTTTTCGCCATTTTTGTTTTTTTTTTGAAACTTTTTGTTTTCAGTACCACAAAGAGACGGACCATTGGTTCATTCCGTCGATAGCGATCTCGATTTTCTTTCTCGTCGTCTACGGAATCTATCATATGCTAGTTATGCCAAGGTAGGTCAAATTTAGTGTCAATCAAAAAAAAAATTGGCGTATTTTTGTATTAATTCCAATTTTATATCGAAAACGACGAAGAAAAATTGATTTTGATACAAAAACGAAAATTCTGAAAAAAAAGGGCTTAAAGAGGGTGCCCAAATCGATATCTTATTATTGCTGCAAATTTAAAAGTTGATTCATTCACTTCAAAAAATGAATTTCAACTAGATTTTCAGATTTCGAGCAGGTTGAAGAAGGCGCGGGGGGGGGGGTCCTAGGACCCGTTTCATCATTTTCAAATTTTTTTCGATTTCAGATTGATCGCAAGCCTCGCGTTGATCGTCATCGCGCTCACCCTAATGTTTTTTATTCTCCTCATGCTCTACATCGACTATTTCCAAGTGAGTCATTCAATGGAAAAAAAATACAAATCTATTTTTTTTTTTTCATTTGAATTCCCACGTCGAAAAATTCCAAAAAGCGTAATTCCCCGCGCAATTCATTTTTAAAGGCGCACGCGAATAGTTGGCGCGGGTCACGTCGCGAAATCGGTACTGTAATTTTTTATTTTTTATTCTTTATGCTATTTTTCCGAATTTTTCGAAAACTTTGAAGAGGAAAGAGAGTAATGGATTGAAGAACGAGAAAAAAAATAATTATTGGTATAATTACTCTTAATTAGAATATATATGTCCATTTTTCGCCCCCCCCCCAGTTATCATGAGAAATTGAGATTTTTGTGCTGATTTGATGAAGACGTTGCTCGATGACGCTTCTGATGAAATTTTAGCGTTGAAAAAAACAGAATATGCTTAAAAACGTTAAAAAAATCAGCCGTTAAAAAATTACAGTACCGATTTCGCGACGTGACCCGCGCCAACTTTTCGCGTGCGCCTATAAAAATCAATTTTGTGATTTTCGACGTGCGCGCATAGGGAATTCAAATGAAAGCGATGTTTTTCACTTCATGAATTCTTCTTGCAGAGTTTTTCGCAATTCATCACGCGCACCTCGGCGGGCCACGCCGTCACCATTCTCCTCATCATCACCATTTTGTTTCTGTGCGGAATTGTGAACACGGTACGTTCAAACAAAAAATGAAAATTGTGAAAATTTTTGGGAAATTTCTATCAAATATTGTCGGAAAATGAGCAAATTTGGATTTTTTTTCGGCGAGATTTCGAGATTTTATGATTTGTGGGAAAGAATTAGCTTTTTGTCAAAAATTTTTCAATTCTCAGTTTTTTTTTCTCGAAAATGTGTGTTATTTGCGCCCACAAAAAAATCCGTCAATTTTTCTCAAATAATGCCCAAATTTGGAGCATTTTCTCAAATTTTTATTGAAAAATAAAGCTGAAAAAAGTGTTTTTTTTTTTGTTTTCCATCAAAAATCGAAAATTTTTTGCGCATTTTTCCAGTTTTCATGCCCTCAACCATCGGCTTTTGATGTGTGCCAGAAGGCGCACTTCTCGACGTTCTCATTCGCCATGTGGACCATCACAACCGCCGTTTTCATTCGATTCCCGTCGATCTATTTGGGCGTGTTGCTCATCATTTCGCTCATCACCTATGCTCTTCAAATTTTCGCGACGAGACCCGATCGATTTGGACCAAAAGAGTGAGTATTCCTCAATAATTGAGCAAAAACCCAATTTTTTTGCGATTTTCAACAAGAATTTGAAGATTTTGTTGAAAAATTGCAAAAATTCTAAAAAAAACTAAGAGAATGTCAATTTTTTTGAATATCGTCGAAAATCGATCGTTTTGACCAAATACGATTGAAATTTTTTGAGGATTCTCAATAAAAATTGGGATTTTTGCGAAAAATTTGACAGAATTTGAAAAAATTCTATAAAAAGGCCAATTTTTAGCCGAAAAAATGTTGAAAATGTGAAAATTGCAGCCAAGACCATTCTGAAAAATTGATTATTTTTCTACAAAAAATGCCAAAAATTTATAATTTTTAGCCGAAAAAAAAAATTTGAAAATTAGTATTTTGTTTAAATATGAATATTAGGACGGTGTTGCTCATTATTCAATTTTTCGGATTAAAGGCGCATGCGAAAATTTGTCGATTACGCGCCAAGATCAAAAATAATAAAAAGATTCGAAAAATCGAAAATTTCAATTCTGAGATTTAAAAAAAAATAAAAAAGGATCGAAAATATCAATTTTGAGATCAAAAATAGTAAAAGAAAATATCAAAAATTTCAATTCTGCGATCAAAAATAATAAAAAAGATCGAAAATTTCAATTCTGAGATTTAAAAAAAAATAAAAAAGGATCGAAAATATCGATTTTGAGATCAAAAATAGTAAAAGAAAATATCAAAAAATTCAATTCTGCGATCAAAAATAATTTTTAAAAAATATGAAAAATTTCAAATTTGAGATCAAAAATAATAAAAAATATCACAAATTTCAATTCTGCGAACAAAAATAATAAAAAGGATCGAAAATTTCAATTTTGAGATCAAAAATAGCAAAAACAAGGATCTAAAAGTATCAATAATTCGGACATGATTGATTTGTCGATGGTTGCAGATTCACGACCGAACTCGACCTGTGCTGCTATCTCATCTCGCTATCGATAATGGTGTTCGCGCACACGCGTCGCTGCGAGAAATTGCTTCGCCTCGACTTTCTCGCCGTCGTCAAAGGCGTCGAGGAGACGGCGAGCCGCGACAAATTGGCGACGCTCAACAACTCGATGCTGCTCAACGTGGTGCCGGCGCACGTGGCGCCCGCCGTCCTCCAGAAGACGGCCGCCGGCGGCGACGTCTGGCACCATTCGCATCAGACCGTCGGCGTCGCCTACATCGCCGTGTCGGGCTTCGAGCTCGACGGCGACGACGGCATGACGGCGTTGAACTATGTGTTCGCGCATTTCGATCGCGCCATCGCCGACTACAAGGGTGTCGAGAAGGTGAAAAACGCCAATCGATTCTATATTGTTGCCGTTGGATTGGTGCCGGACGCCGCGCAAAACGTCAGTTTTTTTTTGCCATTGGCATTTTCACTGAAAATCCCATTTTTTTGCGAAAATCGCGAAGTTTTTTGATCTAAATTGGAAAAAATTGAACATTTTCATTTTTTAAAGCATTATACTCAAAAATTGCCGGTTTTTTTTTTCTTTGCCCAAAAATTTCTAAAAATTTGCTTGAAAAGTGCTCGAATTGCCCTCGAAAATTGTCGAGAATCTTCCATTTTTTGAAATAATGCTTAAAATTGCCCGAATATGATTAAAAATTGTCAAAATTTCCAAAATTTCATCGAAAAATGTTTGAAATTTTTCGAATTTTCTCAAAAATTCGCAAATTTCATCGAAAAATATTTGGAAAAGTTGAAATATTTCTAATTTTCTCAAAGTTGTCAAAAATTTCATCGAAAAATGTTTGAAATGTTTGAAATTTGTCACATTTTCTCGAAATTGTCAAAAATTCCCAAAATTTTGACGAAAACTACATTAAATGTTTGAAATTTTTGGAATTTTCTCAAAAATTCTCAAATTTCATTGAAAAATGTTTGAAAAAATTGAAATATTTCTAATTTTCTCAAAAATTCATCGAAAAATGTTTGAAAATTGTCGAATTTGCTCAAAAATCCTGAAATTTTGTCTTAAAATTCTCGAAATCACTCGGATTTTGTGATTTTCTCCTCCATTCGAAAATTTTGTCTCGACAATTTTTTTTCTTCAAAACAAAACAAAAAAAGAACCAAATGGGATTGTGTTGTAGGTGAACGAGACGCCGTGGACGATCGGCGAGCTTCTGTACTCGTTGTCGAACTTCGTGTTGAGCGTCACGCGATTCGCCATCGACAACGCGTTCCACGTGCAGATCGGCATCGATTGCGGCGCGTGCGTCGCCTACGTGGCGAACACGGAAGCGCCGCGCTACGAGCTGTTCGGCGAGACGCTCGAACGCAGTCGAACGCTGATGCAGGCGGCCGGACACGAGACGACGCTCGTCTCCGAGGACGTCTACCTCGCGTTGCGTCCGCGGCCGCTTCAATTCGGCGCCGACAAGCTGACGGTGACGTCGCGCCTCAACGCCTACGAGCTCGTGTTGTCGGACGCTCGTCGCGACGCCGCCTCCGTCGAGATGCCGACGATGCCGCGCGAGGAGCAAGAGCGCCACACGCAGGGAATGGTCGACGCGCAACTCGCGTCGCACTCGAGAATCTACGATACGCAAACGTCGGAGATGGCCTCGTCGATGGCCTCGTCGTTCTCGTCCGAGCTTCGATCGATCGACGGCGACGCCGAAACCGATTCCGATCTGGGTTCGTTGATTTCGATTCGAAAATTTTTTCCCCCCATCAAAATTTTGTTCAAATTGAAGACGTTGAGGGTTTTCAGAGAATTCGAGACCATCTGAATATTCTGACGCGTTTTTTTTTGAAACTAAAAATTTGAGAATTAATCGAAAATTTTAAGATTCAAACTATTGACTCGAATTTCTCGGATTTTTTGTTGGAATTTCAGAAATGTTGAAATGTTTGCCTGAAATTTCGAGAATCTCGCGTTGAAATTGAAGGCATTGAATTGTCGGCCGTCAGAATTTTGATATTTGATTAGAAATTTTGAAAGTCGACGATTTCAAGATTCAAATTATTTTTTTAAGCTTCAGAATTTGAAAAAAATTGGCAAAATTCTGAAAAAAAAAACCAATTTTTTCTTTGCATTTCGAGGAAAAAAAATAATTTTTGCTGTTTTTTTTTTCCAGAATGGGTGACACCCGAAACGGCGTTGATGAATCGCGGCGAGAGCCGACCGAAGTATGTGCTGCGACAATCGGACTACGATCCGTATCGCGAGCCGGGCCGCGAGTACCAATCGGCGACCGACGCATCCGACGTCGAGGGTGCCAACTCGCGGAGTCGAACAAGCTCCCGAATGAGCTGTAAGTCGGTTTTTCGAATTTCTGAGAAAAAAATGCAATTTTTTGGAATTTTTAAGAAAAGAAATTTCAGAGAAATTACGATTTTTCATTTTTTTTTTCTTCAAATTTGAAAAAAACCTCGAATTTGAAGGGAAAAAATTTATTTCAAAAAAAAAAACCCCAAGTTTGTGTTCCAGACCGCCGCGGATGGCGCGCGTCGTCGAAAAGCTCGCTTCGCAACGGCTTCGGCCTATTCCAGAAGCGCGCGTCGTCGGCGGACGCCGTCAATCAGATCGAGGCGGCGGCGTCGCGCGTGGATCGAATGATTCAGGAGTTGAACGCGTACGGCGATTTCGCCGACGTCAAACCGCTCGAGTACCAGCCGTTTCCCAACACCGTCTATCATCACGGCTCGTTGAGCTCGATGAATCGCGCGATGAGCTCGGCGTGTCATACCGAGTACGACAACGCCGAATCGGAATTCGAGCAGCAGTTGTCGGAAGGCGGCGACGATGGCGATGGCGTTGCGATGGCGGCGGCGGCGACGCGCCGTCGACGACGACGAGGCGACGCGGCGAGGCGTTGGCGTCGCGACGCCACCGACGGCGACACCGAATCGCAATGCTCGTCGAGTATGGCGAGCGTCGAGTTGGCGTCGACGACGCGATGGGCGTCGGCGCACTCGATCGGCTACGAGAACGAGTACGAACTGCGAAGCGACGCCGACGCCGACGGCGGTCTCGCCATCGACGAGATGATCGCACTGTCGCGCGACATTCGCAACAACTTTGGCGATTTTCAGCTGGCCACGTTTGACGACGTCGATCAGCAATGATGATTCTTAGGCTTCTCATTTTTGTTTTCATTTTTGTTGATTTGTTATTTCTTGTTTGCAATGCTCGGCTCGTCTTTCCGCGCACGCGCGCGCAACCCGGAACCTTGTCGGCAGATTGCCTTTTTTCTTTTGGCTCATCAATCTACCTCATCTGCCGACAATTTTCCGGGTGTTTTTTTTTTTAAACGCCCACCCGACCCCGCCCAAATGTTCTCACTGGTCCGCCCTCTTGTTAACCACCGGTATTTTCTGCCTTGTTATTCTTTTCTCCCTTTTTTTTGGTCCCATCAGCGATAATATTTTAATAAATTCATAATATTTGGTGTGAATTTGGAAATATGGTGCATTTTGCGATTTTTCGAACAAAATTTTGTGGAAAAAATTTTGAACAAAAATTCAGGAAATGTTCAAATTTAAAATTTTTAATCGCTCTGTACAATGGAGCGCGTTTGCCCATTCTGACAATTTGAATCCAATATTTGGGGCATTTTTAGCTTGATTCGAAGTTTGTGTGTCAACACCGCGACGCAAAAATGCACAAGAATTGGTCTTCCCAAAAAAAAATGAAAACTTATCATTGTCAGTTCAAAATTGTTTCTTTGGTGTTCCATGACGAATTTTAAAAATGAAGGCAATCTCATTAAAATGATAATTGCCTAATTTGGTGGGGTATAAAATGAGCGCGAATTCGATGAGGAACCACAACGAAAATGTCGACAATCAACACTTTTGTAAGTCATTTTCTTTTTCTTCTCCTTTTTTTGCCCAATTCGATATTCGTTGAGGTGCTCCTCGTGCTGATGCTCTCATTCGCTTCATCGCTGGTCCTCTACGATCGATGCCGCGATCAATACGATTGTACGAAGAAGGATGAGTACTGCATCTATCAATACTGCATGCACGTCAGCCTCCTCGTCACTTATCCGTATCCGGGAGCTTAATTTGTTGGCATTCATTGAATAAAGTCATTCGCAACGCAAAAAAGAATGCACCTTGAGCAATTGTGGACCATCGCAACAGGTTTTGGTCGGCGCGGGAATTTGAATAAGCAAATTTGACGACTCAATATTGAAATTAATAATTCATATGGACTAATATCTCCTTGAGTTTGGGTTCTTAATTTCCGTGCAATTTATCGTGTTAGTGTTTACGTACTTCACTTTTCAATTTTTTTTCATTGTGAATTTCGAGAAATCGGTGTAGATTTAAATTAATCGTTGGCTGAATATTAAATGCGCGTACGCAGTCTGGCGGCCAATCATTTATAATTTTTTTAATCGATTTTTTGAAATTATCAATTTTTTTTTTTTCGAAAAAATTTCAAATTCTACTGGCCGACAATCGCAATTGCGGAGTGTCGTTGCAACGCGCCACCGCCCGCAATTTATCGTAAACCCCAACACTCGGCAATTAATGGATATTCGCGTGGTGGCCTATCGTCGTCGAAATTTCAGCATTTTTTTGATTTTCAATCATCACGATCGGCGATTATTTGCGAAAGAAAAATTTCGATAAATGCACAATTCTCTGAAATTGCTCGCGTTCCTCTCAACGATTCCTGGAAATTCAATGATGGCCGAGCAAGTAGGCGTATTGTCGGAGGGCGCCTATCACGGAAGTTCGTCGATTTTTTATTTTTTTTTAATTTGAAATTTCCATTTTTCAGTTCAATATTGTACCGTCTTGCATGGAACTCTTTTAAGATATGATGGATTGGATAAATGCACGATTTTTCGCGAAGCGATGTGAGTTGTTTTTACGCTAAACCGCGGGCGGTTTGATGAGCGGAGTGTCGTCGGCGTGCGCGTTTTTTTTTCCTCATTCTTCAACCGCGAATCTTTTCTTGCAGAATCAGCACCGCTCAATGGACCGACGCTCAAGTCCTCCGATTCGTCACAACCATGTCGGAAGTGGTTGACTCGACCTTCACAATCACCGGCAACACAATCACGCATCTCGAGTTCACGCTGCTCGACACACTGATGGCCTCGACGATACACTTTGAAAATTTGACGAATTTGGAGCTCGTCCATTTTCCGAAATACTCGCCGGAAAAATTTGAAGCCACTGGTGCGTTGGTTGTTTTTTTTTTTTGCAATTTCATTTTTTTTGGTTTTTATAGAGCTGAGCACGAAAAACACGCCGAAGCTCACCGAGGACAGTTATCGCAATATGCGGCAAATTTGCGATGGCTGCGAGTATGAAGGTTGGCCTTCGAATTCACGGCAAATATATAAAAAATGCGAAACTCATCAAGAAAAATGAAGCAGTTCGCGCGAAAACAGCAAAATAAGCATTCACGCGTGGCGAGACCTTTTCAAGGCGCATGCGCGTAAATCTACCCGCGGACGCCCGACTATATATATATATATATATATTGCAGGGCATCGTGACGTCTACAAATCCGAAGATGAAGTAATTCTGGAGACGACGACGATTGCGAAAAGTGCGTATTGAGAGAATGCGAGATTTTCAGTGTTTTTTTTGGTTGCAGTCCCAACGATGAAAATTGTTGAATCGACGACGACAATTGAAGAAATCACGACGACATCATCATCATCGAATGATAGTTTGGTGACGGAAAGCATTGAAAATGAGGGATATGTTGATCCGTTTGCGTCAGAAGCCTCGAGATTCCCGACAATTCTCGCATTTTCACTCATCACTCATTATTTATTCCTTTTTTGAATAATAATATATTGGCTGTTCCACCTGAAAATCCCATTGTTGATTTCAGTGAAACTTCTGAATTCATATTTTTGCCCTCTCGTTTTGAAATCCTTCAATGGTCCGAATCCGGTGGGGATGGTCACATTTATGACATTCCTGACTAAACTGGGAAAAGATTTTGTGTTAAACGGTTTTTTTTTTTCATCAAAATATGCATATAATTTCATCTAGAACTGATTTCAATTGTATTTTCTACTAATTTTTGGATTATTGTGTTTGTAGGCGTGTGGTATTGTTAAAAAAATGACAAATGTACCCAGGTGTCGTGGGATCCTGTGTTTTGTACGCAATGCTAAGAGACAGTTACCGTAATCCTCGCAGCGATTTACGGGGACTTTTTTTTTAATTTTTTGCTCAATTTTCGTATTTCCCTTCGAAATTTTGCAGAAACCGAGTTTAATAATTTATTTAGCAGAATAAGCACTTTTAAACGATATTGCAGAGATTAAAAAGAAAACATTTTTGTCGTTAATAAAATTATTTTTTCGTGTTTTGCGTTTTGTACGCGTTTCTATTATCTTGTTTTTGTATTCTTCATTTTCAAAATAATTTTTAGAGCGACGAAATCTTCACAATAACTCCCAACTCAACTGGACAAATGGAAAAGTGCTGAAAAATAAATAATTAAACTCGGTTTCTACAGGCTTTAAATAAAAGATTTCCAAAGAAAATACAGCAAAAAATTGAAAGAAATAAAAAAAACAAACTCCGTAAATCGCTGCGAGGATTACGGTAACTGGCTCATCACATTGCGTACAAAACGCAGGATCCCACGACACCTGGATACATTTGTCATTTCTCAAGAATACCCAAGATTTGGTCGATTAGACTTTATTGGGTCTACCAAATAGAATGTCAAAATGAGAGAAACATGAGCTTATATGTATAGTGCCCCCCGGGACCATACTACAAACAATAGAAGAATATAAGATACGCAGAGAAAAAAGGGGGAGAAACATAGATAAAGGGAGAATGAGAGGGTGCTATACAACGAGACAATTCTATAGGGCGCGTTTGCGGACAAATTTTGTGTTATCTAAAATTTCGCACAAGATTTGAAAATCCGGGGCCTAACCCGATTTCAACGTTCCCGAAGAACCAGTTTTTGTGGCGCAAGAACGAATTGCTCGGTCAGAAGCTCTTCATCGATAGCCGAGCTTTCTGCCGTCACGGCAATTCTCCAGAAGCTCTCCTCGCATCTTCCAGAATCGCGAATAATGGATTCTAGCAAAGAACGGCGTCGCTAGCGCAAAAACCGAGTCTCTCCAAAATTCGTCGCTAAAAGTCGCCGCGAGATTACGGTCGCCTTTCGCCGCGAGATATCCTAGCCGCCTCACAGCATCCGCCTTTAGCCGCTTGATTCTGCGTCTCTTCGACACCCACTATCTTTTCTCAAAACGCGCGATATCTCTACCACTCCGCGCGCGCCCTCCTCGTTTACACACTCTCTCTCTCTCTTATTTAATTTTCTTTATTTTTCCTTAATTTTCAGTCAATTTCCGCGGAATTTGACACAAAAAATGTGCACATTTTTGCCTTTTTTTTCCTAAAAATTCTTTGAACACTTCCATTCGCGTGTTTAACTCATTTATTCCTGCCAATTTGATTTTTCAAAAAATCATTTTTTATAAATTTGCTATCAAAAATCTGATGGCTAGATGGCGACGAACTTGTTTGGCGATTCTCATCATCGGCTCGACATTCTGTACGGATTCGCAGAAGCTCGACGACGAGTACGAACGAATTCGTAAGCAGCGCGCCCAATGGCGATCGCCAAAATCGATTTTTTCGTTTTGACAGAAAAGGAGAATTGTCAGAATAGGCAAATAGTCGTAAAAGATATCAAAAAGAATTTTTTCTATAGCATTTCGTATTCGTGGTTAGTGTATGGCCTCGGCGAAAATTCTCTGGTAGCTCAAAACCAATCGGATTCGACAAAATTCGGCTCCGGAATCAATCCGATCCGGATTGGATATTCTACGGATAAGATTGTTAAATTGTCGGATCAAATTGGATATTTGTCGGATCTGATTCGAATTGAAAGGTTATAACAAATCGGATTATCAATGTTCAATCTGATCCGACAATTTTCCAATCCAATCCGGATCGGATTGATTCCGGAGCCGAATTTTGTCGGATCCAATTGATTCTGAGTTCCCAGAGTTCGTAAAACGTCTATAAATGCCGAGACGTCAACGATTTCAAAAATGTGAACACACGGTGACGAGAAATTGCGGACGCGATTTTTTCATTCAATTTCTTTCATCCTTTTTTTCGAACTATTCCTATAGTCGTTGAATTTAAGGCATGTCGAAATCAAAGAACTGACGAATTTATGGGGGTCCGTAGTTCTCTGGTAACTCTGGTAAATGATTCCTAGTCGTATACGAAAAAAGCGAATTTCTTCATCGTATAAGATAAAATTAAAATCGTATACGTTAATGGTAATCGTATTAGTTAATGTGAATCGTATAGGATCGTATACGATTCTGATGAATGGTTTGTAATCGTATACGAAACATCCGCATTTCCTCGTCGTATACGTTATTGCAAGGATCGTATACGATTTGGATTTTATCACAGTAGTGTAACCACCACAATTATACACTGCGGACATGCATTAAAATTGACGTCTAAATTCGAAAAACAATTTTCGAAAATTTTCGAATTTTTTCATATTCGATTTTTATGCGTATATTGCGTTTTAATATATATACTTTCCAAAAAAATCGTGCATTTTACTGGCTCCGCTCTAAGAAATCTATATTTTCTTTGCAGATATGTCGCAAAATTCAAAACTATTTGCATATCGAAAGCGATATCGTTACACCACACGAGAAATCATAGAAAAAAATATATAGGGAATATCGGAACGAGACAGAAACAGGTGATAACAACAGAAAAAATGAAGAAAATAACTATTTTCAGAAAATAGAGAAACTTAACATCAGGTATAACTAAAAGTAAAAACAGAGCAAGATTTAATTTCTATAGATTCTATAGAATCGTCTGAAGATGAGCTCACTTGCGCGGAAGAAGATTTTGTGTCAATGTCGAGCTGTGACAACTTGCAGACAGTCATTACGTCGAGAGGTTGTTACCGTTTTTGCATATTTTTGAAATTATTTCGCTTTAGGCCAATGGGAAGCATTATCTTCGCGAGATTTTATTTTCACAGTTTGAAACGACTATTATCGTCAGAAATCACAAAGGGAATTGGGCAAAGAATGTTGCGGAAGTATGCTTTATTATAAAATTGTACACCGTAGAAAAATTTTAGTGCTGCAATTTTGCAAGATTTGACGACCGAAGTTCGTGCAAGACTTCATTCGGACCCAACGAGAAAACAACATGATGTGTCTATCGTGAAACTGAGAAAACTGCTATTTCGATATTCGGAGAATGATGATATCGAAAAAACGACAGATGTACCACTGAAGTACTCAATGCTGGCTCAAAAAGGCGATTTGTTTACTGAGAAATACAGCTATCAAGGCTCACACTACTCAATACAAAGAAATATTGCTTCGGATAATAGCGTCGTGATGTTTCGTTGGCGAAATTCACTGCAATATGGCGATGTATTGGGATTTCTCCTCAATGAGAAGTTCGGTGACCGGGTTATTCTACAACCATACATTCTAAATGAAAGGAATCATGTTCACGGTATGTTTTATTTATTGTTCAATCATTCCAAATGTAATGGTACCAGATTCCGCGAAAAAAAGCATTAAAATCATCAAAAGCCGTAAAAAAATATCAGAACTCGTCAAAACCGGCAAAAACCATTATAATTATGGTTACCGCTGTTTGAGTTTTTGGCGAAATCTGCATAGTACCACAATAGAAACTATAGAAACCCTATACTTCCAGATAGAAACTTAATCCCAAAAATTCGCGGCAAAGCCAAACAAAAACAATGTGAGTATTTTTTTAAATTTTGCTATTCTCTAAATTTAGATCGACGTGATCGCCCTATACAACCCTGAAGCTCTTAAAGACGCAGAAATAATTATTCCATCACTGGATGGAAATAGTGGGTTTTTTGTGTTTCGAAAGCTTTGAATTTGTATTAAATCTTTTAACAGGAGACATCAACGTCGCCCAAATATTTTTGGAAATTCCGTTCATGAAGGCAGCTCTGAAGCATGTGATAAATACTACAGTCAACAGATTTGTCGATAAGGTATCTTACAATTATTTAAAGTTGCAAAAAATATCTTCAGACAATTCCCAATAACGATCGTGTGAATTATTCAACATCGTTTAAGCCAACTCCGCCGCACGCAACGCTTCCAGTTCGTTTTGTCAACACAGCGATTGGTATGCTCAAATAGCGCGAAAAATGTTTAAAATATGTTTAAATTAATTTCAGCTGTTTTACAAAAGACGATTACCATCGCTGGAATGGCTGACGAAACGGCGAATTCTACAATCTCCTATTTGGTACACGGTCATATGACCTATCTCCTGTGAGTTTTCACTTTTTTAGTGGGCCTATGCAGATTTTGAAAAGAAACGCAGTAAAAACCTTTTAAAGAAACTCGACAACATTATAAAGATTCGGCTAAACTAGTCTTAATCAGATTTTTCGCGTTTTTCTCCAAAATCTGCACATGCCGAAGACTGCCTCATGATTAATCATTCAAATGAACTTAATTCAGAAACAATTCACGATCGAAAGCGCGAGCAGTGGAAAAAAATGGTTGATGCGCCAACCAAAATTAATTAATTTATTCCTTTTTCTTTTTCATTTTTTTGTCTTTCATATTTTTTTTTTAATAAACAGGTATAGAAATCTTTACATCATATATTTAAAAGCGTTAAAATGCCAAACGAGTAGTGTAAAGTGAAATGGTATACGAAAAAAATCTCAATCGAATACGAAAAAATCTCAATCGAATACGAAAAAATCCCAATCGAATACGAAAAAATCCCAATCGAATACGAAGAAATCGTTACCGTATATGAAGAATTGTAGTCGTATACGAAGAAATCACAATCATATACGAAGAATTATAATCGTATACGAAGAAATGCCAATCGTATATTAAGAAATCCCAATCGTTTTTGGCCGCGTTTGAAGAGCGATATCAGCGTATACGATTGAGCTTTCTTCGTATACGACTCGGAATCATTTACCAGAGTTGAGTATTCAAATTTCGCGGGCTTGGTCTTGCGGCAGTGTCGATTTACGAGCAAACCGTAGGGTAGATTTAAGCCGGCCATCTAGCGACGAGGAAATGTAGAGATTTTTTTAATTTTTAAATAAAGCGAAAGTTTAGGCCAAAAAAACAATTTCGTCTGCGCATTTAAAGGCGCACGTGCCTCTTCGCTTCAAGACCTTGCAGTTTGAATTTGTCAAATTCGTCCCCATGGCAATTGAAAGAAAAAACTCAGAAATATTTGAGACTATGGAAAATCGTTTTTTTTTAAAGAATATTTCTCGATGATTTTTTTTCGGCTAGCATTTCATCGAGGGCATACACTACTACTATTTGGGGGAGGGAGGTTGGGTCTCGCAACGCGCAAAAATTTCGATATCACAGTATTATAATAATGAACAAGAATGATAGCGACGTGGCGTTTTTCGGCGCCATCGAGTCGCTGTGCAACTCGACAATAATCTTCTATCGAAATCCGGAACTGACGCGAATCGACCTCGGACGCCTGTTCTACGCCGAACACTCGCTGATGATGTTCGTCGACAATCCGAAGTTGGTCGATGTCGTGTTCGGCACGCCGGAATCGCTCGAGCTCAAAACGCGACAATACTATTATCAGCGGAAAATCAGTCGGCCTCAACGCTCAGTCAGTCATTCGATTTTTTTTCTTCTTCCGATTCCAGGTATGTACTCGAACAACAATCCGCGACTCTCGTGGCAATCGTATGAATCGATGCGCGAGATGTGCAATGGCCTATGCGAACTCTGGGAAGGTTGTGTCGATTTCAAACAAGGTCTCGACACGATGATTTCAGCGAGGCACGAGGCGCACGTCTTCGACATTGGCGATTATGATCGCGATCCGATGGCCTATTATGATTATGATTATTGGCTGGTCGCTGGAAGACCGGAACCGGTTGAAGTTGAACGGAGCGCGAGTCGACGACTCGCCGAATCGAATTTCATTGTTGCATGTGTTCTCCTTGTTCGGTTTTTCTTGAATACAACGGCTCAATGATGTTTTTGGGTGACGCAACGACACTCCGCTGCGGACACGCGTGCCCGCGATTTAGCGGCAACTCGCAATGAATTCTCTCAAAGTCGGCAAAAATTAGCTAGATTTGAATTTCCAAAAGCAAACGCGCTCCATCGCACAATTTTCTGGATTTAATTGTTGTGCGGCACAACGACACTCCGCTGTGGGCATGCCTGCCCGCGATTTAGCTTAAATCGACATTTTCACCTTAAAAGCGCCTTGGATTCCGAAAAATCACGATGAAACCGGCAACAAATATCCCGAATTGGATTCGAATCGACAAATTGAGCAAACGCGCTCCATTGCACAATTTTCTGGATTTAATTGTTGTGCGGCACAACGACACTCCGATGTGTGCTCGCCCGCCCGCGATTTAGCTTGAATCGACATTTGCATCTTAAAAGCCCCTTGAATTCCGAAAAGTCACGATGAAACTGGCAACAAATATCCCGAATTGGATTCGAATCGACACACTGAGCAAACGCGCTCCATCGCACAATATTCTAATTTTCCAACATTTTTATAATGCAAATGGCGATTAGATAATTGAAGGCGCGCGGCGCCGAACTCCACGCGATCTCATAGTCTTCAAGCTCCTCGACATTCTCGGGTGTCGTGCTCCCGATTGGCGTGGTCGTTGGCGTCGTCGTGGTTGGTTTCGTCGTGGTTGGTGTCGTCGTGGTTGGTGTCGTCGTGGTTGGTGTAGTCGTAGGTTCCGTCCAAGTAGATTCCATTTCAGTTGAAGTGGTGAACGGAATAGAGCTTGATGATGAACTGGTTGGTGGTGTCGTCGTCGACGTCGTTGGTGTCGTCGTCAACGTCGTTGGCGTCGTCGTTGGTGTCGTCGTTGGCGTCGTCGTGGTTTCAAGCGGCCACCAATCGTTGACTGCTTTGAACATGCTTGGCGGCTGTTCAAATGTTACTGCTGAAAAGAAAAAATGGCAAATTGGGTCCCGCCACGAACATCAAACCCGAATCGCAGGCGCAGTGTGACGTTTTGCATAATTTCGACGCCAATTTCAGCGACCTATCGTCCCATTTCGAATTTCGCGCGCAAATCAAAACTGAAAACCGTTGAAAATTTGGAGGTTTTTGCCCAAAATTAAACCGGAATCGGCGAATTTCCGCCGCAAAAAATGGGGCATTCGAAATTGGACCATTTTCGTTTGGCCGATGACGCGAAAACTCGAGTTGTACGCCTCGACGAGATTCGCGAAAATCAACGGCCTTGTGGTGTCGACGTCGCCATTTGGCGCCACCAGCGCCAATGACGAATTGGTGAATGTGATGAGATTTTCGGCGAAAATGAACAATGCGTCGCCTGGCCAATGATCGTAATGAATTCTTCAAAAAAAAATTCGATTTTTCAATTTTTTTCCAAAAAAAAAACATCATAAAACTGATTCTTTTACATCCTTTGACGTCTTCGTAGCGATTTGTGACGACGTGAGTGAAATCTGAAACCGAAATTCACCGTCCAACTCGATTATCTCGTTTACTCGGATCCGCGTTTGTGCAAAATTCGCCATTCTTTCGCACTTTTCCGTGAAGTTTGAGTCCGAGCGAGCGAATAAAATTGAGATATATCAATAATGCAAAAAATTTGATGAGCATTTAAACAAAATTGACATTATTTTGCGAAAATGTGACTTAAATAATGAGGATTTCACGTTCAAATATATTTTTTTGTCGAGAAATTCTCATAAATTGGATACGGTTTCAAGGAGCGTAAGTCAAATTTCGAGTGAGTCTCGCCACGCGTGGTACTGTACTTGAAAAATATTTTTGAATTTTTTTTCTTCTCGATTCCTTGACAGTATTTCACTTTTTTTTTATTAAAAAAAATCAAAATCGTTCAAATTCACTACAATTACTATGAAAATTATGCAAACTATGCGTTATTCTCATAAAATATCTTTTTTTTAAATGAAAAATGAATATTTTTAGGTATTTGCCGAATTCCTCTTTTCAAATTTGAATTCAATGTTGACTTCAGCTAATATTGTGGAAGATAGAAGGCGGCGGATTGGATTGAATGGCTCACCTCCAAATTGAATGAATTTTTCGTTGAAAAGGTTGGACCCCCTCATGATTTTTCATAAAATCTCGGAAATTATTATAAAAAAATTCATTTGTTTTTTAGATTTTCTATAATTTTGAAGCTTTTCTTCATAATTTTAGAATAAAATGCAAAATTTTTGAATTTAAATTCAATGGAAACTAGGGGATAAAAAAAAAGTGTTTCCATTTATTAAAAATGGTCGCATTTTTATGCCTATTGGCCTAAATTTTATTATTTTTTCTATAAAAATTAATCAGAACGAAATTTTGCTGCAACTGTTTCAATAATCAAAACCAATTTCAGTGAAATCGAGACATTTCGAATTTTTGACGAAACGAGAAGATCCGGAATGAGGGAAGCAGTCCAAAAAGTTGGCCAAGTGGGTATGGTCCCTCTAATTTCAAAAGTTTTGGAGAGCATTTGCTGAAATGTTATAGAATTTCCTAATTTGGAGGAAAAAATCAAGTTTTAAGCATTTTTTTTTTGAGTTTTCTTTTTTCAGAAATTTTTCTAAGGCCAGTATTTTGAAAAATTAAAGATTTTCGGGTAACGCCAAATTCTGCCATTTTTCGATTCCAGGTTTTACCTTAAATTTTTTTTACTTAAAAAAAATTAAAAATTTTTTTTGATGGTCCCTTAAAAAAAGAATTCCAGCTATTTTTTCTACCTATTGTATAAATTTTATGAATTTTTTCAAGAATGAAAATGGAATTTACTGAAAATTAATTAAAGAAGCATCATTGAACACATTTTTAACCGCAGATTTTCGCCATCAACTATTTTTTTTGGCGTGTGAACTCTTGAAAATGATTCAATTCACATATTCCCATGGGTTTCAATCAAAATCAAATCAAATCTGAGATGAGCAAGAATTCTCGTCATTATACTATTAAATTTGGTTCATTTTTATCCATTTTTTGGTCCCTTTAAAGAAAAATCATCAATTTTCATTTTAAAAAATCGTTCTTCTCTCAAAATTCTCAAATTTCAGCGGTCTATTTTCAGCAAAAAAAAAAACGTCGACGACGCAACAAATGGCGATTTTCAGCTAGACACTTAATTTCTGAAAATTTTCTGTAAAAATGAAATGTATGAATAAATTTTTGAAGGTTTTCCGGCGACCACTATTTATTTTATGGTTTTATCCATAATTCTCATACTTTTTCCAACGAAAATTCTTCTAAAATTTTCCATCGAAAATGATAATTGTTTTAATTTTTATGCGCCTTTAATGTATCTCAATGTCTTGCCTCTTCAAGCCGCCTAAAATATTTATCTCGTCGTTGAGCTGTGTGTTTAAAGGCGCATTGGGGGCCAACTGGTTTCATTGTTGGCTTAGATTCGAATTCTCTAATCAAACCCTTCAATCTTTTCTTTAAAATGAAAATATTAAACCCTCATTGGTTTATCTCGGGTCTCAATCGCTGAGGCAAGAAAAAAAAAAAGAACTGGAAAGTTGTTGGGGCCCCCCCCTCCCTTGCGCGACCCCCTCCTGTGAATATCATCAATTTCTTTTTTTTTGCCTTTTTTTGAAGACGTTTAATTTGCTAGTAATTCGGCCCTACAGTAATCGCAAGGTCTCGAAGCGAAACGCGAAATTTCAGAAAAAACACACACTATACGAATAATTGGCGTCTCTCCGTTCTCAATTTCACACTCTCGTCATTCATTCATTTTTTTTTCTCGTTTCGTTGTGTGACGGCTAACTATACCTTGTATAGCCAACGGGCCACCACCACCCACCAATTCATTTTGTAGTATTCAATGCGGTTACTCACACGCGAATATTATAGCAATTTTTCTATTGTTTCTTCGTATGCGCCTTTAAACAACGTCCTGACACGCCAAAATTTCTTTATAGCCGCTGAACGAATTGCCGAGAAAAGAATCGGTCGGCGCGGGTTTTTTCGAGATGAGTTGGATATTCAAAATGATCATCGATTAAAGGCGCATATGGTAAACATTTTAGGATTCCTGCAGAAAATAGTGTGATACTGTAGGCTTCGAAAAATGTGGCCGTGCTTCAATTTGAATAGCGATTTTTCGGGTTTTTAAATAGCGAAATATTGTTGAAAAATGACAAATGTATCCAGGTGTCGTAGGATCCTGCGTTTTGTACGCAATGCTAAGAGACAGTTACCGTAGTCCTCGCAGCGATTTACGGGGACTTTTTTTTTAATTTCGCATATTCATTTTTTTATTTTTCGTTCAATTTTTAAATTTTTTTTCGAAATTTTTTAATTTAAATTTTCAAATTTTACAGAAACCGAGTTTAATAATGTATTTAGCAGAATAAGCACTTTTAAACGATATTTTTTTGGTAAAAGCAGCAGAGATTAAAAAGAAATAATTTTTGTCGTTAATAAAATTATTTAATCGTGTTTTGCTTTTTGTATGCGTTTCTATTATCTTGTTTTTGTATTCTTCATTTTCAAAATAATTTTTAGGGCATCAAAATCTTCACAATAATTCCCAACGCAACTAGACAAATGGAAAAATGCATATTCTGAAAAATAAATAATTAAACTCGGTTTCTACAGGTTTTAAATATAAGATTTCTAAAGAAAATAAGAAAATTCAGCAAAAAAATTGAAAGAAAATTTAAAAAAAAATCTCCGTAAATCGCTGCGAGGATTACGGTAACTGTCTCTTAGCATTGCGTACAAAACGCAGGATCCCACGACACCTGGATACATTTGTCATTTCTCAACAATACTAAAAAATAAATAAAAGAGAGGTCTCGGTGCGCCTTTAATCTACGCTATTAGTTTTGCCCCAATTATCCAAATTTCGTTATAGAAAAATTTTAAATGTTCATTTTTGCATTCCAAAATTTGCAATTTTTACAATTTTTTTTTATAGTGAAATGCTGAAAATTCCATTAGACATTGCAAACGCGCTCCATTGCACTCATAGGCATGTGCGATGGAGCGCGCTTCCTAATATGATAGGATGAAGGAAAATTATGAAAAGAATTGTTGTGTTTTGTTCACATCTCAATTAATTTGAGTGCACTTGTTCATTATTATTATTTTTGTTGCGCCTCGATTCCACTTTGAGGACCCCCCAAAATAGGGAATTCGTTGTGGGACCCAAATTGTTTTGTCTCGACCCCCCCCCTCGTCTACTCTCTCTCTCTCTCTTTTTTTTACTCTTTCCGGTATGAGAAAAAAAATAATTTCCGAAATTTGCAACAAAAAAAAAATTATTATGAATTTTTCCCAAAATATTAATAGTTGTTTTTTGTCGTAAAAAAATGCATTTTCTTATTGAAAATATAAAATTTTGCCAAAAAGATCAAAAATACGCAAATTTTGTGAGCAAAGAATTTCGAATCTTGGCAATAAATCGCAAAAAAAGGAGAGGCGTGTCCTTCTTCTCGAGGGTGCTCATGCTCTTAAAAAAAAAATAGAGTTATTCGAGTGTGTGTGTCCGACTGCCAAATATGTAGATATCTTCTTCACTCTCTCTTATACACAATCTGAGGCGACGACGAAGAAGAAGAAGAAGGGGGGGGGGCTCGACTTTGCCTACCTTGATTCCTGTCGATGGTGGTTCATTTCGTCTGACCGTCTGGCGGTGCCTCTCGCGCTCGCACACTCTCTCGCCGAGCGCGTCCTCGTCGCGCTTCTCGGCGATTTGCGCGCGATTTTGCCCATTTTTGGCCGACTGCGCGCCCAACCCCCTATTATGCACAAATATATGCCGAATTTGTCAGACTTGTAGTGTTCGCCTACTAACTATTAATTTGTTCTTTTTCTTTCGACGAACGAGAGAGAGAGAGAATTTCACAAAATTTTTTTTACTATTTAGGCAAAGTATGGTTAAAACTAGTACCTCTGTACCTTCAAAAAACTGCAAATTATGAGATTTTCGCGTCACTATTCCGATGTTTTTTCGCCTAAAAATCTGCTCTACTTTATAGAAAATTGCTTAAATTTACAACAGCTTCTTTTTTCTCATGAAAATTGCCAATTTGATCATTGATTTCCGAGAAAAATCCGATTTTTCTTCGAATTCCCTCTAAAATTTTCAATTTTGCATTTTTTTTTCGTGAATTCAATTTAAAAAATTTTTTTCATTTTTTCAAATCGCCGCGCGAAAACAACTTCGCTTGGTGAATTGCGTACATTTTCGGCTACAGTAACCCGAAAAAGGAAATCATTCCGTCATTTCCCATTGATATATTTGCCAATTGGTTCCTCCCATTCGCTCTTATCTCATTTGTCGTTCGTGGCATCGGTGTGAGTACACCGTGACGCACAAATTCACACCGGATTTTCTCATATTTGCGGCTCTTAAACCATATATATATATTTCCCTCTTTCAGATTTATGAGCGATCCACCAAATGATGTGAAAGAAGAAGCGTCAGCTTCGCAACAACGCGACGATGATAATGACGAGCAGGAGGATGAAGCTAACATGGAAACGGTTGATTTGGGACTAGACGACACCAATGAATCGTGAGTGCCGATTATTGCAGCTCGATCAATTTTTTTTCTCGTTGTAGAACGCCGACGGCTGATGACGATCAGGACGCGTACAGCTCGAAGGTGTTCCGAAACATCGACGACGTGCCGTCGTCGGAAGTGTCATCGGTTGTCAAGGAGAACGGAATCGAGATTCCGGCGAATTGCGATCATCAGACGACGGTGTCGGAAGTGTCTTCGTTGCCCGCCATGGAATCGCTTCCGCCGCTTCCCGAAGGCAAAGAATTGGAGTTGGAGGTAATGCGGTTTGATTTGAAATGGATAATCGGCGAAAAACGCAAAAAATTATTGCGAAATATTGAATTTTGGTCTCAATTTTTTGAAAATTTCGTAGAAGACACCCAAATTTGGTTATGAGTCACCCCACGCAAGAAAAAAAAAGAACGAATTTTGCCGTATGTGCTCTCTCCCTCTGTTTCACCAGGGTTATGATTTCCAACAAAAAAAAATACGATTCTGATGATGATGATGTTAGCCGGAAGACATGACGACGTTCTACATCGAATATGATTTGACGCAACCGCCGACGCCCGGATCGCAGAGTCGACGCGACAGCTACAATGGCGGAGGCGGCGGAGCATCGTCGCGTCGCGGCTCGCTCGCCTCCTTCTCGAAATCGTTCAATATCTCGTTCCCGTTCAGCGTTCGTATTCAATTCTCGCTTATTTGGGCCGTCCGAATTACACCGCATGACGCTTGTGTTGCATGATCTTGCATGATATCGCTGCGAGACATTCGTTAAAGGCGCATCATCGCTAGATCGGCGACTCACTTAACGTTGGCCTTCGCCGTAAGACCATGATTAAAGGCGCACCCTTCGCTCTAACACATGTGGGTCTCGCAGCGATCTTACTAGACTATTGAATCGATTCTTCTTTTAAAGAGAAATGAATTGTTTTCGTTTTTCAGGAGGACGTCACCTCGAGCCTTCCGCGCCTTCTCTCCAAGACCACATTGATTCATAGTAACGAGGAAGGCGCCGAAGAGACGATTCAGAGGCTCGTCTCGGCGCTTCATAATGGCAATCCGTCGGATCGTAGTCAGATCGTCGACAATTTATTCAATTTGGTAATTCGATTTTATTTCGTTTTTCAGCGATTTTCAGTTTTTTTCCAGCTCGTCGGCGGTCAATTCGATCAAGAGTCGAGATTCGTCATCGACGATGCCGCCAATGTCGATCACATGCTCACACTTCTATCGCACTGTGATTATGATCTTCAGGTTTTGAGAATTTCAAGAATTGGTCTCGAAAATCGCAATTTCAGAATGAGATTTGGAGTCTGTTCCTTGCGGTTGTCAAAAAATCGAATAGAAACCTGGAAGCGTGCACACGAGTCGGACTCATTTCCAAGTAATTCATCTTCATATATTTTGTTTTTTCATCAAAAATTGCGTTATCTAGAGTCTTGGACATTCTTCCCGAAGCGCCGCCCCTTTTGGCGGACCTTCTCGTTCAGCTGATTGCCGCGCTCGTTGCTTATTCGATCAATGTCAAACAGACGCGACACCTTTTGAGGGCACTGCGAGCAACCAACGATCAATGGGTGAGCAATTTGAAATTTGAACGGAAAAAATTGAAAAAAACAATTTTAAATTCGAATTTTGAGGCCACTTTTCTAGTCTTTTTGAGACAAAAATGTCAGAAAAAATTTTTGAAAATTGGGAAAGTTTTGTTCTTAAATCGAATTATCGGCTTTAAAAACTTGGAAAACAATTTTTGCGAACATTTTGTTGAAAATTGAAGGTCCCACCGTAAAATTTCGAAAAATTCACCAAAAAATTTGATTTCTTTTTTTTTAAATTCACCCTAAATTCGAAATTTTGTTGATTTTTCTGGTGGTGAAAATTGCAAACAGTTTAGTTGAAAATTTGGCGTTTCATCTAAAAAAAAGAGAAAATTGCTGGAAAACGGAAGGTTTTCGTCAAAAAATTTGTTGAATTTGAAATTGCAGCCTCCAAATTCGCTGAAACTGCTTCACGTTCTCAAAGAGATGCCGCAACGCGACAACGCCGACGTGTTCTTCTCGTTTCCGGGCAAAGAGCAATCGGTAATTGAAAAGAGAGACAAGAAAATAATAATGATTCTCATCGAAAGGGCATCATTCTGCCGCCGATCAAAACGATGCCCTATCAGCAGGGTTGGACGTTCGCCACGTGGCTTCGAATGGAGCCCCTCAACAGTGTGACGTTCGAGAAAGAGCAGCCGATATTGTACAGGTTTTTGCGCGCGCATTGTTTGATTGCTCTTTTTTTTTGTTTCCAGTTTTCGAACGAGTAAAGGAATTGGCTATTCGTGTCATTTTACGGGAAATTGCCTTGTGGTGAACGTCGAGAAGACCAAAGGCAAAGAGCAATCGAGATGCATCAAGGTAAGCAGCGACATTGAAACATTTGGCGTTGATTTTTAATGAAAATTGAACAAAAACAAATTGGGGGGGAGGGGGTACGGTAGTTGTGGAAGTCCGCAAAATGTCGGCGAGGTGTTTGCAGAAAACTCTTTTTTTTGCAATTCCTTTAAAAATTGGTGAGTTGCACGGAATTTCAGTTACTGTAAGAAAAAATTATTTCCTGTTTAGAAAAAAAACGCTAAAAACTTTTTTTTTCCTGTTTCCATTGTTTGACGGAAATAAAAACCGTATTTCTGTGCAACTGTGATATCGAAAAAATTTAAATATATGAAAATTGAAACGGAAAAGGCGCGAAATAAAAAATTGAGCCTTCAATAAATGTGGACCATCGAAGCGGTAATTCAAATTTGAATTTAAATTGCCGTACACACGGTCCTCGCTTTTTTCTCCGATTTTGACAAGTTTTCCAATTTCGTTTTGTTTTTTCGAATACGGTAATTGAGGCCACCTCTTTCTTGCAGGCTGAATTGATTGCTCGCCGCTGGCATCATATCGCAATCGCTCATTGCTATTCACGATGGGGACGAAGCGAAATCAAGTGCTTCATCGACGGACAATTAGCCGAGACTTTTGAGCTCTCATGGTAATTAATTTCAATAATTGACCGCAAAAAAAAAACAGAAATTATATTAATTGTATAGTCGGCGACTGCTGTACGCGGGTAGATTAACGGGGGGGGGTCGTTTTTGTTTTTTTGGTCTCGCACGGACTAACAGGTTATTTTAAATGTTATGGGTTCGGTTCAATAATTTTCAATCGAATATCGTTGAAAATTCAAGGAAATGTGAAACTCATCAAGAAAAATGAAGCAGTTCGCGCGAAAACAGCAAAATAAGCATTCACGCGTGGCGAGACCTTTTCAAGGCGCATGCGCGTAAATCTACCCGCGTACAGCCAGTCGCCGAACGCACGACTATATGTGTGTGTTATTTTCCACATTTGAAGGGCGGTGGCATCGGCGACGCATTGGGATCGTTGCTCGATCGGCGTGTCGGCCGACAATATTCCGAATTCGGCGTTTTGCGGCCAAATGGGCGCCATGTACTTGTTCGGCGAATCGTTGACACTTCAGCAGGCAAACTCGCTCTATTGCCTCGGACCCGCGTATCAGTCGACGTTCAAACATGACTCGGAGACGAGTTTACCGGAAGGCTATAAGAAAGTAGGCGATTGTTTTTTTTCCACTTTGCCACAAATTGAGGAGATGCGTTCTTTTTTTGTTGCTAGGTTTTTCAAAAAAAAAAAACTTTTTTTCGTTGCTGATCCAAAAAATCGCGAAAATACCGTAATTTATACGCATTTAATTTTCTTGATTCAAAATGTTTCGAATTGAACACGTTTTGCGCGAAAAATTGCCCAAATTAGTTCATTTTTGGCGAATTTGTCCAATTTTTAAAAGAAGCCAATCTCAATTTGGGGAAAAATGCGCTTTTTTCTTTGTATTTATTAATTTTCGGGTGCATTTCGTTTCGAGACCCGACGCGCAAATTATGTCTTGATTTTTTCTACTAAAAAAAAGTCGCGAAAATACCGTAATATTGTATTTGACCGCTCGCGAACCGCAACGCGCCTGGCAACATAGAAGGGAGACGAGAAAAAAAAAACGAATTTTTCAGCACTTGTTCGATGGCCACCTTCATTCGTCGCTGATTTTCGCGTATTGCCCGAAAAATTGTCACGGACAGCTTTGTCTGTACACACCGTCGAAAACGGGCAACAATCATTTCGTGCAAATTCCGCACGCCGTCATGAAAGAGGTAATCGGGGTGTTCGTATTTCAAAATCAAAATTTTTTTTGTCCTTCAAGGGTGTCGAGGTGATCACGACGCATTCGATCCACAAATCGCTTCAATCGGTCGGCGGCATGCAGATACTGTTGCCGTTGTTCTCGCAACTCGATTTGCCGTCGTCGTCGCAAGACGCGAACGCGATTGACGGCGATGTTTGGTAAGAGCGCCACTCTGAACGTGGTTTTATTTTGGATCCTCGTGGGCGGCAGCGAATTTCGTTGGAAAAAAGACGAATATAGTCATTTTTTTTTTCTTTAATTGATTCCGTCTCTTTCCATACGAGACCCAGGTCGGCAATTTGATTATGAAATTCACGGCAAAAATTTTGGTTTGAAAATGACCAACCCGGAATATTGTCCGTAGATGGTTTTTGCAATTAATTAATTTTTTTCGCTCCAGCCAAACCCTCCTTTCGCTGATTTCAATGCTACTGAGCAGCTCGCAATCCAGCCAACAACAGCTATTCCATAGCAAAGGATTCCTCATCATATCGAATTGCCTTCAAAAGGTTTTAATTCTTTCGACACGACAATAACCCCCCCGGTGTGGTGTTCAGGCGTCGCCGATTCATTTGTCGATGAACGTGCTCGAGCAGCTCATCACAATCGCGAAATTTCTGTTGAGATGTCCGGCCGGCGGGCCGCTTCTCAAGCACCTCTTCGACTACATTCTGTTCAATCCGAAATTGTGGATCAACGCGAAGCCCGACGTTCAAGTGCACCTCTACCAATATTTGGCGACCGATTTTCTCGCCAACAACAATTTCTATCAAATGTTGCGTCGCGTGCCGACGATCATCGAGATGTGCCACACGTTGAAGCACTTCTATTGGCTGAAAGCGCCGCAGACGCCGTCGAGCTACACCGTCGAGGAGAGGCCCGAGAGTTTTGTGATGGCTGATATTGTGGCGATTCGGTGGGTGTCTATCGCATTTTTGGGCCCGCTATCATGTCCGCAGATCGTATTAGCCTCAAGCTAACACAATTCATCGGAATGATTTCGATAAGTGGAATTGAAATTTTTAGAAACTCGATTCTCACGTTCATCAATCGTCTGATTGTGTCGATTCCTGGTGATCCGTCAGATTCGGACGAATGCCACGATCAGGAGGTTCACACGCTTCTCAACCTGTTGGCAACCGTTCGAGAGGTTTGTTCTATTTTACATGTCCGTGTGGAGTACACAGTGGCGCAAAAAAAACAAAAGAAAGAATGGAAAATGTCGATAATTTCAGGATGACAATTTGTACGATGTGCTCGCGCTCGTCACACGGCTTCTTGCTGAACACCCGGCGCTGATGATACCGGCGATGGATAAGAACAAAGCGTTGGGCATCGTGTTCAATTTGTTGTCGTCGACGAACGAGCTCATTCGGATACCGGCGTTGAAGATTCTCGGATTCTTTTTGGCGCGATCGACACTCAAGTAATAATTGAAAGCGACGATGGGAGCGATCATTATTATGTTTTTTTTTTCAATTCCAGACGAAAAACCGAATCGATGGGACAACAGAATTTGTTCACGCTGATCGGCGAACGACTCCTGTCGCACTCGAAGGCGATCTCGTTGGCGACGTACAACGTTCTTTTTGAAGTGTTGGTGGAGAAGATGACGGCGACGTTCACGTATACGGCGCATCAGCCGGCGCAACCCGAATGGAAGTGAGTTTTTCAATTTATTTTTTGAATGAAAAAAAAACGAAAGCGCTGCGCTGATTTACGGCAGGTCAGCTTGGAAAAAGTATCCGGATTGCAAAATTACCACTGTCGAAATTTGAATTACCGCCATGAATCAGTGCGATGGTCCACAATTGATTATAATATTTATGTTGAAAGAAATGAATCGAACGAGAGAAGTGGCTAATTAAAAGAATCGAGATTTTCTTTAACGGCGCACACCGTTGGTTGTGTTCTGACGATCGTGGAGTGGGGTGCGATCTGAAATTTAAAAAATTTTTTTGGCCTAAAAATTGAAACTATAAATTTTGAAAAAAAAAGATAGTTAAAAAAAAAAGATAGTTTTGATAATTTTTCTTTGAAAAAATTTTTTTAAATTTTTTTTTCTGTTTTTTTTTCCGTGCGAGACCCTAAGGCGGCAATTCGAATGATAAAAATTTTTTCGCAAAAAATCGTCCACTCTTGACAATAAAACTCGAATTTTCAAAAGGGTGTTAGAAAAAAACGAGCGCGCGCGGAATTCAAAAAACTCACTGATGACGGCAGCGTCAGTTTTCGAAACGGCCGATTCTTTCGGGATCGCGACGACGATCGGATTGCGTTTTGGAAGCTCGCTGACGTTGGGAAACACCGGAGCTTGACAATGAAACTCCAGTGCCGGATAGCCGGCGTCGGTGTTGAGGCGAATTGGATAGTTGTTGGGCAGCATTTTTGACGAGTGGAAATGAGACGACGGAGTCCTGAATGCGATGAGTCATTGGATCATCGACAACTATGCGGGACGAAAAGAGACAGTGTTGGTATTGAAGAGAAATTGATTTCGAATTTCTTGATACGAAATTGTTAATGGAATTGATTGATTGTGGCATTTTTTTTTGAGGTTTTGCACTATATTTGAGAAACCTTGAAGAAATTTGAGATCTATAAGAAATTCGGTTGTTTTTGGTTTCAAGAAGCTTTCAATTTTGAGAGTTTCTTCTTTTTTTCTTAACTCAAATTCTCTGAAATTTGTTTTCTTTTCGAAACTTGACATTAAATTTTCGAGGGTGGAAAAAAGAACATAGCGAGATTGTGCGGCGAACACAATAGAGAGCGTCGTTGCGAATTGAAAACAATAGAATTCGAAAAAATTTTGGCGCGCGTTCGCCGCTGGCCGCGGATTTTTAGGCTCTAAAACATGGATTATGTGATATCGTGAGAATCTCAAACCCTCTTTTTTCGAAAAGAAAAAAGTTTGGCTAGCTGCGGACAATTTATTGTTGTGAATTTCAGATTCGAGAACCCGCAAATGCTCAAAGTGATCGCGCACGTTATAACGCAATGCGACGAGACTGAGAATATTGTGATGATCAAGAAATGTTTCCTGATCGACGTCATCAATATGTGTCGCGAGAGCAAAGATAATCGACGGTGAGCATTTTGTTTCTTATTTTTTGGAAACTTCATTCTGCAGAACTATTCTCCAAATGTCGGTATGGCAGGATTGGCTCATTGGGCTCGCGTACGTGTTCCATTCGAACGAGTCGCAGAACGAGGTCAGCGAGCTGGTGTGGGAGTGCTTCGCGATTTTGTTGCACCACGCGCTTCGCCATGAGTATGGCGGATGGCGGGTGTGGGTCGACACGCTCGCCATTGCCCATTCAAAGGTTCTTTTTTTTTTGAATTTGTTTGGCTGAAAAGAAATGTTTGATGTAGGTGAGCTATGAGAAGTTCAAGAAGAAGCTGGCCGAGGCGAAAATGAAAGCTGAACAAGGGGAGACCGATGAGTATGAGATTCGCTGAAAATCCATTGATGGGGAGAATTTCGTTTTTTAGAGAGAAATCGATGGAACCGACGCCGGTTTATCGTACACCCGACTTTACGTGGTCCGATGTGCACATAAGGCTTCTCACGGATCTCCTGCAGGGAATTGAGAATGTTGTCGAGGAATGGAAGGCGTGAGTTGCGAGCTCGAAAATCAAAAGCATATTTCCTCTCGGCTTTTGCGAATTTTCGGGTCTCGTATGGAAAAAAAAGCATTTTAAGAGCGAGTTTTTAACAATTTAAATCGTCCTGATGTGAAAGAGCATCATTTTTTTTTAAAGCGCAAATTGGGGAATTTCAGAATTTTGAAAAATCTTGAAAAATTTGCGCTTTGAAAAATTCGGCTTGTGCGGTTTTCAGAGGCGAAGGAATCAACGACAGCTGTAATGCGGCCGAGAATCAAGTGTTCGTCTCGAACGTCGTCCATGTGATCTCGCAACTCGCCGACAGTCTCATCATGGCGTGCGGCGGACTATTGCCGCTTCTCGCCAGCGCCACATCGCCAAACGTAAATTGGCGTCGCCAACTCATTCTCTTTTGTTTTTTTTTTTTGCAGAGTGAGCTCGAGATCGCCGACGCGTGCCAACAACAATTGCCGATACACGCGGCCGCCTCGTTTCTCGTGCGATTCGCGAAACTCGTCGACACGTTCGTGTTGAATTCGGGCATCTCGTTTTCGGAGCTCGAGCAAGAGAAGAACATGCCGGCCGGCGGCGTGTTGCGTCAATCGTTGCGTTTGACGGCGACGGTGGCGGTTCGACACATTCTCGCCGCGCGCGTCAAAAATCCCGGCGCGACGTCGCTGCCGTTCGAGCCCGACCGCAATCCGCGACACTTGTGCATTTTGCAATTCGTCAAAGGCGCCATTGAGAACGTGAGCGCACATGACCATGACGATGAGCGTCGCTTTTTTTTTGTGTTTTGCAGAAGAACGCCGACGAGCTCGACGATTTGGAGAAGCTGCTTCAGGAGGCCGACGCCACCCGAATCAAAAGCGTCGTTTATAGGGATATGGTGGTATGTTGAATCTCGAAATTCAATCAAGTTATTAATTTTTGTTTTGTTTGAGCCAGCGGAAAAGTATTTTTGATGTGTGCGCCGATTTTTAGCAAAAATCGAACGAATTCTTTTATAATTATCAAATGTGTGCATATTTGCGTGCGTGTGTATGCACTGAATTGCGGACTTCTTTGAACTATTGAATTCGAAATTGATTCACAGGTTACGGTATCATAATTGACATTCAAATTTGAATTACCGCCCAACAAAAACATTGCGATGGTCCACATATGCCCTGAATGCTCGTCTTTTTTAAATTGGAATATCTAAAATTTCAATTTTTGGCTCAATTTTTCAATTTCAGAAAAAAACGTTTGTTTTTCAGGAAGAAAATCGACAGGCTCAATTCCTTGCTCTTTCGGTGATCTATCTGATCTCGGTGCTGATGGTTTCGCGCTATCGCGACATTCTCGAGCCGCCGTCATCGCCGTCGCCGTTCTTCAACTCGACGACGCGCAATGAGATCGACGAGCGCGCTGTCGGCGACAATTCGACGTCGTCGTCGACGACCACCACCACCACCACGACCACCACTGGCGATCCACAGAGGAAGGCGTCGGAGGTGATGGCGAACGGCAACGGTATAATCGGCGACGATGGCGAGGCGACGACGAGCGCCGAGAATGGCGGCGTCGGCGGCGGCGACGGCGAAATCGCGGCGATCAAATTGGCGAACGCCGAAATGAAACGCGATGGCAATGAGTACGATGAGGCGGAATTGGCGAAACTTCGACGCGAATCGACGGCGGCGGCGACGCCGTTGCAGCAGACGATGGAGAGGCGCGCCTATTTGACGACGAAACTTCAGACGGCGTTGGAGACGTGCGCGCCGCTTCTACGCGAGATGATGTCCGACTTTCGCGGCTATCTTCAGAAGACGCTTCTCGGAACTCACGGCCAGGAGATCATGAACGACACGAAAGGTTGGTGTTGAGAATTGGAGAAAAAAATGGCAATTTGAAATTTTCGGGATTTTGTGCGAGTTTGAAAATTCAAATTTAAATTGCCGCTTCTCGATACGACGGTCCACAATTGCAGCTCGTTGCTTTTTTTTTTGAAATTTCCACAAAATTGCAGTTCTTGAAACGCTTCGAAATCGAAATGCGTCGGTTATCGAGCTGGTGATGCTGCTTTGCTCGCAGGAATGGCAGACGTCGCTTCAGAAGCACGCCGGATTGGCGTTCATCGAGCTAGTCAACGAAGGCCGATTGATGGCGCACGCCACTAGGGACCATGTGCTTCGTGTTGCCAATGAGGCCGATTTCATATTGAATCGATTGCGCGCCGAGGACGTCAGCAAACACGCTCAATTCGAGGTGAGCCGCGCCTCGATCGATGTCCGCACATTCATCGAGTTTGGTGTTTTAGAGCGAGACGCGCGATCAGCTGCACGCGCGACAAGACGAGTACAACCGTTGCGATTTGTTGATCGTGTCGGGACGCCGACGCGACTCGTTGATGGCGGCGAGACTATTGGAGAAAATGTCGACGATTCTCAACGAGACCGACTCATCGACGTGCGTGTTTGTTTCATTTCTTCTTCATTTTTTGATTTTGTGCAAGCTCCCCCATTCGATTTCAGCGGAAGTCAATTTTGGAAGCTCGACGTTTGGGAGGATGATAGTCGACGGCGGAAGCGATTTGTGCCGAATCCGCTCGGCAGTCGGCACGAGGAGGCGTCGCTGGCGATAGGCGAGCCGATCGAGGAGCCGGAGGAAAGCGAGGAGGAGCGAATCCGAAAGATACTCAATGGATTGTCGTCGCAACGCGCTGGCGCGCACGGATCGAATGAGCTTGTCGATGAATCGGATATTGATAAATGGGCGAGCGAAGTGGATCCGACGCCGTCGAGTCGTGAGTTTTTCGTGGCTTTTTAAAAATTTTCCCATATTTGGTAATTTTTTTTGCGACGCTCCAAAACTCGGATTTTTTTTTGATCTCTGAATAATTATTTTTCTTGTTGCGACGATTATAGGGACCCAATTGTGAGAGGCCGGCACCGCCATAGTTTTGAGCTGTAGGAGGACCCCCCCCCTCCCTCTCATTTACAATTTTTGAACCTCGCCAAATTAGGGCTTCGTGTTTCGTGTTTGCTGATAAGCATCTCTCCTCGGCCATTTCGAACAAGTGGAACGAACGCGCGAATGTCGAAAATATGGTGTTCGGCGCGCGGGCGCGGTAATAAAAAATTCGTTTTTTTTTTCGGCTTACGGTTGCGTGTGTTGTCGACGGACGTCGTCTCGAGTTTTTGGCGCAAAATTTACGAGCGATGTCGTTAAAAATGGTTTTATTAGTGTGTGTGTGTGTGTGTGTGTGTGTGTGTGACTGCGCCATATTCATTTTGGTGTCGATTTTCAAAATTTTGACGACACCAAAAAAAACTGTGGTGTCGGAAAAAATGGCGACGCATCTCCCCCTCAAATTTGTCCAGCTCCTCATTGGGCATCCTTGCTTCAGATGAATGTCGTCTATTCCCCGTCCGACATCGTCCAGTCCATCATTTTCTAGAAATCGGCTAGAAAGCTCGTCCAGCTCCTCTTTGGACATTCCTGCATCAGCTGAAAGTCGTCTAATGCTCGTCCGATCTCGTCCAGTCCATCATATTCTAGAAATTGGCTAGAAAGCTCGTCCAGCTCTCTCAATGTCCAATTCAATTTCGAACTTGCAAAAAGCTTGTCCAGCTGCGAAGCTTTTCATTAGTTGCAGCTCGTCTTTTGGAGCCCAAAAATTCATTTCTAGTCCAGCTCCTCATTGACCGGATTCGAGAAATCTCAAGCTCCTCGTAATCCCTCGCCTCAAACAATTGGCGATTGTCACAAACCGATTTTCAACTGAAAGGCACCAACAAAAAAAGAGTGGGGTGAGGCGATTGCCGTCGTCGTGGTCGTCATTCATCAAATATGGTCATTTTTGACGACGGACATGAACTGGCTGTCAGATCTGATTAATCTGTTGAATAAAGAGCCCCATTAGGAAGGCATTAAGATCGCGCACGGCGAGCGGGGAAGGGGGGAGGTTGAATTACCTCAGGGGCGAGGTGGAAGGCCCCAGTGTCAATTGCGACATTATGAGTGTGTGTGTGTGTGTGTGTCGCAGCTGTTCTTGCGATTCATCATTTTGGAATGGCTTCGTCGTCTTTGTGCATTTTTTTGCAAACGGGATTGCGACACATCAATTAGGATTAGTTGGTTCTTGAAGTGATATTATTTTTTTTTGACGGACTGGAATTTCCCCTACGTTTATTTTTGAAACGAAGGGGGGTCGCGGGTTATTATAGTTGGAGCCAGGGGAGGGGGGGGGGGAAGCACCTGCCCTTGTTATTTCGAAATTATGATTAATATTGAAATTGGCGTCTCAACGATGGTCATTTGTCATCCGATCGAGAGCATTTCTCGCGTAATTGGAGGTCGTTAATATTTTTTTTTTGGGTTTCTCGGCGACTTTGCAAAATCGAAATTTTGGGCGTTTTTTTTTTCAGAGAGCGCCTGCTTCTCGACGTTCGCGAAACTCATCGCGCCCGGCGTCGTCGTTCCCGGCACGCTGTCGATCACCGCGTCGGACCTGTTCTTCGATGCCGATGAGGACCATCCGCTTTATAAGAAGCAATCGGCGCAGGTAGTCCAAAAATTTTGGTTTTATTCAATAATTTAATAATCGCAAATCAAAATTGAAAATGTGAAGAAAAAAAACCAACAATCTTGGGGGGCAACACGTATTTCGTCGGTGGGGGAAACGGTGACATTGACAAACGGGCTATAGGGATTCGAGGGCGATCGGATCGATCATGAGCTTCCTGACGAGACCCCACGCGAGTTGGGCGCTGTGCTCGATCGAGTGCGACGGTTTGCCGCGTAGTAGATCGAGTTGTGGAAGGAAATAGTGGGCGCAACGTCGGCATTGAAGGCAGCTGACCAGTTGGAGGAGGATGCCTGGAACAAAACAAAAATGATTGGTTTTTTTTTTTTGAGTTTTTCGAATTCGCGCCCAAAAAAATTTTTTGTGAAAATTCGAATTGCCGCCAAAATTTTTGCGAGTTTTTCTTTTAAATGATAATCGAAAAATTTTGAAATTGGCGCCCAAAAAAAATTTTTGAGTCAGTGTTTGCGGACTTAAATCTCATTCATTTTTCACATTTTTGTAGGTTTAACGTGTTTTGAAAATTTCAAACTGCCGCCAAAATTTTGTAGCCATATTGAATTACTGTAAATTACTGTAATGTGACGAAAAATTGCGGACAAGAAATTTAATTTGAATGTTTCTATTTTTTTTTTTGAAATGTCGTTTTGGATTTTGGCGAATTTATACACCGTGACGCAAAAATGCACAATTAAAGCGAAATTTGAAATTTTTTAAAACTTGGTTTAAAGGCACATTGAATCATTCCCCAATATATATATATATATATATATTGTTTTTGATTTGTAGTGATGGGAAATAAGTGAATTGAATCAGAGAAATCGTATGGGGAAACAGAAAAAAGTGTCACCGTCAATTAGACGATTTGATGGTTGATGAGGACGAGGCGTGACGCTCGCATATTTGGGCAGCGAACCAAAAAAGGAAGAGGAATTTTATTATTGAATCATTTTTTGTGTATCGTCGGGTGTCGTCGTCGTCTTCTGCAGAAGCAACGACAACAACGAGACGGGGCGCGATGATTAGGAATGCATGAGAGCCCATTCGTCATGTGTCACGCCATCCGTATGAGAATTTGGTGTGATGGCGGGTGGTGGCACTCACCTATTAGCCGATCGCCGATGCACGCCGCCTCCCAATCGTAATCGGAGCAGTGCTTCTCGCACTCGTACAACACCAACGTTTTGAGAATATAATTGGTGACGGGTGTGCCGGGAAAATCGAGATGCGCGTCGCGAAGGCATTTGAGGATGCTCAACGTCTTCCGACGGCCGCCGGTCAACAATAGATTCTCGGCGCTCGACATTCGCATCGCCCACGCGTCCGCTTCCATCGTGCTCGCCTGCTTGTTTGGATTCGTCTGTTGGGTTATCGATGTCTCGCGGCTCGTCAAATCGAATCCCTCGCTTTTCACCTGAAGAGAGAGAGAGAGACAGGTACATTTAAAAAAAAATAATGATGAGTACGCGAAAATTGGTTTCCTTTGTTTTTCGAGAAATTTCGTTGAAAATTAATTTTCGCTGCGAGACATCGTTTGGGTTTTTTGCGAATGCGCCTTTAAACGGCGCTACTGTACCTCAACAGAAAGAATTGGCCAAAAATCACAGTTTTTCCAGGAAATCGCCTTTAAAAAAATCATGCTTCCTATTTTCGCTGTGAGACATTCTTTGGGTTTCTGTGAGTGCGCCTTTAAACAGCGCTATCCGACCCCAGTAGAAATATTGGCAAAAATCACATTTTTTTCCAAGAAATCGCCTTTAAAAAATTTTTTCGCTACGGAACATTTTTACATTTTTGTGAACGCGCCTTTAAACGACGTCGTCGGTTTATTGAAAAAGTATTTTCGCTGTGAGACATTCTTTATGCGCCTTTGAAAAAAAAAACCACGTTACCCTACTCTACCACCCTAGAAGGGAAAATGAAATGACGGTTTTCGTTACGCGACAATTTTGCGAGTGTCCCGCGTGCGCCTTTAATCCGCCCACTTATTTTTTTTTCTCCAAACTTCTGCTTACCGCGTTGGCCAACATCGCCGGCGGCCATCCGCTACCGGCCATCGGCCAATGGCTCGCCGATCGCGGCCAGATGCCGTTGCAGCGAAACGCGCACGTGATCTGCACGGTGATTTTGTCGTCGACGCGCAGCCGAACGTCGCTGTTGTCGTTGAGCAGTTTGCAGTAGTCGCTGGAAAACGTCCGAAAAATCGTTTTTTTTTTTCGTGTTCCGCTCGCGACGGCCCTACCGAAACGGCGGCTTCTCGATGACCTGCGAGACGATCGACTGAAATCGATTGCGAATTTTGCGCGCCGACAAATAGCCGCTGGCGGTGATGAACTCGACCCACAGCGACATCGAGCGTTTGCGGCCGTCGCTGAGTTTGAGCACCGCGCAACCTTGAATCGAGCCGTCGTCGACGAAATTGAACACGCCCATCTGATTGAGATAGAGTATCGCCTCGTACTCATTCGGCGAATGGACGGTGATCTGAAATCGGCGCCTCGTTGGATTATGTTGCGCATCGCGATACTCGTACCCCCTCGTAGCGGCCGTTCGTCTCGGCGATGGTGGAGATGAAGCGCGGCTCTTGCGCTTCGACCTCCTTCAGCAGCTCCTGAACGACTTTCGCGACGCGGTAGACGGTTTTGCTGACTTTCGATTTTCGCGTTTGCACTTTGTCGTTGTAATAGGTGTTGATCTGGAATTGGGGGGTGCGTTGTGACGACGACTTTAACAAATCTACCTGATAGGCGACATTTTGATTGTGTCCCAACATGGATTCCCAGACTCCGTGTGGGAAACAAAAAAACAGCTACTGAAGCGCGGATGGGTGGTGGTGGGAGGTTGGAACTGGGCGCTGCGGTGGTTGGAAGGAGGGGGGGAAGAAAAGTGGGCGGAGTCGAGTTGGGAGAGGAATGGCGCAATGGATGGAGAGGCGGCAGAGAAGGTGGCAGCAGTCGGCGATGAGAGAGAGAGAGAGAGAGGCATGACTTGACAATCATCATCATCATCATCATCAGGTATCACGGAGCCATCAAAATTGCGAACGCGAGTGGCCGGCGAGTGGCCGCCACCAGGCAGCACATCGCGTTATCAGTTGATCGCAATTTCTGGATCTTGATTTGCCTGTCGTCCTCGCCGTTCACATATCAAACGGATTGCGTAATGTAAACTTGTGTGTGTGTGTGTTGCGCTTATCGGATTTCCGGTATCGCCATTTTTGGCGGTGTTGGGACTATTAGGGGGGGGCAACGAGAAATTTTTGGGTGGAGGTGCTGCTGGAATGAGGTTTTTTGCGCCCGTGAAAATCGAAATACGCCAAGGTGCTAATTTGTAGGGTGCTCTCTTTTTTTCTGGGTGGGGGTGTCAAATATCACCCATCTGGAATTGGCGTTTTGATTGCCACCAGATGACGGCACGATATTTCGCGCACGCGCGTCCCCCTGTTTAATTGCCGGGGTGACGCATCATAATTGACGCATCAATGTTGCACTTATACGCCATCCACCAAATATGGTGCAATCGTTCAACCGTACCAATTTGGTGGAAATTTGGTTCTCGAAGCGATTTCGGCAAAAATGTTCGGGGGCACGGTTTTTGTTGCCCCCATCACTTTCTTCTTTTTTGGGTCTCGCATAGACCCCAATAAAAAAATTGTCTTCCTGTGGGTCTCGTTGCGAAAATCGGGGCCTTCTGAATTCAAATTCGCGACGAATGATCGAGTTTTCAATTTTTTTCGTTACAGGTGCTTCGCTATTGCGAGAATCTGCACGCTCGTTGGAATCTGCTCGAAATTCGCGCAATTTTCCTTCGCCGCTACTTGCTCCAGAATGTTGCTCTCGAGTTGTTTCTGGCGACGCGAAGTAAGCGAAACACCATCGTTTAGTGTGGTTATTCTGGAGCAGAAATGAAAAAAGTCGGACACGACAGAATTCGGATTTCCGATTCAATCCGATCCGATTTGGGTGACACATCGGATCGGATTGATTTCGGACTCGAATTTTGTCGGATCGGATTGGCTTGTGGAGATCATTGATGAAACCGCGACGCGAGCCGCAACGCGTCTCATTTTTTTCTCTCTGCAACAGACTAAATACATATATAAAGAAAAAATACGAGATAATTAGTCATGGTAATTTTCAGCCGCAATTATGTTCGCGTTCAATGACGAGGACACGGTGAAGCGAGTCGTTTATCAATTGCCGAGAGTTGGAGTTGGTATGGGTTTTTGATCTACCGGCGTTTTTCATTCTTTTTTTTTTGTCCAGGCGTCAAATATGGACTGCCGCAATCGCGAAAGACGTCGTTGATGACGCCGCGACAACTATTCAAACATTCTGACATGTGTCTGAAATGGCAGAAGCGCGAAATATCGAATTTCGATTATTTGATGTTTCTGAACACGGTTGCCGGACGAACGTTCAACGATCTCAGCCAATATCCGGTGTTTCCGTGGATTTTGACGAACTACACGACGGAGACGCTCGATTTGAATGTGGCGTCGAATTTCAGGGATTTGTCGAAGGTGATGCCGATTTGAGTGAATCGATGGATCATTTTTTTTGTTTGCTTTCAGCCGATTGGTGCTTTGTCGGAATCGCGACGCAAGTTCTTCAACGAGAGGTACACGTCGTGGAGCGATGATCAGATTCCCGCGTTCCACTACGGCACCCATTATTCGACGCCCGCTTTCACGCTGAATTGGCTTATGCGAATCGTAAGCGAGTTTTTTTTTTTGGTTTTTCTGAAATTCCCGATTCAAGTGGGTGTTTTGATATATATTTTTTTTGTTCAGGAGCCATTCACCACCATGTACATCAATTTGCACGATGGCAAATTCGATCATCCCGATCGCATCTTGCATAGCATCAAGGACACGTGGGAGCGATGTCAACGCGATTCGCACGACGTCAAAGAGCTGATACCGGAGCTCTACTATCTTCCGGAGATATTCCGCAACTCGAATCAATACGAGTTGGGGCAGCGCGCCGACGGCGAGAAGGTTGGCGATGTCGTGTTGCCGCCGTGGGCGGAGAGCCCCGAGCATTTCGTGTTGATGCATCGGCAGGCGCTCGAATCGGACTTGGTGTCGTGCCAACTGAATCAATGGATCGACTTGATATTCGGCTATAAGCAGCGAGGCGCCGAGGCGGTTCGCGCCACCAACGTGTTCTACCATTTGACGTATGAGGGCTCGGTGAATCTGAAGGCGATCGAAACGCCCGGACAAATGGAGGCGATCGAGCAGCAGATTTGCTCGTTCGGCCAAACGCCGTCGCAATTGCTCGCCGAGGCGCATCCGCCGCGTCATTCGGTGATGAGTATGGCGCCGACGATGTTCAAGCGGCTCGACGATGATTTGTGCATGATGATGAAGTACATTTCGAATAGTCCGATTGTGTTCCTCGCGGCGAACACGTTCCATCAGCTGCCGAATCCGACGGTCGTCAGCGTCGCCCAGAATTTGGTGTTCTCGTTGAACAAATGGGACAACTCGTATAGTTGTGAGTTTTCGGATTTTTTTGCTTTTTTTTGAGATTTGTGCAAAAGAAAAATGGCATTTCTTAATTTTTCTGGAAAAAATTGCTGAAAATTTCGGGAAACCCAAATTGCGAGAATGATTTTCAGACGGAAGCAATCAGAGGAGCACGATCAGCATGGATCAGACGCATCCGGAGGGTCATGTGGCGTTGCCGTTGACCGCCGACCCGCAATTGGCGTCGGCGAGCACGACGACGCCGATCGCGCGCCGCCACCTCGGCGATTCGTTCGATCAACGATTGACGGTGTCGTGCTCGAACTTCGTGACGACGACCGACTCGCGATTCATTTTCGCGTGCGGCTATCCCGACTACAGTTTTCGCGTCATCGACACCGACACCGGCAAAGTGCGGCAGGCGGTGTACGGACACGGCGATGTGGTGACGTGCATCGCGCGAAGCGAGACGAGCCTGTTCAGCGATTGCTACGTGGTGACGGGCTCGATGGACTGCACGGTGGTGTTGTGGCACTGGAACGGGCAGCAGGGCGCGATCGCCGGCGAGTACAATCAGCCCGGCGAGACGCCGTCGCCGCGTTCGATTCTCACCGGCCACGAGGCGGCGATATCGGCGTTGTGCGTGTCGGCCGAACACGGCCTGGTGATCAGCGGTTGCGAGGACGGCGTGATTCTCATCCACACCACCTCGTCCGACTTGTTGCGACGCGTTCGCGGCGTCGGCGTCGTCACGCAGCTCGCGATGAGCCGCGAATGCGTTCTGTTGGCGTTGTATGATTCGCGACGGATGACGACCTATTCGGCGGCCGGCAAAATGCTCAACGAGATTTCGTGCGAGGAAAAGTGGGCGTCTTTTCTTTTTTTGCTTTTTTTCTGGGTTCCAACATTTCCCATAAATTTTGATATCGTTTTTGTAGAATCGAATGTGTGACGATCACACGCGATGGCGAGTTTGCGATTGTTGGAGGAATGAACGGAAGGATTGCGATTTGGAGGATGTTCCCGTTGGCCAAGCTTTATACCTATCAGGTATTTTGGTTTTGACACGGTTTTCGCCGGCATTTTGAGATTCTGGCCGAATTTTCCGCAAAAATCTACAATTTTCTAACCAAGATTCGGTTTTAGACGAATTCTGTAATTAAAAATGAGTTTTGACAAGTATTCATTTCATTTTATCGATTTGTTGAAACAGAATTTTGGAAGAGTTTGTTTTCGATGGAATTTGATGAAATTTTGAGCAAAATTGACATTTTTTGATGGATTTCGTTTAAAATTTTTGCATTTTTTGAGAATATTCAGTTTTTTGGCGAATTTCTAGAGAGATGAAAATTTTCTAGGCGCTGAACAGTCCGGTTCGAAGTGTTGCCGTTTCGGCGTCGCACCGCTTCATTCTCGGCGGTCTCGATTCTGGAGCGATCGTCGTCTTCAACGCGGACTTCAATCGATGGCATTATGAGTACAAAAATCGATATCATCATCAGCCGGATAAGAAAAAATAGAAGGAGTCGTTTTACTTTTTTCGAATAATTTATTATAAATTATGATATATTTTTTTGTCGCCGCCCAACTTTCATCAAAATCGCTCAGATTGTTTGTATGTTTTTTTTGAATATTCTCTCCCCCCACATTTTTTTTGACGAGTAGATTTTTGCTTGAAAATTCCCATTTCTGATTTTCGTTTTGTTGATAGATTATTGTGATATTTATGGTTGTGATCTGAATTGATTTCAATGAAATGCAGTGAGTTTCGATTTTTTTAATTAATAAAGTTTATCGCAAAAAAACGAGGTTAAGCAATTATGGACCATTGTATTTTTTTCCAAATATAAATTAATTACTTATTAATACATTAGTTATTTGATCAGAGAAACTCTAAATAGAATTTTATTCCAAATTGCTTCATTGTTAAAATTTTGAAAATCTTTCAATTTCGACAAATATTGTGCTTTCATCTCTTTGTAACATTTTCTTTTAAGCGTTTTATTTGTGGAAAATTCGCAAAATTTTTACTTCTTCGCATGAGAGTCGAAAATATTCATTTTGTTAACCATTTTCATCGGGGAATTGAAAAAAATGGTGAAAAAAGGAAAAAATAATAATTGATCTTAAAGGCGCATTGGCAAAATTTTTCAAGTGGTCCCGCCGTGCGTGGTACTGTACTTGAGATTTTTTAAATTTTTGCGCCGCCCTTGGAATTTCTTTTCATCTTTGCCGTATTTAACCGTTTTTTTTTTCAGAATTTTTCATGTTTTTCAGCGGATATAATATAAAATATTGAAAAATCTATCTAACGTCGTTGAGATTATCTGATATTATGTAAGAATTTTGGGTAATTAAGCGTTTTATTTGAGGAACTGCAAACGTAATTGTTCGTTTGTTATTTCTGAATTTTCTTTTCCTTATTAATATCTCCTTTTATAGATGTCGTTGAGCCGTCTCGCACCAGCGTCGCGCGTTCTCATTGCCTATCGCGGAGCCGCCGTCGGACGTATTCAAACATTCAATTTAAACTCGCTCAAAAAAAATTTCCAGACGCGTCGACTTCCGCTTCATCGACACCGAACTTGTTCGAGAAGATTGCTTACCGATTCAGAGGTTCGAAATGCTCAAATTCATGAAGGAAAAATTATTTTTCAAGGAATTCCGCTTCCCGGAGAAAACGAAGCTCCAAAATCAATGTTCGAGGATTGTAATAAGGAATGGTCGGCTCCCGAGCTGCTGCCAGCAGTTCCCAAGGAAATCGAAGGACCCGAAAGAGATCTTGTTAGTTGAAGAACAGTCCAAAACTCGAATTATTGATTCTCTAGAAAAACTACCCATACCCAGCTCGTCCAATGTATCCACCAAAAACGCGTCTCCTCATGATGCCAAACTCGTGGTTCACGCCGTTCGACAAGGTCACCGGCGTTTCGGGACCATATCTCTTCTACGGCGGTCTTTTCGCGTTTCTCGTCAACAAAGAGTTGTGGGTGTTCGAGGAGCAGGGACACATGACGGTCGGCTGGATTCTGTTCTATTTGCTCGTCTCAAGAACCGTTGGATGTGAGCGACACGAGCTCTGAAATATGGTGAACATCGCAATTTCAGATAAAATCGATGCCGGCCTCTACAACGACTACCAAAATCGAATGAATCACTTCAAGAGTTTGATCGCGGAGGATTTGAAAGACGCCGTCGAGTTCCGCAAAGTTTATAATTGAACTTAATTAGTTCAAATTGTCGAAACAATTATTTACAGACATCTGCCAAAAAGACGGAATCATTCAACGCAATCAAAGAGTCCGTGCCGATTTCGCTCAAAGAAGCCATGCAGCTTCAATTAGAGGCTACCTACAGGTAGATAATTTATTAATTGCCTAATTAGTCAATTAAAAAATTTTCAGAAAGAACGTCGACAAGCTGACGAACGAGATCACTCGCCGCATCGATTATTTGAAACAGACGGAAGAGACGAAAGCAAGATTCGAGAGAGATCAACTTCTGAAGCTTATCAACGAAGGGGTAAACGAGTCATTCGAGCTTCGTCATTTCGAATTCTGAATTTTCAGGTCGAGAAGCAAGTGAGCCAGAAGGACTTCAAGGACAAATTCCTCCAAAACGCCATTCAGCAATTGAAAGGAATCGCCGTTTAGATATTATTCCGCAACAACAAGTTGAGAGTCCCGTGCGTTTTTAAGTTAAAGATTTGTATTTGGTTTGTGTTATCAGCATTCATAAAGGTTTTATTGCAAGACAGATGTCTGGCGAAGCTGAAATTTTCGCTTTAGGACCACTTTTTAAAAACTTGTCCCGAAATTTTATTGAAGGACCATTCAATCAAAAAACCTTGAGAAACAAAATGAAATACCAGTGGACAAAACACGGGGAAAAAACGATGTGAGACCAAAAATGAGATCCACAACAAAATGCGAGAAATTTTGGCAGTTTTTTTTCAACGAAAAAATAAGAAAAACAAAAATTTCCAAAATTTAAACAACACAATCATCAGCCGGAACACTGCACCGGCTACGAAGCATATCAAACAGTTGCTGTTTGATCCAAGTACGATTCCCGGGAACGTATTGAGCCGTTTCCTGTAAGACCAAAGGATTTCAGATGATTCGCGTGCCGCAACGCGTCAGCGCTTACCCGATTGAAAACCATTACAGAAATGTCAGTGAGATGATCAAGAAACTCATACAATTGATTCACGTCGTAGGTCAAATTTTGAGGCGGCGCTGGCGTCTTGCGCGACAAGAAGTCCTCGAAAATCTTGCAAATCGCTGTAACAGAAATGAGGATTCGAAATGTGCTTGTTTTGTTTTTCGACAACGGTCTCCTATGAATAAAGGAGGTCCCAACTAGACCGTTTTTTTCGGAGAACCATCACTCACCATCAAGACACTGGCCGAGACTCTCAAAATCGGACCACGTTCGTGAATCGGCGCGCACCGTCGGCTGAATCAAGAGGACCGTGTGAGACATTTATTCTGCAATTATATCATTTATATACCTATATAGATTTATGGTCAAATAATTTTGGAGAAGCTCAGCTTCGAGGAATCCACAAAAAAACGAGGAGGGGCAGTGTGCAACCCGCGAAAAAACCAAACAAAAAACGAAAATGACGACCGAGTTCGAGTTTATCATCGTTGATTCGAGTAGTTGAGAGATCCAGTAGATCCAGAAAAAAAAAACGAAAAGCAAAACCAAAACAAAACAAATTAAATAAATCAATCGATTGGAATATTTCAAACAGAATAACACACACGCACACACACAAAAATACTCAATATACACACGATAGATATCGGGAGGGAGGGTGACGGGTCCCGTCGCGACGACTACCGTAACCCCCAATAGAAGAAGAAGAAGAAGGAAGGTACATAGTTGAGAGATATTATGGAGGAATGCACAATTGTCAATCACACCATCACATTTTCCACATCTTCCTCATCATCACGGACCTTTCTGACTTTGAGATGAGCATCGACTTCATCTTGCCCATTGTCGCTCAATTCGCCGTCGTCGGTCGTCACCGATTTCGTTGTGGCGACGTCGGCGCCGTTCGTCGTCAGCTTCTGCTTCCTCGGCGGTCGTCGGGAGATTGTCGGTGACGTCGTCGTCGTCGTCGTCGTCGCATCATTGCCGTTCTCGTTGAGCGCCGGTGAGTTCTCGCGCAACGCGTTCACCAAACGAACGCTGGCGTGACGCAATTCTGTAAACACCGACAAAAATATTGAAATTCTCACAATTTTGGGCCGATGCGCCCGCCTTGAACTACTGTATCCAGAAAAAAAAAACTTGCTATTTCCCTTAATTCGATATTCAAAAGAAATTGTTGATAAAAACGCAATTGAATCGCGAAATTTCAATCAATAAAATGATCGTTTAAAGGCGCATAAACGCGGCAAATCTGAAAAATTTAAATCCATAAAAATCGCAAGTTTTTTTTTGGAATTCGCCATTTTCTAGATTTCACTATTTGTTTTAAACAAAAATTTTCGGGAAAAAAAATCGAGAAAACGAAAATTTCAACTTCGGCTTCGCAAAAAATGCAAATTTCAACAAAAACAAAAAACAAACTCACTATCGCTTCTGGTCTTGCTCATCGCCGACGCCGACCGATTGTCCGATTGCGCCGTCGTCGGCCTCGCGTCGCTCTGATGATGCTCCTGTCTCGAAACCGCTTTGCGAACTTTCGTCTAAAAAAAAAGACATCGTCGAAATACATATCAGAAGAGAAAGAGCAACAGAAAACCTCAATATCAATAATCTTCTCGGCCTTCTCAATATCCGACGTCGACGGGAAATTCTCGTAGTGCTTCTCGTTCAACGCGTTCTCCGATTGCTGAAGTGCGCGTTGCCGCCGGAATTCCGCCGTCACCTCTTCGCGTGTCGTGATGAAACTCTGATGCAACATCGCCGCCATTCGTTTCGACATCACCTCGGCGACGGCCGTATCGATCGACGCGTTCGATGTGCAATCATCGACCTCAAAACAAAATCAATTCTATTGGGATCGTGTTGATCACAAAAACAGAAAACCCTCATTTCTCCAACAAAAAACGGGGGGTCTCGCGAAAACCCAACAAAAAACCGATTCTTGATGAATACCTTATAAATTCCAATCAATCTCGCCGCCTGCTCGAACATATTATTTCTCAATGAGATGATGATGAACTGCGCCGCGTCGCGATGATCCTGAACATGGTTTTTCATAAATTGCAATTACACGTCAATCAACCTTGATGTGTTGCGCGATGATTGAGACGTTCACATAATCGAGAGCCGCGTCAATCTCGTCCATAACGTAAAACGGCGTCGGACGATAGACGTGAAGAGCGAAGACGAGCGAGAGCGACGCCAGCGTTTTCTCGCCGCCGGAAAGATTCTCAATGTTCTTCCACGATTTGTTTTTTGGACGAACCCTGAAAAACTCTATTTTGCACTTATTTCGTCATGCAGATTTTCTCAGCACATGAATTGAATGCCCTCGCTGAACGGATCCGCTCCCGACTTCTCCACCATTCGCGAGTCTCCGCCATCCGTCAACTTCTGGTAGATCTCCTTCACCGACGTGCTGATGATCGAGAATCCCTCGCTGAACTCCTCGAGTCGAATTCGTTTGAATAACAACAAACGCGCTCGGTGCGCGTTGAACACTTTCGTCGCCTCCTTCAGTTTAAGCGTTTCCGCGTTGAAGCGAAGAGCCTGAAATATCAAGTCTCGATGATACACCTTTAAATTCAAAAAAATCTAATTCAAATTTCAAGCCGGTTTATTCAACACACACGGTGTTTGCACACATTCCAAACTACAGTAATCCAGTGTCCCAAAAAAAAAAACATAATTTTTTTTTCTAAAAATTTCGCAAAATTGGGGGAAATTCAAATTTTCAAGCCGGTGTATTCACGATACACGGTGTTTGCACACATTCCAAACTACAGTAATCCAGTGCCCCAAAAAAAAAACATAATTTTTTTTTTCTAAAAATTTCGCAAAATTGGGGGAAATTCAAATTTTCAAGCCGGTGTATTCACGATACACGGTGTTTGCACACATTCCAAACTACAGTAATCCAGTGCCCCAAAAAAAAACATAATTTTTTTTTCTAAAAATTTCGCAAAATTGGCAACAACTCAAGTTTTCAAGCCGGTGAATTCACGATACACGGTGTTTGCACACATTCCAAACTACAGTAATCCAGTGTCCCAAAAAAAAACATAATTTTTTTTTCTAAAAATTTCGCAAAATTGGGGGAAATTCAAATTTTCAAGCCGGTGTATTCACGATACACGGTGTTTGCACACATTCCAAACTACAGTAATCCAGTGCCCCAAAAAAAAAAAACATAATTTTTTTTTTTCTAAAAATTTCGCAAAATTGGGGGAAATTCAAATTTTTAAGCCGGTGTATTCACGATACACGGTGTTTGCACACATTCCAAACTACAGTAATCCAGTGCCCCCCAAAAAAAAGAACAAACTTGAGGTTTGCACGTGAAAACTTCAATGTCTCAACTCACCCGCTCAATATATTCATCAATCACGAGCAAATCGACTTTTCCCTTCAACGCCTCGAACGACTTCTCCAACGTCTTCCGTCGGAATCTCAGCTCGTCGACGCGCGCCTCGTCCATCTCGTCGAGTTCGGCGTCGCCGAGCACCTTCACCGCCTCCGGCACACCTTTGTCGATCTTCTCCGGCTGATTCAGCGCCTCGTTTCGCATCTCGTACTCCATCGCGTACGCCTGATCGGCGACCGTCTTCACCATTCGTCGCGTCACGTGCTCAAGCTCGATGTTGTCCATCTCAAGGAACCGATTGAATTCGGCCTCCTCGTCGATCACCAACTTCATGTCCTCCGGCTTTTGTTTGTTCACCAGAAAATCGAATTTCGGCACATAATTGAGGCGATATTTGCCAATTGTCGCCGTGATCTCTTCAATATGCTTCTTCTTCTCATGAATCGTGTATTTAAGCTGGGAAACTCGTTCAGAAGCATCCTAAAATCCAATTTCTCTCTCTCTCTCAGAATCAAAAAAAAATTCGTCAAGTCAACCTTCAATTTCTGCTCGAGCTCCAACTCCTCCTTGCCGAACTTCATCTTATCGTCACGAAACTGTTTGAATCGCTCGTCGAACCCTTTGACAGCCTTCTCCAACTCTTTCAGCTTCTCCTTCTTCTCATTGAGTTGCTCCTCGTCGATCGTGTCGTGCTCGAGTCGCTCCAGCTCGTTCCTCCGCTTTTCGATGTCCTTCTCGAGTTGCGCAATTCGCTCATCGCACTAAAATCGCCAAATAAGGTAGTTTGTCAAAAAAAAATTCAAAAAATAAAAGAACCTTGGCAATATTGCGCTCCGAGTTGTTGATGGCTCCCGTTTCTTTCGCAATGCTCTTCTCGATACCCAATCGCTTCTCATTCGCCTCTTTCGCTTCCCGCTTGTGCCGTTCGACAAGCTCATTGAAGATCGCGTCCAATTTCGTCGTGATCTCGTCAACCTTCTTCTTCGCCTCGTTCGCCTTCTCAGCAGCTTCATCTCTTTCTGGAAAAAAAACCGTGCGAATTTTTTTTTTCAAAAATTCCATCTGAAGTCGTCAGCCTATTAAACCGCGTGCGCCTTTAATTACCAACAAAAATTTTTTTTAACATTTTCATAAAGCCGTAAAATTAATTTTTTTTCCGAATCCGACTCGAAAGAATTTTCCCATTCTCGTTTTACCTTTAACAAGAACATCAACAATCTTCTGCTTCTCGTCAATCTCCTTCTCATCAACCTGCACCTTCATCGCCTCCTTCTCCTGCGTCTCAATCGTCTTCCGTAGTGTTCCGATGATTCGGACGCCCTCCTCGACCGACAGTCGCAAATGCGTCAGCCGATTCTTCATCGTCTCCACCGTTTGCCGCTTCTCGAACAGTATCCGATCGATTCGTTGGCATTCGTCGGCCGCTTTCGCGTATTGCGCCGTCTTCTCATCGAGCTCCTCTTTCAGCACCCTCAAACTCTCCGCCTCGTTTCCCGTCGATTTGCGCACTTTGATGTCGGTGCCGATCAATCCGCGCCTCGGTTGTCCACCGCCGGTAATCGCTCCATCATTCGAGAGACGATCGCCATTTAGGGTGACAATGATGAATCGATCTGGAACATTTTCAAGATAATGTCGCAAACGCGCTCGATTGATAAAACACGATATTCATTTTTTTTTAATTCAAAATTATTCTAGTATTCAAATTTCGCGCGAAATTCAAAATTTTCGTCAAAGCCATTTTCTTTTTCGCAATTTCCACAAAAAAAAAGAGAACCCACGATTATGCGATTTGTCAATTCGTTGAGCTTCTCCAAGATTATCAACCACTAGCATATCATTAAGCGAAAAGTAGAACGCGGCTCGAACGTGCTCCTCGCAACGGACCAAGTCGAACAATCTCGGCGCGGGGCTGCAAACAATGCAATAAATCAATCCCGTCAGCCACAAAATCCTACAAGCTTTTCGGATCCGCGTTCATCCTCTCCTTCCTCACGCCCACCTCGTTGACCGCAATGAAGTTGGATCGCGGCAATCGATTCTAAACAAAATTGCCGGCATCAGAATATAAAAAAATAAATAAAAAGCAATAGAAAAACCAACTTTTGACAAAAAATTGATGCATTTGATGGTGGTGTCGGCCGAATCGCACACAAAATGATTGAGATTGCCGCAATTCGACGAAATCGCCGCGTCGTATTTCGCGTCGATCGCGCCCAAATCGCCCAAACGCCCGAAAAAACCCGGCAGTCGTCCTTCGTCGCGCTCTCGCATCAGCGCCTCAAGCGTCCGATTGCCGGTGACTTTTCGCTGGCGCTCGCTCTCGATCATTCGAATCTTCTCGCGAATCTCGCGCACGTTTCGATCGAGCTTCTGCTCGTCGGCACGCGCCGCCGGCGCTTTTTCCGTCGCCTCGCGAAGAATTCGCTCGTCTTGCGGCAACTTCTCCTCGATTGTTCGAAGTTCTCTGCAAACAAAAAAAAAATCAGTGAGCCCAAATCAGATGCAAAACGATACTCATTCTCCGACTCCAACTTCAATTCCGACTCGCGAAGTTTCGTCTCAAGACCGGCGAGCGTGTTCTTCCCCTTATCGGCAATCTTCTTCAAATCGGCAAGTTCCGCCTGCGCCACCATCGCCTTGCCCTTGATCGTGTTAAACGCCGCGTTCGATTCGGCGAACGTCTTCTCAGCCGCCGTCTTCTCCTCCTGAAACTCTTGAGCCCTCTGATCGAATATCGCCAAATTCTTGTCGGCCTCTTCGTTGGCGCTCTTCTCAATCTCCACCAACGTCTCCGAATCCTCCTTCAGCTTCTGGATCTTCTTTTGCGCTTTCGCCGGCGCCTCGACAAGCGCCTCGCGCTTCTTCGCTTCTTTGCTCTTCTCCGCTTCCATTTTTTCGACGTCCGCCGTCAATCGCTTCGCGTTCTGCGCCCACTTCTTCTTCTCCGTCATTAAATCCTCAATCTTCTGCTGAAGCTTATCGAGTTCGGCTTCAGTCCGCGTCTTCTCCTTCTGAAGCTCCTTGTCCATCTTGTCCGTCTCTTTCGATCCCTCTTTGTTCGCGTCGAGCTTCTCGCCGATTTCCTTCATCTCCGCCTTCTTCGCCTCCATTTCTTCTTGAAGTGGTCCCAATTGTTTGCGATAGATATGTCTACAATTTTCAATTAATCTCCCATCATCATTCTCAATTCGCCCCACCTTCTCCTCTGATCCAGTGCGCATTTGATCTCAATAATCTCATTCTCGGTTCGAAGAAACTCGACAGCCGTCGTCACGTCTCCCTGAATGTTCACTTTCGCCGCATAAGCGTTGTCGCGTCTGAAAATGTCGCAATTTTGTTTCTGGATACTTGAAATTTTGTCCAATAAAAATTTTAATTTTTTTTTGCATTTAGCCAATTTTTCGCAATCGCTCAAATCCCGACAAAATCATAAGCCAATTTCAAGTGTGAGCTCGAAATTCGAAAAAAATCGTTAAATTTGGTTTAAAGAGGGTTGGACTTTGAAAAAAAAACTACGTACAACAATTTCTGCCTCGACAATTCCATCGTCAATCGCTCCAATCTCGTCTCCAACTTTTGAATCGGCTTCTGCAAATCGTTTTTTTTTTGTTTCTCTTTTAAATTTCCCCCATCTCATACCGCAAGTCGATTGCATCCGATAATGTCCTCCAAGTACTCCAACATTCCCTCCTCATTCGGCGTCAGTCCTTTCGGCTTCATCATCGAAATCGCCTCGACTTCGCCCTGAAAAAAATCAAAACACTTTTCTTTTTAAATTCAAAAAATCATCGAAACCTGAAGAATGAGGAACCGATTGTGCACCAAATCGATTTCGGCGTCTCTCAATTTCGCCTCGACCTCTTTGAATGAGCATGACGAACCATTGATCGCGTAGGTGCTCGAATTATTCTTATATCCGGTTCGCGAAATGGTGAACAGCGAGTTCGGCACCACTATAAAATGCTCGTTGGCCTGGAAAAAAAAGAAATCAACGATTCTCGGAATTCTGACGAAGCGCAAACCTTGTCGATGATTCGCTGAAACTGAATCGTCACCGAGCAACTGTCGCATTCGCGTTTCGATGATTTGTGAATCAGATTCGACACCTTCTTCGATCGAATCCGATTGCTCTGAATGTCGACACAAATTTTCTTGGGTTAGTTTCGGCGAAAAAACGCGTTTTTCTCAATATTTCGCGGCAAAAAATTGATGGCAAATGCGATTTTTTGTGCAAATTTGCGTAAATTCGCGTCAAATTTTCGAATTTCTCGCTCACCCGAAAGCCAAACACGAAGAGTAGCGCATCAATTACATTCGATTTTCCTGAACCATTTGGTCCGACAATTGCGGTGAAATTCTGTAAAAAAAAAAGAATCACTTCCACAAAACGAAGGATGTCACCTTATGGAATGGTCCGATGACCGATTTGCCGTAGTAGCTTTTGAAATTGTTGACGATGATCGACGAGATCATCAATCGATCCTTTCGATCCCCATTATTCTCGAAAATGTGGGGCCTTGGTGGCACCTCCTACAAAAAAAACAGCATTTACATTCTGAATTCAAAAACCAATTGGTCATACCCCTGTGAGGAGATCTTCCTCTGGATCATCCTCGATCTCGTTCCTCTTCGGTGACGGCTTCCTCGCCGCTTTCGGCGCCTTCTTCTTCGGTGTCAGCTCATCTTCAATTTTGTTTTTGTCTCATTCTCATTGCAATTATAAACGTACCTCGTTCGTCGGCCGACTCGTCGGACCCCGCCGGCGGGGCGTTTTTTTTCGGCGGCATTGAGATCTGAAAATTTTCGAAAAAATCAAAATGCGAGTAGAAAATTAATGAGTTTTCTTTCGTTCAAAAATACAATCAAGATTTTTTTTGAGGCTTTTGCTCTCTCACAAAAAAAATAAATAAGAGAAATTGGCAAAAACTGGTAACCCATATTTTTCGGAGAAATCGAGTAGAAGAAAATCGCTATAATTGCGCTTCCTTTCGATTTTCGCTGTTGAAACCGAAATTTTCGACAAAAATCGATGAAACGAAAGCAGAAAACGCGAATGAATTTTCAAAAAAAAATTCGAAATTCTTCCAATAATCGCAAAAAATCGAATTTTTCCGGTCAAAACTCCCAATTTTTTTGTTCGTCAAGCAATTTCCAAGCGAAATGGCAAAGAGAAAATGAAAACGCAAAAATAAGAGTGGCGAGCAGACGGCAAAACATTTCGGCGACGGCATTGTTGAGGGAGGGGGATGTTTTTGAATTTGAATTCGGCAAACGCGCGCGCGTCTGCAAACACCGATCGCCAACATTGCGGACCGCCGGTCGACGCAATTCAAATTTCTCAATTTTTTTTCCGCAATTTCCGCCATGTCGACCGCTGCTATTCGCCTAGTCACCGTTCTGATAACAGTTCCCACAAAAGACGTTGGCTTGCAAATCAGTAGGTACCACAAAAAAAACGACATTGAGCAAAATCAACACAACAAAATGCAATTTCAGGTCAATTGTAACGCAAAAACTCGCCGCGTGCGTAAACATTATCCCATCGGTGACCTCCGTGTGAGTCGTTTTATTCAACAAATTACAATTATAACTATGAGTATAATGTCAAATCGGTTAGATATGTCTGGGAGGGGAAACTCGAGGAAAGCGACGAGCTCATGATGGTGGTGAAGACGACTAGCGAGAAAATCGCGCAACTTCAAGAGGTGCCTTCATCGCAATTAATTAATTGGCTAATTTACCAAATTATTTAAGAGTGTCACCAAATTGCACCCATACGACGTTCCCGAATTCATCGTTCTGCCCATCGAGCACGCCGCCCCCAAATACGCGTCATGGATCGCAACGCAAACCGGTCAATAATTAATTAATCAATTAATTCTATATGAAAACTAGTGCACACAATTAGTATTGATATCATCATTGTACGGCGAGAAGAACATCGGAACAACGGCGTGATCGTCATACAGTCTCGCGTGAATTCGGCGACGCTCGACGACAAAATTCTTGAAAAAATCAATAAAAGAACAATTCGCAAAATTTTTTCCCGAACCTCCGGATCGTTTAACGCCTCTTTCAGCACATTTCGACAGCCTTCTTCGCTAGTTCCCAGCTTGAAGCCATGATGGAACAACATCTGCAACAAGTGCGCTCTAATGCAAAACGCGCGCGCGCCCATTTACCTCAGAAATCTCGTCACTAGTCGCTCCCGGGTAATTCAGCGCATAGTCATAAATGTACGCGGTTAGTGGATTGGAAATCTCGCGAAATTCAATAAAATGAATAATTTTGTTAATTGTAACCTAAAAATTAGATTTATTTGGCGAAAAAAAGGGAATAATCCAAGGTACCAAGTTTCGATTTTTCGCATCACAACGCACGAGCAAATTGAGCTGGGCCAATTTCGATTTGCTGACGCCAAACACTTCATAATTGCATTCATACGTCTTCGAATCACCGCACCAGACGGGTGGAGCGGCTTTCTGGGAAATTTCAGCGTCAAACCACAAATCGTTTTTTTTTCCCTCACCGACAAATATGAATCCAATCTCGTCAACTCAATTCTCTCACATCCGACTCTCTTCAAAATTAGGAGTAGCTGCGAGAGTTTCGGCACATGCGGACCCCACCATTCTCTGGCCAATTTCCAACACTCGATCGGGTCTCGACGCGAAATCGCCAACTCGTATTTCTCGCGCTCATTCTCGCGAAACGCGTTCGTCGCCCATGGCCACGTGGGAAGCGAGAACACGATTCTCGAGCCAATCGTTTCCTAAAATTGGGCAATTAAAAAAAATACGATTAATTGTGGAAACCTCGTAAGCGTTATATGTCGGATCTTCACTGACTGCTGTCGTATTTTTTGAATTCGCAATTATCCATTGAATTCCATTCTCATCTAAATTGAATTTATTAAGTCGGTGGTTTTTTTTTAATTTGAGAAAACAAAAAAGAAACCAGTTTCAATTTTAAACGTGTGCAAATTTTTCGGAATCGCGTTGAGCAATTTCGTTAGTGTGATGGCCGGATACGATTTCGCAAAATGCTCCATTCGTTTCTGCAAAAATTGCGCCAATTCGCTAATTAACACGCCCAATTATCATACTTTGAAGATTTTTCCGATTCGTTCCTCATAATCTCTTTCGAAATCTCTAAACTGAATTTTATCGCAGCCCTTTTTTATGCGATCATTCAAAAGAACGCTTATCTCGACGATGAACTGAAGAAAACAATTCAAACTCACAAAAATATTCTGAAAATGCATACTTTTCGGAAACGCCGGTTCTCATCCTCCTCGTTCTTTTCCATTTATTCAATATCGTTGCATAAAACTCCTTTAAAAATGTAAATCTCGAAAATTGGAACAAAAAAAATAATTTTTAGAATCGAGTACGGTAAGCAGCGCACCGTGCTCATGCACAGAATCCTACGAAAAACTGCACACATCTCAAAAATTATTTTTTTTTTAATTGCTAATATCCCTAAAATCCTTCACAATTTCTCGAATTTTCGCGAAAATTGCTCAAATTTCGGCTAATTCGTTGTGAAAAATCACCATTATTCACCAAAAAATATTTTTGTCGAAAAAAAATAAAGTATTAAACAACGATGAATTTACATACCAAAATTTTCGTCCATCAAAATTAAATTCAAATGAGAAATATCTTTATTATGAATTCGTTTATTTCATTCGGGAAGCAATAAATGGAGATCGTTGGTATTCACAATGCGAGTTCAACTTGCGGATTAGCCGGCTTCGGCAACAAGTACGCTTTGAGGCGAACTATATAAGCCGAATCAAATTCCAAAACCTTCGGCGCTTTTCCCAGCACCTCTTGCTCATTCTTAGCAATCATCAATTTCACAATTAGCTTTTTGATGTGCACCGTCGCTCGCTCATGCTCCCAATTCTCATCCAAAAGCCATTCGGTGAATCTCAAAAAAAAATTAATGTTGTCTTTGTCGCTTCGCCAACTACAGGGTGTCATTTAAGTTCCCGCACAACTTTGAAGACGTATATTTCTGAAACTAAAAGTCCAAATCAAACGAGACTCAAAATATTTTTTATCTATAGTATAACAAATATTTATCTATTAACTCTTTTTGATTCGGCCTCCTTTCGCAGCTATGACTTCACGGAAACGCTTCGGGTAGGATGCGACTGTGGTACGCAGGTATTCGATGGAAAGATTGTCCCATTCCGCCAGTAATGTCTTCTTCAGAGCCTCTACACTTGAATGGGGTTTTGCGTTGACCTTCTCCTGCAAGACCCCATCACGGGAAAGTCAAGCGGGTTCAGGTCTGGGGAGCAATCAGGCCATTCGGATGACTTGATGAAGTCGGGAAAATGGGTCTGGCACCACTCCTGAGTAGTTTTGGCAGTGTGGGCGGCTGCTCCGTCATGTTGAAAGACCCATTTCTGCCCACCGAAATGCGTTTGGGTCCAGGGCATCACATGCTTCTCCAAAATGTCCCGAACGTAGACTTCTTTGTTCACTTTCACCCCCTGATCCGCGAAAACCAGGGGGTACTTCCCGGTTGAGCAGATGGCAACGAAAACCATCATGCTGGCAGGATGTGAGGCTGGATGATATGTTCTTCTTTTCTCAGAAGCTTGCTGGGATGTCTGGGCAAGTACTCAATGGTTTTGTGAGTTGAATGCCGTCTCCACAGTGAACAGCTTCTCGTCGGAGAAGACAGTGACGAGGTGTTGTCCAGACCGCGTGCGAGCAAGAAGTCGTTTTGCTTTTTCGAAGCGTCTCTGCTTGCTGACGGCCGATAGAATTGCCGCTTTTTGGACACGATATGGGGTCAGTCCAAGCTTCGTTTTGACAATTTGTTCCATAGCGAAGATGCTCATTCCCATGTCTAACGCCATCATTCTCATGCTCCTGTGGGGGTTTCGCCTGATCCTCGATTTGACGGCGTTGATCTTCTGAGGAGTGGTTACTGAGACGAGTCTTCCTTGTCTGGGACGGTGACTGGTCGTATTTAGCTCCTTGAAACGTTTGATGGTGTCGCAAACCGTTCTACGAGGCACACCGACCCGTTGAATGATGTCTCTCGAGCTCACATTTTGCTTATGAAGTTCGATAACGGAAGCGCAATGGATGTTAGCCTTCGCCATTTCTCGGAAACACATCCGAATGAGGTGAAACTTGGAAAGTAAGTAAAATATACCTTATTTAACAAAAATAAATTGTATTGGTGCACGAAAAGTGCGACAGCCAAGCTCTTCATGGCGTCAAACTTTTGTGCGGGAACTTAAATGACACCCTGTAATCATTGAGCAAATTACCCAGCAAATCGCACATACGCCAATATAATGCTCGGATAATTGAACAACTCCAAAATCAACATCAATATTTCGCCGCACAGCTCGATGAACGGCTTTTTCACGCCAGCGAGAATGGCGGCGGTGAGAACGTCTCCACCCATCATCGTATACCATCGAATCGCGGTCTCATCTTGCACTTAAAAAAAAGTAAATTTCAATTTATTCCTTCTCAACAATTTTTTTCAGCTCACTCTTCTGGAAAAGCAGCGCTCCGGCTTGAACATGCCTACATCTCAATTCAATCGGCCCATGATTCATAGCAGCTCCAACCGCTTGCAAAACCGATTGCAGTTTGTCTTTAAAAGATTATTCACATCATTTCTAGTCATACGGCGTCACGGGGTAGATTTACGAGTGCGCCTTTCGAAATGGTCTCACCACGAAGGCTTTTTTTTTTAATTTTCAACCAACCTTTCGCAACGAGTTCGATCATCTCTTTGCCTTTTTCGGTGTAGGCGACGTTCGCGAACGTGTCGAACGCCAAAACGCGTTGCGAGGCGTCGAGTAGATCGAAATGCACAACCATATCGGTAACATACGGCAAAAATTCGGGGAACGTCTCCAAAACTTCCGGATAGTGTCGCGCCAAATGGCCGAAGAATCGAACGCAGCCGGTGAAGAGGAAACCGCCGTCGGGGCTCGTTTTCGACGATTGCAAAATGTTATAAATCTAAAATTTGACAATTATTGACGACGAGGTAGGTCAAAATCGAAATTGAAGGGGTCCAATGCAGAAAAAAAAATTGAAAATTGATTATTTTTTTCCTCTAAATTGCCATTTTTTGACATAATTAGCGAGTTTCTCATTTTTCTGGACCACAATTTGCTAGATTCCAATTTTTTCAGTGAATTTCGAATTTAAAAAAACGCAAATTTCGCTCAAATAAAATTTTAGAATAAAAAAATGGGAACGAAACCCCACCGTTTGTGGAACTCCAGCGTCCAAGAGGATTTTCGCGTTCGCCGGCCCCGACATCATCAAATCGGCGAACACATCGAGCGCGTTGAGCTGCGTGAGCACATCTCTTGTGCTCGTCACCTCATTCAGAAGCGCACTCATGAAGACGTCCAGATTCGAGTGATATTTGCCGCACTTCATCGCCTCGATTAGAACCTACAATCGGCTGACATTGAATGCCCGGACATCGTTGCGGGCGTTCGCACCTGATAAATTCGGAAGCGATTCTCGGCTTGTCGAATACCCTGAAGCGAGTCCAATTGGTATTTGAGCTCCTGCACGATGAGCTCATTTCCGGCAACCGGGCCCAATAATTCGGCGATCTACGATTAATTCGATTTTTGTTTTTCGTCGCCCATCGCACAAACCGCTTCGAAGCATTCGGTGTCGTCGATGCGTCGCGCGAACGCCACCGCCACCGCTGACGCCGAATCGCTGAGAATTTGGCGATTCGCCAATTTTTTCGTGATGATCCTCGCGAGAATCTCGTTGACGCGCGCCGGCGAATGCGGAATACACGAGAGCAGGAGAATCTGGAAACGAGAAGCGAAAAATTTCATGGTGCGTGAATCCAAAAAACATTTTTTTTCTTCCGATTATACAATTAATTAAATTTTTTGATAATTGAATACGAAACATTTTTCATAGAAACTGCAAAATGGGTCTTGCGACGACTGATTCTCTTCTTTTTTTTTTTGAAATCGGAGACAGACTTCAAATCTTCATAAATCAAGAAATTCCAAACGCTCGATTTTTAAAATTTTGGAATTTTCGTTTTTTTTCTTCAAAAATTTCGTTTTTCATCAATCTCGCAATTTTCCAATTTCAAAAAATGGCAAAATTCCAATATTCCCTTTTTTTCAATTTTTCTTTTAAGCTAATTGCTTGAATTAAAAAAAAATAGACAACTATCCAAATTTTCACCAACTTTGGCATTTTCAGCCAAAAAATCTTCAATTTTCAATTCCAAACATCAAAAAAAAAGAATCACCTGATGATGCACCAAAAACTCCTCAAAAGGCATGTCTTCAAGCACAACCGTCATCAAATCTTTGCAATAAAGCCAAGCATTGCTAAAAATGGGAAAAATTAATTGAGGAGAAAAAAAAGAGGCAAAAAAAATGCATCAAACTCGCTCTATTGAAATTTGAATGCAAGTGCGCTCTATGGTAAAAAAAACTGATCAAATCGGTCAGATAACCAAAAAAATTTTTGCCAATTTTTCGAATAAAATAAATTCAGAAGAAAAAGAATATAGTTGACAAAAGAAACTTCTGCGTGCCCCACCCCCTTTAAAATTTTTGAAAAATTTCCTTTGAAAAATCAAATGTCTGCAATTTTACGTAAAATAAAGCGCACTCATATTCCGTGCCGAATTTTTGAAGAATTTATGGCAATTTTTGCGTAAAGCATCTTCTAAAAGCATTCCATTAGAAACAATTTTTGTTTAGAATTTTTTTTTCGCGTAATCCCCTTTAAATATTGAAAAAATAACTTCCAGCACCATTAATTTTTAAAATATGTGAATTTGAAAATAGAAAAAAAAATAATAAACAATAAAACCGCCCACTCTGTGACTTTTTCCGGATCAATCGTCACCAATCGCTCGAGAATTTTTATTCCTTTGGCCATATTGCGTTCAGCAAGATATTCCGCTCGCAAATCCTTCAAAAAAAAAATCAAAGTACTTCTGAAAACGTGGACAAAAACCCACCAAAAAATGCTGAGACGTCTCCAAAGGTGCCAATTCTGTCATTTCTAAAAAAAATCGAAGAAATTCGAAAAAAACAACACTAGAAAATCAGAGGTACAAAAATGTGATGTGTCAATAAAAGAAACACATTATTTTCAGACAATTTCTTCACCAAAAAATCTCAAAATCAATAATTTATGGCAATTTTAAAGTCCAAAATTGTACTCGTAACAAAAAAAAATTCAAAAATCTCATGGCTTCAGCGGCTTGTAATGAAGCAAAAGCTCGCCGCCCTGCTTCCAAATAAAGTGCTTCACTGTCCGCAGATCCATGTCAGGATCGAGCTTCTGATCATTACAGTACATCTCCAATTTGGTGTGGATCAAATTTAAAGGCACACTCGGCACCACCGACGAGATGTGAGTCTGCTCAAGTGTGGCGCCTGAAAAAAAAATCAAAAAATTGCATTTTAAAATAGAGGGTCCGGACCTTCATTAACATTCAATATCTTCTCGTAGACATGCTCCATGACCTTTCGAACCTGCAGCATTTCGGTAGCGGATAGGCGATCTCTGAATTCGTCAATTTGCCCTCTTTTTTGCAATCGCGATCACTCATCGACCAACTTTTTCGGCGTTTTCACGTTCAACGCCGGATGCGGCAACAGATAGAACGGCATTTTCATGAATTTCGGCAATTGGCGACGCTCGACGACGTCGGTGATCCACGGCGGAACGTTTTCCGCCAAAAATCCCGCTTCGATCTCTTTCGCCGCGTCTTTGACAACCATTCGGAGAAGCGGACGACCATTGCCTTCGCTGTGCAAAGAAGAAAAAAATGAAAAAAAAAAAAAGAAATCCTTTCAACACCGATTAGAACGCGACGCGACCGCAACGCGTTCCTCGATAAAATTTTCCAAAAATTTCGCTTCAAGACCTAATAATAATTTTGCCAAAAATTCAAATTCCACTTCTCAAAAAAAAAAAATGTCGGAATCGAAATCGTATATCAATCCTAAATTTCAATGGAGTTCCATCACAAAATTGAGAATAAAAAATAAATCAAACGTTTTCGATGATTTCTGAATCTAATCAGCTTCATTCATATCTCATTTTTTTTATTTCTATTGATTCTCATCAACCTCAAATCGGGCTGCGGACAATTCAAAGTAAAAAAAAAACCAAAACCAAAACCAACCACAAAATGAACGGCGTGTGTTCGGGCAGACTGATGAAATTCGCCGTCGCTCGTTGCGTCTCATCGCCATTCTCTCCATCCGAATTCGCCATATCATTATGCGGCCAGTGTTCGAATAGCGAGCGAAGCATCATTCCACCATAATTTACTGAAACCAACCTTTTTTCTTTTTAAATATGCATCAAATTCGCTCCATTGAAATTTGAATGCAAGCGCGCTCTACGGCAAAAACTCATCAAATTGGTCAAAACGAAAAATACATTTTTTTTGGAGACCGAAAATCGAGAGATTGTGCGATTTTCAGAGACGGAGACATTGGTTTTCAAAAATCTTTTTTTTTTTTCGCGCGTCCCCCTTTAAAACAATTCAAAAATCGCGCTTTCTTTTTTGTGCTCTACATTGAATTCATCAAAATTCCCAACCTTTGACGTCGGCTTTCTCAACATCCTCGAAGCCGGCGTCTTTGGCCGAAAGCCACGCCGAGAAGACGTCGAGCTCGTCGAGTGTGATTTGAAGCATTCCGCTTTTGAAGTCGACACTAAACCACGAGGGCACAAACACTTTTCGAAAATGCTCTTTGAGCACCTCGTCGATTGGCCGTTTACCGTAATCGGCCACCTAAAAAAAATTCGAAATAATATGAAAAATCGGAAAAATAAAATTCTAGAAACTTTTCGAGCCGCCAGAACGTCGTACAACGCCACACATCCGTCCGAATCTCTCGTCACCACATGCCGTTTATCATTGAGCACCGCGTGGTGTTTTATCGACGCCGCGCCTTTAAAATCATAAAATTCGATGGGGGGGGGGCCTCTCGCAATTCAATTCCGTCGCCTTACCTGGTATCACAATTTCGGGGACGGTTTGAAGCGGCGCGTGCATGAACGAGCTACTACTACTGCTATTGCTATACATGGAATGATGAATGCCGTTCGAATTGCTCGTCAACAAATTCTCATCGTCGCCTATCGACAATTGGGCGCTGGCGCGAACCGACCATCTGGAAGAAGAGAATCAATGAATTGGTGTGGCCAAATTCGGTAATTCGCTGTGGGACCCAACACGATGGAAGCAAGTAAAAATTAATGTGAATTGAAATTTGTAAAAATCGAATGAAGACCACGTTTGCTGAAATTTTCGTCGAGATTTTTGTCACATCTCGAAAATAAAAAAAAATACCATCGAAAACTCGATGGTGGGAAGGAAATGAGAAAAAAATGGTCCTTTTTTAAAGATTTCTCAAAATTCTATGATATTTTAAACAGAAAAATAAAAATTGTCTGACTAGCGGACCATTATAAATTAAAGGCGCACACCGCGCGGCCTCGTCTCAAACAAAAACGAAATCCGCTCAATTCTCACCGTTTGATATTCGAATGCCACGTCGCCGCCCATATCGACGTCGGATTATCGCGATCATTAAGCAGAAGCTAGAAATTGACTAATGAGATATAAACACATGCATAAATTCGTCGGACCTTTTTAACGGGAGCCTCATCCTCAAAAAGCAATTGGCTTTGCGTGATATCGCCAACTTTTGTCCGCAGCACCTTTTTGTCTTTGCCGGCGCTGTAGATCGTCGAAAACGACGAGTCGACCTGGGGAAAAAAAAACACTTGGCGGGGCCATTGGTGACGACACCAACACACCTGAAGCGTCCAGACGCCCTCCTGATGGGCGATGCACGTCGCGACGCAACGCTGCTGCCCGATATCCCATAGGCGGATGGTCGCGTCGCTTCCCGCCGATATCGCCTTCATGCCGTCATCGCTCACCACCAACGCTCGAACGTTGTCGGTGTGGCCGCGGAGTTTCATGATTTTCTCGTTCGTGCGCGGATCGAACAATCGAATACACTGCATACAACCAAATTTTAGGCAATTTCGACAACGCGGCGATCTTCGCAAAAATTTTTTTTCGGCTGTTTTGAAACAGCAACAACAAAATAATTGCGATTTTCTCACATTTTTGAAAATTTGTAGTCAAATCATTTCAATTTTTCTATATTCTTTCAATAAAAATAGTCATTCTCTTCAATATTGGCCTCATTTTGGCAATTTTGAGACAAAAATTCCATTTAAAGTCAATTTTTCTCTAAAATCCTTTATGAAAATCATAGAATTCTCTTAAAATTTCAATTTTTTCTTGTAAAATGATTTAAAAATGTTTTTCTAAATTCGAATCAATTTATCCGGGACTTTTCGGACCTTTTTCTGTCAAATTCAAAATTTCCATCGAAAATCGCAATTTTCTCTCGAAATCTCCGCTTTTTCAAATTTTTCATTCAAAAAATGCCAAAATTTCTCACTTTTTCGGTGCCCGCCGCCAAAACAACGCTATTCATCGGATTGGTGGCCATCGAATAGATTGAATCCTTGCTTCCAATCAAATTATTTGCTGAAATCCGTCAAATTGCAATCAACTGCGCCCAAAAACCCATTTCTCACTGATTTTCACACCGCTCGGAATGTCATAAATATAAATTGAGTGGTCGAAACTCGCGCTGACCGCCTTCTCAACCATCGGCGCATAGGCCAAACAGCTAACATAATCCTAAATCATTAATTAATTAATTATTGGCTAATTAGCGTACCCTGTGCGCTCGAATCGTGTTCATACAACTATTGCGATTCTCGCGATCCAAATTCCAAACTTTAATCGTCGTGTCGTTCGAAGCACTAATCACTGGAAAATATTGAAGAAATTGAAATCGCCCGAAAAAAAAATCCAAATTTACGTATTTTCCCCTGCCCGCACAGGATCATATCATTGATCCAATCCGTGTGTTGTTCCAGTGCCGCGACGAAATTGACGGGGCATGCTTTTCCCGGCGAACGGACGCCTCCTCGCGCCGAAAATGCGTCCTGAAATTTCGAAAAATTTGCGTCGAAAACACCTTTCAAAAATTTTTTGAATCCGACTTTATGCTGCGGGACGTTCCATATTCGAATGATTGTGTCACTACCGCCCGTATAGAGACGATTGGAATTTGAATCGAATTGCAGTGCGCTCACTGCCGACCGATGTTGGGGCTCTTGCTCGTCGCGCACGATGAAAGAGATCTGAAAACGTGGATTGTGTATGAACTTTTTGAAAACTGCAAAAATCGTTTAATTCATTTTTTTTTTTGAAAAAGTTCACGCAGAAATTGCGAAAGACGTCTATAAAAAATACAGTAACTACCCTAAAGGAACATTCAAAATAATTGAATTGGTCTCGTACGGAAAATACTACAGTAATGATTATTTTGTTTTATTTTTCTAAAAATTTTTATTTTTTCATAAATTTTTCGATAAAATGCAGCCAATTTTTAGAAAACGAGTTTTATTTGATTATTACAAAGTTTAGTCAATAAAATACGATGTTTTTTTTCATGTAAAACTACAAAAAACTTTTAGCGCATTAATTTTAATAAAAATTTTTTAGACGATAAAAATTTCAAAAAATACCTTCTTTTTTGAGCTGGTGCCATTGCCATTCGTCGACAGCGTCATTTGTACAGCGAATTGCTCAATTAACCATCGTAATATGCAAATAACGCTCAGGGTCCGAGTGGTGATATGAAATAAAAAAGAACCGCGCCGCGTGGTTGCATACGCGCGACTCCGCCCACTTTTTGTTTTCCTCCATCTCACCTTTCGGTCCGGTTTCCCGCATTGATTCGCCGCTCGCATTATTCGATTTTTGTTTTTTTTTTCAGGGTTATGCCATTGGGCCTGTTTGGTGGCAATTCCTCGAAATCGCACATTCTCAACGATGGGTCCCAATCGGCACGCGATCGCAAAGACGGCAAAAACTCGTCGGAAAACAGCTTTAAAGGTCCATCCCTAGATTCCATATTTTTTTGTCGACTATTTACCATTAATTTTCAGGCCAGACGCTGAAATTGACGAATTCTCAAGTCACCATCGAGAAAAAGCTAGCGGAAGGTTGCATTTTTTCGCAATTCTATTTTTCGTTTATGAAATTCTCAACAATTTTCAGGTGGTTTTGCAATTGTTTACCTAGTGACTGATAGGAAAAATCGAAAATTCGCGTTGAAACGCCAATTCGTGTTTGATAATCAAAAGCAGCTTGAAGCATGCATTCGAGAGTGTAAAATTGTGGTAATTTCTTTTTAAAAAAAAAGTCGCCAATCCACATTTTTTGTTGAAATTTGAAGAATGAGCTTCGAGGACACAAGAATATTGTCGAATATGTCGATCATATGGTCTCGATGAACAAAAATGGTCAATATGATTGTATGTTGATGACGGTTTACCATAAAAGTAGGCATTTTTCTGGCTAACATTTGGAAAAAGTGAGAAATTTTTCAGGGAATGTCCTTCAATTAATGAACGATCGCATTTCGAATAACATGTTCCTCTCGCCGAATGAGATTCTCAATATTTTCTGCGATATGTGTGAAGCTGTGGCACGGCTTCATCATTCCCAAACCCCAGTGATTCATCGAGATTTGAAGGTCCAATTTTTTCCCAAAAATTTTCATAAAAAGAACAAACAATTTTCAGGTGGAGAATATTTTAATCGATGAGCGAAATCGAGCAGCTCCGCCAATTTTTGTGCTTTGCGATTTCGGTAGTGCCACAACGAAGGTATGTGACATTTTTCTTGGAAAAAATCGAAAATTCCACTAGAATTAATCGTGGGCCTTTCATATTTTTTAAAAACAAAACCCCATTCGGCGTCTGGCTGTTTTGTTTCGTTGAGCTCATAAAATCCATTAAAACCGAAATTTCCATCATTTCACGCTTTTTCAAATATTTTTTGCTTTTTTGTGTGCCTTTAAATCCAAAAAAATGTCGATTGCAGGGCAATTTTTTGAGAAATATTGAAAATCTCGTTGATAAAACGCGCAAAATATGGTCGATTTTCAGGTTTTGTCGATAAACTCGCATTCGGCGAGTGTGATCCAAGAGGAAATTGAGCGAAATACGACATTATGCTATCGAGCACCGGAAATGATCGATATCTATGGAGGACAGCCGATTGGTATCAGTTTTTCGCCAAAAAAAAATCCAAAAATTCATTTTGTTTTTTTCCCGCCAGGCACCAAATCCGACATGTGGTCCCTTGGCGTGATGCTGTATCGCCTTTCATATTTCGCGTTGCCGTTCGACGAATCGGCGCTCGCCATTCAAAATGGCATTTATAGTGCGTTTCCAGCGGCGCCCGAGCTTCCAGCGGCGATACGCGCAATTATTTGTGAGTTGTGTTTTTTTTTTTTGAATTGACAAATTTTCAGCGTGCCTTACTGGTTTACTGTAATCTCGATTTCAGATTTGCTGCTTGATGTTGATGTAAATAGACGATTGGCAATCTACGAGTGTGCTAGCCTTGCATTTGAAGCCTATGGCAAAACGAATCCCATTGAAAATGTATATGTAAGTCGAAATGTTGGCCAATCGGATTCTCCAAAAATAAATGTTTTTTTTTTCTCTAGAATGTCCCAAAAATGACCCTCGAGCAGGCGATCATTGAGCTGAAAGAGGGAAAGCCGCGAAATCAGCGCGATGCGACGACGACGACGCCACCGCCGGCACAGCAGGCGTCTGAACCGCCGCACGCCGACGCCGAGCTCATCAAGACGACGGACGCGCCGCCGATGCGGTTTGTCGAGCCGACGACGACGTCGGTGAATCCGAGGCTGCGGCCGAAAGCGACGCAGATTGTGCCGACGGTGCCGAATCTCAAGATCGCCTCAAAACCGGAACCGTCGCGGCATTCGTATCAGAACGAGACGCATCTCGATGCCAACGAATCGCCGGACGGACCGCTATCTTGCCCGCTGATGAAACCGCAAGATCTCGGATTCACCGATCTCAACCATCCGTGTGATATGAGGAATCGCGCGGCGACGGATTCGAAAGCGAGTTTTGCCGATCAGCAGCAGCAACATCGGCGGAACGTCAGCGACACGTCGCAGATAGCGAAAAGCGCGTTTAAGTGGGCTGAAAAAAATTGTTTCTGTAACAAATTGGATGATTTCAGGCCGTACAGTCAAACAGCGGCCGCCAAGACGTCGGTTCGAAGTGTGGAAGACGTGACGCAGGAATGGAATCCGTTTCTGGCGGCGCCGTTCACCGCCGTCGCATCCGGAATGGATGATCGACATTTCGGCAAGGTTTTCGATGAATTGCCGAGAAAAGGTTCGACCAATCAGCTTTCGAAATGATTGATTTTGTTTCAGACGCGTTGACTGATGACGACGACGACGACGACGCGGATTCAATCGATTCGCGCGATCCGTTCGGAGCGGCGCCGTTCGACACAATTCCGGAAGTGTCGTCGGCGAGGCAGGCGATGGCGGCGGCGGCGGCAGCAGCAGGTATATCGCCGCGACCACCGCCGAGACGCGAAACGCCGATGCTTCTGCGATCGGTGTTGACTAGAGATCGAGCGCCGCCGGTGCCGACGCGTTCCGCGTCTCGCGGCGGAATTGCATGATGATGAATGTCGTGGTTGTGATCCTCACTTGAAATGGCTTTAATTGAGATATCCTCCCCCTTCTCTTGTGATTAATATTTGAATTGCATGGAATCCCAATGAATGTTTCGTGATGGTGTTGGTGATTCGATGAAAACTTGCAGACGGTAAAGATGATGATTCGGAGGTCGATGAGCAACGAATGCGCGCTCGACGACGCTACAGCTATGAGAACATCGATGGTGTCGGCGATGATGCGAGCAGCGATAGTCGCGGACGCACCGATCGCGATTCGGAGGATGACGAGACGGATAGTTGGGTTTGACGAGCGACGCCGAACCACCAACACTGAGTTCCTTTCGTTTTTCAGCACGGCGGCGACACGTCGCACGATGAGGACGACGGTGGCGGCTCGTCGCAGAATACGGTCGGAAGCGAGGACGGCGAAGGCGGCTCGCGGCCGCTTCTTGAAGATGACGGTTTGGAGGACGACGACGATCACGAGCTTCTCGCGTCGTTCCATGAGAAGATGCCGCGAATGGTTGAAGCGCCGCTGTTCGTCGGAACCAACACGACGAACCCGTTTTTGAGGGACGAGCTCACGCCGAAATTGGAAACGCCGCCCAATGTGCAGGTAATTCAGATTCCAAAATTGTTCGCTTCAAGACCAGTTTGTAATTTTTTTAAATGATGAAATATCGCGTCAAATTTGTTGTGTTGTCCGCAATTTTTCGTCATTGTGAGCACACAGTTTTCTTTTTGGTTTTCTCTCGATTCGAGAGCATTGTTTGTAGGCGTCGAATGTTTGGAGCACACCCGACGAGAATCCATTGGATCGCTGGTCGGATCGTCGCGATACGGTCTTCGAGAAGCCGACGTTCGAGCCGACGCGATTGGCGGCGTTCGCGCCCGCCACACTACCGCGACAAGTCAAACCGTTGTCGGCGGTGGCGAAGCCAAAAGTAGGGTCGACGGAATTTCGATCGTTGATTTTTTTTTCTGTTTCAGCCCGAAATCCCATCGACGGCGCCGGTGTCGATTATTCCGAGTATGTCGACGACGTCGTTTCCCGACGCCGTCGCGAATCACGACGATGGCACTCGCGGTGAGCCGGCCGTCGGCACTTTGATTCTTGTTGGAGCGCCGACGACGACGATGGAAACGAAGCCGAAGTCGATGTCGCCGGTTGCGTTTGCCGGCAAAACGATGGGATTCGTCGAGGGGCCGAAAACGCCGAAGCCGGCGAAAAGCAAGAAGGTCATCAAAGAGAAGCATGTGATTCTAAGCGATCACACGGATCCCGAAACCGACGGATCGGAAGCGGAAATATGCGCCGACAAAGCCGGCGTTTTGAGTGGCAAAAAGAAAAAGGTGGGTGGCGCGGGGTAGATCAAAAGAGGAATGGTTTAATTTTTTGATTGGACAGAAGAGCGCGTTTGGCATCAGATCGTCGCACCCTTCAATTTTGCCGAATGATCTTCAATTCGCGACGCCGATAGCGCCGAAGAAATCGACAAGTAAGCGATTACGGGGTGGCACAATTTTCAATTGATGCGATTTTAGAGGATAAAAAGAGCTCGTCGGCGGTGAAACGAGCCAGCACGGGGGCATTGAACGCCTCGTTTGTGAACTCGTCGTTCCAATGCGAGGATGCCGACTACCCGTCGTCGAACCATCATTTTTAGCCTAAATTTACTTGAAATTTTCCTACTTAAACCCACGCATGTAATTAATTTATTAGCTGGTCAATTTCGCTCCCATCAGCCCTGTGCAAATTATACAATTGTAATAGAAATTTGTGATCTACCCAAAATATTATATGTAAATTATGTGACCCATCAAACCTGACCGCATTGTTTCACTTTGACGCAAAAAAAAAACAAATGATTATCGTAGTGTCTTCATTCACTTAAAGAATTATTACGTTTTGTATGCAATTTGCCAAATTTAGAATGAAAAATTGAATGCCAGACTGTTATTTTATTGGGAAATGTGTGCCTCGGTGCACTTGCGGAGTTTGTCGCGACTTATTTGAATGGATAAATTGCCAAGCCGGTTACAGTTTTTTTCATGATATTCTTGTAGAAATCGAAATTTTTGTATTTGTTCTTGAATTCGTCGCTGAAGAGCAGGCCGTTTGGTGCGCACTTGAAGCCGATTAGGGATTCTTGAATGGCGAAACTCTGGAATTTGGATTTTTTCGAATCGAATGATTTTTGCGATCATTTTTCACTTGTTTCAATTCGCGTATATGAATAATCGGCAGCGGCGTGATTTTCTTGCATCGCGGATTCACTTTGATGTTTGACACTTGGCAATTCGAATAGATTAGCGTGTACGTGCAGAATGAATTGATGTTGCGGTCTTTTGCATATTTTTCGGCTTGCGCATTGTCTGGAAGCGACGGTAGGCAAGTGCACGCTGGAAAAAAATGTATTTTATTAAAAAATGGATCTAAAAATAGCTGAAAACAATGTTTGAAGCGAAAAAAAAAGAGATTTCTTTGGGAAAACGATGTGAAACAAATTTATGTGCAGTTCACCGACACGCAATACTACATCAGCTGTCTACAGTACCAAATTTCACATTTGGAATGGAAATTTCTTTACCTTCCGTGCAAGATTGAAGCGTGAACAGTGCCATTGTGAACAATAGAAGATTGATGGTCATTTTATCGCAAAAAATATGGAAATTGTTTTTTATGGAGTGTTTGAAGCTGAAAACAACTAAATAAACATTGAAAATTGTATTAAAACAGAAAACCTGCAATTTTTAGACGCAACTAAAAATTTTTAAAGTTTTGGAGTAAAAAAAGGGTGAAAGAGGGTTATTTCTTTCAAAAAGTTTAAACAATTCAATTAAAAACCGAAAATTTTCTGCAGATGAAATTAGAAAGAAGAAAGAAATGGAACAAGCGTAACCTAGATAGATAGTGAACCGCAAGATTCCCGTAATAGATAGTTTTTTCAATAGAATTAATACCAAACTAGAATCTTTGGTATATGTGGTCTTTTTTGGCGGCTGGAATTTCAAATTTCAATTTAAACTGTTGCAATTTGCTGTAAATCTAGACAAAAATTATTTTTGAAGCGAAATTCCTCAAAAACACATTCGTTTTCTCCGCAAAAAAATCCGGATTCTCGACGCCATAATTTGTTCTTTATTTTTTTTTGCCTGAACCCATAAATTGTAGGCATTTGCATAATGAACTGGTTTTTGTCCGACGACGATCCGACTTTCTCCAAATTCTCATGTTTCCGACGGTTTTTCCCCCCATATATGTAATTATGATCCGTCTCGTTTTGCCAACAGAATAAAGAAACCGGCGAAGAAACACTTCGACGTCTTCTTTCTTATTCGCGATGCTTGTTGAATTTATATTCAAGCACCCTCCTCCGGACAATTTCGTTTGTCTTTAGATTCGCTTTCGACGCCAGCTTGAAAAAATATTGTCGTTTTTCTAAATTTTTCCAAATTCTTTTAAATATATTTAAAAATTCGAAAAAAAATCACAATTTTTCGAATAGGGTACTGTAGGCAAGAAGTGCATTTTTGCGTCTCGGTGGTCTGCAGACAAACATTTTTCCGTTTTTTCTAAACGATTTTCCGCGTTTTCAGAGAAATTCAAACGAAAAATGAGGCAATTCTATTTCGCATGGTAATTTTTTAATTGTTTAATTATATCAATCTCATTATTCCAGGAGTAAATTGATTTCATTGATATCTGCATGCGATAAACGAACAATGTGGCTCAAGTGGCTGTCAAGCGGCGCATTTTTGATTGAAAAAAAAAAACTTATAAGCGGCTGGTCGAGCTCAATGTTTGCTCGCGCACGCGCACAAACGAATGTGTCCATTTTTCAATTAATATAATAATGGCGAATTGACAGTCAGCCGCAATTCCGGGTAAACCACCCGTCGGCGGGCAATGCGATACCTGCCATTTTATCGGCATACTATGTTCACGTCATTCGCTCATTTTTTTTTCTTCATCTCTTCACCAAAAAAAATGATTTCCTTTATTAATTATACTTTGAATCTCTTATAATATTTCGTTGCAGGAACCCGTTGAAACCGATGCTTGAAACAACTTAATCCATTCGTTTAAAGGGATGTCGTGGTTTTTTCAATCAAAAATCGCCAAATCTCATTTCTATGTATGGTATTTGGGCTCGAAGGAGGCCGATGGGGTTCGCGGGAGCGCGGTAGGCCCAACAATGATTCCACCGTCAAGGCCCTCGCTTGCAGGTTGTTCTTCCCGTAATGCGGCAATTGTTAAAGGAGAGCTTCAAGAAGACGCCAAGTAAGGCAACGGTTCAATTGTCCTCAAAAGGCCTCAAGCTTATCCAATCGGTGCCGGCGATGTCGCGAAGCGGAAAAGTGAAAATGCAATTGGTTAAATTTCAAATTGCCGCCAACTGCATAACGTACAGGTAGATTGCGTGGGAGCGCGTTTTCTCATTCGATCGGAATCAGTTGAGACTCGGATTTTCAGCATCACCGGCAAAGCGCCATTCGACGACGTCGTCGGCGTCGTCATGCTCGTCCTCAATCCCGAAATGCAATCGCCGATGCACGTGCACTGCTATCGTTGCGATTCGGCCGAAACCGCGCAAATAATGCTCGCCAATTTGCAGGTACGATTCGCACCCGTATTTGGCGGCGGGGAGGTGGTGACGACGCCGCCAAAAAGCAGAAAAAAAAAATACAATAATTGAATATATCAAATTCCATCTGCGGACATTTTTGCAGCTTCTCCTCTCGCGTCCCGACGTTCAACGCTCAATAAACGACCTCGAGCATCGGCTTTTCCTCTCCGGCCTTCTTGTACCTCGAACGTAATTTATATTAATTGCGACACATTATCTCATTGTCCTTCTAGGAACAATAACAACAATAATATGAAACCGCAAAGATCGCACTCGAAGAGCACTTCGCGGTCGAATAGTCAACTCGAAGAGCGCCCGTCGTCTCTTGATCGCCGCCTAATCGATCTCGAAAAAGAATTGGCGTACGTAAATGATTTTTTTTGAATTTGCCGCCAAAAAAATTCTAATCGTCATTTTTGAAGACCGCGCCGAAATGCTCCGACGATTTCGCGACGAGTCGTCGATGAGCTCAAAAATCGGCTGATCGGCGAAACGCGAATGTACGGACGGCAGAGTAGAGAGGTTCGCTTTTTGGTGCAATTCGGACCACTCTTCGTTTTTCTTCTTTTTTTTTCCAGAGCTCACTCAGCCGGTACGAGTCGGAAAAGCGCGCCTCGTTGTCGGAATTGCCGATCGAGTCGGACTCATCGCGCTATCGAATGTTCGGCGATACGATATTGAGAGACACGAAGACGAAATCGAGGAGTTTGGACGATTTGGCGACGGATCCGATTGTCTCGACGTGAGATTTACTCTTTTGCTTTTTTTTTGCTAAACAATTTTCTATATTGTTTTTTGTCGTTGCAGTAATCTTCGAGGTCTTGACGCGCCGATTCCGCCGCGTCGTTTCGCGCGCGTAGATCACGTTTCGGACCCTTTTGGGCACACCAACTACGAGCGTACGAACACCTTAGAGGGATTCTGGAAACAGCGAATGCGCCGCTCCAGCAGCATCAAACTCGATTTTTAGGCCTCTGAAGCGATGTGTCGCCAAATTCCACAAATGTATTTATTTTGCCTATAAGAATATTATTATATTTTTGTCAAATACTTGACTAGAAATTACTAGAATTAAATAAATATTTAATTTTTGGTTACTGTAGACAGTTGTGGTGTGCGCACACGTTGGCATGAAATTGCACGCGCAATTCAAATTTTCATTAATTCTTGGTTTTTTTTTTCCTATTTTTTGTGTAAAATGTGTGAATTGTGATTTATTTGCGCCTTAATTGCCATAAATGGTTGTAAATCATTGATACGCGTCGAATCGATTGTCTAGAACAATTCAAAAATTGGAAGAAATCAAGGAACAATGGCAAAATTGATTGTTTTTTTTTCTTTTGGCTCGCACTCGCACATTTTTCCAGCGTCCACACGTACACGTGCCAATTCAGCGAAATAGTTATCGAGTCACCTCGACGCAGACACAATCGCTATGAGATATGATCGCCGAATTAGGTGACAGGTGGGGGATGCGCCAAAATGGTGCAACCCCGCCCAATATTTAGAGCCCTTGCACCACAACCCATTCATTGTTTTGCCGTCATTCATTCGCCAACGATCAACTCATCGATTTCGTTTTTGTAGAATGTTGCACGCGATTCTCATGGTCCCATTGCTCGCCGAAGCCCTAGCGGACACCTGGATGAAGGTCAACATCAAAAAGGTAGCAAATTTTCAAAATGGTTTTCGTTTTGTTGTTCCAATGGTCCCATATTTGCCGGAAAAAAACACAATTTTGCAGATCGAACACAAACCGTGCAGTTTCGACAAAACCTCGTGGGGATTCGAGACGGGCGGTTGCGCCAAAATGAACTACATGACGGTTGGAGCATTTTTGACACGGCGAGCCGCAACTCAAAAAATTGTTTTTCAGCTCGACGAGCGCATTCTTCTCTCCCATGAGCGTCGTTCGACAAGCTTCGAGCATATTGATGTAATTTTGCTTGCGAAAAAAAAATTCAATTCATTCTTTTTTAAAGGGTGTCCTGCGACCGACTGTAACCTACTGGCCCCATACTCGCCTTCAGGATTGGATGCTGTCGATTCAGTTCATCGCAGTGGATCCGTCGTACGGAATCGCGAGGACGTGCGATCTTTCGGGCTTTGTGAAAGTCTTTGAGGTGAGTACCATTGGGGGGCCGTTCCACACGAGACCCAATTTCGAGAATTGCAGAAGGACTATGAGGATGGCGACGAGATTGGGAAGCTCGCCGAACGCGATCTCGACATCGAGGGTCAGTGCTTCGTCGCGCGCGTCAACGTGCAAGCGTCGAAGGGAATCTGCCCGTGGTGCGTCGAGGAGGCGAAGCCCGCCGAGCTGCTTCAACCTTCATCAACGACGACGCCCGATCCGATGGCCTCGTTGGCGACGTCGAATCCGTTCTTGCTCATCGCGATGGTCTCGCTCACGCTGATCACCGTGCTCGCGCTTTTCGGCACCGGCGTCATTCTCATTTGCTATATTGCCGAGAGAAGGTTGGTGAATTCTTTTTTTTTTTTTTTAGTTGAAACAAAAATTTTTGAATTGAAATTAAACGAAAAACATTGAAAAAAATCATTTTTTCGCAAAAATTTTATAGAAATTTCTGAAAAATCCATAACTGGGTGGTTTTTTTTCAGACCCGCTTCTCCAAACGCTTCCCATCCGACCTACGAGCTTCCATCGCCGGTGTCGAAGTCGACGTTGACGACGTCGCGTCGAAAAATCTCGCAATCCACGTGGACGACGTCAACATCGTCGGAGAATTGGTGCGAATTGCCGACCGAGCGGTAAATTTTCTTCGCTCGCAAACCTCGCTCTTAAAATCCATTTTCAGATGGATTTCCTACAACGATCAAACAATGGAGAAGGGCTTCAACGCCGACGTCGTCGATGACTACCATGTGATTGCTGATGGCGGTGCGAAATTTTGCGTCTCGCCGGATTCCGGATGCGAATCGGTTTGACGACGACGACGACCCAATCAATTCAATTACCGACTTAATTAAGTGAATTAATTACGTGTAATCTACCCTGTGTATTTAGCTAATCACAACACTATTTCTTTTTTTTCAAACACAAAACACTCACACCATTTCTTGTTGCTTTTTTTGTTTCGTTGTACCATCATCACTAATAATAAAGATTATATGAATGAATATTGGTCCCTTTTTTTTGGCTGCGTATCAACGAGATACTGTAGTTCTAATCGAGTACTGTAAGAGCAATGACACATGAAAATTGGGTGTCTAGACATTAATATACGCTTGTGACTACGAATTTTTGATTTATTTTTTTATGTGATACTGTAGTTTGAACTTATCGAAGAATATTTCCGGAATACGGTAGGGGGCGGGGTTTTGACGGAATCGAAAACCGGAAGAATGATGCTGAAACTTGAAGAAATTTAATTTCGCGCGCTAAAAATGCCATAAAACGCTTAAATCGAATCCGAATCTCGTCAAATTTTGTGAAAGTTCTTCGAAGAGACACTAGAATACGTGTGCGAAATTTCAGCGAAATTGGTGAGATTGAAATTTTTCGAAATTTTTGTGTCACTTTTCGAAATCGGCGTCGAGGTGAAAATCGAAATTGCCAATTTTTGCCGAAATCGCTTGGAAATTTGTGAGAAAGGCGATACAAATACTGGTAGTGTGCCTGCGAAATTTTGAAATGATTGGCTCATTTTGAAATATATTTCAATGGTCTGAAATTTTGCAAAAGGGTGCGGCGAGCGGGTCCAAAACCACCACCCTTCGCACAGAGGCGCGCAACTGAGCACTCGGCCACTTGGACATTGCTTCTTGCTATATAAATTGTGTTGATAAACCGCGCATCTTAATCCCAACTGTTAACAAGAAAATTTTTGAATTGTGTAATACAATGGATAAAAAAAAAGAAAAACGAGTATTTATACGGAATAAAACCAACAAATTATGAAATACAATTCATAATATTAATTTCAGACAGCACATCCTTCGTGCCAATATCATAAACCTTCTTGACAAGATGCCCAATCGTGCGGAATTCTTTCGGAATCTCAATAAACTCCTCTTTATGGCAATAGCTGATAATAGCCGTCTGAAAATTTTGGAAATAAAAAAAAACAAAAAAATGAGAATTTCGCACCGAATTGCCATAACATTGATGGGCAACGTGCAAAAATGCTCAGGCAAATCAAATAAAATATTTTGAGAATCAAATATTCAGTGATAAACTCTAAAATATTTTGAGAAATTCTAAAGTCTATTGATACTTTCTAAAACTTATTGAGAATCAATAAATTTTAAAAATTTGGAATTTGTAAATTAAATCTTTTGAGAAAGTTAAATCTTTTGAGAAAGTGTAAAGTATCTCAATATATTGTGAGACTTTAAAATTTGAATAGGGCCCTTATGACTTCCACTGACGCAATTTGCGGCGTCTCTTTTTAAGATCTCCCAAATTCCAATAAATAATTTATGTTTTTGATGTTCCTTCCGTTTTTTTAGCTTTTTGTAATAGTTTCTTCACTTCAGTGATGGACGTATTCATGAAATGCAAGTTTTTATAATAAATGTTTAACACTACCTTAAATCTGCATTGTTTTACATGCTGAATTTGAAACAGTTGTGTCTAAACATGTCATTGCATGAACAGGTTCATGAATTTTAAAAATACGCACAATTATTACAATTAATTACAATTATACTTCAGTTTCTAATGATTTCGATATTTTAGAAGATCGGGAAAAGTGTGGAACAAACATTCCAGAAACATTGGCCGATAGATTTAAGGAACGAGGTAAATACAGCAAATTCAATGAGCAGGTGCCCATGTGGATCACGGCCATGGATATTTTCCACCTTTTTCACGAGGGAACACGTATAATAAAAGGTACTTCAATTATGTCTCTCCTTTTTCAGCATTTAAAAATTGAAGATTGTCTTTTAGAAGTCTTCGTTAAAAACGAAATAAATATTTTTCGATGCGAAGCTATTGATGTGAAAGCGAGACTGCCATCTTCGGTAAAGTCGCTATCAGGAAAATTCAATGACATTAATAGGTCCGAAAAAGCTAGCGTAAGTTAATTTACCACTTGCAATTATCATCCTTTGAAGATTTTTGAAGTGAAAATTGTTTCTAACGCCATGATCGGAACCATCCCTCCGTTAGGTTCAGCTGTTGTGTTGCTTATACATGCCTGCTACCGATGGATGGTGTCACCGACTCGCTAGTAATATAACAAAGTAATATGGGATCGTTAGCTATGTACATAATAGAAAATTTTTATTTCAGATCGCAGGTATTTGCAAATTATTAGAAATTCTAATTTGAGATGGGGCGCCTCAATTGTTTTCTGGTTCAAAAGTGCACGTAAGTCGTTTTTTTTACTAATGATTACTGTATTTATTGTTTCAGCAACTTATATACCATTTGTACAGTAATGTCAGGCGGTGTGGTCAGCTGTCGGCAATAAGCACGCAAGCGCATGAGCACATTTATCACGTTATCAAGAGAAACATGTGCTCGGAACAGACAAACGGGATTGGATATAGTATTTTGAGAAAGTTAGACTCATTCAGTTATTTTTTAAAACTGACAATTTTCAGCTATAAACTATATCACGAGATTTCATTGAAAATGCGTTTCAACGCGAATCCGGATTTAATTAAGAAGTCATTTTATCGCAAAGAACTCATGAAATTAATCGAAAAACGACAAATTCAATCATCAAAATTTGTAAGTTCAACATTTTCTTTCAATATATGCAACGAATTCCTTATAGCAACGTTGTGCGTCATTCGCAGAAGAAGGAGAAAATGCGAAAAGAATAAATTGATTCATTTATTTTTTTCTGATTTTTATTATTAATATATTCATTTCGCATTAATATTGTAATAAATGAAATGTTCATACATATTCAATTATTATGGATGTTATTACATTCTATTTGTGTGAAAATTGCTCGATAACGTATGATATTACATAATATTGGACAGAGTTTATTGAGAACAATCTAAAATTTATTGATATATTCTAAAGTTTATTGAGACAAATCTAAAACTTATTGATAAACTTTAAAGTTTATTGAGACAAATCTAAAACTTATTGATAAACTTTAAAGTCTCACAATATTCATTGAAACTTATTGATAAATTCTAAAATCTTATGAGATTTCATAAAGTTTATTGAGACAAATCTAAAATATTATAGAGACACGTTAGCCTCTCAACGAACCTCATAAGATTTTAGAATTGTCTCAAAATATTTTTTTTCATTTGCCTGAGTGGTTGCGCTTCACCGTTGTCGTCAATCGCCGTTCCGGAAATGTCGAAGAAGCCGTCGCCGTCGGTCTCGCCTTCGGTGAACACATTGTTTCTGACTGGAATTTGTCGATTTAGCGCCATATTTGACCGCTTACATATTATATTTCGTTCGAGTAGCTGAATTGGGAAGAATATCATCGGTTTTCCGCCGCAGAGAAGCCTTCCTTTCACTCGAACCGATATTATTGGTTCACCAAAAATGGTCGAATAGCAAGTGGCGAGAAGAAGCAACATTTTCGGCAGCATTTCTCAAATTTTTTAATTCAATTTTTGGGAAAATGCCATTTCAGCGCGGCGAAATGAGTTCACGTGCGAAAAAATCCAAGAAATTGCCGACGACTTTTGAAATGCCGCCATCAGTGCGATGGAGCGCACATTCCTCCCTAGATGGAAATTCTGCCCTAACAATGAGGCTATGGAATCGATAAAAAAAATTTTCAAAAAAAAAACTCTACATGATCTACGGTAGCTCTTTCGGATTATTGTAGATTATTGACCAGAGCGGAACAATGATATCGCCGAACTTCTTCGTGTTCTAGTTCAACGGTAGATCATTGTTCTACTCCGGACAACATCGAGATGTGGAATATTAGAAAATGTGCCAGAATGAAGGTGCTCAGAAGTTGCGGCGACTGAGGTCAAAGTCCACTCGAGCATGTGCAAATCGTAAATCATCGGTGAAAGCAGCAGGTTGTCGCAAGCTGTTCAACACGTGCCCAACTTGAATAGGCTGAATTTGAATTTGAGAAGATTCTCGAATGTCTGAAGGCTTGTTTGTGGAGCAGAAGTTTGAGAATAGAAGGGACCATTTTAAATTGCGGGGATACAGTTTCAAACAGTTGGTATTGAGATGCGCGGCTTATCAACACAATTTATATGGCGAGTTGCAATGTCCGAGTGGCCGAGTTGGGTAGTTGCGCGGCTCTGTGCGAAGGATGGTGGTTTTGGACCCGCTCGCTGCACCCTTTTGCAAAATTTCAGACCATTGAAATATATTTCAAAATGAGCCAATCATTTCAAAATTTCGCAGGCACACTACCAGTATTTGTATCGCCTTTCTCACAAATTTCCAAGCGATTTCGGCAAAAATTGGCAATTTCGATTTTCACCTCGACGCCGATTTCGAAAAGTGACACAAAAATTTCGAAAAATTTCAATCTCACCAATTTCGCTGAAATTTCGCACACGTATTCTAGTGTCTCTTCGAAGAACTTTCACAAAATTTGACGAGATTCGGATTCGATTTAAGCGTTTTATGGCATTTTTAGCGCGCGAAATTAAATTTCTTCAAGTTTCAGCATCATTCTTCCGGTTTTCGATTCCGTCAAAACCCCGCCCCCTACCGTACTCCAGAAATATTCTTCAATAAAATCAAACTACAGTATCACGTAAAAAAATAAATCAAAAATTCGTAGTCACAAGCGTATATTAATGTCTAGACACCCAATTTTCATGTGTTTTTGTGCTCACTTCCATAAAATGAACTAAAATTTTAAGAAAAAACATATTATTTCGAAAAATCGCATTTTTAGAGCTTGAAAATGCTGAAAAAATAATGAAATAATTGAATTTCATGTAAAAGCTCAAATAGAATTATTTCAGTCAATTTTTTGCCGGAAATCCAAACATTTGGCAAAACGGCAAATTTCAGACGATTTTTCCAATATTAGATTAGTTAATTCGAAAAAAAAACGCTCAAAAATGAATCAGCGCAATTGTCGATTCGAAATTTGTCGTCGGCCTACAATTCTCAACAATTGTGTTCAAACCTTCTCATTTTTGCCATTCTCCAGCCCATTTGCCTCCATATTCAGTCTTATTCTCCAATATTTTTTTGTTCGACGGAATTTTTAGTGCAAATACATCAACGACATCATCGATAAAATCCGCAATTCATCCATGATTCTTGATGTATTCGCTCTAGAGCTACTCTAAATTCCAGATCGCCGAATCAGGTAGCATCGTTTTTGAATATGACTCTAGAATTATTCAAATCCGATTCTACTCGATTTTGTTGATCTGACAGCTTTGTTCAAAAAAAATGAAGACCGGAATCAGCGCGCCGTCAGGTGTCGGACTCGATAAATGGCGTGGATATTTTAAATAAATTTTCGAAATTTGCAAAAAAAATTTACATCTTCCGTTGCGGGGAATCGAACCCCGGCCTTATGGGTGAGAGCCATAAATCCTAACCACTAGACCACAACGGAGATGGCAACAGCGAGTCTAAACGGCGTATAAGAGAGCGCTCGCGCTATAGAGACTGAGAGAACGAGAACCACCGATGCGGCGGCCACTTTTTATTCTCCAAAATCATTTTTCGCCATTGCCTCCGGCAAAAACCGGGACCATGAAAACAATGGTCTAAATTCGAGATTCAAATTTGCAATTTGGGGCGGAATGCAAAATTTCGGCCAACCCTGCCACGAAATTGTCAAAATCTGCAAAAAATGCGTCAAACACCGCATTTAACGCAAATTTGCAGTAGCCCAAAAATCGACAGTAACCAATGGAAATAAGTAAAATCGCGAAGAAAACGCATTATTTATGATATCATAATAATAATTATAATAATTACTTGGTGGCTTGATAATATTTGCACTCGCCAAATGCGAACAAATTGACGGCGGCGTTCTCATTATACGACATCACATTTCCGTTCATGTTGACGAATCTCGCGTCGCACTTCGGCGCCCGCAACATGAACACACTGAAGCCGCCTTTCGTCGACATCACCTTGTTCTTCGTGTAATATCGCAACAATCCCATTGTGCCGCTGCTGCCGACGCCCACTTCAATCTACAATGGTCCTTCGGATATAAGGGACCCAAACAAACAAACAAAACGCCTACCAAATTGATTTGCGACTCTTGAATGACTTTCACGTAGAATCGCGTCATCATTTCCGGCGTCAAACGCGTCAATTCGGCGTCGTCTGCAAATTTCGAATTTTTGTTCGACACCAAAAATGACAACGAGATTTTTCCAGCAATTTCTCAAACAAAAATAAAATGGTCCCTCACCGGTGTGGAACGGAACGATGAACGAGTTCTCAAACGAGATGTCAAAATAGTCTTCGGGTTTCGATTGCGCATACGAATCGAGCGTCGCGCCCAGCGACGACACCCACAAACGAAGCCACGCGCATTTGCTCAGCTCGACGGCAAACGTTTGCACTTTCGCCGCTTTTCCGCCAACGTTCTGCTGGACGATCCTCTGCGCAAACGCCGAATGCGAGTGCCACAGCGTCGGCTTCACCTCGCCGAACGCGCCGGCCGTGCACGATTGCTCGGCAATCTCAGCGAATTTCAGCGATTTCAGCTCCTGCAACCAAAATGCTTTCAATTCCTCGCCGGGGCCAAGACGCGTTGCGTATGCGTTGCGGTCGGCTTTCAATAAAATATAGTCGGCGTCCGGCGACTACTGTACGCGGGTAGATTTACGGGAATGCGCCTTTGGTCTCACAAGGACTAGCAGGTTATTTCAAATTTTATGGACCGTTTCGATGATTTTTCAATCGAATATCGTTGGAAATTCAAGGAAATGCAAAACTCACCAAGAAAAATGAAGCAATTCACGTGAAAACGGCAAAATAAGCATTCACGGGTGGCGAGACCTTTTCAAGGCGCATGCGCGTAAATCTCGGACGCCGACTATACTTTTTTTTCTCGCAATTTCAATTTCGGCTGTTTAGAAATTGAAATTGTGGTAGTTTTTCGCAAATTTCAATAATTTGAATCCTTCAATACAAAAAATGAGTCCGACAGACACAAGCCAGCGACACAAAAAAAAATCTCACCGGAAAAATGTCAAATTTTTTGGTGATGCCTTCCGGTAGCGGATGATAGAGACTCGGCACAAATTGGGTGCCATCGTGAAGCTCTTTCGGCAGCTTACTCACCGATTCCGGTGTCTGTCTGCAATGTTTCTTCTAAATTCAACGTCGTCAAGTCGCACCCTACGTGGACGGTCCAAAGAATTGATAATAGGTTTGCGAGCCGGACGTCGGCTGAATCATCGCATGACATTCTTTGCTGTTCGTGAGCACGATGAGCTCCTTTCCGTTGTAGTCCAAATCGATTCGGGTGGGTTTCGCTTTCATATAGTCGTGATAAAGTTTACTGGCAACATTTTTCGCCTAAAAATTGCAAAACTAAATCCCCCAAAGTCAAAAATAATTTATAGCAACCTCCGTGTAGAATTTGAATCCGCTGCTGTCAGCTTGTATAAAAGTGGTGATCGGTGACAGGTAGGTGAACTCATCGAATTTTTTTCCATCTGAAAAATGAGGGTATGCTTTGGTCTTGGGCCAACAATTTGAATTGCCGCCTTCGATTTGGCTGCGTATCAATCATCAAAAGCGCATTTGGCGTTGAATATGGGCAAATAGTTTTGAAAGACAAAAAGAAAAACCCACTATGAATCAATATTCTATATTCCCATGGAAAAATTTTGATAGCTCCCGCCGACGCGCAAATCTCCTTGTGGATATGAACACGTTTGACTTTGTCGGGCGATTCGAAAATCGGGACGGGACACACGTAGATGCTGAAAACAAACAAAGACGGTCACACGTAAAAAGAAAATGGAGAAAAATCGAACGCATGACAAAATTCCAATGGATGAGCGACGAGATAGAATGAGCCGAGCGAGTTGACGGTGAACAACGAGGCGATCGTCGGCAAATGAACGTCGGTGTTCATTTTCTCGAGATCGTAGGTGCCGGCGAGCAGATACGGCACACCGTTGTAATCGATCTTGTCGTTGACGAATGCCGTCTCCTCCGGCTTCTCTCCGGAAACCGCTTCGTCGGCGTAAGACAAACCCTGAAACGAATCGAGAAGTGTGGCCCTTTTTGTTTTTTTTTTTTCGTTTTGTTTTGCTTACCAGACACAATGCTATGTAGATTAATTTCCTCATCGTTAACAACTTTCTGATGAGCCTGATTCAATCAATTCCGACGCAATCAATGGTGTGGCAATGTGGCGATCAACGCCGACGCGTTCGGCGCACATTGTTCGGTCACGTTTCGTATTCCTGGATTTTTATTTGTTTGGGAAAATTTTAGAAATTTAATTGTGTCCACAAATTTCGAGAAAAATGAGGCAGCTCATTTTTTCTGTTGGAAAATTTTCGCAAATCGCGATTTTGGACCAAAATTTGATACAAAACTTTTTATTTGCGCTTCACAAACCTAGAAAATGTTGAGAAGAAGAATTTTTAATTTGAATCAAAGAAAAATCTGGAAATTTTAGTAAAAGTTCGGGAAAAAAAGAGAAAATTCGAAAATTCGAAAAACTATTGTCAATGGGGCGCACTTGCTGCTCCAGTTGAGGCCGCGTAGCGAAAATATTTAAATTTAGTTTTTCTTCCTAATTTTTGCTTTTTTTGAACCATTCGAAGTTTTTTCAGTGTCGCGCTCAATTAAACTACAATTGCTGCTTGTTTTTCTGCAAAATGCAAACGAAAATCACCGAAGTTGCATCATACATGGCAAGGTATTGTGGTTTTTAATTCGTTTTATAAATTTCGTCATTTTCTTTTTTTTTAATTTAAATTTAAAACAAATTAATTTGCTAATTGAATCAATCAATTATGTTGGTTTAAAGGCGGGGAAAGTTTAAAAAAAAACCATATTTTGAAATGAATTTTCGAAAAATGCTGATATTCTTCGCGATGTTGGCGCTTCAATTCAGGTTTGAAATCGAATTTCGTCCTTCAGAGCCCAATAATTTTCATTTTTTTAGCGCTCTCAACTCAATATCAGTGTGGCAAGGGTGAGAGTTTATCTCAATGTTTCTTTTTGTGAAATATGCCCAAATTTTCTAGAATCGCTCGCAAATTCGCCGATCCAAATGCGGGACGATCAATTTCGGGCAATAGCTCATCGCCTCCACCATACAGCAATTCTCCGTACGCTCCGCGGCCAGTCGGCGGAAGGAAGACGGGAATCAGCGCGCCGTCAGGTGTCGGACTCGATAAATGGCGTGGATATTTTAAATAAATTTTCGAAATTTGCAAAAAAAATTTACATCTTCCGTTGCGGGGTATCGAACCCCGGCCTTATGGGTGAGAGCCATAAATCCTACTCGGTGAAAATTGGCGGGCCCCGCGCGGGTGAAAACAACGATTTGCGGGTCCCGCGCGGGTGAAAATTGAGGGGCAAACACTTTCGTCGAGCGGGGCCCTCATATCACCGTCGCGGGGCCCTCATATCACCGGTGCGGGGCCCTCATATCACCGTCGCGGGGCCCTCATATCCCCGGTGCGGGGCCTTCATATCACCGTCGCGGGGCCCTCATATCACCGGTGCGGGGCCCTCATATCACCGTCGCGGGGCCCTCATATCCCCGGTGCGGGGCCCTCATATCACCGTCGCGGGGCCCTTGTGTTTCACCCGCGCGGGGCCCTTATATCGCCTTTGCGTGGCCAAAAATTCTAGACGAGATTCATATTGCAATTAATTAACAATTATATACTTAATGAAACATTTATTAAACGAAAAAACAAATTACACTTAAACATTCCTATGCATCCACATGGCTCGAATTTCACTCTTTAATTGTGGAGAATAATGTTCCTGAAAAACCATAAATAGAATATTGAAATATAGGAATCATAATATGATATAGTCGGCGTCCGTCGACTGCTGAACGCGGGTAGATTTACGGCGATGCTCGTTTATCTTGCGGCAAGAAAATGCGAAACTCGTCAAGAAAAAATAAACCGTTCATGCGAAAACAGCGAAATAAGCATTCACTCGTGGCGAGACTTTTTCAAGGCGCATGCGCGTAAATCTACCCGCGTGCAGCAGTCGACGGACGCCGACTATATAGACTTATCATATTATGATAAGTCTATAGTGAACCGTCTGTACATTCATTGCCAAAGTTATGAACAATGAAAAGGAACTTACTCAATAGTACTTCTCAAGGTTTTTCAATAATTAATGAATCTTGTGCCGTAACGGACCCATTATTTTTCATGCTGATGTGAAATCCCTGAAATTTCGATATAAATATAACAATTTTTTATTAAAATAAACAAATATTTATATGCACCGCACTTATCTTGAAATTATGAACCATCCCCAAATACGGAAATCACTAAAAGTTCCAACCCGCTGAAGTTAAAACCTTAATAGGATAGGAAACCTATACCGTCTTCTCGAGCAACAGCTAGTCTGATTCTTCCTTTTTTCTCTTGTAGTCTATATTCCATTTCCTTGCGAACTGTTGACACATTATCTAAACATAATATTGTATTTTATATATACAGTGAGTGCGTTGCAGAATTATAAAGCCACCCCCGAATTAGAGCGCCGCGCAGGTTTCGATATTTTGAGACCAAGCAGTGTTAAAATCGTGTTCAGCATGAAAAATTACCTATACGTACCAATTTTTATGTTAGTATCTTAAAAAGTAACCGTGTAGTGGTCATAATTCTGCAACGCACGGTATTTAATTTTTTTGGCTTTACTTACTAAATGTAAATATTCTTCTTCTTTTTTTACATTGCGCTTGGAACCCATTACCATATATATGACTGAAATAATTAAATTTAAAAGTAAGAAAAAACTAATTTAAAAATTAGACACTCGCCAATTAATTGGACGAGTTGAATGTGATTGAAACGAACGATTCAAAACGGTTGAAACAAAATACGATAAACAGCGGGCACGTGTTAACGGCGGAGTGTCGTACACTGATTAGGTTTCCATTAAAACTTTTTTTTCTGTGAACGAGATTAGTCCAGAAATTCTCAATAAGAAAAATGCGCCTATTATTCAAAAAAAAAAAATAAAAAATAAATAAATATATTAATAAAAAAAACTAAAATAAATAAAATATTCCGAACGCAAAATGTCTTGTTTCCCAATCGAATTCGACCACATCCGAAAAGAATACGGCCGTTGTTCAAACCGTGATGGCCCCTTATAAGGTGTTTGCGAATGTTTAGAGTTTCAGCTGATGCTTCAGATATTCCAGGCAAGCTTATTGGACTGAAAAGAGGGCCTTTCATTTGAAGAGGGCTCTCATTCCTATGCATGAAGTCAGACATTTAGATACTAAAGCAAGAAGAGTCGAAAATGTGCAAATTATTTTAATAACTTAAAAAGTCAACATTGTGTTTAACAATAGTACTCGAACAATTGAAAACAAGCCACAGAGATTCTGAAATATTGATCCTTCACCCCATTTCACAATTATTTTCAAGTTTCAAAAAATTCTATTAACGTTCTTGGCGTTGCTAGAACATATCGTGATGATTCAAACACTTTGAACAATGTTTTAATTGATACACAACATGTTTAATTCTTTTGCAAAATTGTTTTTGGAAAACTGTAATACGCTAATATATTGCGGTTGCCGCAAATGGCCCGCGCGGGCCCCTCGCATTTGATGGCCTCGCGAGAGTCCTTAGAGAGCCCCGCTTACGGCCCGCAGTTGCCCCTCAGAACCCCGCATTATTTTCACCCGCGCGGGCCCCTCCATTCCCATTGAACGCAAACCACCCGCGCGAGCCCTTCTGAGATATTCACCGGCGCGGGGCCCGCAGATATGACCCGCGCGGGACCAAATAGCCGTTTGGGCCCGCGCGGGGCATAATTTGGAGTCGCGCTGGCCCCGCGCGGGTCCAACCACCCATTTCCACCCGCGCGGGGCCCGCCAATTTTCACCGAGCTAACCACTAGACCACAACGGAGGTGACAACAGCGAGTCTAAACGGCGTATAAGAGAGCGCTCGCGCTATAGAGACTGAGAGAACAAGAGAGCCGTAATCAATGGTCCGAAAGACATCGATGAGATGTTCAAGCCTGCCAGTACAAACAGCGTCTTTTCTGCACTGGCAGATCAAGAGCATCTAATCAGTGCTTTCAGCAATTGGATCAAAGTAGACCAGGTGAAAGGTTCGGTCAAATATTGCAATTGTCTGTTTGAAATACTTGAAGCCGAACCTCACACCCGCGGGGCCACCGGATCAGGCAGAGTGCGGATGTTCGGAATGATCCAGATCTAGGGAAAATGATCCCGGTACTCGGAGGGAGGCGAGTGCCGGCGGATAGATTTCCCCCGAATCCGGACGTCCGGCAGGATTGAAATGGTCTAGACGATCCGGATCTCGGAGAAACCACTACTTAACCACGGATCGTTGGGGCCGGTTAAGTAATCGATTTTTCCGTGATCCGAACATCCAGGAAATGATGATCCACTGGATCAGGATCTCGCAGAATTTCTGGTGCTTAACACTTGATGTTGAGCAGCCAAGAATTCCGCGGAATCCGAACCGTGGGGGGGGGGTTGACGAATCGAATTGGCTGGGACCGTCCATCTTTCAACGAATATGAATCGACTGATGATTGCCGCCGATTCGCGTCGTCCTTTTATGCACATCGAGGCGCCGTGGGCGGAGCTTCTGGCGAGATAGTGTGTGATAGCGAGAGGGCATGGTATCGGATGGGGAGGGGTGGCGCGACGCGGTCGGCCGCGCCGCGCCACCCAAACTCACAATTGTCATGAGGATGGCGACTAGCAATATATGAATTTAAAGGCGCATTGACGGGATAAAAAGGAAAATTGCAAAATTTGGGAACGGATAACCAGTGAAGCCTACTCACCATTTTCTGCGGATTAAATATAATAAAAATGGCCATTGAAATTGATTTTTCTAGAAAAAACACGATCACTATCATTAGTCGTTGCAAGACCCGGGGAATAATTCATAGTATTTTTGATTGATTCTCGATTTTTTTCTTTCAAAAATCCAATGTGGACTAGATTTGTGTCGCGACAGCGGCCGCGGCCACGGCCACACTTACTATTTTCGATTCGAAAAAAAGTAAAAAAAAAACAGCGATTGTGTTTGTTTTCCCATAAAATAAACCATTAAATACACGAAAAATAATTGCGTTTTCGACAATTTTTTTTACGACGAACTTCCCAGCGGTGCCGGTCGCCGCCGTCATATTCCCATCATTAATATTCCGTCTACCATATTTGAATATTGGTTTTTTTTTTTGATTGGGGGAGGGGTGCCCCTATAGGATACCATCGGATTACTGAATATCCGAAATGATTGTACTGGGTCCTCCAAAGAAATGAATATTTGAATTTTCGCCCTCCGATGTCATTCCTTTTATGGCGTCGAGCCATATAAACTTGAATGACGAATGTCGGCGAGGCTTCTGTGAAGTTTTGAAGAGACCCCCGCCCGCCGTTTAAAGGCGCATGCCATCATCTCTCGTCATGATTCATTCAGATTATGATTTTTCGCCGACTCGCGGTGTGTTCTAAAAATAGCAAATTCGATTTGAGCGAGCGCGACCCCCTCTGATCATCGATGACTCATCATTCTTGCACATTCGCGCCCCCGTCGATTCCATCATATTGCATCATCTTTGTTCTTAGAACTTGTGCTACCGTAATCACATTCAAATACTGTATTCATCGATGATTACTGTAGCAAGGCATTTCTACAAGGGGAGGGGGCCTAGTTCGGGTTGATGCTGATGACTATAGGGTCCCCAGGGATCAGGAATCTCGCCCAGTGGGTCCCACGAGGTCCCAGATCTTAGGAATTCCGAAATTTGCAAAAATTTTGCAAGAAACTCATTGCGCAATTCGATTCGAATCGCGCCCATTGTAGGCCGTCTCGTCTGCCTATTGTTTCGATTCGACACTCGTTTTGTTCGCCTTCTTTTTCAATACAATTTCCTATTTTTATATTTTTTTTTTCATATTTTTTTTTGAATTCGAATTCAGCGACTCGCTAGAAGGGTCCCATCTCATTTATTCGATTATTGGGAAAATTTCAGGCAACATTTGTCACAATGAGAATCTGCTGGATTACTGTAGCACTAGTTCAATCCGATGTACTATAGCAAAATTTCAAGTTTTCGGATCACATTTGTCGGATTTCAAGTCGATTATTCAAATGTATCTAATTTGTTTGAACGAAATGCTATATGAAAATTATCAATACGGAAAACTGTTTGAAAATCCGAAAACCGAATTATTCTACATTAGTAATTATCATTCATTTTTTATCGATTACTCTAGAAATTGTTCAAATTTTTTGCCACATTTGTCGTATTTCGCAATATATCGATCCGAAAAAGCCACGCCCCTTTGTGTTCGGCGCGTGCTATTGGCAGGCCACGCCCATTTGAGGTACGAAATCACGCGTGGGTATAAAAAGGCCACCAGCGGGTGTCAGTCAGCTATTTCCTCAACGAGTTTGGCCGCGGTGATGTCGATGGCGTTGGCGGTGCTTTTGGATCGGATCGGATCGGATCAGAAGAAAGCGAAATGCTGCAGATCGGAACGAGGAGGATCGTGGGAATTCTAGAATTTGTCACATCGAGTAAGTCACTTTTTTCGAATTCGTGCTAGTGGTCAATGATGATTCGTGACATTTATTGATATCACAAGTTTAAATGAAATTGTGTGGAATTCTGAGACCACTAAGAATTGGACGACGACGACGAAGACGACGTCAGTGGTAGTGCTGGTTGGATCATCGTTTGGCGACGAGTGGTGAGGGTGGTGGGGGTCGTCGACATCAGTGGCATCGAGTTTGGCGGTGGTGTTGGGTGTAGGTGGTGGTGGTGGTGGTCTTCGGCGTCATCAACAACAGTGTCGACGTCAGCGGCAGCGAGATTGGCGTGGGTGGTGGGTGTGGGTGGTGGTGGTGGTCTGCGCGGTCATCGTCAACGGCGTCAACGTCAGTGGCAGCGAGGTCGCGGTAGCACAGCCAACGTCATCGGCATCATCGACATCGTCATTCTCTGAGAGGATGGCTCGGGGAGTGGGGGGGGGGGATTAATTTCAGGTTAATCGTAGACGACGACATCGACGAGTTTGGCTATGGTGCTGGTGGTGGTGGTGGCGTCATCAACAACAGCATCGACGTCAGTGGCGGTCGCGGTAGTAGAATGGCGGGTGAAGATGGTATCGGCGTCATCATCAACAACGGTGTCGGCATGAGTGGCAGCGAAGGTGGTGACGGCCTACGATCGACTTCTTCATTGACATGGTCAGTAGTGAGTGGTAGCTCGTCATCGACATCACCAATCGACGTCGTCGAAGAGGATGGATGGTTCGGATCGGATCGGATCGGATCGAATCGAATAAATTGTGTGGAGATGTCACCCTTTCGTATTCATGACAGTGATCACGTGGCCAATGATGATTCGTGACATCTATTGAAATCGATTCCATGAAAACGATTTATGTGAATTCTGAGGCCACCGTCCGATCACGTCGAATCGAGAGGGTTTCTTCCTACACTTGAGAATTGCTTTCGGCTTCCATTACAAATGATAGTCAGCTCTGCTCTTGTTTCCTTCTAATCACCACATTCAGATCATTATTTCCAATTCGGACCTATTCAAAACCCTACTCTATTCCTGCCCTCATCATCCATATTTCTGAAATCCCCCATGCGCGCCGTATTCTGAAACCTATTCTGATCTACAATCCCCCACCTAAGTCATCGAATCCCCATATTCCTGAGGTATTCTGATCGAAGGTAAGTGGCCATTGGATTCTCATCTCTCACTTTCCCGTGCCCGTGCTTCTGAGATTCCCCCAAGTCGCCATATTCTCACCTAATCTCAAATCAACCAATTCCCAAAGTATTCTCGAGACCTCGGGTGAGTTGCTTCAGCACGCTGGCGATCCAATCCGATCCGAATGCCGGACGCTCGGATCCTGATTGAGGCTCGATGGCATCGTGTTCTTGCGATTCCTGAGATTCTCAGTCTGCATCCGAGTCGTCTGGAGTCGATCGGATTTCGGGGAGTCCGGATCTTGATAACCCTTCTGTCATATCGGATCTCACGATGATCCTAAGTGATGGGGGGTTTTCAAGATCTGGATCTCCTGAATCATTTTTCCCGAAGTTCGGATCTAGGTCACTTAATTGTTCTATCATGAAGAACGTCTGATGGGTCATTATGTGACCTGAATCTGGATCTTCTGGATCATCTGATCCGCGGCATCGGAATCCTTCCCGATTTACCGGGTCTGAGATCACGTATGAGAATCTTTGAGAGTTTTCAAAGAATCTCATCGCGGCCTCGGATCCTGTCGAATTGGATCATACAGGAAAGCGCGGATCAAAATTTCCTTCTTGATCTGACTCTTCTATATCATTCTCAGTCTTAATCTGGGTCTTCTGGATCATTCGATCCGCCAAGATCCACCAGTAGATCTGGATCATGCAAGTTTCCTGAAGTTCGGGTCTAGATAGCACCTTACTCTTGTCTTAAAGACCAACAAGAAAGATGTAACGTACTATCTAGATCTGAGCCTTCTGGACCATTTCAACGGGACCTTGAAGTTAGACCCGCACAATCCTTGCATGTTAAAGATCTTATTCTTCAGATCTGGATCATCGCAAGATTCTTTAATCAGGTTCTTCTGAAAGTCTGAACGATTGGCACCAATCATCCGGATGTTCGGTTCTTGAACCTTCAGCTGTGCATAACATACCTCTTGGATTTGCTATGCAAGGCAAAGGATCATGATCTGGATCATCTGGATCATTCTTTCTTTTTTCTCTCTCCGGAAGTTGGGTGGGTTTGGATTGCATCGCACGGTTATCCTAAGAAAAAGTAGAATAACTGTCGCATGCAGCCTAAACCTGAGTCTTCTGGATCATCCTTTTAGATTTTCTGGGTAGACAAGTCGGCCTTGGATCCAGATGGATCGGATCAAACTGGAAGCGCGGATCATGGGAACAACATCTGATTCTTCATCGCATTCGCTCAATGAAGACAGGTGTTGTTCTCGCGATCCGAATCTTCTGTATCATTCTAGTTCGGATCAGATGGTGATCTCGTTATTGAAAATGCTCAATCCTGACTCTCAGACCTTGGTCTTTCAGATCATACGGCAACTTGTGAATATTTTCATCTAACGAACCTTTTTTTGGCTTCCCCATCAGCAGAATTTCAAGATCATGCTGAATGTCCGGATTCGAAATCAAAATAAGAGCCACGTCTGCGTTTTATCATGTACAATCGAGAGAGAGAGAGACTGTTTGGTGGGAGGAGACACAGACAGCAAAACACTTTGCAGCAGAGCGGGATCGAACCCACGATCTCCACCGCTATGAGTCCAAAAGCTTTGCCACTGCGCTATTGTGCGATCTGATGAAGTCCTATAACTTGATGACAAGTGCCGCACATCGCAGCATGCTGTATGATTAGTGGTTGCTCGCATACCATTCTACTAGTTGACAACATTGTGACAACCTGACCCGGAATTCCGGATTAGGATCGATCAGATGCGAGTGAGATAGCCGTTTAAACAAATGCTTTTTTTCTTGTGAGAGGTCAAAGTCCAATCGAGCATGTGCAAATCGTAAATCATCGGTGAAAGCAGCAGGTTGTCGCAAGCTGTTCAACGCGTGCCCAACTTGAATAGACTGATTTGAAGCGTCTGTGTACTCCACACGGACAATGCGACCAGTGTGAGCGCTCGATCGAGTATGATCGATCTTGGTAGCGAAAATCGATCGGGATCGATCGATCTTTCTAAAAATCGATCGAGCGCTCGAGATCGATCGATCCCGAGATCGAACTTACCTGTGCTCGATCGATCCCGCTCGATCGATCTCGAGCGCTCGAAATGCTCGATCGATCTCGGGTTCGATCGATCTTTAAATTCTCGAGCAAGATCGATTTTTTAACGATTTTGAGATCGAGTGCGCACACTGAATGCGACACTCAACAACGCGTCGTAAATCGACACATGCACGTTGCGAGAACAGTAGCTCAAAATTTTTTCTAAAATTGGTTGCTGCGGCTGAAACTGCAAAAAAAAAGCAAAAAAATTTTCAGAGAATTTGCGTCAAACACGGAATTTGACGCGAATTTGCACTTTTTTTTCTTGGGCTTAAATCGACGCGATGGTTCCACGGAGTAGAACTCGATTGTCAATAGAGCGCAATTGCAACCCTTCCATTTCATTATTTGACCGATATAACAATGCTTATATCTCTTGCCGGACCATGAAGCAAAAAATCAATTACGATTGACGTTACAAAAATTACAAAAATTGCAATTGCGCTCTATTGACAGTCAAGTTCTACTCCACTAGACTCTACAGTAGATCATGTCGGAACACTTTCAAGCGGAAGCTTGACAGCGATCTCGATGATGGTCCCTTTTCGGGGGGCTCCCAAAAAAATACATATGAGTAATTCCGTCATATTGGTGTTTGTTTTTCCCATGCCTCATCGTCGGATTTTTTTCGAAAATATTTTCCAATTCCCCCTCCCCTTTCTCTCCTAACTATTGTAATCTCATATGTCGGTTTTCAGACATTCGAGAATCTTCTCAAATTCAAATTCAGCTTATTCAAGTTGGGCATGTGTTGAACAGCTTGCGACAACCTGCTGCTTTCACCGATGATTTACGATTTGCACATGCTCGATTGGACTTTGACCTCTCACAAGAAAAAAAGCATTTGTTTAAACGGCTATCTCACTCGCATCTGATCGATCCTAATCCGGAATTCCGGGTCAGGTTGTCACAATGTTGTCAACTAGTAGAATGGTATGCGAGCAACCACTAATCATACAGCATGCTGCGATGTGCGGCACTTGTCATCAAGTTATAGGACTTCATCAGATCGCGCAATAGCGCAGTGGCAGAACTTTTGGACTCATAGCGGTGGAGATCGTGGGTTCGATCCCGCTCTGCTGCAAGGTGTTTTGCTGTCTGTGTCTCCTCCCGCCTAACAGTCTCTCTCTCTCTCTCTCTCTCTCTCGATTGTACATGATAAAACGCAGACGTGGCTCTTATTTTGATTTCGAATCCGGACATTCAGCATGATCTTGAAATTCTGTAAGTGTATCTACCAGGGCTGTGCGGCAATGGAATTGCCGAATTGCCGAAATTTCCGATTGCCCTGATATCTACCAAGCGACAGGATTTCCCGGGATCCCGGGACTCCAATCCCGGGTCTCGTACCGGTTTCGTCTCGCAACTACCCGGGATGAGCGGGCCTCGGGAAATTCCCGGGAAAAAGTCTGCAAACACCGCGCGCGCAAACGCACACTCTTCGAATATTGCGTATTCCCGTTTTTTTCGAAATTTAATGAATTTTCTTATTTTAAAAAGGTTCCAATGCTTAGAAAATGGCGTAGGAACTCTCTATTTGGAATTTTTTTTAAATATTGCAGAAAAATGAACACAATTGCAATGTCCAAATAGCGATTATTCCAAAATTGGCAAGAAAATAGATATTCGAAGAGTGTGCGTCTGCGCGCGCGGTGTTTGCAGACTTTTTCCCGGGCATTTCAAACACTTATGGTCCGTAGAATGCGGACCGACAATTCCGAGCAACAAAATGCCGATGAAATATGTATTATCTAGAAAGACCCCCATTTGAAGAGTGCATACCTATAGGTGACTCACGAGTTGGCGCCCTCCGATGTCATTCCTTTTATGGCGTCGAGCCATATAAACTTGGATGACGAATGTCGGCGAGGCTTCTGTGAAGTTTTGAAGAGACCCCCGCCCGCCGTTTAAAGGCGCATGCCATCATCTCTCGTCATGATTCATTCAGATTATGATTTTTCGCCGACTCGCGGTGTGTTCTAAAAATAGCAAATTCGATTTGAGCGAGCGCGACCCCCTCTGATCATCGATGACTCATCATTCTTGCACATTCGCGCCCCCGTCGATTCCATCATATTGCATCATCTTTGTTCTTAGAACTTGTGCTACCGTAATCACATTCAAATACTGTATTCATCGATGATTACTGTAGCAAGGCATTTCTACAAGGGGAGGGGGCCTAGTTCGGGTTGATGCTGATGACTATAGGGTCCCCAGGGATCAGGAATCTCGCCCAGTGGGTCCCACGAGGTCCCAGATCTAAGGAATTCCGAAATTTGCAAAAATTTTGCAAGAAACTCATTGCGCAATTCGATTCGAATCGCGCCCATTGTAGGCCGTCTCGTCTGCCTATTGTTTCGATTCGACACTCGTTTTGTTCGCCTTCTTTTTCAATACAATTTCCTATTTTTATATTTTTTTTTTTCATATTTTTTTTTGAATTCGAATTCATCGCATCAGCGACTGAAGGGTCCCATATCAGCCGCCAACTAATTGGTGTAGATTTACGAGGGCGCCAACGTGTGACACGTAAATTTTTGATTTTTCATTTTGTATTTCCTATGTTTAAAAAATCAACGAAATCAGCCATCAATTAATCCGCGTGGGAGACAACACCGCCCGTAAATCTACACCCACGCAGACATGGACAACATTTGTCACCGCTATGGTTTTCTGAAATCTGCTGGCTTACTGTAGCAATAGTTCTAAATTTTGGGAAGTCAGATTTGCCGGATTTCAAATCGACTATTCGAATTTATCTTATCTGTTTGAACTGTTGTCAAAGGTGCGGCAAGCGCGCTCTACTGCACGTTCGGGTCTCGCAGCGAGCATGTGTTGTCTGTATGGAGTACCCAGACGCTGAGAGGCCGTTTGTCGTATTTCGCAATATATCGATCCGAAAATAGGCGTGGCACAAGCCACGCCCCTTTGTGTTCGGCGCGTGCTATTGGCAGGCCACGCCCATTTGAGGTACGAAATCGCGCGTGGGTATAAAAAGGCCACCAGCGGGTGTCAGTCAGCCATTTCCTCAACGAGTTTGGCCGCGGTGATGTCGATGGCGTTGGCGGTGCTTTTGGATCGGATCGGATCGGATCAGAAGAAAGCGAAATGCTGCAGATCGGAACGAGGAGGATCGTGGGAATTCTAGGATTTGTCACATCGAGTAAGTCACTTTTTTCGAATTCGTGCTAGTGGTCAATGATGATTCGTGACATCTATTGATATCACAAGTTTAAATGAAATTGTGTGGAATTCTGAGACCACTAAGAATTGGACGACGACGACGAAGACGACGTCAGTGGTAGTGCTGGTTGGATCATCGTTTGGCGACGAGTGGTGAGGGTGGTGGGGGTGGTTGCGGTCTCATCATCATCATCAACGTCGACATCAGTGGCAGCGAGATTGGCGTGGGTGGTGGGTGTAGGTGGTGGTGGTGGTTGTCTTCGGCGTCATCAACAACAGTATCGACGTCAGTGGCAGCGAGGTCGCGGTAGCACAGCCAACGTCATCGGCATCATCGACATCGTCATTCTCTGAGAGGATGGCTTGGGGAGTGGGGGAGATTAATTTCAGGTTAATCGTAGACGACGAGATTGGCGTGGGTGGTGGGTGTGGGCGGTGAGGGTCTGCGCGGTCATCGTAAACGACAACGACTTCAGCGGCAGCGAGTGTGGTGTGGGGTGGTGGGTGTCGGATGGTGGTTCTTGTGGTGGTCTGCGACAGCGTCATCAACAACGGTATCGGCATCAGTGGCAGCGAGGGTGGTGACGGCATACGATCGACTTCTTCATTGACATGGGCAGTAGTGAGTGGTAGCTCGTCATCGACATCATCAATCGACGTCGTCGAAGAGGATGGATGGTTCGGATCGGATCGGATCGGATCGAATAAATTGTGTGGAGATGTCACCCTTTCGTATTCGTGACAGTGATCACGTGGCCAATGATGATTCGTGACATCTATTGAAATCGATTCCATGAAAACGATTTATGTGAATTCTGAGGCCACCGTCCGATCACGTCGAATCGACAGGGTTTTCTCTTCGAACAATGTTCCGAATGCCATTTTCTGGAACCTTCTCGTGATCTACCACATTTCATTCCCATATTCTGTTTCAATTTAAACTATCGGCCTAGGTCGATCGAATTGTTCATTGATGGCTCAAGGGATGCTCGGATCTTGATTCTCATATCATTTCAAACCGGCATATTCCTAAATTATTCTCGAACTCCGACGTGACGATGTTGTAGATCAAATCGCTTTCAGAGAGTCATCCTCAAGATTTATATTTGGCCCCTCTATTCCTGCCCTCATCATCCATATTTCTGAAATCCCCCATGTGTGTCATATTCTGAAACCTATCTGATCTACAATCCCCCCTACCCAAGTCATCGAATCCCCATATTCCTGAGGTATTCTAATCGAAGGTAAGTGGCCTATTGGATTCTGATCTCTCACTTTCCCGTGCCCGTGCTTCTGAGATTTTTTTTTGTCTCAATATTCTCACCTAATCTCAAATCAACCAATTCCCAAAGTATTCTCGAGACCTCGGGTGAGTTGCTTCAGCACGCTGGCGATCCAATCCGATCCGAATGCCGGACGCTCGGATCCTGATTGAGGCTCGATGGCATCGTGTTCTTGCGATTCCTGAGATTCTCAGTCTGCATCCGAGTCGTCTGGAATCGATCGGATTTCGGGGAGTCCGGATCTTGATAACCCTTCTGTCATATCGGATCTCACAATGATCCTAAGTGATGGGGGGTTTTCATGATCTGGATCTCCTGAATCATTTTTCCCGAAGTTCGGATCTATGCCACTTAATTGTTCTATCACGAAGAGCGTCTGATGAACCATTATGTGACGTGAATCTGGATCTTCTGGATCATCTGATCCGCGGCATCGGAATCCTGTCGAATTGGATCATACAGGAAAGCACGGATCACAATAATCCTGAGCTTCGGATCTAGGAGAAAACAAGGGCATATATTCCAGCGTATTCAAGAAATAGGTTCTGTTTTCTCTTACATCTGGATCGTCTGGATCATTTGCCGGAAGTCCGGATCTAGTTTGAATCATGTTCGTCATCTTGACTCAATGTTTGATGACCCATGGTTCAACCTAGCCCTGGATCATCTGGATCATTCTTTCTTTTTTCTCTCTCCGGAAGTTGGGTGGGTTTGGATTGCATCGCACGGTTATCCTAAGAAAAAGTAGAATAACTGTCGCATGCAGCCTAAACCTGAGTCTTCTGGATCATCCTTCAGTGTGTCATTAACTGAAAGCTCGGATCAGGATGCAACAATGAATTGTGATCCAGCAGTAATGAGATCTGGTTGATTGTTCATCCAAATCTGAGTCTTCCAGGCCGTTCGCTGGATCTTAAAGGTAAGATCTGGATCATCTGGATCATTTTTTCCGGATTGGATTGCATCGCAAGGTTATCCTAAGAAAAAGTAGAATAACTGTCCTATGCAGCTTAAACCGTCTTCTGGATCATTCAACTAGATTTTCAAGTCGGCCTTGTTGGATTGGATCATAGGAGCAGTGTGTGATTCCTCATCGCATCGCTCCCTCGATCCGAATCTTCTGAATAATTTTAATATGGATCAGATAGTGATATCAGTATTGAAAGTGCTTAATCCTCCTCGGATCTGTTTTCAGAATTGTTTTCTCTTAGATCTGGATCAACTGGATCATTCGTAGGAGCTTGGATTCCCGAGGATCAGCGTGAAAGTCGAGGAGGATCTTCCATCCGAGCTATTGCTCGTCAAGATCTGGGGATCGGATTTGAGGATCGTCGACGGATCGCGTAGTTGGCCTTAATGCGCTTCCAGAGATTTTTAATTTTTTTTCAAATCTTCGAGACCACGCAAAATTGGATTGTCTGTGGTCTTGGCGCGAAATTAAGCGTGTCGATTTACGAGCTTTTTTGAAACGATTTCGAAGCTTCAAGAAATTCGAAATTTCATTTTTATGACACGATTTGAGGCTGCGTATCACAACTACATAGATACAGTAAACATTAAAGGCGCATGCAGAAAAAAAAATCAAAAATTGCACGAATTCGTTGATTTTCCAAAATTCGCCCTTTCCAGAAATTGTCTGCAGATCTTGCCAGAAATTGTCCGCAGATCGATTTTTACAAAAGTAAATTTTGCTAGAAATTGTCCGCAGATCGATATTCACAAAAGTTTGCCAGAAATTGTCCGCAGATGATTTTTACAAAAGTAAATTTTGCTAGAAATTGTCCGCAGATCGATTTTTACAAAAGTTTGCCAGAAATTGTCCGCAGATGATTTTTACAAAAGTAAATTTTGCTAGAAATTATCCGCAGATCGATTTTTACAAAAGTAAATTTTGCCAGAAATTGTCCGCAGATCGATTTTTACAAAAGTTTGCCAGAAATTGTCCGCAGCATGATTCGCATTTAACTCAAACCGCAATTTCCACGCAATGCTAAAACAAAGAAACAATTATTCGAGCTAATCCAGCCACCGGTTTTCAGGTGTAACTTTGTCAATTGCAAAAATTGCGAAATTCTGATTTCAAAATTGAATTTAGCGCTTAAAATTGCATAAATGGACCAGTTTTCATAATAATATCTGAAAAATTGGCCAAATTGAGTTTATGTGAAGACCTCACACCCAAATTGGCCACCATCGACGCCAATCCGAAGGGTTTAAAGGAGGCTATCAAACAAAAAAGGATCAATTCGTTATTCTTCTATTCTTAATTAATTGTGGTGTCAATTTGAACGAATTTCTTTTTGGAAAAATTGTGGGGATTCATCATTGTCGCTGGTTCTCCGTGTTGGTGCATTTTTGCGTCGCCGTGTTTACACACTCCCCATTTGTTTTGTTTAATTTTCCCAATTTTTTAATAATTCTCATCGAGTGTCATCGAATTCTGAATGAATTTTGCAAGTGTTTGAAACGCAATTGAATAGCGGCGGCCGTGGCCGCGAAATATTAGGCCACGCCAATTTCCAAGCATTTTTCCAGACTATTTCGCAAATCAAATGGGATGTTTGAATTGCCGCCTTTGGGTCTCGCAGAGAAGCGATTTAAAAAATAAAAATTTTAAAATGAAAGCGCAAAATATTCGAGGAACTAAAAGATTCTTAAAATGGAAAAAAAAGCGATGATGGTCCCCAAGCTTTTCCTTGTTGCTTCTAGGCTCGCAACATATTTATATTGTCTCCGGCTGGCTCATCGATGTTTGCGCAATTGTTGAGAGACGGTCAGGCCGGGCCGGGCCGGCGCGGCCCGGCTCGCATTGCGCTTCTCGATTCGGCGCGCTGTCTCGACGCAAATCCGCGCCGCGCCGCCGCCGCCGCCGCCCTCCTCTCAAAACAATTATTATAACAATTCGCCTCATTTCGCGTTGAAAACAAAAAAGAAAATTTTCTCGCGTTCACCATGTTTGGGTGCATCGCGCCACCGCGACACCATCGCAATCTGATGCGATCCAATTCGCAGGTAGGCCTCTCTCCCTCTCTCTCTCTAATTCCCATTTTTTTTTTGGAGGATTCGCGCGAGTTCCACGGCGATCCGCGATTCGAACGACCCGCCTCGGCGATGACGGTGATGGTCCCAAAACGTAATGAAGAAGTGCCCCCCAAAAAAAAAATAATAATTGATGATTCCAGGAAGTCATGACGCCAACAGCAAGCCGAAAATCAAACGATTGGACAAATGGATCGGACACCTGTTGAATGAGGGTACGAAATCGGATCAATCAATTCCCAGCCCCCCCCTTTGAGTGCAGCAGTTTGTAATTGTAGTAGTAGAAGCTCACGCACAACTTGAACTTTCCCCCAATCGCTTTCGCGTTGTAATGTGGCTCGGCTGGCCCGGGCTGCCTGCGACGACGCACACCACAAATTACACATTGTTTCGTCCGTTGCTCGATGAGAGGTTGCTCTTCTCATCGTTCTCACGTCCAATTTTGTCCATCATTCATTCATTTTTTTTGATTATTGCGAAATTCACAACCCCCTTTAAGAAAAATTTCGAAACTTTTATTTTTCAAAATAATAATAATAATCGGTATGACTCATTTATCGTGTAATTTCTATTGATTTCATTTGCCAAACCTCCTGGATGATTGTCCGCAGATGGGAATCAACAAATCCGATTCGCCATCACTCTCGCACGTTCTTCTATTAACACTTCTTGTTTTTTTTTTCCGACAGGCATGCCCGTCAGCCTGTTCAGTTGGCGTCGGCGATTCGGACGCAAAACGCCGGAGCCGTCGCAGGCGGTTCAGATCACGCTGCCACCGGAGCCGAAGGCGCCGCGCGAGCCGTCGCCGCCGAAATCGGTGCGATTCGAGCAGCCGCACTATCCGCAAGAGCCGTCGCCGCCGGAATGGACGTCGTCGAGCGTCAACGGAGAAGCACGCGTCATCGGACACATTCGACCGGCACCAAGTACACCATCCACCCTCAACCCCACATCCCCACCCCAGTCCATGCTTCTGAATCGCACCACTAGCACTAGGATTCCATATTCTCATTGCAGGCACCAGCGGTCGGGCGTACGGCGAGAAACGCGCCGGCGAATGGCGATACGCCGATGACGTGAGGGTGAGCATCGCGCCGTTGGCGAGCACCGACATCGACGGCGACACGCGGCCGCCCGAGCCGCCGCGAGCCCGCTTCGGAACACCGCCGCCGTCGCGCGCCACCTCGGTGCTTCAGAGCCTCAGAGACCAGGTTGGCCGACTTTTTTCATTTTTGAACGAGCGTCGATTTCAGAAGGACACCATCGAGTTGGACGAGCAACGCCGTCAGGCGTCGACACTTCCCGCCGCCGCTTCTCAACACCGCGGCGGCGGCGAATCGACAAGCGACGCGTACGCGACGCGTCAATTCGACGAGATGCTCGTCGTGTTTTTGCAGGCCAACGACGAGGTCAAACGTGTGCTGTTGCCGTCGCGCGTCGACACGATGCATCACGTCAAGATGGCGTTCGTCCGCGCGTTTCCCAACGTGAATCGCGCGTTCGTCGAGCAGCCGCACGTCAAAATTTATATACAGGAGCCGACGAAAGGCGCGTTGTTCTATGAGCTCGAGGATCCCGGGTAGGCATTTGCTTTTCTTTTTTTTTGATCTACCTTTTCGTTGGTCTCGAAGCGAATGCGATTTTTTTCTCGCTATTTGACCATCATCGTGGAGGTTCTTCGAGAATCGAGTCGCCTTTTTGGATTTTTGAATTATGGGTCTCGAAGCGTTTCCCAAGAAATGTGGATTTACGAGCATTGAAGTTCCCCGGTGTCGATTTACGGGGCCTCCTGACACGAAATCTTTTTTTGCCAAATTTCCGCTAGTTCAACTTGACTGGTGTGGATTTACGAGGTTTCGGCGGGTCTCGAAGCGAATGGGTGGCTTTTGGAATTTTTTTTCGAATTTTTCACTATTTCACCATCATCGTGTAGGTTTTTCGAGAATCTTTTCAATTTTTGAAAAAATTTGACTTTTGCACTACCTGGTGGTGATTTACGAGACAACGGGTCTCGAAACGATTTCGAGAATTCATGGTGTCGATTTACGGGGGGTGGGGGCTTCTAATTTTTTTTATGAAATTTCAAAATTGAAGATCAACGTCAAAATGTGGATTTACGAGATTCGCGTCTCGAGCCGATTGAGTTCCCCGGTGTAGATTTACGAGGGGGGGGGAGGTCTTGTGCCGACAATGGCATCTCAAACGCCTTCGACAAAAATCAATCCAAAAATTTTTGAGGGCGGGCTCTTGAGCGCATTTTTCAATAGTTCAAATCGACAGTTGTAGATTTACGCGACACGACGGGTCTCGCAACGTTTTCATTCAATTTTCAATTGCAGAGACATCAAAAACAAATCGGTGTTGCGTCTTCGCGAGAAATCGCGTCTGATGTCGCCGATCGCCTACCTCGACCAGCCCGACTATCATTCGGAGACCGAGCACGACGACGGCCGTCGATTCGTCTCGTTGGCGCGTCCCGCGTCGGCGATGGCGGCCGCCCATCACGACTACATGCACACGAAGTTGATCGGCCATCAGCACAAGCCGATGTACGATCCGTACGCGGATCCCTATCAATCGGACGCCAGCAGTCACGATAGTCGAAGTGTGACGCGCTCCGGCTCGGCGACGCCGGTCATTGATCGCGAATCGAGGTGGGACCATCAAATGTCTCTTTTGGTCTTTGAAGCGAAAATTTTGAAAGGATTGAGAATTGACGTGAACACGAGACATTTTTGTCAATGGATTTCAATTTCGAAACATTCGATTGTGTTATAAATTCGCATCTGCGGACATAATTTTTTGGGCGAATTGTCCGCAGATGCAAATTTTTAACTATTGAAATTGTGTCAAAACGTGAGGCAATAAAAATTGCGAGGCGGGTGGAGGAGGAGTCGTCCGCCTAAAACATCTGTAGGCTCTCTTTCGTCGTACCACTATAAATTTATTGGGAGGGCTACCCTTCGGACCACTTTGACTCTCCCCCTTCCTCGCATCAATGTGTAGTCGACTCAATTCGATAAGGCATTCGATTATTCCCTGCTTAAACTCCGAGCTTGTTGATTTCAGAGCCCGCATGGAATCGATGGAGCGCCAATTGGCGGGATTGTCCACCCTGGTGCACACGGCGTTGGTGAGCAAAGGGCTCAGCGAGAGCACCCAGCGCGATATGGCCGAGCTGCGAAGAGAGGTTTGATATTCGGCGCTAACCATTGACGGCGGCGCGTGCGGTGATGGTTTAGCGCCAAATCTGTGCGCTCGCAAGCTTTTGGTGGCGAGTTCGATTCCACCCCGCCCCCGCAAAAATTTTAATTCTTTTTTTGCACCCGACCTTTCCTATTAACTCTCAACCACCGTCGAATAGCACCTTTCAGATTCTTTCAATGCATCCGGAGAGCGGACGCGAGTCGTCGGAAGAGCCGACATCTTCCCTACCCGAATCGATCTCGTCGCACACCGTCCATCAATTGAGCGTGCTTCGCAACAAAATCAAAGAAGCGAGCAATGATTTGAAGCAGATCAAAAAAGCCGCGCAGGTGCTTAAAAACCACTCACAAACCATTTTCCATTAACATTATCATATGCTTGATTTTTGAAGCGGCGGCCCGCTTGAATGTCCGCAGATGCATTTTTATTTGTAGGTGAACGCGCAGACGGCGAACACGCTGATTCGCGAGGCTGGCGAAAAAATCGAGAAGATCGTCGCCGAGCGTGTCGCCAATCGCGGACCATCATCGCGACCGCCGCCTCCGTCGACGACGACGACGAACAACGATGAGGTCGAAGCGCATCGGAATCAGCATTCGAGTCGGCTCGCCGAGCTTCTACACGATCTCACGTAAATTTGTCGGCCCCCCCTATTGAATGAATAATGCCGAATTGATTTAGTCGATTCGAGCAGAACGTGGAAACCGTTCGCGGTAGTGTGCTGGCGAATCAGAAGAAGCTTCGGATGAGCGAAGTCGAGGAGTTGACCGAGAAGCTCACCGAAATCGGTCGAATCGCCGCCGGACTCAAAAGTGAGACGATGAAATGAATGCGCCTTTAAAAGAGCGAGAGCGAAAAAAATATGAAAACGAGATGTTTCAGCCGAATTTCCGCCGATTCAGCTCGCCATCGAGAAGCAAATCAAACGCGACATGGAGCGCGTCGTTCGCGAGGAGAAATTCATACGCGATCAGACGTCGGCGGTCGATCAGAGCCTTCGGCGTTGCAAGGCGTTGGCCAACATCATGGTGACGATGAAGAAGTTGGCGATGGTGCAAGATCCCACCATTCAGCGCCATCGCAAAACCGAACGCGATCATCAGACGCCGCCGTCGCCGCATTTGCCGCCGAAGCCGACGCAGGCGATCGCCATGCCGCCGCCGACTGTACACCAAACGTTGGTGGTGCCGCCGCCGCCACCACCGCCACCACCGCCAATAGACATGGCGCGTGAGATCGCCGCGCCGTACACGCCGACAAGGCCGCCGGTGGAGCACGCGCTCGACGGCGTTCTTGAAGAGGTCGCCCAGCCGCCGCAACCGCCGCGACCACCCAGTCGATTCTCGGTGCAGGACGTTCGGCAGAAGTTCGCCAAGCCGCCGGAGCTGCCCGACGGCATTCGGAGCCTCATCGAGGATGTGGCGAGACGGGCGTCGCCGAGTTTGGAGCGCGATTCGACACTTGAGAGACGGTGAGCGCTTCAAAATCGCGCGAATCGCTATAGTAATGATTTTGCAGGCAAGATCTCGAGGAGCGGCAGGAGCGGCTCGCCGAGAAGCAGCGCCAACTTCGGAATCAGTTTCAGCAACTTCAACAACTCGCACCTCAATCATAAAAAGAACCATTCTAGTCGCCTATTTATTCGTGTTATTGTTGATAAAGTTATTCGCAAACTACAAAAAAATTAAATTTGTGTGCAATTTTGCGTCAGTACACCACACGCACAATTTCAATGCCCGCCGGAAATTTGACGATTTATTTGAAATTTCAAAATATTTATATTAATTTTTTTCTTAATTCGATGCGAAAAACCATTTCAAAATAATTATTGCAATCAATTCCGCCAGATTGTTTCATTTTCAGGAAATTTTTGAAGAAACGCCGAAAAATTTTTGCGCCACAAGAAAGACAATTGGTTTTGAAGAGACGCAGGTGTGCGGTAGAGCGCGCTTGCCGTCTACAAGATTTTTGGCATTTATTTTCGGGTCAAGTTTTCTCATAAAATCTCAATGGAAACGTCGAGAAAACGTAACAGGTGGGTTAGAATTGAAATTTTAATTGTAAAAATGATATTATTTATTTTTAGAGATGATCTAGAAGGAATATATGAGCAAAATGAAGCGGTAAGTATTTAAATAGCGAATTTTAATAATGGAAAAATCGATTTCAGGGACCATCTCAGCAATTTGATGAGTATTTTGAAGAAAATGACAAGTAAATTTTGACGAATTTTCACGAATTTTCACACATTTTTTCAGCGATGATGACGGAAACCCGTCAGGAAGCGAATACGACCCGGTCGACGATGAAGAATTCGAGGAGGACGATGAAATTGAGGAAATTCCTGCAAAAAAGTGTGATATTCGAGACGAAATAATGCGAAACGTTGAGATTTAGACAGCGAAAATCGAAAAACGCGGTTCGGGATGACAATTTATTGGAGGAATTTCAACATCGGCTCGAGTCCAGCCCAAAAATCTCGCATTTTTTAATGATTTTCGGCAATTTCAGATCAATTCGCGGCGATTTTGATGAGGAATTGACGACGATTTGCGACGATTCGTGGCAACTCGACAAAATCACTTGGAAAAAATTGTTCGCGTAATTATTCTCATCGATTTTTCTCATTTTTTTTCCGACGCGCCTAAGCCAAACATTCGTTCAGCTATCAGAAGGACGGCGTGAAATGGCTTCTGAAGAAGTACGATCAAGGCGTCGGTTGTATTCTCGCCGACGAGATGGGTCTCGGCAAGACGGTTCAAGCGATCGCCATGCTGAAGGCGATCGAGTTGTCGAAGAAGCGAATGGCCGCGTTGAAGTATGACCATTTTTGGGTAATTTTTGCCGGAAAAATTGAAAATTTCAGCGGAAAAGGCCTGAATCAGGCTCTTATCGTGTGTCCGGCGAGTTTACTCAACCAATGGATCAAACACTTCAATGAGTGGTACCCGAGGTGTCGTGTAGGTCACCAATTTCGCGAAATTTTCATTTTTTTTTCGTTTTTTTCTAGATTGTCATGCTTCACAACACTTCATATCATCGGATTGATGTTGATGACGCGCTTTTGACGATTTCGAATAGCTTGTAAGATTTGATTTGATTGAAGGGGTCCCAAAAATACGATTCGTGTATTGGGAATGTGAATTTCGACTATTTTTTTGCATTTTAGAGACCAAAATTGAAAAAATCATGTGAAACGCGTGGCGAGACCATTGCGAAAAATTGAATTTATAAAATCCGATTTTTTTGTTTTGAAAATTTGACATTTTTCGCCAAGAAATTTTAAAATGGCAAACGCGCTCCATTGCCAAAATGACGTTTTTTTTCTTGGAAATACCTTTTTCATTTCAGTTCTAAACCGCAAAATCTCTGGGATATAAAAAAATCGAAATTCCAAATTTTCAAGGCAAAAAAATGAAAAAAGAAAATGAAAATTCGGAATTTTTAAGGCTAAAAATTTCTGCAAAATTTTCAAAAATAAAAAGTCTAAATTCAAAAATGTTCTCAAAAATTCCAAAAAAAAAATGGAAATTTCGAATTTTCAAGGCAAAAAATGAAAAAAGAAAATCAAAATTCGGAATTTTTACGGCGAATTGATAAAAATTTCTGAAAAAATTCAAAAAAAAAAATGATTCAAAAAATTTTCTTAAAAATTCTAAAAAAAAATCGAAATTTCTATCTTTTAGTGGGAAAAAAGTTTAATTTTTTACAAACAAGTATTAAATTTGCATTTTTTTGACATTCCTGTATTGAAAAATGTGTAATTTTCTACATTTATTGATTCCATGAATATTTCAATTCGAAAAAAAAAGTTTCCGTAAAACAAATGGCCGTGGCCGTGGCCTAGTTTCTCACGAGAACTCGCAGGCCGTCTAGTTAAGACAAAAAACTTGTGTAATTTGTTTTTTCTCGTCAGAAACCACCCGAACGGATGCGTCCTTTTGACGACCTACAAGACGTATGTGGCCAATTCGTCGAAGATCAACAAATTCGTGTGGCACGCGGTTATTCTCGACGAGGGACACGCGATCAAATGCGTTTCGACGAAGGTTGAAAGAAGAAAAAAAAACCCATGAAATGTGTGCAAATTGGCGTCAAATTCAACGTGAAAACGTGAACAAAAAGATTATCTGCATTGGATGTTTGCACACAATGCGTTCGATTTGACGACACATTTCAATTCTCGAATTGTTTCGTTGTAGGCGTCGGAGGCGATCCGCGGCGTCGCCACACCGCATCGTGTCGTGCTCACCGGCACGCCGATTCAGAACAATTTGTACGAACTCTGGTCGCTCATCGAGTTCGTCTATCCCGGCAAATTGGGACCATTGAAGGCGTTCCACGCCAACATCATCAAGCCGATTCACGACGGCTCGTTTTTGAATGCGAGCGACGCGAAAAAAGCGATCGCCCATCAATGTGCCATCGTTTTACAGTGAGATTTTTTGAGTTTCCGACAAAATTTGCTCTTGGAACGAATTTGAAAAGTGAAAAATTCTGTGAAAAATTGAATATTTGAGATTTTTTATTTAAATTTTTTGAAAAAAAAATGAAAGCAGTTAAAAAATTGGTGAAATTTCCTACCAAATTTGCTTTTGGAACAAATTTGAAATTTTTTTCTGTGAAAAAAACAAAAAAAATTGAATATTTGAGATTTTTTATTTAAATTTTGTGAAAAATTGAAGCTGAAAAGAATTTCGAGAATTTGGTGAAATTTCCGACAAAATTTGCTCTTGGACCGAATTTGAAAAGTTTTTTCTGTGAAAAAACAAAAAAATTGAATATTTGAGATTTTTTATTTAAATTTTGTGAAAAAAATGAAAGCAGGAAAGAATTTTGAGAATTTGATAAAATTTCCCACAAAATTTGCTCTTGGACCGAATTTGAAAAGTTTTTTCTGTGAAAAAACGAAAAAAATTGAATATTTGAGATTTTTATTTAAATTTTTTGAAAAAAAATGAAAGCAGTTAAAAAATTGGTGAAATTTCCGATAAAATTTGCTCTTGGACCGAATTTGAAATTTTTTTCTGTGAAAAAACAAAAAAAATTGAATATTTGAGATTTTTTATTTAAATTTTGTGAAAAAAATAAAAGCAGGAAAGAATTTTGAGAATTTCGGGAAATTTCCGACAAAATTTGCTCTTGAAACGAATTTGAAAATTTTTTCTGTGAAAAAACAAAAAAAATTGAATATTTGAGATTTTTTATTTAAATTTTGTGAAAAAATTGAAGCTGAAAAGTATTTCGAGAATTTCGGGAAATTTCCGACAAAATTTGCTCTTGAAACGAATTTGAAAATTTTTTCTGTGAAAAAACAAAAAAAATTGAATATTTGAGATTTTTTACTTAAATTTTGTGAAAAAATTGAAGCTGAAAAGTATTTCGAGAATTTGGGGAAATTTTCGACAAAATTTGCTCTTGGAAGTTTTTTTCTGTTAGATAAAAAATCATTTTTTTTAAATAAAAATTTTTTATTTAAATTTTTGAGCAAAATACTGGGGAAAAAAATAGAAGCAGTTGAGAATTTTCGACTCAAAATTGATTTCAGACACGCGGTTTGTCCATACATATTGAGGCGATTGAAGAGCGACACGAATCTCGCGTTGGAATTGCCGCAAAAATCCGAACAGGTTGGCGATGTCGAGAATCGCGACGCCAAAATTCGCAGCTTTCTCTTTTCTCTACAGATGCTCTTCTGCAAATTGACGTCGCGTCAACGCAAACTTTATGAGAATTATGTGAATTCGGACGAGGTGACGTCGATTCTCGAGAATCGCGTCGATCCGTTGGTCGGCATCACGAAACTCGCCCATTTGTGCAATCATCCCGCCATTTTTGAAGGTTTTCCTATTTTTTTTTTTGATTTTTAAATGAAAATTGAATTTGAGACGCGAAATTGCACACTTTTTGATTTTTTTTTGTCATTTAGGCGATAAGAAGCTGAAGCATGCCAACTACAAGGATAGCGGGAAGCTGATTGTGTTGAGGAAGCTTCTGAAGCGATGGCATCGTGAGGGCGGCAATAAGGTGCTGCTGTTCACACAGAAGAAGACGGTCATTGCGATTGTTGAGAGGATTCTCGAGAAGCTCGAGTAGGGCAATTCGTTCTTTCTTCTTTTGTTTTTGGCATGCGCCTTTAATGATCAAACTGTGTTGGAGACCAGAGCTGCACGGAATTCCGTCTTCCGTGACATTTTCGTGTTCCGCTTGAGATATCTCCCAACATCTAGCAAGTCTAGCGAATCTAAGAGGGTTTCTTTAGCAGGGTTCGACAAAAAGAAGGTCCCTCACAAATCTCACATTCAGCACTGTTAATTTTAAAGCATAGCGGCTAGATTTACGGGAATGCGTCTTTCGAAATGGTCTCGCACGGACTAACAGGTTATTTCAAATTTTATGGACCGGTTCGATAATTTTTTTAATCGATTGACGTTGGAAATTCCAAGAAATGCGAAACTCATCCAGAAAAATGAAGCAGTTCACGTGAAAACGGCAAAATAAGCATTCACGCGTGGCGAGACCTTTTTCAAGGCGCATGCGCGTAAATCTACAGCCAGTCGCCGACTAAATTCGAGTTAGATTACCTTTGTGTTCCGCCTTCAATTTTTAGGACATTTGAGTTCCGTGCAACTCTGTCTCCAATCGAGACTCATCTCATCGCGTCGAGACCAATAAACAGGAAAACTAAAAATGGCGATGTTTCAGAATGAAATTTTTGACGATGTCCGGCGAGACGCCGGTGGCGAGAAGGGCCAAACTTGTCGAGCAATTCGAGAAGGTGAAATTGTCAAATTTTGAATCGCAATTTTCACTTTTTTTTTTTTAGGATCCCCACATTTTCGTTTTCCTTCTCACCACTCGCGTCGGAGGTGTTGGATTGAATTTGGTGGCGGCAAATAAGGTTGGTTGAGAATTGAATTGAATCGCACGAATTTGGATTCTTGTTAGATCGTGATATTCGATCCCGACTGGAATCCGACGAACGATCAGCAGGCGAAAGAGCGAGCGTGGCGAATCGGACAGCATCGCGATGTTGCGATTTATCGCCTGATCACTAGTGGAACGATTGAAGAGAAAATCTATTTGAGGTTGGGGTGGCAATTGTTTTTTTTAAAGGCGCATATTATATTTGTTGGTGATTTTGGTCGAGACGGCCCGATTGGGTAGTATACCGAAACGCGAGATCATAGGATGTGAGAGAGAGAGAGAGAGAGAGAGAGAGAGACGCAGAGGAAAATATTGCGACTTGTGAGAGACGCAGAGAAAAAAACTGCGAGATGCGAGAGACGCAGAGAAACAGATTGTGACTAGTGAGAGACACGCAGAGGAAACGACTTGTGTTAAAGACGTAGAGGAAAAGACTATGAGCTGTGAGGGACGCAGAGAAAAAAGGCTGTGGCCTGTTAGAGACGCAGAGAAAAAAAGGGGAAGAGAGAAAGAGAGAGAGAGAGAGAGAGAGAGAGAGAGAGAGAGAGAGAGAGAGAGTGGCATACGACGAGACAAAATGTGAAAATAATAAATTTTTGCAGGCAGATTCATAAGGAAGCGCTGGTTATGAAAGTGTTGGAGAAGAAGAGTCGAAGTGGGATCATCAATCGGGAAAGTCTTGCCGAATTGTTCCGATTGGTGCCCGATGGCGTTGGCGGCACCGAAGTGGGCATGTATGTCGATGGCGAAATTGCGCCCGATTGCCAAATTGGCGACGACAGGTTCGATTGTTGATTTTTTTTTTGAATTTTCAAGAAATTGAATTTTTTTAAGATTTTGAGCCGCGAAAATTTGGATTTTTGATATGATTTTTTGAATTTTCGCCTTAAAATTGCGATTTTAGACTGTTCAAAGTTTGAAATTAATATTTCAAAAAGAAAACAATGAAAAATAAGAAATTTGCTATTTAAATTTCCATATTTGAAGGAAAACAAAATTAATTGCGATGGAGCGCGTTTGCTTGTTGGCGCCAAATTCAAAAAAAAAAAACACATTATTACAGAAAATCGTCGAAAAAGACTCGAAAATTGAAGAAGGACCTCGAGAATTGCATCGATAAGAAGGCGTTGTCGAATTTGTTCAAAGATCAAATGTTGACGGCGATCATCTCGCACGCCGACGCCATCAAAGGCGAAGAGATTCGCCTGATGCACATGACGACGGCGCGTCAATACGCGCAAGACGCCGCCCGATTTTTGTTGCACGTGTGAGTTTTCGCCGAAATTTTCCGAGCCAAAAAATGATGAAAACATGCTGAAATGCGGTTTTTCCTCGAAAATTGGTATTGCAAAACAAAAAAATCAAAATTGGAATTTTTGAGAATCTCACAAAATTAAATGACCAAAAAAAATCAGAAAAAAAATCCAACAAATTGCTCGTTCAGCGAGAATCGGCCGTCGACGTGCTGGAAGGCCGAGTTCGACAAAGATCTGAAGGGTCGCGAGACGACGCCGTCGGACGAGGTGTTCAAGAAGAGCGACTACTTCGAGACGGTGCATCGAACGCTGTCGCGAAACGACGGCAGCGAGGAGTTGAACGAGCGTGTGAAGCAGGCGCAGACGCTCCGCGAGCTTTTCCTTCGATTCGACGGCAAAATCGAAAAGGAGAAAATTGAGAAGTACTTCAAACCGGTAAATTTCGATTTTTTTTTCTTGCTGAGCTTCAACGCTACTTCATTTTTTTGTATTTTCTTCTTCAGAATCAACGAACTGGATTGGAGTATTTCTTTTTCAATGAGGTTCTCCACACATTGTCGCGATTCAATTCCAAATTGAACGTCTATGAATTGAAGAAGAAATATTTTTAGAATGAATCGAGAATTACGAGTATTTTCAACACGAATAAAAATAATTTTGGTTTGTTTTGTGGTGGTGGTGGCAAACGCGCTCCATCGCGCATTATAAATTGTTGATCTGACGGAAAAATTAATGGAATTTTCTTCGGAAATACGTGCGCCTTTAAATTTTGGTCTCAAAGCGCCAATTCAATTGGTTATTTTTTCATTCAAAAAAAAAAAAGAAAATCACAACTTTCGTCTCACAACACAATATATATTGTTTTGGGTGGGTTTCTATCGTTCTAAGCGCTCGCCGAAATCGCCGACGCCAACGACGCTCGGATTCGCGACATCGCTTCCTTCTGATCCAACGCTTTGATGATTCCGGTGCCGCTGACGACGACATTCGCGCCAGCAGTTGCCGATATCTGCAAGAAAAAAACGAGTTTCTAGATTTTTATTATTAAAAAAAAATAAAAACGCGATTCCAAACAAAAAAAATGGGCGTGGTCCGTGCCAACACCCGACGCGCAAATGCAGATTCTCGTGCCATATTTCGAAAAGCGCGGCCTTCTACACATTTTTAGAATGTTAAACTAATCAAAGCTCGCTCATTGGAGGTTTTTTCCGCACGAGACCGAAAATCATCCAGTAATCGCACCTAATGTTCGTCCGTCTCGTTGACAGTTAAAGGCGCATGGATACATTTTTGTTTTGGGCTTGAAATCGCAAAATTTTGATTTTCGAAAAAAAGAGCCAAGATTTCGTAAATCTACAACAACAAAATCGGTTGGGCGTTCGGAAAAAAAAGGGATCGCTTCAAGACGCACTCACCCCGACATTTTCCGGCGTCACGCCGCCGTCAACTTGAATATTCAACTTCGGATGCGCCGCGCGAATCGCTCGCACTTTTTCCATCATGCTCTCCATGAACTTCTGGCCGCCGAATCCCGGCTCGACGGTCATTATGAGCGCCGTGTCGATTTTCGAGGCATACCTAAAAACACACACATTTTTGATTTTTTTTTGTAGCGGAAATTCGGCGTTTTGGCGATTTTTCTTAAAATTGGACCCTCCTATCGATTCGAGAAGTCTGAAATCTCAAACCCATGAACGCGTGAATCGATAGGCGAGCGTGATCCCAAAAAATGGTCTACCGAAATTTTCGGACCTTGAAAAAAAAACAATTCTGAAAATCGCCGGGGCAGATCAATTTTTATCAATTTTTGAAATATCAGACATCTTGCAAAGATAAATAGGTCAATTTTAAGAAAAAATCACCATCAGCCTCAAATGGGAGAGGCGGGACCACCAAATTGGCGAATTTAAATTTATACTCTATAATGCGCGATTCGATTGGGAGGAACATTGGAAACCATTCAACACGCTAAATTGAGGGCGATGTGTAATTGGAGTGTCGTAGGGTAAAAGAATTTCGGGTTTCAATCAAAAACCAATCACGATTCGTCGTTTTCAAATCGCTGAGATAATTTTTTTCAAATTTCTTTCAATCCTTTAGGCCTCTGTTTTTTCTTGAATGAAATTTTATTGTGATCATCTGCGGACATTTTTTCGGGATGCGCCACAATCGCCTATTACTAGTGATTATTTGGGTGGCGGCAATTCAAAAACACCTTTTTGGAAATTTTTTCGTTTCGATATCTTGAAAAACAAAAAAGAAACCTCAAAATGTTGTCAACGGGCGTCGCCGGCTTCACAGACAGTCCAACTTTCATTCCATTCGAGCGAATCTGCAATTAATAATCGCAAATTTCTTGTGGATTTTCCGATTTCTCACATTTTCGATCAATTTCTCGACGTCCGCCTCCCCATTGGCGGCCTCGTAGTGAAATGTGAATTGATTTGCTCCAGCTTTTGCCATCGGCTCAATCCATTGGCCAGGATTTGAGACCTGAGAAGAGAAAATTTGATTTAAAAAAAAAGTCGCCAACTGGCCGCAAACCATCAAATGAACATCGAAAAACGGCTCAGGACCCAACGATTTCCTTAAACATTCAACAACGGGATGTCCGAATGTGAGATTCGGCACAAAATGGCCATCCATGACATCGAGATGAAGCCTGAAATCGTATGATTTTTTTATTTGATCGATTGAAACCAAAAATCGCCGAATATTTCAACATTTTCCAAAAAAATTGGCATCATTACGATTTTTCTTCGAATTTATCGAGGATTTGAGACAGCTGAGCGATTTAAAGGCGCATAGTTCATCTGGACGAAATTCCGAAAAAAAAATGACACGAGCCGCGTTCAGCCGACAAATGTGTGTATGCATACGCACGCAAAATTGCACACATCTCATTTTTTTATGAATTCTCTTTAAAATTGCATTTTTTTCCAATTTTTACTCGAGAAAAAAAAATTGAATTCAAAAAAAAATAATTTTTGCATTTTTTTTGTTGAATGTCCATGAATTTGGGGAAAAACTTCGAGTTTCCATTTCTTTAAAGGCGCATTGGGATCTCTTTGGGATTAATTTAAAGGCGCATTGACTAACAATTACAAAATCGACGATTCGAGAATTTCCGCAAAAACTCTGTAATTGAACCTCTTCTTTTTTTCAAGACTACATTTTTAAAGGCGCATTCTCCCGACTTTCAGATCTCGTCAATTTTTCGAATAATGGCCAAAAATAATCCAAAAAACCCGATTTCAAGCCAGTAAAACTCTCGAAATTCGCGTTTCTATTCAAAAATCGTTACCAATCAGCTCCAGCAGCCATCAATTTTTTGCATTCCGACGCCAAATTGCCAAGATCGGCGTTGAGAATCGACGGGCACACGATCGGACGAAGGCTCATCTAGAAATCGGCTGGAAAACAAAACATCAAAATTCGGCAATTTTTCAAAAATATTCGGGTTAAAGTAAAACCAAAAAAATCGCGGGAATCAAATGGCAAAGAAAAATAATGCAATAAATATTCATCCAGAACCCATAATATTTACATTTTTGTTAAATTTCAAAAAAAAAAAAAGAACCAAGGCGAAAATGGGCAATAATTGATCACAGCGGCGAGAAATAGTGTGCGGTAGTTGGAGGCGAATAGACACAAAATTCAAAATCAGCTGATAATCCAGTAAATTGTGAAAATCAGACAGAATGAGATGACCGCCGACAGAATTATCGTGTTTTTCTGTTTTTTCGTCTTTATTCGCTGCATTAAATTGTTGATCGCTGGGTATTTTTCTGAAAAAAAAATTAATTTTTGAATGAAAAATCCATTTTATCGCAAATTTTATTCAATTAATCGCCAAACTTCTAATTTTTTCCTATCAAAATTATTCTTTCTAAAATATCTTTTTTTTTTAATCTCAAATATTTCAAAATTCGTCGAAAACTTTTAAAATTCCATAAAAAGTTGAAAAATTCCACCAAATTAAATAATAGAGGTACTGTAATTTTTTAAAGGCGCACAGCGTTTTGACAGCAGGGTCTCGCCACATACAGTATACTAAATTTTTTTTATATTTTTTTTTATTGCCTAAAACTTTTTTTCAGCTCAATGTTTTCGTTTCAAGAGTTTTTCGCTGCGAAAAAAATCAACAAAAAATTCGCATATGGTGTTAAATTAATTTTTTCCACAATTTCTCACGAATTTCGGGCAACAATTTGCAGAAAGTCTCGATTCCTTTCTAATTTGATGTAAGTCCGGCCTAAAATCCATGTTCCAGCTCAATTTTTCGCAGCAAAAATCCCAATTTTTAGGCGAATTTCACGGATAAACGCACTGGTCACTTGCTGCAATCGACTCGAGATGCCTCTCAAATTGATTCCCTGCCTCGCGACATTCTCCTTCGTCGACATCGCCATATCGAGCTGCTCATCGAGAAGGCGCTCGCACGACGAGATGTGATCGTTCTCCTGTATTTCAGAAATTTCGAGTGTCGCTTCGAGACCCGAACGCACCTTTAAATACATATCGTATCCGCGTGCGCGATTATTGAGACGCCCCTCATTTTTTGTGTCGTTCGTACTGCTGAGCAGCATTTCTCTGCAAACCAAAAGAGAACATCGAATCACGATTTCGGCGAACCTTTGAAGCACCTGCTCGACGTTGTCGCGCGCTCGTCGAAACTCGCTTCCGTAATCGCGCAGAATCTCGTAGTGACGACGAAGCGTGTGCTGAATCGCCGGATTGTTCGACCATGACGCCGACGATTCGGCGTTCACCACTTTGTTCATCTGAAATCTCGCGATTTTCAGCAAAAATTCCAGCGAGTTTGTCTTCAATTTTTATTTTCGATTTGAAAAAAATATGATTCCCAATAGTAATCGGCAGATTTACGTCTCGCACGGACTAATTAATTTTCAATTTCTCTGATTTTAACTATTCAAAGAAATGCCACGCGAAAATTTCAAAAAATGTGGCGAGACCCCGTAAATCGATCCCCAGCATCGAGCAATAATTACCAATTTTCGTCTAATTGGGTACCTCATCATTAGTAGCGCTTAATTGCTCAATTAGTCCCTCAATTTCAGCGGTGAGCGTGCGAAACAGCGCCTGTCGCGACGAGACCGTCTTCTCATCAATGTCGAATCCGCCGTGCGAGTTCGCCGTCAGCTTATTCAACGAGACAAGCTTCACATCGATCGAGTTCTCGAAGCTTCTCGCCTTTTTGCGCAAATTTTCCCAAGTTTCCATTCCACTAAAAAAAATGAATCGAACAATTTTGGTGAAAAATTGCACCAAAAAAAGGTATCAAATCGTTGAAAACGATCAAAAAAATCAAATCGAGAAGGGATTTCTGCATAATTTTTATTCAACATTCATCGACTTCGATTAACTCGACTTCCGAATCGCTGATTTCCTCAACCGGAATATCGTTGAAGCTCAATGCTCGCTTCTTTTTCGCTCGATTCGCAGTTTTCGACGATTCCGGCTCATCGTCGTCGCTGATCGGCTCGATGAGCTCAATTGGGTACACATCGCAAGCTGAAAATTCCAAATTCGACACGACAATTTGACACCCAAAAATTTTTGCATTTTTTCCATTTGAAGCTCACAGATGGCAATTTTGGCGCGTTGTGCAAACCTTTTGAGATCTTTTTTTGCGAATTCGATATCGCAAAAAAAATCTCGGCGATTTTCGCCTAACAATTGCCATTTTTGGGCAATTTTCGCCCCCAAAAAATCGACATTTTTTGAGCATTTTCAGCCATTTTCAAGAAGCATTCCAAATTCTCAAACCAAATCGAAACTCTCGAACGAAAAATAAATGGAAATTTCAGAGGGGTCAAGTCCGGTAGAAGTCTAAAAATAGTAAATGAGTGGGTGAGAATCACCAAAAATGGGGTGATTTATGTGCATTTCCTTCATTTTCACCATGAAATTAAGAGAGAATGGTGAAATTAAGAAGTGAAAGTCGAAAAAATGAGAAAAAAAAGGCTGAAAATTTGAAAGGGTCGATTTCTTTCTGAGGGGTCAAAGTCCGGTGGAAGTCTAAAAATAGTAAAAAAAAAAGAATGGGTGAAAATCACCAAAAATTGGGCGATTTATGTGAAACACGCTGAAATTCTTCATTTTCGCCATGAAATTAAGAGGTGAATGTCGAAAAATGGCTAAAAATTTGAAAATGTCGATTTTTCTTCCTGAGGGGTCAAAGTCCACTCAATGAAAAATCGATGAGATGCGCCTCTCAACGTGGAAAACCTGTGGCGACGGCGGATTGGCGACGTCGATAAGACGAATTGCATCGTCGGCTTCTGATGCTTATCGTCGTCGTCGTCGGCGGCGGCGTTTCGGATTTTCGTTGCAACGCGTTCCTCGGAGGAACCTGCGGAGGAAGTGGCGAGCATCCTCTGCAAGGTCTCACCCGAAATCAATGAGCAAGATGGTATGAATAATAGGGAATATTAGTAGTAGAAAAGAAATGGCAGATTTTTTTGAATACTCACAAAATATCGCATAATTGGCCAATTAAAAATCGTAATTTATTTCCTATTCATACCTTTTCTGCAATTCTCGATATTCTTTTTCTTTGCGCTTCAAACTCTCCTCGAGCGCTTCGATCTTCTTCTGCTGCTGAATTTTCGCGACGCGCATTATCTGCAAACGCGAGCGTCGCGTGTTTGCGGACCGGACATTCCGTCGACTACCGTACCTCGGCGTCGGCTCGATCGATCAATTCCAATTGTTTTTCGATGATGTTGAGACGCTGCTGCAATAATTGCGCTTCGATTTCCGGCTCCAACACGCCGTGAGGTGGTGCGGCTTCTAGCGATGAAGCTGGACGAGCTATCGGCATTGCGGAGGTGCTCGGAGTGCACAACGCTGAAAATTTCGAATTTTTTTTTCAGCGAAAATAAAAAATTTTCAAAACCAATGTCTTGGGTGCTTCCGAGCTCGCTGATGCCTTGAACGATGCTCTGCGCGATATTTTTTGCGTTCTGCTCGGCGAGCCTATGAAAATGCCGAATAATTGGCTGAAATTTGCCACCCCCATCTACCAATATGCGCCATAATAATTGGTGGCAATCGTTGGTGGCGTTTCAATGGTGTTCTTCAGTTGTTGGCGACACTTCTGAAGCATTTTCGCATCGAATAAAATTTAAAAAATGTGCCCCCATTCGAAAATTTTACCTGCTTTTTCCAATTTTTCGTCTTCGAAAATGGCGTTTTTTTATTCTCCTTATTTTTGGATTTTTTCAGCTTTTGAGGTGATGATTTCTGGAAAAAAAAACTGGAATTATTCGACTGAAAAACGATATATTGGCGATTTTTCGTGAAAAAACACACAATTTCAAAATTTTCACCTTCAAAACAACTCACTTTTGCTCCTTTTTTCTTCGGAAACGTTCGAATTCTAGAAATCGTCAAAAAAATCTATTATAATCAAAAAAACTGGCTCATAATAATTCCTACTCTCGTTGAATAATCGACGTGTTTTCAGCAGTTTCGAAACTCAAATAATTCTGCAAAAAATCGATATTTCTATGAATATTTCTCAAGTTCACCGTCACCGTCGGTTCATCATTGCTAAAATCCACGTCATCCATCTGAAAAAATCAACAAAATCGCGAAAAAATGGATTTATTTCGAAAGAAAAACAAGAAATTAAACGGAAAAATCGCCGACATGTCACAATGGCGGATTGTGTGCAAACACCGACGCGCCAAAATGCAGACCGGAAATTGAATTTGTCGGCCTCATCGTCAAATATCGTACAAATAAAGTTGGTCGCCGTCAGGATAGCTGCTTCTAAATCAGAAAAAAAAGTTTTTTCGGCAAAAATTGTCAAAAATTAAGTACTTGACGTAGTTTTTCGCGAATTCCTGGCCGTCTCGCGTCAAATCGGAAAAGGCGATCCTAAAAAAAAGAGTGTTTTTTGGGCATTTTCCGAATTCTCGCACCTCAGCCGCCGTCGTCGATGCTCCATTGCTCGATCGAACGCCGTGGCGGCGTCGAGAAGAGCGCGCGCGACGCCTTTTCGCCTCAAATTCGTGTGCGTCCATATTCGGTCGACGCCAACTATCCAATCGCCGTTCAAATCCTGTTTGATCACCTGTAAAAGACAAAAAAAAAATGAAATTTGCCATTTTTGTCTTTAAACCTTCAAAAAATCGGAATTTCGACCAAATTTTTCAATTATTTCGCTTCAAAAAATGCAAAGATTCATTTTTTTTCCGATTTTTCGCATTTTAAGAGTGAAATATCAATTATTGGCTTAAAATCATCGAAAATTACCGAAAAATCCATATTTTGCCAAAAAAATTCGTTTAAAAATCGAAATTTCGAATCAATTCTCAATTTTTTGCCACAAAAATTCGAGTTTCAAGAGTGAAATACCAATTTTGGCTGAAAATCTTTAAAAATCCATATTTTGCCAAAAAATTCGTTTGAAAATCGTAATTTCGAATCAATTTTCAATTTTTTGCCACAAAAATTCGAGTTTCAAGAGTGAAATACCAATTTTGGCTGAAAACCTTAAAAAAATCCATATTTTGTCAAAAAATTTCAAGTCAAAACTCAATTTTTCGGAATATTTCCTCGAAAATTCAAAATTTTGGTTCTACCATGCGAAAAATTCAAATAATTGATCTAAAAAAATAATTTTTTGACTTGATTTTTTCCAAAATCCGTCGTTTTAAGAGTGAAAATCTGATTCATGACTTTAAACTTTTGAAATTGATCAAAAAATCCAATTTTCTTCATAATAATTCGCTTTGAAGTCAAAATTTTAAGAAAAAAGTTGCAATTTCAATTTTTTCAGCCACAAAAATTCAAATTTTCTACGTAAATCATTCAATAATTCAATTTTTGAAGAAAACTGACATTTAGCAAAAAAAATTTCACATTAATTTCAAAATTTCCACTAAAATTCTCAATCGTGACCTCAAAAACTGTGTTTTTTGGGAAATTTCATCAAAAATCACATTTCAAAGATTTTCTAAAACATTTTTTTCGCAAAAAAACTAAAAATATCTTCATTTTTAATAAATTTCACATTCTTTTCAAAAAATCGACTCCCTCAGACTAATTTTGTCAATTTTTGATCATTTTTAATCCAAAATTTCTACTTTTTTGGTCAAACTTGAAATTTTCTTGAAAATCTTGCAATTTTTACAATACTTTTCTTAGTTTTTTCAAAAAAAAAACCATAATTTCTTCAAAATCATCATTTTTGTTAGGGAAAAATGCGTCATTTCGCTTACATTCCTCGTGTGTTCCTCAATCGCCTCCGTCAATTTCTCGATGACGGCGATGCCGGCGACGAACGCCTCGTTTTTCGGCATTTCTCTCGACAAACACACATAAATTCGTTTTTTCTCCTCCCAAATATGGTCGACGGCGCAATAGCCGATCGCTTCGTCGACGAACGTCTACAATATGTTCGCGTCGAGAATCGCCGTCGCTTCGAGACCCTTACCAGCCATTGCTCGACGGCCAATTTGAGCACCGTCGGACTTTTATTCCCGATATGGACTATTCGATGATTATTGATTGTTTTGTGGGCACATTTTCTGAAAATTGGAATTTCTCACAAAAAAAAATGTCAGAATATTCAAATTTTTTCACAAAAATGGTAGTTTTTCAAAAAAAATTAATTTCAACTAAAAAATTTACATTTTTTTCGTCGACAATCCAAAATTTCAAAAATTTGTGGTTTTTCATCTCATTTTTTACTCACAAAATTCCACGTCCTTATTTTTGTGCGAAAAATTAACATTTTATTATTGTTTTGCTGAGAAATTCAAATTTTCTCACTCAATAATCGCCATGAGACCCGGTTTGACCATAAATGGGTATATGCTGCTTGTCCTGTTATGGTATGCCAAATGCCGCTTGCAATCCTCCATATCATCAACGCAATAAACCAGCTCACACTGAAAAATCGATTTTTATTGCAATTTTTTTGTTATTTCAGACTTCCGGACAAACAATATTGCCGATTTGCTTTTGTCCGCAATCCAAAATCGTTTGCGATTTGTCATTCTCTCTCAAAATTTTTTTCGACGATCGTCTTCCTGCAATATTTTTTCATTTTAGCAAAAAAAAACCAACAAGAATACCGGCTTTTGGCGTTTTTTCATCATCGAATATTTTCGTCTTTGGACATTTCAAGTTTTCGACGGCGTCGCCGAATGAGAATCGCTCTGAATTTCGAATTTCCCTCTCTAATTCTACCCCTCCCTTAAAAAATCTTACTTTTCTTGATTGTTTCTGTATGTCGTTCGGCGCTGTTGAAAAAATCGGTGATTCGACGCTTTCTTAGCTCCACAATTTCCCCCATTACTGGATTTTGGGGGGAAAAAATGATAATTAAATGATTGAAAAATAAAAAAAATTTGAATTTCCGCAGAAAAATTACGCGCGATCGAATTGCCGTAGTGCGTGCCGCACATTGCCAAAACAACGCTCCGCCCATTTTACGATTTACGGGCTTCGCATTTCTTCAGTTTTCCGACCAATTATTTCGGATTTCAGATCTCGAATTGTGGGAAATCGAAATGCCGGACGTCAGTGTTGCGAAATTAATGGAGTTCGTCGACGGCGCGCAGTTCGACGACTCCGAATGGCGGCAAAAAATTCGAGAGTGAGAAAAATTGTTGGCCAACAACCCCGAAGAATATTTCTTGCAGTTTTGTGGTTTCCCAACAGGCTTCTAGTGTAAAAACGACGAGAACGCCACTATTTTCAGTGGGAGAAGACGATTTATCCGATGAGGGTTGGCACGAAAATGAATTATAATTTCATGTTAATCGATTTTCAGATAATTCAGCGTCAAATCGCGTTGTTGAGACGAAAGACGTCGGAATTCAATGCGCTGTCGATGAAGACGTCGAGATTTCGAGCGGGAATCGATGTTTCGACAAGATAAAAGAGGATTGGAAGAATAAGAAGCGTGTGACTCCAGGCGAGGCGCTTCGACTACTAAAACAGAACGAAATCAAGCATCGCGAGCTGGAATATAATCTACAGGGTGTCGATGCGATAGCAGTGAGAAGGGCGTTCCTCAAAATTGCGTTGCCTCAATTGCCGTTCAAAAATTATGATTATCAGCTAGTAAGTCATTTTTAATTCCAATTTTTGGGGAATTTCAATTTTTTTGAATAGTAAAATCGAAAAAAATCGATTATAGGTCACAAATTGCTGCTGTGAGAATGTTATTGGCTATATACCGGTACCTGTTGGCCTCGCGGGACCACTACACCTTAATGACAAGAATGATATTTACGTTCCGATGGCGACAACCGAAGGAGCATTGATAGCATCGACGAATCGAGGAATGTCGGCGATTCGGGTGAGATTTGTATGAGAAATTGAAAAAAAACGGCCCTGTTTTGAAAAAATTGACAATTTTTGGGCGAAATTTTTCAAAGTTCTCCATTCAATTCCAAATCTGTCATTTTTTTACCTAATAATTTCAATTTTGACAGCAAAATAAATAAAAATTATATATTTTTTTATATTTTGCGCATTGTTGTCCAGAAAATTGAAATAAAAATCAGCATAATCGGAGAATGCTTCATTTTTGATACGATTTTTCATTGATAATTTCGAAATGCAAAATTCCGCTAATTTTTTGGACAATTTTCCTTCAATATTTCAAAAAATTCAAAATTTGCTCAATTTTTTGGAAAAACACTCGATTTTCCAACCAAAAGTGTACAGAATTCAAAAAACTCCAAATTACGCAAATTTCAATTAAAAGTTATCAATTTTTCTTAAATTATTCGAAACTATGTCAATTTTTTTTGATTTTTCGAGGAAAAATTGAAAATTTTGTTGTTTGCAGCTAGCCGGCGGCGTTCAAGCGACAGTTTTCGCGCACGGAATGTCGCGAGCACCAGTCGTGAAGCTCAAAACGGCTGTCGAAGCAGTGTAAGTGGAAGACAAAAGCCAAATTGCGGCATTTCTTGATTGTGTGTGTGTTTTTTTTGCAGAAAATTCAAACGTTGGGTCGAAGAGCACATGGAGAAGGTTCGTTGCGAATTTGAGAGCACCAGTCGATACGCGCGCCTCACTTCTGTCGACATCACCGTTGATGGCAATTTGGTGTTTTTGCGGTTCGTCGCTGGCACTGGCGACGCGATGGGCATGAATATGATATCAAAGTGAGCAAATCTTTTTTTAAAACCGGCCACATTTTTTCGAAGCCTACAGTACCCACCACAGGGTATTCGCTGCGAAAATCGCGAAATTTTGAAAATCATATGCGCCTTTAAACGTGGGCATTTTTCAAAATCCAAACTATTCTTTCTTCTAGGCGCATATGATGAATATTTGATGATTCTTGAAAAGAACGTGTGGTACGGTAGTCACGAAAAACCTGGCCGTGGCCGAGGTTTTTTGGAATTTTTTTTTTCGAGATACTGTAATTGTCCGTTTCTTTAAAGGCGCGTAATGGGAAATGTTGAAAATCTCATGAAACGATTAGTTTTTTTTTTTGTTGTAATTTGGAATAATTATGAAGTTGCGAGATTTCTATTTTTTTAATTTCTCTCCCAACGAAAAACAAGCACCCTGGCCGTTTAGGGACCATAAAGTGTAATTCAAACAAATTGCATTTTTGGACAATATATATGAAAAATTATGGGAATCTCGTTAAAAAAAGAAGAAATATTGCGAATAATTGCCGAAATTTTGCAGAGGATGCCATCAGGCGATGAACTACATTGCTCGCAAATATCCGAACATGGAAGTCGTCTCATTGAGCGGAAATTATTGTGTCGACAAGAAGGCGGCGGCGATCAATTGGACGCAGGGTCGCGGTCGGTCGGTTGTCGCCGATTGCGTTATTCCGAATCGTGTCGTCGCGAAAATTTTGAAGACGACGCCGGCGAGTATTGCGGCTGCGGCGACGGTATTCTCTTTTTTTTGGTCTCGAAACGAGAAAAAAATGCTTTGCTCCATTTTTCTGGGCTTTTTTTTTGAGAAGATTGGATTTTTGTTTCGTTCCAGTGAAAAGCTCTGAATTTTTAAGCTTGCAAAGCTGAAAAATATTTCAAAAAGAAAGAATATAATGATCTTTTAAAAACCATTAGGGGGCAAAAAATGCGATGCAGAAAAAAAAGAATCGAAGATATGCGTGTTTTCGTTGGATTCGCATCGAGACCCATCGCATTAATAAATGACATGCGTCTTAAAATACCGTATATCTGCGTCACGCGGTTTTACGGTATTTTAAGACGCATGCCGTTTATTGGGTCTCGATGCGAATCCAACGAAAACGCGCGCATCGTCGAAACCCAAAAAGATTGGGATGGCAAAATTGGAATTTTTGCGATTTTCAGGCGAAACTTCAAGTCGGCTCGTCGCGAGCCGGCAGCATCGGCGGCTCGAACGCGCACGCCGCCAACATTGTGGCGGCGATATTCATCGCGACCGGTCAAGACGCGGCGCAAGTCGTTTCGTCGTCGATGTGCTCGACGCGAATGGAGGTCGACGACAACGGCGATTTGTACGTCTCGTGCACACTACCGTGTGTCGAGGTCGGCACGGTTGGCGGCGGAACGGTGCTCGGACCGCAAGGCGAATGCCTCAAAGTGAGAATTGATTTTTTTTTTCAACCTAAAAATGAGCTCGACGATTTTTTTTGGAGAAAAATTGGATTTTGAGTTGTTGTTTTCTTTTTTTGAGGAATTTTCCTCCGTGAGGAGCTCGATTTTTTTGGGAGTGAAGCTTAAAAATTGAACATGAGATTTTCAGCCAAAGATTTGGAAATCAAGAAAAGAGAGCTAGAATTGAAAATGTTGGCGAGAAATTTCCGAAAATTTGAGAATTTATTCTTTTTTTGTGTTTTCTTTATGGTCAACTCGATAATTTTCAGCTTCTGAATTGCCTTGGCTCGTCGCCAATCTACGGCCGCAACGGCGACACGCTAGCCGAAGTGATCGCCGGAACCGTGTTGGCCGCCGAAATCTCGCTGATGGCGGCGCTAGTCACCGATGATCTCGTCTCGAGTCATATGAAGCTCAACAGGTACAAAATAGACCAATCAGCGGACCATTGAGTAGTCTTTCTTGTGGTGTTCAGGTCGAAAATCCAATTATACGACAACGCGAATGAGAGATCGAAGCTCGACGAGGATATTGAGAAGGCGGAACACTTGAAAATCGGCAAGGGCAACATAAAGCTGAAGCGAATGCCGCAGGAGATGGTCCAGTGCTCGAACATCCTCTAAATTATGTGATTATATGTGTCTAGCATAGTTAATTAATTAATTAGTTTATATAAAACCGACAAATTATTCGAGTTTGACGAACGCCGAATGTCGTTTGAGATAGGCGTCGATTGGCTGCGAATCGGGCACAAGTCGCACGGTTTTGAGCATTCGGATTTGGCGCAACAATGGGTGCAACTAATTCGAGTTTGCTAATTACTTAATTGCAATACGGTGGTTATTACCTCGAGATAGCGGGTGACTTGAAGGAACGCGTCGTTGTCGCGATCGTATTCGATCGATTGGGCGAGACGAAACGTGAGGATTTCGTGGAATTCGAGATCTGAAACGATCGATTTTTGTTGGGTGTTGCAAGTGCGCTCTATTGCGAAACAAGCCCTAATTAACAAAATTGTTCAGAAAAAAACTTGGATAGGCGCTTGCCTTTTGTGGCATCGGCGACGTCTTCCAAAATTCTCCACTGCGTCGACGTGAGCTCGTTCTGCGCGAAATGCCATCGGACAAACTCGAGAACTCGTCGCGCTTGCGTCGTCGAGTCGAAACTCTAATTGGGCAATTTAGAGTTGGGGGAGGGAGGGGGACCAACTACCTGAACGCTCGTCAATTCCGTCAAATCCATTCGATAAATGAGCGACGAGAGCGAGACGAACAATTATGAGCTCAAAAATTTGCCACGTGGCACGCTAAGTAGGTCACGCCTTTTTATTTTTTTTCTTTCAAAAAAAATTTTTTGGGGGTTTAAGCTGGTCTCAAAATAAAATGATTGGTCCCTCGATTTTTTTTTTGCAAAATCCTACATTCTAATAGGACCTCTGTAATGGATTTTTCGAATTTAAAAATGACAGAGAGAGAGAGAGAGAGCGTGTGATTTTGAGAGACGACAGACCAGCTCGAGAAATTCAGAATCGGATTTTCATTTTCTAAACCAAACTTGAAACGTCCCATTTTTCGTTTCGTCGAATTACGACATACTCTTGACGCGAAAATAACAAATTTTTGGCGTGCGCCTTTAATGTACATGACAATTTTGTGTGGTTCAAATTGAACAGGTCCTTAAATTTTAATTCCACAATTCGAGACGCCCAGCCTACAATCAAATTGTCAAAAAAAAATGTTATCAGTAGAAAAATGTGGAAAAATCGATTTTCAGGTGCCGCATCGCTCAAAAACCTTGTACAAATCATGAGCATCAGCGAGGAGCTGGACAACCTGAACAATGGCGAAACAAATTTCTTCATCAACATCTCCTCTTCTCACATTCTCCTGTTTGAATCGCTCCGGTGGGATGAGCTTCTTCCGAATCGCCGGAATCAGAATCTTCGAAATCGTGAGCTTCCACGACGCATCGCAAAACGCTGAAAACCAGGCAAGAATTTTTTTCGATAAGAATGAAATCACTCGCCTGAACTCGCGTTTTTCTCGCAAAATCGTCGATTCAACGTGAAAAACTCGGCGACGACTCGACAAATCCGCGAAAAACACTCCTTTTCCTGCAAAAATTCGCCGATTTCGCTCAGGCGGCGCGGCGCGTCGCGTACGCGTCGCGGTCGATCAAATTGCATTTTTTTTCGCCTAGCACAAAATTCCGCATCTATACATATATACTTTATGGGGGGTCCAAATAACCACTGAGGCGTTTCGATTAAAAATGTACCGTCTTGGGTTACTGTAGATTTAGAGCTACAGTAACCCAAAATTATAAATATGGCCCCAATCGATCTGAAAACTTGCATACATATCAAATTGCATATGCTGAATTCAAAAATGATGGTAAAATTTAAAATTTCCAAAAGCTTCATGTCCAAAAAAGGGAAAAAAATACTTGAAAATATGCGGCTTTTCATGAATTTCCAAGTGAATTTTGATTTATATGCAAATTATGCGATTTTTGTGAAGAAATCATGATAGCGAAATGATTTTATGCGCATTTTTTGCGAATTCTGCAATCAAAATGAAAATACCTCGTCGAAGTCCACTTGGATGACGAGTTGGCCGACGAGAAACGGCAGATTCTCCAATTGGGGCACGAAATGGTGGAGAAGCGACGGAATCGAGGTGATTCGCAGCCTGAAAATCATTCATTTTTCAATTTTTTTTCAACGTAGACACCCAAATTCATTTTTTCGATTCGCGAAACGATGATGCGCCTTTAAAAAATGAAAACTTCCATGCGAAAATCGAGTAAATGAAAAAAAACACGAATTTAAGAAGGAACCTTTTTTGGATTGTCTGTTTGGGAATGCACCTTTAAGAGAAACAAACCGCGCAAGACCACCGATTAAAGGCGCACAGAGACGCGCAATTCGCGAATCTCAATGGAGCGCGTTTGCTCTTTTGAGAATTCTCGTAGAGGATTTGATCATTTTCGGAAAAAAATCGAAATATTTTCAAAAATGGAAACAAAAAATCGTTGTTCAACGGAGCGCGTTCGCTCATTTCGAAGTTAGCAATAGAGCACGTTTGCTCATAATTCGAAATTTCAAGAGAAAATACCACAATTCTTGTAGAAGAATTAAACGTTTTCGGGAAAAAATCGAAATTTTTCCAAAAACCAAAAAATCGATGTTCAACAGAGCGCGTTTGCTCATACAAAAATTTAGCAATAGAGCGCGTTTGCTCTCACACCGCAAATTTTCGCGGCAAAAACCAACCTTTCCTCGCCGTCGGCTCCAATCCATTCCAAATTAAGCGCAAAATATTCATTGAGCATTTCTCGATGAGCATCGAGCATCCTCTCAGCGGCATTTCGTCGTTCTAGAAAAAAGAATAAAAACCAAAAAAAATTTTTTCTCGGCTCACCCGAATCGCGAAAAATCTCAAAATGCCGATTGGCGCCGGCGGCAATCTCGAGCAAATCGACAATCGCCGGCGGCTCGTCGTCGATTTTGAACGAGCCGAAATTGCCGAACGCGAAAATCGACGTCTGGCAAGACAAAAAAAAATCAGAAAATTCACGAAAACCCCCCCCCCCCGATTTGTCCGGTTTTTACCTGATAGAAAAACTCGGCGAGCAATTTGGCGAAATTGATCGAATAGAGCGCGGTGCCGAACTGGACGAGCACCAATTCCGGATTGATTGCGCCGACAAACGAGAACGATTTGAACATTTCTCTGCAATTGCGAAATTTTTTCGAAAAAACCGCAAAATTGTCCGAATTTTTCCGATTTAAAGGGGGCGGGGGGGGAGGGTAAAAAATAAATTTTTAAAAAATTCGGGGAAAAAAAATAGAAAGACAATTCTAGGTGACTTCTTCGCTGAGAAAAACCGATCATGCACGTTTTGTCGTCAAATAAAATGCACAAGTCCGCAATGTCGATTTTTTCAAAGGCCTAATTTGATATTTGAAGCAAAAAAAATTCAAATTGAAATTAACACACCAAATGCATTTTATTTGACGACTATTTTAAAATCCCAAATTCCGAATTTTCAGTTTTTCGAGATCCGAGGCAATTAAATCAAAAATAATCCAAATTAAAATCATTGCGGACTTGTGCATCTTATTTGACGACAATCCTTTTTTTTCGAATTTTCTCAAATTTCTATTTTTAAAGACGACCCCCACCTTTAAAATTCACAATTGCCAAAAATATCACAAAAATCTTCGTCGAAAAATTTCCACAAAAAAAAAAACAAAATCGTGTGCGTACACGCGCACGCAAAATCGCACACAAGCAAAAAAAAAAAATGAAAATTAAAGCCAAGTAAAATACGTAGAAACAACAAAAAAAAAAAAAGCCAAAAAAATTGGAAAAAATTTAAATAATTGATTCGAAAAAAAAAAAGAAATGAAAAAATCAATCAATGCTTTAATTTTCATTTTTTTTTTGAGGGTGTCAATTCAAAAAAAACCTCAAAGTCGGCGACGCCGCCTCGCAAATCTCGCGCCTCAATTCCATCAGCGACTCATAATCAAACTCTCGTCGTGTCGTCGTCTGAAATCAAATCGCGTCGAGACCCCGCCACCCGGCGCCGCCGGCCTACCATCGTCTGACTCTCATCCGCCTCTTGACTACCAATCGACACCATCGAAATCTCATCGATCGATTCGTGATCTACCACCGCGTGTTCGGAATCGGTTCGGCAACGAACCACAAACTCATCCATTTTGCGCTCTTTCGAATCCGTGCGTATTTCCTCAAAAAAAAAGAAACATAATCAAACCATATAGCTTCTAAACTATACCATATAATCAACGCGCTTCTTCTCGATTTGCGAGTTGGCCGTCGCTTTGAACGACGACGTCGCCGCCAGCGAATTTCGTCGCAGGACCTCAATCGAGTTGGTGAAATGGAATACCTGCAATGATGATATTTGGCCGCGCGACGGTTGGGACCGCCCATTAATACATTCTTTGGCGACGCCTCTCGATTGGCGGCGGGTGGCGGCGGCGGCGGCGAGTTTTTCGCGTCGCCAAACATTTCGCCAATCAATTTTTCGATGTAGCCACGAATCTCGTCGACAATCTCGTCCTTCTCGAGAAACAACACCGAGCTTTTCGTCGGATGCACGTTCACGTCGACACGCGTCTCATCGATCTACAATCAAACGGAATCGAATTGGTGGATAGCTTGGTGAGGGTGAGGGCGTGGGGCCAATCAAAACTCGACAAATTTCAAGACAACTGACGAGAATCGCGTTTCTCGCGGATTCAGCAAAAATCGATAAAAATGGTAGCACGCGCAAAAATGTGTGCAAACACCGCGACGCAAATTCACACATAGAACATCCCCCCCCCCTTTAAAAAAAATGCACTCATCAAATCTCAATTTGATTTTTTTTGGTGTATGCGCCTTTAATTTAAAAATTTTTCAACAACAAATCGATGCGCCTTTAAAACAACCAACAGTCTAGTTTTCTCAAGGCAAACTAATTTCTGGTGTGAGGGGGGGGTGCGCCTTTAAATTTAAAATTTTTTTAAGTGCACTATTTTTGTTATAATGCTTCAAATTGGGTGTCTTGCCACGAGAAAAAAATCAATGCGCCTTTAAAAGAAGAAGAGAAGAACGCACCTTTAAATCGACGGCGCAAAACTGGCAGACGAGCGCTCGTCGGCTCAAGACCTCGTCGAGCGGCTGTTTGAGAATATCGCTTCTCACACTTCGGCCATTGATGAACACGCTGAACACGTTGTTTCGAGTCTGAAATTGGAAGGAGCGAGATTTTCGAGAAAAAACGCAGAAGCAAAAAACCTTGCGGTGTTGCGCGAGGCTCGCCGTCGCCGCCGAAATCGGACGCGACATGACGCCGCCGAACGCGAATTTGAGACGCGTCGACTCGTGGTGCAGATTGACGAGCGCGTCGGCGACGTCTCGTCCCAGCAGAAGGCTGACGACGTCGCGCAGACTCGCGTCGCCGCCACGCGTCCGAAAATCGCTCGACGCGTTCTGACGAAGCGCAAACGAGACGTCGCTGGAATCGAGCAACAAAAAAAATGATTGGCGGGAAAAAAAGTATGAAAAAATTGTCGAGAAAAATAAAATTTTTCGATTTTTTAAATCAATTTTTCTCAAAATTTTGACAATTTTTGTCCTAAAAAATGAAAAAAATTTGAAAACTTGACGGTTTTCTGGATTTTTCGCGCCTAAAACTGCCATTTTTAGCCTAAAAAAATAATTTTTTCAAATTTTCGATTTTTTAAATCATTTTTTCGCAAAAATTATCGAAAATTATTGGATTCTTGACAAAAAAAAAGCAATTGTGCTCAATATTGTGACAATTTTTGTTGAAATAAAATGAGAAAAAATTGAAAATTTGACGGTTTTCTGGATTTTTCGCGCCTAAAATTGCCATTTTAAGCCAGAAAAAAAACAATTTTTTCAAATTTTCGTTTTTTTTTATCAATTTCTCGCAAAAATTGTTGGATTTTTGCCGAAAAAAAATCAATTTTTCGCAAATTTTCGATTTTCTGATCAATTTTTTGAAATGACTATGACAATTTTGTCGTTTTCAAGCAAAACTCACAGTTTTAGGCGCGAAAAATCCAGAAAACCGTCAAATTTTCAAATTTCTCTCATTTTTTGGACAAATATTGCCAAAACTTGCAAATTTCAAATTCTGTGAAGAAAAAGTGGGAATTTTACAATTTAAAAAATCGGAAATTCTTAATTTTAGGCAATTAAAAAAAAACTTAACGTTTCCACTCAAAAATATTCAATTTTCTATATTTTTTCAAAGAAACAAAAGGTACCATTCAAAATTCGACGTAAAAAAAATTCAAAAAATCTAAAAATTCACATTTTTGCTCTCAAAAAAAAACGAAAAATTTCAATTTGAAAAAATTTCTCCTCGAGAAAAACAAAAAGCTCTCACGGTCGATGGATGGCAAATCGCATGATCGTGTCGAAAACCATTTTCGCCTCCTCATTGTGTGTCGCCATCTTGTTGCGCCTTTAAAATCAACCAATCAGCCGCCAACATGGTGCAACACACCGGCCCAGGGAGGGCGGAGAGTTGAACTCGTTCGGCGGTTTTTCGAAATTGCAAAAGAACTTCGATCAGTTTAAAGGGACACGCTAGTTGATTTAAAGGAGCATCACCCCAGAAATTTGCTCAAAATCCCTAAATTGTGCATTTTTGCGTGTATGCCACGTGGAATTTCTAATTTGAATTCAAAATAGCTCGAAAAAGATAGTGATATTTTTCAAAAGACAAAAGATGCAATGCAAGTGCGCTCTATTGAGAATTCCGAGTTCAACTCGTCGATCGCAATTGGGTACCGTTGCGGCAAATTGTAAAACAAATCCGTCGCCGTCACACACGTGCCGTTTTTGCCGGCCGACGGCTTCGTCGGCGCCATCATTTTGCCGTCGACAAAATTCGCCTGATAGGCACACGCCGAATCGGCTTGTTTCGAGACGATGTTCACCTGTAAGCAATTGTCTAGACGATGACGGCAAGTGCGTTCCATTGCAACGCGCGCGCGAAATTCAAAAATTTCAATTTTCAGGGATAACAAAAAAACATTTGCAAACCACAAAATTGCCAAACGATAGCAAGTGCGCTCCATTGCGAATGGCGCGAAATTCAAAATTCTCAATTTTCAGGGATAACAAAAAAAAAATTGCAAACCACAAAATTGCCAAACGATAGCAAGTGCGCTCCATTGCGACGCTCGCGCGAAATTCAAAAATTTCAATTTTCAGGGATAACAAAAAAACATTTGCAAACCACAAAATTGTCAAACGATAGCAAGTGCGCTCCATTGCGAATGGCGCGAAATTCAAAATTCTCAATTTTCAGGGATAACAAAAAAACATTTGCAAACCACAAAATTGTCAAACGATAGCAAGTGCGCTCTATTGCGAATGGAGCGAAATTCGAAAATTTCAATTTTCAGTGATAACAAAAAGCCTCGCAAACCACAAAATTGTGCAGATGATGACGGCAAGTGCGCTCCATTGCGACGCTCGCGCGAAATTCAAAATTCTCAATTTTCGTCGAAAAAAAACCTTGGAAACATGACTCAACGAGGCCAACGCTTCACCGCGAAATCCGTACGTCTTCATATGAGCCAAATCCTCAAATTTTTCGAGTTTCGATGTCGCGAATCGTTCGCACGCGAGCTCGAAATCATCGCGAGCGATTCCTTTTCCATTATCCTTCAAAAAAAAACAAAATAAATATGATAAAAGATGAAGAGAAAAAAAATTACAAACCTGAACTTGAAGAAGCTTAAGACCCGAATTCTGAAGGGTGACGACGATCTCGGTGGCGCCGGCGTCAAGCGAATTCTCGACGAGCTCCTTCAAAATGAATTTTTTTATTCATTTCCACTTTTCAATCTGCCGACAATTAACTGGAAAAACTATGAAATTAGTCCGAGATCGACAAAATACCATATTTTCAACGGGAATTTTCAATTTTCAAAAAAGAAACGCTGATATATGAGTGTTTCAAGATGAAAATGTTAGAAATTCGAATTTTTGATTAAAAAATTCAAAAAATTTAGCCTAAAATTTAGTTTTTTTTTTTCAAAAACACCAATTTCAGAGTAAATTTCGGCATAATTCTTCGAAAAAAAAGATTTTAGCTCAAAACTGAATTTTTTTGCTCGAATCTCGCAATTCTTGGAAAAAATCTCAAAAAATGTCCAAATTTCGAATAGACATCTCCGTTTTCTGCAAAATATTCACCATATTTTCAAAAAAACCTCAACATCTTCAAAATTTCAAATAGAAATCTGCATTTTCTTCCAAAATGTCGCAGTTTTTCCAAAAAAATCTCAAAAATTTCCAAATTTCCACTAAAACCCTTATTTTTCTGCAAAATATTCGCCATATTTTCGAAAAATCCCAAAAAACTTTCAAATTTCTTCAAAAAATCTGCATTTTCCGTAAAATAATCGAAATTTTTCAATTTTCATTTAAAAAACTGAATTTTCTTCCAAAATGTCGCAATTTTTCCAAAAAAAACTCAAAAATTTTCAAATTTAAACTAAAAACCGTATTTTTCTGCAAAATATTAGCCATATTTTCGAAAAATCCCAAAATGTTTCAAATTTTCTCAAAAAAATCTGCATTTTCCGTAAAATATTCGAAATTTTTCAAATTTCATCTAAAAAAATGATGTTTCTTCCAAAATGTCGCAATTTTTCCAAAAATAAAACTCAAAAATTTTCAAATTTAAACTAAAAACCGTATTTTTCTGCAAAATATTAGCCATATTTTCGAAAAATCCCAAAATGTTTCAAATTTTCTCAAAAAAATCTGCATTTTCCGTAAAATATTCGAAATTTTTCAAATTTCATCTAAAAAACTGATGTTTCTTCCAAAATGTCGCACTTTTTCCAAAAAAATCTCAAAAATTTCCAAAAATTCTCACAAAAAACCGCCTTTTCTTCCCCAAAAAGTTCGCCATTTTTACAAATAAAAATTTCTCAATTTCAACTGCAAAAAAAACCTTGACCGCATTGCACGGCCTCGCCAGAATCTCGCCGGCCGCCATCCGATTAACAACGTCCGGCGGCAATCGTTGAATGACGCCCATCAATCGCCTATATTTGGGCAAAATCGCAAAATTTCAAAAAAAAAAAACCACAAAACGATACGATATTCGGTCAAAAAACACAAAAAGAAAAAAAACCAAAAGTCATTCAAATTTCTCGCGCGCAATTCGACAATTTATTCGAAACAAGCAAAAGGCGAATGGAAGGGGTTCGGGGGCGTGGGGTCCGAAAAAAAAACCAAGGAGGCGTGGGCGATGAGAGAGAGAGAGGCGAGAGAATGAGAGGGGTTAGAGAAAAAAAGAAAGGAAGGAAGGAAGGTGATGATGAGACAAAATGCTAATAAAACACATCAAATCAGGAGCATTTTTGCACAAAAAAAAGAGAGAATCGAGAGGACCAACAAAAACCAATTCATAAAAAGGTGAGCAGGGGGGGGGGGGGTATTATGCCGTAAAACCGGCAATAATCAAGACTAGCTCGACGAAAATCAAAAAAAAAAACATGAATACATTTAGAAAATAGTAAAAAAAAAGAAAAGAATAATCATCATCAAATATCGGCCTATTTCCATTCGCTCTCGTCGACGCCTTCCATCAGATCCTGCTCAAGACGCTGATCGACGTTGATTTTCGACGACCACGAAGCGGCCACCTGCAAATTGGCGCAATTTTCTTTCCACCAATCACCAATGGTGTCTCATTATGAGCCTATACAAGGGAAAAATTGCAATCTAGAAGCAATCGCACCCATCAAAAAAAAAATAATAATAATGTTCGGCTTTTTAAAGGCGCACAACACCCCCTTTCTGGCAAATTGAGGCATGCGCCTTTAAATTCTCAACAAGCAAAAGCTGAAATACGGCGCTACAGACGGACGGACAATAATGGAATGGGAAACAAAATAGAGAGAAAGAGAGGGTAAAGAAGAAAAAGAGCCGACGAGGGGTTGAGCAACACAAGATTTAAAAAAAAAGCTTAAAGGGGGATGGGCGAAGGCCAGAGAAAAAAAATCGACCATTTCAGAAAATTTTGGCTAACATTTTTTTTCAACATCATTTTCGAAATGCCAATTCCCAAAATTGTCGATTCGAAAAAAGCATAAAGCATTGGTTAAAAAAAAAACTCAAAACCTTACATTTTGATTCAAAAAAAGAAAAATCGACAAAAGTTCTGTTTGGGTAGAGCAAAAATGACAAAAAGAAAAATGTGCACTTGTGTGATGGTAGAAGTATGTAGTAGTAGTAGTAGTAGTAGTAGTGGTGGTAGTAGATGACCATTTAAAGGTACGTTTCGAGAACCTGCCAAAAATCATCAAAAATAATTCAAAAAATTGACAGTATTACGTCATCATCATCATCATCATCATCGTCATCGTCAGAATCATCATGTGACGCCGCGCGGTGCTCACGATGGTACGGCTCGTCAGGCTCGTCAGGCTCCAGAGACTGTAGTCACATATTCAGTGGAAGTTTCAAAAAAAAGGGGAGAAGGGGGGAGGGGAAGAGGGGAAGGGCCGAGGTGAGGAGATATGAGGGGGGGGATTGAAAGAGGAACACAAAAAAGAGTTGAGTGTCCAAAAAAGAATAATAACCGAGGAGAATAAATGGTAAATTTTAAATTGTTTTTTTTTTCTCATCGCCAACCTGCTGACGATCCGGCGTCGCGCTCTCCGCCGCGCAACTCTGAAGTGTTCTCGGCGTCGTCGTCGTCGATGCTGTCGTCGTCGACGTCGTCGATTTCACCGCTTCCGAGAAACGCGATGTCGAACTCGCGCCGATTGGACGAGGAACTGAAAAAAAAAAACAAACATTTTGTGTTTTTTTTTTTTTTTTTTTGAAATTCTCAATTTCATGTGAAATCGCCCAGGGGGGGGGGAAACTCTCTCAAAAAATATCTTAAAATTTTTGAATTTCGTGTCAAAAAATGTCTAAAAGTGGCAATTTTTGATTGAATTTGCAAAAAAATCGCGTTGAAATTGCAATTTTGTGCTCAAATCTTCAAAACTTGATATTTCGATGGGACAAAAAAGAACCTCGACATAAAAAAATCCAAAAAAAAATTCCAGTGAAAAAAAATTTTGCGCTTCAAATTTGAGGGTAACAATCGCCAAAAATTTTCTACTTTTCGTTAAAAAAAAAGAAAAAAAAAGACCAAAAATTGCAATTTGAAATGACCAAATCAGGAAAAACCAAAAATTCTGCCAAAAATTGAAAATTTCAGTTCAGAACCAATTTCAAAAATCAATTTTCTCAAAAAATTGAAAACCCATACTCGACGAGAAGACACCTTCCGGCTTCAAACTCCTAAACATCGGATTCGCCTCTTCGCCGGCCATCCATCGCGCCGCCGTCGTCACCGGCTGCCACGTGACCAACGCGTCGGGAAACAAATCATCCTGGAACACGTCCTTCTTGATTCTCGGCACACGGAAAATCAATCGTTCGAGATTCTTCTCGCTGAGACGCCACGCCACTTGAAACTCAACAGCCATCACGTTCGCACTGCAAAATGGATGCAATTCAGAAGAGAGGAGCAACAACAACAACAAAAAAAAATGAATAAACCTCTTCTTATTATGAAACGCAATCGCCTGACCGCCAACCGGCGACATGTACGGCGTCAGCGGCAGCAAATACGGCGAATCATAGATCACCTCGAACATGTTCACAATTCGATCGCCTTTGCCGCTCAAAAACAACACGTTCGAATCATAGTCGTAGTGGGGCACGAGCGGCTGCGTCGCCGAATCGATGATCTGCGTGTAGATGTGCCGAAAGTCGGGCATCGTCGCGTCGTACATTTGCACTTGCCGCTGCGAGCTCTTCGTCATTCCGACGACAATCAATAGGCGATCGTCGCACGCGAACAAAACGCGAGCCGCGCGCGTCGATTCGAGCACCTTGCGCTCGACGACACATTCCGACGACGTCGTCGGCTCGTGAACGCGGACCATCGCGTCTTTGCCAACCGAAGCGAGACGGCGTCCGTCGGCCGACCAGCAAATCGCCAAAATGCCACCGTCGTGCGCCGCGATTCTCGCGTACAGCTTCTCCTCGACGACATCCCACAGCTCAATATTGCTGTTGGAGAGCGCGACGGCGACGAGTCCCTCGGCGAGCGGATGCCAGCGAAGGCACACAATCTTCTCGCCGCCGATTTTGATGATGCGCTCCGGCTGCATCTCGTTGCGATGGCCGTCGTTCGTCGTCAGACGCCACAAATTGATTTGGCCGCAATCGGTGCCGCACGCGAGTTGCTCATCGTCAAACGGATTCCATTGGAGATCGGTGACTTGCGTTTTGTTGAAAATCCCGTCCATCACGCCGTCGGCGAGTTTGCCCGGCGCGTTCACATCGTAGATGCCGACGACGCCGGCGGGTCCCGCTAGCGGCACGGCGACGAACTGCAGAGAAAAATTTGAAAGAGCGTCGCATTGCATCGATCAGATGTCGTTCAAATGTTCGGCCGACTCACTCACCTTTCCACTACAACAGCAACCGTTCGATTCTTGCGGCAGACGCGTGTTGACGTTGCGCAAATTCGAGAACAACCCGTTGTTCGCTTTGAGACCGGCGAGCGTTTCCACGTGGCGGAATTTCGACGTGATCTGACCGACGACGCACGATTTCGGTCGAACGCGTTGCGACAAATGCGAACGGTCTGGAGAACGAGTTGCTTATTCGAAAAAAAAATGCTTGAAAAATCCTCGATTTTGGGTGTAAAAATTTGAAAAAGAAAATCACATTGAATTTTTCCCAAGTGGAGAAATAATCCACGATAAAATTTTCAACTATTTTGTTTTTTTTACACTCACTAGACGCTCCAATTTTGCGAAAATTGACGGCCGTCGACGTCGACGCCGCCGCCGCTGCCGCCGACGACGATTTCTCGACATGCGACGGTGTCGACACCGAGCAGCTCGCGCCGCTTGTCGAATGCGATCGCGTGCCAACCCCACTGCCAACAATCGTAATCGGATCCGGCGAGGTCGTCGTCAGAGGCGACGAGTTCCTAAAACACACACACACAATTGATTGTCGACATCGAAACCCCTCACCCTTGTGTGCTGCTCGTCGGCGGATTCGGCGTGTGCGCTTTCGACTCGTCGAGATTCAGCGACGACGGCGGCACAGAAGCCGTCTGATAGGCTCGCGCGCCGTTCTCTTTGCCATAGTCGAGCTCTTTCACGTCATCGCGTGGGTTTTTCGCGACATTCGGCATCTGAACAATTCAAAAAAAAAATTAGTTTCCAAAAAAAAAACAAATACAAAACGAAACCTGCACTTTTGACGGCACATTTGTGGCGGACACTGCCATCGGCTTCGGCGGCGCCGTCGCCTGCTGAGCCGGCGGCGTCGGCTCTTGCGGCGGCGGCGGCGATGACGTCTTCGGCGCCAAACTCATCTTGGGCGGCTGGAATTTTTGTCGATAATTTTGAAATTGAGCTCACTCTTGTAGCCGTCGAGTTTCTTTTTCGCAGAAACATTCAATATTTCACGAAAATTATGTGAAAATTCCAAAAATAGCTATGCAGTTTTAGAAAAATTATGGTTCAATGCAGATTTTGGAAGAAAAGAGAGTGGAAAAAAAACTGGAAAATGCTGTTTTTTTTTCGCAACAAAATTGTGAAACTATGCAAACTTCGAGCAAACAAAACTAGTTTTTTGAGATGTTTCTTCCGATTTGAAATCGATTATTAAAAAAAAAAGCTTCAAAATTTCATCGAAAAATGTTTTTTTTGGTCATCCGGGTCCAACATTTAATGGTTCTCAAAAATTATGATACTTTAATTGAACATAAACTCAAATTGAAAAAAAGAAATATAAAAAAATCATTATTTTTTTTAAATAATACATTTTCCATTTTTGCTCATTTCTTTGCAAACCCCTCCCCAAAAAAATTTCATTTTAAACCCTGGTAACTCAAATCCAATCGAATCCGACAAAATCTTTTTTGGAAATTCTTCGGATAAGCTTGTAAAATTGTCGGATCCGATTGGTTTTTATTCGAGTTCGTTTTTTTTTCTAATTTTTCAATTCGAATCGAATCCGACAAATTAGCAATCATATCCGAAAATTCCAAAAAAAACCAATCGGATCCGATAATTTTTCCATACAATTTCCAATCGGATAAGATTGATTCCGGACCCAAATTGGGTCGGATCCGATTGGTTTTGAGTCGCCAGTCACCACTCACCAACGAGTTGTTGCCATTGAGCCATTCGTGCGCGCTGCATCCCGGCTCGGCGCCGCGCGTGTCCGGAAACAAATCGGCGTGAAAATCGCGATAGCTTCGTCGCGGCACAATGCACGGCGTCGGCACAATCGTCGATTTCGTCAACTGATAGTACGTGTCCACTTCGCCGTCCATCACGCTGATTCGACGCTTACATCCGAGCGCGGCGCCCAACGTCTGCTCGGGCAGCGTCAACTCGAACACCGACGACATGAACGGTTGGCGGTCTTGCAGCTCCATCATGAACAACTTGTTCGTGCCTTTGCCGGACAGAAACACCAAACGCGTGTCGGCGTCGTAGTGCGGAATGAGGACGCCGGTCGTCGAGACGAATTCTTGAACGTGAATCGGCGAAGACCATTTCGAGGTGTCGAATAGGCGAACCTCTTGGCAGCGTTTCTACAAAAATCAACTTTTTTTTCTTTCGGCTGAAAATCGAAGAAAAAACAACGCATTTTTTTGAAATTTTAAGCAAACATCAATTGTTTGGCGTAAAAAACTATATTTCTGAAAATTCCATTAAAATTTTCAATTTTTTTTTTTTGCAAATTTTGACCTAAAATCGAGTTTTGGTATAAAAAAACATGAATTTCTCAAAATTTCTCAAATCAAATATGAATTTTAGCTAAAAAATAATTTTTCTGACATCTTCAAAAATCCAAAATTTCTCAATTTCGTCGAGCTCAAGCTCAATTCTCTCGAATGGATTAAGCTAAAAATCGAAAGACATGTAGAAAAATGCAATTTTTGCCTTCAAAACGCTACAAATTTTTCAATTTTTCCACAATTTGTTCAAAAATTTAAAAAAAAAAACCACCACCAACATTAGTGAATCCGGTCGAAATGAGGCGATTGCCGGCGAACAACACACGCGCTTCTCGTCCCATTCCGGCGTGCGATTCCAATTGCGCAATCGCGTGCTGACTCGCGCGCGGATCAAACACGAGCAACTGACGGCCTTTGTCGCCGCTCACCGCCAGTAGGCGTCCGTCGTCGCTCCAGTCGAGCGATTGGCATTTGTCGACGACGCCGCCGAGCTCCATGCACGTCTTTCGAGACGACACATCGACGATGAACGCGCCGCCGATGGAGCCGATCGCGAGAATGTTGTCGGCGGTCGAATGCGATCTAGAGAAAACCCAATATTTTTTTTTTGAACAATCTTCAAAAATCTACAATTTCCTCAAATTTTCCAGCACAAGAAAGCGCCAATTTCAAATCGATTAGATTGTTGCAGAAAGAAATACACTTCATCAAGCAATTATCACTGCAGTGCGCATTTTAAAGGTACATGGGAAAAAAAACCCCATCATTTATTTTTTTTTCTGTTCCAAAATCACTGGTTTTTGTAGGAGAGCCGATTTTTTCGTCATATTTCTAGTAGAAAAATCAAACAAATTCGAAATTTTCGGCATTTTTGAATATTTAATTTTTTTGTTTTCAAAAAATTCAATGATCTCCATTTCTTTTTGCAACAACCCCCTCTAAATTTTGACCGCTGACTTGTTGCAAGGCCAAATTAAAAAAAAAAAGATTGTTCTTGAAATGAATGTTATTCAAGATTTCGGTTAAAAATTATTTGATATTCATTTCAACTTGATATTGCCGGCGTCGAAAATTGGCTAAACGCCAAAAAAAAACAAAGTGTCGATTTACGGGCCTTAGCAAAAGGATTGATTAAAGGCGCATGGACCACGTTTTAAATTTTCTGGCATTCAGCCAATTTTTCAAACTGAAGAATTCCATAAAAACCCTTCGATTCACAAAAAAAAAATCTGAAAATATCAGATTTTCTGATCAATTTCAATAGAAGACGTCGACAATATTCAATTTCAAAAGGTCGAGCACCGCATTTCGTTCGTCTATATAGTGGTCCCTTCCTCCCTCTGCCTAATACTAAAAGACTCCCCCCCCCCCCAAAATCGTACTTGAGCGTCTCGATGTGCACACCGGGTCCGGCGTCAATTTCGGTGACCAAATGCGGCGACGCGTCGCGTGACAACTTCCAAATTTTCACCGGCTCATCGCGGCTGCACGTCGCCAAAAAATTGTCGGCAAACGTCAAAAAATTGAAATCCGATACTTGTTCTGCAAAAAAGCGACAACGGAAAAATGAGTGGGAGCACAAGAATAAGGGTGTCGCAATTTTTGATTGCCACCGCAAACGCGACTGTCAGTGCAATCCGTCGTTAACACATTTTCAATCTCAATTTTGAAAAAAAATACATCGAATTTGACGACACATTGCGGACATTGAACATTTTTTGAAATACGCCCAAAAAATGGTTCAAAAATTCACATTTTCCACTGAAAAAGAAAATCGATCGCGCGTTTCTCATCAATTATTCAAAATTGTCTTAATTGCGTTCAAGAGCTCGAATAACCTCATCGCTTATGCAAAACGCCGCAGAATCTTGATTGAGTGGGCAATTTCGGACAAAGCGTGTTCAGTTTCAACGTATTCATGAGGAAAATCGTGCAATTTTTTGCGGAAATATCTCAAAATCGACTTTTCCTATTGGAAAAATTGAAAATTCATTGAATTTCTTTGGAAAAACCTCTTTGAAAATTTGGAAAAATGAGCAAAACTTGAGATTCTGACCTCCGTGCGCGGCGACAACCCAAATGTCATTGCGAGTTCGTCGTCCTTTCGCGCCGACCGGCAAAACGCCCAATTTGCCGCCTTCGCCCTCGATGTGAAACGCGAGAAATTCGCCGCTCGCCTGAATGCCGTTGTCGGTGCACGACAGATTGCCGATCGGCACGTCGAAAATCGTATCCTGCAACGTGATCGATGACGATTCGAAAGAAACATTTTTTTGATCAACAAAATGTGAAAAAAGCCGCCAAACATACGCAAAATGCGACCAATTATTGTTTTTTTTTTTTTGAAATATTAAATTTGAATTTTTTAAAAGTGAAAAAATCCTGCGTTTTTGCCTTGAAAAAAACATTAAAATTTTCAATTTTGGTTTAAGCTTGGAAAAAAATGCGAATTTTCTTACAAATCTCAAAATTTTTGGGCAACATTGAGCAAAAATCATTCAAAAATTCAAATAATTAAATTTTTGGGTTAAAATTTGAAATTTTCGGGTAAATGTACCCCAAAAAATTGTAAAATGTTCAATTTTCGATCTAGTTTTGGTAAAAATTTGTAAAATAGTGCATTATTGGGTGAAATATTGAAATTTTCCAACAGAAATTATTAAAACTCAATTTTTTTTCGCCAAATTTGGGCACAACAGAAAACAATTGGCGCATTCGCAATGTCGGCTTTTGACACGATTTGCAACACACATCACACCATTGTCATTTTAAGCTTGCACGAGACAGTGGTACGAAACCCGCGGTCCTCATCATCCGAGCACGGTTCATCGCGATTCTGGAGTGATTTTAACACAAAACACATAACATGCATATAGTGGGGGAGGGGAAATGAAAAAAAAGCACAAATTTGGGCAAAAACCGAACAAAAATCATCAATTCTCACCTCTTTTTTCGGCAATTTCGGTGTGGTGTTCTTGAATTTCGAGGCCGTGAAGCGCCAAGCCATTATGATATAGAAATGAGATTAAATATGCGGCGCCGATTCGAAATCTTCTGCAATCACGTTAATTGACCAATTAATGACAATTTTCACACACACACATACACACACGTACAACAACAATAATGAAAGAACAATGGAATGTGGTGCGCGCGAGTTGGTTGAATCGATGACAACAAAAATCAATTTCCAGGGGCGGGCAAGGATTGTAGGTCAGAAATCAAAAAAATTCGCTGCATTTCGAACGTCGACAAAAAAAACAGGCCTGGTCGCGCTGAAAAATCGCATTCAATTTTAATGGGACACGCAATTTTTGAGGAAAAAATTTCGAAGGTTCGCACTACTGTCGAAGTTGTTGTGCGTACACCGTGACGCACAAATGCACCAACTTTCTTGGAGCTCATTTTTTTCAAAACGATTTTTTAAAATGATTTTCTTCGATAATCCAGATGAAAATACAAGTTGGACGAAAACAGAATAATAAAGAATATTTAAAATATAAAAAAAATATAAAAAATTTCAAATTTTAATGATTTTTTCCCACAACACTTTTCAGCAAAATATGGTCTACCAATCAATTTAGAAGAAACTATAAAGACCTTTAAATGTTTTTTAAACTTTATCTCGACATATTGACACACTAAAAATGATTCAGAAACTAGAAAAAAAAACAAAAAAATGATAAAAATGAAGATAATTTTGGGGTTCAATAAGCGTACAGTAACTCAATATGAAAAGGCGCATGACAGCTTTTCAAATAGGTCTCGCAGTGAAAAACGTACTGTAATTTATGTTTCGGATTTAAAAAAATTTTTTTTCTGGTAAAATCTTCATTTTTTTTTCAATTTAAAAGCTAGAGAATTTTCAATAAATGCACTTTTATCGCGAAAAAATAAAAAAAGCAATTTTGCCAACTCACAAATTGTGTTTTCTTGCAGCTCAACTGATAATTGGTCGCCCAAAACGACGATAGGCAGGAAACGAAAATTAAAATTTAGTATCGATGTCGCAATAGTACATATATGGGAGCAGTTTGGACGAAATAGATGGGTTGGACGAACAAAAGAAGAGAGCGAAAGATTGCAAGAGTGCAAAACGGACCACAGAGAATTGGAGGGGGTCCGAATTTGGAGGGCGGCAGAACGCCATATAAATTGCACATAGCTTAACTAGGCGGATCTAATCCCCGGTTGCCCGACCTCACTAATGAGCACGGCAGACGGGCGGCGTGCCTAATTTGGAATTGGGACCATCAAACAACATCTGGTAAATTTTCATTAAAGCAAATTATGAATTCATTAGATGATTGCCTTTTTTGGAAAAAAAAAACATATTTTTGTCGATTTCCTATCGAGAAAAAGAATTTTCAATGGAAAAAGCCTCAAAAAAAACAACAAAAAAAAGACGTCTGCGAAATAAAATATCGTCCGAAATCAATAAATTTCTTATCAATTTCCGCAAAAGAAATGAGTCATTTTCGAATGAATCAAAATTGCGAAATGATTGAGAAAATCGAATAAAAATGCGTGTGTAAACATTGAAAATTGTATTTTTTTAATTAAAAATTGCGAATTTTGTGACATTTTTCCGCAAAAATCGCAAATTTTTCCGAAACAACTTCCCCCTTTTTTGGGATGGCTTCTTAAAATTCTTATTACTATATTTGGGGGGGGGGTCTAATAATAAAAGTTTTAAAAAATCGAAAAGATGATATCGCAAAAATTTTTGGCGCCGCCAAATTTGAAGATTTCGGAGATCAAACGAATTTTTTCAACAAAAAATTCCCAAAATTCGATTTTTTTCGCAATTCTCATCTAATTTTTTTGTATTTCTGGGTTTCTGTGTACTCCACACGGACCATTCAACACTCTCCACTCAAATATGACAAAAAACGTGCCACCCCCCAAAAAAAAAAAGTGGGCGGAGCTCGAGGGTCCATAATTTTTCTGGCTGAAATTCGCCAAATTTTTCAAAGTGAATTCTGATGAACTTCATTTTTCCCATCCTTCATGCCTCTAGTCCCCTGTTCCGACAAAAAGGGTCCGTTTTGAGTCGTCGAACCGAACAAGAGAGGGGGGGGGGTCCGATTTAATCACATTCGCGTCCCATCCAAAAGTTTGTTACGCAACTTTTGGTGAAAGGCGGGACCCGCGAAGCGAAATTAGATAAACTACTTAGCCGACGACGGAGCTCGTGCTCACGGGGCTCCGTAGGAGCTCGACCTACTTGAAATATGAATGGGCGGCGCGGTGAGGACGAGTTAACGAGTCGCGAAAATGAAAACGAAAGGAAGGAAGACGGGCGGCCCCCAATTGCGATGCACACACGGACCATATGACCCTTTAAATTCGAGACGACAACCGGTTGGAGGCGCCCGTCGCGAGACCCTCTTTTCAAATTTTTTTTGCTTCTGCCATTTTTTGCTTTGGACCCATTCAGTATTGTTTAAAACGCGTCGAGACCCACCTCCCACAACGGGATTACTGTAGATTGGTAAGAAGGTTTGGCAAATAAAAGTCGATTTGAGAATTTCCGCGCGAGACCCAAATCGAGATTACGGTAACTATGCTTCTCCTATGGCATACTGTAGCTTGACACCCTCTTTAAAATTTATTCCGCTCGAGACCCAAATCGAGATTACGGTAACTATGCTTCTCCTATGGCATACTGTAGCTTGACACCCTCTTTAAAATTTATTCCGCTCGAGACCCAAATCGAGATTACGGTAACTATGCTTCACCTATGGCATACTATAGCTTGACACCCTCTTTAAAATTTATTCCGCTCGAGACCCAAATCGAGATTACGGTAACTATGCTTCTCCTATGGCATACTGTAGCTTGACACCCTCTTTAAAATTTATTCCGCTCGAGATCCAAATCGAGATTACGGTAACTATGCTTCACCTATGGCATACTGTAGCTTGACACCCTCTTTAAAATTTATTCCGCTCGAGACCCAAATCGAGATTACGGTAACTATGCTTCTCCTATGGCATACTGTAGCTAGACACCCCCCCCCCTTTAAAATTTGTTCCACACGAGACCCAAATCGGACATTAATGAATAAATCAAAAATGTGCTTTGTTTTCTTGTGTCTGTTTTTTTTTCTGGCCAATTTCACCACAAAAAATTATGTGTTTTTCGAAACGAGAAAAAAAAAACATTTTTTTTGCTCGTCGCGAGACCCAACCCCTTTAAACAAAAATAAATGGCTTCCAATAAACGCGACCATGGTGAAATTTTTGTGTTGCTTCATTCATTTTTCAAGAAAATTGCCTGAAATTCACAAATTTTCAATTTTTTTGCGGGTTTTCAGCAAAAAAAATCTGAAAATTGCCATTTTCCATTTTTTCTCGTTGGTTTTTTTTTGCAAAAACTGAAAATTTTAATTTTTTTTGAACGCCGAAGGAAGGTTTTTCGTGATTTTGGCAATTTTGGCGCGAAATTTTTCGATTTTCGCCATTTTTTAGCGAAAAATGCGATTTTTTGCTATTTTAAGGCTAAAAATTTGAATTTTTATCTTTTTCGACCCAAAAATTTAATTTTCTCACGACTTTTCAAAAATGACAGTTTTTCGAAATTTTTGCAAATTCAGCCAAAAATTTTTGATTTTTCTTCAATTTTTAGTCAAAAATGCGATTTTTTTCTAATTTTGAACAAAAAATGAGAATTTTTGCAATTTTCCAAGCCTAAAAAATGGGGAGAAAAAATTTTCTACAAAAAACCTCAAATTTCTACAATATTTTTTGCAAAAAATGCAATTTTTCGTAAATTTTTTGAAATTTAAAGGAAAAAATGCAATTTCTCTCAATTTCAGCGCCTAAAATGACTATTTTGGTGAAATTTTATGGAAAAATTTCGAAATTTTCATTCAAAACTGACGTTTTCTCGTAATTTCTCCCCAAAACACTCATTTTCGGCGAGTTTCTCTCGTCTTCTTCGAAATTTGATGTCTCATTTGTCATTTGGCTTCCAAAAATGGCCATTACCCATCTCATTTATCCCTCATTTCAGTAACTATGCGACGCATAACAATATTCATCATCATTCTGATGTTTTTCGACGACGCCTCGTCGATTTCGACGTGCCCACGACAGTGTATTTGTCAGGAACACAGTATTGCGTGCTCGTAAGTCGAAAAATTGTTGAAAAATTGAGAAAAAAATGCAAAAATTTGGATTTTTGGCTAAAAAATCGCGCGTTTTTCGCATAAAAATTATAAATTTTTAATTTTTGACCGAAAAAATTGGGTCAAAAACGAGTTTTCCGGGGTTTTCACTGAAAAATTCTTAAAACGCAGGAATAAAATTTAAATTTTTTTGCGAAAAATGGGATAAATTGAGAAAAAAAATGCAAAAATTAAGATTTTTTGCTAAAAAAAATTGCGCGTTTTTCGCATAAAAATTGAAATTTTTAATTTTTGACAAAAAAAATTTGGTCAGTTTTCCGGGGTTTTCACTGAAAAATTCTTAAAACGCATTAAAATATTTTAATGTTTTGCGAAAAATCTAATAAATTGAGAAAAAAATGTAAAAATTTGGATTTTTGCTGAAGAAATCGAGCCTTTTTCACATAAAAATTATAAATTTTTAATTTTTGACCGAAAAAATTGGGTCAAAAACGAGTTTTCCGGGGTTTTCACTGAAAAATTCTTAAAACGCAGGAATAAAATTTAAATTTTTTTGCGAAAAATGGGATAAATTGAGAAAAAAAATGTGAAAATTTGGATTTTTGCTGAAAAAATCGCGCGTTTTTCGCATAAAAATTGAAATATTCAATTTTTGACAAAAAATTGTGTTTTTCGGGATTTTCAATGTAAAATTAATAAAAATAATTGAAAATTGGTATTTTTTATTTCTTTTATTTCAAGATCTTGAGAGATTGTGAATTTCATTCGAAATCTGAAAAAATCTTTGACAAAAATCGTTTTTCAATGTTAAAATTTTCACTTTTCCTCAAAAAAATTGATTATATCTTCAATTTTTGCAATAAAAATCCACAAAATTTGTCATTTTTGGCTCAAAATCTCGAAGAAATCGAAAAATTGTCGAAAAAATGCGATTTTTGGCATTTTTCAAAAAGAAAATTATCAGAAAAACGATATTTCGTTGAGATTTTTTGAAAGAAAAATGAGAAAAATCATAATAGGAGGGCAAAATATGCAAATAATAATAAAAATGTCGAAATTTGATAGGAACACGTGCAATCAGTACGATAAACATGCCGATTGATTTGCATTTTAATACGATGCGCCTTTAAAGGCGCATGCCGTACCCGAGAATTGCGAATCGTATCATTTTCGACGATGATGCCCAAAATGAGTCATTGTGTGCTTTTCGGTTCAACATGTGAATATCGGCGGCCCGCAACGATGTCCGCAGATGGAAATCATAAAAGATTTTTGACAGCGATTTTAAAATTTTCGCACCTTTTGGCAAAAATTGAATAAAATGAGGTGTGGGAAAGAAAAAAATCGGCAAAAATAATCGAAATCGATGGGCAAAATTGCGAATCGAGTGGAAATGGATGGAATCGGCCACTCAAAACGTACATTCAGACGCATGATTTGAAGTGGGCGGTCAAAAAAAAAGAAAAAGAAAAAGAAAAAAATTACGTCGCCTTAAATGGTTACGAAATGGTCAAGAAGCGCGCGCGCGGGAGGGCGCCGGCGAAATTCGAACGCTCGAATTCGCGCGGCAGTGTGAGAGACCGTCTCGTCGTCTCGCCGACTCTCTTCGGCGCGCCACACTCTCTCGTCGGTGAAGCGCGCGCGCGCCGCGCCATCAGAATTACTTGTCAATTTCGTGCTGCCGACCATTTTGCGGGATTCCGCTGATGAGACTGTGCGATGCGCGAAAAGCCTAACAATTTTCGTGTGAGAAAATTTCGCAAATTTCAAATTATTCGAAAAATTTTTGAGACAGCATCCACATTTAGCAATTTCTTCCTGCCGACAATTCGCAGGTTCACTTTTTCTCTAAAATTGCAAAATTTGCCCAAAAATTCGAATTTTGTGATTTTCTGACGCGATTTCAATGATTTCTTGCTGCCGACAATTCGCGGGTTTCACATTTTCACTAAAATTGCAAAATTTGCCCAAAAATTCGAATTTTGTGATTTTCGGACGCGATTTCAATGATTTCTTGCTGCCGACAATTCGCGGGTTCACATTTTGTGCCAAAATTGCAAAATTTGCCGAAAAATTCGAATTTTAAAATTTTCTCACGCGATTTCAATAATTTCTTGCTGCCGACAATTCGCGGGTTCACATTTCGTGCCAAAATTGCAAAATTTGCCCAAAAATTCGAATTTTGTGATTTTCTCACACGATTTCAATGATGTCTTGCTGCCGACAATTCGCGGGTTCACATTTTGTGCCAAAATTGCAAAATTTGCCCAAAAATTCGAAATTTGTGATTTTCTGACGCGATTTCAATGATTTCTTGCTGCCGACAATTCGCGGGGTCACATATCGCCATTGTTCGTCATTTTGACGACAAAACGCCCACTAAATGAAGCCAAAAGAAAAATGAACAAAAAAAAAAACAACGAAGACGAATCGACGAGACAATAATGTTGGGAAAAAAAAGCAGAACGCAAACATTCGATGGTGAACAAAAAAAACGGAGAGAATTGATGAATCAGCTGTGGCGAAATTGTGACGAATTTTGCGGTCGCTCATAGAAGAAAAAATAATTTCAGACGAAAATCTCGAATTTTGCCCCCGCCCGATCGATTTTTCGCTCCTCCTCCCCGAAACCCAAAAAAAAAGAGTACGACAAAAACGGTGCGCGGCTTGTTCGCATTTAGTGGCTTACAAGCCGCGCGGCGGCGCACGGTAAATATACGACGAAATATTGCGGCGGAACAAGAGGACGCCGACGGGCACCGACGCGGCCCGCTCGCAAAGTGTATATTATATGTAAATTATATACATATGGTTATAGTCGGGTTAAATATGCGTATTGTATAAGTGCTCTGAAATGTGTATTTTACATTTTGATAAACTTGCAAAACTGGATTGAGCGGGGGCCGGACTCGAGTCCGCGACCTCTTGCACCAAGATTCAAAATGTGCGCCACTAGACTAACTCGCCTTCATTCGTTCGCGTGTATACGCGATATATAAGAAAGAGGGAAACTACAGTAACCAGCGCTTGAGAAAAACACGCCTAAAATTTAGAGTGTCTCAAAAATTCTTGAATTTTCAGCTGCGAGGATTCTGAAAATCGCGAGCTTATTATTTCATCGCTTGGCAGCACCTATATAACCTCGCTAGTCATTCATACATGTGATAAAGTGGGTTTTTTTGAGCAAGGAAAAAATTATTTGAAAAAAAAAATCGCGAAATTTCAGGTGACAATTTCAAACGCCAGTTTTTCTGGTGTCGTTCTCGTCGAGCGACTATCATTTATTGGAATCGGTAGGCGAAATGATTTACAGCAAGAAAATCGTGTCCAACGAGTTTCAGACCGCCTATTTTTCGAGCCCAACGCGTTTAAAGACATTCTACAAAGCCCTCGGCAATTGGTGATCGAAGAGGTTGAAAAGTTCAACAAATATTGAGGGGTGGCAGAAAAAAAAACCTGAAAATGAATGCAAACATTACCAATTTGCCACAATTTTTTTTTTCAAAATTTACCACCAACAAAAATTTTTTGCGAGGACAATTAAAGGCGCATGACAGCATTTTGAATTGCCTCTCTGAAATCATGTGGAGCTATAATGTCGAGGTTTATATTCGCTGAATAAATGCTGATGGTCCCAACGCGAAAAAAAATTGTGAACAGCGAAATTCGAAATTTCCAAAAACAATAGTCGAAATGTTTGAAAAAATGGCCTAAATCTGTTTTTTAAGTCTCAAACATTGAAAAAGTGAAAATGTGTGCAAACACCGCGACGCGAAAATGCAGAAATTTTAGATATATATAAATTCTATGCCGATTTCTTCTTGAAATGTAGCCGAATTGCAAACATCGCTGCGAGACCCATTTCAGCACTACGTTTTTTTTTTAATTCAAAAAAAATTAGGGAAACTCAAAAAGCGAAAATTCGATTTTTCCTCTCCGGCAAAAAAAAAATTTGGAAAATATTTTTTTTGTGATTCCATTTGGAAACATTAATCGTTGAAGGTCCGCAATTACACAAAAACACGCAAAATTGCACACATTTCGAGAACTCGATATATTTACGAAATAGCGTGAACAATCGAGAGAGCGCAGAGACACTGAGAGAGAGTGTGCGATGGAAGGAGACGCAGACGACAAGAAAAAAAGGCAAAATTCAAATTTGAGATTTTTGCGTGAAATTGGCGCGAAATTTAAAAAAAGGTGAATTTCTCAAACTTTTCTCTTTTTTTTCGTAAAAAAGTCTTGCTCATTTATTTTTTTTTTGGCAGAATTTGAGAAAAAACAGAAATCTAAAAAATTTTGGCAACAAGACACATTATTTGATTATCGAATTGGCCCGTGGGGGGTCGAGTTTGCGTTCGACGATAGCACGCTGATGCCAAATTCAAACAAAAACCGCCCGCATTTTTTTCTCATTGGTGTTGTTACAGACCACCATTCCGAATTTGGCGCCATTCGCGTTCGCCGGCCTCTCGCACATCGACCATTTATGGTAGGACTCTCACAAGTTGAAATTTGTTTCCCCATGTATTTATGGGTCCCAATAAGGAATCCTACAATTTTCAGACGTCATTCGGGGAGCGCGTCCACCCATTCGCACAGTAGTCATGGCAGAGTGGTAACACTCTCTACTATCTTTTTGAGGTCGCAGGTTGGACCCCAAAGTGGTACTCGCACAGAAATCTTTGATTTCATGCCCACAAAAAAAATTCGACAGAGTGGGGATTGAACCCCGGGTCTCAAAATTGAAACTGGCGAGTGTTACCACTCTGCCATCACTACAACAAAGCGGGGGCGTGGGAATGGGTAGACGTGCAAGGCGCAAAACTTGCCCACAGTGACGTCTGAAAATTGTAGGGGTCCATTCTTCGGACCCATACCTACAAAAGTTAAGATACTCGCCCGAACCACTTCCTTTGTCAATGAGCAATTTTCTGTGATAATTTTTCGGTCTCCAGGTTTCGCAACTCGAAAATCGGCACCATCGCCGCCGAGGCGTTCCATTTCCTCACCAGCGTCGATTACGTCTATTTCCGGCGCACCCACATCGAGCGAATCGAGCGGCGAGCGTTTAGTAAAATTTTTTATTGGCGAACTCCTTCTGCCGACACTGTTCCGGGTTATTTTTTTTTGTCTTGCAGGCAAAATGTACCAAATCGGCAACGTCTATTTCAAAGACGCGATTCGCATTGGGACCATCGAGTCGGAGGCGTTTAGCGGCGCGCAAATCGATGAGCTCGTCGTCGACGACGTCGCCGTCGTCACCGCCGTCGACACGATGCTCATCAATGTCGACGGACGGTCGGTGCGGATCACCAACTCGTCGATCTATTTCGTGCCGCGTCTCGCCGCCAATTTTCTCGAGTTTCACACGCAGAATGTCGTCGAAAAGTGGGTGTCGTGGAGCAAGTGCGCTCTATTGAGAAACGTTTTTGATCTACCTTGTTGCAATCGAGAATTTTCATCGAAAACCCGAAATTGCAGTGCAAAATTTTAATGGCAAACGCGCTCTATTGAAAAACGTTTTTGATCTACCTTGTTGGAATCGAATTTCAGAATAATTCTAAATTTCAGCAAACGCGCTTTGTCTAGATTTGTTTTTGATCTACCACCGAGTCCAGAAGCTCACAAAAAAATTGTTCACTAAATGCGCTCTACTGGCAATTCTTTGGGTCAATTCGGAATTTCTCGAATCAAACGCGCTCCATTGGCAATCGTTTGATCTACCCCGATAGAAAATGGCGAATTGCATCGAGAAAAATGCGAAAATCTTTATTAAAACGAGAAAAATGGAAAAATGATGAAGGAATTGATGAGAGTGGTCCGAAGTCAGCTCATACTCATCGTAAATGTCATAGTTAATCTCATTGACATATTGGATGATCGAATCGGTTGAGCCTTTCGCGGGCGTTGGCATCGGCATCCGATTGGTCGCTGAAAACAAGTGCGCTCCATTGAGATGTATCGTGAAGAGGGTCTCGAAGCGAAGAGACTTACACACGTGCGCAATTCTAGCCGATTGAACTGAATGGCATTTGAGCAATAATTGTATAACAACAATCAATATCAAATTCATTTCTCTTTTTTTCTGAGAAATGCCGTTTTTTTCACGCGACTCTTTCCCAATTAAATCGATTTTCTGCTTTGTGCGATGGAGCGCATTTGCTGCAGAGCAATTATTATTGTTTTATCAATGGAGCGCGTTTGCTGTGTTCGATGAAAAGCGATAAACGCTCACATTGTTATTTGATTGGTTCTTGAAATTGTCAATAGAGCGCATTTGCTGTATGACGAATTTGAATTCGTTGTCGCAACAGAGCGCGCTTTCTCAATTTCAAAAAAGTGTCAATAGAGCGCGTTTGCGAGATAAAGCCCAGGCTAAATTTGAATTGTTCAATAGAGCGCACTTTCTCGATTCGAGAAAAATGTCAATTGTAATAGAGCGCACTTTCTCAAATTTCGAAAAATGTCAATTGCAATAGAGCGCACTTTCTCAAATTTCGAAAAATGTCAATTGCAATAGAGCGCACTTTCTCAAATTTCGAAAAATGTCAATTGCAATAGAGCGCACTTTCTCAAATTTCGAAAAATGTCAATTGCAATAGAGCGCACTTTCTCAAATTTCGAAAAATGTCAATTGCAATAGAGCGCACTTTCTCAAATTTCGAAAAATGTCAATTGCAATAGAGCGCACTTTCTCAAATTTCGAAAAATGTCAATTGCAATAGAGCGCACTTTCTCAAATTTCGAAAAATGTCAATTGCAATAGAGCGCACTTTCTCAATTCTAGAAAAATGTCAATTTCAATAGAGCGCACTTTCTCAAATTTCGAAAAATGTCAATTGCAATAGAGCGCACTTTCTCGATTCGAGAAAAATGTCAATTTCAATAGAGCGCACTTTCTCAATTCTAGAAAAAATGCAAAGTGCAATAGAGCGCACATTCTCGATACTAGAAAAACAATGCGAAGTGCAATAGAGCGCACTTTCTCGAAAAATGCCAATTTGATTTCCAGATGCGAAATATCGCAATCTCGTCTCAATCTTCTCGCGCCCGCCAAATTTGGGTGCATTTCGCTGATTGTTCGCCACTCGCAAATCTCGAAAATCGACTCGATCTCATTGATATCTCGCGTATGCGCCTTTAAACCACCCCCACCCCCACCTCAATGCTCGAATAGATCTGTTCAGGACCTCGAGGTGATCGGCGAGAATGATGGCGGCTATTCGCGAAGTCTCAACTCGCTCACCATCTTCAATTCGAGCATTGAGGCGATCAATTCGATGGCGTTCTCAAATTATTCAATGGATTTGATTGTGCTCAATTCGACGCAGATTGGCCGAATCAAACCAATGGCGTTTGAGGTAGATCAAAAAAAACTAACTCTCGATTTCTCAATTTTCAAAAAACCATTGCAGAAGTCCAAGATAATTTCAATTGTGTTCGAAAACTCGAAAATTGATGTGATCGACTCATCGGTTTTCCATAATTCCAAAATTGGAACTATTAATTTCGAGGCTATGGATATCCAAAAAGTAAAAATTGAAAAAAAAAATCGATGAAACCATTATTTTTTTCAGATTTCCAGCGAATTTGCTCAAAATTCCAGCTTGAATCGGCTTCAAATTCGAAATTCGAACATTTTTGAAATTGGCGCCAATTTATTCGAAGGCGTTCGAATGCAGAGCTTCGAAATTTGCGATTCAAGAGTGCACGAGTTCGACAAAACGGCTTTATATGGAAAAAATGAGGTATTTCGAGTTGCGTGTGCAAATTGTCGTCAGATATTGCGCATTGTCCGCAGCGTCGTCGATTTTTTCGAATTTCTTCAAAAATTTTCCAACCAATTTCAAAATTTCAGATCACCTCAATCTCGATAACCGGCTCCGATGTGTCGACCAACGGCTCATCGGCCTCACTGCTGAGCGCCAACACCGCCGAGCATCCGACGCGCTTCACGCTCGCCAACAACACCATCGATTGCGCGAGCGCCTCGTGCTCGATCAACTCGTTCCTTCTCAACACACCCAAGCACACCAATCTGCTTTGGCGCGTCGCCAACAACAAATGCCGTCCGCCAATGGTGCAACCGTGCCGCGCGCCGAAATTCGTCGCCCATCGCTCGATCGTGTGCAGCGTTCGCGGAATGGTCGCCGAGTGCGCGTGCAACAATGATGGTCCCGCAACGCTCCGACTCGACGACGGCATTTTCGCCAATAACGTCTCGATGCTCATCATCGGCGATTGCGACGCGCTTCGCGTCACGAGCTCGTCGACATCCAAAGTCACCCAGCTCTACATCTTCAGAACGATCAAGACCGAGCTGGCGCAGCTACCGGCGAGCCTCAGAGTCCTACAAGTCTATCATTCAAGCGTGCGGCTTGTTGGCGATGGCGACTTTGCGATGAATTCATGGAAGCTTTGGCACTTTGCCAATTCGCATTTGGAGCGAATTCGTCGAATCGCGAATCTGAGTCTTGAGACGCTCAAAATCGAGCACTCGCGAATCGGCACGGTACCCGAGTTGCGCGACTCGCGAATCGCGCGCCTCATCATCGTCGCGAGCCGCCTCGAATCCACCGAATCGCTGTTCGCCGTCACCAGAAGTTTGGAAATGCGCGATTCGGCGATCTTCTCGACACCCAAAGGTCTCGGCACGATCAACAGCGCCCAACTCCAGAACAACACGCTTCTCGAATGCTGCCGTCATCCCGTCGTCGATCAAAAGTGCTCCATCTATTTTCATGGGTCTCGATGCGAACAAGAATCGCTGTCGCTTGCGCACAAAGCCGCCAATTCGAAATTCTCAATGATTCTCGCAAGTTTTGCCATAATTCTAGTGTTCTAGTGTTCAATTTTCCGTCAATTTTCAATTTTTTTTTGGGTATTTTACGAATCTCAAGGAGCTTTTATTCGAATAAATCTCTAAAATATTGGCTCATTGATATCAAAACCGTCGTCAAAGTGATCAAAATTGAGATCGGCACCGTAATCCTCATCATCGTACATTCCATTCCCATTGGCTTCCCGCTGAAATCAAATTTCAACCATTCGATATCGTGACAGGACCCAAACCTCAACCATCTCGAGCCATTGGGCATTATGCCATTTAAATCGCTCGCCGGCGATCCTTCGCGCCCAATCATGCGAATGCTCCTGTAATAATTGACCAACGCGTTGCGGTCACGCGTCGCGGTTCCACCCCTACCTCCATGATGAGAAGCGCGTTGTCGCAAATCTCGCGAACCGCCGCGTTCGCGTCGTGCATCAAATCGATCATGTGCGCGCCGAGCGCCGACTCGGCGCCCATCAGACGCTCAGCCAGCTCTTTATGCCTAAGGAGCTGGAGGAACACGAAGAGGAGCTGCACGACAAACTCATCGTCAATTTGCGTCGATTGCAGAAGCGCAATGAACGTGTCGATGAGCGGTATCAAGCTTCGCGCCGCTTCCAGCTGCCTCGCCATCGTTCCCGAAGCGATGACGACCTGAAGCTGAAGTGGCTTCCGATCGTTCATCACTGATTGTTCGCCAGGCTCCTAAAAACAACGCAAAATCGGTCTTGAGTCGATTAACCATGTTCACCTCGAACTCGTATTGAAGAAGCTCCTGCATCCAGGGAATCATGTGATGCTCCTTTAACAATTTCGCCCATGGCGCCACTCGAAGTTCGGCAATCGTGCCCATACATTCAAGAGCGAATGACGATTTCGATTCCGACGAATCGAGACCATCAGCCATGGCGATTTCGAGAAGTTTCGGCACCCATTTCTACAAAAATCGCCAATAATTGTCAAAAAAAGAAAAGCAAAATCGTCTACCAGAAACATATTCTGCGTTTGTCCGTCGTGCGCGGCGATCGCTCGAACCACTTTGACAATCATCAGGTCTCGCGAGCTCAACGCCAAATCCATGAGAAGGTCCAATCCCTGACCATCGGGTCCGCAAACGAGTTGCGCGTTGCGCTTCTCGATGCACGTGTTCAACAGCACCGCCTTCGTCACCTCGCTTCCCTGACCGCTGAGAACGTCGCGCATCAGCTGCAATCGAATGAACAAATAAACCGAAACGGGTCTCGACGCGAACGCGTCGCTCGCTTACCAATTGAATCGCGTCGGTGAACGCGAGCATCGCTTTCGCGTCGTCGTTGCAACTCAATAGGTAGAGCACATTCAATGCTTTATTGTCGTCTGAAATTCGGCGAATATTGCCATTGCACCACAATTCTCGACTAGTTCACCTTCGATCAATGAGGCGATATGAGTCACTAGGCCGCCGTCCACCATTTTCGGCACATTTTTGGGCTCAAACGAGAAGTTGAACAACAATTTGATGGTGACTTTGCGCAAGTCGGCATCCTGAATCGGGAACAACTTGACGAGCTTCTCGACGACACCATGATGCTCCTAAATCTCACCAATAGCTGTGGTGTTGGGTGTGTGGGTGTGTTCGCCTACCATCACCAATTTGTTCTCCTCGAAAATGCTCAGTTTGAGCAACAATCGAATACTGGCCAACGTCAGCGAGTTTTGCGACTCAAGCGACATTTGAAGGCATTTGATGAGGAGCTGGACGAGATCGCGACGCACCATTTTCAGCTCGACGTTGATGTCGACGGCGAGATTCGTTAGCAATGTGACGCAAGCTGAACATCGTGTGTTTGAAATTGAAAATTTCTCAAGTCATGGCGAGATCTTCGAAAAAGCCAATTTTAAAGGCGCATGAGCTTTTTTTTGCCAAGACCCAGAGAGGGGAAAAACAATTATTTAAAGGCGCACAGGATCTCGCCGCGAATAACCCTACCCGCTAGAAGGCTCGATTGTTTTCTGATCGCAATTCGCAACTTCTTCGCCGTATCACCGTCGGCCTTTTTGATCTCGAGAATCCACGAATCATATCGTTTCGATTCGTGATCGATGGCGAGCACGCACAACGAGCCAATCTTGAATACGCATTGATTTACAGAAGAAGCTTCCGCCCAACCTTGTGATGCAACAAAACGGGATGGTATTTCGAGAATCTTGAAAAATTGACGAACGTCGACATGATATTCGTAGCGACGTCGAAACTGCGCTTCCAATCTTCGCGAAACACGCGCGACAGTGCTCCAACTAGGGTTTCTGGAATTCAATTCTTATTTTTGTTTTTTTTTTTTCGAAAAAAAAACTGTGATTATGAAGTTTTCGAAACGAAATCGCCTAAAAATTGTTGTTTTCCGCAATTTTCCGATCTTTTTCGACGAAATTTCGATATAATCGCTAAATGAGCACATTTTTGATGGTAGGTTTTCAAAGTATACAATAATTGACGATTTGGTCCCGTCAATAATTTATGAGTTGGAAAATTTTTTTGCCCAATTGCAAATTGGTTGAATTCCCGACAAAATTTTAGTTAGCTCAATTTCATTCTCAGAAAAAATGCACTAATTCGGTGAAAAATAAAACATTCATAAATGCCCAAACAAAAAAGTCGCACCGTTTTCGACCATCGCCGGCAAGTTCGACTCAATTTTCGACAGCTCACATATCGCCATCGCGCCCTTGTTCTTCTCGACAGCCGTTTCGCCATAGAAATACTCAATGTATTCCTGGAAACAAATAATAATGGCGTTTTGCGCGCAAAAAAAAAGAATTGAGAAACTACATCAACGCGCTCCAACTCGACGTTGATTGGCGTCATTTGTCGGCGTTCCAGGGAGACGGCTGATGAGCTTCCTGCAAAAATAAAACGATAATAATAAATGAAATTATGCGATTCTCGATCAACTCCCTACGCGATCTCGTGCTCATCCGTTGATTCCCGCGTTTCTGGAGGTAGTAGAGCGCCTGCTCCAGCTCACTTCTCGAGCTCGTCGGCACAAATGGGCATTTTTGAAGGATCAAATTGCACAACGATTGAATATCGACGTTTGCATTGAGATCTTTGAGGTTGATTCTGCAAAAATTTGCATTTTTTCCATTAAAATTGTTTAAAAAATTATTTAAAAAAATCGAAAATGAGTGTCAATGTAGCAAACGCGCTCTAATGCTAATTAATTTCAAATCATTTTTTTTTTCAAATTTTTCGCTTTTTTTCAATTTTTTAAACATTTTCAAAAAATAAATTCAACTTGGCAGTTTTTTTCAGAAAATCTTACATTTTTTGCGCATTCTGCTTTAAATTTGCCGACGCGGCTCTCGATCTCGATGAAATCTGCGACGATGATCCTACAAATCGGGTCTCATCACAAAATTTCATTAAAATTAAAAAAAAACCAATTTTATTCTCAAATCTGACAACAATCGCCTGCTCCGTTGGGTGCGTATCAATATGGACTTTCGAAATGGCGCTAAAAAAACCATATTTTCCCATTAAAACACCCTATTAGCTATGCAAACTATACCTGTTATAGCTAATCGACGAGCCAGGCCGCTGCATTCAATCAATAACTAACAGCTGCCATGGCGGCGAGGGTGCACACCATCATTTTACTCTGCGTCTCTAACGCCATTATTTATTATGTATGGATTTTATTCAATATCGAGTTAAGCCCAAATGAGAATATAATTATAATCATAAGAATAAAAATAAGAATAATAATAATAGAAGAAGAAAACAAAATTCGGGGTTTCTTTCTTTCCAAAAAAATACATTTAAAAAAGTACGGGTGGATTTATCTAGTTAGTCAATTCAAATCGATTGGGCTAAAAAAAAAACATTTTACAGTTAAAAATTTAAACGAAAAAAGAAGAAAATTTTTTGGAGGGATCGGAAACAACCTGTTTTCTAGTTTATCTTTTGGTGTAATGGGGGAGAAGGGCTCAACAGGAAAAAAAGTACATCAATGGAATTTCTCTCTCTCAAAAAAAAATTGGTGGTGTGGTTGAGCGTTAAAACAATACTTGCCATTTGAAATATAGAAAATAGTTATAATAATAGTGTAAAAAAAAGAAATAAATCAGTAACAAAAAGGAAGAAACATGTAGACGGGGAAAATGGAGCTGTGTGGAGATAGAGCAAAAGCTGCTGCTTTTCAGAAAAACAGTGGTCCACAGAGATTTTGAGAGTCGATGAGGAAGGTAACGAAAGCTTGGGATTAGGCGCAACGCCGTCGGTTATTTCCATTATATCTGGTGCAAATTTACAACAACGACGTATTATATATTTACAATGTATGCTATTTGGTTGGAATCACATAGTTCGCCTTCTACTTTTTCATACCCTTCTTCGCTTGTGCGGCCGGCGCATTTCTTGGTGGTGTGACGGGCCGATTCGAGCCTACACCGCCACCATATGGGAACTTCTTCTTGTCTGCTGGTTTCAGAATCTGTAAAATTCAGAATTGGGCATCCAGGGGAACGGATAATTTAGTGAATTCTGCCATTCGTCCGTGGGAACAAATCTTATCTCACCACACTTGACAGAAAATAGCAAGATTATATTACTGAATGCGCGAAAGTTAAAAATTTCGAAAGTGCGAAAATCAAATTGTCGTAATTTTAATACAATAAATAAGTTTTACTTTTAATTAAAATTTGTTTTTTTTTTTTCAACAAACTCAAACGGAAGCAAGGACTCGGATGGTAGTTCAGAATTTCATAAGACACCAAAAAATTCTCTCCCGAATGACGCATCGTGTGAGTTATTTGATTAAAATAGTTCATGTGTAAACAGTGCTCGAAAGATATCAAATTTCGAATAACTTTTGAAAAGTACGCCTCAGACAAATGCCTCATTTCACCCTGTTGGCGGCAACTTCTTTGAAAAACTCAAATTCCGTCGCCAATGGTTTTTGACTCGTCTGTCTCACCAGTATCATCACCGGCGTACTTATCATCAACACGCACACACACGTGACTCATCAATAATTTTCATAATTGTTTACCTGGAACGAGCACATAAGCGTTTCATCAACGGTCATCATCGATCCGGCGTTATCAAATTCGCCGCAATAGTTGGGCGCGCTGAATAATGTGACCAGTTGGCGCTTGGCAAAGAACTCATAGCCATCTTCCACAACCTGAAAAAAAAGAAAATAATAAATATTGAAAGAATGGGGTGCCGGTACCTGATGAGCTCTGCATATCAAATCAAGATCGTGCTTATGAAGGAACTTTCCCACCACTTCTGGTCCGAATGTGAATGAAACTCCTCGATCATTCTCTCCCCAACCAGTGACATCCTAAAAGAAAAAAGAAACAATTTTGAATCATCAAAAATTTCGAAAACCTTATCAGGATCCGACCAAAGAAGATCGCATAGAAGTCCTTGATCGGGGACATCAGTTGGTCGCATAATGCGGCGAATTTGTTCCATTGATTGCAAGTCTGGCGAAAGTCCTCCGTGACAGCAGAAGATTTTCTCGTCAATGATGGCAGCGACCGGTAAACAATTGAAGCAGTCGGTGAATGTTTTCCAAAGTTTAATGTTGTACCGCCGCTTGCCTAAAAAAAAAGAAGTTAGGAGGAAATCAACAGCTAAATTCTTACATTCGTCATAGAAACCATAGATTCGGTTGATCGACGCACATTCATGGTTTCCTCGCAATAAGAAAAAGTTCTCTGGGTATTTAATTTTATAAGCAAGCAGCAAACAGATTGTTTCAAGTGACTGCTTTCCTAAAATTAATAATTTTCGATCACAATTATTTTTATTTCAAAAACCTACCTCTATCAACATAGTCTCCTAAGAACAAGTAATTCGATTCTGGTGGAAACCCGCCATACTCGAATAATCGCAGAAGATCATAGTATTGTCCGTGAACGTCACCTAGAAACAAAAAATAATGAGAAAATATTGAGCAGCAATGACGAACCGCAGATTTTCAATGGTGCTTCGAGTTCTAGCAAAATTGGCTGACTCAAGAATATTTCGCGCGACTTCTGGCACAGCCCTTTAATCTCGCTTTCTGTCAATTGAACATTTTTGCCGGGTTTTGAGCCTCTGACTAAAAAATAAATTGAAATCAACATTGTATTCCAAAAAAAAGCTATCAAACCTTCAAGCAATCTCGCAATAATATTGTCCAAATTTAATTTCTCTCCGTCCATTGTTTGAGCAGAACAGCTCAAATAATTAACCCAAAGATCTGAAATATTAAAAAAATTAATATTGAAATTTGTCGGAAAAATTTCAGCAAAAACGAGCAATTTTGTCGGAAAACGGGTGTAAAAATGAAGGTAATTTCGTGTTTTAAATGGGTTTTCGAAAAAATCGCAAAAAAATCGTGCAGGTGGTCGCGAAAAACGAGAAAATTGAGCCATTGAAGAGAGGCTCGCTCGCACGTCGCTCGCTCAAAACGCGCGGGTCTTGCGACGAAAACGCAGGCAACTCGCGACTACGGTACCACACATGCGTGTGCGATGGAGCGCGCTTGCTCAAACTCGATTCGGTGATGGTTTTCCGTAAGCGTTTTTCACCGCGATTTTTGCCAATTTCTATTCTAGAAGTATTGTAGAACGTGAGAAACGCGAAAATCACGAAGAAATGAGACGAAGCGAACCGCAACAAAAAAAATTGATAACGAGAAATTTGTTGTTTTCGAATGACGCTTCAGCAACCACGCCCTCGAATTTTCGGCAATTTTTGGCCATTCGTTATATTATCAAAGTAAAATGGCGAGAAAAATAAAAACAAAGTTGAAAAAAAAATTCGTGCGATTTGATAGTGCAAAACGTGAGAGAATGGCGTAGCGCCGCCGTCGGCATGTCAGTTGTTTCTCGAAAAATCAAAAAGAAAGAAAAGTTTCAAACATCACAAAAAACTGAGGAAGAAGGGATCTTGGAAATTAAAAAAAAAACAAATTTTCGGCAAAATTTCATTTTATAATTTTTTTGAACATTTTTTGACCTATTGATTTCGCTCTGTTTACTTTGATTCTTCGTCAATTTTCCTCATTTTGTTTCATTTTTTCAGTTTTTTTTTGCGCGACAAAAAGGATTTCCGATTCGTTTTACGCGCTCGCTATTTATTTATTTTGAGGAAATTGGCCAGTTTGTTCGGAAATTAGCAAAATTCGTCATTTTCCTACGAATTCGAATGTTTGATTTTTGCGTAATTCCCCCGAAAAACAATGGCGAGTTCAATTCAATTCGAAAATCGATCAAAATTTGAAAATAAACAATTGAATAAAATTGAACAATTTTGAAGAAAAACGGCGATTTTTAAACGGAAATTATCACGTCTCGTCGAAATAACAAAAAAAAAACAGCGAAAATTGAGAGAACTTTGTAGCGAAAAACTACCGGAAACGCGGCGAAAAATGCGAATTTCGAGAAGACCGGTTTCGGCTTAGATGGCCGCGAAATCGGCGGCCACCGCATGCGCGTGACTCGGCCCCGCCGTCTGTCATCAACACGTGAGGCAGACAAACTCGCACACATTGCCTCGTTTCTGTTATCTCCTATCTCCTCGCTCGTACCTCAAATGTGTTTTGTTGATTTTTTTGGTTTTCTTTTTTTTTCGTCAAAAACGAATCGAGTTCCTTTTTGCCTTGGCGTTCACTTGCCTCGTTTATTGATTTCTCACGGCCCTCAAATTTTGTCGATTTTTTGAACCGGAACTTTGCGTTTTTTTTTCCGGCGAATCGGCATAAAATTAGAATAATTTACCACAAAATGTCGATGTTCACTAAAACGCCACCAAAAATGGGTATTTTAACTCGAAATGTCTCCAATGTTTGAAAAAAAAATTGTTATTCAAAGAAAACGAAAAATGGAATAATTGGCGTTTTTTGCTCCACGAAACCATGGCAAATGACGAATTTGGTTTCAATTTTTCTTTTTTTGAACTGGAAACGAAGCGGAAATTTATGAGTGGGCTGATTTATTTGAGCAAAACATGTAATGGAGAAATTGAAAAAAAAATGAGAGATCTTAGAAATTTGAATTGAGAAATGTTTGAAATCACGATTTTTTGTTAAAATTTGAAATAATTAATAATTTCGAAATAAAATATTCATTTTTTAACCAAAGATTTGCTCATTTTTGGTGGTTTTAATGCACGAATTTTTAAGGAAAAATTGAGTCGAATAGATTTTCTAGAAAAAAAATTGCGAAATTTCCAAAATTGGGCGTTTCAATGAAATCTGTATTTTTTTTTCTTGCTTCTGATGTCAACGTGTGACGATTCAATCAAGTTTCGGTCGCAATTCAACAAACAGCCGAATGTGTAACAATTTCTGTCTCGTCGCTCGCCTCGTGTGTTTTTTTTTCCACTTTTGTTGTTGTTGTTGGTTTTTTCTTCTTCGAGAAATTCGCGTCGAGACCCTTGTTCATAGAATATATATCAATCGTGTTATTTTTTGGCATATTATAGAACATTGAAAAGTGCATGTCCAGTGAGGATATGCCGCCGAATGCGCACACGGTTGGCGGCGGAAAAAAGAAGAGCAAGAAGGAGAAAAATGGTGGCGGTGGTGTGACGACGAACGCGTCGATGGCAAGTGCGAGTGGAGCACAGGCGGCTCCGCAAACGGTAAAAATCAAAATTTTTTCCGGAAAATGTTTTTTTTTGCGCGAAAATCGAATTTCTATTCAATTTTTTCTGGAAGAGAAATTCGATTTTTATCAGAATTATTCGTATAATCAGAAAAATTGCAATTTTTCACCGAAATCGAACTTTGCATTTTACATTTTTTAAAAAAGTTGGCGAAGAGAAAAAAGGGCCGCAATTTGAGGATTCGGTGTGTGCACACTTTTTGATTACGGTAGGCAAATGATTGAAAATCGTTTTTTGAGGAATTTAGAAAAATGGAATAGTTTTCAGAAATTGGTGATTTCTGATAAAATCGCGGAAAGGCGAGCACAAAATTGAAATTTCCGTGAAATTCGAAGAGTGGTGAATGAGAAATTAAGGAAATCATCACATTTTCCGAGAATCGTGCACAAATTAGCAGTTGGAGGTGAATTTTCGAGAAAAAAGCGAATGATATGGGGAAGAAAATTGAAAAAATGACGAAATTGTGTTAAAGTTGATCGTATCAAATAAAAGTTTAAAAAAAATCGAATTTTGGTCGAAATGAAACGAAAATGACGAAATTCGCGTCACGCGGTGTCCATAAATCCATAAAAGGCGAAAATTTTAGCTTCTTTTCGTATTTTCAAAGCGGATTAGCGAATGATTATAGGTTTTCGCCGACAATTTTTGTGATTAGTAGTTTTTTTGGCAATTTTCGAAAATGCGTCGCCTACCGTAACCCGCATGTGTGTGTTCACCGATTCGTCAAATTGCGGAACGTAAACAATTTTCGCAATCCTTGCACTTTTCCGTGTTTTTGCTTTGTTTTCTTCGCGATTTTCGCGATTGTTTTTCGATTTTTTGTTTCGAAAATTTTATGCGAAAAAAATAAAATAGGAAATTGGGGAGATTTAACGAAAACGAGGTTGATTTGTTTTGGAAATGTTTTGTCCAAAATTTGAAAAAACCCGCTCCTCATTCGAAATTTGTGTATTCCGTAACGAGAACTAAAAATGACACAATTTTAATTAAAAATTATTGATTTTCGCTAATTAGAAATTGTTTTTTTTAGAGAAATAGTTTGATTTTTCGCTTAAATTGGTCATTTTCAGTTGAAAAATATTTAATTTTTTTTTTCAATTTTGCCAAAAACGTACCAAAAACATTGCAATTTTGCCCATTTTTGGCATGTTTTCTTAAAAATTTCGAATGAAAAAAACCAATAAAACGTGTGGAATGATTGACACACCGTGTTGTTATCAGGTGACCTTCGCATCATGAGACCGTTTTCGCTTTCATTTCCCGCTTTCATTTGGTTTTTTTTCCAGCTTTTTCGATTCGATTTTGCTTGAAAATTTCGCAGCCCAACAAAAAATCACTATTTTCAATGTTTGAACTGGTTTTTTCGACGTTGGTCTTGTATTTATTGTTGGGTGTTCAATTCGATGGTTTTTTTTTTGTTTTGAGAAACAAATCGATTTTTTTTTTGTGATGAAATTTTCCGATGTTTGACGAAAATTGGTGATTTTTTCAAGCAAAAGGATTAATTTTTCAGATTGCTTGTTTTTTTTCTTCAATTAAAAAAAAAAAAGGATTTATCACCCAAAGCTCTGAATTTTTAATTAAATGACCAATTTTTTCGATTTTTTTCAGCTCACATCCGAAATTATACAAGAGTTGTGCCATTTTCATTTAAAAAAAATTGAGGCTTTTAGAAAAATGCTAAATTTTTCTGTGCAAATTTCATTCGAAATTTTTTTAAAAGTTAAAATTTTGAAAAATTGTCATTTTTGAGTATTTTTTTCTAATTTCATCCAAAACGCTAATTTTTTGGTTGTCTTTTTGAAATGGTGATTTTTATTTGAAAAATGCGAAAAAAAAAAGAATAATTTGCTTTGTTATAGGCAGATTTTTAGCGTTTTCAGTAAATTTACGATTTTTTTTTTGCAGATTCCGTCGCAAACCGTCGAGAAAGAGAACAAAGTGGTCGTAGAGGATGTGGAAATCGATTTGAAGAACGATCGAAGCACCGAGAGCCTAGGCGATAGTTGTACGAATAATAAAGAGCACGAGATTTGCGAAAAAACGATCAAAGCGCCAATTTTCGGTATTGGAATATCGAATTTTTGGCGCCATTTTCAAATTGTTTCGTTTTAGACGACACACCAATTGCGCCACCGCGAAAAAAGAGTCACCAAAACGGCAAAAGTGCACCACCACCACCAATGGCGCCGGTTTCGTGTAAACCATCGCCATTGCCAACGCGAGAAGGCGTAAGTCGAGATATTTTCGAGACAATCATGATTACGTAAAAATTTTGAAACCGAATATACTATTTTCTCTCTCTCTCCCTCTTTAAAAATTTCAGATTTTTCGAATTTATTTAAATGGAATGAATGATCGTTTGTTTTGCTGAAAATTTGTCGAAAAAAAAGTCGAATTGATATTGGAAATTTTTTGCGCTCAAAATAAAAAAAAATGGTATGGAGATCCACAAAATTTGAGTTTTCTATCGAAAAATTTCAAAATTTTTTTGTTTGTGGTTTTTGGAAATCGCAATTTTCAGGCGCCGCAACGCCAGCGAAACGCGTCGATCTCCTACAATCGCGGACAGGTTGTTCGACCGTCCGATCCACCGTAATCCCCTTTTCATTTCTACCGTAATCGCCTAGTTTAACACATTTTTTTTCTCATTTAAGGAGCTCGACAATTGTTGGCTCAATGGCGGGAATTGTTCAAGACGTGCTGCCGAAAACGCATTCGCCGTCGAATAGCGCGCCGCCCGTCGAAAAAGCCGAATGGGTCCAAATGAGCAGCATCGAGAAAGGTTCGCCGATTCTCATTCGCATTTCTAGCTCTATGGGGGTCCCTTTTTGTTTTAGCCGGAAATCCGAGAGAACGACTCGACGTGTTGGTTGTTGGTCTGGCGAGAGGCTATCAAATTTGGACGTTGAATGTAAGCATTTTGATCAACTCGAGCAAATGCGCTCCATTGACAACACCGAACAGATTTTGAATAGTGGTTTTTTTTTGAAAAAAATTTCAATGAGATCAATTTTTAGAGAATTTGATAATTAGTAGGAGCGCTTCCTTAATTTTTGACTATTGCAAAAATTGATTTTCAGCCGAATGGCGAATTTGAAGAAGTGCTTTCTGAAAGGCAGGGGCCCGTGCGTGTCTGCAAAATTCTGCCGAATAATGTGAACGTTGGGCATGTGAGAGATCCGTAAGTTCGCATTTCTAACGTATATATATGTAGTTTTTTTGTTGCAGATTCGCCGCTCAGCGACCACTGATGGCGTTGGTCGATGCTTCTTCGCATGTGCCCGATCGGCAATATTGCTCGGTTCAGCTACTTTCGTTGGCGACTGGAAAAGAAGTGCATCGATTGACATTTGATGAGCCGATCACGGCGATTAATGTGTCTGAACAGTGAGTTTTGAAGCAAAATTGATGTTTTGTGAAAATTTTCTTTGAAAAAATTGACAGATTTCTAGAAAAATGACTTCAAAATTGAAATCTTATGACGTTTCTCTTATTTTTTTGAAGCGAATTTTCCGATAATTGCTTCAAATTTCAGATATTTGATCGTTTCGCTTCTGAATCGCGTGTACGCCTATGAAGTCGTCAGTTTCGCCGAAGTGCGCCATCTGAAGACGGCGGCGCCATTGGAGAGCAGTCCACCGGCGGTGGCGCTCAGCGGCCAAATGCTCGCTTATCACGATTCGTGTCTGAATCCCGACATTCAGAGCAGCGGCGGTTTGGCGCCGGACGTTGAAGCGAACACCAGCGAGAAGTACGCCGATCAAATGATGAATGTGAGCCGATTTTTTAAAATTTATTTTTGAGAATGAGAAAAATGCTGAACATTTTCTAGATGTTCTCGAGGACATTCAAATCGATTGGCGATTCGGTTGGCGCAACAACATCGGCGTTGAGTAGTAAGAATGGAATTGCGCACGGGATTGTCACGATTGTTGATTTGGCGACTCAAGCTGAAGAGGTCTTTTTTTAGTTTTTTGAGAAAAATTGCCCTTTCTTTTCTTCGCATCAAATGAAAGTTTCAAAAATTTCGGAAAAAGGACACAAAAAAAATAATTAAAATCATTTTTTTCACGCAAAAAAAAAGCGATTCTACGAATTTGAACCAAAAAATCTGAAAATTTCACACCAATTATGAAATTTCAGTCATCAGATGGCGTTATATGCCATTGGATAGCGCACGAGGACGCGATTTCGCACATCGCCTTCTCGCCGGATCAACGACTCGTCGTCACCGGCGATTCGACGGCCAACGTCTTCAACGTGTTTCTGATTCTGCCGCATCCGTCGTCATCGACGCTAGCCGCCGTTCAGCACCTCTACAAGCTTCATCGCGGCAACACGCCGGCGAAAGTGACGGGAATCGCGTTCGCGAACGATTGCCGCTGGCTGGCGGTGAGCACGAATCACGGCACGTGCCATTTGTTTGCGGTGTGCCCGTTTGGCGGCAAACCGTCGCACCGAACGCATGGCGAGATGTTTGTCAACAAGTAAGCCAATTTTTTGCCTAAAATTGTCTAGAAATGTGTTTTATTTAGTAAATTTTTGTCTGAAAATGTAAAAAAAAATCGAATTTTGAAGCTTGAAATTGGACAAATTGTTTCCCAAACCCACGATTATTGAGTTTCTTTCGAGATTCCTTCAACAGCCAACAAAAAAAAATCGGTTCTCAAAATTGCAGAGAATCGCGTTTCCATCGTTCCGCCGGTCTGTCGGACACCGCCGACGTGACGGCCTCGTTGGGTCCGAGCAAAGCGCGCGCGATAAATGTGCACGCGAGCCACACGAAAGAGCATCCGGTGGCGCAAATGAGTAAGCCGTTGGCGAAAACCAACGGCAATTCGCGTGTGGGACCATTTCCGCCGCCGTTGTGCCTCAACGCCGTCAAAAAGATCAAAGATCAAAGGTATTCGGCCGATAATCTCACCGCGTGGGCGACCGATATGACGACGCTTCCTCTGGGGACCACCGGAAATGGTAAGTGTGGACTTTTTGGCATATACTGTTGAAATTGCCATAAATGGTCTTGAGGCGAGACCCAACTCGCGATTACTGTATCACACGGTCTTAGGTCTCGAATGGAGCTTAAAGCACTTTGATTATATTTTTGAAAGTGCCAAATTGGCTGAGAATAAGCACAATTCAAAATTTTCAAATTCATTAATTGAAAGAAAAAAAACGGCAACAAACATTTTCAGTGGTTTCGCCGACGCGACGGCGAATCGAGACGCCGAAAATCACGGTGAGATTCGCGTCGAAGCCCACAAAAAATTCGACGTCGACACCGCCGATGAGTTTGCTGGTGTGTCGCGTTGACGCGAACGCCGGCGGCGTTGTCGTGTGCGAGTATGAGCTTCGGCCGAGGGCGGGCGCCGTCGAAACGGAGCCGCCGAAGCTCAACGTGACGCCGAAAGGATTGTGGGCGTTGCAGCGGACGAAGAACAACGCCGACATGCATCCGCCGATGCCGCAAGGCTCGCCGCTGATCAAACTGTCGGCGATAGTGGCGAATCAAGAGAATGGCGGCGGTGGTGGTGGTGGCTTGCGACGCGGCGAGGAGATGTGGGCGCCGCACGTCGAGACGAGAACGTTTCAGCCGCCGACGAGATGGCTCTGGCAGGGACCACAATTTGAGTTTTACGAGTATAAAGAGGAGGACAGTGCTGTTTTGGTAAGCATTTATGGGGTTTTTTTTTTTCGCTAAATTGAGAATCAACATATCATTTGCGGACTATGCGTTTCATTTGACGACAAATTGCACAATTTTTATCGTGTAGATCATGGGGTATTCAACTGGATAGAAAATTAGAAAAAAAATGGCAAAAATTCTTATTAGCCAGCAATTGGTGAATTTTCTGAAGATTTTCATAATTCATCTTTTGAAAAAAATCGAAATTTCATGTTAAAATTGTCTGAGCTATTTTATGGGACACATTTTTGTGGGTTTTAAAGGCCGTCAAATTGAAATTTGAATTTTAGATGAGCCCGAACGAGAATCGCGAGAATCGCAGCTCGGTGTCGTCATTCAAATCGATTCCGGTGGTGATCGGCGGCGGTTCATCATCGAGTTCGTGTCTATTCCAATTTTGACCATTTTCATTGTTGGGTTATTTTCAATCTTTCAGATTCGGCGAATGTTGTTCCATCGGATGCCACGCGAATCGAGTGCGGCAGCTACACGTCGACGAATTCATATATTTCATCATTGAATGCCGATGCGCAGGGAGACATTGCGGTAGGACGAGCTTTTTTTTTTTCTTCGGATGAAAACTATTGCAAAATTATTGACACAAATTAACGAGCACTTTGAGTAATTGCGGACCATTGTATTTTTTGGACAATGGGAATTCGGGTACCGTATTATTGATTACCGGCGACATGCGTTTATTTTGTAGTCAGCCAAATGTCATACTTAATATAGTGTTTATTTATTTATTTTATTTTGTGTGTTACGGTGGCATCGAATTCCGCAATCATTCAATATTACGCAAAAATGAACATTTTCTATCTTTTTATGGTAACGATTTGTTTCGTGTTCCGTTTTCGGAAAATTAAAGTTCCGTGCCGCTTTGTTTGGGTCTCGTATGGTAAAACCGAACTATTACGGTTTTTCTTTGCACCCTGATGTCGAAATTTCTTTGTGAGACCGAAATAGTATACGATAGTGGTCCCGAATTGGTAGGATTATGGAATGAAATGAGTAGCTCATTATAATCAAATTGCTCATATTTTTTATTCATTCGAAGAAATTTAAGAGCTTCCCCCCCCCCTCCAAAATAAAAAAAATTTTGATTTGTTTTCAGTCGAAAATCGCTGATGCGATGCGTGAGATCACCTGCGATTCGCCGGAACCTCAACCGAATGACGTGAGTTTTTTCATCTGTGCATTGTGGAGCCCATTTTTTTTTTTTTTTTTGAAGAAAATGCCCGAATTTGGCATTTAGGTTTAAAGGCGCATACAAAAACATTTTTGCGTTTGCGCGAGTAAATCAATTTTTCAAAAATGAATGGAATTAAGAAATTTATTTTTTTTATCGCTTCAGCTCGATTCGATTGAGGAGTTCTATGACACCCATTCGCCATCAACGGAGCGACGCGATGGCGCGAAATCGAGCAAATCCGCCAAGAAGGCGCCATTGTGTGCACCACCACCACCGCCACCACCATCGGTGCCACCAAAAGGTGTGCGCCAAAATGATGAGAGCGAAGATGAAGATATTCTCGATGATTTCGAGATGGGCGACGATGATGAAGAGGATTTGTAAAAATTTTTGTATATATATTTTTTCTTTTTGCAATTTTTGTTTTGTATAGGAACTTATGTAACTGCTGGCCAGAAAACGAAAAATCCGACCCCCCCAAAAAAATTCTTTTTTTTTTTGTGTATTACGGTGTTTATTTTTTGTAGATTTCTTATTTTTCGAATTTATATGTGTAGCTTTTATGTTATTTTCTTTATTAAGGGTAGCACCGCCTATATTTATATTTTTGATATATGGACGTTGATCGTCGAGAATTGCTTTCTTTTTGTGGCTTTTAGGCTTTTTTCCTTTAACCCATTATTTTGTATGATTTTGTTTTTGAAATAAACGTGTTAAGCCACCAGAACGGAAGTGGATTGAATTTTTTGAGATTTTGTCGTCAATTCAAGTGCACTTGGTGCAAACACTTGGGACAATGCATTGGATTTGACGTCAAGTTGCACAAACTCACGCCAATCTCAATTTTTCAATCTGAACAAATTCCTAAAAATGAAAATTAATTCTCAAAATTTCAAAGAAAAATGCGAAAAGCGGTTGAAAGCAAAAAAGAAATTTTGAAACCGGAAATTCAAATTACACGAAAAAGTTCATTTTCTACTGGAAAAAAAAAGGGAAATGTAAGACTATGACATCTAAAGACGATAAAAAAATGAAATGAAGAAACGACACAATCGTTATAATAAATTAACAACTATCATATGATGATGATAATAGGCGAAAAAATGAAGAAGAATGAAAAAAAAAACGTGGAAAATGAATGAGAAATTTGAATTTTTTTCCGCGAAAAAAAAAATTAATTGAACGACCTTATTTCGACATCGCGTTTTTCATTTCGACTCCCAATTTTGCCGGACTATCGGTGACGACGACGCCAGCCGAGCGAAGTGCCTCGATTTTGTCGCCAGCGGTACCTGCAAAATTTTTGAAATATCCCACAATTCACGGAAAAATGACAATTTCTGCAAATTTCAGACGTCAAAAAAAAATGCAATCTTGCCAATTTTCACGTAAAAACATTCGGAAAATTCCAATTTTGAGCAAAAACGAGTTGAAAATCGAAAATAGCCAATGAGCAACCTTTTCCGCCTGCAATAATCGCTCCCGCATGTCCCATTCGTCTTCCCGGCGGCGCCGTGACACCAGCAATGAACGACACCACCGGTTTGGCGTTCGGACCCGTGTTGCGCTCCTTCAAAAACTCGGCCGCCTGCTCCTCGGCCTGCCCGCCGATCTCGCCGATGAGAATGATTCCCTTCGTCTCATCGTCCTCCAAGAACACCTCAAGACAATCGATGAAGTTGGTTCCATTGAACGGATCGCCGCCGATTCCGATGCATCTCGTCTGCCCGAGGCCGGTCGTCGTCGTCTGATGCACCGCCTCATACGTCAGTGTGCCCGAACGCGAGACGATTCCGATGCAGCCCTTCTTGTGAATGTGGCCCGGCATGATACCAATCTTGCACTCTCCGGAAGCAATGATTCCCGGGCAATTAGGACCAAGAAGGCGCGATTTGTCTGCAAAACAGTCATGCTCCTTTAACTGCTACTGTATCTATAGTTTCGTCTGTAGCAGAGATCGAGCCTTAACGCGTTCTCAGCGTCAAACTACAAATTTGTCTTAATTGGATAATTAATAATGCGCCTTTAACAAGCTAACGTTGTTTGGGGTCAGATTCATCATCATCCATAAATTACGGTGTCTCTAGTTTTGCTGTTATCTATCAGCCTTTTAGATTACGGTAGCTAAGTTTCAGATGTGCTAGAAGTAGAGTCACGCGTTTTTACTTTAAATTTCATTGTAATCGTATTCAATACAATTTGGTGGCAAAAATTTCGCAAAAAAAGCTCACTTTGCTTGAGGAGTCGATTCTTGACGCGAACCATATCCTGTTGCGGGATACCCTCGGTGATGGCGACAATCAATCCAATCTGAAACGGCGGCCATTTTTGAGAGATCTTCCCGATTCGATATTCTAATAATTATTATTTACCTCGGCATCGATGGCCTCGTTGATAGCGCGAGCTGCGCCGGCGGCTGGCACATAAATGACGGTCGCGTCGGCGCCGGTCTTCTCCTTGGCCTCGGCGACGGTTCCGAACACCGGAAGACCGAGATGAGTCTCGCCAGCCTGCAATTCAATGCACACACTATAACGACTGCTACAGTAATCCGTTGGGAGCGTAAGACTTGCGGTAGAGAATAAAGAAATTAAGTTTGGCAAAAATTTTGACCAAAGCACATCTAGGTCACATATCCTTATATACCTTATTCGGCGAAACACCGCCAACAACGTGGGTTTTGTACTCGATCATTTGCTTTCCATGGAATGTACCTTGTCTACCAGTGAAACCCTGCAATTTCATCATCATCATATCACCGAATTGGCGGCACTTTGACCTTTAAAAGGACAAAAATTGTAGAGAACTCACTTGAATAATGACTTTTGTCTGCTTGCCGATCATCAGATTGTTTCGCGTGTCGCTGTAGACGCTTCTGATGACAGTCCGAGTCGCCGAGCGGGCCGCCTTAGCCAAAGAAGTCGCCATCCTTCCTATTCAGCCGAAAAAAACACAATGAAATTTGAGTGACACTTGAAAAAAAAGTGAACATTTGAAAATGAACACATGATTCACGTGCGACTCGCATGTTATTTACAAGTTTTGCATTGGCAATAATTTGATGGCTACAAGGGTTTAGTTTTTTTAAAGATATAAATTTTCTCGAGAACACAAAAAAATGACAGCGAGACAGCGAAGGGATATAAATGCGGCGAAAAACAAAAAAAAAAGAGAACACTGAAAAATTCTCAGCGCTCTTTAAAATCGATTTCTCAGCGAATGGCGGCATTTCCAAGTGAAATTTTGGCCTAGAAACACTTTAAAATTCGCAAAATTTCCGAAAAACCGAAAATTGTCTAAAAAAAAGCCATAAGACAATCGAGGAACGAAATTATTGAGCATGAAAATCATGGAAAAAAGTGGGCGTGGTCATGAGATGCAGATTGCGCACGGGGATTTGCAACGAAATCGCATAAAATCTCAGGCGGCTTGAATTTCAACACTTTTTCAGCGAAAAAAGTTCTCATCAAAAACCAAAGGCAGTAGTGTCCAAAGTCTGTTCGCGCTGATTGCGGGGGTACACTGAAGTCGCCGCCGACACTTTGGTCGTTTGTCTGCGTCTATTACATCACAATCAAAGATCAGGCTAATGCATTTCGTCGGCGAGGAATGAGTGAGTTTCCTTATCAATCCGTTTTGTTGATTATTTTTGTTTGCAGGATGAAAGCGATCAAAAATTGCAAAAATATCCCATTTTTATAAGGTTTGGTTTGAGGAAAATCTAGATTTTTTAACGATAAACTTGGAAAAATTAAATCTGTATTCGAATAATTTCTTTTTTTCAACTTTTGAAAAAAAATTGGATGGGTTTTGTGGCAAATTGATTAGAAAAATTTCGATTTTCTTCTATTTTGTAGCCACAAAATCACGCCACACCCAAATTTTGTGGCCAAAAAAGGTAATATAAGGGGAATTTAATTCTCATCAAATTAAATAGTACAAAATTGTAAAAATAAAAATGAGAATTTCTTTATTCAATTCTATTTTGCACAAAAAAACAAACAACAAAGTGCAAATCAGCTAGAAAACAATCCTAAAAAAACCCGAACACACTTATTTTCTCGAGTTCACCATTTTCGGCGAGCTTCCGGCCAACGTTTTTCTCGACAATCGAATATTTCCGGTCTGCTCGTCTCGTCCGAACCAGTGCACCGCGATTTTCTCGCCAACTTTGAGCCCGAGCACTTCAGAATGCCGAATTGGCGTCAAACTCAGATGGTTGTTCGGAATGAACACGCGTTTCAAGCTTCCCGGCAAAGTCACATAGATTCCGCGTTCGATAATCTACAAAACAATGAACAATGAGTCGGAAATTTCAATTTTCTGATAATGAAAAGTCTCAAATTTTGAAAGAAGGCCATTCTTTCGCAAAATTCAAACAAAAAACGCGCCTCGACAATTTCCGCCGACAATATCGAGCCAAACGTGTAATCCAACTTCTCATTATCCTCCATCAATCTGAAATTCTCAAATTTTCGCATTTCTCCGACAAAAAGAAACCCAACGTTTTCATCAAATCTTTCGCATTTTGTAGTTTTTCTTTTGTCGGCGCCAACATTGAGATCGTGTGCTCATCTTCAGCCATTATCTACAAAAATCAAATCGAATTCAATATTTTGTGCTCGAAATAGTCCTACTTTGACGTTGGTGTCGGCTTCAATCTGCTTACAATTAAATCCATTGTTTCGGAACAAAATTGCCCGTTTATGGGGCTCGATTCGCATTGATTCGATGATCGGCACACTCGATTTGAATTGTTCTCTGCGTGGAAAAAAAATTAATCAAATTTGACTGAAAAATATGCATTTCATCTTTAAAAATGCAAAAATTATATTTCAAATTCAAAAAAAGTGGATTGACGGAACCAATTCTTTTAAAAATTTCAAAATTCTTCAAAAATCTTAATTTCTGTGTAAAAATGGATAATTTTTTATGTTAAAATTGGCAAAAAATTATTTCCCCTTTCAAAACCTCAAATTTCGTAGAAAATTGAAATTTTGAACTAAAATATTCTTATAATTTGATAGATTTTAAAGAGAAAGCTCTATTTTTCAACATTTGAAGGTTTTTTTAAAGAAAATTAGAAAATTAATGAATATTCCCACATTTTTAAAGAACAAAAAATGGTAATCGTAATGTTCTCTCGAAATTCTCAAATTTACTTTCAAAATTTGGCAATTTAATATGATCAAACAAATTTTTGCAAAAACGTTTCAAAAATTCCAAAAAATGAGATTAAAATGGGGGTATTTCAATACAAATTTTAATTCAAAAAAAAAATTCAACCTTGGCCGATCTCTCATCACATTCATTTTCTTCAAAACATGATCGATTCCAGCCCTTCCGGCTTCCAAGCTCTCACGAAGCTGTTTTCTCGTCAATCCGCCGATTTTCACGTCCATTTGCGCCGCGGTGAAGCCAGTTTTCGTGCCTAAAATCAGGCGTATGGAAATGATGGTCCCATAATTGAAATCAATAAGCCAAACCAGCAATCTTGAAATCCATGTCGCCGGCGTAATCCTCGATTCCCAAAATGTCAGTGAGCACTTTATAGTTAGATTCGGGTCTGAAAACGATTCAAAAATTCGTCCCAATGGGAAAAAATATGCGATTTTGGTCAAAAATTCCAAGAATTCCTCGGCGTCTCACCGATTCTCATCAGTGACAAGTCCAATAGCGACACCAGCGGCCGCATTCTTCATCGGCACTCCCGCGTCGAACAACGCCAATGATCCACCACAAACCGACGCCATCGAGGACGATCCATTCGATTCGAGCACCTAATTCACATATCGCGTTTAGCGCTTTCATAATTCGAGCCAACCTGACACGCAAGCCGAACCGCATAGGGGAAATCATTGGGCACAAGGTCTTTGAGCGCCTTTTCGGCGAGCGCGCCGTGCCCGATTTCGCGTCGATTCGCCGATCGCGACGCCTAAAATCGAGCGCGTTTCGTGTGGCCAACAATCTTGTCAAAAAAAAAAAAAAAAAAACTCACGCCGATCTCATTTGTCGCGTAGCTCGGAAACTCGTAATGAAGCATGAATGATTTTTTGCGTTGCGAGCCGAGCAGTTGAGCAACCGAATCCGGATGGAATGCCGCGGTTGGGCTGTCGAATGTCACCGTCGACATGACCTTCAATTCGACACATTTTTTCAGCGAGACGATGAAGCTCAAAATTTGAGCTTCTAGCAATCATTTTATTGAGCTAGACCCCAAAAAGAGCTATTCTTGAGCTTCTCTAATTCATTTAATAAATAAATAGCTTGAAAACTGATTGGTTTTGAAGGTCCGAAATAAATTTCTTTTGTAAAAATTTAGAAAAGTCACATTTTTTTAGAGAAATTTCCAAGAACTATGCTAGATTTTCAATTGACCCATGGAAATAGATTTTCTCAAAAAAAAAAGCTCGCCTGCGTTTGCCCTCGTTGAAACAGCGAGCATCCATGAAGTTTTTTGTACATATCAATTTGAATCGAGATCGGCCGGAATTCGTCGATTCTTCGTCCGTCGCATCGGATCCCCGACGTCAATACCGAATTGCGGAGCACGTTTTTGACGAGCGAATAGAAGCAGTTGGCGACGTTGAGGTATTCAAAGTCGGCCAACACATTGGATTTCAGAATGTCGTCGAGAATATTCTGAAAGTTCGAGATACTTCGATGGAACCCAAAAAAGAGAATTTGGGTTTGCGCCTTTAAGGTCTCGACATTCAAATAAACCTTGATTTCGTTGTCTCTTGAGACTTTGTCATGTGTTGAATCGGTCATGACGTAGTAGATCCGCTCTCGCGCCAATCCTTCGATGATCTCCATAAGCTTATCGTGATTTGGGGGAACGATCTGAAGCAATTTCGTGAATTTGCCACCATAAAAATTCCCCTCACCTCAATTTTGTCGTTTTGCACATTGCTCTTCATCAAATCCATCGCGTTGAGCACTTTTTCGACGTCTCTGAACGCCACATCCATCGCTTGCTCGATATTTTCGAGTGAGACCTCGTTGGCGTCCATCTCAATCATCACGGTCTTCTCGGAGCTCTTCATTGAGACGATCAGATTCAGAATCGCATTCTTCGTCTTCTCCGACGACGGATTCACGTGAATCTGAACAATGATGTGAGGTCTTTGCGAGCAATCAGAATTTCGGTATACATTTCCCTGTGGGTCCATCACAATTCTCAATGCGGCCATTGGTCCATCGAACGGTACCTCTGAAACATGGAGAGCTGTTGAAGCAGCGTTGATTCCAAGCATCAGCTGATCACCATCTTCATCTAAAGCTAGCGGCTTGCAAATAATCTAAAAGCAATTCGGAAAATTTTAATTTTTTGGAAATCGCACCTGAGTCTCATAGGAATATGCGGGAATTAGCGGCCGCAGCGATCTGTCGATGGCTCGAGAGAGCAAAATCTCGTTTTCCGACTGGCTCAGCTCCCTTCTAAGGAAATTTGTTGGGATTCGGCCGACGGCGGCGGCGCTTGGGCGATATTCAACGGTCAGCGGTGTGCCGTTGCCGTCACCTTGCCGTTTTCCCTGCACACACGTCGCCATGATCGCGTTGTCTCCTGTCGAAGCGACGACAGCGGCCGAGGCGAATCTGGCGAGATGTCCCGTCTTCAATTCCAGCGGTGATTCGCCGATATCGCATTTTGCGTACGATTCCTTGTTTGTCTTTCGAACCCCACTGAATTTTGGTTTTGACAAACTTTTAATTTTTCTACTTACGATATGAATCGACAGGGAAGTTTTAGTTGTGGAATAATTGCGGAGGTTTTCATTTTGGCGGCGTGAAATGATTAAATTGATGAAATGGCCGCGGAAAATTAGCGAAATGGCCTAGGAATTTGACGGCCATCAAAATGACATTCAAATTTTTCTGCGGAACATTTTTTCAGTTTCCAATTATTCTCTTGAATTTTGTCGCTATTTTCCATCACTGTACAATTAATTTTTAATTAATTTGTAAATTTTGAAGTTTTTATGAAAAAGCACCGAAATACCATGGGAAAATGTGTGCTTTAATTGCTAGAGCGAAATTTCAAATGTTTGGTTTTATTTGCATTTTCCCCCATAATCCGCCAATCATATCAAGTGCATTGGTCAATAGAATTGTTAAAAATCGCGGCGAGATTCATAAATGCTTGAGAGATGAGAAAAAATCTCGAATTTCCTCAACAAATTCTTGAAAATTTTTGTTTTCAAAAATAAAGAGTTGCTGCAATTCGGTTTTTTCCTAGCCATAATGAAGAATTTTAAAAAAATTGGAATGAAAAAAAATGGAGACTTGCTTAAAATTGATTATAGTGTGTAAAATTTTAATCTTCGCGGTTTCAAATTTGGCAAAAAATGGATTTTTTGAAATTTTAAAAAAATTTTTCACGGACAAATGGCAAAAAATTAATTGCTTTTTCACATTAATTTCACACAAATTTTTAAAATTGGCCAAAAAAGACACATTAAAAATATAAATGTAAATGGGTGGTGGCGAATTGCGAAATCTTCATTTCAATCGGCCCCCCCCCCCCTCTCCCCATATTTGACGGTTCGCCGGTATTTGGCTACCAAAATCGATAAATTTCCGCGCGGAGGGGGTCAGCCAGCCTCGGACGACGAATCGTCAGTGTGTTTGTTGTCTTTTTCTCTGTGCGGCGACACGAAAACGCGGCGCCATTCGTCGTTTCCTCCCCTTCTTTTTTTTCGTCCCGTTTTTGTGGTCCAACGGAGCCGGAGAGACATTGTGAACTACGCACACCAACCAACTTTATTGTCAAACTCTACTAGTTTCATTTTCTTGCACTTTCTTCATCTCATGTTTATGGTTTTTTACTATTCAAAAATCCACTTTGTTAATTTGAGGCGGTTTTCTTTGAACTTTGACAAATTTTTTTGAGAAACTTGTAAATTTTCGATGGTTTTTTGTGAGGAAACTCAATATTTTGCTCTGAAATTTAAATTATAGCTGATTTTTTTGTTGGGAATCGCACAAAATTCTCGACAAATTCCAATAATTTCCAGTTAGATTTCATTTTTATGATATTTGATCTTTTTTTCTTTCAAATATTGCGAAATTCTCGCAATTTTCTCAAAAAAATGCCACAATCGTCGTTTTCTTTGTTCTTTTTTTTTGTTTTGCATCGTCGCGAGAAAATGCTGTTATTTCTTGGGAAATGGGTCGCGATACCGACAATTTTCTGATATTGCAATTCAGAAACGACACAGACAAATTAATGTTACAGTAACCCGACCTAAATTTTCAATTAATATTTTTGCTCCTTGTTTTTTTTGTCCAAATTTGGCATAAAAATTGCTGCTGGGTCGAATTACGAAAAACGAATGAGGCAAATGCGCTCCATCGCACTCGGAATTTATTTTTGAATTTTCTGCATTTCAGCCATTAATTAAACCAAATTTTCGTTTTCTTTTTTTTTTTGAATTATGTCCATTTTCAGATGGCTTCATGGGATTTCATCGATGAAGTCGACATTTTGCCGAAACTGCCGCCGAATTTTGGCGAGTTGTGCGAATCGAAAAAATGGCAGGAACGAAAAGAAGGTCTCGAAACGCTATTGAAACTCGTCACCGACAATGAGAGGCTTTCAACGAAAGTCTCATATTCGGAAATTGTCGCACAATTGCAGACGGTAAGTTAAAAAAAATATTGATAGAAAAATTGCGGATTTTGATTAAAAATTAAGAGACGTGAAGATAAATACAATTTGTTTTTAAAATTAGGAAATTTTGAATTTTTTTTTGAATAAGCGTAAAATTTTGAAATTTCCAGACTCTAGCCAAAGACGCAAACATTAATGTTCAAGCATTGGCGGCAAAATGCCTCACTCGTTTCGCGTTGGGTCTTCGCGCCAAATTCGCGCCATTCGCCACACCATTATTGCCAGTGATTTTCGAGAAGTTCAAAGAGAAGAAGCCGGTGCTCCGCGAGCCGCTCGTTGAATGCTCGAATGAGGTCGCGAGAACGGTAAAATGATTCGAAATGGGCCAATGAACATCGATTTGATCTTTTTTTTTCTCTACAGATGCCGACCCTTGAGCCGAGCCAGGATGATATTCTTGCCGCTCTCGGCAAACCGAATCCGCAGATCAAACAGCAGACAGCGTTGTTCCTCGCCAGGCAACTCGATCTCATCGTGCCGGCGAAGCAGCCAAAGGCGTTGATCAAAGCCATTGTGCCGGTACTCGGAAAGCTCACTGGTGATGCCGACGCTGACGTCAGAGATGCCGCCGTTCAAGCTCTTGGCGCGGTTCAGCGACTCATTGGAGACAAGAATGTGAAATCGCTGCTCGGCGATCTCGGAGCCGACGAGGGACGAATGAAGAAGGTGGCGGAAGCCGCTGAGAATTCGGCGACGAATTTTGCCGAAGAGCAATCGAAGAACGCGCCGCCTCCGCCGCCGCCGACATCCGCTTCGGCACCATCGACGACGGCAGCATCGTCGGGCGGCGCGACGACACATTCGACGGCGGCGACGACCAGCGGCGGTGCGAACGAAGCGGATCCTTGGGATTTTCTCGACGCGTTCGATGTTCTTGCGAAAATGCCGCCCGATTTCGAGACGATGATGGAGCAGAAGAAGTGGACGGAACGTCGCGATGCGCTTCAAGCGTTGTTCGATTTGATATCGGCGAATCCGAAATTGGAGCCGAAAGCCAATTATGGGGCGTTGGTCGAGCGATTGCAGAAGGTTTTGGAGAAGGACGCGAATATTAATGTGGCGGCTCTCGCCGCGAATTGCATTCGATTGATTGCCGAAGGATTGCGCACAAAGGTACGGTAGCAGTTGTTCAAATATGTACGAAAGCAATAGAGCACATCAAATCAATTTTTGAGGCTTTTGAAATACTGTAACAATCGAACTTTTTTTGAGGCTTCTTTAGAAGTCTGTGTATCGAATTTCGTCCAATTAATATGAATTCCTCTGAACAAGATTACTGTAGCTTTAGTTGAGCTGTGAGCCTATAGAATGAGAATTGCTCGCAATTTCAGTTCCAACCATTCGCCCTTGCCGTTGCTCCGATCATTTTTGAGAAGTTCAAAGAGAAGAAGCCGATTCTTCGCGATCCGCTCGTTCAGTGCATTGATTCGGTGGCGGCGACGACGAATCTCGAAGCGCTCGGCGAGATTGTGCTCGCCGCGCTTGCCAAACCGAATCCGAGCATCAAAACGCAAACGGATTTGTTCCTCCAGAGGACGTTTATGAAGCTCAACTCGCAAACGATGCCGAAGAAGACGTTGAAGACACTCGTGCCTCTTCTTATTAAGGTTTCGAGAAGGGTGCAATTTTTCATTGCAAAATTTCCGATCATTTTCAGCATTCCGGTGATTCGGATTCTGAAGTTCGCGACGCTTCCTATGCGGCGATGGGTGCAATGATGAGGGCGATTGGCGAGAAGCCATCGCTTCAGCTTTTGGCGGACGTGGTCACGGATAATATCAAAATGGCGAAGATCAAAGAGTATCACCAAAAAGCGCTGGATGAGGCGGGACCCGCGGAAATCGCCGCCATGGTGCAATCGATTCATAAGGCCGATGTGAGTTGTTGGCGCAATACTATTTTTTTTTGTTCTCTGTTTGCGTTTTGTGTTGTAACGTGTTTTGTGCATTATTTTAGGCCCCATTGAAAAAAGCGCCACCAACGAAAGCTGCTGCAGCTGCCGTTGAGGAGGAGAACGAGGTTGAGGCTGAGGAAGAGGTAGTGCTTATTGATGTTGTAATTCTATATAAATTTTTTGGATTTGTCGTAAAAAATTGAAATAGTCCGGAATCGTGCATTTCTTTTCGAATTTAGGTCACTGAAACGAAAAATTAATTAATTATTTTTAAATTTTGGGCAAAAAATGAATTGGGTAAAATTTCGCGTGTTTAGCCATTGAAGCTGCCTACGGGCGCTGAGAAGAAGAAGGAGGAAAAGAAGAAGACGGTGTCGCCCAGAGACAATATCGAGAATGAGCCGCCCGGCGAGAAGAAGCCTGAGCTTGTGCTCAGCGAGAATGGCGATAAAGCGCAACGAATAAAAGATGAGAAGGCGCTGAAGTTGGTCAAATGGAATTTCCAAGCTCCGACCGACGAGCACATCGCGCAACTTCAGAATCTTCTCGGCGCTCAGGCGAAAGTCTCGCTGATGTCGCAGTTGTTCAATAAGGACTTCAAGCAGCAGCTGAAGGGTATTGAGCAGCTCGCCGAGCTTGCCGAGATCGCGCCCGGCACAATAACGGCGAATAGCGATTTGCTTCTGAAATGGTGTACTTTGAGATTCTTTGAGACGAATCCGTCGGTTCTGATTAAGGTGAGCGCAATTTTTTTTTTTGGAAATATGCTTAATTTTTTTTCGACCGTTTTTTTTTTAGGTTCTTGAGCTTTGCAAAATTATTGTGGTCCTGATTCGCGACACGGAGACGACGATGTCGGTCGAAGAGCTCACCGCGTTTGTGCCTTACTTGCTCATCAAAACGGGAGAAGCCAAAGAGAATATGCGAGTGGCGGTTCGCGAAATCGTTGATATTCTAACCGATATTGTGGGACCACTAAAAATGGCGCCTATGATACTTGGTATGAGTTTTTTTGAAAGTTTTTCCTCCAAATCATTATTTGGTTTTTTTAGAAGCGCTGAAAGGAAAGAATGCTCGTCAGCGAGCCGAATGTCTACTTGTCATCGAATCGTATGTGTCGAATGCTGGAATCGCGACTCTAAAAGCGCTGGTATGGATTGGTTAGAGAAATTGCATGAAATTTTCTCGATTTTTCCCCATTTTTCTGGATTAAAAACAAGAAAATTTACGAAATTTGCATTTTTTGGCAACAATAACAATTGATGAGCAATTTGAAGGGAATCGAGAAAACCGCGGCGGGTTTGGTCGCCGACAAGGATGTGAACGTGCGGAATGCGGCGATCAATGTGCTCGTCGCGTGCTACAAATTCGAAGGCGATCAGATGTGGAAGGCGGCCGGCCGAATTCCCGACAAGGATCGATCGATGGTCGAGGAGCGAATCAAACGATCGGGAGTTGTCGCTGGAAGCGGTGTGGCGAAATCGACGCCAACAGGCGGTCCGAAGATTGTGGTCCCGCAACGTACGATATTACATATTTTGGCCAGACAAAAATTGCAAAAAAAAAATTAATTTTCCTCTTAAAAATGTCCGAAAATCGGCAATTTTTTTTCATAAAATCTCTGGCTGAACTTGCTTGAATCAGTTTTTGGGATTTCTTCAAAAAAAAAAACGGTTCCATCAATACGTATTACAATTTTTTTTGGGATTTTCAGAAGGTACCGTTGTCCGAAGACCGCATTCACAAACTCGCAATGAGAGCAATGAGGCGGAGGAGAAGCTGAATGATACATTTACAATGCACTCGGGAACCCCGAGGAGACCCATGGAAGAGACGAGGTCGACATCGAGATACGCGTTGAGAGATGACGTAAGTTCACACACACGCAAACACTTGCTACAGTAATCCTTCATAATTTGTTGTTCAGTTTGTCTCGTCGGCGTTCTCTCGACTGACCACCATCCAGGCGCCGATCATCTCGCCGGTGCAATCCTATCAGCAGCCGATCAAGTAAACAATTTTGACGATTCTCCCCATTTGCGAGACCGATTTTGTTTTGTTTTAAAGGCGCACCAACTCGTCGTCGTCGATATCGTCGATCGACACCGGCGATCAGATTGAGCGAAGCATCAATAATATATCGTCGAGCCTTCCCGATGTTGCCGAAGACGCGATGTATCAGGTGACGTATGTGCTGAATCAGCCCGATCAGCGGCATCTTGTCGATCGACGCGCGGATTTGGTGTTCCGCGCGTGTTCGGCACAATTGGATAGCATTATGGAGGATTTCAATGCGGGAAAAGGGTTGCCGACGACGATGGACGCGTGCATTCAGATGTTGTTCATGGTGAGACCTGCTCGTGTTTTTTTTTTGCAAAAAAATTTGGGGTGGGATTGATTCAGCGACGATTCGCGCAGCGAAATTGTCGAATTTTTGCAAAAATTCCGAATATTTCTCTCAATTTCTCGATTTTCAGCTTGTCGGCGGTGTTGATCAGGATCATGGCCTTGAACCGCTTGCCGCCTCACCGGAATCCATCAAATCGATGATTGTCTCGATTTTGAGATGCATTAACAGCATTGGAAATGCCGAAGGAGCGTATGAGGTGCAGAATTAATTGAGACGCTTCCCAGTGGTGTAATTGGCATTCTCTAATTACAGCGCGCTCGTTCGCTGAATCGTCTCGCGATGCGTTTGATCTACCGAATGGAATTGTCGAATTTGCTTTGCGGATTGGTGTTGGCGATAACCGAATGCCTCAAAAAGTATCCCGATGTGGCGAAATTGGTGTCAAGGGTAATTATTGGCGCGGCGCGCGCGCTAATTATCGAATAATAATTGGGTTGGAATTGTAGTTGACGTCGAAATGGTGTCAGGAGCTGGAGAAGCGGCGAACTCAGCTTCGCTCATCGGCGATTGTCTCGTGCTTCAACAACTTCTATCAATTGGCTCTTGTGGTAATTGGAAGTTTTTTTTGTGGCGACAAACTTCATCGTTTTCAAAATTCGTAGGAGCTGAAATTGGATTTGGCCGATGAGTATATCGATTTGATGGACAACATACTCGAGCGCGTCATTCTGCAGCAGGGCGACGTTGTGTTGGACGCGGCGCGGCGTCTCGATCGGCCGCACATGCATTTGACGAGTCTCATCAACAAATTGTTGCAGACGATGCGCGAGAAGAACATCGCGCCGATAATGCCCGGAACGGTAGGCAATTGCGATGTTGTTGTTTTTTTTTTGTTTTTTCCCCCCGTTCTTGTCATATTTGAGAGCTGCCGACAATTTTCGGCGTATTTCATCAGATTTGAACTCGTGCGATGTCCGCAGGTGGAATATTTTAAACTCACAACTCGAATCTATGAGCCGATCAGTGTGCGCACTCGATCTCAAAATCGTTAAAAAATCGATCTTGCTCGAGAATTTAAAGATCGATCGAACCCGAGATCGATCGAGCATTTCGAGCGCTCGAGATCGATCGAGCGGGATCGATCGAACTCGAGCGCTCGATCGATTTTTAGAAAGATCGATCGATCCCGATCGATTTTCGCTACCAAGATCGATCATACTCGATCGAGCGCTCACACTGGAGCCGATAAGATTTTTCTAGCTTTTGCGGAAAATTGTCTAAATGTCAAAAAAAGAACGTTTGAAAAGAGGTCTCGTTGCGAGATGTGCGCCTTTAACTACGTGTGTTCGTAAATCTACATCTTTAGTTTTTTTTTATGGCATTTATTCAATTGTCCACATGCCGACAATACCAGCTTTTGAAATTTACAAATTTTAATCGCCACAATGAGCTCCTCGTAAATATACGATGAGTTTGAATCGGCGTGGTACAGAATTACTCGAGGTACTCGGTTAATAGTTTCGAGAATGAAATTTGAAAGCCCATTTCGAATAATCAGTTATACGCGTTGCTTTTGTAGCTTGAGGAGCCAGTGGCGACGGCGAAAGAGGACGTTGTGACGCGAAAAGGTCCGCAGGTGCTCTTCGAGAACATCGTTCGCGACTCGTCGCGTCTCGTCGAGCACACGACGAAGCTCGTCGACGCGCTCGCCGTCTCGACGGAAACGCGCCATCAATTCGACGAGTTCAAACGCAAATCGCCGTTCGGCGAGATGCTCGACGATGTTGTGAAGTTGGCGAAGAGCGGCGAACTGGTGAATCCGAATTTGGTGTCGACGGTGGAAAGCGCGCAGGCGGCGCTTCGAATCGCCAAAATGATGGGCGTCGAGGAGGAGGCGTTGATGGCGCAAATCGCGACGACGCCGCCGCAATCGAATTCGGGGTTCGTTTCGATGATTCGAGCGGGGGGTGAGACTTGATTATTGCAGATTCTCGAAAATCGAGCGCGGCGACATGACGGTGACGCGAAACGCGGCGCCCGCCATCAAGCCGCCGAAACGCAAAACGATGAGCCGCGAGCAGATGGCGAACATTCAGAAGCAATTGCAAAGCGCCACAATTAACTAATTAGCGCATAATTAACCGATCAAATCAATTTTGTACTTTTACGTTTTTTTTTTTCTTGTTTTTGTATTGCGTCTACGGGTACACGCAATTCGCCCTCTCCTACCCAAAAATCCTACCCATTCAAGAAACTCGCAATTTTTATTTATTACGCTTTTTTGTTGTGTGAATAAGTGCATTAAACGCGAACATAAACTAATCTTTTGGCAACTTGAAAGTCGAGATTTTTTGGTGCAATGGAGCGCACTTGCCCAATTGTTTTTTTTTTGTGAAAATTCGCTGGAAATTTATTGACACTTTTCGAATTTGGCGAACAAAGTGCACCGAAATTCAACAAATTTGGCGAAAATGTGTATATAAATGGGGTGAGTTTTCTTTTGTTTAATTGAGCTGAAATGTTGCTGCTGAAATTGCGAATTTTCGTCGTCGTCGTCGTCGTCGCGTTATTTGTTGGTGTGCATTGTACACCAATTGCGCCACCAAAGTTGGCGTCACCAAATGAGGAAATGTGAGATTTTCGGTATTTGCGAGTTCCGATGTTGCTGGTTTCAGACATGTCCGCAATCGGCGTTGGTATCCCTATGGTGGCTATGGCGGCTATGGCGGCTATGGCGGATTCGGAATTGGCATCGGCTATGGTGGCTATGGTGGATGCTATGGAAAATGAGAACTGCGTTTCATGTTTTATTTGATTTTTGAAATAAACGGTTTTGTATTCTTATATTTGTTGGATATGGTAATTAAAGGCGCATGCAGTTTTTGTGCCTGAAACTCCCACAGAAATATATGTCGCGTCGTCACAAGACAATTCTGGAAATTTTTTCCGGTGAAAAAAAAAATGCGGCAAATTTTGTTCGATTTCGAACAGTTTCAGTTGTCCCACCTATGCGCCTTTAAAATCTACAAAAATCTGAAATTGCGATATTAATATTTTCAACCTTTTCCCGCCCATCTCCGCCGTTTTCTCGATTACCCAGGCCGGAAAATGACATTGCAATAAGCCTTTAAAAGCAGCAAGTGCGCTCGATGGCAATCGAAATGTCGTATGCTCCTTTAAACTGTTGATGTTGTTTGTAATCCCCAAAAAGCCACCGGCACCAACCGAAAAAATGTGACGTTATTGATAGTGGTGAGAGTTTCGCGTCGAGACGCGGCAAGTGGCTCTATTGCACTTCAATTGATGAAATGCTCTATGCTGCAGAAAGAGCGCTCCATTGACGCAAGCTTAAAAATCCAATTTTTGGAAAATTTTAGTGAAAAAAAATGCAGAAAATTCAATTTTCCATTGGAGAGAATTTCGTATGGAAAAAAGGTTTGGGACGAGTTTTGTTTTATTTTTAAAAATTAACAGAAATTCAAATTCGCCTTCTCACCACAATATTTACAACGATTCGTTTGGCGAACATTCAATTTTTTTTGGACAAAAATAAAAAGTGCACCGAAATTTAGCAAATTCGGCCATATTCGGACTATAAAAAAGCGATTTTTTGTTCAATTGGAAATTACAAAAAAAAAAGAAATGTTGCCAAAATTCGTGCTCATCGCTCTTCTGCTAATTGTCGCCGCCGATTGTGCGCCGCTCGATCCGAATTTCTCGCAGAAGAATCGCGACGTTTGGAAAAGTAAAGACCCGTGAGTGATTCGATTCGGTTTTGTTCGACTATTCGAAAAACGCATGCGAGCTTCTCCTTCTTTTTAGGCACCATCGCGAGAAGCGTTATTGGGGCGGCTATGGTGGCTATGGTGGATGGGGTGGCGGCTATGGTGGATGGGGTGGCTATGGTGGCTATGGTGGCTACGGTGGATGTTGGGGCAAATAGCGGTGAGTTCTTGCCAAGATTTAGCTAGAATTTCACACAACAACAATAGCTACAGTAATCACAGTCAAACAAGTGACACATCTGAACTAGAGCTACAGTAATCACAGTCATACAAGTGACATATCTAAACTAGAGCTACAGTAATCACATCCATAGAAGCTACAAATCTAAACTAGAGCTACAGTAATCACAGTCCTAGAAGCTACACATCTGAGCTAGAGCTACAGTAATCACAGTCATATAAGTGACACATCTGAACTAGAGCTACAGTAATAGCAGAATAGCACAGATCATCCAAAAAAATGATACAGTAATTCTAAACACATCTTAACAATATTGCAATCGCACACCTAAACGAATGCTACAGTAATCCACAAACAATTTCAGGCGGCCCTCAATTGCGCATTCTTCATTAGAATATATCGAATAGGACATTAAGAATAATTGAAATAAATAAAGAAATTTAAAAAAAAATTGCGACCAAATGAGTTCGATTATGGTTTTTTCGGCAACTTCTTCGAATCGCTTCGATCGTCTTCAATCATCGATGACTCATCATTCGTCCACATCGAGTTGTTCTAGAAAAAAAACGAAATATTGAAATTCCTGGGAGCTCGTCGGCCTACAAATCGGCCGGCGCATAGAACAATCGGCTCATTCTCACAATGACGAGTGACGATGAATTGAAACGTGGTGTTGAACTCCAATGTGCCTTCTGAATTGTTGTATTGTCGGCGTCAAATGACTGAAAGGAGGCGGGGCCATCAAAAATTCGCGAAATCGGTGTTGATTTAAATTAATCGTTGACTGAATATTAAATGCGCGTACACTATGATGCAATGTACGCAGTCTCGAGTACTTCTCGAGACGTATTGGCACCTAGCCAATAATTTTTTTTAAATTTCGCCGAGTCGTTTGATTCCGACAATATGCTTTTTTTTCTTTCCACGAGAAAAAATGAGAAAAACAAAACCTGGCGCATGAAATGCCTTGGCCGAGAACGGATCCAATCGCTCCATGACCTGTTGGCGTTTGTCGAGATGATCCTCGTAGTACATGAAGACCGTGTCGGCGGTCGGCATCATCGTTTTTCGCTGATTCGACGCCAACACCGACGTCAGGCATTCATCCATGGCGACGTGCGCGTGTTCTCAAATAGTTCGCAATGAGAATATATATTGTAGATTTACGGGGGGGGGGTGCGTCTTTCTTTTGGTCTCGCGCGGACTAACTGGTTATTTTGCTTTTTTAATTATCGGTTCGATAACTTTAAAATCGAATGGTGTTGGTGCAGCAAGATAAGCGTTCGCACGTGACGAGACCATTTCAAGGCGCACCCCGTAAATCTAATAGTCGCTATATCGGGAATACCTGGCAACAACTCATTGGCGTGAAATCCGGTACTAGTTGGGTTCATTATGATCGGCGGATTCGTGGTGATCTGCAAACGCGCTCTATTGGGTTTCAAACAAATCGAAACAGTGCAATTTTTGGGAAAACAAATTGGATGTGTGCATACACACTCACGCAAAATTGCACACAATTTGATTATCATTCAACTGTTTTTTTTTAGAATGCGTCGTTTTTTCCCCAAATTTCATCAATTCAAAAATGTCGGGTCTCGCCTGGAAAATGCACTTGTGCCAATGGTCCCACAGTGTCACAAAATTGGCCTTGATCTCAAACATATTCGAGGTGAGCTTGAACAATTCCGATTTTTCGCTGCAAAACAACCGCTGAAGGCCTGAATGTCTCGGAATTTTCGACGAATCAACTCGCGCCAACAACAATCACCGTCTTTTTTGGCGTGACTCAACAACGACAACGGCGTCGAGATGATTGTTCGCGGTAGAAGGACCAAACGATTTTTCGACACATGCCAACGATCGCTCGTCTCGGTTTCTTTGAAATCCTCGAGGCTCAATGGTTCATTGGTCCTGAAAATTGAATTCGTCGCCTAAAAAGAAAAAATTTCAAGCAAATCACATTGACAAATAGAGTTGAAAATCGTCGAGTTGGCTTTCGAGTCGATAAATTTTGCCGTTGGGCGATTTGTGAACGTCGGCGCGCGCCAAAATTGCCGATGTCTGGAATTTCAGCAAAATAATAAAAACCTCTCAATCGCATTCAATCGCACGTATGATCGATTTCCGCAATCATCGGTGAACAGCATATTGTCGGTTAGAATAATCGTGTCCGTCGTTTTCCAATGGAATGTGCAATCCGAGCACGACACCAACGCCATTTGCGATCGCCTACAAACAAAAAATCATATGTAAATTGTTGAAAATCGTACCAAGTTGGCGCATATTGTTCGGGGACCACGAATTTCACGGCGCCACGACTCGATTTCTGAAAATTCGCAATTTTTGCAGTTTTTTTTTGATTCAACATACGAAAACTTCGGTGTTTATCGCGTCACATGAGAATAATCCATCTGGATCGCTAGCGAAACATAAATGGCGAATCGCACTGCGATCGCTCTAAATTTCAGGAAAAAATTAAGCGAAAACAAAAAACAGGGAAATTGTTAGGCGCCGCACGTATGCGGAGAGCCGTGCGGCGATTGCGTAATGTGACCACGCCCACAAAATTTTAATTTGCAATTTGTTTTTCCTCGAGTTTTGTCGATTTTTATTGCGTAATTTTGACTTATATTTTAAAAAATAATTAATAATTCGAAAAACTACTAATTATTGTGCCATTTTTCTCACCAACGGGAGCGATTTCATTGCAAAAACAAAAGAAAAATTTGTCATGATTTTAAATTTCTGATTATGCGTCTTAAATTGCGGAATTTTATTCGAATCTCTTTTTTTTAGAAATGTATATCTAATAAATTACATTCAAAAGAATTTTCAGATTCTCAATGTCGAAAAAAAAAACGAAATGTGAACCTTTCCACCATAATATCTCGTCGAATTCTCCAAATCGCTCGGATTTATCAAATGCTTCGGCAATTCGGTGAACAGCCGCACACAACCATCGACGTCTTCCTCAATTTCCACATGAAGTCCGAGAATTGTTTTATTGAGCTCGGTTAAATTGCTCGGCTCTTCGATGTTGGTTCCTTAAAATGGGCAAGTCCGCGTTTTTTTTTTAATTCTCTCAGCGCGCTCACGGTTGACGATGTATTTGATAATGTCCCTATACGTTTTTCCTTCGGCAACATTTGCGAGTAAGCTCCATGCTCGAATTGCTTGAAGCGGATTGAAGCAAATATCATTCTTTTCCGAGCTGCTCTTCCATCGAAACATGTTGGTTTGTGGAAAACTTTTGAAATAATTCGGAGGAATGCTTTCAATTACACTTATCGCGTATTCGTAAAGGTTCATTGACACTTTGTGCACTGAAAATCGGCCGAGTTTTGTGCTAGGAGTCTAATGGAGCGCATTTGCTCCAGAAATCAATTTCGCAAATTTTTGCAATGGAGCACATTTGCCGAATTGTCGGCCTAGAATTTTCGCATGGAAGCGCATTTGCTCAAGAAATCAATTTCGCAATTTTTGCGATGGAGCCCATTTGCTCCAGAAATCAATTTCGCAAATTTTTGCAATGGAGCGCATTTGCCGAATTGTCGGCCTAGAATTTTCGCATTGAAGCGCGTTTGCTCAAGAAATCAATTTCGCAATTTTTGCGATGGAGCGCATTTGCTCCAGAAATCAATTTCGCAAATTTTTGCGGTGGAGCGCGTTTGGCGAATTATCGACCTAGAATTTTTACAATGGAGCGCATTTGCTCCAGAAATCAATTTCGCAAATTTTCGCAATGGAGCGCATTTTCCGAATAATCGGCCTAGAATTTTCGCATTGGAGCGCATTTGCTCAAGAAATCAATTTCGCAATTTTCGCAATGGAGCGCATTTGCCCAATTTTCGCATCGAAGCGCATTTGCTCTAGAAGCCAAAATTGCAATTTTTGCGATTTTTCATTTGCAATAGAGCGCGTTTTCTCGCCGTCGCCCGTCTCACCCACCATTCGTCGGCGTCGCGATTTCGGCGCCCTGAAAACACTTGATATTCTGATTCATCGAGTCGATAATCGTCAAATTCTGCGCGATTCGACTCAACGGCGTCGCGGCGATTCCGAATCCCGACGTCTTCGATCGTCGATGTTTCGTGCGTTGGCGTTCATCGCGACTCCGCCGATTCTTGTGGTGTTGCCCCTAGAACGAACGCGTAGATCAACGAACAAGTTTGGCGAGAACAGCAGAAAAAGAAAATGAATCACCAGCACTCCGCCTTTTCCCACATATTTGGTCATTTTGAAATGAGCGAGCGACGAGCGCAAATTGGTTCACGCCGGCGGGCGCAAGTGCGCTCCATTGACAATTTTAGAAAACGTCAGAAAAAAAAAACGAGATTTTATTATCTATTGATCCACTTCAAAATGATAGCATCTTCCAAATTGGCCGTGATCAGTCGCGTCAGTTGGTCCGAGGAAGAACGACTCCAAACTGGCGCCCGTTCGATACAAGATGGCGTCGCAACCGGGCGGTCGGAACATGGTGATCCGGAATTCCTCTTCGTCAACCCGCTCCGACGTCGTATAATATTGGAAAATCGAGAATTTCTCGTTTCCGCCAATATGGACTTCGGCCTGTCGCAAAATGAATGTGAGAATGAGCGCTTCAAAAAAAGAAACGCAAAAAAGACGAACTGTGTTTCCTTCGGAGCCCGGATGAAATCGGACCATTATTCGATGGATAAGCGACGAGGGAATTCCGATCGGAACGGCTTCGTCTAGAAAAAAAGAAGGAAAAAGAAAGTCCATTGGCAACAAGAGGCACCCAACGGACCACTGTGTGGAAGGAAAATGAGGCCATCGTCAAACGCAAAATCGATGAAGTCTCGCGGTTGGCCGTGTGTCGATATATTCGACGGCATATGCTCGATGTCGGATAGCCAGACGCGAATGAAGCGGCATTTCGTGAACTCGATGCCGAAACGAGTCTCGGTTCCTGATACTTTCTTCTGAAACGAGAAAACCAAAAACAAACAATCATCGCAGATTGCTGTCGTTTGTGTTTAAAGGCGCAGTCAACAAAAATACGGACATCCGGAATGCGGAATTTGACGGTGGTGCCGGAGAGGCGACGCATGATCTTGCGTTTTTGTTGGCGGCGAATTTCGATGAAGCACGCGACGTCTTCGAGTAGTTTGTATTTGTAGCGTTTGAGAATCTGGAGTTTGCGAGATGAATATTAGAAAAGACGGACGACGTCCTACCGGAAACGGATCGATCGTCCTGTCGATGTTGGCCTTCTTGCGAAGCGGATGATACCCGATGTATGTTCGATGCGATTCGATCATTAGTCGCGGTTTTCGGTACTTCGTCGCCCCGAGCCAATGAGTCGATCGTGTCGATGAGTCTCGGAGTTCGGTACTGTAAAGAAAATTTCGCATTGGAGCGCGTTTGCATTGAAATGTGAAAAATTTCGCAATGGAGCGCGTTTGCAACAAAATTCAACTGGTTTCAGCAATAGAGCGCGTTTGAAGTGTACTATAAAGAAAATTTCGCATTGGAGCGCGTTTGCATTGAAATGTGAAAAATTTGCAATGGAGCGCGTTTGCAACAAAATTCAACTGGTTTCAGCAATAGAGCGCGTTTGAAGTGTACTATAAAGAAAATTTCGCATTGGAGCGCGTTTGCATTGAAATGTAAAAAATTTCGCAATGGAGCGCGTTTGCAACAAAATTCAACTGGTTTCAGCAATAGAGCGCGTTTGAAGTGTACTATAAAGAAAATTTCGCATTGGAGCGCGTTTGCATTGAAATGTAAAAAATTTCACAATGGAGCGCGTTTGCAACAAAATTCAACTGGTTTCAGCAATAGAGCGCGTTTGAAGTGTACTATAAAGAAAATTTCGCAATGGAGCGCGTTTGCACCAATCATTGTGTTTGCAATGCAGTTCGTTCGCTGCGGAATTCAATCGGTTTTTAGCAATAGAGCGCGTTTACGATGTCAAGCATTTTCAGACTCGTTTGTATAGCCAAAAATGGCGAATTGAAAAAAGCGAAAAACGGACAATGGGCCGCTCATTGGCGAATAATATAAATTGTTGCCGTCGGTTCGCCGAAACGCGGCATTACATTCGCGGCTCGGCGTGATCACCAAAAACACTTTGTTCTCCATGTCGATGGTCACCTCTTGGCGATTCTTGAGGAAATCCTCGTACGACTCGTCGTAGAGGTTCTTAATGTTGTCGTGTGGTCGAAGCTGCAAAAAAACAATTGATGCGCAATTGCCGCACAGTTTTTTGGCAAACGCGCGGCGCGCACAAACCAACCTTTACAACGTATTTGTTGTGCGACTTCTTCAGAAATGGCAACGCCGCGTCGCGATAGACAAACGATTTCTCGAAGCGCGTCGTCTCGTCTGAAGGTTTAAAGGCGCACAAGCGTGTCGGAACGAGAAATGAAAAGCGCAGCACGAACCGACAATCCAGAGGCGACTCAGATGCGGCACGATCTTCATCGAGCCGGGATGCGTGCAATAATCGTAGGTGTCCGGTGCGCTCAGGGCGATCTCGCTCTTGTCGAAAACGCAAATGTAGATTCTGAAATGAGGGGGAAAAGCTCAAAAAATGCAGAAACCTCGGCCGCGGCCGCGTTTTTCGCAACCTACACTACCATGGGTGGTTTTTTGTTGTTTGAAATTTTTATCATATGTGCCTTTAACCACAATACACAGAAATAATTGGATTTGAAAAAAAAGTTCGTGCAGCGATTTAAAAAAAAACTGAAAACGTGGCCCTGGCCGCGTTTTTTTGGATTTTTTTTTCTGCCATCTGAATTGCGATGTAGATTCTGAGCGTCGGAAATGAATTGAAGAAATTTTTTTATTCAATTTTTGATTTTATGGAAATTTTTTTTGGGGGTTAAAAAACTCAAAAAAAAAATGGCAGAGTTTCAGGGAAAATAAAATCCATAAACCTCGGCCACGGCCAGGTTTTTCGAAACCGACAGTATCATAGATTTTTTGCGTTGCAATTAATATGCGCCTTTAATTATAATAGAAATATTTGGGATTCTTGTAGCGATTTAATTAAAACTAAAAACGTGGCCGTGGCCGCGTTTTTTTGGATTTTTTCTGCCACCTGCAAAGCGATTTTTTGGGGAATTTTTTTTGTGCGAAAGTGTCATTTCAATAAAAAATAATAATAATCGAGAAAACTAACATTTGACAATACTCGATGGGCTGAATCGTGAAGAACAACGAGCCGGTCGTCTCATAGAGTGTGACGAGACTCGGCAGAACCGCCTCCAAAACGCCGGCGACGAACACGATGCGGCCGTCGAGGCGAAAATGTTGACGCTGGTGCGTTTCGAGTGCGTATCTCTCTGTGCTAATCTCTTTGCGCGAGTTCGCCCACGGAAAATTCCAATCCGGTGACGACGAGACGAGCGTCGAAATGAGCGTCTGAATTCGCGATTGAATTGAAGCATATTTCGAATGTTTCTTTTTTGATTTGATGGGGGTCCCGCAACGAATTGGTGTCGATTTACGAGCGATTCGAATTTTGTTGGGTCTTGCAGCGATTTGACAGCGAAAAGTACGCAAAATTTGATTTTTTCGATTTTGCAACAACTCGGTAGCGAAATTTGAATTTTGCGGGGTCCCGCCACGAATTGGTGTCGATTTACGTGCTTCGCGATGATTTAAAGGCGCATTGGAAAAAAAACGAACCAGTGATAATATGAGAATGTTGGTCCATGTTAACATTTTTGCTCGTCTTCAAGCCGACTCGGCGAAGAAAAAAAAATGCGGCCACTGACGGCGTCGTCAATTCGTCGAAAGGTCACGTTTTCAACAAATTTGATATATCATCGTTGATAATCTCGATTATCAATTCACTCGCAAAAATTCGAGAGAAATTTGCGAACAAAATGATGAGGTTCGCGCCAATGTGGCAGCAAGTGCGCTCCATTGCACTTTTCGAATTTTTCCATTTTTTTCAGCAATTTTCCGTTTTTTTGAAATTTTCTTGATTTGGAATATTGTAATTGTTGGAAATTGGAAAATTTTTGCGTAATTTGCGAAGAAAAAAAAATGAGGTTGCGCCAATGTGGCAGCAAGTTCGCTCCATTGCACTTTTCGAATTTTTTCATTTTTTTTCAGCAATTTTCCGTTTTTTTGAAATTTTCTTGATTTGGAATATTGTAATTGTTGGAAATTGGAAAATTTTTGCGTAATTTGCGAAGAAAAAAAAATGAGGTTGCGCCAATGTGGCAGCAAGTTCGCTCCATTGCACTTTTCGAATTTTTTCATTTTTTTTCAGCAATTTTCCGATTTTTTGAAATTTTCTTGATTTGGAATATTGTAATTGTTGGAAATTGGAAAATTTTTGCGTAATTTGCGAAGAAAAAAATGAGGTTGCGCCAATGTGGCAGCAAGTTCGCTCCATTGCACTTTTCGAATTTTTTCATTTTTTTTCAGCAATTTTCCGATTTTTTGAAATTTTCTTGATTTGGAATATTGTAATTGTTGGAAATTGGAAAATTTTTGCGTAATTTGCGAAGAAAAAAAATGAGGTTGCGCCAATGTGGCAGCAAGTTCGCTCCATTGCACTTTTCGAATTTTTTCATTTTTTTTCAGCAATTTTCCGATTTTTTGAAATTTTCTTGATTTGGAATATTGAAATTGTTGGAAATTCGAAAAAATTTCTCAAAAAAATCACAAATACATCAAAAAAAGGACCATCAAAAAATGTTCATTTGAATCAAAAACATAAAAAAATAACAACGACACTCCGCTTAATACGCCGCTCTCAAATCGCCGAACAATTTCGTCGATTTTTCGTCGTCAATTTCACGATGATTCGCCACACGGTTTCGCGATACGGACGGACCATCACCAACGGAACCATGCAATTCGCGTTCGGAAATACCGAAATCGGTAGAATTGTGAGGAAATTGGTGGGAAATCTGCAAGCAAGCAGCGCCATTCAAATTTGGGCATTCATTTTCACCGTTTTAGAATCGAAATCGGATAGCCGAGTGTGGCGAATAATGTCACCACTGGCATTATGCAGACGGTCAGCATTATCGTGTACACAACCTCCAATTTGAATATCAATTTTTGTTGATTGATGACGAATGCCGAATGCGTCGTCGAGTTCTTCTTGATGAAATACAGCGTTCTGCAAATTGAGCAACACTTTTTTTCTGGTCCGAAAAGCGCGCTATAATATTTATTTGCAATGGAGCGCGTTTGCACTTTCTCAATTCCTTGCAGCTCGATTTTTGAGCCCATGATTCGAATTTGGCATGGCGTTTCCATTCGAATTGGACCCGTTGTGAATTCGCGCTGCTGCCGACAAACTAACAGGCCTGAGATGAGAATTAAGGCGGGCACGACTCCCAGCACGAACATCGCCATTTCGATGAATAAAAATAGCCACATATAGTTAATAATAATAATTGAGGAATGCGTTTCCGCGTAGAATTCGCTCAATCTCGCATCAAACTTCAACGATTCAATTTTGATTTCGCGCTGATTCCAATTTGTTCCTAAAAAATTGGACAATTATTATTGTTGGTAATTAATTAGTTAATTAATCGATCAACCATAAATTAGGCCAATAAAATTGATGACGATTGCAGTGATTGCCAAAAAATAGGCGAACGCTCGAAAATAGAATATCCATTTTTGATGATTGCACCTAAATTCGAGCAAGTGCGCTCCAACGAACTTTCGATTTTTTTTTTCAATTTTTTGGCACATGTGCTCTTTTCTCTAATAATCAACAGTCCTGTAAGCAAGATTCGTCGACAATAATTGAGATTTGGGGGTGAAATACGAGATTGGCAGGGAGGTGTGTGTGTGAAGAGCAAGTGCGCTCCACCGCACATAATTTTGAAAACTCACAAAAATGTCGCGCAATTGACAAAATTGCAGAAGATGGCGTCGGCGGAGAGCATCGTCGCCACACACGTCACAAAAATGCCGAGAAGCACAACGGCGATGGGCAGATTGTCGAAACGCGCGGCGACGCGATCGGTGACGAAAATCGGAAACGGATAAACGAGGCGCGTCGTCGGCGCGACGACGATCACGCCGAGAATTGTGACCGTCAGAATTTGGAGCTCGAGCAACCGACGATAACTATCGAGCATTCGCGTTTTCGCGTTGAGAATCACGTAGAACGCGAACGAATTCGCGACGATCGAGGCGACCGTCGGCAATTTTGTGGCGACGCGAAACGCGTTGGCGAAATTGCTGCAAAACCCCCAATCACCAGTGTGTGTGTGTGCCTCCGAGAATTCCCAACACTGCCCAGAAATCAAAATTCTCGAGAAATTAGTCTCGGTCACTATACGGGTGGTCGCGCGTAGGTCTCGAGAATTTCTTCGGCAATTTTTCCTAGACTCCCGAGAAATTCTCGGGATTTTTTTTTTGAATTGATGAAATTCAGTAATTAAATTGATATTTGAAAATTAGCATAGTTAGCATATTTTGAAAATGTTCGCACGTATAAAAAGGGGATTAATACTGTAAAGGTACAGTAGTTAGCCTCCAGGTTAACACCTTCTAGGTTGACCGATGATTCACCAATATCATCCGGCCTTCTTGATCAAAGCCGAACCACCAAAAGCGCGGTCTGATAAACAGCCCACGCCTCCGGTCTCTCTGCACACATTACAGTGCGTGTGTAAAGGAAAACCCATCATGTTCTATCACAAAAACTTAATCAAATACATCAGCTCCACCGGAAGCCGTGGGCGACCAGTGGCTGATGTAATCCTTATCACTCCGTTATTAAATTCTTTATTAAATCCTTTATTAAATTCTTTGATTGTAATAGCACCATATATAAACCCCCATATCTATCAATCTAGGCTCTTTTTCCTTCTTTCATGAGTCGCACATGCCGGCTCCGATTTTTACCAACTCTCACCTACACGATCCACCTCCAAATTGTTCGAGATTTCCCCACTTTAATGAAGAAATAAAACAGTATTTTCTTCGAGCGTTATGTTATTTTCTAACGTCTATTAAAAGTGAGTGAGAAATAAAGGGAAGCACCGCCCTGCCACTATTCGGCAGGACGGCAGCTTTTTAACCCCTTTACTCGTGTCACATTTATAAAGCCATCCCTGTTTTTGGGTGTAACTTTGTCAATTGTAAACATTTTTAAATTCTGTTTTCAAAATTGAATTCCTGAATTTTTAGCCCTGAATTCAATTTTGAAAACAGAATTTAAAAATGTTTACAATTGACAAAGTTACACCCAAAAACAGGGGTGGCTTTATAAATGTGAAACGCACTGTATTCAACATATTAATATACGGTTATTGCGGATTTCGAGCAAGTCCCAAACCTATATAAGCTCAACGCAGCGACGGCTCGGAGCCTCACGCAATCTACGACAGCTTCTCCCCCACGTCTGCGGTATTCCTTACGAGCTTCCGGACGCTTTTAATGTCATCACAAACTCGTGAATAAACTTGTTTGCATTGAAATCGTGCCTTTGTTACATGGAATACGAGAGGATCTCCGAATCGGGGATATCTTTCACTATACATGAATAAATCGTTTTTTTTTCATACGATTGTTTGCGATTAACGTTATGTCTAACAAGGGAAGTCATTTTACCTCCAGTCTTAGGATTTTTTGTAATTTTGCACACGTACACTTTTTTTTATTGCCATATGTTTCAACAAGACCAAAATTTCAAGTTGGCGCGTTTAGCCGACCGCGATTTACAACCGAAACGCGACGCGTATGCGTCGCGGTTAAATCGAAATAGCAAACAACTACATTGTATTTTAGTTTATTCAAAAATATGTATGCTATATCTTCATTCGTTTAAATTCTTTCTTTATCAGATAAAGTAATGTGAGTTTGGGTGGCACTTTTAACTTACATACAAGGGAGGTCATTTTGCTGTCCGTCTTAAAAGTTGTTTATTTTTTGCATACAGATTCTTTAGAAAATTTCCAATCGAATGAACTAGGTCCCCCCCCCCCTAGTTATCGAGATATGGACCATCAAAGTTTTAGCAACACCCCACGTGAATTTTGCGTACTAGAAGTTTTCGCAGGTAGGGAGGGACCTAGTTCATTTGATTGGAAATTTTCTAAAGAATGTGTATGCAAAAAATTGACAACTTTTAAGACGGACAGCAAAAAGACCTCGCTTGTTAGCATTTGTTAGTATTGAAACGAACTTAAAGGAGAAAATATAATTTTTTTGTTCACTACAAAAAATTCCCGTGAAGGTCTCCTCGAGAAAGTCTCGGTAATTTTTGGAAAGTCTAATTTTTTTTTCAATTTTCTCGAGAATTTTTTCCCGAGAGCACACACACACAAAATCGACATGTGAATTACTCTCGATCGTAAATGTAGGCGTCGTAGAAGGCGTTGAAATAGGCGGAGACGTTGTGTGCCGAAATTGGCTCGTTGAGAATCATTATTATCTGCAAACATTGCGATATTCAACAACAAATACGCGATTTTGCGTGACGATGTTTGCACAGTTTCAAAGGAATTTTTGAATTGCGCCGGCTGCCATTTTAAATGGTCCCACAAAACCACTCGTTGAAAACAAATTGGAATATTTAAAAATCGCTCCAACAGATTTTTCCATTCGAGACGCAATTGCACCAAAAATTTCACCTGTCGTCGGCTAGAAAAATTTTCTTCGAATAATGAATAATTTCGAAAAAAAAAATAATTATACACTTCCGTTTCCTAGAAAACTTGATTTTTTCTTGCTACAATGAGATTCTCCACATTTTTTTTCTGTGTTGGCGGAAAATTCGAGAAGAAAAATGCGGATTTGTAGGCAGACAAATTGCAAACTGATTATACTAACTATGTGATATTATATATATGATATAATTGAATTTTTCGCGTAGAAGAAAACCGGCCAACATCGAATAATAATTGGTCTCGATTTTTGGTGGTTCAGCTTAATTTGGTTTTTGAAGCACATGAGAATTCGAGTGGAGCAATTAATTGGATGACAGGTGGAATTGGCCAAATTCCCGAAATGGTCTCGAGGCGCGCACGAAAAATGTTGCGGGACCCTAAAGCTTAAACGTGGCACAATATTTTAGTGAATAAAATCTGACAAATATTGAGAAATGTGAAAAAAAAAACGTCTAAATTAGTGGGCGATTATGTAATAAAGAGATAGTGTGGGAATGCGAGAGTGGGCGAGACGACGAGGCGGTGGGCGAGAGAGCGCGCAGAACGAGGAGACGCATGCAATCGGGCGATAGCCACCAAAACGGAGGCCGTGGCCGAAGTCCTTTTTATTTAAATGCAAGTCCCCGTTTTAGCCATACTCTTATGCATTTAGTCTTCTTGTTTTAGTTTATTTTGTTGCTCCCAAGCTCATCATCCACTATAATAATTATTATCAAGTTTATTAACATCATTTGTTCGTTTTCGTTGAATAATAAAGGTTTAATTACCCAAGTTTCAGGTTCCCTCGACTTGAAATCGGTTTCCTATACCGTACAAGGAAAAGCTTTGAAAAGAAAAGCAATTCTTAAAATCGGCCCTTTAAAAGTTGCGAGGTTTTTGAATAGCTCAATTCTGAAATTTTCAGATAAATGGTCTCGTGACGAACAAGACGCCGTGTACTCCACACGGACATGAAATGTGACAACTCGGTGTTCATTTGTTATTGATTGTTTGTTGATCGAAAATTCGAAAAAGTTCCAATGGGGAACACTTGGTTCAGTGACTTCAATTGTGGCTGCAGTGTTTTTTTTGTGGTTTCAAAAATTTATCGGCAAAAAACGGTCAATTCTCAACGAAATACGAGCATTTTGCGAGATTCAATCGATTCGACGCCGCCTTTTTGCGGTAGGCGAGCGCGTTCTGAGTGGTGCTCACTATCTGAGCATCGCATCGCGGCGCCCGTATCAAATGCACACTAAACTCGCTGAGATGAAGCTTCTTGTTGGCGGTGTAGTAGGTGAACAGCGAACTGCGACCGCTTCCGCCGACGCCGATTTCAACCTGAACGAAAAAATCAAACATTTTTTTTTCTCGTCGTCGAAAATCCGATACCAAACTTTTCGGCGACGCCGTGTGCACTTTGACGATAATTCGACTCATCATATCCGGCGCCAAATTCGTGATTTCAGCTTCATCTTTAAAAAAATTGTCATTTTTTGCCCATTGGAGCCCACGGAAATTTACAATTTCAGGCATTTTTTTGAAAAATGCATTTTTCGGCAAATTTCAGACCGAAAAACGAGGTTTTTCGCTTCTCAAAAAACACATTTTTCAAAAAATTACAACAAAAATTTGAATTTGTTGGCGAAAAATCCAAATTTCAGTGGAAAATCGCAATTTTTAAGGAAATTTTCTTCAAAAACTTAAAAAGATGGAATTTTCAACCATTTTTAAGGTGTAATAATCAATTCTCATATGCTTCCAACAATTTTTCAGCAAATTCTAGTCAAAACCTCGAAAACCGCCATTTTTAGGTCAAAAATTCCAAATTTTCTGCAAATTTCAGTAAAAATCGTAATTTTTAAGGAAATTTTCTTCAAAAACTTAAAAAGATGGAATTTTCAACCATTTTCAAGGGGAATAATCAATTCTCATATGCTTCCAACAATTTTTCAGCAAATTCTAGTCAAAACCTCGAAAACCGCCATTTTTAGGTCAAAAATTCCAAATTTTCTGCAAATGTCAGTGAAAAAAAATCTCAATGCGACACCAGAAACCCAAAAAATGGAATTTCCAGTGGATAAATGGATTCTCAATGATCAAAACGGGAGGAAAAAAGAAGCCAACATTTTTGGCATTTTTCGGGGGGTCCTTTCGAGCCAACCTGTGTGAAACGGAATGATGAACGAGCTCTCGTAGGAGATATCGAGAAAATCCTCGCCGACCGGCTTGTAGTTCGTCATTTTGTCGCCTTTTTTGCCGATCCAAACACGCGCCCACGCACATTCGCGCGCCTCAATCGCAAAACTCGTAAACGTGTCCGTCGTCGATTTGATCGTCTGCAATTCGTTCGTTCAAATGATCAGGCGACCGCGACGCGACCGCGCCGCGCCGCGCCAACCTCGACGAGAACGTCTTGCGAGGTGCCGCTGCGTTTGTTCGTCAGAAACGGCGGCTGCTCGCGAAATCCGCCGCTAGTGCACTTCTCCGTGTCGAGATACTTGATCTTCATCGTGGCCAACTTCTGGAAATCGAAGAGCCGGGCGGTGAGAGTGGCGCCATCCGGCGAGACTCACCGGAAACAAATCAAACGTTTTCGTGATGTCGTCTCTCAGCGGATCATAGAGCGTCGGGATCAACGTTTTTCCGTTGAAAATCACCGCCGGCAGCTTTTTGTGCGATTGCGGGTCCAATCTGCAAAAAAATAAAAAAAAATTGTTTTCATCTGCGGACATTCATGCGGCTCTCGCCACCCTCTATTCCAATGTGCATTTGACACCTACGTTTGCGGTCCGAAAATCTGATAGAACGCGTTCTGGCCGTTCGACGACTGAATCGACGCGTGACAATCGCGTCCGTTGGTGAGCAGCAACAAATCCATATTGGTGTAATTCACCAACACCTCAATCGGTTTCGCCGCGTAGAATTGCGCGTACGTGTCGACGTCGCCTTTTTTGAGCTGAAACCTCATCGAGAGAAAAATCAATCATCGGCGTACGACTCTCACATTGAGCACGTAGGCCTGCTCGGAGTCGCGATGCTGAATGAAGGTGGTGATCGGATCGAGGTAGACGAACGACTGGAACCCTTTGCCGTCTGAATCATTGCTTCATCGCACGTCGATCAAACGCGAATCGATTACCGTGCACGAGGATCTTGTGCTCCCACGGATAGATTTTGACGGCGCCGTCGGTTTGGCACGCTTCTTGATGAATGTGAACGCGCGATTCGTTTGGCGAGTTGATGTTGCGCTCGATGGGACACAGATAGACGCTGGAAACGAAAAAGAAAATCGTCGCAAGAATCGGATTCTCAAAACTCACGCCATACAATATTCGATGGGCTGAACGATGAGATTGAACGAGTCGAACGATGATTGCGGGTAGAGTGCCGCCAGCGACGGCAGCTCCACACTCGCGTCCATCAGCTCGAGATCGTAGGTGCCGGCGAGCACCATCGGCACATCCGGCAGACTGACGGCGCCGACGTTGAACGTGAACTTCTTGCGCGGCGCCTTCGGATCGCCGAGCGTTAGCATCTGCAACGGACCATTGACATCGAAAGGAGAGGGGGGGATTTCGACGTACCACACACAACGCTAAGTAGATCAATTTGTTCATTTCGCTAAACAACTTTTGCGATGAGATGTTTTTGCAATGAAATCGGAATTGGGCGTCGACGCATTCCGACGCTCGTCGGAATGGGTCGACACGTCGCGCGTGGCAATTTGCTTTCTTAGTTTTTTTTTGTATTCGCCAACCCCGCTGTTTGAAATTGCGCGATCGCCTCAGGACCTCTAACATGATCTCGGCTAGCATAATTATGAATAAACGACGAATGTGAGCAATTTATTAAACATGCGCGATTCAATGATTGCCGTCGGATTAGCCGAATCGTCGTCGTCGCGAGCCCGTCTTTCCCGATCCCAAATAGCCGGACTTGATCGACACCGACAACTCTTCGCCGAGGCCACCGCTGCCGAAGTCTCGTGTGCCTGGTCCCGTCACCGGCAACAGAGGCGTGGTGGTTGTCGGTTTTGGTGTAGTAGTGGTGGTGGTAGTGGTGGTCGTCGTCGTCGTTGGCTTTGGTGTCGTCGTCGTTGGCTTTGGTGTGGTCGTCGTTGGCTTTGGTGTGGTCGTCGTCGGCTTTGGTGTGGTCGTCGTCGGCTTTGGTGTCGTCGTCGTTGGCTTTGGTGTCGTTGTCGTCGGCTTTGGTGGACTGCAATCCTTCCAATCGCTACCATCGGGATTCGGCGGGAACACATCGGGGAAGTCGTCGCATTCGCAATCGGTATAAACGACGCCTATCAAAATCAATGATTACGGTAGAGATCGGATTACGGTACCTGGATTGCCATAGGCATTCGTGAAGTTGATAAGAAGGGCCATGACAACGGCGAAACTCAATCGCGCCATCATCATCATGTGTGTGTGTGTGTGTCTCTCTATTTTTTCGATGTCTGTGTGAAATCGATCCGACACCAATTCGATGGCCTTTTATGGCAAAATCGGGGCGAGAAAAAAATTGTTATCATAAAAATTACGCGTGGTTTTATGATGGTCGCATTAAAAACAAAATGAGGAACCAAATTCGTGGAACACATTGCCATTTATGGCTCCGACAAACCATCATCGCGTTTTCGGCGATTACTCATGCGCCTTTAAATTTTTTTGACGCGACGAGAAGAAGCCGCGCATTTGGAAAAGAAAATTTACCGATTTTTTTTGGTCCGCATTTCTGGAACGTGATTTCATATTCAAATTCGGTGCAGCTTCTTGTGAAGGTTCTGCGGCACGTAACTGAAGAGCCTAAATTTAATTTTTGGAATCATGAGTGAGCAAATTTTAGCTTCAAGTAAAAATCACACACTGAAATTTTAATTTGAATTGCCGCCCTGGGTTTGGTACAGAAAAATTCTCTAACAAGCTGTAATCTTCAGCCATATAATAATATAACACTTCAGAATGTGTGTGAGTTTTTTTTAAATAAAAACGCCTCCAATAGGGATAGCTTCGAAATATCCCGTAATTTTGAATATTTAAAAACTTGAATTGAAATTTTTGAAAACTTTCGAGACGAATTTCGTTTCAACTCAAATTTTGATGATTTTTTTTCAAATGAAAATCTTTACCTGGCCATTTTCTTGAATATGTGTTGATTTAATTGTCGAATTAACAACCTGAAAACAAGCTTTTTTATTAAAATAAAGCATTTTAAATTTTTTTTGCAACAAACAGAATTAATAATAGTTGGACTTTATTTCAAAACATTGTGTTCTCCGAGAAGATTCAAAAAAACAAAGAAATTTTTCGAAAATGAAATGAAATTTGGGAATTTCGAAAAAAGTACGATGGAGCGCACTTGCTTCACCCAAATTGTCGTATTTCTACCCAACATTATTTTCGGCCCTTTTTTTACAGGGAAAACTCCAATTCAAGTAAAACTAGTTGCCAGAAAATGTGTTTCAATCTGAATTCGAGTAATTCCAGTGAAAAAAAAAACAAAAAATTCAGAGTTTTCATTTTTTCCAAAATTTCAAAAATTTAAGCGCATCCTTCAACTTCTTCAATTTCAGATTCTATTCATTAATATTTTTAAAAAATATATTTTTTTAAATGTCACTTTCATTATTATTTTTTATTTCTCATAGAAACTTCGAAAAACCAAAAACGACATACGAGTGCGGTGGAGCGCACTTGCTCCCATTTTCCAAAAAAAAAATTTGAGGGAAAACAAAGTGATTCGCGTTCAGTCTAGATCGCCACGTGGCCAAAAAAACAACAAAATAATTTATAAGTACATTATATATATATGATGGATATGGTGAAGCTAGAAGGCAATTTCGACTTTATTTCGTCATTATAGAGAAGTTAGACGTGCCGCGCGGTGTTCTTCGTCTCGACATATTTGAACGGTTTGCCTGCAAACAAAAAAATGTCGTCGTCAAAATGAAACACCCCCCCCATATGATCTACCATCGATCATGGCCGGTTTCGAGCACAGAACGGCTCGCTGCGGTTTGTCGCACTCGACGCTGACGAATCGGAACTTGCTCTTGCAATCGCCGGCGATCTCGTTGCCGGTGAACTGAAACGAGTGCTACGCGTTTAGGTCTCTCGATCGCCGCCACCCACCACCGTGCACCGATGACTCCTCGGCAGCTTGTCGGCCCACGGCGCGTACTTGCTCGCGCGACTCCCATCATCCCATTCGTGGCGTGTCGCGTGTTTGACGAAGCCGATCCACGTCTGCTCATGCATCGTGTGATTCGCCATCGTCTGAACAAGTGCCGAAGCGAATCTCGACTCATCCTCGTTTCGTATCGACGCCAGATAGGCGTCGTTCGATTTGCACAATCGGCGGGCCTCGTCGAATCTCTTGCGATCGACGAACTGCTTGAAGCAGCGGCCATCCTTCAGAAGGCCTGTCGATGAGAAGTAGCTCCAGCCGGGCTCGCATGTCGCCGGCGATCGATCCTTTCCTGCAATTCAATGGATTATAAGGATCCATGACGAGTGGGGGGGGGGATCCATTCTTACCTCCTCCGACGCTCACTTCGCATAGCACTGCCTTCTGCTTCCGATTGCACGGGAAGTCGCCGAACTTGTACTGGGTGCCTCGGTGCGGGTAGTTCGGCAACTCGTTGCCAGTGAACTGCAACGATCCGATGAGAATCCGATGCGACCATCGCCAACCTACCACCGTGCAGTCGTTGATGTTCGGAGCGCCTGGAAGCCAATTGGTGAAGTCCATCGGCGAGCCGTCCTCGTAGACATAGTATTTCTGATGGATGCGATTCAATCCGATCCACGTTTGATCCTGAAGCGTGTTCGCCTTTTTGTTGTTGAGAAGGGCTGCAAAAAAAAAACAATCAACAATGAGAATCGGTGTGTTGAACTCGCGAATCACCGGAGAGCAGCAGAATCTGTTTGTGGTTGTGAATCGACGCCATATGACCGCCGGTGCTGACGCACAGTTGTCGCGCTTCTTCGAAATCCAGCGGACCATCAAATTTTCGGAAGCACAATCCGGTGGTCGTGTCGTTCGCTGAGAAGAACGTCCATTGGTTTGGGCACGCGTTTCCCGATGGTCCCGTCGCGACGATTTGACTCGACGCTAGAATTGCGCTGAGATTCTGGCTCTTCGTCGAACTCGCTTCAGATTCCATCGAAGCGCTAGCTTTGCTATTACTCGTCTCTTCAGATTCCGAGCTCGACTTGCTCTTCGCCTCAGCCTCCACACTGGCGCTCATCTTGCTCTTGGCTTCCTCCTCTTGACTCATGCTCGCCTTCTTGCTCATGCTCTCCTCACTGGTGGAGCTTGCTTTGCTTTTGGCTTCAGCTTCCATCGAAGCGCTCTTCTTGCTGCTTTGCTCCTCTTCCTGGCTCATGCTTGCCTTTCTGCTCGAGTTCTCTTCCAATTCAGCTTTCGACTTGCTATGAGCCTCAGCTTCAACACTGGCACTCGCTTTACTGTTGGCTTCCTCCTCTTGGCTCATGCTCGCCTTCTTGCTGCTGCTTTCCTCACTGGAGGAGCTCGCTTTACTGTTAGCTTCTTCTTCCATGCTCATGCTCTCTTTCCTGCTGCTCTCTTCTTCGCTAGAAGCACTGGATTTGCTCTTCGCCTCTTCCTCCATACTAGCGCTAGCCTTGCTCTTAGCTTCTTCCTCCTCGCTCATGCTCATCTTGCTTTTCGAGCTCTCTTCACTGGTCATGCTCTTCTTGCTCTTGGCTTCATCCTCCTGACTCATGCTCGCCTTGTGGCTGTTGCTCTCTTCCATTGCCGAACTTGACTTGCTCTTCGCCTCTTCCTCGACCTTCTGAACCGCTCGACTACTGGCTTCGGCTTCCATTGAAGCGCTCATCTTGCTCCTGGCTTCCTCTTCCTGGCTCATGCTCGCTTTGCTGCTCGAGCTTTCCTCGCTGTCGGATCGTGTTTTACTGCTAGCTTCAGCTTCCATGCTAGCGCTAGCCTTGCTCCTTCGCTCATCCTCCTGGCTCATGCTCGCTTCGCTGCTCGCGCTTTCTTCAATACTCGTGCTCATTTTGCTTTTGGCTTCCTCCTCCTCACTCATGCTCGCCTTCTTGCTAGTGCTCTCCTCGCTGGACGAGCTCGCTTTGCTTTTGGCTTCAGCTTCCATCGAAGCGCTCTTCTTGCTGCTCTCCACCTCTTCCTGACTCATGCTCGCCTTCTTGCTCGAGCTCTCTTCGCTAGCCGAGCTCGACTTGCTGTCGGCCTCTTCTTCAAGACTAGCACTGCTCCTACTATTGCTCGATTCCTCACTGGAAGCACTGGATTTGCTCTTCGCTTCAGCTTCCATCGAAGCGCTCTTCTTGCTGCTTTGCTCCTCTTCCTGGCTCATGCTCGCTTTCTTGCTCAAGCTCTCCTCGCTGGCAGAGTTTTGCTTCAAACTCGCTTCAGATTCCACAGAAGCGCTAGCTTTGCTATTACTCGTCTCTTCAGATTCCGAGCTCGACTTGCTCTTCGCCTCAGCCTCCACACTGGCGCTCATCTTGCTCTTGGCTTCCTCCTCTTGACTCATGCTCGCCTTCTTGCTCATACTCTCCTCACTGGTGGAGCTTGCTTTGCTCTTGGCTTCAGCTTCCATCGAAGCGCTCTTCTTGCTGCTTTGCTCCTCTTCCTGGCTCATGCTCGCCTTTCCGCTCGAGCTCTCTTCCAATTCAGCTTTCGACTTGCTCTTCGCTTCAGCCTCCATGCTGGCGCTCATTTTGCTCTTGGCTTCCTCTTCTTGGCTCATGCTCGCCTTCTTGCTGCTGCTCTCCTCACTGGAGGAGCTCGCTTTACTGTTAGCTTCCTCCTCTTGGCTCACGCTCGCCTTCTCGCTGCTGCTGCTCGCTGTCGCGTTCATTGTCAACGCCGCCGCTTCCGCTCGCTGCTGCTGCTTCTGCTTCCTCGCGCTTTTCGCACTGTCCACAGAGGACGCGACGGAGACAATTTGATTGGCGGCGTTGGAAAGCGATTGGGATTGCGACGAGCTCATTGTGCGATTGTCGGCTGGAATAGGCGTGAATCGTTTATTCGTGAATGCGTTGGGCGTCGTCGGCCGATCGCCGCCGCCGCCACTCACTTGAATTCCTCTTGCTGATCGGACTGCGCATCGCATCGCGATTCAGCCACGTCTCTGAATCAAACTATTCTCAATTTTGAATGGCGCATTCAGCGAATCTTACTGATCAATGTGATTCCATAGGTGCACACGAATGGCAGTTTCGTGGAGATCGGCCGAGTGTGCCATAATCCGCCGAGCGATGCGCGATCAATTGCGACGCCGAACGCCGGCTCGCCTATATTGAGAAGCTCATGAGTAGCCCGACAATTCCGAATTACCTGGAGCCCAAAGGCCGTCGGTGAGCTTCTCATTGCTGAGCCAATGGAATCCGCACTTGGCGTTGCTGGCGCCCACCCAGAATTGTTGGTGCTCGTCGGCGAGCTCCAACTCGGCGGTCGCCGAGTACAGCGCGCTGTCGTTGCCCGACACCATCGTCGCGAGTCGTCCGCGACGCTTCTCGCAGAATTGCGACGCCGCCTCGAAACTCAGCGGCTGTTTGAACATCTCGAAGCACGCGTGATAGCTGAAATCGTCAAATCGTCATCAAAACGCGACCATTTGATTTTGTTTTGTTTGAGCAACTCATCGGCAAGCGGATTTCGGGCGCCTTGTTTGCACTTCTTCTGAATCGTGTAGGCCGCCGAATCGTCGGCGACGCTCAACGGCGCGAAATTGCAGAACCATAAAAGGAATAATAGTAGAATTGTCGGCATGGCGGACGAGCCAACCGTCGTCTTTTGCCGCGATTTTATGACGAACCCGGTTTATATTCCATATTTATATATATGATATAAAGATGACGATTAATACGTGTGTTTTCGTTCGTCCCATTTCCAATGGGGGGGTGGTATGACCGGAAGAAGGCTGCCGGGGGGGGGGTCTCCGAAAATTGCGGAAATGGAACACACATTCCTATCGGCTTTGCTGTGTGCTAGGGATCCCCGATTTTTAAAGGCGCATACCACAAACATCCAAGACTCTAATTCGATGCACCTTTAAATTCCCATCAAATGATATTTCTACAAGGGGGCTTCTTGACGCAAATTCTCGCCAAGACCTCAAAGGGTCTCGCAGCCGATTTCAAGGAATCGCTTCAGGACCCAAGACTCTAATTCGATGCACCTTTAAATTCTCCATCGAATGACATTCCAGCGTCTCGCAGCGATTTTTAAAGGCGCATACCACAAAAATGCAAAACACCAATTTAGTGGGCCTTTAAATTCTCCATTGAATGACATTCTAAGGTCTCGCAGCGATTTTTAAAGGCGCATACCACAAAAATGCAAGATTCCAATTTGATGGGCCTTTAAATTCTCCAACAAATGATTTTTCTACAAGGGGCTTCTTGACGCAATTTCTCGCAGCCGATTTCAAGGAATCGCGAAAGGACCCAAGACTCTAATTCGATGCACCTTTAAATTCTCCATCGAATGACATTCCAGCGTCTCGCAGCGATTTTTAAAGGCGCATACCACAAAAATGCAAAACACCAATTTAGTGGGCCTTTAAATTCTCCATTGAATGACATTCCAAGGTCTCGCAGCGATTTTTAAAGGCGCATACCACAAAAATGCAAGATTCCAATTTGATGGGCCTTTAAATTCTCCAACAAATGATTTTTCTACATGGGGCTTCTTGACGCAATTTCTCGCAGCCGATTTCAAGGAATCGCGAAAGGACCCAAGACTCCAATTTGATGAGCCTTTAAATTCCCCATCAAATGATATTCCAGGGTCTCGCAGCGATTTTCAAAGGCGCATAATACATTTAAAAAAAATTTCGATGCTTCTTCTGCGTGCGCCTTTGAATTCAAAATCCGCCGTCGTGCCAAGACCCCTTTTTTTGATGTTAATAAAAAAAAACCAATTCATCTGCGGACAATTTTCATTTCGTCGAATTCAGCACTTGAAAGAGATTATAGCACAATTTGTGGATGTCGGCTTCGGTTAGAGCCGATTCGAGGCATTGTTTGTCGTTGGCGTAGTGCTTCTGAAGGCGCCAGACGGCGACGTCGCGAAGACGTGGCGGCTGAAAATCGAAAATCACAAAAAAGAAGGCGGATTTTCGATTAGAAACCGCAATTTTTTCCGGGAAAAACTGTCGGAAAAAAACGATTTTTGGCTTAAAATTACCTGAAGCGAAACGATCGCGATGCTCTGAATGCCGACAAACGCGAAAATGTTGTCGGTGCAAAGCGAGTAGAACATTTTGTCGACGCGCTCGAGCAATTTCGTGTTGCCGCGCTCCGAGCAGCGAATCGTTCGAGTTTCGTGGTCTGAAACGCCCATCTTCAATATTCGAACGGACCATTTCCATAAGAAACTCACAATTTTTGCTTTTAATCGGTCAAAATTGCTCAAAAATTTTTGAATTTTGTAATTTTTCACGATTAAAAATTGAAGTCTTTTCATTTTTTTTAAAATTAAAATTCTTGTTTTTTTCAGCTATTTAATCATTTTTTGGCCATTTTTTTTTCAATTTTGCAATTCTTTTCGAAAAAACCAGCAATTGACAATTTTGAATAAAAATTTTTTTCCAAACTAATTTCTATATTTTTTAAATTGATATTTTTGGTTTTTGAGGTCCTTTTGGTCAAAAAAATTCCAGAATTTCGAAATTTTAAAAGTTTTCCAACAAAAATGCAACAGGAATTATGGAAAAATCAATAATTGCAATAATTCAAACCTTTAATCCCAATTTCTGACCAATTTTTGTGAAAAACCGCATAAATTTGACAATGAGCGTTAAAAACCAAAATATTTTCTTAAAATTTTCATTTTTAAATCGAAAAAATAGAAAACTTCACATTTTTTGATTAAAAATTGTTAATTTTCCAACAAACATTTTTGACAAAAATTGTCCCAAAAATACAAATTTTTTTCGAAAAAAAAATTGCCTACCAAGTGTGATTCGATAGAAGAAATGTCGATCATTCTTCACAATTCTCGCAATACAAACATTGGCGTCGCAATGGAACGTCAACGGCGATTCGACAGCGCCAACTCGATGGCCGTTGCGACCATACGTCTCGCGAACGCCTCGTTCCATCGACGTCGGAAATCTGAACATCTCGCCGTCATCAATGATGTACTCGTTCCATTCGCCGTCTCGAAACACCATCATGCTTCGCTCGTCCTTCAATCGGCCGAACACGCGATTCACCGCGTCGAACGGTATCGGATAGCGTTTGCAGTGGCTCGGCTGATCGTCGTCCAAATCTTTGACGTACTCATTGACGATGTTGAACGCGTCGTCGGCGACGAATCGAATCCGCCAATAGGGAATCGCGCCCTTCACAATGCTTCTGTCGAACAGCACCACGTTGTTCGCGTCGCATCTCAGCGATAGTGTCTCGAGCGCGATCGCCGTGTGCTCTTGCTGCTCATCGACGCGCACGTCGAACCGCTTCAATTCATTGCTGGCCATATTGTATTTGAATAGCGAGCACGTCAGCCGATCATCGGGATCCTCGGTGCCATAGCAGAAGCAGTAAATGATGGGCTCGTCGTACGCGCAAGACGCCACCGAGTAGATGACGGTTTTCAGCGGAATTTCGCACAATTGCGTCCAATTTGATGGGAACATTGAGTCGACCGACCAGAATTGAATGACATCCTTGAAAATTGGCTGAAAAATCGCGAGATTAGCGGCGAAAAATTGAAGCGAAAATATTTGTTAAAAAAAATTCGAAATTAATTACAGTATCGCGAGGCGGCGGCGCGTTAAAGGCGCACACCGCCACGCGATGTCGCGTCTCGCCACACGCGTTACTGTACACCGGCGCATTTTCGCATTTTCACCTGCAAAATAAGCGTCGAGCCGAATATTCCGACGCGATTGATTCGAATATTTTTGAAGCGCGCGTCCACGTTGAAATAGCGCGTCATGACACCCGCGTGTTTGCTGGAAAAAAAAAAACCGAAAAAAATCGCACGGTTTTCGCGAATAATTTCGACAACTCGTCGCGATTTCGTAATAATCGATTGAAAATGTGTGCTCAAGTGGCCGCAAAACGGATAGAAAAATATTGCATTGCGAAGAAGTTTCTTCATTTAAAAAAAAAACAAATAGTGCGATGGAGCGCGTTTGTCGCTCATTCCAAAAACTCTTAATTGCCGATGGTTTTCGTGCCCTCGTCGGCGGCGCCGCCTTCACGATCATAGGCGATTCGAAGTCGAATCACACCATCAAACGATTTTCGGCACGCTTTGCTCGCCTAAAAGGCAAACCCAAAAATAGTGGGGCTTCAACACGATTCCCAAAACCTCGTCGACATCATTTGACGTCGATTTGAGATGAAAAATCGCAATGTAGTGATGGTTTTCGGGCTGTTTCGTCGCCGTGTCGTTCATTGTCACCTTGATATAGCTGATGGTGTTTGGCTGAAACGCGTCGCCGACATTCATCGAGGCCCCCCCCCCGCCATCGTCGTACCTGCAGAAAGCCAACCGTCGGCTGAATTTGAAACAATCGATTGTTGGTCGATTTGATTTTGAAGAATTGCCGCTTGTCGGTGATGTTGGTGATGCGAATTTCGGCGAACGCCGGATTCGGCGCGATGTACTTGAAGCGCACCTCCAGCGGATCGACCTGCAACAAGAGGAGATCGATCGGATCGTGTCGGCGAGAGCACTTTCAACTGAAAATCGGGCTCGTCGGCGAGATTCGCGATGCGCACCGGCTTCGTCGGCAACCCATCGCTTGGCGTCACGCCGCCGTTTTTTTGCTCGACGTCGCCCGTCAATGTATCAATTTTCACATTATCGTCACCATTTCTCATGGTTTTTTTTGCTAGAAATGAATGACGCGACGATATTTCGAGTTTTTAGCCCAACCGCGTCAAACCGTTTTTTTTTTCAATTTTTCCCCCAAATTTTTGCCAGTAGATCAAAATGGGTTCGATGGGAGCGGAACTCGATTATTCTGTATATGATGAGCAGCAAACGCGCTCTATTGACCTTGAAAAAATCTTTGGAAAATTCTATATTTTAAACAGTAGATCAAAAAAGTTCAATGGGGCGCATTTGCTCTTTACAATTATTATTTGCAGAGACCTTGAAGCTATTTTTTTGGAAAATTTCATGTAAAATTCTATATTGTAGGCGGTAGATCAAAAGGGTTCAATTGGGGGGAATTGAAAAGGCTCATACATTGTGGAAATTTCAATATAAGATGAGCGGCAATCGCGCTCCATCGACCACTTTTGATCTACCGCGAGAAATGCGCAAACCAACGCTCGATTACAGGCTATAAATCAATTTTAGAATATTTTCGTTGTGGGACCTTTTCGATGAAAGCTGGAATACCGTATTATCTCTCTTTAAAGGCGCATAGCAAATGGAAATTGAAAGGGTTTCGAGCAAACAAAAAATCTGCCAAAAAGGCAACGTTGCCTTAACAAATTAAAGTGGTCCCTAGATTCCGATCCCATCTAGTTTTGAGGCTCTTGCGGTCCAGAATCGGATAGTTTGTCATTAAAATGAAGATGGTCCGCAGGATCTCGCCGGTGCTCTAGACGAGTCGATTAATGTGCACCTAAAGAAGGGTGTGGGTGCTGCGGACATTTTTCCGGTTGCGCGCCTCAATCGATTCGAACCAGTTCGTCGAAAAAAATTTTTTTTTTTCGAAACCGTTGATAAGAGCGCGAAATTGATAAGAGAATCGCCACAACGATTTCCTTTTTCATTTTCGTTTCGATCGACAAAAATTGAAAATTTTGTTTCTTGTTTCACCGCATGCTCCTTTAATGATTACTGTATCACAATTTCAGGTTTCGCCACAAAAACACGAATGCCACGCCTCGCTTATTCTGACGATGACGACGACGACGAGTCGTCGTCGAATAATCTTCAACGACTATCAGAATCCTCCGACGGCAGCAGCACATCGGAATTGAATGAGTCGACGGCGTCGGAATTGTCGGACTCGTCGGACGTGTCGGACTCGTCGGACTCATCCGACTCCTCAACCACTACTGACGACGACGACGACGACGACGACGAGGGGAAGACGATGACGAAGAAGAAGACGAAGAAGACGAAGAAGACGTTGGAAGAAGTTGATGAACCAGAACAATGTTAAGGATTGATTTGAATAAAACAATTTTATCGATTTTTTCTTTGCCTCTTTGCTATGCTCCTTTAAATAGCGATTCAAACAATAATACAGTATTCCAGCTTTCATCGAAAAGGTCCCATAGCGAAAATATTCCAAAACAGATTTAGAGCCTGTAATCGAGCGTTGTTTTGCGCATTTCTCGCGGTAGATCAAAAGTGGTCAATGGAGCGCGATTGCCGCTCATCTTATAGAATCTTTTTGAAATTTCCACAATTCCCTCCCATTGAACCCTTTTGATCTACCGCCTACAATATAGAATCTTGCATGAATTTCTCAAAAAAGGCTTCAAGCTCTAAATGGTGAAGAACAAATGCGCTCCATTGGACACTGTTGATCTACCACCAAATCTTGTCGAATTTTTTTCATTTTTCGTCAGCAACAATGTATGTATAAAAAAAAAGAAAACAAAAAATATGTATAAAAATAGAAAATTAGAGATTCGGATTGTCGGCGTAGACTTTCGCCATTTGCGGTTTGAACTTCAATCGCAGTTGGGGTCGTTTCGCTTTGAGCGTCGGCGTGAGCAGCCCGTTCTCGACGGTGAACACCTCGTTCGTCAGAATCACTCGTTTCACCTTCAATCAATTGGTGGCAATTGGTGTGACCACCTCCCCTACCTGTTCAATGGAATTCAATTTGTTCGCCTTTCCAATCGCCACCAATTCGCCTAGAACGTAATCGTGGACTTTCGGATCGCGAATCGTCTCGTCGAGATCCCTTCCGTCGTGTCCATTCCTCTCGTTCCACGATTTCAACGCCGACGGCTGCGGCACCACAACAGCAATGAGCCATCTGAACGAGTTCAACCAAATTAGGCCACTAATTGGTCGCGCTTAATTACCTCTCAAGACTGTCGCCGTCGACGTAGACCTGCTGAACGACCGGCGATCGGACGTAGACGTTCTCAATCTTCTCCGGCGCCACATACTCGCCCTGCGCCAATTTGAAGATGTGCTTCTTCCTGTCGATGATGCGGATCGTGCCGTTGGGCAGCATTTCGGCGATGTCGCCGGTCTGCAGGAAGCCGTCGTCGTCGAACAACTCGGCGGTCCGCTCGGCGTCTTTGTAGTAGCCCTTCGTCACCGATGGTCCCTTGATGCGCACCTCGCCGCGTCCGTCGCGCGCGTAATAATTCAGGTCGGGCACGTCGCCGAGTTTGAGCAGCGTGCACGGCGCCGGCGCGCCGCAATGGCCGCCCGACGGGTCCGGCAGCCACGTGAACGTGCCCAGAGCGGTGCACTCGGTCTGGCCGTAGCCTTCGGCGATGACGGCGCCGAGCGCCACACGGCACGTCTCGAGCACCGTCGACGAGATCGGCGCCGAGCCGGTCACCATCAGGCCGACGCGGCCGCCCACCTGCTCCTGGATTTTGGCGAACACCAGACGATCCCAGATGGTGTTGCGCGAAGCGACGCCTCGTCGCACTTGCTTCAGTTTTTGCGCGTACGCGAAATTGTAGATCAGTTTGCCGATGAGGCCTTGCTTTTGAACGTTCGACTGAAATGTACGCGATTTGGCGTCAGGTATGGTGTGTTGCGAAAATAAATTTTTTTTGACGGTCAAATTTTAAATATTGCTGTAATCATCGGAAATGTACGTCGTTTGACGTGAATTTCGGCAAAATTTGGAAAAGTCCGCAATTTGGCGTGAGATATGATGTGCTGAGAAAAATAGTGAAAATTTGACTCGAAAAAAATTTTTTTGAGGGAAAATTGAAATATTGCTGTAAAGATCTGAAATGCACATCGTTTGACGTGAATTTTGGCAAAATTTGAAAAAGACCGCAATTTGGCGTGAAATATGGTGTGTTGAGAAAAATTGTGAAAATTTGAGCCGAAAATTTTTTGTGAGGGAAAAAATTGAAATATTACTGTATTAATCGGAAATGTACGTTGTTTGACGTGAATTCTGGCTAAATTTGGAAAAGTCCGCAATTTGGCGTGAGATATGGTGTGTTGAGAAAAATTGTGAAAATTTGACGCGAAAAAATTTTTTTTGAGGGAAAAAATTTGAAATATTGCAATCAACATCGAAAATGTACACCATTTGGGGGTAAAATTTTAGCAAAATTGGAAAAGTCCGCAATTCGGCGTGGAATTTGGTGAATTGAAGAATTTTTGTGATTTGGCATGAAATTTTTTTTCGTCGAAACAAAATTGAAATCTTCATGTCAAATCAGACAACTGCTTTCGAAGGGAAATGTACGCAATTTGTCGTGGAATATGGTGTCGTTCAAAAAAGTCCGCAATTCGGCGTGAAATATGGTGTCGTTCAAAAAAAAGTCCGCAATTCGGCGTGGAATTTGGTGTATTGAAATTCGCCGCAATTTTACACACAAAATCTATTCTAACTCGTCGAATCTGAACAATATTTTGCGTGTCCGCAATTTGTCGTCAATTCAAGTGTATTCAAAAAGAAACAACCAGCCCTCTTTAAACTCGGCAATCAGTCGTCGCTCACCTGAATAGCGTCGTAGAGTCGATTGAGGAGTCTCGGCACGACCGGGAATACGGTAGGCTTCAACGCTTTGATGTCGTCGGTGAGGCCCTGAATGTTGCCGCGATAGTAGCCGATTTTCGAGCCGAATCCGAGCAGCGTCCAATGCGTGATCTGCTCCATCATATGCGACAACGGCAAATACGAGATGTGTACCTTTAAATTGAGAGTGAGAAAAAAATTTTTTTTTTCTTCTTAAAGGGGGTGTCGTTCCTACTTGTGTGGTGTCGATCATTTCCGGATGGAATGTGAACAGAATTTTGAGTAACGCCGTGATGTTGGCGACGATGTTGCGATGCGTCAGAACGACGCCTTTCGGCGAACCGGTGGTGCCCGACGTGTAGCTGCAAATTGTCGTCGATTATGGTGTTTGTGCAAAATTTGTGCACTAATTGATGAATTGCTCGCGAAATCTGACCGAAATCGCCGTTTTTCGACTCAATTCTGTAATTGCGCGTCAATTCTGATGTCTAGTCCGCAAAATGTCGTCAAATTTGACCCATTCTTTTTTTCATTAAATCTACATTTCTGCTTAGAATTCCGTCAATGACGCGCAATTCTTTCAAACTTTTAACCGAAATCTGTCAAGTCCGCAAAATGTCGTCATTTCTTGTGCATTCCCAAAAATTGCGATTTTTTTCATAGCTCTGCTAAAATTTGAGGCTTAAAACTCAACAATTTTGCAATTTTCTACAGAATTCAATAATTGCTCGTCAAATGTAATGACAAGTCCGCAAATTGTCGTCAACTCTAGCGCAATTCCAAAAAATGCGCATTTTTCCGTCAAATCTTCATTTCTGAACAAATTTTGAAAAAAGTAACTCAAATTAAGCCATTTCTGTCAAAATTCCGCAATTGCTCGTCAAATATAATGACAAGTCCGCAAATTGTCGTCAACTCTAGCGCAATTCCAAAAAATGCGCATTTTTTCGTCAAATCTTCATTTCTGAACAAATTTTGAAAAAAGTAACTCAAATTAAGCCATTTCTATCAAAATTCCGCAATTGCGCGTCAATTCTGATGCCGAGTCCGCAATTTGTCGTCAACTCTAGCGCAATCCAAAAAACTGTGCATTTTTTCATCAAATCTACATTTTTGCACAAATTTTGAAGAAAGCCACTCAAATAATGCAATTTGCATCTGAATTCCGCAATTGCGCGTCAATTCTGATGCCGAGTCCGCAAAATGTCGTCAACTCTAGCGCAATTCCAAAAAATGTGCATTTTTTCATCAAATCTACATTTTTGCACAAATTTTGAAGAAAGCCACTCAAATCAAGCCATTTCTGTCAAAATTCCGCAATTGCGCGTCAATTCTGATGCCGAGTCCGCAACCCACCAAATAATATAAGTGTCGTCCGGTTTTGGCAGCAAATTCGTGTACGAGTATTTGTCGCCGAGCTCCAACGCGTGCTCGAGCGTCTCCAAACGAATTCCGTGATATTTGGCCTAGAAAAAGAAACCGCCCCGCTACCGTAGTCTACCGTAATCCGCACAAACCAATTCGACGTCGTCCTCGTCGAATCCGTCGGCCTCGATGACGAGAATCGTCTTCAGCGTGACCATGTTCTCGGCGTTGTTGATGAGATTCTTCGCCTTCGCCACTTTGTCGACAATCACGACGCTGAACGGTTACGGTAACACTAGTTCGTGTCGAGACCCACCTGATGTCGGCTTGCGAGACGATGAACGTGGCCGCCTCGGCGCCAAGGGTGTCGTACAACGGCACCACCACCATCGACTGCTCGATACAGGCGAGAGCGCTGAAAAGCCATTGCGGCGAGTTGCGCGCGTAGATTCCCACGTTCGTCTCGTTGCCTGCAAACGATTTTGATCTACCAAAAGAAATTTGCAATAGGGCGCAATTGCACTATGATCTACCAACTTTCATCAGAAATATTCTTAATTGAGCACAATTTCTTATTGCTTTTCCTAATTTTTGTTTTTTAAGTGCCAATAGAGCGCATTTGCACTATGATCTACCGATTTTTGTTGAAAATGCTCTCAATCGATTTTTACAAAAAATAATTATTCACAGATCGCAAATTTCTCCGTAGAAAAAAAATTGATCTACCTGAAAATTAAATTCATAAAGGCGAATTTTATCAGAATTACCAACAATCAACATTGTCAATGGAGCGCGTTTGTCTACAATAAGCCAAACAAAAATTTCTCGAAGTGATCTACATCGTCAATGGAGCGCACTTGTCTACAATAAGCCAAACAAAAATTTCTCGAAGTGATCTACATTGTCAATGGAGCGCACTTGTCTACAATAAGCCAAACAAAAATTTCTCGAAGTGATCTACATTGTCAATGGAGCGCACTTGTCTACAATAAGCCAAACAAAAATTTCTCGAAGTGATCTACATTGTCAATGGAGCGCACTTGTCTACAATAAGCCAAACAAAAATTTCTCGAAGTGATCTACATTATCAATGGAGCGCGTTTGTCTACAATAAGCCAAACAAAAATTTCTCGAAGTGATCTACATTGTCAATGGAGCGCACTTGTCTACAATAAGCCAAACAAAAATTTCTCGAAGTGATCTACATTATCAATGGAGCGCGTTTGTCTACAATAAGCCAAACAAAAATTTCTCGAAGTGATCTACATTATCAATGGAGCGCGTTTGTCTACAATAAGCCAAACAAAAATTTCTCGAAGTGATCTACATTATCAATGGAGCGCGTTTGTCTACAATAAGCCAAACAAAAATTTCTCGAAGTGATCTACATTGTCAATGGAGCGCACTTGTCTACAATAAGCCAAACAAAAATTTCTCGAAGTGATCTACATTATCAATGGAGCGCGTTTGTCTACAATAAGCCAAACAAAAATTTCTCGAAGTGATCTACATTATCAATGGAGCGCGTTTGTCTACAATAAGCCAAACAAAAATTTCTCGAAGTGATCTACATTATCAATGGAGCGCGTTTGTCTACAATAAGCCAAACAAAAATTTCTCGAAGTGATCTACATTGTCAATGGAGCGCACTTGTCTACAATAAGCCAAACAAAAATTTCTCGAAGTGATCTACATTGTCAATGGAGCGCACTTGTCTACAATAAGCCAAACAAAAATTTCTCGAAGTGATCTACATTGTCAATGGAGCGCGTTTGTCTACAATAAGCTCAACGAAAATTTCTCGAAGTGATCTACATTGTCAATGGAGCGCGTTTGTCTACAATAAGCTCAACGAAAATTTCTCGAAGTGATCTACATTGTCAATGGAGCGCGTTTGCGTGCCACCAACCTGGTGTGAGGCCGTACTCGTGCACAAGACTCATGGCGAGCCGTTTCGCGTTCGCGTGCACCTCGCCGTACGTGTAAAACTCGTAGTCGCTGGTGTCGGACTCGCGCCAGCCGACGCACGGACCATCGAGGCTCTCCTGCAAAACCCGCACTCGTGTCGGCAGCAATGCGAGAACCGAAAAGAAACCGACGAACCGATTTGCCCATCATGAAGATGTCGTGGATGGTGGCGATGTGCGGATAGAAGCGCTCGAGCACGTCGCCGTCGTCGTCGCTGAGAAGCGCGCTTTTCCACACGCCGGGTTGGCCCTCAAATTTGAAATTGATTTCAATTAGTAATTAAGCTAATTAAATGCTAATTATCCTATAATTACTACAGAAAGTTAATAAGAATTGCTCATTTTTTTAATTAGTTTAAAACAAATAATTTATTCGACTCTTCTTCAATTGCCTAATTTAACCTTAATTACCTATAATTAGTAATTAAGATATCAATTAAATTCTAATTATCCTATAATTTCTAGAGAAGGTAATTAAGAATTAAAAATTGCTCATTTTCCAAAAATTTTCTTGTTTTTTTTTAATAATTTGTTCGGTTCCCCTTCAATTGCCCAATTAAACCTTAATTACCTATAATTAGTAAGTAAGCTATCAAATTGAATGTTAATTACTTATGATTACTAGAGAAAGTTATAAAGAAGTCAAAATCGCATTTTTCAAAAATTTATTTGGTTCCTTTCTAATTGCCTAATTAATTTTTTAAATTGCCTAATTTAATCTTATTTAATTGTCTGATTAATTTTTTTAATTGCCTAATTAAGTCTTAATTACTTATTATAAAATAAGGTGTATAATTCAACGAGGTGTAATTTACTAATTAGAGGTTAATTACCCATAATTACTGGAGGGGAATTCATAACTAAAAATAGCTCATTATTTAAATTTGCAAATTGCTTTAATTACGTTTATGATTAACTTCCTAATTAAGAGACCCATAATTGGCGATAATTAGTTAATCATATTAATGAAAGAGAGTTCTTGCCTAATTAGGGGTTAATTGCCTATAATTACTAAAGACGGGAGGGGAGGAGAAAAAATGGCTGGCTCACTTATCCAATTAAGCAATTAGCGGACTAATTAACCGCAACCAACCTTGACGGGAACCGCTTGATGGTCCAAATCGAGACAGTTCGGCAGAATGACACGGGCGGCGCGCAAAAATTTCACATAGAGAAAATAGGTGGAGCCGAGAAGCGCGGCGGCGAGGCCGGCGAGCGCTCCCGGATTGTCGAGCATCGTCGGTGACTGCAAATTGTTGGCAACCAATTAACTCCGCGCCCTAATTGCTCCCCCAATTAGCAGGGGAATGATGAAAACAAAAAAAAAACTTTTTTTTTGGCCTTTTTTCTCGTTTTAATTGCCACAAAATTTTTCTTCAAATTTTGAGGGTAATTATCGATAATTGGGCTCTTAATTACCATAAACCAATTAGTCCAATTGATCATCCTAGACTACAAATTAAACGAGGACAAAGGCATAGGCACACGGTGGCTGCTGATGTCATAAATGATAGCAAACAATGGAGGAGGGGGCAATTATACGACTAATTATTTGATTCGTTAATTACCCTAATTATAAACCAATCAAGTCTAGAAATGATAATGGAAAGGAAAAAAATGAAGAGAAATTTGAGTGAATCACCTGATTGTACCATATAAGGGAACAAAGTACGAAAACAGAAAACCCACTGATAAGGAGCTAATTAATTGCTAATTAAGTGAGGAAGGGGTAATTAAAATTGTCAATTATTTATTTCAATTTCAAGCTGCAATTAAGCCATCTAGATAATTAGGGCGACTAATCAATGATAAAAGTAAATTAGGGTAATTAGAATAAAAGATAGCTTGCGCGTCAATTTTAATGAATTATAACAAATAAGGAAGTCTAGCAATTAATTGAATAGTGAAAAATTGGATAATTAGGGTTAATTAGGGTGAATGGCGTGATTGGTGCAAAGTCCAAACGAAACGAATTGATGGGATTGAAAGAAAACGTCGCCGTCTTCGCTGGGTCGCTGCCGCGCGATTGATAAGAGAACCACTATAATCATCAGACCCCCGTATAAGGCGATGAGAGAGAGAGAGAGAGAGAGAGAAGAAGAAGAAACGGCCTACCCAAACCGTCCTCCTGTTGTTCTTTTATGGTCATTATATCAATGTTCATAGAATGTTGAGCAGATTAGCGCCAACCGCGTAATTGATAACGATAGGTGGCGAAGAAAAATTGAAGAGAAAAATGAAAAATACGAATTTTTTTGCCCATTTTTGGCCATCAAAATTTTGAGATTTGAACGGCGAAAAATATTCGAAATTTCGAATTTTGAAAAAATTGTGAAAATTCCAAAAAAAAATTTTCATCTCGCATTTTTTGAATCGAAATTTTAAAACATGGCAAAAATTCCAAAAAAACTATAAAATTTTCGCATTTTTTAAATGAAGAATTTTGAAAAATTCAAAAAAATTCATTTTTTTTTCTTTGCTTTTCAAAAAAAATTTTCAAAATTTCGCTTTTTTTTGAGAAAAATTGGAAATAACTAAAAAAAATCAAATTTTTTGAATATTTTCATTTTTTTTTCGCACCCAAAAATTCAAAATGTGCTTTTTTTCAATAAAAATTTGAAGAAAATTGAAAATTACAAAAAATCGATGTTCTTTTTCGAAATTTTTGAATTTTTTATCCAAATTTGAGAATAATTGAAATTTTCGCGTTTTTTTTTCATGACGTTCTCGAATTTGCTCGAAAATTCGCCACCTTATTGGAAAATTCGTGAAAATTTCGGCAAAATTGAGCATTTTGACCAAAAAATTCTGAAATTTTTGCCCATTTCATCGAAAAATTCAAATTTCTCAAAAAAAATCGCTGATTTGACTTCTTCAATTCTCCAAAATCTTAATTTTTCGAAAAAAGGCCGCTTAGATGAGTACGGTAGCACAAGTTCCACTCAAAATCTACCGTAGTCCGTTTCAATTTGCCGCCATCACCTTCATTTCTGTCAATGTTCGATGGAGCGCGTTTGCCGTCATCAATTATCAACATTTATTGGTTTGGCAGAGATCATTGACAACAATTTAAAGGCGCATGCAATAAAAATAAAAATAATAGGTGGAATGTCAAGCGATTTTCAATTTTTCGCGCGTCGGCAGCGATTTCGCGTCGAGATATCGCTGGTACAGTAATCCGACGACGTCGGCGACGAACGCGGCGGCGACTCCCGCCACGACGCATACCGTAACACACGGCACGAGGAGGAGCACGATGAGAATCGTCGAGGCCGCTGAAAAAACAAAGCAAATAAATCATCATCAGAAAATCGCGCTTGGCGGATTACTGTACTTTGCGCGATGAGAGCCACACCGAAATTGACGACGGCGGTGAGAAGAAGCGAGGCGGCGGCGACGATCATCGGAATCGCCGAAAATAGGCACACAAAGTCGAATGTGGCACGAGGCAGATGGTCCTGACAAGAAACTATTTGGTTGAGAACAGAAAAATTCCATTTTGGGAGATTCTATTGACCGACAGTACCCCAAAATTTAAATTTTAGTACTGTAGCTACAGTAACCGGGTTACGGTAATGAAAATATTTCTAAAATAATCCGCATTCCAAATTTAGTTATTCCAAAAAATTTCAGATCGATACGATCAATACTCACGATTTTGGGTTACTGTAGCTACAGTACCCCTCTGGACTTTGAATTTTTTGACACATTTTTGCCTCCTGATAACCCCACGACAAAATTAGTCAATTCTGAATCAGAATTTGACGCTGATTCCGAATATCTAGGTCTCGAAGCATATAATTCAAAATTGACCGATTTTCAAAATTCGTTTTTTTGGAAAATTAATCTGGCGAGGCACGAAATTGTCAAAAAATTGGCAATTTTTGAAAAATGAAAGGAAAAAATGAAAAAATTGAGCTTTTGCCCAGTCGAGACCAAAAAATATTAAAATATTTCATTTTTCCAAATATTTTCATTCAAAAATGTGAGAAAATTTTCAAATTTTTCGATTTTTCGCGTGAAAATTGCAATTTTTTGATGAGAAAATTGAAAATTTCGCGTATTTTCTTCGAAATTGCCGAAATTTTCGCAATTCGCATTCAAAATATGCCAATTTTTTAAATGAAAATTTCCAATTTTGAATGAAAAAATCGAGAATTTCGTAATAAAAAAAAATTTCTCAAAAATTTCCCCCCAAAAAAAATCGTTCAAAATTGCCGAATTCATGAAATTTTGTCAGCTTCCTACTAAAATTATTATTTTTTAAAAGAAAAATGACAAAAAAAAATTGAGAATTCGTCGCGTCGAGACCCAAAATCGCAAAAATTTCAATTTCAACGCCAAACGCAAAAAATTACTTCAAAAAAAAAATGGAAATTTCTAGAATTTTCGTTTCAAATTTCTCAATTTCTTGCAATTTTCCCCACCTGAATCGCTCGCTTCATTCGCAAAACTCGTCGAAACATCTCCAAACATCGCGATTCGTCCTCATCGTTCTTCATCAACTAAATCGACAAAAAAAAATCCGAGAATAAAACCGAAAAGTATGGGAAGAATGTGGCAATTCGATGCGAAATATCAAAAATCCACAAAATCGCCAAAAAATTGATCGATTTATTCGACGTTTTTCTACATGTTGTACAACGAAAAAAAAAAACACATTTAATATTGTCACTGGCAGCTCTCAGCTTCATCGGTGTTCACCTGAAATACTACTCAATTTTTTTTTTCAGACCACACAATTAATCGCACACCTTTTTGAGCATGTCCTGAACGATTGTCGAGTCGATCGGCGCGTTCGTGAAGATGGTCCCAACGAACGCGTGCGATCCCCAACACGCGTGTTGAAGCACTTTGCAGCAGCCGAGGTCCTCGATGCGGAATCCCATTTGTTTGTAGGCGTCGTGGGTCTCGAACAGCGTGTGATTCGTGTACGCTTCGAGGAACGGCCGGCCCGACGACGGATCGATGAAGTCGGCCCAATAGCCGCATCGTCGAAGCGTCGTGCAGATCGCGTTCGCCGACATCACAAACTGGAACAGCAAAATTCGAGTTCAATTCGACCAATTTTTGAGCAAAATTCCAAATTTTTCATCGAAAAAACCATTTCAAAAAGTGGAATTTTCATCAATTTTTGACCAAAATCATTTTAAATTCCAAAAAAAAAAATACCGAAGCGGTGAGCTTGTCGCGTTCCTCCTCCATCGACTCGCTCCACGCCTTCATGTCGTGCTCGGTCTTCTGCGTCAGATTCAGCACCGACACGTCCATTTTCGACGTGTCCATTTGCGGGAATAGATATTTCATTTCTGCAATTTAGAATATCACACAAATTCCGCAACGGCATTCGATTTGACGCACAATTTCCGCAATTTTGCGTCAAATTCTTTTTAAAAACAAAGTTGATCGCTATTTTAGACTTCACGAATCCTAAAATCTGGAATTCGTCATGCTAGGGTCAAGTTTGACATTCTAATTCTGCAATTTTGCGTCAAATTCTGAAAAATATTACGCGCAAACTTGAATAATCGCAATAAGTCCGCAATAACGTTATATTTGACGCGCAATCCTTAATTTTTAGCGATCTGGACTACAGTAATCCTAAACTCCGTAATAACGCTATATTTGACGCGAAATTCTTAAATTTTCAACAATTTGGACTACAGTAACCCTCATGCTTGCAATTATACAACAAATTTGATGGTTAAATTGAAAAAAATGCAAGCTTTCGTTCAAATCGCCTAGAGTCCGCAATTTTGCGTCAATTCTAATGCAATGCGGTTCTTTTGGCACCAAATTTGACGCGCAAATTTCGATTGTTTCAAAAAAACTCACCCCTCTTCAACAATCTCGGGCACGGAAGAGCGCTGAGCTCAATTTCGACGTCGGCGGCGTTGGCTTGAGCCTCGGCGAAAGCTTCTTCCTGCAAAAAAAATTGCGATTTGCACATTTTCGCCGAAAACCTTGAGTTTCGCCAAATGATTGGCATCGGCTTGAATCGCTGAAGCCGACAGAAGGCCGAGAAGCGAATTTTCGGTCTGCGCGAGAATCTCCTCGATATTCTCGTTGGCGGCCGGATATTTTGGGACCGCCTGCAAGAAACCAAATCGCTGACAATTTTTTAGAGCGAATTTCCGATTTTTCGTGTTCAAATTGCTTCCGAAATTTGCGATTTTCAACTTTTATTTCATAAAAATTGCATTTTTTTCGATTCCAAAAGAAATTTGCAATAAAACCGCAATTTTTCAATTAGAATATCGGAATTTTCGCAATTTTTACGCGAAAATCCACATTTTTTCACACAATTTATCGACAATACCTTTTTCGACGAGGCAACATCGCCTGGGAACGGGTACTGACTATCATTTGGGCCAAGAAGCGAATTTTGACGGGCTGAAATTCAAAGAACTCGATTTTCTTCCAAAATTGAAACTTACGGGTAACTCCTTTTCCGACAAAAATCACCGACGGCCAATCGGTTTGAATCTGAAGAAAAAAACAAATATAAATTTCGAAAATCGATTTAAAAAAAAAACACCTGAGTGGAAAACGCGCAAACGCGTTGCGTAAACGCTCTCATTTGGGGTCCTTTGGCGGAAAGCATGTCTGGAAAAATATTTTGAACATTTTTTGGGGCCAAGTGTGTGCGGAATACGTGAAAAATCGAAGGAAAAATGAAGCGGCTGTGGTGTCGGACGAGAGAGCGCGAGAGCGCAGACGGCGAGAGTGCGGCTAGCGGGGAAGAGACGCCGAGAGCGGCGAGGAATCGATTCGATTTCAAGTTGTCAACAATTTGGCGATCTTGTGACAGCAATTCGCCACTTGTGTGAACCTTTTGGACTTTGTAACCGGCAGCAACGAACATTTTATCAAACATTTCCAGAAATCCCATTTTTTCGGGAAAGAGAATACTCAAAAACCGGATAAAATCCATGCCGAAAAATGCCAAAAAACTAATATTTATCAATTTATTTGAGTTTTCCCATCAAAAATCTGAAAATGTAAGCAAAAATTTCAAAAAAAAAATTGAAAAAATGATGAAATGCCGAAAAATAAATTACAGTACTCACATTCAAGGCGCATTCGCTGAAATTATTTGCGTCTCACCGCGAAGACTACTGTAGGTTGGTTTTTCGACACGGAAAATTTAAAAATCGCACGTTTTCCGGCTTCAATCTCGACGAATGTCGCGTTCTCTTCATTTCATTGCGTCGCAGCGCACAATTTCTCGACAAAATTCCAAATTCCGCTCAAAAATTGCCAATTTCTGGCGATTTTTTTTCTGAAAAATTTGATTTTTCACAACAAAAAATTTTTTTTTCAATTCCGTTCAAAAATCAACTTTTTTGGCGGCAGAAAAAGAAATCAATTCATTTACAAATACAAGACATTAATATCACACGATGTCAATAAATCCGCAATGTACAATTTTGGGCAAAATCAAAGAAAAGAGAGCAAATTGGAGTTGAAGACCAAAAATGAAGAAAAAAAAAAAAGGAAAAATGTGTAAAACCCGTAAAGTGTCTGAACAATTAAAAAAAAGTGAGTGGTGTTAGTATTTTCTACAAGTAAGTCCAATATAAAGCTAATAAATTATTTCGGGTCTCCTTTGGAAACGTACGGCGGCAATGGTTGCGGCGCGATTCCGTCAGGTCGTCGCCGATGTCGGCACTGCAAAAAAAAAAACAATTCTCGCCAATTCTTTCATTCTCACCATCAACACCAAAAATAGTACACCAATCGCCAACGCGATGCCACCAATCACCATGAGAATGTCGCACGATGAATAAGCGTACCTTAAATGTTTTCAAGTTGGGCGCCAAAATTCTCTTTGTCTCTCTGTCTCTCTCTTTTCTCTCTCTCTCTCTCTGTCTTTCTCTCTCTCTCTCTCTCTCTCTCTCTCTCTCTTTCTCTTTCTCTCCCTGTCTCTCTCTCCCTCTCTCTCTGTCTCTCAATATGCTTACCATTCGGTATCATACAGTTGCTCTTTGATCTCGCGAAGCGACTCGTCGTCAATTTCTGACGTCTCATTGACGATGAGCACCGGTATCAGCGACGATTTCATTTTACGAAGGTTCACTCTAAAAAACGAACATTTTTTTTTAAATCTAAATTGTATTTTGAGAGGCTTTCAGAAAAAAAATTTGAGAAAAAAAAGTAAATTATATCATTTTTTTCTTTCTTTTTCTACATAAATCTACATGTCTTCGGAAATTTTTTGAATTCAAAAAATATTTTCCAAAAATGCTTTTCAAAATTGTTATAATCACTTCTGTACGCGGGTTGATTTACGAGCGTGCGCCTTTAAAATTGGTCTCGCCACATGCGACCAAGAGAAACACGCATCCCCCGTAAATCGACACCCGGCGATTATAAAATGCCATAAAAATCTTAAATTAATTTTTTTTTCAAATTCAAAATTACGTGAAAGTTTCACATCTTTCGAAATTCCACGCAAAAAAAAAAATAATAAATAGAATTGTATCAAAAAATTCTTGATAGGTGTCCAGAAATGAATCAATTCTCGCTAGAAAACGTCTTAAAAAAATTTTTTTTTGAAAATTCATAGTTGTATTAAAAAAACGAAAATGCCTCTTCGGAAATCCGGCGTCGTCAAATAAAATGCACAAGTCCGCAATATCGATTTTCAGCTTCATTTCAAAAAATTAACAGGCCTATATTGATATTTGAGGCCAAAAAAAATCTGAAATTGAAATACATGTGTCGCGTGTTTACACCAAATGCATTTTATTTGACGACTATTTTAAAATCCCAAATTCCTAATTTTCAGATGTATATCAAAAATAATCAAAATTCAAATCATTGCGGACTTGTGCATTTCATTTGACGACAATCCACACATTGTTGATTTCTCGCCAAATTTCCGCACTTTTCGGATCTTCTCAACCTTCTATTTCAAAATTTTAAAGGCGCATCACAAACCGGGAAAAGACTCACGGAAACGACAAATTCTCGCCTCGCCACATCTCAATGTTGACCTGCGAGACGCGTCTCGCGTACAGCACGACGCCGAGCCGCGGCTCGATGTCGACGAGTATCGAGTCGGCCGCCTCGTCGCTCGCGTTCAGACCGCCGACGCCGCTCGCCACCTCGTCGGCGGCGAACAGAAAGTTGGGCAACGAGATGGCGATCGGCGGCTGACTGCGCTGACAGCGCGAGATCTCCAACAAACCGCGCGGCATGCAATTCGACGCGTTTTGCGACGCGTAGAATTTCTTCGGCGACGGATTGCAGAAGCCCTCGTTGCCCGGATGGTCGACGTCGAGCACGCTCGGCGGCAGCATGAAACGATAGGCGCGCACGCCTTTGTACTCGCATTCCTCTTTGAATTCGATCCAAATCGATCTGAGAACGAAAAAAAAAAGAATTTGAAATTTGCTTCTTCTCTTTTTTTTTTGAAATCTGGGAGGTTCGAAAAAACATTTCTTCGACTTTTTTTTGTGTTGGAAAAATTCGAATTTCATTCAAAAAATCGGAATGATTGCAAATTTCAAACGTTTTTCTAGCAAATCTCAAAAAAAAACGTGAGATTTTCTATTGGAAAATTCCAACTTTTTGAGTTTTTTTCCACAAAATTTCAAAAATTTCTTTACAAAATCCTAAATTTTTGAGTTTTTTTTTTTCAAAAAAAAATTCTTCATTTTCTTCAAGAAATCGCATTTTTCAAGATTTCCACAAAACTTTCAAATTTTTATCAAAAATTCAAAAATTTCGAGTTTTTCTTCAAAATTTCCACATTTTTATCAAAAAAAAAAAAAAAAAAATTTCGAGTTTTTCAAAAAATCGTAACTTTTTCAGTTTTTCAACAAAATTTCCAATTTTTTTTCAAAAAATTCAAAATTCGTGTTTTTCTTTAAAATTTCCAAATTTTTATCAAAAATTTCGAACTTTTCCACAAAATTTCCAAATTTTTATCAAAAAAATTCAAAATTTTCGAGTTTTTTCACAAAATTTTCAAATTTTTATCGAAAAAATTCAAAATTTTCGAGTTTCCACAAAATTTCCAAATTTTTATCAAAAAATTCAAAATTTTCGAGTTGTTCCACAAAATTTCCAACGTTTTTTTCAAAAAATTCAAAACTTTCAAGTTTTTCCTCAATAATTCAATTTTTTTCGAGTTTCTCCACAAAAATTTGGCAAACCTGCACAATTCGGCAACATAGACATAAAGTCGATCGGTCTTCTCGATGAACGGAGGAAACAGCGAGCCGTCGGTGCCGCGAATCCGACGCGACTCTTCCGTGCTCCACCAGCTCTCATCGAGGTGCGTCTCGTCGTCGATCGTCAAAATTTTGCCGAGATCCGCCGGATTCGACGAGCCGTCGTCGATCTCGTAGATTTTGCTGCCGGTGTTGTTCGCCTCGTAGAACAGTCCGATGCGGTCGGGAATGTCGAGAATCGTCTCGCACACGAAATTCATGAACGGTATCTCGCACACTTTGTCGAGAAACGGGTCTTTGTAGCCCTCGAACAGCATCTCTTCGACTTCGACCTCGAGAAACGCGGTCTGCGAGAGCAGCGTCGTCGCCGCCGCTTTCATTCCCTCGGTGGAAGCCGCTTCGACGAACTTCTGAACATGAAAAAATCTTGTTTTTCAGAAAACACGGATTCGCGCGTTCAATTCGTGTTTTTTCCCGTTTCAAACGTCTCATTTTCGGCGATTTTCCGTCAAAAATTGCATTTTTCATCGAAAATTGTCGTTTTTGTCTCAAAAAATTGCCTAAAAAGGTTCGATTTTTTCTTTTTCTCTTCGATTTTCACCAAAATTGATTACCGATGTCAATTTTTTTGCAAGTTTCAACACAATTTTTCACAAAAAAAATGCTTTAAATTTTCAGATTTTTGCTGACAATTCCAAGTTTGACAAATTTCCATTAAAATTGAGAAAAAATTTGCGATCGACGAATTTTTTTTCATCGAAATTTTCAATTTTGAGAAAATTTTCAAAATTGCGCAAAAAAAAAATTCGCAATTCTCGAAAAAATGATGAAAATTGGACAGTTTTTGACAAAAAACTCGTATTTTTTCTCTAAAAATGATCAAAATTGCAAATTTTTTTTTAGAAAAAACTTGATTTCAGATCAAATTTCAAGCTAAATATCACATTTTTCAACTAAAATTCTCAAATCTTCCAAGATTCTCAAAAATCGTCAATTTTGGTGGAAAACAACTGAAAAAAACTTTAAATTTTGAAGGAAATTTTCAGTTTTAAAGCGAAAATCGCCTAAATTTTAGATTTTTGAGAATTTTCAGCCAAAAACAAGCGGATTTTTTTGATTTCTAGCAATTTTACGCGAAAAATTTCGATACCTGATAAATCATGTTCGGAATCCATATCCGATTGCCGAGAATACACGTCTGACACGAGTCGGCTTCATTGAAATGGTACGTAAAATATCTTTTATATTTCACTGTTCCATTTCCCATTGAAATCACCTGAAATTGTCAGAAATACAGTTTAACAAAAACCAAAATTTTCTCGAAAAAGTCTCTTTAAAAAAAAGTACGCAATTTCGCGTCGAATTTAGTGTATTGCGAAAAACTATGAGAATTGACGAAAAATATTTTTGAAAAAACCCAAAATTGATATTTTTATTGAAATGTACGCAATTTGGCGTGGAATTTGGTGTAAATTTAAATATACGCAATTTCGCGTCAAATTTATTGTATTGAGAAAAATTATGAGAATTGACGCGAAATTTTTGTTGAAAAAACCCAAAATTGAAATTTAAATTGAAAAGTACGCAATTTCGCGTCGAATTTAGTGTATTGCGAAAAACTATGAGAATTAACGCGAAATTTTTTTTTTGAAAAAACCCAAAATTTCAATTTTTATTGAGATGTACGCAATTTGACGTGGAATGTGGTGTATTGACGTTCAAAATTTCCATAGAATCAATAATTCCAAAAAAACTGGTCAAAAATTTCAATTTTTTTTCGATTTATTCCAAAAAAAAACCATCAAATTTTCGTCAAATTCCAAAAAATCTCGAATTTTCGAAAAAATTCCACGGAATTGCGTTGCAATTTCAGGTTTTTTCTGTTGGCTGGCGGCAATTCACAAAAAAAAATGCCTTACGCGATTCTCAAGCTTCTTGTCGAATACGTAGGGACCACTTCGGACCACTTCCGGCCTCGCTCCCGCCATAAACTCGTCGGGATTTTTCGTCGAGAACACGAACAATCGGAATTTCATGCGATAATCGGGCTTCTTCCATTTCTCCATTAGTGTCGAGCCGTCGACGAGGCGAGAATTCTGCAACACAAAAGCGTTGGTCCGACAAAAATCCGATCCGATCCGATCCGATCCAAAAAAAAATAGACGAACCTGAGCAATTTGATGTTTGACGATCAACGGAATGACGAGAACGTGCGAGATGAGGCCCGCGAACAGCATCAGCGAGCCGATGCCGATCAGCGAGGCGGCGGTGGCGATTCGCCAGCACGCCATCGGCTTCTCCATGGCGATTCTCGATTTCGGCGACGTCATTGGTGATGATGATGATGTTCCGCCGGACGCATCACTGCCTCAAATTTTTCGATTCTCAAAATTTTCCACACAAATTTTTTTTTTGAAAAATTCCAATTTCTTAAGAAAAAATTCGATTTTTTATCTCCAAAAATGGCACCATTTAAGATTTTCTCAAAATTTTCAAATTTTTTGAAGCGCTTTTTTCATTAAATAAAATTTTCCAATTTTTTACCCCCAAAATGGCAATTTTTAAGATTTTCTCAAAATTTTCAAATTTTTTGCCGCTCTTTTTTCATTAAATAAAATTTTCCAATTTTTTACCCCCAAAATGGCAATTTTTAAGAATTTCTCGAAAATTTCCGATTTTTCTTAAAATAAAAATGACGTTTTTGACTTTGTTGGCCAATTTTTCATTTTTCCTTCGAGAAAATTTTTAAAAAATTTACAGAAAAACAAAAATTGAATGGTGTTTTTTCTGATTTCCGACAACTTTTCTGCGTTCGCTCAAAAAATGTGAATTGAACGAAAAAAAATCGTCACTTTGCAATTTTCGAATCAATTTTCATTTAAAATCGAATTTTCGGGACAAAATCGGGCAATTTCTCCCAAAATATCAAAAATGATGAATAAAATTAAAAAAAAATAACCACACTCACTCGGCGACATCGATTGGTCGTCGTCGTCGTCGGCGGCGCTCGTCGAAATCTGCAGACGAAAAAAAATAATATAAGTGATTGGCGAACACAAAAACACGGGCAAAATATGAAAGAAAAGGGTCTTGAGGAGACAAATTTGGGCGCAAGAAAAAAACCGGTCGGCTGGAATGTTTTTTGGCGGCGGCACCCGCAAAAAATCTATTTTTTTTGGCTGGAAATTGATGCGAAATTTTTCGACGAAAAAAAATTGGACAAAAATTCGCCAAATCGACGACAATGCCGTCTATTTTCGGCCGTCTTTTATACTCATTTAACTTGGAAAAAAATAATTTCGCTCTAAAAATTGATGAATTTCATTGTCGTTTCGCCCGGCGGCTGAAAATCGACATATATCATCGAAATTAGCGAATTTTGATGAAAAATTTGTCGGATGGAAATGTTTTTTTCAAATTTTTTATTCGAAAAATGGCAATTTTTGGAGAAAAATTGGCGTAATTCTGAATTTTTTTAAATTGCTGAATTTTGCTGAAAAAATCGTCGAATGGAATTTTTTTCAATTTTTTTAATCGAAAATCGCAATTTTTTTGAGGAAAATTGACGCAATTCTGAAAATTTTTTAAAACTTGAAGTTTTCGACAAAAAATCGTCGAATGGAAAAACTTTTTCAATATTTTAATCGAAAAATGTCAATTTTTAAAGAAAAATTGATGCAATTCTGAAAAATTTTTTTAATTTCTGAATTTCGCTGAAAAAATAGTCGAATGGAATTTTTTTTTTCAATTTTTTAAATCGAAAATCGCAATTTTTGCCGAAAATTTGGCGCAATTCTGAAAATTTTCTCAAAATTGAAATTTTCAAGATGAAAAAAATTTCGCCGATTGCAATTTTTTTCTCAATCTCAATGAAAATTTGTCAAACATGGAATTGTCAGCAAAAATCTGAAAATTTAAAGCATTTTTTTTGTGAAAAATTGGGTTGAAACTCGCAAAAAAATCGACATCGATAATCAATTTTGGTGAAAATCGGAGAGAAAAAGAAAAAATCGAACCTTTTTAGGCAATTTTTTGAGAAAAAAACGACAATTTTCGATGAAAAATGCAATTTTTGACGGAAAATCGCCGAAAATGAGACGTTTGAAACTGGAAAAAAACACGAATTGAACGGGCGAATCCGTCAATTGAATCGAATGATAAGTGGAAAATTCACGAACAAAACGGGATTTTCGTCCCAAACAGAAAAAGAGGCAACAAAAAAGTTTAAACTGCGTATCGCGGTCGATCATGGAACACAAAGCTTCCAACCAGTTTCTTTTTGTGACAATTGACCAAATTTGGGCGAAAAACTTGATTCTCAATGGGAAATTTGCAACAAATTGAAGTTTTTAAGCGAAAATTTTGCAAAAGATTGATTTTTTGAAAATTTTGAGCCATTCAAATGTCACATTTCAAAATATCACAATTTTTCCAAAAAAAAAATGTCGAAAAATCGAAATATTCGCAGAAAATTTGCGATTTTTCGCCAAAAATTGTACAAAAATGTCAAAATGGGCGCTTCTCATCAAAATCTGATGGGTTCTTCGTTTTAAAACGAAACAAATCGAGATTTTTTGGAGGAATCCCGAAAAAATATTCAAAATTTGCGAAATTCCATCGATTTCAAGCAAAACATTTGAGAAAATCGCTTAAAATCTCAAAATCGACTCGAGAAATTCATTTTAAAAGCGAAAAATTTGAGAATTTTTGGACAAATCGCGAAAAAAATATTCGAAATCGTCAAATTTTCGCGAAAAACGAAGCGAGTTTTCAAAGTTTGCGCGAATCCACCAACATTATTCAAACAACCTTGACATTTCAAAAAGAAAAAAAAAACCATGAAGAGAGTTAGTTAACTATATGCATAGTAATAATGCGCATCTCGACCCAGTTCGTCGAACAATGCGACCTTTAAGCCGCTTTTCGTCGAATCGAGTCACAAACACGATGATTACACGCCAAATTTGGCACGGTTCAAGGTTAAAATCCGACAATTTGCTGAAAAATCGCCAATTTTTGGCGATGGGGGCAAAAATCGAAAAAATTTCCCATTGAAAAATGCATTTTTGAGATGAAAATTCAAACATTCACAAATTTGCAACAGAAAAAAAATCGCTTTAGCGAAAATGTTTCAATTTTTTCTGAAAAACTTTAATAATGGGGTTCTATTGGATCCGAACAGCAACCGAAAAAAAAACAACATGTTTGCCGGATTGAGGCTAGCGCATCGAAAATGCGAAGAAACGAGGGTCGAGATGAGAGTGAAAACGCACAACCCCGAATAAGGTCATCAAAACTATGCGACATGCATGGCTTTTGTCTACTTTACCATATTTGTACTAGTCGCAACCGGTTTCAACCAAATTTCTTCTAAATAACAAGATAAATAATTGAAAAAAGCAATCGAAAAAAATAAAAAAATAACGAATTGCGCGTCAATTCGCGCGCATTGTGCACGTACACCGACACGCCAAATTGCACCGAAATTCGAAAAAAAATCAATAATTTTTATTCAATTCAATTTTTTTTATTAGGCGATTTTAAACGGGTTTCACGCATGTCATGCAGAGCGGAACCGCTTCAGAATCCGCCGAATCGAAAATGCATCTAAAAATGGTAACATTTCCGTTGTCAAAATCATTCAAACCCATGATTTCGAATTTTCCCATCGCCAACATTCCAACTAATGCAATCGCCAGATTCCAATGGATATCCGGAAGCCCACTCGACGACGTCGTATCCACTAATCGTTGTTTCGGACCATTCAAACCCGTTGTGACCGCAGTCGGCGTCGCAATTCGACGGCCGCTCAGCTCCCAGCCAGATCGTCGCGTTTATCGGCAAAGCGTCTGAAATGCTCAAATACGCAACGCGACCGCGGACGCGGCCAACAAGAATCCATTTGCTTTGAAAAATTCTTCACCGACCCACGATGAACTCGATTTCCTGTCGAGACTCGATGCCGGCCAATGCGGCGCCGAAATGCGCGCAAATGCCCATCGCCTCTTCGATGCGCTTCAACTGTTTCGCGCAAAACGCGCCATAATACACCTGTCGGCCGGATTTGCGTGTGAATATCGCCCAAGGATCTGCAATTTTCAACAACAAAAAAAAAACACACGCGTCAAATTGTCAAAAATTGCTACTCGAAAATGTGTTGGCGTAGATTGTTTCGTTGAATTTCCGAAAAGAATAGAACACAAATCGATTGCCAATCGTCAATTTCGCCTGAAAATTGGGTGCAAACGCGCTCCATTGGACAGCTTACCGAAATTGGCGGCAGATTATCGAAAATCGGACGCTGATACGTCGGACACTCATCGCCTTCGACGGTCATCTGAAATTGAAGGCCAAATTTTGGGGAAAAAAATTCAAAATCCGACCTTTATTGCCACTTTTTGAGCGTCGCATTTCCTGATATTTGGCTGCGTTGAATAATTGCACAAACGGCATTCAGAATCGTCGAGCTGGACGGCCTGAAGGACGCTAAACGATTGCGGAAAATATCGATTTCGAACGTACCACACAACTATCGGATGCCATACACGCATTTGAGCAGAATTCGACGTCGGCGTTGGCGAGACGCTCGCAATTCACTTCCGGTTTTCCTGGCACGATTTCGCCGAGCATTTTGATCATTATTTGCTGGTCGCATGCCTACGCAAAAATGAAATCATTGGGTCCCGAAGGGAATTGGGGAATTTTTTTTTCGGGGCCCAAAAAACCGCGATCGCCGCAAGACCCATATTTGCGCATTTAATCAATTTTTGGCAATCTCGCGATTAAATTGCATTTATTTACAATTATTTTATATTTATAACGAAAATAATTTTTGAAAATTGAAAATTGAGCGCGAAAAGATCGGAATCGTGGATTTTGAAAAGTTTTCGAATTTTAAAATAATGTTTGGATACAGTAATTAAAGGCGCACGTAGTTATTGGACTTTTCTTGAAAAAATTTTCCCAAAATTATGTTTTTTTTTTGGAAATATTGCACAGAAATTTCGAAATATCAGAGAATTTATGTAAAATTTAAAAAAAAAAGCAAATTTCAAATTTTACCGCCAATTCGAATATTAGAAAATGGGCGAATAGAAGAAGCATTTCGATGTTTCAAACAAATGTGTGATGATTTTTGAGAATATTTTCGCTCAGTGAAAACAAGAAAAAAAAACATTAAGAAATTTGATTTATTTTGTCTAGAAATTTGATTTTTTCAGACAATTTTTCAATTTCAAATAAAAGGTTTTTTTAGCATCAAAAAGACTAGATTCTAGGATACAAAACATCAATAAAAATAGGCGAAAAAATTATCAGCGTAAGGAAAAAAAATGAATTGCGCGTCAGACAAAATGCAAGTCTGCATTCACCGACACGCAATTCTGCACCACTATTTTCAAAAAACATGATTTTTCTTAAAAAAAAAAACATTTTCAAATAGTGTTTCATACGATAATTGCGAATATTTTTATTCGATTCATGTCAAAATTTGAAATTCCCTATAAATTTGTACAAAATCCTCAAGAAATCCGTAATTTTTTTCATTGATTTCTAAAAATCCAAACGCGCGTCAATTAAAATGAAATTGTTCTTACAACAACACACAATATTACACCATTTTTATTAATCAAATAAGCAATTAAAAGGTGTTCTCAACTCTTCGAACACACAAAAATGATGGAATCACGTTGTAATCATCAATGCACCTAAAAGAAATTGCGAAAAATTGAAGAATAAATTCCAGTTTTTACGGTCTATCTTGAACTTTCTCGGTGAAAACGTCGATGACAAGACAATCAAAGCCTTTCGGATAGCCATCATCCCACTTGATCATCTCGGTGCCGGTTACTGTCGAATCGGTCCATTCGTACTCGTCAATGGCGTCCGGTTTGCGTTGAGCGCCCGCCCACACGGAGCCGACCGATGGTGAAAAGAAGCCTGAAGAAACGAGAGAAAAAAAAATGGTAAATCTGAGCTTTTCCAATAGAAAACTTCTCACTTTGCGCGTGCACCAACTCCTGACTGCTCTCGATTCCGCCCAATTCCGCTCCAAAATAGTGGCATCGCTTCGCGGCTTCGTCTCGCGAATAAACGTCATCACCAAATTGCAGCACCGTCAGCATTATCTTCTGGCCGTTCTTCCGAGTGTAGACATTCCAGCGGTCTGTAACAAATTCCCAATTTCAGGGGATGGGGGGGGGATTTCGACTCGTCTCACCGGCACACGAGAACCGATAAAACGTGGCGTTCGTCTTCTCGTACGTATAAATGATAGTGAACGCGGGAAGCGTCATTTTTGTCTGAAAACGTTCCATTTTCAAATTTTGGCGGCTTTCTAAAAATGCCGAATTGAAAATTGTGATTTTCATGGACCCATGAATTCGAGGTTTGAACTGTCGCCATGGGTCTCGTATGGAACAGAACTCCCTTAAAATTCATGGTTTTTGCGATTTTTTAAGGCAAAAAATATTGAAGAAAATTGAATTTTCTTATTAAAATCTTCCCGCAAAACAATATTCTTAAAATTCTACATTTTTTTCACATTTTAAATGTGATTTTTAGAAGAAATATTCGAAAAAAGTGGCCAATTTACCTCGATTTTTGGAAGATTCTCGAATAGAGGCTGTTTCAGCGAAGGGCATTGATCATTGTCAACAGCGATCGGAAAAAATACAAATTTTAGATGGAAAAAATTCCAATTCCAACCTTGATATAGACTATTTGATTGTCGTTTTTGATAATATGAGGCTTGGATTGATAATGGCAAAGTTTGCAATATCCATCGGTCATTTGCGCAATCTAAAAATGCACATTTCGATCGTTCAAATTTTCCTGAAGCTCCCCTACAAGGCATGTGAACTGATTTGAGCAAGTTCCATAGCAAAACTCGTCGGTTTTATCGCGATAAGTGCTGCATGAGACGGCGTCGTCGCCGCTGACCGCCTCGCCGTAGATTTTGATAAATTTGAATTGCTCTTCACACATCTGAAAAAATAAAATTTCAGCGATTTTTTTTTTCTCGAAAACAAAAAATTCCTACTAGCAAATCGAATATTAGTAGAGAAACGGCGAAACCGAGCATTTCCTCGTGTGACAAATGTTGGAAATTTCAAACATTTTCCCAAAAAAAACATCAAGGATGTTGATTTATTTCGTCCCTCCTTTTTTGGCTATAATTTTTCTATTTTTGACACGGACAATTCGCGTCGTCTTCAGTTTTTCGAGGCGCGCTCATATTTGCTAGCGATTTTCTGAAAATAATGCGAAAATTACGGCAATTGATTGAATAAATGTGGAAAATGTGAGCGAAATGAAAAAAAAAATTAATAATTGCGCGTCGGGTTAAATGCGCGTGTGCGTTCACCGACACGCAATACTACACCATTTTATATTCATGAATTGCAAATTCAAAATTTTTCTTTTTTGTTCAAATACGACTCAGCAAACCGAGCGGGCGAAACCGTGGCAGAAACTAGCTGAAGGCAAAACTAGGGTGAAATTGTGGAACAACGGTGGCAGAAACCGCCGATGGCACAACTAGGGCAAAAATGGGGGCACAATGGTGGCAGAAACACTGCTGGCACAACTGGGGAAGAAGCGTGGCACAACGGCGGCAGAAAACACGACATTTAAATCGATTTACGGTTAATCGAGGGCAATGTGTATTTGGAGTGTCGTACTGGCAGTGTAAAAAACATTTGAGACGAACGGTGTTTTTAACAAATTTTTTCAAATGTTTTTTTTTTTTCGAATTTCTGAATAGCGAAAAATTATAAGGTGTTGTTACTTGTTTGTTTTGATTGATTTTCTAACATTAAATGTTAAACACGTAAGCGTTTAGTCGCGAAAGTTGTTGGCAACTCCGATATTAATTGAACATTAATTATGGAATGTTTTTGAAATAAGTTCAATAAACTACTTTCAGGTTTCTTCAATGGGTCGTTGGATGAAAACTCGAGAAGAAAACGGTTTCACGATCATAAGATATGCTTGAAAAATAAGGTTTTTTAGAGAGGAGGGTTGCAGGCTACGGATTTACAATCGTTCAGAACGATTCCAGTGGAATTGAAGATTTGGTTGTCGACAATCAACAAGAGATTTATGATCAATTATCAATAAATTGCGATATCGAATCGCAAGCGGTGGTACCACAGAGTAAAGGTAGATTTTTAATTCCATTATTAATTGAGAAATATAGAGAGCCAGTATTTGTTGGAAATATCGCGTTTGCTGTATCCAATGATGTTGTCGGCACCAAATCTTCCGAAAGTTTTTCAAGCAGCCGAGATGATTATAAAGAACAACGTGAATGTAAGAACTCGTTTTAAGCTACCCGCTGTCGATGGTTTCAACATTTGTAGGCTAGAGATGTTGAAGTTTTTACGAACGGCCTATATAGGAATTGCTTTTCGCCGATAAAATCTATATTTTGCTCGGAATGCCCATCAAGTATCGACGAAACTTAGCATTTCTGCACTAACAGCGATTGGTGAAAGGATGCGTGAAAGGAACGAAGATGGAAATGCCACCAATTAATTCGACGAATGCCGATCAACCTTCATATATTTATCTTTAGTTGTGGTATTTTTTCCTAATTTACATTCATCATTTCATTACAATTAAATACGACCAAATTCGGCCCTAACCAGCTTTAGTGAGTTTCATATCGTGCAAAATTATAAAATTCGAATATCATTAGGATCTGATGATCGTCAAAATTCGATTCGAATGCATTTTTATTTGTTTTTCGTATTTACGGGTTTCGATTACGGTCAAATTCGATTCGGACAGTTGCTATCGCATATATTGTTGTATATTCGTTGAACATATTGTTTTATTTAATTAATAATAAAGTTTTTAATGAATAAATACTCTTTCATTTGCTTGTTTCTGCATATGAAATAATGTAAGCGCGAATTACGCTAAACGGAGGGCTATAACGACCATACGCGCTTACATCTACTTGCTAGCAGAGTGGGGCAAAACGCGGGCAGAATGGTGGCAAAAAGCGGGCGTCCGTTACTTTTGCCACCATTCTGCCACGGTTTCGCCCGCTCGGTTTGCTGAGGATATTCTATTCATTAATATATTAAAATTGTCCGGAAAACTTGAAAATAATATTTTTTAAAATTCCAAGCTAAAAAATAATTTAATTTATAAGAAAAAATGTCAATTATTACCTAAAAACGAGTTACTAATAATTTTTTCAAGAAGAAAACAGGAAATTGATCGAAAAAAAAAAGCGGAAATCGTGAAAAATAATAGCGCGTCAGGTGAAATGCGAGTGTGCATTCACCGATGCGCAATTCCGCACAAGCATAAAATCAAATTTTTTAAAAAAATTTATTTAAAAAAAAATGATAAATCAAATAAATTAATAATGAGCCCGTTGTTGATCAAATCTCTACCATCGACTTCTGGCTCGGGTGACTTTCCTAAAAAAAAATGACGGCGATTTTGCGAATTCGATTTCGAACAGGCTGCCAAAACCAAAAACGTTCGTAGAAATCAGTCAAAGAGACGAATATGGAGATGAAGCTCAAGCAGCAGAAGCTAAAGCATAAAAAACCAAAAGACAGAAGCTGATTAATCGAAACAAAAAAGCGGAAATTGTAGAAAACGGAAAAATAACATAGAAAGGCGAGAGAGTGGCGAGAGAAAAAAAGCGTAGGCGAGAGAGTACTTTTCGTAGAAGAGGTGTGAGACAGAGAGAGAGAGAGGCGACGACGACGACATGTTGCGTGTGTTGTGTGGACAACGTGTGGGTGGGGAGTGAATTTCGGTGCGGGACCCATTTTATATTGTGGCAACGAGCAGGTTTCTGCAAAAACGAATTCCAAAAGACGAACGAAGCGCGAAGTGATGGCTTTTATTCGAATGATGAGCAAAATTTTCTCATTTTTTTGAAAAATTTTGGAAATTAGCCAGGAAAAATTGGGTTTTAAGCAGAAATTCGAGATTTTTGCGGTTTTTCATTCGAACAAATGCAAAAGCAACACAATGAAGCTGAGAAGCGACGACACGTCATCGGTAGATCATACTTGATATCGATAGAGGGGGGAATTTCATGGGTTTCGGGTTAGCTACCACCAGTTATTGATTTTCTGAATTTTTCATTAGAGTTTGCATGCATTTCGTGCTTTTTTTGGAAGAAAATTGGAAAAAATTCATTTTTCTAAAATTCTTTCCTCAAAGTTGCACAAAAACGAGCATTTTTGTCGATTTTTTCAAAATTTCGTTGTGAGCGCTCTTTGCGGAGGAATCCGTGGCGGGAATTTGAAAAATGGCGAGTTGTTAGTTAAATTAGTGGGCTAGTTGATTAATATCTAATCATGCATGTCACATTCTACACAGAAGAATGAAAATACTTGAAATTGGGGCTTTTTTTTCTCTTGAGAACAGAAAAAAATGAATAATAGACACTCACCCAAGGAATATAAACCAGTACCAAATATTGAATATGAGGAAGCTAATCGGGAAAAGAAGCGACGACATCTGGTCGAGTTTGCTCGCCGTCCATTCTTTGCAATTCATGCACAACCATGAGCAGCGGCATCTTAATGTCGAATATCAGCTGCCGACAATTCACGGGTAACGATTCATAGGTTAGTTATTTAATGACGCAACTCTTATTGATTGCATCTGCGGACAATTCCCGGGTTTCCCGGCCACTCGCAAACCCCGAAAATTGTCCGCAGCAGGTTTTTTTTTAAAGTATTATTGCTTATGACAGTTTTTTCATTCTTGCATATTTCATCTGCGGACAATTCCCGGGTTTCCCCGCCACTCGCAAATCCCGAAAATTGTCCGCAGCGCGTATTTCATATTTTTGTTTAGGGCAGTTCCTTCATTATTGTGGATGAATTGCATCTGCGGACAATTCCCGGGTTTTCCCGGCCACTCGCAAACCCCGAAAATTGTCCGCAGCACGTTTTTTTTTAAATATTATTGCTTATGACAATTTTTTCATTCTTGCGAATTGCATCTGCGGACGATTTCCGGGATTCCCCGCCATTCGCAAACCCCGAAAATTGTCCGCAGCTAAATTTCTACTTACTTTATGGTGCCGTGATGACCATATCGCGACAAATAGCCGACGACAGCCAACTCGATCAACGACGCGAAAATGAACGCCATTGAGCTGAGAATCCAGACATCGATGGCTGAAAAAAATCCCCGATTTTTCGTTGGTTTATTTTTGAGAAATTTCAGCCGAAAACCTTTGACATCCGACGTTTTCGGCAAATTGTTGACGACGGCGCCGAATTGGAACGTTAAAGCGAGAAGCGAATTGACGCCGACGGTGGTCCGCGACGGGATTTGTTCGGGTCCCAGCGCGAAAGAAACCTGACAAAAAAAAACAGTTTTTTTTTAATGAAATTCACCAAATTTCGAAAATTGGATTTAAATGACAATTTTCAAAAAAATCCAGTTTCGTCGAAACCCGCAAAATTGTCCGCAGGTGCGAAAAATGAAAACGAAGTGGGTGGAACTCGGAATATTCATGAAAATTCCAATTTTTCATCTCAAATCGTTAAAAATGCATTTTTTGGGGGAAAAATCGACGTTTGAAAATGCCGCGAATTGTCCGCCGATGCAAAATGTTAAATTCAAACAAATTCGGAACAGCAATATCAAAAAAATTGTAAATTCTTTAAAAAAAACTATACAGAATGCTGTAATTGATTGATAGATTCACGAAAATTCCAATTTTTCATCTCAAATCGTTAAAAATGCATTTTTTTGGGGCAAAAATTGACTTTTGAAAATGCCGCAAAATTGTCCGCAGATGCGAAATGTGAAAATCGAACAAATTTGGTATGGCAATATCAAAAAAATTGTAAAATCCTCAATAAATTTTACAGAATGCTGTAATTGATTGATAGATTCATGAAAATTCCATTTTTTTTTCATCTCAAATCGTAAAAAATGCATTTTTTTTGGGCAAAAATCGACGATTGAAAATGCCGCGAATTGTCCGCAGATGCGAAATGTGAAAATCGAACAAATTTGGTATGGCAATATCAAAAAAATTGTAAAATCCTCAATAAATTTTACAGAATGCTGTAATTGGTTGATAGATTCACGAAAATTCCAATTTTTCATCTCAAATCGTTAAAAATGCATTTTTTGGGGGAAAAATCGACGTTTGAAAATGCCGTGAATTGTCCGCAGATGCGAAAAAAAACAAAAGACGAACCCATGAGATGAAGACGGAAATATAAGCGGGCACGTAGACCTGTAGAATATAGAAGCCGTATAATCGTTGAAACGTGAACGTGGCGATGAGCTCGTTGAAAATGCCGGGCGGATAGAGGCGGAGTTCGGAGCCGGCCGAGAAATCGACGAGCACATAATCGGGCAGTGTGATGTTGCCCTTGAGTATCGTGATCGGCGGCACCGTCGTGATCCACTCCATCTTCACCTGATCGCTGTTGTGGGTGAAGCTCTCGTAGAACAGCATACAGCGTTGCTGGTCGATGGGAAACGTTCTAGAAATATCAAAATCCCCCCATTTTTTGTTTTCTGAGATTTTTTTTCTTTTCGAATTTGGCTGAAAATCACCAAACTTTGAGGCATTTTCTAAAAAAAAAATATTTCTCGAATTTTCGAGCTTAAATCTGAAAAAAATTGAAAGATTCGAAAATTTGAATCGTTTTTCCCCAAAATTCGAGAATTTTAGGATTTTCGCTTTGGCAAAAATTTTGTCGAATTTTGAGTTTTGACGAAAAACCCAACAAAATCGAAGTTTTTGTGAAAAATTCGACATTTTTCAAAGATTTCGAATTTTTCCAAAGAAAAAATCTCGCAAAAAAATCATTTTGGCGGTTTTTCAGCAAATTTCGAAAATGAAGGAATTTTTTGGTTAAAAAATCAAAAAAACTAATATTTTTTGGAAATTATTCGAAATTTTTTGGCTAAATTTTTTGGCGCGCAATTATTTTTCACCATTTTTTTTATTGGCTTGAAAATCCAAGAAAAAATGGAAATGCTTGCCAATTTCTCTCTTTTTTTTTGGCAACAAAAAATTACCTCAAAGTGCTCGAGCAGGGTCCGGTGAGTTTTATGCGATAATTATGCCATATGCTGCCATTACTGGAAAACAAAATGCGAAAAAAAATCGAAAACGAAGCGAAAAAAACCTATAAATTTGAAGGAAAATGTTTTTGAACGGACTCTCGTGGATATTCGCGAGTTTGCTGTTGACGAAACACGCGTGCGGATTCCAGATTTTGTTGAGAATCGTCGCTCCGTCGACCGACATATTGCTGAAAATCGACTGGTTACGAAACCCGAACGGTGTCCGCAGCACGAATTTAATAAACGCGGTGAGGCAGCTGGTCGGGTATTACATCTAATCAGGCGGAAGTTCGATTTTGGTGAACCCAAATAATGTCCGCAGCAGATATTTAATAAAGGTGGTAAGTCTGCGGATCAGGATTCACATCATTGGTACGTTTATTTCTGGTGAACCCGAAAAATGTCCGCAGCAAGAATTTGATAAATTGCGGAAAGTCGACTGGCCGAGATTTTGCCTCAAATCTTGCGAAAATTCATTTATACTGAACAACACAAAAAAAAACCCCCGAACGTTGTCCGCAGCACGAATTTAATGAAGGCAATGAGGCGGTCAATGAGACTTCTTTCTTTATATCAAGAGAAAATTCGATTTTGGTGAACCCGGAAAATGTCCGCAGCAGGTATTTAATAAAGGCGGTAAGTCGGCGGATCAGGATTCAAATCATTGGACTATTAATTTTTGGTGAACCCGAACGATGTCCGCAGCAAGAATTTAATAAACACGGCAAGCTTGTCGCATTGGATTTTGCATGAAATCACGCGAAAATTTTCGACTTGCATTTTTTCTGACCCCGAACGATGTCCGCAGCAAGAATTTGATGAATTGCGGAAAGTCGACTGGCCGAGATTTTGCCTCAAATCTTGCGAAAATTCATTTATACTGAACAACACAATGATCATGGTTTCTAAAATCAACAAAAATGCTTTGTTAGTGATTTATGTAAACCCGCATGATGTCCGCAGCAAGAATTTGGCAAAAAATTGGCTGTTAAGGCGTGAATTGCTAATCCAATTTGGATAATCGAAATCGCTTGTTTCATTTTCATTATTTCAAATGAAGTATCAATTTTTTTGCCGTTTTGCTGTACAAAAAAAGGAGAAAATCGAAAAGTGATGAATTTTCGGCATTTTCCGACCAAAAAAAATGAAATGATGGAAAATTGTATCAAAATTTGCGACATTCTGATCTCACCTTTTGCACGGATTCAGATGCGAGTAGGCCAACGACGGGTCGGTCCAACGCTCGGTGACGTAGATGTCCAACTCGAATTCCGACGTGATCTCGATGATTTTCGAGACCTCCTGGACCCAAATCTCGATCGACACGTCGACGGCGCCGCCGCCCGGCAAATCGAGCTTGTTGTAGCCGTCGAGAATCTCGGCGATGATCGCGTCGTCGCCCATACACGATTTTTCCGAGTTTTTCCGAGCCAACGAGAAATTGCGTTTCGGGCAGTCGTACAGGCTACAAATTGTCCGCAGATCGGTCTATCGAAACCCCCGACAAATGTCCGCAGCACGCCGATTTCAATAAACGTGCCCTAATTTTCAAAATTCGTAATTTTTTTTTGAATTTTGAGCGTTTTTCGCATTTTTTTAAGCTCTTTATCGATTTTTGAGCGAATTTCGTCAATTTTGCGACAAAATTTGTGATTTTTATAAATTCTGAGCGTTTTGGCATTTTTTTGAGGAAAAAATGACAAATTTAGGCAAAATTTGTAATTTTTTAAAATTTTAGACGTTTTCCGCATTTTTTAAAAAGCAATTTATCGATTTTTGAGCGCATTTCGTCAATTTTGTGGCAAAATTTGAGATTTTTATAAATTTTGCTCGTTTTTGGCATTTTTTTAAGGAGAAAATGACAAATTTAGGCAAAATTTGTAATTTTTTTAAATTTTAGACGTTTTCCGCATTTTTTAAAAAGCAATTTATCGATTTTTGAGCGCATTTCGTCAATTTTGTGGCAAAATTTGAGATTTTTATAAATTTTGCTCGTTTTTGGCATTTTTTTAAGGAGAAAATGACAAATTTAGGCAAAATTTGTAATTTTTTTAAATTTTAGACGTTTTCCGCATTTTTTAAAAAGCAATTTATCGATTTTTGAGCGCATTTCGTCAATTTTGTGGCAAAATTTGAGATTTTTATAAATTTTGCTCGTTTTTGGCATTTTTTTAAGGAGAAAATGACAAATTTAGGCAAAATTTGTAATTTTTTTAAATTTTAGACGTTTTCCGCATTTTTTAAAAAGCAATTTATCGATTTTTGAGCGCATTTCGTCAATTTTGTGGCAAAATTTGAGATTTTTATAAATTTTGCTCGTTTTTGGCATTTTTTAAGGAGAAAATGACAAATTTAGGCAAAATTTGTAATTTTTTTAAATTTTAGACGTTTTCCGCATTTTTTAAAAAGCAATTTATCGATTTTTGAGCGCATTTCGTCAATTTTGTGGCAAAATTTGAGATTTTTATAAATTTTGCTCGTTTTTGGCATTTTTTTAAGGAGAAAATGACAAATTTAGGCAAAATTTGTAATTTTTTTAAATTTTAGACGTTTTCCGCATTTTTTAAAAAGCAATTTATCGATTTTTGAGCGCATTTCGTCAATTTTGTGGCAAAATTTGAGATTTTTATAAATTTTGCTCGTTTTTGGCATTTTTTTGAGGAGAAAATGACCAATTTAGGTCTAATTTGTATTTTCTTTAAATTTTGGACGTTTTCCGCTTTTTTTTAAAGCAATTTATCGATTTTTGAGCGAATTTCGTCAATTTTGTGGCAAAATTTGAGATTTTTATGAATTTTGAGCGTTTTGGCATTTTTTTGAGGAAAAATTGACAAATTTAGGCAAAATTCTCGCGATTTTCATAAATGGCATTTTTTTTCGGCAAAATTCGAATTTTTCGAGAATTTCAGCGATTTTTATAATTTTTTGAGTGGAAAATTTCAATTTTTCAATTCGCAAGCCGATTTTCGACCAAAAATGAACGAAATTTGCATTTTTAGGCGAAAAAATTGCAATTTTGATGTCAAAAAAAAACCCACCAATCTCTGAGCTCATTTCCGGAAAACCGGAGAACGCCGGACGAATGGTGAACGATGGTGAACGACACCAACAGCGAGATGAGCATGATTCTCACCAATTCGGCATCGTCGTCGTCGAGAATCGGCGAGAAATCTGGCAAAAAAGCGACTAGTCGTGGATGAAGCTGAGCGGGGGAGACAAGAGGAATCGTGGGGGAACGAGAGGGGAATATATGATCCCCTTGGGAACCGAGAACACAAAATGACCTCATGCGATTTGTTATATCTGATGTACGAAAGCGATGAAGCTGAAATGGGGGTCTCGACGAGAAAATGAATTTTTTTTGCAACAAAAATTTTAGGCTAGGATTTATTGGAAACAAACGTCTAATTAAACAAAAAAACTGAATTTTTGGAATTTTCAAACCTTGGGGGTCTCGAAACAAAAAAAAAGGCGAGGATTGGGTCTCGACACGAATATTTTGAAGATGAAAAAATTCGGATTTTGTCACATCCATCTGCGGACAATTTCACCTCGAAATCGCCTAGAATTTTCTTTTTTTTTGTTGAAAATTCAAATTTTGCACAAAAATTTGAAGAATGAGTGATTTCGTAGCAATTTTACGGCTGTAATGGGTCTCGACGCGAAAATTGCGATTTGTTTTTTCGCGAAATGAGTAGAGCTTCAATTTCCTTGGGAAAATGTGCAAAACGACAAAAAATAATAAATTCGTTCGTATCTGCGGACAATTTTTGGGTTGGCCAGCCCGCGAATTGTCCGCAGCAAGAAAAAATGAGAAAATTTTGTCGAAATTTTATTTTTCGCGAAGATTAAAAAAAAATGTGGCTACAACGAAATGTCCGCAGCACGTTTTCGATATTTCGACAAAATTTTGCAGCGCAAAAATTTTTTGGTTGAAATTGTCCGCAGCAGGAAAATTTAAAAACCAAATCTCAAATTTTAAATGGAATTCATCAAAAAGAATTGAGTTTTGCGTTGAAAAGACGAAAATTGATTGAAAATTGCGAAAAAGACGAGAATTTTTGAGAAATTTCGTCGAAATGCCGAATTTTTGCGTTTAAATTTGGATTTTTGAAGAAAAAAATGCCGAAAATTGTCCGCAGCAAGAAAAAAATGAATTTGCGGCGAAAATCGTCAAAAATGCGAATTTTGTGGCGCCGAAAAATGTCCGCAGCTCGATTTCCATAGAAAGCGAGAAAATACTGGAGAAATTGAATAATTTAAAAAAAGGAAAAATTTTTGAAGAAAAAAATTGCCGAAAATTGTCCGCAGCAAGAAAAAAATGAAAAAAATACGAAATTCGTGGCGCCGAAAAATGTCCGCAGCTCAATTTCCATATAAAGCGAGAAAACACGACCGACGGGCTGCCGAAATTGAATATTCGCGCACGTTTTTCTTTTCTGCGCGAGTTGAAACTGAATAGTCGACGACGACGGCCACGAATTCCTAATAGAATCACAAATAATGTGTGGTTGAAGAAATTTGGCGAGCGAACCGCGATTTTTTGGGATTTTCGAACGAATTTCGACGAAAAATCGCGATTTTCATCATTTTTACGCAAAAATGCTAAGAATTTTGAAGAATTTTCGGTTTTTCTATCATATTTCGCATAAAAATTTGAAAATCGATCATTTTTTTTCAGTTAAAATTCGGTTTTTCTTGAAATCTTCTGCAAACCGTCATTTTTTGTTGAAAAATTGAAAAATTCAGATTTTTTCATTGAAAAATGTGTTTAAATTCTAGTTTTCGTCAAAAAATTTCAAATTTTTGAAGGGAATAGAATAAAAAATTGAATTTCTCAACGAGTTTGCTCATTTTGCATCAATATTTCACAATTTTAATAAAAAAATATGAGATTTTCAGCTTCAAATGGACATTTTAAGTTGAAAATTGATAAAATTGAGATTTTTTGAGAAAAATGCTTTAAATTATCATTTTCAGCAGGGAAAAATGACAAAATAAAAATAAAAATGAAAAAATTTGACATTTTTTTGGAAAAAATCTTGAAAACAAAATTTTCAGCTTACAAAATGAGAAAAATTGAAGATAAAATAAAAAATTTGAGATTTTTCTGAAAAAATTCTGAAAGTTATCACTTTCAGTTTGTAAAAATGACAAAATCCAGTTCAAAATCAAAAAAATCTTGAAAATATCAATTTCAGGTGGAAAAAATCGCAAAATCGAAATGAAAATGGAAAAAATTGAGATTTTCTTGAAAAAAATGCTGAAAATTCTCATTTAAAACTGGAAAAATCATAAAAACAAAATGAAAATTTAAAAATTTGAGATTTTTCTGAAAAAATGCTAAAAATTATCATTTTCAGTTTGTAAAAATTCACAAAATCAAAACAAAAATGAAAAAATTGAAAATTTCTAAAAAAAATCGCGAAATGTTCATTTTCTGCTGGGAAAAATGAGAAAAATTGAAGATAAAATAAAAAATTTGAGATTTTCTTGGAAAAAATGCTAAAAATTATCATTTTCAGTTTGTAAAAATAGCAAAATTCAGTTCAAAATCAATAAAATTAAGAATTTTTTTGAAAAAAATCTTGAAAAATCAATTTCATGTGGAGGAAAAATCGCAAAATCAAAATCAAAATGAGCAAAATTTGTGACGAGTTCGAAGCGAAAAATAATATCGGCGAATCTGACACAATTTTTCTGCGGAGCGGATATTTTTCGTGCATAAGACGAGACAAAAGGCGAATTTCGAAAAAAAAAACACACACACACAATGAGCTTTTTTAGCTCAATTTCTGCTCACGAGCAGCCATTTTTACGAAGGAAAAACGAGGAAAGAAAAAATTGGAAGCGAAGAAAAATTGGGATGTGTTGTGGTTGGCAAAAGAATATATATATATATATATAGAGGAGGCGAAGAAAATTCGATTTTCCGCCAATGTTCACCATGGTGGTGGTGGTGGTGGTGCGCTTTTTTCGCCACTCATTTTTGGGTGTATGGCGACGGGACGGAATTAATTGGCTCTGGGTGAAGGGGGGAGAGAAAATTTGAGACGAAATAAAACTAATTAGGTTGTGTAGGGGGACAGAGATCCTTTTTGTCGTTTTTTTCTTTTTTGAAAAATTTTTTTTTCGCGTTTTTTTCTCCAATTTTTCTTTCCTCTATTATTTTTTTGAGTGTTCTTCAAAAACTGTTTCATTTTTTTCTTGCTGCGGACAATTTTCGGCAATTTTTTTCTTCAAAAATTTTCCCTTTTATTTAAATATTCAATTTCTCCAGTATTTTCTCGCTTTCTATGGAAATCGAGCTGCGGACATTTTTCGGCGACACAAAATTCGCATTTTTGACGATTTTCGCCGCAAATTCATTTTTTTCGTGCTGCGGACAATTTTCGGCAATTTTTTCTTCAAAAATCCCAATTTAAACGCAAAAATTCGGCATTTCGACGAAATTTCTCAAAAATATTCGTCTTTTTCGCAATTTTCGATCAATTTTCGTCTTTTCAACACAAAACTCAACTCTTTTTGATGAATTCCATTTAAAATTTGAGATTTGGTTTTTAAATTTTCCTGCTGCGGACAATTTCAACCAAAAAATTTTTGCGCTGCAAAATTTTGTCGAAATATCGAAAACGTGCTGCGGACATTTCGTCGTAGCCACATTTTTTTTTAATCTTCCCGAAAAATAAAATTTCGACAAAATTTTCTCATTTTTTCTTGCTGCGGACAATTCGCGGGCTGGCCAACCCAAAAATTCTCCGCAGATACGAACGAATTTATTATTTTTTGTCGTTTTGCACATTTTCCCAAGGAAATTGAAGCTCTACTCATTTCGCGAAAAAACAAATCGCAATTTTCGCGTCGAGACCCATTACAGCCGTAAAATTGCTACGAAATCACTCATTCTTCAAATTTTTGTGCAAAATTTGAATTTTCAACAAAAAAAAAGTAAATTCTAGGCGATTTCGAGATGAAATTGCCCGCAGATGGATGTGACAAAATTCGAATTTTTTCATCTTCAAAATATTCGTGTGGAGACCCAATCCTCGCATTTTTTTTTCGTTTCGAGACCACCAAGGTTTGAAAATTCCAAAAATTCAGTTTTTTGGTTTAATTAGACGTTTGCTTCCAATAAATCCTAGCCTAAAATTTTTGTTGCAAAAAAAAATTTATTTTCGCGTCGAGACCACCATTTCAATTTGATCGAAATTCTCATTTTTTGCAATTCTCAAAATGAAATTTCAAAGTATTTTCAAAATTTTTTGCTGCCGAAATTGTCCGCAGATGAATGAGACGAAACCTTTTTTTTGCGTTTCAAGACCAATCGCATTTTTTGTTCAGGTTCGACCCCCTCCCAACCCCAAATTTTTTTGCGATCAATTTTAGCTGTCAGAATTAATTTTTTTTTATTGAAAATCCATAATTAATGGTCCCAGTCAATAAAAAATACAATTTTTTGGTGACTATTCAAAAATGTTGACTACAATTGAAAAAAAAAACAACAGCCGATCAAACCAAATGTTGAAGCAATGACGCATTCGAATATTTTCATTGCGATTATTCATCAAAACAAAAAACGTCGCATAAAAGGGAAGCGAGTGTGAAAAGAAAAATCAACAACAACGCATGCTTCGCTAATATTCGCGATCGCAAGATCTCGAGAACGTAAGGGATACATGCACACGTTGGTGTTGCTCCTACTCAGCGAGATAGGACAAAAATTTGGAAAAATTGGATGCCAAAAGATTTGATCAATGGATTCGAGATGATTATTCCAATTAATTGGCCAATTATCATTTATTATTGCAATTTGCGAATTTTTAATAAAAATTCGTTTTTTTAATATTGAATTTTGATGAGGTAATATTAATCACCAGCTTTTTTTTTTAATTATTATTAATTATTATTATTATTGCCAACGCGAAGACATCTGTGATTAAGCCGCGAACGGCACTTGCCATCAAGTTACCGCCGTCTTATCCCTCGCGCATGTACACAGGCAAAACGCGACGGATGAAATCCGGGCGAATCACGGTCCGTTATTGACCGTTCCAGCGTGTCGCTGACGTACCGGACACGGACGTCTTAGCGTATCCGGGAACGGACCGTGATTCGCCCGGTGGCGTTTTTCACATGCTTTTTTTTCTTCCGTTCGTATAATAATCAAAATTAAAATTGAAATCATATAGACAGCATTATTATAAAAGTTTTATTTAAGAAAAATCGAAAAAAAAATTATTTACGAATCGCAATCGCTATATTCGTTTTGAATTTAATCGTATTCGATTGTAAAATGATTAATTCGTATTCGATACGAAAGAGTCAATTTTTTGTTTCACAATCAAATACATTAAAATTCGAAATGAATACACCGAGTTTCGCACCAAATACGAGTACATTCGGGTTTTTCCAAAGAGTAATCGAGTACCACAAATTTCAAACTTAATTTTCGATCAAGTTTGTATCCGAAATTTGTTGTATTCGATTCGAATCGAATTACTAGAACAAAAATAATTCTAAAAACAAAAAAAAAATATTTGCACATTCAATTTGCACACGCGTGTTCTACCTGGATTGGAACATTTCCATTAACTCTTCGATTTTGGCGGTTTTTCCGCGTCGTTTATCATCGCTGAAACACAGTATATAGCATATATATATAACATTCGCGTTGCTCACTTACATGAAGTTTCTTGTCATTTCTCGTATATGAGAAACGACGACGGTTTCTTCCCACCCTTCACTTTTTATATCGAAGCCTCGGTGTAATATTTCTGAAAAAAAGCATAGTTTTTACCATTCAATTTCTCATTGGCCAATATGGACTAGGCGCAAGTTTTTAGCCGGTCAATGTTACTTCAAATCTACTTACTTCCAAGAATTTCGAAGAACTTGTCCGGTATTTTGGGATATTTCGTTCGTTTCGTTGACGAAGCGGCCGAATAAATTACAAAGCCTTTTGAGCCTTTTGCATCTCGCCTGTTGGTATGTCTCTCCATTCAGATTGTGATGCTTGTTTGTCCCATTTTTTATTTCGCTTTTTATCCGATGAATATCTGTCCAGTACTCCTCCACTATCTCCGAGAGTTGCTGAATTCCTCCAATTCTAACATATTTAATTATAGTTCCACAACTGAAAACCCAAACAATAGATAAAAAGTGCCCAACGTCTATACCATTTTGCGAACATATTATTTGTTTCTTTCCCACAACTATTGCACACATAGTGCGCGTTATAAATAGTCATATTGTTCTTCCATAGCTGGAAGCTTTGCCGACGGAATGTTAAATCTTTATGAGAAGAAAGGAATCTCTTGAAATCTGTAATTGCCTCTTTACTTCTTCGTAATTTTTTCCTATTTACCCGCATCGGTACTTCGAGCTATGCACGCTGAAGTTACGAATGTCAAAACTTCGTCCGACACATTCGCTAAATACTGCGCCAAGTCTATTCGAAAATGGCGATTAGTATTAAGACAAATTACCTACCGCTGTGGGGACAATCTTCTGAAGATTTCTCATCGTTTTCCTCAACATCGTTTTCCTCAACATCGTTTTCCTCAACTTCGTCACAATTCACATCCCATTGAAACATTTCTTCCTCTTCATCGATGTCTATATTGAGCGACTCAGAAAGTTGAACATCAATCGGTTCAGATAAGTTTTCTTCACTTGAAGAAGATACTTCTCTTGATCCTATTGTAGTAAAAGAGAGTATAGCAAATAGTTATGCAATTTTAACATACTTTTTGTTGGTAAAGATGGTAGAAATCTTCGATATGACCGTCCCATGACTGAAATCGTAGTCTTTATCAAAACTTGAACGAAAATTGGGAAATTTTTGTATTTATTTAAATGACCTAATGACCCATTTACAATCTGAAAAAACAATTTCAAAGGAACACTATTCATTTTTCAACTACAATGGAATAAAACAGTAACTTTTCCAAATAATGATACGGTATTGGAACCGTTAAACAAGTCGAGTAAACCTCAAACTTGGGTAATTAAACCTTCATTATTGAACGAAAACGAACAAAATGTTAACAAAGCGATACAAACTAATAACAAACTTGATGATACTAAATATGGTGGATGGTGGGCTTGGGGAAACAACTTAATAAACTGAAATAATACGACTAAAAGCATAAGTAATTGACTAAATCGGTGTTTACGATTGGGGACTTGCATTTAAATAAAGGTGAACTTCGGCCGCGGCCCTCTTTTTGCTGGACATTGCCCGATGGCATGATGGCGTGCGTCTCTTCATTTCGCATTCTCTCTCTCGCCCACCGCCTCATCGTCTCGCCCACTCTCCCATTTCCACATTATCTCTACATTACAAAACAACGAATATAAATATGGAGCGGAACAGTTAGAACGCATAACGGTGAATCGACAGCAGCGAACTTAGACACATCGATCTTAGGAAAGGAAGTCTCGAGCCGTGCTATGGTTACCGCATCGGTATCGGGCAACCTGCAACAAGAAAATTTAATTATCAGCCATCGGTCGCCACAGCTTCCAGTGAAGCCGTTATATTAAATATTAATTAACTTTTGTGTCGTAACGTTTCAGCCAGGAAGTGTCGATCAGTAAATAGTCCTTTGTTTGTCGGTGACATTTTCACTCGAAAAAAATTGTCACGTAATTGGTCCGTTTTTTGTCTGTGATGCCTTTCAAAGAAATATTTCGTCCGTACTTAATCCGTTTTTTAGCCGTGGCGTTTCATACTGAAAATCAAGATCCGTAATTAACACGTTTTAAAAACGTGGCCAATAAATCTCCGGACTTTGTCCGTTTTTTGTCCGTGATGCCTTTCAAAGAAATTTTTGGTCCGTACTTGGCCCGTTTTTTAGCCGTGGCGTTTTATCCTGAAAATCAAGATCCATAATTAACACGTTTTAAAAACGTGGCCTATAAATCTCCGGACTTTGTCCGTTTTTTTACCGCGGCGTTTTTCAAAGAAATTTTTGGTCCGTACTTGGCCCGTTTTTTAGCCGTGACGTTCAAATATCCGGACTTCGCCCGGACTTCATCCGTCGCGTTTTGCCTGTGTAGGCGCAATAGCGCAGTGGCGGAGGTTTTGCACTTATTAGCGTGGAGGTGGCGGGTTCGATCCCGCTCCGGGGCGAAGACTTTTGCTGACTAAAACAAACACGCGCAGACGGCTTCTTTTCAAATATATTAAGCTTATTATAGATTTTCAGATTAATAAGGGATTTAGATTCGAAATTTTTGTGATAAAAATATATTGTTTATTATTTAAATGAAAATTAATGGATTCCAGATTTTTTTCGTCCAAAGGGGAAATTGTGAGGAAACGTTCAATGGTCCCATTTAACGAACCCAATTAAGTGAAATGCTCAATGAGCAGCCTATTCCTTTTTGGAGGAGCCAATCAGCTTTCGGACCATTGTACCATAATTAAATTTTTTCGCTCGTTGAATTCAAATTTAATGGGGAGAAGACCATTTTGGGTACGGTAGCAGTTGTTCATTTCGTCCAAATCTCGCCAAGACAGGTTATTGTAACAATAATTCAAATGTGCCGCTCTCTATAAGAGCCACAGTGACTTATGGTAACAGCTGAAATATTAAATTTCGTTTCGAGACCCTCCTCGTTACTGTAGCTTGAATTCGAGCTGTGTCATTATTTTGAAAAAAAAAAAGCGCAAATCATTTTTTTTTTGAGCGCGAGACAGACTAATCCGCTGACTACGAAAAAATGTAGTCGAGACGGATGTCGAACAACAAATTTCGACTCAAAGATTATCGAAATTGTCCGCAGATGATTTTTATGGCACTGAAAACTGCTCAAAGAAGCGTTACCAGCGAGTTGTCCGCAGATCGATACCTAGGTCTGTGCAAAATGACAACAAACCCGCGAATTGTCCGCAGCACACATTCGACACATAAAGTCGATAAATGTGAAGAGGGGCGAAACCCGCGAATTGTCGGCAGCACTTATCTAACACATAAAGTCAATATATGCGATGAGGGGCGAAATCCGCGAATTGTCGGCAGCAAGCTCAAACATCAAAGCTCGTGGCGATGTCTAGACACAAACGCGCCTAATCTGATTCTCCATCCCAAAAAAAAATTATTTTATACATTCACACAGGCAAAAATAAGCTTCAAGCTTCGAATACTGTAGTTAAAGGAGCATGGAAGGCCTACAGCAGCGAGTCATCAGTGTTTTTTTTCAGGCAATTTTTCGGAACTCATAAATTATGCGTCGACGATCGCGAGTGTTCCTGCAAAAAAAAAAAAGAAGTAACACGTCGCCGATTACGGTAGTGGCGATTCACTCACCGCGATTCACATGATGATGATGATGGTGATGGCCAAAATTGGAGTGTCTCGAACGTTCGAGGAATTCATAGGCGAGCTGCTCGATCGTCGTCGTCTCCTCCTCTTCCTCTTCCACTTCCTCGTCGTCGGCGCCGCCGATTTTTCGGCTCGGCGAGCACACGGTGAATCGCGCGCGGTACAGCCGATAGAATCGATGGATCTCTTTGGCGCACACCAAACACGCCACTTTTTTGGTGGACGGGAAAAGCTGCAAAAATTCGCGCTTAAAGGCGCATAGGCCACAATCCAAGTAAGACCCTTTTAAAGGCGCATAGGCCAAAAGCTTAGAATCATTTCTTTAAAAGGGCACAGGCCACAAGCCCAGTATCACCCCTTTAAAAGCGCATAAGCCACAAGCCTAGTATCACCCCTTTAAAGGCGCATAGGCCACAATTCTAGTATCACCCCTTTAAAGGGGCATAGGCCACAAGCCTCATGAGACCTCTTTAAAGGCGCATAGGCCACAAGCCTAGTATCACCTTTTAAAGGCGCATAGGCCACAAGCCTCATAGGACCCCTTTAAAGGCGCATAGGCCGCAAGCCTCATAGGACCCCTTTAAAGGCGCATAGGCCACAAGCCTCATGAGACCTCTTTAAAGGCGCATAGGCCACAAGCCTAGTATCACCTTTTTAAAGGCGCATAGGCCACAAGCCTAGTATCACCTTTTTAAAGGCGCATAGGTCACAAGCCTCATAGGACCCCTTTAAAGGCGCATAGGCCAATCTACGAGACCCACCCCTTCATCGAGCATGCGATACGCGCAAAACTTGCACACAAGATCGTGTGTGCACACATCGGTCTTCACTGTCCCGTATCGCAAACCGCACAAAACGCATGGTCCCGTGTTCTCGTCGCTCTCGGCGTCGAACGAGCCGACCAAATGACGATCGTGCGATTTTTGCTGGAAAAAAAAAACAACAATTGCAACGTTCAATGATGCTCTTTGGTGTTGCACTGTTTGCACATCCGCCCCCACGCGGTTCCCCTCCCTCCCCCCGAGGGGAATGAGGGAAGCGAGATCACCTGGGTGGCGGTCTAGACGGCGACCGATCGTGTACGATCATGTGATTGTGTTTAGTCATCGCTGTCTAGACGACTACCCAAATAAACATGCTGCCGACAATTTCGAGGCAAACAAATTGGTGTCCGCAGATGGCGCACATTGAGAGCGTCGGACGAACACAACAACAACAACAACAACGTGTGTCTGATTGGTGTGTTGGTCGGCGCGCTCGCGTCCGCCGTTTTAATGATTCTGTTTCGTTGGTGCGTCTCGATGAGTGAGCGCAGCCAAAAAAAAAACGAACGCCAACAATTTTATTTGTGGGAGTCGCTTCGACGAGTATCTTAGGCTTATGAAAACTGCATACATCTAGATATGGGTCCCAATAATGGACCCTACAATTTTTTTTAAAATTCGCATACCCCTTGATTTGTTGTAGTCATGGTAGATGGCATTTCAAGCCAGCAAAAAAAATTGGCAATGCGGGGGGGATCGAACCCCGGACCTCAAAAGCTTGAGCATAGAGTTTTACCACTCCGCCATGACTGCGACAAAGTGAACTGTGTGGGAATGGGTAGAGGTGCGAGGCGCGACACCTTGAGCTGCCATTACCGGACCCCCGACTTCAACTTGTTGCCATATTTGGGATGTTACCATTCGATGCCACAAGTGCTGTCGGATGCGGATGATGTTGTCGCGTCGATGAAGCGACGACGCGTCGTCGCGCGACTTCGTCGGCCGTCGTTGCGTTCGCGTCTCGCCGTCGAATCGACTCCGCATTCGCGTCATCCACTCGCCGAACATCGTCTGCAATATCATTCATTAATTATGCGTCGGTGCTTACAGTAGTCGGGCGAGCGCGTTGAGTGAAAGGTGTGAATGGACGAAAAATGAGGTGTCCGAATCGAGACGACCCCCAAATGTGGGCGGGGCCTAGGAACCGATCTAGGGTCCGGCCAACAGCAAGAAGAACACAGGAATGCTTAAGGGGGGGGGGAGGCGAATGTCTAGACGAGATCTGCGTGCCGCACCGTCTAACCATCAACATTTCTCTGCGCCCTCCACACACCGCCGCACTCTCTCACGCCACCGTCTTTTTCTCTCGCGTCTCTCCTTCAAGAGGAGCACACTAGACACATTTTTTTGTTGTTGTTGTTGTCGAAGGATTCGATGTGCTTCGATTATGGTTTTGTGGCCGGCTAGTGGCCACAATTGCAATTTTGGTGCTAAATATTCATTTTCATGTGAATTTGTTGGTTGCTATTTACGGGTAGATCAAAATGCGCGTTGGTGTTTAATTGAACTAGAAAAACAATTTTTTGAGTCTTATTTTGATGCTGCGGACGTCTCCCTGGATTCCTCAATTGTCATCTGCGGACAATTCGCGGGTTTTGCATCATTGACTTGCAAACGGTTATTGAACTCAAAACTCGACACGAAATCAATAGCGATTTTCATCTGCGGACGTCTCACGGGTTTAAAAATTACAAGCAGGGTTGTTAAATTTTGGGCCCGGCCGGCCGAAAGCCGGCCTCAGGCCGGCTTTTTTCGCTGTCAAATTTTCGGCCCGCGATTCGGCCCCCGATTCCGTGGTTTACGGCCGCACGGCCGAGGCGGGAATTCAAAAAAAAGCCGAAAGCCGGCCGAAAGCCGGGCCGGCCGGCCGGCTTTCGGCCTCGGCTTCAATTTACCAACCCTGATTACAAGCAATTTTGGCGTTTGAAAAAAAACTGAATTTCCTGACGTGAAATGAGCATTTTTTGAGATTCAAACGAGAAATTTTCGGTTTTTTTTTTGGAATATTTTGAGAAGAAAATTCGAACCCCCCATTTTCCTCGAAAAAAACAATCAAAATTTGATTTTTAATTTAAAAAAAATCACACTTGATTTTCAAAAATTGAAAAATCGGTGTTTTTCTCCAAAATTGGACACTTTCCGACAAATTCACAAACCCTATGGGGACTTCGATCTGCGGACGTCGTTCCGGGTTCGGTTTGTTCTAATCCGCCATGTTTGAGCCGCTTCAACGCATAGATTAATTCTCGCAAAGCAACGAGACACCGAGAGAGCAGCGAAAGCGATATATTATATATTATATATTATATGTGTATAGTCACACCCTCGCCTCATGATTTTTTCCGGAAATTGGCCACAAACCAAACGAGACCACTAAATCGCTCGTGTTTTTTCGAATGTTTTTTTTTGGGCAAATTTGAAGCTCTTAAAAGGGAATTCATTTTACCTCAAATTTCGAAATTTTTTCGAACATTGCATTAGAAGATTTCACAAAATTCCAACCCTGCACTGGGAGAGGGCTTCAGACCAATTATGAGCGTCTGGAAATTTGAGGAGACTTTCCATTTCTAGCACTATGTGCTTCTCGACGCTCGAAATTCGGTTTACGTGAAAAAAAAATGCAAAAAAATGCAAAAAGGTGCGGGTGGGACACGAGCCCTCATCATAAAATTGCTGGTCTGTGCACTAGGCACACCACCATTCTCATCGCTGGAGTTGTGGCGCCGAGCGGAGTATATGTAACCGCTTGTCCAAAACACTGCTAGCAATGGAAAATCACATCGAATTTTCAGACGACCATAAATCATCTGAAACCCCCCAGCCAAAGCTGGCTGAAATTTTGTGGACACACAAGACCTTCTATGATAGAAAAGATTCCAAAACTGTAGGTAAAATGATTTAAAATCATTTTTTTTACGAAAATTTTTAAAATTTGTCGAATAGTTGACAATTTCTCGTCGGAAAACCGAATTTTCTGTGCGAAATTTGTCGAAAATTCCCATCGAGCGCGTTTTCTCACACGAAATCGCGGCACTTTGGCGTGTTTTCGGCAAAAAATCTTCTCTTCTTTCGAAAATGGGGGATTTTGAAAAGCGCAATAAAAATTTTTGGTAAATTTCCAAAAAAAAATTTTTTTTTTCATCGATAAAATGATATAATTGCAATTTTTAGATGATTTTTCTCGCAAAATTCGTTTAAAAGTCGTTAAAATTTGTATTTTTTCGACAAATTTCAACATTTTCCGCATTTTTCAAAAATTCCTCAAGTTTTTCGAAAAAAAATCATCGGAATTTGTTTCAGATTCGCCAATTTTCAGGGCAAAGAAAAAATATTAAACGAAAATTGGCGGAATTCGCTCAATTTCGCTCAAGTCTAGACAAAACTCGATCATAACAAATTGAAAACGAATGAATTATTCTCGTTTTGGGGAGGGGAGGGGTGAAAAAAAATTTCGTCGAATATCCATAAATGGCAATGTTTATCGAGCTCATTTCTCCAAAAGAAAAACCGATTTTGAAAATTCGCAATTTTGATGCCGTAAAAAACCGCCGTCGGTGTTTGCGGACATTTCAAGCTACCGTACCTCAGTCAAAAAAAGTGTAATTTTTTCACCTACAGTATCGTGCCCAAAAAAATCGGAAAAGCTTTATTTTTTCAATTTTAATTCATCAAATTTGAAATTCTCTATTTAGTTTGACGACAAAATCCCCAAACAATGAATCATTGCTACCGTAATCCTAATTAGGGCATCAAACTTCACCTCCCTTGGGACATGATTAATATTGTTTAAAGGGGGGTGGATGAAGGTGCAAAACGCAATAATGCGGACCAGCATAAATTAAATCAAACAAATTTCGTGTTTGCATCATATTTGACGAAATATTACGTACTTTTTTATTTTTGATTCATTTATACGCAAAATTGCGGACCAAAACACCGAAATTGCCGCAAAACAGCTGTCTAATTATTTTTTTCAACAAAACCGCATCAAATTTTGTTATCAGTAGGCGGCCCGCCTCTCCGAAAACCGCACGTCTAGACGATGAAATCATTTTCGACACAAATTTGATGCCGGCGTCCGTCTAGACACAACCAAGATGTTGCCGATAATGATTCGAAAAGAGGAAAAAAACCGTTGCGAGGAATCGAACCCTCGTCGTTTGTTTGGCAAATAAATGCAGGAGAAAGATTTTTTCATTATTGGAATTTTTTCAAAATGTCACATTTTTTATTGTTCTTTGATGTTAACCATCTGCGGACATTCACCCGGGTTGCGCCGCAATATTGCTGCGCGGTGGCGCCAATTCAAATTTATTTAAAATCACCGGAAAAAAATTTTAGTTCGAAACAACAAATTTCATTTTGCCCCGTTTCGCGGCACGGCTCGCCGCAACTCAAGTGTGGCCTAGAAATAATTAGATTCGGCCACGGCCACATTTGATGAATTTATTCATTTCATTTAATAGAACTAAATGTATATTGTTGAGAAATGACAAATGTATCCCAGGTGTCGTGGGATCCTGCGTTTTGTACGCAATGCTAAGAGACAGTTACCGTAATCCTCGCAACGATTTACGGAGTTTTTTTTTTTTAAATTTTCTTTCAATTTTTTTTGCTGAATTTTCTTATTTTCTTTAGAAATTTTTTATTTAAAACCTGTAGAAACCGAGTTTAATTATTTTTTTTCAGCACTTTTCCATTTGTCCAGTTGAGTTGGGAATTATTGTGAAGATTTTGACGCTCTAAAAATTATTTTGAAAATGAAGAATACAAAAACAAGATAATAGAAACGCGTACAAAACGCAAAACACGAAAAAATAATATTATTAACGACAAAAATGATTTCTTTTTAATCTCTGCTGTTTTTACCAAAAAAATATCGTTTAAAAGTGCTTATTTTGTTAAATACATTTTTAAACTCGGTTTCTGCAAAATTTAAATAACAATATTTCCAATGGAAATACGAAAATTGAGCGAAAAATAAAAAAATGAATATACGAAATTTAAAAAAAAGTCCCCGTAAATCGCTGCGAGGATTACGGTAACTGTCTCTTAGCATTGCGTACAAAACGCAGGATCCCACGACATCTGGATACATTTGCCATTTTTTAACAATAGGTACATATTGCGTATTTTGACGATTTCAAAAACCAAATATCAAAAAATTAAAAATTCGTGGAAATAAAAAAATCGTGACTAACCATTAAATAGGATTTTTAAACATTAGCCCCGTGGTAGTGTGCCGCACTTTCATTTTCCATTTTCAAAATGCCTAATTTTTTTGTGTAAAATTCTCTCATTCCTTTTTGTTCGCACCAAGCGTGGCCGTGGCCGAGAACCTTCCCAAGGCCAATTTTTTCTAGGCCACAACTTAGAGGGAGGCAGCAGAGTAATTCCCTCGGGATTGCACCAATTTTGTTTGTTAGGGACCTTCTTTTAAAAAATATTTTCACATATTTAAATTAATTCGATTTAAAAATAAATTCGAAGGCCTCCGAATCAAAAATTGGTCGCCGGGCAGCCACAAAAAATTCATTCAAATCGCATATTTTTCAGAAAAATTCAAATTAATTGTGCAAAGGCAATTTACGATGATCATCTCGGAACTGAAATAATATCCCACACGTCCACTGGCATCGTAGTCGCTCGTCGAAACGACAAATATTCAAAATGCGACGACGTTTTGATTTTATTGTCATACACACGCGAAAGTTTCACATAGGCCGGACTTTCGAGGAAAATGAATCTAAAAAAAAATAATATGAAATTCGGTTTTTTTTGTTCTTCTCAATTCGCCAACCCGTTGGAGACACCTTTATTCACAAGCGGCAGACGGATCTGAATAGGATCCGGATTGTGGGTGCAATCGGTTCGGAAGATGAGGTGGATCGAGTGAAGCACGTCCGGCCAATCCTGGACGACAGAAAATTGGGAAATCACATTTTTGAGAAAATAAAAGTTAGATTTGAATTTTTGGTGCAAAATTTTGAGAAAAAAAAATGGAAAAATGCATTTTTTTATGCAAAAATTGTTTCCAAAATTTCAAATTGCTCAAAATTTGACCAAAAATTTTTTTTCAGTGCAAATTTCGAGAAAAAGAAATACCAAAACTGAAAATGTGCCCATTTTTTGCAAAATTTTACTATGGCCCAGAAATTGCTCAAATTTTGAATTGAAAAACTCGCTTCTCAAAAAAAAAATGGCATTTATTCGATCAAAAATCTTAATTTCAACTTTTTTTTTCATTTTTTAAGTTTTTTTTTGTTGGAAAAAATGACAATTCTTGCTTTTTCGAGCCATAATTTTCAATTCTTTGAGAATATCTATAAAATCTCACCTCGAAAAGCTCATAGCCTTTATAATATGATCTGATGTAGACGGATTTCGTTGATTCAGTGGAGCTCTTGTAGTAATACAAATCGCTGATGCGATAATCGACGTGTTCGCTAAAATCAACATAAAAATTGGAAAAATTTAAATTATTTTTGGGGTTTTTTCGAGTCGAAAAAATCAAGATTTGAAAAAAATTGTCAATTATCATTCATTTTCGCGTTTTCGACTTAATTTTGCCGAAAAAAATCTTCAAATTTTTGCTTAAATCAAAAAGAAAATTCTCCAATTTCATTCCATAAATCTTTTTTTTTTCAAATTTTCAATTTTTAAAGGCACATTACCCGGTCGAAGCTGCCAAAAATGCCTCCACTAGCCAATCTCCATTTACAGGCGTGCAAGTAAACGATTGCATGAGTTCGAATCGCATCGATTTGTTGAAAACGGATTGCGAAACGACCAATCCCAAAAATGGGATGATGACGCCAATTTGGCGCAACATTTACACTAATAATGCCAATTTTTGTCGAATTTTGGTCACGTTTCGAGAGATTTTCAATTTTATCCATTTTTCTTTTTTTTTGATCGCAAACGTTTTGATAGATTTAAAGGCGCACGCGCGCATTTCCAAACGCGTCTTCTGGAAATTGGCGTCAAAACAAAACTGATTTCCGAGACCGGGTCTCGACGCGAGAAATTCTTTATTCTAAAACGCAAATCATGAAATTCAACGTGAATTCTCTCGCAATTCTAGTGCGACAATATGCAAAAAACGGCGAGAATCGCGAGAATCCAATCGATATTGTGGAATTCGACGAACGAGAGACGCTGCGATGCGGCGAGTGTGAACAATTGCGGTTTTCGGCACGTCGCCAACTTCAACGAGTACTCGAGAGCCGTGAATGATCGACGCGGCGACGACGACGACGCCGCCGGCGAGTCCATCAGCATTCGCGAGAGTTTTCGCGCGTTCTCGCGAAACTCGCGTCGATTCAACGCCGTCGCGATCGCGTCGAACACGTTGTCCGGCGTCAAATTGAGTTTGTCGAGCACGGTGGCGATGCCGAAGCGTTGAGCGCGTTTCGCGTTGATCTTCTGATCGGCGAACAACGGCATCAGCACCGCCGGAATTCCGGCCTGCGCCGTTTCGAGCAGCGAATTGTAGCCGCCGTGCGCGATCAATAGCTTCATTCGCGGATGTCCTGCAACCAAACCAAAATTGATGCGCCTTTAAACAACCAACGTACGCATTATCTCATTCTGTGGAAGCCACTTCACCAAATGCACGTTGTTCAGCGTCTCGACGCCTTTCACGGTTTTCTCCATTCGCCAGAGGATTGTGTAATTCGGCAAACGGCTGAAAGCGCCGAGAAACGACGTCTGAAAATGGCGAAAATTGGCCAAAGTGTCGAAAAATCGGAATTTTGGGATAATTTCGGACAAGAAAAATGCTCACAATTCAAAAATTCGACAAAAAAAAACAATTATCTAGTTTTTTATTTCTTTAAATATCTCGAAAAAAATCATTTTGGTCCCCAAAATTCTAGAAATTCCATTAAGAATTACTTATTTTCTAAAAAAAATTGCGAAAAATCCAAAGGTGAAAAAACAAAAACTTGCGAAAATCAAAAATTAAAAAAAAAAAACGTCCATAAAACATCAAATTTCTGCTCAAAGCCCAAAAAATGGAAATTCGGATAAAATTTCAAAAAATAAAAATAAAAACTCACAATCATCTGCTCGGGCATATTCGTCGTATTGGACACGGTGCCCAGTGAGAACACAATCAAACCATCGTCGGTGGGTCTCGAAACGATGGCGTCAAGCCATTCGTCGACGTTCGCCGATTTTTTCGCCACTCCCATCTCGCCGGCGAAGCCGATGTGAAGCGGAAGCGGTCGCGGAAAATCGAGCATCCGATTGCCGTTGATCAGCAAACAAATCACGCGGGTTTTCGATAGTTGCCAGAGGTCCTCGTGCTCGTCGCCGCCTATCAGCTTCTTGTAGAACTCGTTCTCATCGTACAACAGATTTTGAGGCAAATTCACAAAATCGAGAAGAAGCATGTGCCAGAGGGTATTTTGAACGCGATCGAGAAAGTCTTGAGACAAGCCGGCTGGAAAAAAAATTTATTTCATTTATTCATAAAAGGAAACACGCGTCTCGCTTACCCGATGATAGTGGATGCGGGATTGACGACGGAATCGTGCGGAGACCCATTTGAACGGCGGCAAAATCGTAGATCGATGTTCCGTGCGTGATCCAGATCACACGATCGACGCCCATTTTTTGCGCTATCGCCAACGGACACAAATCGTGGAAATGCGCGATGGCGACGTCGAATCCGTCGCGTTTGAACTCGTCGTAAATCTACAACTTGGGTCTCGTAGGGGAATCTCGATGGTTTTTTTTTTTTAACAATGAAAAAAATTCCAATTTTTCATCATTTTTGAGGCGAATTTTGACAAATCTTGGAGCAATTTTGGTCGAAATTACAAAAACGTCAATTTTCGTTGAAAATTGATTGAAGATTGAAAGTTTCTTGTTAGAAAAATAGAAATAATCTCGATTTGGGAACATTTTGATTCGAAAATCGAGAATATTCAAAATATTAAATTCAAAATTTGCAAAAATTCAAAATTTTTGCCGAAAAATCACGCTTTTCGCCACAGAAAATTCAATTTTTCTCAATATCAATAAAATCGAGGCAATTTCAGCCAAAAAAAGCAAAAAGCGAAAATTCGTTTGAGAAGAAACCTTCTGATCATGAGCCAACATTTGCTCGCAAGCTTCAACCCGCATATCCTTGAATTCCTGTCCGGTCCACCACAAATCATGAACGTCGCCGGCGGAAAACATCATCGATTGGAAGACCTGAATCAATATCAAGTCTATGCTCCTTGAAAAAAGTCGGGAAGTCAAAATTTCCATTCAAGTTCCTTTGTTTTTGCCAAAAAACTACCTTCAGCCCTTCAGTTTTCAATGTATCCTTGAAATGAATCGGGATTCTGTACTCTTCAACGCCTTCTGGCAACCTATTATTACCCGTATCCAGCATTCCCATTTCCATTTGCGTCCACATTTTGACGTCATGGCCGAGAAATCTGCAAAAAAAAAACAAATATCGGCGAAAATTTGAAGAAAATTGATGGCGATTCTCACCTTAGCGTTTCGGCTAGTCGATAATTGAACAAAACGTGCGAATTTGTAAAACCCGGCACGATTTGAAGCACTCGAAGGCATTGAATTGATGGAAAAATGAGAAGAAAAAAAGACAAACTGTTCATGACCATCGAATGGTTGATATCATCTCATCTCGTCGTCGGAATTGGAGATATAAATCAAAGATAGCGGGTTTTGTCCTTTAACCCAACAATTCCATTTTTTTTGTGATAAATTCACTTGTTATTTCTGCAAGGTTCGAATTATAATAGTTTTAAGAAGGGATTGAATGAATTTTACAAAAAAAAAACGAAAAAAATCGTGAAAAATTGGAACTCAAAATTTTTCGAATTTTTCCACCTAAATTTTACATAATTGCCTAATTTTTGATTTAGAAAATTTTAAAGCAATTATCGCAACTTTTGCCAATTAATTTTAGGAGTGAAATTGTAAAAATATAGTAATGTGTATGCACCTTTGAACGGCATTACTGTAATTTTTAAATTCGTTTTTTCGCATTTCCAATTCGATTTTTCTATTTTTTGTTCCACAATTGTCAATTATTTTTGTTTAAAATCAGAATATACGAAGGTTTTTGTTCGAAATTGGGAAAACTTTTTAAAAAATCTTCAACTTTTAGTAATCCAGAAAAAAAAATGTTGAGAAATTATCATAATCTGAAATTTCCCAGCGCCAAGATTTCTGTATAATTTAGCATTCAAATTAATAAAAATTCAACAAAAAAACTCAAAATATTTATTAAAATTTCAAAATAAATGCGATTTCATGGATTCCTAGTCGTCGGCCGAATCTACAGTAACCTCGTCAATCGAAACCCCGCGCTTCTCGGCAATCTGCGCTTTCCACATTTTCGCGTAGACGCCGTTCTCCTCGAGGAGGCTCTTATGATTGCCGCACTCGACGATTCGTCCCTTATCCAGCACAATGATCTTGTTCGCTTTGACAACCGTCGAGAGGCGATGGGCGACGACGACGCCGGTTCGTGAAGCGCATAGCTTCTCGAGGCATTTTTGGATGGCGAGCTCCGTCGGCGTGTCCAAAGACGAAGTCGCCTGAAAATTGAGCGAAGTCATCATATTTCCATTCGAAAAATTGAAATTTTTGACAAAATTTGTCGGAAAAAATTTCAATTACCTACCTCATCCAGAAAGATGAACGCCGGTTGTTTGAGAATTGTGCGAGCAATCGCCACTCGTTGCTTTTCGCCGCCAGACAATCGCAATCCTCTCTCACCGACTTGAGTATCATAACCTTGCGGAAGACTGAGGATCTTGTCATGGATCATCGCCGCTCGAGCGGCATCATAAACCTCCTCGAGCGTCGCCGAAGGCCGACCGAATCGGATATTATAGCTTAAAAAAATGAGAGAATTCGATTTTCTAGTTCGATGAATTACAGAATTGTGTCGTTGAAGAGCACCGTATCCTGCGGCACGATTCCAATTTTGTCGCGAAGCGATTTCATCTTCAAATCTCTCACATCGATCCCATCGTATTCGATTTCGCCGCTGCTCGTCTCGAAGAGACGAAACAGCAGCCGGACGAGTGTGCTCTTGCCGGATCCCGATTCTCCGACGAGCGCGAGGGTCTCGCCGCGACCAATTTCAAAGCTGACGTTCTCAAGCACCGGCGCGCCCGATTGATACTCGAAACAGACGTTTTTGACGGCGATTTGACCCTTCGGCTCCGAATATTCGATGGCGTCGTGACGATCAACGACTTCTGGATGTTGATTCATCAACTCGAACAGATTCTCCATGTCGATGAAGGCTTTTTGAATAACTCTAAAAAAAAAGGTTGAAATTCGTTGACAAAACTCTAAATTTGCCTATAAATGGTCCCAAAAAAGTTGAGCGGTGTGTAGAGTTGAAGGATATAAGTGGTGAAAAGCACATAATCTCCAACCTGAAATTCGAAAATTTGCAAAAATTTTAAATGAAAAAACAAAAAAAAACACGCACCGACATGGTTTTATCGACAATAATGAAACGAACGACCAAGTATGAGCCGAGCACGAGTCCGGCTCCAATTATTCCATTTTGGAGGAGATTCAGAAGCGCCAACGACGCCTGCGATTTCCATTCAGCCAATTGTTGAGTGATGACCGAATCCTCGTATCGTTTCACTTCATATTCCTCGTTTCCATAATATTTGACCGTTTCATAATTGAGAAGCGAATCGGTGGCGATTCCCGACGATATATTATCTTTCTCATTCGCGTCGCGAATGAATTTCGTCCTCCACTCGGTTATAAGAATAGTTGAAGCTGAAAAAAATGCAAATCAAATAAGAAAAGTGACGTTAAAAAAAAACGTAAAAAAACAGCCAACAATCCCAGCTCATTTTCCGCGTTATGCGCCTTCAATTTATTGATATTCGAATTTGTGAATGAAAAAATTTTTTGTAATTTAAAATTTTTTTAATTTTAAAAATTTAAAAAATGCAGGGAACATGATCAATTAAAATTTATTAAAATTTCGAAAAGATTTTCCTTTAAATAAAAAAAAACGTGGAATTCTGATGCTGAGTCTCGAAGATTTTCTGAAATAAAATTTCAAATTCCGCGACACTGTGCAATATGTCGTCAGGTGTTGCGCATTGTGTGCAAACACCGTATGCCCAAATTTTTGTTTCAAAAAAAAACAAACTCATATAGCCGGCCATTGTGATCAAAACCAAACAACCAAACGTGATGTTAAAGCTGGTGAAGAAAAATGCGACGGCGATGAGAATATCGATGATGGTTGGTGCAACATTGAATAAAATATAGCTAAAAAAAATTAATTGTGAATTTTTTTGAGGCAACAAAATTACTTCAAAATATTATTGACCGAATTCGTGCCGCGGTCCATTATTCTCAAAACTTGGCCGGTTTTTCGCGACAGATGCCATCGAAGCGATAATGAATGCAAATGGGCGATGAGTCCGACTTCGATCTCTCTCGTCGTGTACTGCTGAATCGGTATCCAGAGGTAGGTGCGAAGCGAGTTCAAGAATCCGCCCATCGCGCCGTTGCCCTGCAGAAATTTCAAGGCGCCCGCGATGAATATCATCGAGTAGGCGAATGTTTCGGGCTCGGCGAGCCCGTCGACAATCCATTTGCTGTACAATGGTAGGACCAAATTGATGAGGCGGCCGATTATTAAGAGGACCAGCGAAATGAGCACACGCAATTGAAGGCCGACCGATTTGCGCGGCCAAATGTACGGGAAGACGGTGGCGATTTTTCGCGAGAAATCGCTGAACGCCGAATCGCCGCGCGAGCCGCTCAGCAGTCGCGATAGCGGTTTGGCGGCGAGAATCGCGAGAATCAACGAGAGCTCGATGAAATAGAACGTTCGGTCCATTTTGTCGCCTCTGAAATTTTTCTTAAAATTTGAGAATTCATGAGAGAGTTTTTCAAGAAAAAAAAATTGAGAGAAGCTAGTGAAGAAAAATTGCATTTTTTGCAAAAAAAAACTTGAATTTTTTTGTTTCGACATTAAAAATTTTAATTTTTGAGGAAAAATTTGCCAAAAATTGTCGCGAAAAAATGGAAAATGGGAAGGATTTTTTTTGAGTTGGATTTCTTTAAAAAAAAAAAGGAATACAGAAATTTGGATCTTAAAATTTTTATGTGTTTTGACTGAAAAAAATTTTTTTCGGTAAAAATAATTTGTGGCAATTTTCGAAGAAAATATTACAGTTGCAAAATTTGTCAAATAAAAACATTCGATTTTAAATTTTGCACGTAATTTTTCAAAAAAAAAATCTCATTTTTAGCCCCTTTATGTCTGAAATTTCAGTGTTTTCCTCAAAACGCACTTTCCGCCAAAATAGATGTTCCATGCCGTGAACGGTATCATGTCGATGGTCCATGCAGCCATCACTCCAATCCATACCGTTATCGGAATTCTCGGATTATGGCGATATTTGGCGAAATTGCACAAAACGAGCACCCAGAACGTCTGAATCTCGTTATTTTATGAAGGTAACGCACAATTTTCGCCTGAAATTTTACCATTTTTGCTAGAAAATAGGCGAGAAGTAGATGATTATATGGATTCATGTACATGAAGAAGATGAAATGGAACACGTGTTGGCCGATGAGAAGAAAACAGCACACGATGGAGGCGATTACCGTCATCGGTATCATTTGGGGACCATCATCGTAGTCGACTGGAAAAAAAAAACTATTTTTGGTGATTTTCAGTTCAACATTTTTTTCTAAAAATTTCGCAACCTCTGGGCGAAATTGTTCAATTTTTCCCAAAATTTGAATTTAAAATTTTTTTTTACAATTTTTGAGCCTTTCTTGGTGCGATATTGTAAATTTTAATAATAATTCTTTTAGTGATTATTTTCAATTGAATTTCTCCACATAAATATTTAAAAAAACGGAAAAAAAATTGAAAATTTAATGGTTTTAAGGCATATTTTTAAATATTCCAAAAAAACCAAACAAATCATGCTCACCCATTCGACGATACGTCGCATTTCCCGGCAGGCAAAGCAAAATAACATAAAAAACGGAAAATAGTGCAAAAATGCCGAAAGAAAGTATCTAAAAAACCCAAGCAAGGCCATTAATTGGGTAATTAGCGGTAATTACCCGATTGCAGGAGGGCACCATCGGCCACATTCCGCCATTAATACATTCATCGACATACGGTGAGAAACCCATATCTAAAAAACCAACGGCTCGATTTTTCTTTTTAAAAATTTTTCGAAAAAAAATATATATAAGGAATTGATGGAAAACAAGATGAGCAACATGGATTCTTAGGCCCAAACAAAAATCAACAATTTAACAACAAAAAAATCAACAAAATGAAAAAAATTTATACAAAATCCGCCGCTATCAGCCATTTCGCCGACGATTTCAGCTTCGCGCTGCTCCCTTTTCGTTTTTCGATCGATTTTCGAACCGATTCCATTGAGTCGTAGACGCTTTTCTGGAGAGAACACAAATTGTCATTTTGAAATAAAATTTTTTAATCTGGTTTAAGGTGAAAACGCCCCGCCCACAATTTTTCATTGCGAAACTTTTTGGTCAAAAAATAGGTTATGAAATTCGGGCTCGGCGTGCGCCTTTAAAAATCGCGCTAAACATTTATTAAATTGTGTTTCATCACCGAAATAGAAAAAATATACGGTTACTAAAATTTGTCGCTGTAAGACCTTCCAATCTGACGCGTTGCGGTCGTGAAAAAGAGTAGATTCCGAAAGAACCGGATCCTGCCAAATAGAGATCATTGAATCGAAAAAAATTAATAGTGACCGCGCGCGAACCGCAACGCGCCTGACGACATACAGAGAATCTATATTTCAAGTTTTCGGGACCTCACCGAGACCTTCTCATTTTACCGTTGAGACTCCCACCCAAATGAGCTACCTTAAAATCCTTCATCAAAAATTCGTTGGGTTGATTTTCGGCGGCTTTCACAATCGATTCGATAATCTGACACGTTTGCTGCATAAACGCGCCGCCAGTATCCTCCAAAATGCTGTTCGCTGAAAAAAAAAATAAATGAGACTCGATCAATGTTGGAAGCGAGAATCTCACACAGAATTGGTGAGACCGCTTTGATTAGGCTCAGAAGGGCCGATGGAAGCTCGAACGGTGACACCGACGTCGTCTTGGCCGATGTGAGCACGGCGAAGTCGAATGGGCTCACGTTGGAGGACTGAAAATGACATTCAGCATTTTCGAAAAAGAAGTAATCTTAAAAATTTTGTATTTTAACCAAAAATTGATATCGGAAACTCTCATTTCAAAAAAAAAATATATTTCTTTTTCGGCACAAACTTCTTGAAAAACTCGTCCGACACTTGAAACATGAAGAGTTTCGCGCTCAAAATTCAATTCCAACTCAGTTTCCGTCCGTTTTTTCTTTTTGTTCACATCGAAAATCTGCAAAATGAAAATGCGCCAAAAGGAGCGAAAAAAAACGCCCAACATTAATGAATTGAGTGATGGTGTCGAGGAATTTCGGCGAATTCCATTTCGGTTTTCGTGAGCTCGATAGAAAATTGATGAACGACGGAAACAAATCGGCGTTGTTTCGGCACAATTTCGGATAAGTTTCCATTAGAATCGATAAAATCGACAAGGCGAAATTGCGAACTCTGAAAATTAAAAAAAAATCAATTTTAAAGCCCGATTTTTAATTTGAAAACCACAATTCTATTATTAAAAGTGGGAAATATCAAATTAATGCAATTTTGCAAAAAAAAACTCTAAATTTTTAATTTAAAATCACCAATTTATGGTTCAATTTGGGGAAATATGGATATTAATTTTAAAATTCTAAAAAATTGAATTTCCATCAGAAAAGTTTACAAATAAAGGGAAAATTGGAATTGTCCAAATTCCATTTATTAAAAATCTTACTGAATTTCCATGTGTGACAATGCTCGGTAAACGTGCGCCAGAAATAATGTAATATGGGCTGACATTGTGCCACTTGGAGCTGTGCAAATCACCTTTAACAGGGCTTTAAGCTGAGCATAATGTTTTGGCTCAAGTGTCTGAAATCGGAAATTTTTCAAGGAATTTCCATAGAATTTACATTATCCGAGAGCAATCTAGCAATTGAGGGCACCAGTGTCCGAAGATGAGCAGCAATGAGGTCCGGACGGGAAGACAGAATCTGCTTGAGACCCATTATGGCCCCATTTCGAATATTCTAAAAAATTAATTGCATTTTTAATGACATTGTGTAGAATTTCACAAAAATACTATGTAGTTTGAAACAGGCTTAATGTAGTTTCTCTACAATTTGAATTAGAAAAAATAATTACCTTATTGAAATGCCCTAACTGCGTACTAAGTTCATCTAAGGTTAATCCCCGATAGGATAGCGGTTTATCTTCTGCAGCGACCTTTTCTTCAAGCTGATTCGCCAGAACAACCCGTTTTGCTGAAATTAATCATTAAAAAAATTGAATACCAAAAAACTACCTTTTATCGTTGTATCGGTGGTGGCGGTCTTTTTTAATTTCTTGCCAATCTTCAGTTTCACCTTTTTAAAATCCTCATTCTTTCTGGCTTTCTTCTTCGTCACCATTTTGCTGTAAAAATTGCGAAATTGAGCAAACTTGAAAAAATGTTCGTCGAGAAATTGCACAAATGGCCGGCAAATTTCTCGGCCACGTTTCAAACACGCTCCATTGAGAATGCGCGAAGAAAGTGTATTTGAATTTTTATTCCGTGATTTTCTTATCATTTTTCACGGTTTGGATTTAGTTTTTTTTTTGTTGCGATTTTCAGGAATGTCGGATACCGAGAACGTAACCGATGCTGATGTTCGACGATCATCGAGGCGTCGAGAGAGCGCAAAGGTAAAAAATGTAGAGAAAATGTGGTATTTTTGATGCTTTTCAGGTAACCTCTAGGAAAAATGCGCTAGAAGCTATGAAAGAGGCGAGAAGGTCGGGAAAAGGCTACAAACCGAATGTAGGAACTTCGAAAGCATATTTCTGAATGCAAAGAAAATTTTTCAGCTTGAAGTCAATGATGTATATGAAGTTGTTGATGAGGATGAATACAATGATATAGTGAGAAAACGTCAAAATGACAATTTTGTGGTGGATGATGGTGAGAAATGAAGTGAAAATTGCGTATCCCACTCATTTTATTGTATTTTAGACGGAATGGGCTATGTGGACACCGGTGTCGATTTCGACGACGAGTATGATGAATATGCCGATGAGGAAAATGCAAAAAAATCGAAAAATAGAAAAAATAAAGCGAAAAAGGAGAAGAAAAAAGGCGCTTTGGATAGTTTTTTGGCGGCTGGACAGACGAAAAAGGCGGTTTTTGATGATTCGAAGGTGAAAGTGAATTTGGAGGAGGATGAGGATTTGAAGAACATGCTCGGCGATATTCTTGATGGTCCCGATGAGGAAGAGGAGACGGCGCCGCCGCCGCCGCCGCCAAAATCGAGGAATCCGTTCAAAAGGGAACGGACGAGCTCACCGGACGCCTTTGAAGCGTCGATGGCGCCGAGACCGATTGCGAAGAAGGCGAAGACAAACTTCCTGGCGAAAACGCCCAAAGTTGGTGTCGTCAAACAGGCGGTGAAGCTCGAGGAGCCGGAGGAGCCTGAGGAAGCCGATGATTTTGATTATGGGATTCCTGATGTTGAAGAGGCTCCCGTTGAATTCTCAAATGATAGTCAGAAGACGACGGATGTCGAGAAAGTGGTATGATTTCATATTTTTTCAATCGAATATTGTATGAAATCGGAAAATTGATTTATTTTGGGGTTTTCAAGGTTTTTCATGCAAAGGATTTATTTGAAAAATTGAAAAAAAAGGAAATTTTGAAATAAGAAAAATGAAAATTTCTCAAAATCCGAAATTTTGCAGAAAATCGACGAATCACCGGACGACGTGATGGAGACTGACGAAGCGCCGACGTCGAAACTTCTTCTGACCGCTGAAGAATGGAATGCCGACACGAACGAGGCGGTCGACGAGCCGATCGACGTCAAAACGGGCGCCGAGGAGTTTTATGTGATGGGCGGCGAGAATGGCGATCAGAAGGCGATTCGAATGTATTGGATCGACGCATTCGAGGATGTCCACAAGAATTCCGGTAATTTTGTGGTTTTTTTTTTGCTATTTTTATTAAAAATTTGCGATTTTCAGGCACCGTTTTCCTATTTGGTAAGCTGAAAGTCAGCAAAAATCAATGGGCGAGCTGTTGTTGTATTGTTCGGAAAATGCCTAGGCAGGTGTTCTTCATGCCGAGAGAAACGGTACGTATTTTTTTTTCTTTGAATGAGAAATGACCATTTTTGGGCTTAAAACGTGACATTTTTGATTTTTTCGATGCGAACACCAAAAATTTTGTAAAATTTTCGAGTTTCCACGCAAATTTATCATTTATCATGGAAATTTCGAGAATTGGATTAAGAAATTTTCGAATTTCCATCAAAATGTGTCAAAATTTTTAAATTATCGATTAGTCTTAAAAATGTATTAATTTTTAATGTACGTTTCGAAATTTTGAGCAATCGCGCTCCATTGCGATGAAAATATTCAAATAAATCGAAATTTCATAATTCGTTTTTGTAGAATTTGGCGACGAATGAGCCGATTCAAGATGTCGACGTCTTCAATGAGATTCGGTCGGTTTTGAAGAAGAATTTGAATTTGAATGAGTTCAAATGTCGGGTAATTATGCTCACCTGCACACCTCCCACCATAATTGGTGCAATTTTCAGCCGATCGAGAAGAGATTGATGAATGACAAACAGTTTGGCGAGAATGCCGGCGAGAAAACGCGACTAATGGAAGTTCAATATGAGGTTTTATTGATTTTTTTTTTGAGGAAAATGGGCATTTTTTGACAAGAATGTGTCAAATTTGAGCCGAGATTGCGAGATTTTCAGAAAAAAAAAATGAGAAATAAAAAAAATGAAAATTTTCGACAAGAAAATCTCAAATTTGAGCCAAGATTGCGAGATTTTTAGAAAAAAAATGAGAAATAAAAAAAAATGAAAATTTTCGACAGGACTGTATCAAATTTGAACCGAAATTGCGAGATTTTCAGAAATAAAAATGAAAAATTTTAAAAAAATGAAAATTTTCAACAAGAAAATCTCAAATTTGAGCCGAGATTCGAATTTTTGCCAACAAAAATACGAGAAATATTTAGAAGATCATTTTTTTTTCGAAAAGCATGTGGTAAATTTGCCATATTATGAAAAAACGGGCAATTTCAAACCAGAAAATTGTGTTTTTTTTTTCGTTTCGAAAAAAAAATTTCGGAAAAAGCGAAATGAGTGAGAAAATGAAAATTTTTTGTAGAGTACACATCCGAAATTGCCGTCGGATCTCACCGGTAGCACATTTTCAAAAATTTTCAACACCACAACGACGCCGTTGGAGCATTTGTTGATTGAAAAACGATTTATGGGACCCGGCTGGATTGAATTGTTCAATTTTAGTGAGTTTTTGTTTTTTGGCAACAAGAAACAAAAAATGGCACAATCTTTTTTTTTTAGACGAAAGTAGCGCAAAAATGTCGAATTGCGATTATGAATTCTCGGTTGATATGGAAAAAATGAAGAATATTCGATATTTGGAGGGAAATTCCGACGAAAAATTGCCGAATGTTCGATTATTGGCGATCAATGTGATAACGACGATCAATGAGAAGAAAGAGAATGAGGTTTGTGCGAAAAAAAATTGATTTTTGTCTTTTTTGAATCGAAAAATACCTTTTTTTTTTCAGATTTGCATGATTTCGATGCTCAACAACCCGAAATCGAGTCTTGTTCATCCGAGTTGCGCCACCAAAGATTTGCAGCGAATCTCACGTGGGGCGGGCCTCAATGGTCCCTGAACGCAAATCGAAATCAATGTCGAATTTTCAGTGGTGACGCGTCCGGTTGGCGGAACATTGCCGTTCGACATCAAAAAACGGCTGGAGAGCGAACAGTTGAGCGGAATCGCGACGACGACGGCCAACGAGAAGGCGCTTTTGACGTTGTTCTTGGCGAAACTCAATCAAATCGAGCCCGACATTATTGTGGTACGTGTGTGCGCCTTTAAATTTTGCTTTTTTTTTTGGTGAATTGACGATTTGGGAAATATTTCTCTTGTCACCAATTGAACCATGCGCCTTTAAATTGTGCCATTGTGATCTCTCTATGCGCCTTTAAATTACTGGTTACTGGCGATTGATGAAAAATTGATTTTTCAATGTAAGTAAGTATCGAAACATGCGCCTTTAAATCGGGTCTGCCTGATGTTTCTATGCGCCTTTAAATTGCTGGATACACGGAATTTATATATTTTTTTTTTCAATTTTTGGTTTTGATTTTGACAAAATGAAAGGAAACACGCGTTTTTATGAGAAAATAAAGTCAATTTTTGAGATTTAGTGAAAAAATTGCAATATTCCAAAAAATTTTGAAATTTTCGTTTTTTTTTTAATTCCCACTTCAATGCGCCTTTAAAAGTGATTTCTATTGGATCTGTGCGCCTTAAAAAAAGGCATAGGGTGCAATTTGTTGAGTTTGAAAATTTTTGAGGCATGCGCCTTTAATCAGTTGATTACGGTAACCCGAAATCGTTCTTTTTTTCTGCTCAGGGTCACGATTTGTCGGCGATGGTGTCGATTTTGGTGTCGAGACTCGAAAAGCTGAAAATTCCGAATTGGTCGCGAATGTCGCGATTGAAACGAACGATCAACATCGGCAAAGTGGGGCATAGCAAAGCGGGACAATGGGAGTTGACGGCCGGAAGGCTTCTATTGGACTCAAAGTTGGCCGCAATGGAATTGATGAAATCGCGAAGTTACGATATAAGCGAGCTCTCAATGAAAATGTTTGGCTATAAGAGGCACGAGATTTACGCCAACGACATTGGACCAATGTACTCGTGAGTATTGAGAAAAATTGGGCTTTCTCGCCAGAAGCCATCCGTTTTTTAAGCGATTTACCTCGTATTTCAGATCGTCTGAACGCCTCATTAATCTTATCAAATGGTCGTGGGCTGATCCGCTCTTGTCGCTGCGAATTGTCGTCGAACTCAACGCATTACCATTATTCACACAGATTACTAACATTGTCGGTGGAGTTGCGGTGAGTTTGTTGGCCAAATTAAGAACAAAAAAAATTGCATTTTTCTGCAATTTTGACGAAAAAAATGACGATTTTTGATGAGATAGGATTTTTCTGTGTGGAATTTGAATTTTCAACGATGAAAATTTCAAAATTTGCTGAAAAAAATGTAAGAAACATCAATTTTTGAGCATTTTTTTTCACGATTGTGTGAAATTTTGAAATTTTCATTTTTTTTCGCCTTTATCTTGCAGTCGCGAACTCTGATGGGCGGTCGAGCCGAACGAAATGAATACCTGCTGATGCACGCGTTCCACAAATCGGAACTGATTGCGCCCGACAAATTCAACGCGAACGCGAAGAGGATTCAGAAGGCGTCCGACGATGACGATGATGGTGGCGACGAGCACAAAGCGGGCAAATCGAAAGCGCAATACTCGGGCGGATTGGTGTTGGAGCCGAAGAAGGGGCTCTATGATACGCTGATTCTCCTGCTCGACTTCAATTCGCTCTATCCGAGCATCATTCAGGAGTACAACATTTGCTTCACCACCGTTTCGCACACAAAGGTGAGATTCCTTCCTTTTTTGGGGTTTTTTTTTTTCAGAAGAAAAAATAAGATTTCCATCAATTTTTCGATAATTTAAGCGTTTTTAAACTGAAATTGATGATTTTTGTCGATTTTGCAAAAAAATGTGTGCATACACACTCACGCAAAATTGCACACATTTGATTTATTGCGTTTTTTTTCTAATGAGAATACCATTTTTTGTCCCAATTTTGTAAAAATTTGCAATTTCAAACATTTCATTTCAAGAATGATGCAGTTTCTGAAATTTTGTTATTTTTTTAATGCGATTCGCGCACAAAATTTCGATGATTCGGTAAGAATTTTTAATCAATTTTGTTTGGGAACTTCTGAGCAATTTGTGCTCCAAGAACAATTAATTCTGCTCCAAATAATTCAATTCGAAATTCTTATTACGCTAAATAATGACCTCCGGGGGAAATTCGCACGTATGTTGCTATTCAAATTTGTAGGACGGCGACGAATTGCCGGAATTGCCGTCGGCGAGTTTCGAGGAAGGCGTCCTACCGCGCGAGATTCGAAAACTCGTCGAGTGTCGCCGAAACGTGAAGAACTTGATGAAGACTGAGAAGAAAGAGGCCGATCGAAAACAAATGGACATTCGACAAATGGCGCTGAAATTGACGGCGAACTCCATGTACGGTTGCCTCGGATTCCAGTATTCGAGGTTCTACGCGAAGCCGCTTGCCGCGCTCGTCACCGCCAAAGGAAGAGAGGTGTGCTCCTATTTTCCTTTTGTGAAAATTACGAATATCGGCGTTTTTTTGTCGAATTTTTTCAAAAATTATAAAAAATTCGGTTTACTTTGCGTGAAAATTGACGATTTTTAGTTGAGAACTCGAGATTTTGCGAGTTTTTGTCTCGAAATGAGCGAAATTCTCAGTTTTTAAACAAACTACTTATTTTCCTCCAGATTATTATTATTTTTTGAATAATTGAGAAAATTCAAAAATTTCGGAAATTTAAAGTGGAAAATTCAAAAGAAATGTGCAATTTTCAAAAATTTTTGAAATTCATCATAAAAATTCAATAATGTTTCATTTTTGAGCAAAAATTTTTAAACGAAACGATTGCAAAAAAAAATGTTTTGCAGATTTTGATGCATTCGAAGGATCTCGTTGAGTCTCTCGGCTATTCGGTGATTTATGGCGATACTGACTCGATAATGATTAACACGAACTCACTGGATTTGGCGCAGGCGAAAAAATTGGGAACCGAGGTTCGAAATTGCACGATTTCGTTGGTATAACTCTCGAAATTTGGAATTTTTTCAGATAAAAAAACAAGTGAATAAATGCCATCGATTGTTGGAATTGGATTTGGACGGAGTTTTCAAGAGGATGCTTTTGCTGAAAAAGAAAAAGTGCGATTTTCGTCGAATTTTTTGGAAGAGAAATATTGAAAATTGCAGATATGCGGCGTTGACCATCAATCCCGACACGAAAGTTGAATCGAAAGAGCTGAAAGGATTGGATATCGTGCGACGAGATTGGTCCCAATTGGCCAAAGAGACTGGAACGTGAGTATAATTGAGCAAACGCATTCATTTGAGAGAAATTCATCGAAAAAATTGATGTGATTTGAAGGAGTTCTTCGAAAAATTCGAAATTTCCATTGAATTTGAAGGTTTTCAGCGAAAAATTTCAAAATTTTGCCTGAAATTTATTGAAGTTGAACGTTTTCTCAGAAAAATTGCGCGATTTGGCTGAAAATTGACTGAAATTGTTAATCTTTGCCGGAAAATTTGCGCGATTTTGCTGAGAAAAATTTTTTTTTAGAAAAGCTTAAAATTTGAAGATTTCCTCAAGAAAAAAAAAACGGACGATTTTACTGGAAATTAGCAAAATTTGGCGAATTAAAAAAAATCACTTCAGAGCCGTCGTCGATCGCATACTGGATCCCGAATTGAGTCGTGATGAGCTGGTCTCGTCGATTGACGACCTATTGCGACAAATGAGATCCGAATTGGACGCGGGAAATGTGGCGAAGGAGAAATTCCAGATTAGCAAAGTACTCTAATTTGTCATTCTTCGACAACCTATTCTTTTTTTTTTGCAGCAATTGACGAAAAATCCGAAAGACTATGCGGATTTGAAGGCGCAACCGCACGCGGCGGTCGCGAAACGACTCAACGAGAGCGGCCGATTCAATTTGAGGCACGGCGATATTGTCGAATACATCATTTGCGAGGTACATTGATTTCTCCCTGATCCCATGATCCATAATCGCTGACGCTTTCGATTCTTGCAGGACGGCACCGGCAATCCGGCGACTCAACGCGCCTACCATCGAACCGAAATGGACGAGAACAATGAATTGAAAATTGGTGAGATTTTCGATTTTGTTTTTACCCAACCAGTACGACAATCCATTTACACATCGCCCTCGGTTTAGCGTGTCGGATTGAGCGACTTTTTTTCCCCAATTTTGCATCAAAAAGGGTGTTCCGATTGCATGTTTTTTGTTGTTGTTCCAGATTTGATCTACTATCTCGCCCAACAAGTGCATCCCGTCGTTTGTCGATTGTGCGCGCCGATCGAGGAGACGGACGCGGTGCGAATCGCCGAGTGTTTGGGTCTCGACGCGACGAGCTATCGACGAGCGGCGGCGGCGACTGCCGCTCAGTGCGCCGACGAGGAGGACTATATGTGGCAACAGGAGGTTGGTTTGATGATCTCGCCATCCGCCCATAGCGAATTAGTGGGCCGAATAGAGAGACAGTGAGAGACCCACCCAGATGATGTGCCTTTAAAATAATCGAGAAAACCATTGATGGAAGCAGATGAAGCTTTAAAGGAGCATATAGTCGGCGTCCGACGACTGCTGTACGCGGGTAGATTTACGCGCATGCGCCTTGAAAAGGTCTCGCCACATGTGAACCCTTATTTTGCTGTTTTCACGTGAACGATTGATTTTTTCTTGATGACTTTCGCATTTCTTTAAATTTCTAACGTTGTTCGATTTAAATATTATCAAAGTTCGATTTAAATATTATCATACCCATAAAATGCGAAATAACGAGTTTGTCCGCGCAAGACCATTTCGAAAGGCGCATGCGCGTAAATCTACCCGTGTACAGCAGTACTGTAGTGTTGTTCGATTTTTAAAACAGGGGGAAAACGAAAAACGGAGCCCAATTTTTAAAATATGCTTTATTAAAAAAAAGGAAAGCTGGAAATTTTCCGCACAACCCGGATCTTGACGGATTTATTTTTGAAAATTGAAAATTAGAATTGAAATTTTTAGGAAAATGCAAATATAGTATAACTGTGAAAATTGTTAATACTGACAATTCTACTGATATTATAGTAAAACGTGCCGGGTCCGATTGGCTCTTTATTGGGGGGTATCTTTTTCCGTATTTCCGACAATTTTACAATGTTATCCGTAGAATTACCGGTCCGATCGGGTTGATTCTGGAGCCGAATTATGTCGAATCCGATTGGTTTTGAGCTACCAGAGCATTTTATTTTATATTTAATATTTATTTTCCGTTCTTCAACCACTGATTTGAGGTTCAATCCAGATTTGTTTGCAGAATTACGATTTGTGCGAGGGCCTAGCGATTCGATGCCCGCTGTCGGGTTGCGGCGAGACGAGCGTCATTCGAGCGGTGTTCGATTTCGAATCGGACGCGTCGTCGCCGCGAATCCGTTTGTCGTCGTGCGCGAAATGCCAACGATCGTGGCTGCCCGAGTCGACAATGGCGATTGTCGCGAATCAGATCGATCGTCAACTCGGCGATTTCGTCGCGCGACACATGTCGGCCGGCTACAAATGCGACGAGCCGACGTGCGAGTATCGCACACGATTGCAGACGATGAAATGGTGTCGCGAGGGCCTTGAATGCGTCAAATGCTCGACGGGAATATTGCGAAAAGAGGTTGCGACGTCTTAATTACCACATAATTACCGCCCAATTTTTTGCAGTACACATCGAAGCAGCTATTCGATCAGCAAATGTTCATCCACACGCTTCTCGATGTCGAGAACGCGACAAAATCGATGGATTCGACGCAATTGAGTGAGCAATGACTATAATTGGTGATTATGAATTGAATTTGGCGAATTTCAGAATCGGCGAAAATGCGCGCGGAATTCGTTTGCGCGAAAGAAGCGCTATTGGACTTGAAAATGCACGTCGAGGAGAAATTCTTGAGGAAAAACGCGTACAATCAAGTCGATTTGTCATATATATTTGCGCCCATGCTGAAAATTCGTTGAATAAATTGATTTTGATGCAGATTTCTTTTTTTTTTCGAAATGCTTTCCTTGCGTTGATGTTGGATTTCATGCGTACATTTCAATGATCAAGTGTGTTGTTTTATTTTCTCTTTTTTTTGTGACGATTTGCGATGGAGGAGAGCAGCGTCGTTGAGGATTTCGCCGAGAATATCAATAAGAAGGTGATGAAGATGATTTATTCAAAAAAATTTTTTTTGTTGGTCCCTCAAAATTTGGGGGAGTTTGTGACCAATAAATTGGAATTTTAGCGATTTTTTTGTGACAATCTTTTTTGAATCGACTTTATGCGTTGTTTGGAGCATTTTTTCCATTAAAAATAAACAAATATGCGATTTTTTGGATGGAAAACTGTAATTTTTCGGAAATTTTCTAGTGAATTCCTCATTTTTTCAATAAAAATTGATTACGGGTTTTTTAAGGGTTTTTTTCTCCAAAATTTTCGATTCAATTTATCAAAAAAAAACTTTTGGGATAAATAAAATACCTATTTTCGATTTTTTGGGGTTTTCTCTGAAATTGTCAAATTCAAATTATCATTTTTTTTCTCGAAAAAATTTGATTTTGTAGGTCAAAATGGATTTTTTTAATGCCAAAAATTGAATACGTGGTAAAATTTTTCCAAAAAAATTATTTTTTTTTACAATTTTCTGCTTAAAAACGTCGAATGGATAATTTGCCCGAGTTTAGTACACATTTTTCGTTGTCGATGGGTCCGAAGCGATGTTCGAATCGACGAAAGACGCCGAATGCGATTTTCGCACCGCGTTGAAGGTTGTTTCGCACGCGAAATGCAATTGTATTTGTGGCAGATTTTGTGATTTTCAGCTCATTCTCGACGAGCTTATCAATATTTGCTGTCTGCCGACGCTCAACAATCAGATTGGCATCATTTTCACGAACACGGTACACAAATTGCGGCGGAGGGGGGGGGGGTGTTGAGGCGAAATTTCAAGGCGCACACCGTAAGAGCACACCAATGTCGAGTTTTTTCAGGCGAACTCGAACACGAAAAAGATGAACGGTGTCGAGAACGCCTACGTCCTATTCGCGATGTGCATTCCGAATCAAGAAATCGTCAACGAGATTCGCGAGTTGTGCGAAAAAGGTTTGTTTTTTTTCCGGCGAACGGTATGCGCCTTGAAATTCGTGTCGTTCCAGACGATCTGAAATCCGCGTTTTTGGAATTATCGAACGGATTCACCACATGCGATTTGGCCAGTGTGTTCACGTATTGTAAACGCGTATTTTCCGGGTATTTGCAATAATAATTAGAGGGGGGGTCCTTTTTTTGAACTCATTGAATAATTTTGTAGATTCTCGAACACTCGCCATCAATCGGTCATCTATTTCACGAATAATCGGAATCCGTTTGAACGAAACGATTTTTGGGAGTCGTCCTATTATGTAGGTGTCATCGTCGCGATTTTAGCTTATTCACAAAAAAAAAATTGATTTTTGGAAATTTTCAGAATCGCACGAAAGCGTCGGTGTCGAAAATCATCGGGCAGGGACAACGGAAAACGCTCGGCGAGTTTTCGGTGGTCCTTTTGCCGCAAAATTGCTATAAGCCGGAAAATCGCGACGAGTTGCGCAAAGAGCCGTGGGTACGTAAATTTTAAAGATCGCCTTCGATTCCCCCGTCGAATTGCAGTATCTTTTGGACGCGGAGGTGTTCTCGACGACCGTCGACGTTCATCGACGAATTCGTCAGAAGACGTCGGCGATTCGAAGCCACGCGAATGTGTCGCTCAACATTGGCGCCGGCGTCTCGTTTTGCGTCGGCGTGTTCGCGTTGGCCGCCGAAGCGCGACCGTTGCCGAGAACCCGCGAATATCTGAAGACGACCGAGCAGCCGATTGAGAAAAAGACCGTCTATGTCAGTGTGGACGAGGAGTTCAGCGAGGTTGGAGACGGGTAGAAAAAAAAAGTGAAAATTTCGCGAATTTTGACCCTAATATGCGGTTTTCCGCGCAAAAAAAACTAATAATTTTTGATTTTTTCAAGTCGGAAATATGAAAAATATGCCATTTTTACTAAAAATTAAAGGTTTCTGAACATTTTCATCGTGATTTTATCAGAAAATATTGTTGGCGTCACACGATTGCGGAAAATTGGTGAAATACCAAAAGAAGCAACGGCAGTGGTCATGGCGCACAACTAAAGGTGTAGATTTACGGGCCTACACGCACCGAGACCTCTTTTTCAACAATTTTCAACAGTCGCGAGAAAAAAAATGAAAAATGCTAGAAATTTCAGCCGGGATATTTTTTTTTCTCATCGATTTCCAGCCAAGAATTTCTTGATGAGCAATTTGATTTTTAAAATAATACCTGATCACAGATTGATAGTGACGATGGTGACGAACCTGTTTTCGAACGCGCCGAATTGAAGAAGGTGTGCAATATTGGCGGCGAGCGAATCGAGCTGTCGCGAAACGAGCACGAGTCGATGAGGAACTTCGAAGAGAAAGGCATCACGCTGATCGGATTTCGGCCGATTCACACGATCGACACCGAATTGTCGATTTGTCCGCCGAAATTTATACGGCCCGATGAGCAGGTGAGACGAGATATGGGCTAAAAAAAATGGTTTTAGAAAGGTAAAAAATTAAAATTGTTTTGAATATTGGCCAATTTTTGGCGAAATTTTAATGAGAATTAAAAAAAAACCGGAAAATTGCAATTTTTTCATGACGCAATTTCGACTAGAAATCTGAAATTTTGAGCTAGAAATGATTAATTTTCTTCTTTGATTTAATTTTTTCTACAAAACTGAAAAAAATTTTGATGAGAAGAAATTTTTTAAACCGAACAATTGCGAAATGGCCCATTTTCGCCGAAACGATCGGTTTTTGAGAAATTTCGAATGAAAAAAAATTGGAAATCACAAAAAAAATGAGAAAAACGGCTTGATTTCTTACTACATCTCTCCAAAAAAAATTATTTGTGTGCAGAATACGATCGGAGGAACTCGAATGTACCGCGCGTTGCTGGATCGATGCCACGCGCGGCAACAGGCGATGATTTGTCGATATCAGACGCGAGCGAACGAGAAGCTGAGATTGGTGGCGCTGATTCCGTGGAAATGGCAGCCAATTGAGATGGCCGACGGCAAACCGATGAAGGTGGTTTGGATTCGTCATTCTTCTCGACGTGACGATGATGGTCTTGGTTTCAGAAGCATCTTGACAGCATCAGAAGTCTTGCCGATGCCTCAGAATACATTCAAGAAGGATTCTACGTCTTCTTTTTGCCGTTTCGCGAAAAGGTTTGATTGAAAAAAAAATGACGATGCGATTCGAGTTGTCATGCTCTCAATAGGTTCGCGACGATTCGGCACGCCTTCAGGAGGGTCCGACGAACGGCGAATGGCCGGTGGCGAGCGCGTCCGACGTCGGAATCGCGGGGAACTTCATTAGCCGCCTGAAGATGTCGTACAATCCAGGATTCTACGAAAATCCGAGTTTGTGTGAACCGGAAAGAAAATTGAAAAAAAAATTGTGGAAAATTGTAGGGCTTTTGTCGGAAAAATCGGCACTGGCTGAACGCGCCACCGGCGAAATGGTCCTGCAACGAAGGGATACGCTTGGTTTGAATTTGGCGCCAAATTGAAATTTGATTTTTGTTGGTTTTGTGATTTTACAGCGCCGTATCACACGTTTCCGGAACGATTGGCGCGCGTTCAGGAGTCAATTGAGGCGATTGTTGGGAATTTCTCGCTTACGGAAGTCGATGAGAAGAAGACGAAGAAGCGAAAAAATGAGATGACGGAGATTTGCGCAAAAAAAGGGAAAAATATGGAGGAAAATGCGATGGAATTGTACAAAAATGGAAATGTTGGTTTGAAATTTGCTGAAAAATTGCATGATTGGTTTTTTTTAGCTTGCCAAATTGACCAAAGTGCAATTGGAAGAGGCGATTAAGCATTTTGGAAGCGATTTCAAAAAGAATGCCAAGAAAGCGGAATTAATTGAGATTTTAACGGAAATTTTGGAGAAGAATTTGTGAGAATAAATGATAAATTGAGAATTGTGTGCACAGTTTTGCAATTTTTTCACTTCTTTTGCAATAAAAATTAATTGAAGCCGAATTAGGGAAAAGGAGAGCGTCGAAAAATGAACGCCGGTTTTGGTCGGGCTCCGTTTTTAAATGACAAACCTGAATATGACATATTTTTAATGATGCTTTCAGGATACCAAAAAATCATCAATGGTCCAAGTGTGGGGTGGAGACGAGCAAAAAAAAGGCTCATCTAGATCGAAATATAAATCCTCAATAATTCTAGTAAAAAAAAAGGGGATTTTTTAAAGTTCCAGCGCATGACTTACGAGATTTCCCGATACTTTTGGGCGTGATCGATGGTGATTATATTTCTGGTGTGCAAAACAAAAATAATTCTGCAAATTGTCGTCATTCTTAAATACTACAATCATATTCTTTGAAAAATGACCAACCGAAAAATCGGGGACGCGAAAAAGCAAAATAATTAAAAGAATGAGGGTTTTTATAAAACGAGAAATTTGAAAAATGGCTAATTTTCGAGCTTCACGCGTTTTTTTTTTTCGATCGAACTCATCAATTTATAATTAATAGCCCACTTTTTTACTGGAACGGAAGCACGTTAAAGTGTAGCTGAAAGATTTGCGAAATAAAAAAAATTTTGATAAATTTCTTGGTTGCTATTAGAATCGCAATACCAACTCAAGCACTTTAAATAAAATTTTTTGAGAATCAAATATTCACTAATAAACTCTAAAATGTTATGAGAAATTCTAAATTTTCTTGATAATTGCTAAAACTAATTGAGATTCGATAAACTTAAAAATACTTTTTAAAGTCTTATGAGATCTATAATTTATTGAGCAAATTCCAAAATAACTCAATAAATTCGAAAATAATTTCATAATTTCTAAAGTTTATTGTGAAAAATCTTAATTATTATAGAACCTCTAAGAATCTTAAAATATTTTTTTCGATTTACCTGAGGAGGTCCGCAAGTACCCCAGGATGCTTGCTTTCGTTTGCAATTGTAATAATTTATTTGTCATAGTTGAAATCGGAGTACTGTTCATTCGCAGGGGTCTAAATGAGAACAGATTGAATTTTTTTTAAATAATTGATTACCTTGGCAATTTTGCGAGAATTTCAGCTCATCGCGGGCCACATTTTGCGAGGTTAACGTCAATTCTTCGGTTATATGACAAACAATGCTGAAAACGTCGAAAAATAAAATACGAAAGAGGAAAAAAATTATTATTTTTGAAATATTCGCAGGAGTTTGCAGCGAATTTGAAAAGTGTGCAATCACGGTCGCATGATGTTTGCGGACATGCATTTTAATCTACGCCAGAATATTTCAAAATTTCATGAGCTCATGAGAAAAAAGTCGCAAACTTTGGCATTTTTTTTTTCAAGCAATTCGATTTGCAATGAAGAAATGCGTCACTGAAAAGTGTGTTTGAAATTCAAATCGGACTATGAATATTTTCTATTGAAAAAGAGGGTTTTTATTTTATTCGAAATGATTTACCTATTTCGTGGAAAATTTGCGATGTCGGCGAGTCCCGAACAAAAAAAAGTTGGAAGAAATTAGCAAAAGGCTCTTTATGTTCATCACTCTCTCAAAATCTTTAGTTATTTTAATCGAACAATTCGAATTTCTGGCTCTAAAGAGGGTCTTTGGAAATTTGAGTTGTCTCTGAATACTTCTTTCGAGTTGCTAGATCGCAAAGACGGCGCCTGGTTGAGGAAGAATATCCTCGACCTGCGCGAGACAGTGTGCCGATTAGCCTGACTCGATCCTCCCGATGAAGGAGGACCGAGTCAGTTGATCTCCTTCGCCGCGTAGAGGCTCGACACTTGAAGGAGAGGCTCACCAGCATCAGGCCGAAACCTGATGTGGGTCATCGCCGATCCCACCATGGGGATCACCCAAGGACATCCCACAACTATCATCCGAGGATAATAGAAGTAGAAGTGGTTGGGCAAGCCACGTCTGGCTGGGCCCCGGGTCTACTGGTGATATGGTAATGTGGTTTTTGTGTTCTTAGCACAGAAGCTTACTACTAAGTACAGGGTGTCATTTAAGTTCCCGCACAAAAGTTTGACGCCATGAAGAGCTTGGCTGGCGCACTTTTCGTGCACCAATACAATTTATTTTTGTTAAATAAGGTATATTTTACTTACTTTCCAAGTTTCACCTCTTTCGGATGTGTTTCCGAGAAATGGCGAAGGCTAACATCCATCGCGCTTCCATTATCGAAGTTCATAAGCAAAATGTGAGCCCGAGAGACATCATTGAACGCCTCGCTGTGCCTCGTAGAACGGTTTGCGACACCATCAAACGTTTCAAGGAGCTAAATACGATCAGTGACCGTCCCAGACAAGGAAGACTCGTCTCAGTAACCACTCCTCAGAAGATCAACGCCGTCAAATCGAGGATCAGGCGAAACCCCCACAGGAGCATGAGAAAGATGGCGTCAGACGTGGGAATGAGCATCTTCGCTATGGAACAAATCGTCAAAACGAAGCTTGGACTGACCCCATATCGTGTCCAAAAAGCGGCAATTCTATCGGCCGTCAACAAGCAGAGACGCTTCGAAAAAGCAAAACAACTTCTTGCTCGCACGCAGTCTGGAGAACATCTCGTCACTGTCTTCTCCGACGAGAAGCTATTCACTGTGGAGACGGCATTCTACTCACAAAACCATTGAGTACTTGCCCAGACATCCCAGCAAGCTTCTGAGAAAAGCAGAACAATACATCGAGCCTCACATCCTGCCAGTATGATGGTTTTCGGTGCCATCTGCTCAACCGGGAAGCGCCCCTGGTTTTTGCAGATCAGGGGATGAAAATAAACAAAGAAGTCTACGTTCGGGACTTTTTAGAGGAGCATGTGATGCCCTGGACCCAAACGCATTTCGTTGGGCAGAAATGGGTCTTTCAACAGGACGGAGCACCCGCCCACACTGCCAAAACTACTCAGGAGTGGTGCCAGACCCATTTTCCCGACTTCATCAAGTCATCCGAATGGCCTGATTGGTCCCCAGACCTGAACCCGCTTGACTTCTCCGTGTGGGGTCTTGCAGGAGAAGGTCAACGCAAAACCCCACTCAAGTGTAGAGACTCTGAAGAAGACATTACTGGCGGAATGGCACAATCATTCCATCGAATACCTGCGTACCACAGTCGCATCCTACCCGAAGCGTCTCTGTGAAGTCATAGCTCCGAAAGGAGGCCGAATCGAAAAGAGTTAATAGATAAATATTTGTTATACTATAGATAAAAAATATTTCGAGTCTCGTTTGATTTGGACCTTTAGTTTCAGAAATATACGTCTTCAAAGTTGTGCGGGAACTTAAATGACACCCTGTACGTTCGGGACTTTTTAGAGGAGCATGTGATGCCCTGGACCCAAACGCATTTCGTTGGGCAGAAATGGGTCTTTCAACAGGACGGAGCACCCGCCCACACTGCCAAAACTACTCAGGAGTGGTGCCAGACCCATTTTCCCGACTTCATCAAGTCATCCGAATGGCCTGATTGCTCCACAGATCTGAAACCGCTTGACTTTTCCGTGATAGGGTCTTGCAGGAGAAGGTCAACGCAAAACCCCACTCAAGTGTAGAGGCTCTGAAGAGGACATTACTGGCGGAGTGGGACAATCTTTCCATCGAATACCTGCGTACCACAGTCACATCCTACCCGAAGCGTCTCCGTGAAGTCATAGCTGCGAAAGGAGGCCGAATCGAAAAGAGTTAATAGATAATTATTTGTTATACTATAGATAAAAAATATTTCGAGTCTCGTTTGATTTGGACCTTTAGTTTCAGAAATATACGTCTTCAAAGTTGTGCGGGAACTTAAATGACACCCTGTAAGTAGAAAAGAAATAGAGGACCTTAGAATGGGTTAGACTTAATTGTGAGGGGGGGGGGACAATTTACTTGTGGTGGTGAATCGATTCACCGGCAGCGTCCTTCCATCGGCGGCGGCGGCGATACCTAAACATAGAAATTAATACGTAGAATAGATTTAAAAAAAAAAAGAGGGTAAGCCAGTCATTAGTGGAATGACTGGCATGACCGTAAGTGGTACGGTTTTCCCCGAAGAAAAATGAGATGGTCCCAAACGGTAGGACCGAGAGAAAGAGAATCCCAAGTGGTGGGATAGAGAGTGGTAAGGCAGAGGGGAATCAGTCGACTGATAGAGAGAAGGGACAGTCGCAAGTGGTACGACTGGTGGGAGGTAGAGAGAAAGGGGAAGCCGGCTTTCCCCGAAGAAAGATGAGATGGTCCCAAACGGTAGGACCGGGAGGAAGTACAGACGTAAGTGGTACGAATGTACAGAGAGTAGAGAGGGAAGCCGTAAGTGGTACGACTGGTGCAAGTGAAAAAAATAATAAGTAAAAAAAATTAGGCCCGGGCCAAAAATTACCAAATACCCGACTTCTTTGCTCCTTCCTCGTCGCTTCCTCGAGCCGTCGCCTTCGATTAGATCCGATCCATGTGATCCGAGATTCCTGCAATGAATCGAGTTATTCCAATAGATTGTGACTCCTTTTTTACCTTTCGAATGAGCTTCATCGCTCTATTCGACGCCCCGGGCAGCATCGACCTTTCGCCATCTCCCAATCTTGCCCATCTTCCGCGATATGCCTACTCATGCAATGTGGGTTTAACGTCGTCCTGGACGCGTCACTGCAGTAGGGTTAGTACTGGCTGACCGAGTCGCACCAGTCGAGAATCCCCGACACTTTCAACAAATCACATCCGAAGAGCTCGAATGAGAAACGACTGTGGCTCTCATCGGGATCTGCAATACGAGGAATTGAGAAAATAATTGCGATGAATGTGACTTACCGAGTGGATCCTTGGCCACGACGAGCCCGCAGGATTAGCGAGCCACAGCCAGTCCGCTGGTTATGCGGGGCACGAGGAGCCCGCAGGTTATGCGAGGCACGTGGATCCCACATGAGACGCTGGCTGGCATCCCGCAACTCGAGGAGCTGCGAGAACTGACCAAATTGCGCATTCCGCCGGCCTTTTATAGTGCCACTGGGCGTCGATGCGAGATTTGCAATAGAGCGCGATTGTCAAAAATAACTGCCCATCGACGTCAAGTGACGGCTGACTCTCTCATGTTAGCACACTCTCTGCTCACAGACGCGCGTTCGCGATCGACGCTGATGTGCTGCTGTAGAGCGCGATTGCACAATCGAATGGGGGGGGACTTGGCATTGTGTTCTGACTAGAATGGAGCGCTCAAAAATTATTTTCTCTGGCATTCGTTCATGTTGAAAATCGTTGAAATCAAATGTTCGTATCGTTTGAGGCGTAATGAAGCTTTGAAGAAAATTTAAAAGAAAACTAGTGTGCCCAGAATTCTTATTCATTTTTGCCAAATTCAGATTCCTACTTTCCTTGAGCTCATCGTCTGGAACATCAATGAGGGTTGGGGGGCTTTTCCATCGAAGTCACCGCTTTTTCTCGTCCTTCCTTCAGTCTGACCAAAAAAAAAGAATAATTTCTAATTGCTTAATTAATTAGCTAATTAACGTCCTATCGAGCGTTTTTCAAGGCATCCGGAAATCGGCAATTCCAGATTTTTGAGAGCGTTTCAAATATGATCACCAACCCCCAATCAATCCCAATTCTTCTCTGCAATCTTTATTTAATCAACAACCAAAAAAAGCAACAAGAGCACAAGAATTGTAACAAACATAGAAAAAAAATATATATAAGTACGATTTGTAAATAAAATGTCAATATTTTGATATCTGCGAACATCTTTTGATTAGTTGGAATATTGATTCTGATTCGAGAAGCCGTGCCATGTTTGGAGAGGCGTACGCGGCACCCACGACCACGACGGTGTCGGCGGCGCGATGCCATCGGGCACACTCGTGCTCCAATTGCCGCCGTCGCACATCGCACGCATCGGGCGGCTCATCAATGGCACTGGAGCTGACGTCGTCATTGATGATGGTGCCGGTGGTGGTGGTGGTGGTGGCGGAAGAAGAGGCGGCACCATATATTGCGAATGGTGTTGGTATTGTTGAAGCCATTCGGCGTTGAATTGTTGATGTAGTATTGTTGACGGTTGGGTGTAGGGCGCATGGTGTTGGTGGTGGTGGTGGTGGTGATAGTGGTGCTGCAGTGGCGGCGGCGGCGGCGGCGGCGGCGGCGGCTGTGGTGTGGGTTTAGTCGGCAAGTTTGAGAAGAACTGTTGCGCGTTGTTGGGTTGCGCGTTCGGCGCAAACTTGGATTGATAGTTCATCTGAAACGAGATTCTCGATTATCAGACAGCATTGGGAAGGAGAAAAAATGGATTTGTCAACAAAAAATAGCGAATGCGATGATTGAATATTGCAAGCAATATTTGGAATTTCGCGCTTAAAATGAGAGATCAAAAAAAAATTTTTTAACAAAATTTAATTTAGACAATTAAACAGGTCTAAATTGGGCGCCGACTCCATTTTTTTGCTTTTTTTTCAATTTTCTTTTTTTTTTACCAATTAATTATGATAGAAATTGTGGTGCTTCATTGAAATTCAGATCGCATTAATTAATTTCAATAAAAATTATGGGCAAAATTAGAAATAAACAGCGACAAAAAAATTAATTAATTAGAAATTCGCTCTCTATTATCCGGCTTGTAAAATTTTTATTTTTATTTTTTGATTTTACTTTTTAAAGGTCTTATGAGATTTTCGATAATTTATTGTGCAAATTCCAGATAAATTCTAAAATCTTATAATAATTTTGAAAGTTCAAATCTCAAATTTTTAATTTTTTTTTTGAAACATTTTTTTCGTTTTAATTTTTAGAAAATTAGTGGCACTGTGAAAAACATGGCCGTGGCCGAGATTTTCGCATTTTTTCTCTTCTAGATGGCAGGGCTCTGATTTTTTTTTTCGATTCTTCGAAAAATGACGAGTTTGTGAGAAATTCGAAAAATGCGTTGTGTACTCCACACGGACAACGCATCACTAAACAATCTAAAATCTAAAAAATTCGAAATGATGGCCGAAGAATTCGCGGCCGCGGCCGCGAGCGAGCAACTGGCAAAATAGGCAGAAAGACTCAATTTTTTCTCATTTTATTGGATTTTCACAGACAAATTCAAAACAATTTATGATTTTAACGGATTTTCCACATTCAAAAATCGATTTTCTTCAACCACTTGAACATTCTGCTCGATAATTGTCAATTGTGTAAACCGAATCGTGAACGCGATGGCCGCAAGAAATTCGAAAAATCTGAAGCAACGTCATTTTTCGGCGTCGAATGCGATTGCCAAGAATGATCGAGATCGGAACGACCATGCCTATAAAAAAAAGAAGCAGTTTGAATAATTATAGTCGATTTCTGAAAAAAAGGAAAACGCTTTTTATGGTCCCATGGTGCGAATTGAAAAGGAAAGGCTGTTTGCTGTTTTCTCTTCTTTTTTGCGAGTACACGGCTCGCCACAACTCTCGCCACGGCCTAGAAAAATTGTCCTCAAAAATCAGGTTCGGCCACGGCCACACTTGACGGATTAGTTAATTTAATTAAGTAAAACTAAATGAATTTATATATATATATTTTGTGTTTTTACGATTTCAAAAACCAAAAATCAAAATAAAAGGCACAACTTCGTGAAAATGAGAGAAAATCGTGAGTAATACATAATTCTAAAAATCAGCCCCGTGGTAGTGTGCCGCACTTGCATTATTTCTCAGAATTTGTGTGCCGCACTTGCATTTTCATTTTTCAAAATTTCTCAACCAATTTTTTTGTGCAAAAATTCTCTCATTCCTTTTTATTCCCATCAAGTGTGGCCGTGGCCGAACCAAATCAAGGTCATTTTTTCTAGGCCGCACGTGCATTGCAGCCAGCGGGCGAATGTCGCCAGACGCGTTGCGGTTCGCGTTTTTTCACAAGGTCTTAGCACCAAGTGTGGCCGTGGCCGAACCAAATTCTCAAAAGCATTTTTTCTAGGCCGCATTGCTCTGATAGTTGAAAATCAATTTACATAAAGGCTGCGCCGATGCGAATCGAATAACGGTGAACAACAATAGTTTATCAACAATAGTTTATCGTCGTTTCTGTCGATTTCGGTGTGGGCCATGATTCGTCCGACGGCGGTGATCTGCAAAAAAAATTAGAGTTGAGCGATTTCAACCGAAATGCCGAGCACCATTTGAAAGCAGACAATCGGAAACGCCTGTTTGACGACGGAAAAATCGATGGCGCACTGTTGCCGATTGAGAATGATGAGAAAATAGGCGGCCATCGTGAGCACGATGAGAATCCATTCGACAATCGGCTCGACGTAGAAGGCGACGAGCGAAATTGGCGCCTCATCGACTGCGTCGCTTCCCATGACGAGCACATATCGGCTCGAGAGAGCCGCCAGCGAAATGAGCCACGGAATCGAGCACGCGAATATCAATGGTCCGAACCAGCGGATTGTCTCGTTCAAGAATCTCGATTTCCAGAACGCCATTGAGAGCTGATTGAGGCACAACAGGAAATTGGTGACGGCGATCAGAATCGGATACGAGGTTGTCATTAGCAACGCGATTATTGGCAGAATATAGCTAGGAAGAATGAGGGTCGCGATGACTGTTAAAGTAGTTAAGACCACAAATATTATGCTTAGCATCATTATAATGAATAATAATGGATAATAGGGTTGCTGGAAAAAATCTTTTTTTTTCTCATTTGAATTCCCTAAAAAATTGACGCGCTATATCGTAATTCTCCACTATTTATTTTTAAAGGCGCACGCGAAAAGTTGGCGCGGGTCACGTCGCGAAGTCGGTACTGTATTTTTTTAATGGCTGTTTTTTTTTTCGAGTTTTCAGTTTTTAAAATTTTTTTTTTGAAATCTGTAAAAGTAAAGATTCATGAGCAGTGTATCTATCCGAGACAGGTTTTCCGGGGAAATCTCGGGACTTGAGTCCCGCGTCTTGTCGCCTAACTACCCGAGATTTCGAAATCGCGGTATTCCGCGGAAACAGTCTGCAAACACCGCGCGCGCGCAAATGCACACTTTTCGAATATTGCGTACTCTTGAGCATCTCACAACGTCGCTCTTCTCAACAGGACCATCAAAAAAATAAAACATCAAAACAATTAAATCACTTAGATTTGAATATGTTCGGAATCAGAATGAAAAAAAAATCAATAAAAAGAAAAAAAAAACTCGAATTCGCAATATTCGAAGAGTGTGCGTTTGCGCGCGCGGTGTTTGCAGATATTTTCCCAGGAAATTAAATTGCAACGAGTCCCGGGTCCCAGGTAATTTTTCCCGGAAATCCTCGTCACCGGGTAGATACAGTGCTCATCAGAAGCTTCATCGAGCGAAGTCTGCATCAAATCACCACAAATATCGCAATTTCTCATAAAAATTGGTGTCTAAATGACGAAAAAATCGTTGTCCCAGCGCTGACGACTTACGGATCAGAGACTTGGACCATCACCAAAGCTTTTGCCGAGAGAGTCCGAATTAGTCACGCTGCGTTTGAGAATTATCACAGCAACTTGGACAAGAGGGAACCAACCGCATCATGTCTAAAGTTCGGGACCCCCTACACCACATCACGAAGAGGAAGATGACCTGGGCTGCTAGAAGAACAGATGGATGATGGGCTACTCTTCTAACGGAGTGGCGGCCGTGGAATTGGACCCGGCCAAGAGGAAGGCCTCCCATGAGATGGTCGGACTCGCTTCGGAAGGAGATCACTACAAGAACAGCTGAAGGACCCTCTGGTCCACCCAAGCCAAAGACCGAAAATCTTGGAAAGCTGTGGTTCGCGCCTCAACAGGCGAAGGACGAACCGACTAAGTAAATAAGTGATCTAAATGACGAAAAACGGACATATATTGTCTAATTAGGAATAATTATACCAATAATTGGGTTTTCCCTTTTTTTCCCAATCCATTACCTATTTCTTCTTCAAAGTTTTTGAAAAATTCGGAAAATAGCATAGAGAATGAAAATTAGGAAATTACAGTATCGACTTCGCGACGTGACCCGCGCCAACTTTTCGCGTGCGCCTTTAAAAATCAATAGCGGAGAATTACGATATATCGCGTCAATTTTTAAGGGAATTCAAACGAAATTGTTTTTCTCAACTTCTCTCACCTTATATTCGAAGCGAATCGTGTTCAGAATCATTGTGAATAGGCAAAAATTGAAATAGAATCCGGCGGTGTTGAAACAAATCGACCATAGGAGAAATACGTAAATCCACGGGCTATACATTAAGCGATTCGATTGGTTTTTGATGGTGGCGAATAAAAAATCGAGACGAAATTGAGATTCGAATAAGACAGCTGAAAAATTGTGAGGTGGCAAAAATTGATTTCGAATTTTTATGGTGCGTTTCTCAAATGGAAAAAAAAATCATCAAACGAATTCCAGAAACCCATTTTTTTTCTCGCCATTCTTCGATTAATTCAATTATTTATTCGAATTGCACAATTTTCACGCAACTTTCTTGATATTCGAAGATCAAAAAAACATTTGGATTTTAAATTGAAACAACCAGTTCGGTTCGAGACCATTGCGATAGAGGCACTTCGTAAATCTACAATAATAGCAGGACGCCGAAAAATTTTTTAAATTAAATTTATTTTATTTGAATTCCCTAAATTGACGCGCTATACCGTAGTACTCGCTATTTAAAGGCGCACGTGAAAAGTTGGCGCGGGTCACGTCGCGAAGTCGGTACTGTAATTTTTTATTTTTCATTCTATCTGCTATTTTTCCGTATTTTTCGACAACTTTGAAGACAAAATGAGTAACGGATTGAAGGAAGAAAAAAATGAACCTTTCGCGTTGAAAAAAACCAAATATTTTTACAGATTTCCAAAAAAAAACGTTTTAAAAGCTCAAAGAATAAATAATTTGCAAAAAAAAACAGCCATTAATTACAGTACCGACTTCGCGACGTGACCCGCGCCAACTTTTCGCGTGCGCCTTTAAAAATAAATAGCGGAGAATTACGGTATATCGCGTCAATTTTTAAGGGAATTCAAATGAAAAAAATTATTTTTTTTTAAATTGTTTTGTCATTTCCATTAAAGGAATTCTCGTTCCAGAAACCCTATTATCCAGGTCCGTAATTATTCAATTATTTTGCAGCGAAATATTCTGGAGGTTTTTTTTTTGGCGAAACACATGTCGATTTTCTCAACAACGAGCCTCTAAATTAATTCGAATTTTGATTTTTACTTTTCAAAACGCATAAGAAATTGATTTTTCCAAAGAAAAAGACGACGAAAAAATTTTCCAATAATTATAGGCTCATTTTTCAATCTTAAAAAAAAGCATAATGCAGATTAAATAATATTTTTATGATTTTTGAGGTTAGGAGTGTATAATTTGACGCCAACGCGCAAAATTTTCAATTTTCGAAACTCGAAAAAATAAAATTTTCGTTTTGAAAAATTTTTGAATCGTTTCCCAATTTTCCGCGAATAACTATAAAATTCGTCAAAAAAGAAAAATGAATGAAGATCGAAGAGAAAATCATCAAAACACACATACACACTGACGCAATTTTGCACACATTTCGTTGAACAAATATCAATTTTCTTTGAAAATGATTACTTTTAAAATTTGCGAGCTGAAATCGAAGAAAAATAAGGTGTGCGTTGCCATTTTCGCATCATTTGATTTAAAAAAAAATAATAATCGTTAAAAGAATAAAAAATTCAAAATTTTGAAAAAATATTATGGACCTATTAATGCAATGAAAAAAATTTAAAAAAAAAATCAATTTTTAATTGACGCAATATATCGTAATTCTCCACTATTTATTTTTAAAGGCGCACGCGAAAAGTTGGCGCGGGTCACGTCGCGAAGTCGATACTGTAAATTTTTATTTTAGGAAATGAGGAACGGATTGAAAAAAAAAACTAATTAATGGTATAATTACTCCTAATTAGACAATATATGCCTATTTTTCGTCATTGAGATACCAATTATTATGTGAAATTGTGATTTTTGTGCTGATTTGATGCAGACTTCGCTCGATGAAGCTTCTGATAAATTTTTAACGTTGATTAAACAAAATACTTTTACAGATTTCCAAAAAAAAACGTTTTAAACGCTCAAAAAATATGAAATTCGAAAAAAACGGTCATTAAAAAAATACAGTACCGACTTCGCGACGTGACCCGCGCCAACTTTTCGCGTGCGCCTTTGAAAATCAATAGCGGGGAATTACGGTATATCGCGTCAATTTTTAAGGGAATTCAAATGAAAAAAAAACTGATTTATTTATTTTTTCTTTTTTTCATTGCATGATTATGTGCGCGTACACTAAAATGCTGGGTACGCAAACACGCACTCATTTCACTGCACACCTTCATTTGTAGTAAAGGCTCAATGCAGAGGAGAGAAAAAAGGAAATTAAAAAAAAGCGTGTTTCGCCTCGAGACCCGTCGAATAAATAAACGGCATGCGCCTTGAACTGCCATTATTTGCGCGTTTCGTCAAAAAATTGAAAATCCAACAAAAAATCCTGAAAATAAAGCGCTTGACTCAAAAAAAAAATGAATACGATAATTTTAGACGCATACCGTTTATTTATATGATGGGTCTCGATGCGAATCAAGACGCAAAAAAGTTTTTTCTCCTCAGAATTGAGCCTTTATTATTTTAAGCGAACAAAATATAAAAAATATCAATATTGGCCATTTTCCAGAGGTGTGCGCCGAGATGAGCGCGTGTCTACGTACCGAGCATTTTAATGTACGCGCAAAAAATATTTTCCAATTTCTTTAGATCTACAATAATTTTAATATTGTAATTCTCAATGCATTTTATAGTAAATCAATTTTGAAAATAATTAAAAGGCATAATTAGCAATACCCTCAACACCCCTAATTCTTCCGTCTCAGACTATAATTTTGAAAATTGTTTTTCCAATTTTCTTTTTAAAATTTTCAATTTTTTTAAAGCAACAATCATCAACTGATATTTTCATGATCAGAAATGGCTTATGACAAATTCACGCTAACTATCTTCTGGACCATTCTGCTTCTTCAATTAATTGCAATTTACGTCAACGCCTCCCTAATTATCATGATTATTCGAACAATCAAATTGGAATACACGGTAGAATCGATTGAGAGGAAAAATTGAGAAAAAATTTCAGAAAACTTACTATCCACTCCTATTTATTATGATGCTCTTAAATATTTTCTTCGTGATATTGTCGACCAGTGTGATCGTCGGCATCGCAATTTTACCCGATGGCTACACATTCGTTGGATTCTGTTTGATGCTCGGACCATCATATCCCACCTTCATCGCCATCCTCGATTTCATTTTATGCGCCCATCGGGTTTCTGTGATGTTCTGCGAATCGGAATTCTGGAACGAGAAAATTCGATGGTACGGACCATTAATATTTTTGGTGTTGACACCGTTCGTTCTACTATTGACGGCATCATCAGGAATCTTCTCAGTTTCTTATTTTACCGAATCGGCGGAGGATAACGTTGATTTATTTGTATCGATATTTGGCTATTATGGCGAGCTTTTCATCAAATTGACTATCGGAGTGCTTCCATTTTTCGGCTATTTATCGATTCTGCTCAAAATGCGAAGCCATAAAAGGAGACTCAACCAATCCGTCGATTATACAGTCATCAAACAAGCGTTTCCAATCGCCTGCTTTCAATTGGTAAGCACTGTTCGATCGGCACTCTCAATTCAAATTTCAGATCACCGGCATACTGAGTTTAGCACTCCATATCGCCTTTTATGGAACAGACAATGCGTTTCTCATATCGTTGGTGATAAAGCACGTTTTTGGGCAGCCTCTGTGTAATTCGAGGTGCCGATTTCGACGAATCTCTCTCCAGAATTGCAGGCATCGTTGTGCCGATCTCGATTCTTCTCGGCAACAGCACTCGTCGCGAGAAGATGCCGTTGTTGTTCGTCTGCCGATGCGGCGTCGCCAACAATGTCCAAGATTCCTTAACATAGTATCTCCGGCGACTGCTGTAGGCGGGTAGATTTACGCGCATGCGCCTTGAAAAGGTCTCGCCACGCGTTTTGCTGTTTTCACATAAACCGTTTGTTTTTACTTGATGATGAATTTGGCATTTCTGGAATTTCCAACTAAAAAATTATCGAACCGGACCAGAAAATACAAAATACCCAGTTAGTCCGTGCGAGACCAAGAGAAAGACGCATGCGCGTAAATCTACCCGCATACGCCAGTCGCCGAGCAAATATTGAAAAAAGGAAAAAATAACGTAAGAAGAAAGCTCTTCGGAGTCAACGCACTCGGTCTCACTGTTATGATTCCTTTAGATTTACATGTAAAAAAGATTGAATATCGACGTCTCAAAGTATGTGCTTCGTCAAATTGCGGTACGGAATGGTACGAAAACACGGAAAGAGCGACCAAAAATGCGGATCGACGATATCAATGCATCCTAAGAATGTTTATTGGTCAACAAGGAAAAGCTCGACGTTGAACACGACGACTTGCTTAAAAGAATTAATCTGTTGCCCCCCCCCCCCTTGAGACACACCGTCGGTTGACCCCGAAGAGCACGTTGCTCTCCGTATATGACGTTTCAAACGCCGCCTTGAATTTGAGACGTGTGTTTCAAAAAAAAAAAGAATTCTTATTTCTATTTCAAAAATTTCAGCTGCTCATTGATGACCTTTTTCAGAAGAGTCTGGAGAGAATTGCCGACATTGACGTACGAATTTATTGGCGTTTGGCCTCATGCTGCCCGATTCTGGTAGTCGTTTCGTTCTTCTCTAAACCAAGATTCACAGGGTGCGCCTTTAAAAATGGTCTCGCCATGTGTGACTTGATGATCATATAATCTCGTTGAATACAATTGTCGGAATGTCCTCGAAAATGCAAAAAAGAGCCAGTTTCAGCCGATCGGTGCGAGACCACAGTAAAGGCGCATGCACGTAAATCTACCCGCGTATAGCAGCTGTCGCACGGATGCCCAACTATTGATTTAATTAATATAAAGTAAAAATTTGAATTCAGTGGTCCATGAATGGCTACGGCCCCCTCAAAAAAATAGGGACCCTCAAAAATTATAATTTTGCGTTTCGACTTCGCGCGATTGGCCAAACGCCAAAAAAATTTGGCAATTATCTTTTGCGCCTTTAATCAATCTTAATGTCCTTAAATCTACACCTCTAGTTTCGCTCTGGTGGCATTTTTTGGCATATCGCCAATTTTGGTGGAGATTCGCGCCCAAAAATTCTCTCAGGTAACACGATTTTTTTTTCCGGATGTCATCGGGCGATTGAGTCAAAAATAAAATGCATTTTTTTATCGATTATAACTTAATTTAAAAATGCTATGCTCTTTTTTTTGTTCATTCCTGAGCGATTTTTGAGATTTTTTGTCTCAAAATGAAACCAAAATGTCATGTAGTTTCCGTAAAAATTGTCAAAATGGATTTCCGGCGGCTCGGAGGTCATATTTTTCTTTGTGGAATTGTAACACGAGAAATTTCATTGTGAACATCTGCGGACATTCTCCGGGATGCTAGACAATATCCTGGTAGTTGTTCGAATTCGGGTCCTATGGGGTCCCCGGCCCCTCAATGGTCAGGGTCGCACCACAAGGGACCCCATAGGACCTGACCTCAAACAACGACCAGGCTATTGTCTGATGTTATATTTCGAAGCTCACATTTTTCTAAAAAAAAAAATTTTTTTTGAGGGGGCCGTTTAGTTTTTGGGACCAATTTGACAAAATGCAATGGTCAAACGCATTTAGAATTTATATAGTTTTCCTTTTGATAGATAGCTAAACCTAGTACGATACTCCAATTACACGTAGCCCTCAATTTAGCAACCAAAAAGGCCCCCCCCCGTTCGTCTCGTTGATTATATAATAATGAAATTGGATTTTCGTTTTCAGATATATCAAAAACTAGAGGTCCCATCAAAATTAGCAAGTATTGGCCAAAAGCTTTGCCGATTTGGCGGGAGTCTCTTTCAAGCTTCCTCAAACAAATAATTTTATGATCAAAGATGTCTTATGAGACCCTGCAGCAGACTATTTTCTGGGTGGTTCTGCTCCTTCAATTAATTGCAATTTACGTCAACGCCTCCCTAATTATCATGATTATTCGAACAATCAAATTGGAATACACAATAGAATCGATTGAGAGGAAAATTTGAGAAAAAATTTCAGAAAACTTACTATCCACTCCTATTTATTATGATGCTCTTAAATATTTTCTTCGTGATATTGTCGACCAGTGTGATCGTCGGCATCGCAATTATACCCGACGACTACACATTCATCGGATTCTGCTTGATGCTCTGATCATCATATCCCACCTTCATCGCCATCCTCGATTTCATTTTATGCGCCCATCGGGTTTCTGTGATGTTCTGCGAATCGGAATTCTGGAACGAAAAAATTCGATGGTACGGACCATTGATATTTTTGGTGTTGACGCCGTTCGTTCTACTATTGACAGCGTCATCGGGCGTCTTCTCAGTTTATTATATTACCGAATCGACGGAGGATAGGTTTGATTCATTTCTGTCTTTATTTGGCTATTATGGCGAGCTTTTCATCAAATTGACTATCGGAGTGCTTCCATTTTTCGGCTATTTATCGATTCTGCTCAAAATGCGAAGCCATAAAAGGAGACTCAACCAATCCGTCGATTATACAGTCATCAAACAAGCGTTTCCAATCGCCTGCTTTCAATTGGTAAGCACTGTTCGATCGGCACTCTCAATTCAAATTTTAGATCACCGGCATACTGAGTTTAGCACTCCATATCGCCTTTTATGGAACAGACAATGCGTTTCTCATATCGTTGGTGATAAAGCACGTTTTTGGGCAGCCTCTGTGTAATTCGAGGTGCCGATTTCGACGAATCTCTCTCCAGAATTGCAGGCATCGTTGTGCCGATCTCGATTCTTCTCGGCAACAGCACTCGTCGCGAGAAGATGCCGTTGTTGTTCGTCTGCCGATGCGGCGTCGCCAACAATGTCCATGATTCCACTCAACAAAATCCAAGCTCCTTAACAACAAATGTTTAAGATAAAAAGGAAATAATGAATGAAAAGTTTGTTATTTTGGTACAAAAATTCAATTGATCGAAAATAAATTGAGGGCGACGTGTAAATGGAGTGTTGTACTGATACAAGAGGTTTTTTTTCCACGTGGCGGTTCGTCCTTTTCGAATCACTGAGCTATTAATGTGTGCAATTTTGCGGGAAGTGTATGCTATCGTCACGAAGGAGACAATTTCGAATTATAATTGTGTTTCCGAGAAAAAATGAAGGCTAGCCGAATCAATTCCGTCTTCCGTGTTGATCTGGTCGACAATCATGTTGCTAGACACAACTCTTCATTAATGTGCGCGTCTTCGACAATGTCAAAAAATAAAAATGATTCAATATTGAAAATGTTATCAGGAGCCGAAAACACGCACATATTTTTGACGGTATACGGTACACACTGCGGTGAATGCACACACACACTAGATGACGCCCATTTGCGGAATTTGAGAAAGTTGTCGTTTTTGAGTTATTGATTGATATTCTTGTGTTGTTTCGTAGTTACTCAAGTGATAGCGAAACTAGCTATTATTTTTTGTATATTTACTTCGTATCTATTTTGTTCTTAATTAGATATTGCCGATTTGTTGTGCGTTCATCGTAGCTAATTCAAAATTCTAGATAATTTCATAGTATATACGTGGACAGAAAAAAAAATCCCGAAATCAGTGGATTTTGAGAAATGTTAAGGTTTTTTTTTCTTTTTTTTTAAATTACTTGATTTGATTATTAATCGAAAGTGTCGCTTTTCTTGCTTTTAATTTCACGTCGTTCATCAAAAGCAGAAGGGGGAAACTCAGAAAGAGCGATGAAGGCCAAAGAAAAAATATTTATTCTCAAAAAAGGAACAAATCAATATTATTGAGCGACTTGTTGCTGTTGCTGCGCCGCCGGGAGATGGATGCCACCGAGGCTGATGAGCGGCGGACGGAACATGCGTGGAATGCTCTTCAAAAACCCACCAATCATTCTCCAATTGAATTTTTTGCGCTCGAGACGCAAGTTTTGACCATCGTAATCATCGTCATTTTGGCCTTCATCGGATTGTTTGAATGGCGCGAATTTTCTATGGATCTCGTTGCGTCGGAAACTGTCTTCTTCCAGGTAGATGGACATACAGATGATTGGCTGAAAACTCTTATTTCAGAGAAAGTGAAATTGAAGAAACTCACAAGAATGACTAGGAGAAGAATGAGAAGACGCATGTTGGTATTATCGACAATCCGAGCACCATATTTGGGGGTCCTTTTATGGTGCTGGCGATCACTAATCGAATCATCGAATCATCCAATTATCAATTTCATCGATTTCGATAAAAATTCTAAATATTGAATTTTTGGGCGATCGATTGAATGTACAAAAAAAATCTGGAATTTTCAACCGACATATTTTCAAAAAGACGAAAAAAGGAATAGGTATTTTTAAAATAGAAAATTATGAATATTATATTTACTTAAAACATATTTTCTTTAAAATAATAGAAAAAAATATAAAATTAGAAAAGCCGTACCGTAACTTTAAAAAGAAGACGCATGACAACGAATTATCTCACGGGTCTCGCAGTTTCCCTTTAATTACTGTCGTCACTGCATTTTTTTAAATAATTTTTTTATTGCATAAATAGGTTCATTATTAGTTAAATTTAAAATGTTTTGCAGACATTTCGGCTGTTTACACGATTTTTTTCCAAAATTCTCGGCATTACGTAATGTTATTAACCAGCTTCGATTTTCAATAAACTATTTTTTTTTTAATTTCAAGCGCAAACTCAATATTTTCGCAATTCTTTGCAGCAATTCAATTAAACTTGCAGTTTTTCATTTCATTTTGTTATTATTTAATTTCTGCTGGCTCTTATTTTATGAGAATTCTTCTCTTCTTCCCAACATCCTATTAATTCGCCGTCTGGGCTCTCTATTTGGCCCACGAGGCGCCTCTCTCTATCGGTGGCCTAGGAAAACATCGTCCATCGTTGAGAAATTCGCCGGCCGCGCGCAAGCGCCAACATTTACGCGATTCCTTCCCTCTCCGTCACCTCTCCATCTCCTCGCAACTGTTCAGGAATCCACGAACCGCGACGATGGTTTCGCGAAGCAAGAAAAAAAACGAGCGACGATTTTCGCCGAACGCGACGCGAACACGGCGGATTTTCGTCGAATCGATATCAGCCGTTTTTTTTTTCGTCGTTCGCTTTCTTTTCTCTTCTGCCTGCCTGTGTATGTATGTGTACGCGTGCGTGCAAGCGGCGTTTCGCCCGGATAAATGCGACAATTGTTCGCGCCAAACGATTTCTTGTTGGAAATAATTGATAAAAGTGCGTTATTTTGAGAGCGCCAATGATATGTCTTGTTGTCACCCTTCCCGAAGTCCACCGTTTTTTTTTCCATAGCTATTTCTCGCTTCCTATCCGTTTTACTTTCAATTCCCTCGTCTGGAATCGCTTTTCATTTATTTTTTGCCGGTGTAAAACCGTGAACTCTGGCTTCTAATTGATTTTTTTCCTCCTAAAAATAGTCGCTTACGTAAACATCTCGCTCGTCGAAACCCGTTTTGTTTAGAAAAGAGAAAGACAGAAAAAAAAGCAATATGCATTATTTTTTGTTTAGATGAATGTCCCCTTGGGCGCAAAAAAGGAGAAAGGGGAACGACCGGATATCAAGTTTGAAATCGATTTGAAAAAACCTAGCAAAACCAAATACACCGAATTCAACTATGATGATTATAAAAGAAATAATTTGGTGAGGGCGTCTTTTTTTTTTGAACACGTTTCAACGTTTTATTGATTTTAGGAGGATGAGGATGAATTTCGACCATTGCCGAGCGATGTTGAAATGGTAAAAAGATTAGAGGAAAAATATGGAAAGGTTTGACAAATCTTCCTTATAATAGTCTTTTTTTGTATTTTTAGAAGAAAAATAAGAAGCGAAAACGCCCGATTTTGCATGAAGACGATTTTATTGATAAATCTAGCGGATATGATGTTGAGGACACTTTTATTGATGATAGTGAAGCGGTACACATTTTATTTCCCAATATATTTATATTAGTTCTCTCATGTTCAGTTTGATGAGCTTGTGCCATCTAGTATGGAAACCGCGAAAGGCGGATTCTACGTGAACAAGGGACCATTGGAGTTCAAGCAAATAACGGGATCGAGCGATGATGAGGATGACAGTGATGTCGAGGAGACGAAAAAGTCGAAGCAGATCGAGAGCGATTCGGATGAGGAAATGGATGATGAGAATGATGTTGAGAATGGGAAGAAGGCGAAGGAGAAGAAAGAGATGCCGAGAATGACTGGAGCACCGCCGACCAAGGTATTTAATTGATTAGTTAATCATTCGATTTAATTGAAATTTATTTCAGCGAGTTATGAATGAGCAGGATAAGGCGAATGAGGCGAAACGCAAAAGGCTTACTGGAATGCCGCCGACATTGAAGAAACAATCGATAACGGGATGTCCGCCAGTTTTGGAGAAGATGAGGTAATTGGGAAGCAAATTTTTTGCGGAAAAGCATACCGAAATTAAGTTACAGCAAAGCTGCGTCGGCTTCGCCGCTTTCGACGGCTTCTAAAGAAGCCACGAAGCCGGTGACGTCGAGCTCTTCATCGAATCTAAGCAAACTTGAAGAGGCTTCGAATAAGAAGGTAGGATTATGAGCGTGTCAATTTTACAATTTTTCGACCAAAAAATTGAAATTGTATTCACAGTTTCATCATTTCACTGCAAAAAAATTGAATTAAAGTTTTTGCATTAAAAAAATTTGTGAGGTGACAATTTTAGATGCACTTTATTTAGAAATCGCCACTACCTCCAACTCTTGCTAAAGAAGCGCCAATTCAAATCACTCAGAATCATACAAGCACGAACCAATCGAAAGGAACCAATGGAACGGTAAAACGCATCCGAAAATTGCGCGGATTCGAGATTTTCAAGTTTTTTTTAGAATGTTGGCAATCTCAATGATCAAATGTTGGTCATGGCTGCAGCGATGATTAAAAAGCAGCAAGAGCAGGTGTTGGCGCAGGCGCAAGCGCAAGTTCAGGCTCAGGCTCAAGCGCAGGCTCAGGCTCAAGCTCAATTCTTGAAGACGATCGCGTCGGTCGCCGCGTCGCCGCAGGTAACTCAACCTAACACATTCGAATTGAATTTGAATTTCGCTGGCTCTCGGCATAATTGATTGAATTTGAAGCCTTTAAAGGCGCATGCAAACACTTTACAGAAAGCCGCAACAACTAGTACGGTGCCACAAGTGCTTTCCAACTTGTTGAACGATGTTGAGAGAATGGTAAAAGAGTTGAAGGATTCCGGAAAGAAACGCCTACCGGACTCGATTATAGACAAAGCTATCAAGTAATTCATTTTTTTTTCAATTTTCAAATGAGTTTGACTTCGAAATTTTCAGAATTCTTGATTTATGTGATGAAATGAATATAACGAAAGCCGAGAAGAAGCGAGTTAAAGAATTGCTATCGATTAAAGCTGATGTTCACTATTTGACGTTGAAGCATCGCGTTGAAAGCCGGCGAAATGTAGGCGTCCTTTTTTTTTGTTGGTGTTTTAACAATTTTTTGGGATTTTCAGGAACTTGCTTCAAAAGCGGACAAGGATGACGATATTCAGGAGGTATTCCACATATAAATGATTTTCAAGTTTCCAAAATGCAATAATTTCAGATTCCTATCACGAATTCGGTGCAACCGGTCTCAATTCTAACGCCGAGCAATTTTAAGCAGGGCTTCAGATCATTTTCGGTGCCGCACTGGGCATCTCATGAGTTAGAGGTCCGACGCTGCGAAATTCAAATTCTACTAACAATCGAACTAAATCATGTTTGGTTTTCAGCTTGTCAATAATTATTTGAAAAATATGAGACAATCCTGCGTCATTCCTGATGTTCTCGTCGAGGAATTGGAAAAAACGATGTTGAAAACCAAATCGAGCCCGCAGAATGCCTTCGAAAAGCTGTAAGTCGTCTATTTTGCATCGAACTCGACTTAAAAATGTCTTCATGTCAATTTTTTTTAGAAAAGCTATAGGTCCTGTGATTGCCAGTGTTCAATCGAAGCAGGTTCAAGCGATTGCCGCTGAGGTATTATCGTCGCAAAAAAAAAGAATGAGCACCTTGAGCGATTGTGGACCATCGCATTATTTTTTGCTAGGCGGTAGTTCAAATTTCGATTTATATAGTCGAATTCGGGTACTGTTTTTTTCTGTCATCGTTGCGCGAAAAAATATAGTAGAGAGGTCCTAGTGTGCGGTGTGCGCCTTTAATCATGGGCCCGTAAATCTACATTTTAAGTTTTGCGCCAAGAGACCACTGACATTGTTTTTTTTTGGAATTTAGCCAATTTTCTGCTGTCGCGCGACGTCGACTCGATGAAACTCGACACAGGGTGCTCGTGTTTTTTTTTTGGCGATTGAATGATTTCGACGCAAATGTGCATTTTTTGTTTTGTTTTCAGGGACAACGAAGAAAGAGCCGCGTCCTGCTGGTGACCGCAATTGACGAATCTCAAAAATTCTATGAGTACTTGAAAAAGAACTCGAAGAAGAACTCGCAGGACGTCACATTGATAGCGCAGAGAAATAATGAGGCGGTGAATGGTGCGGATTTTCTAAACAATGTTGAAAAAGAAATATTGATTTACGCAAATTTCAGCTATCAAAACCGGTGTCGCCAAAATGGAGGAGAAATTCAAGGCGGCGGTGGAAATGTGAGTTTTGAGCATCTGGCTCATGGTTTTTTTTTTGCTATTCTGAAACTTTATTTTCAGCGCGAATAAACATGGAACTGCTCAGCCCACCAAGGAGTTTACATTCAGCGAAACCATTTTGTAAGAATTCTCAACGATTAAATAGAATGCTGAAAATCTGGGTTTTAGGACGGCGTTGAGCAATTATCTTGACGCGCTTTGCGAAAATCAATCCGTCCTTCAGCAGCCGAAATTCTTCCTGACGGTACGATTCTCGTTTTTTGTTTTTGAGACTTTAATATCATTTTTTTTCTAGTCGCTTTCAAACCTCCACAGAGAAATGAACAACGTTATGAGTCTCGGGTTTGAATTTCAGAATTTCCTCTTTTTTTTGTGTGTGTGTATTGTCAGTAACTCGCAATTTCTAGAATGTTCTTCATCGAGGTTTGCCGCCGTTTGCCGAAATTCGCGTTCCTTCTTGCCACCGATGAGATGAAAAAAGTTTTGGCGGAGCAAAAAATCTCGCCGGCCATGTTTGTTCACATGTTGCGCGCCCAATTCCGATGTGACCGATTCGATTTTCAGGTTTCAAGTTGTTCAGAATCCCAAGTTCGCCATCAAGTTGCCGACTCAGAGTCCGGTGAGCCAAGCCGCGCAGATTGTCAAATTGAAAGGTGGGAGATAGTCGCGGCGAGAGCCGAAACGTCGAATTGCTCATTTCAGCCACACCGCCGGTCACGGCTTCGTCGTCGTCGTCATCGTCGTTGTCGATGGCGCCGTCGTCATCGTCGTTGTCGATGGCGCCGTCGTCATCGATGCCGTCGACGTCGTCGGGATCGTTTCGCCCATCGACGTCGTCTGCGTTGAATCTGAATCTATCGTCGATGGCCCTGCTCGACGACGACATTCAGGTAATATCATCGGACGATGAGCCGCACGTGATATCCGCCAAAATGGTGTCGCGTGCGCCATTGTTGGCGAAAAACGGCTCGAAACCATAACTGCTACTACCTCGTTTCTTTTTTCTCTCAATTTTTTTTCCAATGCGTGTGCGCGCTTGTTTTTTTTTTCGTTTCATTGTTGCTGTTGTGAAAAATTTAATGGGAAAGTGATGAATTAACCATGCCGGTGTTTGCGGATCTCGACGTTCTACAGTAACCGGTTCATTAATCCTTCCCCTATCATACTTATTGCTTTCTTTATTTCTATATACTGTTGAATTGTTTTTTTTATTTATTAAATTATTTGCTGTTAATTTTTTTATCGAGTCTCGGAAAATCGTTGTTCCTCATATTTCGCTCACTCATTTCGTTTTCAATCTTTATCATTTTCATGGTTATTTTTGGGTTTTTCGTGATTCGATAAAACCTTATTTGGTTGGCTGGCTAGTCGTTCTTTTTTTGTTGTTGTTGGTGGCGGTCTGATGTTGTGCATGCTTACAGTGTGAAAGCAAGAGCAATTTCTCTCAAAAAATTTTTTTTTGAATATTAATTTTCAGGTGCTTTCGCCTAGAAAAGGAATGACACGTGAAGAAAGTGAGCCAAAAAAAATGTTTTTTTTTAAGTTTCAAACAAAATTTTTGCAGAAATTGATTTGATGTCGAAAGAATTGGCGGTGATTTTGGTGAATACTGGTGTTCCGCAACATCAGAAGGTCGCGTTTTTTGCGGTAAAAAATGACAATTTAAAATATATTCGAATTTCCCGCCAATTTTTATTCTAGTCGCTTCGATGTAAAGAGGGATCGACGTTTGATGAGGCCTACCAGAAAGCGCAGGCGATGTGCGCCGAGCTGTTGGCGCACGAGAAGAAGAAGAAGGATGATGAGATGAAGCGCAAGAAGGAAGAGGAGCGCGCACGACAGGTTTTGCGGGCTCAAACGAGCCATGACTCGAATTTTCTAAACCGGTCCCTATTAAGGAGAACGAGAGACGATTGGCTGAGGAGAAGCGTAAAGCCGCCGAGGAGAAGCGCCAAAAAGCGGAACAGGAGAAATTGGAGCGCGAGCGAATGAAGGCGAAACTCAAAGAGGAGGAGCGTTTGAGGAAGGAGCGCGAAGCGCGTGAAGCACGCGAGCGCAAAGAGCGCGAGGCGCGAGAAGCGCGTGAGAAAAAAGAGCGCGAGGTTTTGGCGGTGATCACTAGTTGATTCGAATGAGCATGAGATTTATAGGAGATGCTCAGACGGCAGGAGGAGGAGAGGATCAAGCGGGAGATCGAGAGGATCAAAATGGAGAAGGTGGGCATTTTTTTTTTTTTGACAATTGGGCAAATTTGAACTGAAAATGCTTGTTTCAATTTTTTGAAGCAAAATTTTGTTAAATCGAGCCATTCCGTTGTGGAAATTAATTAAAAGAAACATAATTTTGTTTTCATCTATATATATATATATATATATATATATATATATATATATATATATATATATATATATAAAATTCTTCTCATTTTCTCTGCATAGCATCATAAAAAAAAAGGATCTCATCGAAAATATTGAATTTCCAAATTTCAGGAACGCGAAGAAGCCCAACGTAAAGAGCGTGAGCGACTCGAGAGATTGGCCGAGGTAAATTGATGATTCTAGCTCAATATTCACGCTGAAAAGAAAAACGAGAGAGAGAGAGAGAGAGAGAGAGAGAGAGAGAGAGAGAAAAGAAGAAGTGGCAATATACATAGATATTTTTTTCCATTTTTGAATTTTTCTGCGTTCTGTCGTAACTGTGTGAATCTCTATATAGGAATCGCAAGAGGCGGTGCAGGATTTGGAGAATGAGATCCTCATGGACTCGCTCGATTTCGTCACCGAGCAAGAATTGAAGGCGCAAGAGGTTTTCTTTTTGAAGCACGAACTAAATATTTTCGTTTCGGGAGCCCGTAATTCTCCTGCCTTTTGCACCTATGTTTCGCAACGCTTTAACGTCGATCTATCGCTGGTCCTCGTTTCTTTCTTCATTTTCTTTTTTTTTTCAATTGATGATGGTGGTGGTCCCTTGTTTAGCTGTAATTTGTTGCCTTACCCATATTTGGTGTGTCGTTGAATCGAATACATTGCGATTTTAGGAGCAGAGACAAGCCGAGAATCGGCGAGCCGCCGAGCGCACTCAACAGGTTTGAGCTCGAACAGTCTGATTGAAATTCAAGAACAAATTGAGCTGTTTAGATGGAGGCGATGCGGGCTAAGCAGCTGGCTGCTCAGGAGCAGAAGCTCAAAGAATCGATGGGAAAAATGGGTAAGGATTTCAATGTGTCTGGCATTTCTGTGAAAATGATTGTTCATTTCCAGGCTTTAAAAATTAGAAATGAAAAATGTTGGACTGATATATGGCCGGCGTCAAACGGTTGAACGAATTAAAAAAAAATTAATGGCTATGTGCCAATGCGTCTCAAGACATCGAGAAGTACGCGAGACTGCGTACATTGCATTTTAGTGTACGCGCATTTAATATTCAGTCAATGATAAATTTTAATCTATATTGATTTTGCGAATTTGAAGGCCCCCCCCCCTCTCTGTTTGACGCCGGCAATATATACTATATATATATATATATATATATATAGCAAATAAGAAAGCAGAGCTAAAAGGTGTTATTCTGTTTTATACGGGACCATTTCGAAAATATTGCGTTGTTGGCGATTTTCAACATTTTTGTTCTGATTTCATATTATAGTTTGTTTGGAACCCTTTATAATGGATATTAATCGATAGTCTTCGTCTGGTGATTATTATATGAGGATAGATTTAGAGGCACGTCTCATTCGCTATGGTCTCGCCCGCATTTTTGATTATTTAAAAGAGGTTTGAAATTCAAAGAATGTCAATCTCAACAAGAAAAAACATGCATTTGACATGAAAATAACAAAATTAGTATCGGCGCGTGATGAGACCATTTCGAAAAGAGGCGCCCGTAAATCTACCCGGCGTTCCGGACACCGACTACACAGAAGGGCTCCAATGTGAACTAGGACGCAATTTTTAGAAATATTTTAAAAAAGAAAAAACAAAATTCGTAGAAGCCATTGTTTGCCGATTAGAAAAATTGCAATTCTCATTTCAGATCAACCGACGCCAATCAAAACCGAAATTGTCGAGCAATCAGGTAGTTGCTGAGAATTTCTCGATTTCCTCTTGGATTTTCATGTTCTCATTGTTGTTTTTTTTCGATTCTACAGCACCCGATCCGACATTTAACAACTTCTCAATTCCAACTGTTCGACCCAACTCGTATGCAACTAACATGAATGCTTCTACTAGTACGTTTCAACCAATTTTTTTGCGATTTCCGATTTTGGCAATTTACCAATTAAGCGAATCCAACTAATTACGGTGCTCGCGTATTCACGAATGTGATGTTTCAGTGATGCAACAACAACAACAACAGCAGCAGATCATGTCGGGAAGCCCGCTGTCTCATATGAACCAGCAGATGAATTACAACTCGAACTCGAACTACAACAATCAGGTACGTCATCGCTACAGTACTTCTTGGGGTTTTTTTGTTTATTACGATCGTCGAATCATTAGTCGCGATGATAGTGTGGGCGGCGCGGAACGCCACGCACACGTCGCACCTCCTCCAACGAGTGGATGTATTGGGCGTGCGCCTGGCCGCAAAGGCGGCACCCAAGATTTTGCGGATCGCACTGGCGACGGCGTCCGTGTAGCATCGCGCACGTCGTGCACCGACCGAGCTGATTGAGGCGCGCGCGACGATCGGCGCGTCCCGGATAGACGGGACAGAATGTGGTGCGATGGACGTTCTGTCCGCAGAACAAGCACACGAGATCGTAGACGGCGACGGTGTGACGACTCGGATGGTGGGGCATTCTGAGCATGATGATGCGATATTCTGATTAGTTCGACGCGATTCTTACCTCAACGATGGTTGTCCTTAAGAGAGAAAGAAAGAAAGAGATGAAGCTCTAGAGTTGTCTGTCAATTCCAAGTCTTCTGAAATTGTTAGATTCATTATTATTGTGTGGTGTTAGTAAAGCGTGGGATATGAAGGTCAGCTTCTAGATCAAGAAGAATCGAAGGATTAGAAAAAAGAGGGAGGGGGTGGCGGTCGGAAAAAAGTGACGAAAACTGCCGGACGCGCTCCTTATATATCTATGCTGTCCGGCCGGTGCTGACGTGTGCCCGGTCGGTCGGTCGGAGAGCGGGACAGCGAAAAATTGTACAAAATAATTGGAATTTTGCGCCTAATTCGATTCAGAAAAAAAAATTAATGTGTGTTCGTCAACAATTCCAATTTTTCGACCATTTTATTGCCTTTAATGACACTCATATTTATCGTTTTGTTGATCTACAGACGACGGCGACGACGACGACGTTTGCGAGTCCGCCGCGTGTGCCGCAGAGTCCGCAATTCGTCAACAACACGCCGCAACATCAGAGTCCGTTTCATCAGCAGAGTCCGCCGAATGTGTTCGGATCGTCGCCGGCTCATCATCAGCAGCAGCAGCAACAGCTTCATCATTATTCATCGCCGAATCAGATTCAGCAGTATGAACGCAATTTCTGGCGACTACTTTTTGGTGCTACAACATTTTTCGATTTTCAGACAGAGTATGATGAATAACTACACGACGATGAATCAGCAAGCTCAAATCATGGCGAACAATGTTCAGCAGCAGGCTGCTCAGATGATGATGGGCTATCCGCAGGTAGTGAGAGATGAAGATAGGGTCTTTCCAAATGATTCTTGGAATTGTAGCAGCAGCAGCAGAGCAACTCATTCCAATGGCAGCAGCAGCAGCAGCAGATCCAGCAACAGCAACTTCAGCAACAGCAGCTTCAGCAGCAGCAACTTCAGCAACAGCAACTCCAGCAACAGCAGCTCCAACAGCAACAGCTCCAGCAACAGAAACAGCTTCAGCAGCAGCAACAACAGCTTCTGCGACAGCAGCAGCTTAATCAACTCCAGCAACAACATCAACCACAACCGACCCCGAGTCCATTCTACCGCAATCAAATGAATCACCATGGAAGCTTCAATGGCTACTAACGCATAATTGTCAAAAATTTGCCCTACTAACACTCGCATAATTTTTCATTTGCTTTAATTATGGGTCAAATGTGTCCTGCTTGTTCAACAGAAAAAAAGCAACCGAAAAAAATCATAATAGGCAATTAAATTGTTTAAATATATTATACACAAATTCACGCTTTTCCATCTTTTAACCTAAAAATTCATTTATTCTTCTAATTTATCTATTTGTTCCAAATGAAAGAGTTACTTTTACCGGTGCATTTTACAACTTTTCTGGGTTAATCGAAATTAAATTAAATTATATACATAGGCGGCCAGTTTAATTGGCGATGATCGGCGTCGAGGCGATTGAGTGAAGGAAAAGCTGGCATTCGTTCGCCTTCTTTTCAAGAACTTCCGTGCTGATGACGAGACCGCGGAAGTCTTGAAGATTCTTAAAAAAAAACCCCCGAATTTCAACAATTCCCCTGGACAAAATTTGAACGAACCTCTCCATTATAGGAAACCAGCGTTTTGAGGAAGAACGGCTTGTCCAAACGGAGTTGCGCGCCGGCATTCTCGAGCCATTTTTTGTTCAACGCCGCCAAATCGCGGCGGCATGTGCTCAAGCAATCTTTGCCGACCGATTCGGCATTCTTCAACGGGCTGAACTCGGAAGCCCTCGCGACCTCCCAAACGAAGAAGTTGTTCGAGTGCTCGAAGACGTCGAAAATGAATTGCTCGAGCTTAATACCGTTCGGCTTCTCCGGCTTCACCAATTCGCCATTTCGGCTAATGTGCGGAATCTTCTTGTGGGCTCGATGGTACGGTAGCTGGAACGACGGCGAGCAAAGTCTGAAAACACAAAAAAAAATTAATATTATTGCGATTCGGTAGGCCAAATCCGACTTCTCCAAAAACTCCATGGTGAAGAAGTGATTGGCGATGGATCCGGCGCCAAACAAGTATTTCCCTTCAGGCGTCTTCTGATCGGCAAGCTCTGGCCCCAATTCGCTGTATTCGACAACTCTCGGACGTCCCGAGTCGAGGCACACCGAGCCGACGAGTTCGCCCTTCTCCTTCGGCACACACTGAAAACCGACATCGATGCCATTTTGGCGTACGCCATCAAATTGGGTGTCACCTTGGTGGCAACGTCGGCGTTGTGGTGTTTCGCGAATCCGATGAAGTGCGGATCGGCCACTTTGCACAGAATGTTGTCGACGCAATAGACGTGGAAGTACTTGATTCCCATGGCGCGAAGGCGCGGAAGATGCGGAGCCAACGCCGAGTACATTCCGCCGTTGCCGTCTGCAAATTAAAGGCTTACGGTATGCCGGTGACAACATCTCGACGAGCCAAATCGTCCGATTTTCCCAGCGAATTTTCCAATCAGGAAATAAAAAGCTATTAATAGATTTTTTATGGCAACGCGGGACATCACAATGTTTTTTTCGTCAAAATTGCATCACATAAATAATCGAATAATCGAATAAATTAAATTTTCGAGCATCACCGAATGGTACGAATTGGTTCGCCAAAAATAGCAATAATCATGGCTACTTATATAGGATTCTTTTTTTGGGGGAGCGGGAGGGGAGGGGGGGGGGTCAAATTTCAGGTTTTAATAATTTAAATGGCCCAGCAAGTACCCAAAAAATTATGGATGAGGTCCCTTGATATTTTTTTTGCTAAAATTGATCGCAGTATACTTTTAAAAGAGCAAAAAATAGTTTTTGACAATAGTTTTCGCAAAATCTTCTATTTTGGGACGGCTATCTACGCAAATTTCCAGCTATCCCGAGATATGGACTATCATTTGCCCGGAGCTCTCATAAGAACGAAGCCTCTCATACGGGATATAGGAAATTGAAAGATTGTGCAGGTCCCACTCTCTTTGATCCATACTTGTTAAATTGTGGGTCGACCTGGGGGAGGAGATCCAAATTTACAGAGTAGGCGAAATTTTAAGGTATTAAACGTCTCAGATTGCATTTTTTATTGAAATCGGTTATTTCATTTTCAAATAACACATTTTCTATATCAGAATTTCGCAAAAATCTTTACGCGAGAGATTATAACATGCTTGGAATTGAAAATTTAAAAAAAATGTCGCAAAATCGAAAAATTTCGGTTGGAATGCCAAAAATTCCTCGGAAAAAAAAAACGAAAAATTCTGAGAATATTTCGGTTGGAATGACAAAAGTTCCTCGAAAAAAAAAACGATTTGAAGAAATAATTTTTCACTAATTTAAATTTGAAATCACTTACTTGGCGATGCGACCAACGAGCCCTTGGAGGCGAGCAAGAACTCCCCATTCTCATCGTAGGCCGGAATCTCGGCCTGTGAGAAGATCGTTATCTGATCATCAAAATTGAAGCCGTGGTGTTTGGCGAGTTGCATGACGTGCTCGCGAGTGGCTTCATCGGTTCCCGGCGACGTCATAATTGCCCTAAAATGTTAATAATAAGAAAATTGAGGCGAGCTCGCAATTACCAATGGATTTTGCCATTTCCCTCTCGCTCCAATTCGCCGGCCATCGCTTGAAGAAGGGCGATCTTCGCCGCCTGGATTCCCAACAACGAATCGCCATAGGCGGTGTTGATTCCGAGCGGTATCGTGCCTTTCGGCTGGCTGGAGCCCAAACGGCTCGCTTGTCCGCCGGCGAGCACGATGGCGCAGACTTCACCGCGCGCGATCGCGTCGAGGCCACATCCCCAATATTTTCGCATTTCGTCCGCGTCCACGTTCTCGGCGCAGAAATAATGGTCCGACGGGATCGGTGAGAGGTTCTCCGGCGACGACGCCTTCAAATGAGCGGATTCGTCGAACCAGCGGCGAGCGTCGGCGAAATTGATGCTTTTCAGCTGAAAAACAAAATTAAAAATGTGTTTTCTTTTTTGTTTGATAACAAGAAATTCGCACTTGATTATAGAAGTTGAGTTTTTCCTCCTCGCTGAGCTCATTGTAGAATTGAACGAGATGCTTCTGCTCACCAACAAGAGCGGAAACTTCGTCAAAGCTTGGCGCTGGCATTTTGGAATGCTGAAATACAGAAAAAAATGCTCGTAAAATGCTGTCTAACAATACGAAATATACATATTTGTGTGAATAAAACTGTGAAAAAGAAAATGGGAATTGTCAGATTTTGTTTCATTCAACCAAAAGAATTTGTTGATTTATCAAGAGAAAAACGAAAAAGCGCACGTTCGCCGGCTCGAAAAAACAGGCACAAAATAAATAAAGGCGGCGAGGCCAAAACGCGCTTAATTAAATTTCTTCCAAAAATATTTCGGATTCCAATCAATTTTGGGCCGGAAGTGTGACCAATATTACGCGTTGCAAGGATTTTATTAGCAAAACGTAATGAATTGATAAAACGACGTGGAGTTGTTGATAACAACGCAAAAAAAATGAAACGAAAACTATTTGTTGGCGCCGGCGGCATTTTGAATAATTCCGCATTTCTGCGTAACCACGCGAAAATGCACAAATTATGTGTTCAACATTTTTTCGTCGTTTTTTTTCCAAATATTTCGCCCCATTGGCCTACTTTCCTTCGTTTTCCCAGAAGATATCAATTAACACCAAACCGGAAGAGGTGCTAAATATCATAATGGTGCGAAGAAAGGGGTGGCGACGAAACACCATCCATCGCTGCCACCATTTGCCACAAATCGGTCAGTTTTTATTTTTTCCATATTCGCATTTCTCCTTTTTCAATTTTTTTAATAGTTAATTTTTTACAGAGTCCTATCATGTCCACTAGCAACGATAATTTCACGTAAGTTTCAATAATATTAAATTATCTTATTAAATTTCAATTTTCAGAAAATCCGAAGCCGATTATTTGGAAAACGTCGTCAAGATACTAAAATGGACAGAAGAATGGACTGCTCAACTTCGAGACCAATTGGAAGCCGGCCAGCAACCAAATATGACAGGTGTGTTACTGTATCCTCCTTTAAAGGCAAATTGCGTTTGTTTTAGTGACAGAATTATTAGCAAGCTTCTTCGGCACCGATCGGAACGGAAATCCCTACCCGCTCACAAATTTTACGGCTTGTATGACACCACCAAACACTCTAAAATAGATTTCTAATTTCTTTTTCGTTTTACTTTTGCTTCAGAGATTCCCAGAGATTGTTTAATAATTTATTTGCATTTTTATATATATATACATACATTTTTTTCAAACATATTATACTCGTTTTGTAAGTCTCAGTCTGACGGGGTCCTTTGGACGCATGATGACTCCGTTGCATGCCGGCACTAGTTTCTGAAAAAATTTTTGCACAAAATTGAAAATTGGCTCGAAAAGTTACCGGCTCATCAGGGTAAAGCTCCAATTTGAATCTGTCCAGCAGCCTGACGATGGCGGTTTTGAATTCCATCTCGGCGAATCGCATTCCGACACAATATCGTGGTCCCACACCGAACGGAATCCACTTCAATGAACCCTTATCGTTCCAATCCAGGAATCTGAAACATTTTTGAATTTTTTTCAATTAAAACTTATTTTAAAAAAATTATACCTCTCTGGTATAAATTTCTTGGCATTTTCCCAATTCTTCTCATTCATGTGCACATTGTAGGGTAGCACACTGACATTGGTGCCTTTCGGGAAGAACTGCCCATTAATCGTGATATCATTGAGGCAGACTCTCGTAATGAAACTGAAAACAGCCAATAATTGAAAATCATAAGAAAGAATAGAATACTGGATAACCGGTGGGTAGACACGAAGGGATTCCTTGAAAACCGCGTCAAGATATTTCATGCCATGTATGGAATCATAGTCAAAGCCCTGCAACGAAAATCATTTTTATTGAACTTTTTCCCGGTCTAAAAATCCAGGAAATTTGATTTTTGGTTGATTTTTAGCCAATTCAATTTTGTATAAAAATAAGACGAAAAGCCTATTTGCCAACAAAAACATATTTTATTCGAACAGAATGTCGATGCTTAATACTTTAACATTTTTCCCTCTATGTGCCTTTAAAATCTACAGTAATTTTTGGTTGAAATTTCTAGAGTTTTCGAGAAATTCACACATCTCCACTTACACTGAAATTAGCGGAGTCTTCGGGGGCAGAGCTTTACGGAACTTGAATTATTCGAAAACGGAAACATTTTTATTAACGGATGGCGGAATTCCGTGCAGCTCTGTTCGAAAACAAGAAGCAAATTCCGAAAATTAAAATTGAAAAAAAAGAATTGAATTTGGAAAACAAAAAAATCGGTTCATTTTTGCGTAATGCTCACTGCGGACTTTGCTACAGTAACGCAAAAAAACATTTTTTTTACTTTTTTGAATGCTCGGAAATTCGCTTTTTTTAGCGGAAGATGGGACAAATTTTTTTTGAGGGACCACAGAATTGAAGAAATCCATTCCATAAAATATTTCAATGGGAACCTGATTTTTCATCGAAGTCAATCTCTTGAAACTCCAAACCAATCGGATCCGTCAAAATTTGGCTCCAGAATCAACCTTATCGATTCCGATTTGAGTTGATAGCCGAATTTTGTCCGATCCGATTGGTTTTGAGTTGCCAGAGATCATCCAAATAAGCATTCAATTAGTTACACGCAGGCTCTCACCTGTTCCGCTTTGACTTCCTGAATTTCGTCGTACAATTTCTGTTGAACTTGTTGATGTTCGGCTAGCAAGTAGGTGCAGAACGCCAACGCGGTGCTTGTCGTCTCGTAGCCAGCCAGAAGGAACGCAAAACAATTCTGAATCACTTCCTCTTTCGACATCGCGTCCTTCACGCTGTTTTCTCGTTCGATTAGAAGCTCGAGCAGATCCACACAACCTCGACCTTCGCCGTTTTTTCGGCGCTCATAGCTGGAAAAAAAAACGTCCAGAGATACATAGAATATTTTTCTCGAGCACAACACGTACACATTCTCCAATCCGCCAACTAATGGCGCCTGCGATAAAGCCAATTGGCTGAACCTGTAAAACATCTTCCAAATTGAAGTGAACTCGGGAAAAACGACTGAAACATGTTTTTTTTGTTACTGAGCACCAGGAAAAATCATACATGACGATGTGATCAAAACGCTGTGGCGAATATCGGTGTGTAAAATGAATTTGCGAGCTTGAACATAGAAAACCTGAAAAGAATAATTTTTACAAAATATTTTTTTAAACAAAAACCTCTTCTCGATTATTCAATGAGTTACTTTCTATAGCGAACGCGCATTTTCCGATCACATCCAATGTTAATGCTTGATAATCGCTGAAAACAAAAAATAAAGACATGTAATTAATTATGTTTTTCTTTTCTTACTCATAAATATCAAATTTTTCTCCGCTATCCACTTTTTCCTCAATTAATTTCAAAAATGTGTCGATTTTCGATTCCACCGCATGATGCATTGCGCGCATTTTTCCCGTGGAGAATGTTGGAGCAATTGCGCTTCTGATGCGCTTCCAGCCATCAGCATAAGAGGCTTGAAGAAGAGAGCTAATCAATTCTGAAAAATAATTTCTAACCCTCACGCAGAAAAAAAGCTTTTCTATTATACGTACTAGATTGTTCGAAGATTGGCGGGACAACACGATCCGAAAAATTGGAAAAGTTTTTAATATAAATCTCCTTGATATCGTCCTCGTCGGTCACGTGAATGTTCAAATGTCTGCCGAGATAAATTCTAAAAATCATGGTTTCATGCATTTATAGGCAAAATAAGACTTACCCTACGTATTTTCCATAAATTTCGTGAAGCCCTGCCATAAATTGATAGGAATCATCATAGCCGATTTGCTTTTTTCTCCTAAAAAATATGTTTTTAAGAAAACGCGCAATTTCGGGTACGGTAGTCAAATAAGTTCATCGCGTGTTTGCGGAAGTTTCCCTCAACCGTACCACTTACTCAATAATTTGCTTCAAATTTCCAATGAGAAAGTGCGGCGATGGTCCGCCAATTCCCATTTCATCGCGAATTTTGAAGAACAATCGCCGTTGATTCAGCAAATATATCAAATAGCTGATGAATGCAACGAAAACTGTCGTGACAACGATAAACGCCATCAGAAGAGCGAGAGAGAGAGAGTGAAGAAATTGGCCGATACGGAAACTCGCAGTTTTATACCGAAACCAACGACGATGATCAAATTGGCTAGACTCGAGACAACCAAGTATCTATTTTGAATTTATCAATGTTTTTCGTCACCAATTGGATAGAGTCTAGTCAATGCGAGACACCAAATCAGAAAAGATTCTTCCAAACATAATATTTTTATTTTCCGTCATCAATTAGCAGAGATTAGGTCGCCGACAATGGGATGGTGATGTTTCCGGCTGGCTGAACCGAAGCGAACGCCGCCTGCGCGTCGGTGGCGTCGGCTGGCGCGTTGGCGAAATGGATGACGAGCTTGTCCTCCTTTGGTGGTCCCGCCAAACGGGTGATCTTCACCTCAGCGGCTCCCGATGGGTCGACGAAGCCGAAAACCGGTGTGATGCGATAGTGATCGTTATTCGATGATTTCACCTGCAAAACCAAATTTTAAAAATTAAAATTGCATCATTCTTCGCGACCTTGAAGATGAGCTTATCGGTTCCAGCGTTTTGGAGCTTGTGAGCCGATGAGCCTCCGGCGGCTGGCACAGCACATGCTGGAGGATCAGCGGTAAGAGAAGCCATGTCGATAGAGCTCGATACTCTCAGCTTTCGAATCCGACAATTCGCCTATTTATATCATTTCATATCTTGATAAATCGGAGTCGCGTGATCTGCAAATGAAATTTTTTGAGTTTCTTTTTGGTCAATTTTAGGTCATGCCTTGAATAATCTTTTAATTTTTTTTCCAATTTTTCAAATAAAAAATAATTTTAAAAATGTGTGTCATTTTTTTCGTTTCGAACAATTTTGAGGAAATCAACATTTTTACCATTGTTTCTAAAAAAATTTATCGTTGTTTCGTCGAATTCGATTAAAAAATGCACGTTTTTTCTTGCGACGAACTCCCCGAGAATTTTCTAGTGCATACACTGTCACGCAAAATTGCACCACTTCCAAAATTGCGGTGTGAATTAATAAGCGAAAAAAAATTGGCGAATTCATAATTATCAAAACCAATCGCTATTCTTTTACAAAACAATTTTGAGATTTTTTTTCTCTCAAAATTTTCGGTATTAGTTGTTTTCAGCCAACACAAAGTCATAATGCAAAAATTCTGAAAATTCAGAGTGGATTTCTGATTTCGACAGACGTTTCATATCAAAATTCGAAAAAAATGTCTCAGACGGATAGTAAAAACACCAACCTCGTTGGTTAAATGATAAATAATCCACCAAGCGTGGCCGTGGCCGAAGGAAAATTTCCAGGACATTATTTCTAGGCCACTAGGCTGGAAAAACAATTAATATCTATTTGAAACGATTGATACAAAAAACTATGATCCATGATGTATGAGAAAGCTATTATGTGCGTACCGGGTTTTTAAGATATAAATTTTGTTAAAAATTCGGCCACGGCCACAACTTTTCAAATATTTTGTGTGCACAAAGTACTTTCAATCTTTTACAACGAAATAATACTGGAATAAAATAGTTTTAAAAAATTAATTTCACGCGTTTTGCATGAAAAAACAAATTCCCACGTCAAATCAAGATAATAATTGCATATAAATACCAATCGAATGGCATGAGGAATCAAAAGTTTGATCAATTCATCAACTTTAATCAACAATGTCTTTGACCGCCGATCCACCAGCATGCGCCGTGCCAGCCGCCGGAGGCTCATCGGCCCACAAGCTCCAGAACGGAGGAGCCGACAAGCTCATCTTCAAGGTAAAATCCGATGATTGAAATTGCGCTCAGTTTGAGTCTCACAGGTGAAATCGTCGAACAACGACCACTATCGTATCGCTCCAGTTTTCGGCTTCGTCGACCCATCGGGCGCGACTGAGGTGAAGATCACCCGTTTGGCGGGACCACCAAAGGAGGACAAGCTCGTCATCCACTTCGCCAACGCGCCAGCCGACGCCACCGACGCGCAGGCGGCGTTCGCTTCGGTTCAGCCAGCCGGAAACATCACCATCCCATTGTCGGCGACCTAATCGATTCCAAACCCTTCTATCAAGATCCAAAATGAATTATTTCTGATGATAACATGTCTAAAAAATCGTTGATTCGTGTTTTTTGGGTCGCTGAATCAAAATGGCCTTTAATGGTGTTAAACTGAACCCTCTGGATCGGCAAATTCTTCAAAGAATGGGTTTCAGACATCCATAACTCGTCTGAAATCCCTGAGTATAGTCTGGAATTTTGTGAACACCCTGAGAAGATCTTCAAGAATACTTGTGCAAATTTTCAAAACCAAAATTCATTACACAATTCTCAAAAAAAAAATTTGGAAATTTAAGGATTTATTGAAGGTTTGAAAATGGCAATTAAAAAATTAGCAGGGTGGAACCTCCATGTTACGCGCACGGCAATCTGAAAATGAAAAGATTGGCTGAAAATTGAGCAAGTTTACCTCAAACGTTTTCCCCCAAACGCAAGGCGGAATCTCCATACAACTGAGGGGAAGAATCTAGAAGTTTTATATAAAAAATCTGAAAAATAAATGATTTACCTTGATTTTTAAAATTTTTAATTTCCTTTAGTACAAAGATGAACTCGTGGTAGGACCCTCGAGGGACTCCCGTGTGCTTTCTCATGTCAATCCCATTTTTCGGACCAACATTATTCAATTTCAATTTGTAAAATGCACAAAAATTTGTGGAATAAATTAATATTCCACCGGACGGTGTACAAAATCGTCCTCAATTCGACATATAATTATTTTTTGAATTTCATTTTATTGAGAGAAAATGAGCAAAAGATTGAAACAATGGGTTGGTTACCTGTAAAATAAAAGGAATGAAGGGTTCGGGATGAAGGGGGGGGGGGTCCAATTGCGAAATAGAATGGATGACAGAGGCTTAGAGAAGCGAGAGACCCGAGTCATTTGGCGTTTAGCGCGACAAGGCGAAGGTCGTTCCGTATTGTTGGAAAAAAGGCGAATTAAATGGTGTACATTTTTGAATTTTTGCTGGAACGAAAATTTTTCAGCATTTTTGTGCTAAAATTTTGAAAAATTGCGATTTTTCAACTCCTCAGCACTATTACTTGAATGCTTTAAAGATTCACTGAGTGACCTCGAATAGATAAAATCTGGTTTCACTACTATGGGACCACTGAGCCGCAACACGCCGACCATCCATCGATTGTATAATAATAATAATGGTGAGGCCTTTTTCAGATCTGCCGCTCGGGATGGAGCTGACATCAAGAGACAAGCGGGAGAGGCTGGGAAGGAAGGAGGCAGCCGATCGTTTAAAGGCGCATTCATCGAAGGATCAAAATCCTTCAGCATCTGAAAAAGCGGCCAGTAGGATGGCGTTCTTTCTAGCAATCTTCAATGAATTCCATGAATGATGCAATTCAGGAAGAAACGGAAAATAAAGGTCAACAAATTAGGAAAAATAAAGAATGAACGCGACCGCAACGCGTCTGACGACATTGGCGTTTTTTTTTTCAGAATACAATTTATTTTTACTACATGGTAGCAAAATGTCCGCAGATGATAATGCTTAGAAATCTCATCATCTTCACTTCTCAATCAATTGGTTAATTGCATTTCCTTTCGCGTATTTTCGAATTGGTTTCGACGACTTGCGAGTATCTTGGAATATTGTCTATTGGGCATTAATCAAGAAATTTGTTTTTGGCGACAAATTTGCATTTTTTTTTTCTAAATTTCGAAATTTCATCGATGTTGGATACTCCTGAATGATTCCCCAGCGAAGCCTGTGATGCCGATTCAGCAGAGCCCCCAGATGCAATCCTCGTTATTCCCGATCACAGAAATCAGACACCCGTGCCTATTAAAACGATTAAAAAAAGAGTTTTCGCCATTTTTCACCGTTCAAAATTGGCATTTCCAGCCTGAAATTTCAAAAAAATCCAGATATTAGCCATTCCCATGCGCTTCGATCTCTCACCATCCGGTATTTCGACTCCAATTACTAACAAAATTTCATTCTTCGTTGGTTCAAGAATTTCTAAAAATGGAAATTTCGAAACTCTTTAATGGTCCCAACATTCGGTCCAATGCAAGCAAATCACTTAACACTGTTGTTAACATGGCTTACTGTAAAAAATTTTATTCAAGAAATGAAATAAAACGCATTTCAATGCTGTTTAAAAAAACCTACAACTACTTTGGTTTGCTCAAAAATATTCTTTTCGGCAAACATTGGACTCTCTGGAATTTCAGAAGCAGAAAATGATGAATCGATTGTTCCACCTGTTCGTAATTTACGGACCAAAAATCACAACGAAAGAATATTTTTGCCTTCTCACTCCAATAGCCGACATCGAGTTCCCTCTTAATTAGAATAATTAGATTTCTCAATTCAAATCATGCCTCCGGCCAGTTTAATTTCATAGGTGCTGATGTCTGTAACAAAAATAATATTTATTTTATTTTACGGTTCAATCTTTACGCATTGGCGAGACGACATTTTGAACTTTTGGCGAAGCGAGAAAATTGGCGGAAGAGGTGACACACATCGAGTGACGACGAATTCATCAGTTTCCTATTTTGATATGCACCTGAAACATTGAATTATAATTTTCAAAAAGATTAGAATTTTTAAAATTATAAAAATCACCACGGAAAACGAATTTCGAAAAGAAAATAGGGATTTCTGAGGAAAAAATTATTTCAACGTCATGGTGTGAATGTGCGCCGCGGTGTTCGCACCCTTCCGCCGTGCACCGTACCCAATTCGTAAAAAATATTCTCTGAACCCGGAGCCAACTCAATTTGCACAAACCTCGACATTTTTTTTAGTTTACTTTGTCTTCCAGGAATTGTTCTCCAAGTGTTTAGCCCGCTCTTATAATGAGCAGGTGGCGAAAGTTAATCGAATCGATTTCAGGCAAAAATCCGCGTACGTTCTCATTCTCTCCGCAATTCAAAAGTCATGGAGAACCGCTCGGACGAATTCTCGCAAAAATTGCTAAATGAGATGAACGCCTTATATTCATTGCTTCTTCTTTTTTTCTATCTCATCACTCAAATCATCGCGATTTATGTCAATTTTTGCCTAGTTGTGATGGTGTTCCGAACAATCAAGGACGAGTACAAGGTAGCACAAGCTTGGGTACGAGTTCCCAAATATGGTATCTCTTGTTGCAGTACCCCTATTACCCATTGCTATTCCTTATAATGTTCTCCAATGTATTATTCGTTGCGATGACTACAGCGATTGCCGTGTTGGGTGGTTTGTCTCGAATCGTGCCAGCGCTAGCCAAATCGTTTCCCGTTCTCATTATGATCGCCATCTCCTATCCAACGGTGATATGCGTTCTCGACTTCCTCCTGTGCATCCATCGCTTCTCAGTGATGTTCTGGGATTCCGAATTCTGGTCGATTCACGTTCGATGGAAAGGACCCCTAATATTTCTGATCACACTGCCATTCGTCGTTCTCATCTCATCAATTTCGATCACCTATTCGTCGCTTCTCGTCGGCGTCGAGATCGACGCGTTCGGCGTCGGCAATCTGCCATTGTACTGCTTCATCAGCGACATCGCGCTCAAATCGCTTCTCGGCTTTCTCACGTTCGTCGGCTACGTTTTGATTCTATTGCGAGTGGCTCAACAGAATCGCAAAGTTGGCAAATTCACCGACTTCACCGTCATCGAGCAGGCATTTCCCATCGCCTGCTTTCAATTGGTAAGCGGCTTCAATGAGCATCTCCAAGATCAAGCGCCATTTCCAGATTTCCAGCATTCTCACGGTTTTCATGCACATGGGAGTCCATCGAAGCGCCTGGTCTTTCGCGAAAGTGTGCCTTCTCAAGTACGCGTTCACCCAGCTTCTCTGTATGAGCTTCATCGTCCCACACCATCACCCAAAATGGCGACGCTGATTTCAGGCATCGTCGTGCCGATTTCGATTATCATTGGCAATCAGAATCGTCGAAAGAAGTTCCGCTATTTTTGCGTTTGCTTGAAACCGAATCAAGTCGAGCCGGCGAACCATCGAGTCTGCATAACAATGAGCAATAATCGCACAAGCACTACGGAAACATCGTTTTGACCATAATTGGATAAATTTTGAATAAATCTGATTTGCTTTTATTGAATCAAAAAGGTGGTAAACATTTTGCGGAATTCGAGTATAGAACACAACAGAAGAGAAAATCGATATGCAGATTGCAAAACTCGGCCACGGCCATGTTTTTCGAAGCCAACAGTATCACGGGTTTCCATCAAATTTTATCATAGCTTTCAACGATTTTATTTTTTAAAATACATTTTATAAATCCAAATTGTTCTATTAAAGGCGATTGTGGCCGTGGCCGAGGTTTTCAATTTCCGCATAGCATATAACTATAATTGGAAAAACACTGTGACTGTGTACTTCACACGGACAATTCAAATTGGTACAGATATTGTGATGTTCCTTGTTTGATCATATATGAAAATGTCGAAATCTGGTTTGGACCATTATTGACGACTTGATTTTCGACACATTTCCTCATTGGAAATCGCAACCCAAAAATTCTGTTTGACATCAATCGAGACTCGATTTTTTTCTTTCGATTATGTCGCATTTGCAGTGAACAATTTTGTGTGGAAGTGATTAGAAATTAATTTGCAAGAAAAAATTGTTTACGATGTTTGAAAAAAATGCAAATTTAATCGAATGACGTCGACTTTTTCGGTTTCAAAATGCCAATAGAGCACGTTTGCAGCGAATATCATCTCCGAATATTTGGGTCCCGTTGACAGGGTTGATCTCGAACAGAAAATAAGCGGAAGGCTTCAATTTTTTTTTGGTAGAGATAAAAATAATTTTAAAAAAGAATGACAACTTGTTTTTTTTTTTGACAAAATCGATCTAATTCATATTATAGTAGAAAATCAAAAAACTGTGTGCATTTTTGCGTACTTCTACTGCGGACTTTCTTCAAGAAGATCGAAAAAAGAAAAAAAAAGAGTCAAATGAGATTTTTTCTTTTCTACATTGCCCCCTTAAAACTCTTTTCGAATACAACGAAATTCAAAAAAGCATGTGTGCATTTTTGCGTACTTCTACTGCGGACTAAAAAAATTTAAAATAAAAAGAGATTAGCTTTCTCTGGCTACAATTTCTGATAATTTTTTTCAAAAATGGGAATTTTGAATTTTAATGACAATGTTTAATTATAAAACAAGATCAATATAAATTACTTCAAAATTATTACTTCCAAATTTCATGATTAAATCTAAAATTATGCATTATCCACGGAATTTCACATTTTTAAAAACAATTGGCTTAAATTTTAATTTTAAAAAATTAAAGCATGACCGCGGACTAGTTTTTTCTAGGCCGCGAACTCTAAAACCCGTTCCCATCGTTTTCACATCAACAATTCAATGAAAAACTTGAACATTTATCAAAGCCTCAACTCAAACCGCTTCTTCATTGAAGCTTCTCGCATATTGCCAATAATTCTTGGAAATCTACTGAAGAAGACACATCAAATGCCCAAATTGGCATGAAATCTCAAAATTTGATCGAGAAAATTTCATTGTCGAGCTCATGAATTCAACAATCACACCATTTGAAAATGAATTGCCAGGCGACAAATTATCGGACCAAATTGTTACCAATGTGATCGTCTCATTCATTCTAATGATAATTGCTCAAATCATCGCAATTTATTTGAACTCCGCCTTAATTATCACGACATTTCGGACATACAAAAAGGAATATCAGGTATCAAACAGCCATCAAGTTGCCTAATATGGTATATTTCAGTACCCCTATTACCCATTGCTATTCCTTATAATACTCATTAATATAATATTCACATTTCTAACCGGTTTGATTATATTTCTAGTCATATTTGATACCGACAATGAGGGAATCGTCAATCTGATCCCAATCCCAATCCTCATCGCCACATCCCATCCGACGCTCATCGCCATCCTCGACTTCCTCCTCTGCCTCCATCGCTTCTCGGTGATTTTTTGGCGTTCGAGCTTCTTGTCGATTCGCATCCGCTGTTGGGCGCCATTATTCTTCGCCGTCATTCTGCCATTCGTTCTCGTCGTCTCGATTATGGCGACGATGTACGCCGGATTTCAAGCGAAGCGCGTCGACATCGATGAGAGTCTCGAGCTGCTTGTTGCCGTCTGCTTCATCATCGATCTGGCCATCAAAGGGGTTCTTGGAGTCGTCACATTCATCGGCTATTCGGCGATATTGTGCAAAAGTGTGAGGCAACGTCGAAAAATTGGCAGATCAATTGATTTCACTATAATCAAGCAAGCTTTTCCCATCGCTTGCTTCCAATTTATAACGAGCATCATCATAATCATCATTCATATTGGATTATCGAATATAGCTTGGGGAATGATAAAAGTCTACATTGCCAAGTATCTCTTCACACAGCTTCTCTGTAAGACCACGAATGCTCCCCAAATCCCATATATCGACTTATTAGGTATTGTCGTTCCGCTTTCGATAATCTTCGGCAAACGGGATCGCAAAAAATTTGGCGATCTCATCATTTGCCAACGACGACGCGCTCAAATCGGCTCGACGTGGACATCGGAGAATGCGGCCTAGAAGGAATTGGTACAAAATTATTTGGGGAATCGCGTTGGGACCCAAAAATGAATATTGGTTTCAAATGACGCAAATCAATGCTACATGTATATTCCGATAGATTATTGATGTACTAGTATGCGCCTTTGAATCTGGTCTTACAACGATTCTCCATATTTTCAATTTCCAATTAATACATTTTAAGCAAATTTCAGGTCTCTAGAAGTTTTGAAATTTTTAATTGCGCGTCGTCTGCGTCTCCTTTCAGCGCGCACACACTCTCTCTATCTCTCCCATCTTTGCACTCTCTTCATTGCGCACGCTATTTTTCGAATCGCACTGTAATAGAGCGGTTCGGACCACGATTCTTAATAAAGACGAAGCCGATGAACGAGTAATTGGATTAAATTGGTCCTCAGAAAGTAATAAATTCGGCGACTTCATTGAAAGAAGCAATTTCAAATAAATTTACTACAAAACTTCACAAAAATCTTTGCAAAAATTTTTTATTAAATGTTTAAAAAACCTTTTTTGAGAATAATTTTAACCATTGACAATTCTGTATTCTTGAAAATCTCTTAAATTAGAAAATTGGCACTTTCTCTTGAATTCAAGATCGGGTTGAATGAACATTCAATTATTTTTGAACTGTGTGATCATCAATCTAATGAATTCCAGTGAATTCAAGAATTCGTTTTCGACTATAACGTTTTTTTTCAGCGATGACATTTGCGTCTGCAATTTTTCGTTGGATGTTATGTGCAAAATTTCGTCGCGGTGTCTCGAAAATAATTCTTTTTTCTTTCAAATTCATTTTTTCTACATATTTTGTAATTATTAATAAATTCCAGTCAACATTTTTTCCAAATTTTGCCGAAAATTAAAAAACGAGCGATTTGAGAGAGATATTTGTGGGGAAAATGAAAATTTCGGCCATTAAATACATTAAAACATAATTTTCACATAATATTACAACTTTTTTTCACTAAACAAAGGGCACCGTAAACGCGGAGTGTCGTCACTAGTCAGATTTTTTCATGGTTCTATTGATTCTTGGCAATTTTTCTTATGTAATTCAAAATGTGAAATAAATATGGTAATTTTCATATGAATCCGCCGACGACTCAAAAATCAAAAAATTATGTTAAATATATATTTAATAAATTATATCATATATTGTAATTATATATATATATATATAATAAATTTGTTAAAATTCAATTTTAGCGTGTTTTTCTTCACAAAATGAAATAAAAGCATCGAGCAGCAACACGGAAAACGTCCGCAGATGATTTTAATGAAACGCGTCCTCCTCCCCTCTCTCTGCGCACCGCTTATACTTGCCAATTGATGACCCATTGAACTGTGTGATCATATAATTAATTCCAAGATTCGTAATAATAAGAATGCTTGCTTAACAAAGTGCATTTTCATTAAAAAAAAATTATTTCTAAAATAATCCATTTGAAATGCCGTCACCAGTTGACCAAAAAAACTTGCCAATTTTTATTTCGTCTCAATTATTTTTACTATTCTCAGGCTTTACTGTATTTCAAATCATTGCAATTTATCTGAATATCCTATTAGCTGTTAGGATATTCAGAAAATTCAACGTCGAATATGATAAGGTAAGAGGATTTTTTGAAAAACTGCAGCGATATCCAATGCATTGTGTGCATACACCGATCTTGCCTACAGTAATCCCAACTGAAAATTAATTAAATTTTTTTTTGTATTTTCTTGGCGAATTTATGATTTTTTGTATATTGTTGGGTTGAAAAGTGTAATAGAAATTATTTTTCTAAATTATTCAAATTTAATTGTTTAATATAAAAGAAGACGATCATTAATTAATTAAATAATATTCAGTTGAGATTACTGTAGATAAGATCGGTGTATGCACACAATGCATTGGATATCACTGCAGTTTTTCACATTCGTCCATTTTTTCCAAAATAACTGTTTTATTCTCAAATATTTTTTTTTATTTAGCAAAAATTTGAGAATTAATTTCGAATCTTTAACTCAAATTGGATCATGTTGATTCCGAATCCGATTTTTTTTTTGAGTTTCCTGGAAATTGAACCACTAAATCATTTTCGTTGAGATCTCTTGCCAGTTAGAAGAACCTTCAATTTTCCAATTCGAAATTAATTCTCAATTTTTTGTTAAATGAAAAAAATAATTGTTGAGAATGAAACAGATTTTGATCTTTTGGATTCGGAATTCACATTTCGAATCAAAATTGATTTTTTCAACCTGATCCGATTTGAATTGATTCCGAAGCCGATTGCTTTTTTTTGAGCTACCAAACTCTTAGTATCCCTTCTTACAGTACCCCTATTACCCCTTGCTATTCCTTATAATGCTCGTCAATATATCAATAGTGGTTCTAATAATCTTGCTAATCCTCCTAGCAATTCTCATATCCCTCGACAGCCCAATTATTATAATTCTTCTCAATTTCGTCCTCACAATGGCAACCGCCTATCCAACAACCATCGCTATTCTCAACTTTCTCCTATGCTTCCATCAAATCTTCTCAATTCGATTTCGATGGTTGGGACCATTCATATTTCTCATCACACTACCATTCGTTTATTATCAATCATTGGCAATTTATCGACGCACGATACATTTAATTAAATTGGATCAAGGCGATGCTGTGAGGCCTTTTATCGACGAGCTCGCCCTCAAATCAATTCTCGCGATTCTAACAATTGCCGGCTACCTTCGATTAGTTTACAGAAAAACTGGAAGGAATGTAGACGTCGCTGTGTTCAAGCAAGCTTTTCCCATCGCCTGCTTTCAATTGGTAACCAGCATCCTTTAAAGGAGACCCCCCCCTAATGGATTCAGATTTCTACTATTGCCATCATTTTTACGCATATGCAAATGCTGAAGAATAATTCGGAAGCGAAAAAAGTGTTTGTCGTCAAATATGGATTGTGTCAGCTTCTATGTAAGCGCTTCATTAAGAATCTCTCCAATTGACCACCATTCAGGCATCGTGGTCCCATTCTCAATAATTCTCGGGAATCGACATCGACACAAAAGGAATATTCAAATCGGTTCAACAAATGAGACGACCAATTTCGAATATACGTCATCGCGTCATCTACCGTATCCGAAATGAGATGTCGAACACCTGAAAATTGAATAATGTTTCAAAATGGGCAATCAAGTGTATTTTTTGAATTCTTCACCTCGACTTTTTCTACATTTGTCATGTTTGACAATCAAACAAAACTCCATCATGATCACAAGGAATTCACTACAGCACATCTCATGGCGTTCTTTTCATATTTAATTATATCTCAATTGGTCATTCTATATTTGAATATCGCTTTAACCATTATGCTATTCCGAACCTTCAAGGTCGAATATAAGGCAAGAAGCAGCCAACAGGTTCCCATTCCTAATAAGGTATCTCTTGTTACAGTACCCCTATTACCCATTGCTATTCCTTATAATGTTCCTTAATATATTATTCGCATTTCTAACCATTTCGGCCCTATTTTTATTATTCTGGTTCCTCCTAACCCCCTTTATAATAATAATTATAAATTTACTGCTGATGATGGCCATATCATATCCGTCTCTAATATGCATCCTCGACTTCCTCTTGTGCATCCATCGCTTCTCAGTGATGTTCATAGATTCCGAATTCTGGTCGACTCGAATCCGATGGAAGGGACCCTTAATATTCCTGAGCAGTGTACCATTTGTATTCTACATATCATCGAGTTCATTGACTTATGCCGTCTATTTGACTGAAAGAAATGAAGAAAGCAATAATAGTTTAATATTTTTTATTATCGATCTTTCCCTCAAAACCATATTCGGAATTCTTACATTTATTGGCTACGTAGTGATATTTTTGAAAGTTGGCGGGCATCGCAGAAGAATTGGTCGATCCGTCGACTTTTCCGTCATCCAGCAAGCTTTTCCCATCGCTTGCTTTCAATTGGTACGACGGGATTCCGCTAGAATTTCATTTTATCACTGATTCAGGTTACGACAATTTCAATAATTGTCATGCATTTGAAAATTTCTGGCGAAAGTTATTGGGAGCTCACCAAAGTGTGCATAGCGAAATTTGTCTTCACTCAGCTTCTTTGTAAGAGCTTCAACAAGACTCACTTAATTGGAACCATCAATATTCAGGCATCGTGGTCCCATTCTCAATAATTCTCGGAAATCGAAATCGACGCGAGAAATTCGGCGATTTCTACATTTGCTCCAGAAACACTCCAATTAATCCAGAAATATAGATGATCGAAGCTGAAAAATAAAATAAAGTGACAGCCGAAATCAATACCAGCAAAACCCTGAATTTTCAGATTTCTAAGATTTTCTTTATAAAGTCTTTAATATAATTGAATGTAGTCATTGGGAATACTTCTACAGTGACGAAAAGACATACGAACCATACGAAGTAGATGGCAGACAAAATTTTTCTTCAATTTTTGAAAAAAAAAAATCACGAAAAAACATTGAAAACCCATTGAGAAAAAGCAAAATGACAAAAATGTTGAAAACGAAAATAGTGAGGCGTGGCCGCATTGTGCAAAGCGGCGCACGGTTTTGCAATGCTGCGGCACACCATGACTAAATTGTATTTGGCAGTCTCTAAGCAAAGCGAGGCGCACAGTTTGACTGAATTTGACTGATAGTTGACTGAACAGTTGACTGAATTAACATAAATCTAACAAGTAACATACAACATAACATAACAAGTTGTAAGTAACATAAGTCATCAAAATGTGGAAGCGAAATTTCGTCAAACTTTGCCTATCAAGTAGTTTAAAATTTTATATGATAACATAGGTATATTTTATTGAATTTTGTGGAAATTGTCTTGGTCCGCCGTCCAGATGCCAATTATATAATGTATAACGATATATTCGTCCCATATTTCTTTCACAGCCACCAAGAATTACGTTTTGCTTCCGTTCCACAGATTTCCCAAAATGCTTCCGTTATGCTACTATCCCGCTTAATCAGTACTGATCCACTGGATGGGCGAGAGGAAAGTAATTATGCTCTCATGTTTTTTTGAACGGGTTCAATCCCTCCAACCCAACACTTGATTTTTTGCAATAACTTTTTTCACTCTAATAATCTTAACTTTCAACTTTATGATTCATAAATTATGAATATTCCTTAGGCGGACAGCAAAAAACACTTCCCATATTAGGCTACTAATATTAAAAATAACTGTTAGGGGCAAGTTTTACCCAATCTAAATATCGATATATCACGGGACCAATTAATTGACAGCCCCCACAATTTTCAAAGTCGTTCGTTTCTGCCAATAAAATTCAAGGGAATTATCGTTGACTTGAGAAATTTGAATTTCGCGGCCTGCCATTTAATTGGTCCCGCAAAACACGTGTGCTGATATCCAAAATACTTAAAATTTATAAAAATTATGCTCATTCATATTATGATAGTTAGAAAACGCTAAAATCGCTCCTAAATATTTTTCCATGTGAGACCCAAGGCGGCAATTCAAACAAGAGCACAGTCGATCACGGGAAGGCCGTGCAGATTTTGCCGAAGACTTTCAGCAGACTTTTCTAAGAAAATGTCTACTGAACGTCTTTGTGTTGTCTGTTTTGCAGAGCCCGCTGAAAGTCTGCGCGAACTCTGCGCGGCCTTCCCCCCGAGATGAGTCTCGAGCGAAAAACTCACGCCTAGTTTCGTTGCTCATTATTATAATAATGTCTAAATGCCAAAATCGACGATAATTTTTGTGCCGCTGATTTAAAAATTTTTTATTACTTTTTTTTGTGCTGAAGTTTTTACCATATTAGGAAAATTTTTTTGCACTTTTCCGTTGAAAAAATCTCTAGCTTCAGAGCTCTTCGGAAACCGGTTTTTCCGGATAAAATTTTTCAATTTTTAATTCCAATTATCGTCGGCCATACGCGGGGGTAGATTTACGCGCATGCACCTTTAAACGGTCTCGCCACGTGTGAACCCTTTTTCTTGATGAGTTTGGCGTTTCTTGAAATTCCTAACGTCGTTCGATTTGAAAATTATCGAAACGATCCATAAAATGTGAAGCAACCAGTTTGTCCGCGCGAGACCAAGAGAAAGGAGCATGCGCGTAAATCTACCCGTGTACAGCAGTCGCCAGACGCCGACTATAAATGCCCAATTTTAACGATATTCCTCTTATAGTTCATTCCGTCCAATTTTCAGAAACTTCTCGAATAATTCGAATTTGATTCATGTCCCTTTAAATTTTTTCTCGGAATCCGTACTGTTCATAAATGATGTTATAGTCCACAAATGAGCCCTATAGACATGTCTCGTTCTATAGCACCCTCTCACTCTCCCACTATCTATGTTTCTCGCCTTTTTTCTCTGCGTCTCTTGTATTTCCCTATTGTTTGTAGCATGATCTCGGGGCACTACATATAAAAGCTCCAACCAACCTCATTTTGGCATTCTATTTGGTTGAATCAATAAAGTCGCCTTGACCAAATCTCGTGTACCACAGAGCCACGCCTACAAACACAACAAACGAACAAGTGGTGTCTTCTGAAAACCTCATATCCCCCCGCTACTTATTTTCAGCGGGTTTTCTCATTTCCTTCATCTCATTGTTTTTCTTCAAGCAAAATTCTCTCTATATATATACACAATCGCAAAAAATCGAATCACAAATTTTCACTTCAAACGTTTTTTTTTTTTGTTTTTTGAACAAAATGGGGCCACGCGTTGCGGCTCGCGAGCGGTCGTTCAAAATTTTCTCAAAATCTCAAAACTTGTTTGTAGTGATCTAAATTTTGATATAATCTGGTTCCGAACCTTCCAAAAATATTCAGTATCGCCATTTTCAGAAATCATGGTAGCCCGCTAGAATGAGAAAAATAATAGCGCACGCGAGCCGCAACGCGCCTGACGACATACATTCATATTAGCGGAACATTGCTATCAATTGATTCGTTTTCAATAACCATTTTTTTCAGTTAAAATTTTAAAAATGTATTCCAAAGTGCTGGAAACCAACCCAATAGGCAATACCATATTCGGCGAATTCGGCCAACAAATCATTTGGGGGATGGCCATTTTATTCATTATTTCTCAAATAATTGCAATCTATTTGAACATCGCTTTAATCATTATGCTATTCCGAACCTTCAAGGTCGAATATAAGGCAAGAAGCAGCCAACAGGTTCCCATTCCTAATAAGGTATCTCTTGTTACAGTACCCCTATTACCCATTGCTATTCCTTATAATGTTCCTTAATATATTATTCGCATTTCTAACCATTTCGGCCCTATTTTTATTATTCTGGTTCCTCCTAACCCCCTTTATAATAATAATTATAAATTTACTGCTGATGATGGCCATATCATATCCGTCTCTAATATGCATCCTCGACTTCCTCTTGTGCATCCATCGCTTCTCAGTGATGTTCATGGATTCCGAATTCTGGTCGACTCGAATCCGATGGAAGGGACCCTTAATATTCCTGAGCAGCTTACCATTCATCTTATTCATCGCCACCGAATCATTGGCCTACGCGATGAACCAATTCGGAATTGCCGGCAGACGTGATCGTCGTGCTAGCATTCCATTGATGTGTTTCGCCTATGAGCTTACTATTAAATCGAGCCTTGGCAGTTTGACTTTTATTGGCTACCTCGTGATATTGATGAAAGTGATCGGTCAGAGTAGGAGGGTCGGCAGGACGATCGATTTCACTGTTATCAGACAAGCTCTTCCGATTGCCAGTGTTCAATTTGTAAGCAAATTCCCATTTTACACGATACGGTTTAGAAAAATTGATCGAGACAGACTTTCAAAAAGCGAAAATGCAATCACAGGCCAATTTTTAAAATTATGTATTACTCACGATTTTCTTTCATTTCCACGAAGTTGTGTTTTTTATTTTGATTAAAAAAAATATAATAATATAAATGTATCGTTCATTTAGTTTTACTTAATTAAATTAACTCATATGCGGCCGTGGCTGAACATTTTCTAGGACGCACTTTAGTTGTGGCGAGCCGTGTAAAATTTTTCGAAGACAAAATTTTTGCCTTACAAGGAGAAATGTTTTAACTATCGTTCTGCACATTCTAGACCTATGACTGTCAAAATCAATAATATAAATTAGCATCTGAATTTTAAGATTTCTAAGATTTTCTAACAAGTGATGCACCTTCGAGGCTAACACTCAGAGTTTAGTGTCGCTTTCTGCATGCAGCGATTTCAAACGGACCTTTTTTGGTAAAATCCTAATTTTGGGCGTGTACCGTGTCCGAAACCGTTGTCTTACCACCTGATGAACTGATTAGCTTCAAAATTAGAACTCGAGTGGGGTAGGATCTCAGATGCTTATGAGTTATGATTCCGAGGATGAACCACAGTTGACACTCAGCGTCTTGTCAAACGCCGAGCCTCAAATGTGAGTTAAAGATGGGTCACAATTCACGCTCAGCGTACGTTCAGTCACAGTTGGTACGTGTTTGACATTCGGCGTTTTACCTGTGGATGCGCGGGAGGACAATAGTTATGCTTTCATGATTTTTTGTGCGGGTTCAACCCCCTTCAAAGCTCGAATTTTTTGCAATTTTGTTCTTGAATAATCCAATTTTTCGACTTTAAGCAAATTCCCCAACATTACAATACACTTTCCTTGTCAGGTTACTAATATATTGCTCCTTTTCTTGCACATGGGCAATTCTCAAGGATTATTGTCGTTCGGAAAAGTGTGCACAGCGAAGTACGCCTTCACTCAGCTTCTTTGTAAGAGCTTCAACAAGACTCGCTTAATTGGAACCATCAATATTCAGGCATCGTGGTCCCATTCTCAATAATTCTCGGAAATCGAAATCGACGCGAGAAATTCGGCGATTTCGCAATTTGCTGCCGAATCGTTCATCGAATTCGCCCTGCTGATTATAATTCAACTATTGAGACAACATTTAATTCTACTAATTAGTTATACGTGCTAGTTAATTGCGGCAAATCATTCATTTTTCAATTTCATTAAAAAGAGGCGAACGTGCGCTAATAATTCTGAGGGTATACGGTACACACGTCGGTGGTTGCACACACACACACTAGTTGACGCGCATGTACGGAGTGTGGAGTTTTAGTCATTGATTTGAATTAATTTCTAAATTTGATCAGTTTTTATTCTTTCTTGAGGTGTATTGAAGTAATGAGAGCTTGACTAAATAATATTTGTTCTATTTTTGTACTTACGATCATACTTTCTTATTTTTCGAACTATTCTAATTTCTGACTTTTTTTTTTGCTAAACCAAATTGAGATAAATCCTTTTTTTTTAAAGATTTGCATCATAATCTTTAAGCAGGCTTTAACCAAAAATTATATTCTAATTGATAATTGTGCAGTGAAGCACAACCCGGCACGACCAGTCGAAAGCATCGTCGCTGAAGCTTGAAATCGCGGAAATCTATTCTAAATGTGCTTTGGCTTATGACAATTCAATTTTCGAGGCGAATGGTTTTTTGTAATCCAAAATATTGCAATTAATGTCGCGGAATATGAAGCGAGTACGAGATGGCCGCGGCCGAGGAAACATGGCCGACGGCCGCCACCTCGGTTTTTCGTTTCGGATTTTTATGCTGGTTATAACTTCGAACTGATGGTTTTTCACGCTTCTTTTCGATCTATTTTTAAATTTCGTTAATTTATTTTTTTTTTCGACAATTGTTCCCTCTGCTTCTTATACGGATTTAACAACTTCAATAATTATATTCTATACTCAATAAAATATTATATTCATCAACCGCTGAAGTCTCTGCCGGCCCCACGACGACAAATTGACTTGGTCCCTATTCGGTAATCGTGATTCGCACTTGAGACTTGGAATCCTCAAGATTGGCCACCTCGACATCCTCCCTATCATCTCAGTGATTTTAATAATCATCAAAAAATTTCAGATAATTTTAAATTTGCGCAAATCATTGCCACCAACCGTGAAAATCTTCTCGAATGATTTTTTTAAGAGGCTTCAGCACCATTCAGCGTTAACAATTGGTCTAATGAAGCAATCATCAAGCCCACACTATATATATAGCCATCTTCAATCATTCTCACTCGAGCATCGAACATGGAATTCGAAATGAGTTCCATCTTCAAGATGGTCGATAATCAAACCACCATCACCTCTGAAATCATCACTATAATTTCTGAAATGGATCCAGTCTACATCTCAATATTCATTGCCTTTTCGCTGATATCTCTATTCGCTTCAATCTATTTCAATGGTCTGCTGTTCATTATGATCTACAAGCTTATTCGCCTTCAATTCCAAATTAAACTCCAACGAGCCTTCCCTTATTTGGCATTCACTTTGAAGTATTCCAACTACTATCCAGTGCTATTCCTTATAATCCTTCTGAATATTCTATACGTTGCTGCGAATGGTTCAATAGTTGTTCCGGCCCTTCTGGATTGTAGGCCTACTCAATTCTACATTCCGATTCTTATTGTAACCGCCGCTTCCTATCCAGCCATTGCCTGCATTCTCGACTTCATTCTATGCGTCCATCGATTCTCGCTGATCTTCCTGGATGCCGAATCATTGCCATTCCGCATCCGACTCATCGAGCCATTGATCCTTCTAATCAGCTCGCCATTACTATGCCAAATGATCGCATTATCATCAATCTATGCGGCGAATCAACTTGGATACCAAGTTGGCACTATTTTCAAATATCGAACGCTCTTCGATTTTTTCGCCACCGAACTCTTCCTAATCGTCGTCTTCAATGGAATATCACTTGGCGTTTATTTGGTGATTTTGGCGAGGGTGGCCCGCCAATTTTGGAAGTTTGGAAGGACGAACGACTTCACGGCGATCAAGCAAGCGATTCCGGTCTCCGGCATTCAATTTGTAGGAAAATTAATGGGATTTTATGTTTTTCATTGTTCAATTTCAGATTGCCAATATTCTAATGTTTTTTATGTATAATCAATCCATCGAAAATCCGTGGAACTTTGGAAAAATCATAATGATCAAATATGTGATCACCCAGATTCTCTGTAAAAAAAAACCCAATTTTCCCATTCAAATCGCTATCAATTATTCAGGCGTCGTCATCCCAATCGCAATTCTTCGCGGCAATTCCCATCTTTGGCAAAAATTCAAACGTTCAGGAATCTGCTGCCGACGAAGGACCATTCAAATCAGTCCGATAATTGGCAATGATCAAGTAATTTATATAATTAGCGCACAGCGTGATAATTTGTCTTGGAGCAGTTTCGCGCAAGCCCCTAATTAAATAATTGCCATATATTTCTATATTCCCGAGTTTTGGAAAATTATCCCATATTCACCTCACCAATATCTATGAAATTCGGGACCATTTGGAATGAATTGAAGGTATCAAGCTGCTTTTTCCAAATATGGAATTCATTGTTATTGCAGGACCCACATTCTTTAAAATATTCAACAATTCGTATTTCTAAGCTTTTGCGGAATATTGATTGGCCAAAAAGAAACAATGGCAAAGCGAACGTGCGAAGGATGATTAAAGGCGCACAAGAGACCTCTTTTTTAAAATTTGCCAATTTTTCGTTTTTATTTCATTCTAATATTATCAATCATCCAATAATCAATGTTTTGGAACAAATATTTAAGAGAGATTTTTATTGGTTTAGGCGGCGGCCGGGAAAAACTAGTCCACGGCCATATTTTCATTCCATATTTTTCAAATCGAAATTTTGATTTTTTTTTAAATCTGTTTTTGGCAATTTTATTCATTTCTTTTGTATTATTTGACTATAATCGTTAAAAATTTAAATATTAGTGTAAAATACTCAAATTTTACCAATTTCAAGAATCAACTCGGTGGAAAATCAGTTTTTCTCGATTTTCTTTTTTCGACGTTCAAATAAATTTCTCAAATTTTCTACTCCCAATAATGTTCGCTAAGGGGTAGTTCAAGGGGAGATGCTCAACATCGGCCAATTTCTGGGACAATTTTGTTCGAGGAGAATCATCGTCGCCAAGCAAACATATTACTGTTTTCAATTTGCATAGGAAACTTCGCAACAAGTCCAATCTAATAGCTCTGTGCCAAAAAATCGAAATTCCCCTTCAAAATTTAAAGAGGATGCCATTCTCAATAACTTTCCACAACAAGGGGGAATCTGCTGGCAAAATTCCATAAATTTTTTTTAAAATATATAATAGTCGTCCGACGCATATGAGGCGCTATTGTTTGAATTGCCGCCTTGGGTCTCGTATGGAAATACAATAAAGCGCGATTTTTGCGTTTTCTAACTATCATAATATGAATGAGCATAATTTTTATAAATTTTAAGTATTTTGGTTATTAGTACAAGTGTTTTGCGGGACCAATTAAATGGCAGCCCGCGAAATTCAAATTTCTCAAGTCAACGACAATTCCCTTGAATTTAATTAACGCTAATTAACTCCCATTATTGTCAATTTTTATAAAACTGGCTGAAAACAACAAATTTGAAACCACAGAGGGATTCACTTAGTCTCATCCTCGTCGACGAATCCGCTGCTCTTGTAGCATTCATGGCACAATGAAATCTCTAAATCAATATCATGTGAACTATTGCTACCGTAATCGCTACCAATCGTCGCCGGATAGCCGGCGAAATCGCTTCGGACCGCCTTTCGGCACTCATCGCAAAGTCGAATGTGAAGAAACGCCGGCTGATGGGGTCCGATGCTTCCAACAATCGCGCCGCCGTTCACCAACTCGTCGCGGATCTTCTCGATCGCCATCCAATAAATCATGTCGCTCATCTGGAATTCGTGTTTATTGAACGCGATGAAACGTCAACGAACCTGATCGTCATCGATGTCGCCTGAAGCGACGGTAGGCTTCTTGTCGGTCATTCGTCGAGCTTGTTCGCCAAATGGCACAAGATTTACGAGCATGAATATGAAGGGGAGTGAGTTTGTGATTGGCGGAGACGCAGAGAGGCGCGCGAGCGCGATCATATGCTTTTGTGCGTCGGATTTTGTCAATTATGACAAATTTTTTTTAGGTGACGCCCAGCGAGGCTATAATTTTGTTGGTTTTGATCTACCCTATGGGGTCTCGTATGGAAAATGCGCGTCTCTCTGAGCGCTTATTTTTTGAAATATTTCAGTTTGGCAATTATCGAATCTCTAAGCAGCGCGAGACCAACAGAAGCCCGTAAATCTACCCCGACTATATAAGCTGGAATTTTTTGTTTAAGAATTTTTATATCTAAAAAAACTTCAAAAAATTGTCATAATATTTTGATTCTCAAAATATTCTTTTTCTAGCTTCCACTAAAAAAAAGGCCTTTGTGATGCAAATATTCTGAATTTCTGCTTTCTAGAATGTTATCATCAACCAAAAATCATCTTTTATAGATTAGATAATTTTCAATTTTTAATCAGTTTCCCCCCACAATCCATCGATTCATTGCACGTTTTCGTCGAACCTGATATGACGAGACAATTGTTCGTGCTCGTGTTGCCGCTTCTGACAATTTTGTGCTCAGCCGACAAGTGCTCCGATTGTCTGGCAAGCGGGAAGCAGTATGGCGCCAATTTTTAATAACTATTGTATTTTTTTTTGCAAAATATTCTTTTAGCTGGTGTGAAACATTGAAGAAATGCGGAGTTTCGCCATGCCTCACAGCCATTACGGTGGGTTTACATTGCAAACATCTGCGGACAGATTTCCGGGATGCGCCACAATCGCCAGTTCATTGTTATTAGCGGTGGCGGCAATTCAAACACATAGACGTTTCGTTTTATAGAAAGCATTGAATTGCCCAGAGCTTCCGGACAAAGCTCACGCCTATGACGACAATTTCATTCGGACCAAGGTATTCATTACACACGCGGCTGCTTATAACATGGACCCGCAGACATGCTTCAAGTAGGAAATGCTTGAAACACAGCATTCCGCTAATTTTATTTTCAGCAAACAGTTGCCATCAATGAGAGTTTCCCAAATAGTCAACATCAATTGTGATCCAGTGGGACCCAGTAATCGAAAAAACAAATCATTTCTGAAATTTTCATGTTTCCGATTTCAGAAGCGAATTGCTTCAGCTTCATTGCTGTCGACACCACGCAAAAGGCGATCGTGCTCGCATTTCGTGGGACCATTGGAAATATCCAGTTGGCCGAGGAGCTTCTCGACTTTTTCCGGTTTGGTTTTTGCGAATATTCTCACCTTGACGATTTGTAGAGCCAAGAAGCAATTTTTCGACGCTGGCCATGTTTTCGAATATTTTTATGATGCGTTCCTGATCCAGTGGAATGCTGGCCTTCAATCGGACCTTCGAAAATTGAAATACCAATATCCCGGATTCGAGCTCTGGGTTACTGGGCATTCTCTTGGAGGTGCTATGGCCAGCATCGCCGCTTCTTATATTGTGAAAGTCGGACTCTATGATGGTACTCAAATTAAGCTTGTGACCCTTGGCCAGCCGAGAACTGGTGATTACGATTATGGCATGATAAGGCGGTAATATATTATTATTATTTTGGAAATTTAATTTTTCCTGTAGAAAATTTGATGAAAATTGATTTTCTCCAGAAAAAAAAATACAAAAACGAAATTTTCACACGACTTTTTTTTTGTTGAGAGAAATGGATTTTCAGTTTCCTTATTCATTCCGAATTGTTCATCATCGCGATATTGCTGCTCACATTCCTCCACAAGAAGGTCCCGACGAGTATTTCCATCATCGCACTGAAGTTTGGTACGGGGGGCTACACACCGCCTCACAAAGAGTTTCTCGAATTTCTAGGTACAACAACAATATGACCGTTGGAATGCCTTATAAACTTTGCCCGGAAGCTGATGGATTGTATTGTAGTGCTACACAACTTGACACAAGCGCTGAAGACCATTCGTGGTACTTTGGAATTAATTTCATTGAATGGGCTCAAAATGGATGCCCGAAATTGAATTGAAGATAATAAAACATTTATTATTTTTGGTCATTTAATGTATTTATTATATGTTACACTTCTTATTAATATATTTGTTTTGAAAATATTTATTTTTGTGTAGTAATTCTCTTATTTGGAGTGATGAGAACGTTTATTTTTTATTCCAACTACGGTACGCAATTTGGTGCATTTTTGCGTCGCACTTTGCGGACACAAAATTGTTTGGGTTTCGAAAATTCGCATTGCGTCTTTTCGCTCTCATTTTTTCTATTTTGTCGTGTTGCCATTCATTTATTTTGTAAAAAATATTGCGAAAAGTGAATTTCCAATGTTTATTTTGATAATTTATTATTTTATTACTTGTTAAAAAACAGAAAATCTATCTTGAAGGCATATCTCACAAAATTCACTATTTCTAACAATTTTTAAGTGGTTTTCGTATTTCCTAAATGCAAATTTTAATTTAATGTTTTTCAGCCAACAATGTCATCGAGAAAGATTCAAAAGATTATGGTGCAACCGGTCAATCTGATCTTCAGATACCTTCAAAGTCGTACACGCGTTCAAATCTGGCTCTACGAGGATGTCACCCACAGAATCGAGGGATATATTATTGGTTAGAAGAGCGAAGCAAACAGTCAAAATTATTGCAAATTTTCAGGATTCGACGAGTTCATGAACATCGTGTTCGATGAAGCTGAGGAAGTTAACATGAAGACCAAGCATCGCAACAAGGTCGGCCGAATTCTTCTCAAAGGCGATAACATAACGCTGATCCACTCCGTTCAGCAAGAAGCCTAAGTTGGTTGAAATCCGCTCTCTCAATATTTCTGTTTTATTAATCAATTTTCTGGTTTCTGTGCCGGATCTCGAAAAATTATATATTCCCATTCTGTTGTCCAGCCCATCAACGCGATGAAATGTTTCCATTTTCTCAATCAATTTTTGTTTCGTTCCAATTTCATAAATTATTTTTAAGAATCGCCGGCCGGGAAAAGGTGTTCATTCTTGTTTCAAAACGTCAAAAAGCTTGCGTTAAAAGTGTGAATAATAAGAATAACGATAATAATGGCACAGATATGTGAGAAGGGAATGTTTTTGAGGGTATCTATACATTAAATAATACGAAATATCCAAAATAACGGGTAAAACAATTAGCGGTTCGTGTAAAAGCTATCAAACATCTTATGATTCTGATGGTTTGTGAGGCCGCAGAAGCTGAAAAAAAAACTGTTAAAGCAAAAAATTCAACAACTTACTTGTCCATTTCAGCATTGAACGTATGATTCATATGATTCATAGGTCTTCTGAGTGCTTGCGAATTCAGCTGCTGAGTCTGCTGATGCTGTTGCTGCTGGTAGGGGTAGGTCTGATATTGCGGAAGCGGTGCCATAATATTCGCTTGAAGTGTCAAATTGGCGAAGTAGTCCATCATGGCGGGCGGCATGACGCGACTCGAATGAATGAATTGGCAGCGTTCGCCGTATTTGCAGATGCCGTTCTTCGAGAAATTCTCGCAAAGCACCGTCTTGTATTTGGGATGAATTCGACCGCGAGGCTAGAAATTGGGCAAAATCATTCAAAATTGATGATTTTCGTGTGTTCAAAGAAAACCAATTACATGAGCTAGACGGAGCTCTTCGATTCCGTGAGCAAAACGGCAATTCTCGCCGTAACTGCATTGTTTCGTTTTACGATAAGCATCGCACAATGCGGTTTTATAAGCTTCATCCTGTAAAATCGAAATGCAAAGTATTTTCAATAAGCGACTTCAACCTTTCTTCGCTTCTTGATCAAGGTTTCACGAATCTCATCAGGAAGTACGTCACGATCTTGGCTGATAATCGCGTTGTGCAAATTGGTCGTCATTATCGACTCGTTGAACACTCGTATCGGCTCCGCGTCCTCTCTTTGACCCTAGGAGTCGAATGAGATTAAAATTTTTCCACGCAAGACCCAAAGCGGCAGTTCAAAATGGAGAGCAATTTTGAATTTTTTGACTCAAAAAATTTGAAAATCACAAAATTTCGTGAAAGCCATGCTTTTAACATTACCTTGCTGAAATTTTCCTGACGCATTGACATGCTTTTATTCAGTGACGAATCGCTGAATTGAATCGCTGCTGGGCACGTGGCATTCATAATCGATGAGTTGTACGAATTATCGAAAGTCTGACGATTGAGCCGATCCATTTGTTGGGCGAGAGTGCTTTCCATCATTGCTAGAATAGAAAAAAATGAGAATTGGCTGTTGAAAGATTCCCCAAAATAAAGAAGGTTGCCGGAATGTATAAGAAATTTGGGAGAGGAATTGGAAATTCGACAAAAAAAAAACCCATATTCAAATTAACAACCGCGTTAGAAAAGATCAAATCAAATTTTGATGAACATTCGACGATTAGAATCAAGCATTTGTTTGATCTATAAATTGTTTGAAATTCGCGCGCAAATATTAACACGACGTTTTCCAGATGTCGAAAATTCTGAAAACAATTTTCGACGTGCCCACGATTTCCGGCTATTTCGGATAAATGCTTTTCAATTGGCCCCCAGAGTTGGCGTTTATTGAAAAAATAACAAGAAAAACCCTCCATTGGACTATTAAATCATTTTATTTTATAAGCCGGTTAACTATTCTTCACATAATCAATGTTTCAATAATTTTCTGAACCCAATTTTTTTGCTGTTGTTGACAAAAATCCGTCCCGATTTCAAATACTCTTCGAATTCAAATTGACCGCATTTGAATGTTATTTGTCGGTGGCCGAGCGAAGGTCATTTCAGCGTCCTTTTCAAGGTTCTTTTTTATGGCAATTATTTAGAAGCACTAAAAAAATCGAAGCGAGTGATAGGCTACCGTTTCGCAACAACGATTTTGGTCGAACTGGTTTTTTCGCAACACGTTGGCCCGATTCCCTTTTTGTCACCTATTGTATTAGCTAATAAAATGATTATACATAGTTAGACTAGTATTTTTTATTGATTTGAATAAGTACAAAAGAAAAATCGAAAGTAATTTAAATCAGTGTTACTGTAGTTTAAACAATCTGTGAAGTGTTCACAAATTTAACACTATATTTTACGCAATTATTTTTTTATTTATAAATTATAATTTTATGCTTGTTGTTTTCCAGCGAAAAACCTTGTACATTATTTATTATATACCTATTCCTCATTGTTTGCGGTTATTATCAACACACAGCGTGCTGAGAAAAAAATGTCAACCCAAGCGCGTCTCTCTATTACACACTCGCCGGGTCCTCTCACGTCAGCGATCAATGTTGATGACACATTTTGATTTTTTTTCGTTGAAAATGCGTCTCCTTTTCCGGCGATGCCATCTAACGAAAAACTGACGTCGTGACACTTTTTCATCCTGCGTCTCAACGCGAATTTCAATATTTTCAGTATTGTTTTGACGCGCGGCGACTCATTCGAAAAAGTGTTTTGTTTTATTTTCAGTGTTCCGCCTTTTTTTGGTGTCTCTTAAAAAGTCGATAGTCATTCAAACCCAAAACGACGTGTTATTTATTTGCGAACATTGTAGTATTTGCGCGAGTTTATACAAAAACGAAAAATCGTCGCACAAGATCCGTTTTTTTATTTACATTTTACCATTGTACTATCTTTTCTTTATTTCCTTGTTCGTCACGACAATTTCGTGTGCGAAAATTGCGACACGAATTCCAATATTTTCCAATAAAGAATCCATCTTATCAAAGTATGGTGTGATTTATTGTTTACCTGCCCAAACCCTATTGATTACTCTCCAGCAATTTTCGCGTTTCATTTGTTTGACTTTTTTTACAACCCGTTAGTTGTATAGTAGTTATTAGTTTTTTTTCAGAAGGTAAGCGGCATTTCTCTCATCGATGCCGTCGACGACGACGGCGCGGGATAACAACCGCCACATATCATTGGGTAAGATTAATTTTTCATTCCAAATTTCGTAACTCACAACCAATACACAAATATTTGGTGCTACAAGTCATAAAGTATGCTTCAATTTTTTTTGGTCATTTTTGTTGGCTCATGACGTGCTTTGTTTCCCAAAACATAAAGCGCTTTAACAAAATAATTATTGAAAAAATTGTTTTTTGGAACTCTGAAAATATTTTCTAGATTGTTTTTTTTGGAAATAGAGAAGCAAAAAAACTGATGTACCCATTCATCCAATAAAAATTTTAAAAAATGCACATTTAATGTAATTTTTTAATTTTTTTTTTGTAAAAAATACATGTCCATGAAATTAAAAATGAAAATTGTGCAATATTTTTCAGACATGTGAAAATTTTTTCTTGAAATCGCTAACAAATTTTCAGGTAGTGCGGACCATGCTAAACGAAAACATTTCTGCACAAATCGAATCAGCACGTGTAAATACAATGGCCTCTCATTTCTACCAAGATTTCTCTATGAGCAATTCAGGCGATATAATAACATTTTCTTCCTCGCCATTGCATTATTACAGGTACCATCGAATTCGGCGATTTTTTATTGAAAAAATTTTTTTTGCAGCAAATTCCCGACGTGAGTCCAACTGGACGATACACCACGGCTGTGCCCTTCATCATCATTCTGTCAGTTTCAGCGCTCAAAGAAATTTTTGAGGATATTGTGAGTCCGATAAAATACTATATCAAACTACTTGGAAAGGTTTTTAGAAGCGGAGAAGGTCGGACCATAAAGTCAATGGATTTCCGGTGGAGATTTTGGTTGATGGCAATTGGGTCCGAAAAGAATGGAGAGATGTGAGTATTTGGGATTTGTGAAATTTTTTGTGAAAAAAAAAATGCAAAATCTAGGTGAAAGTCGGCGATTATATTCGCGTCGACAACGACTCGCTGTTTCCCGCCGATTTGCTATTATTGTCATCCAGCGAGCAGCAAGGAATGGCCTATATTGAGACGTCGAATCTTGACGGCGAAACGAATCTCAAGATCAAACAAGCGCTGGATGTCACCTCCTCGATGACGACACCCAACGATTTGGCGCGGTTTTCGGCGCACATCACGTGTGAGCCGCCATCGCGGCACGTCAATGAGTTCAATGGCAATATTGAGATTGGAGGCGAATTGCGACATTTTGGTTGAATTCTTTGTTCGCCTTACCTTTTATATGTGTGTTATTTCAGGAATCGATCAGCTTCTCCTTCGTGGCGCACGTCTGAAGAACACCAAATGGGTATTTGGAGCTGTTATCTACACAGGGCACGATTCGAAGTTGCTGATGAACTCGAAAAGAGCGCCGCTTAAAAGGTGATTTCTTGAATGGAAAATGTGATTATATTGTCAAATTTTCCGCCTTCATTCACCTATATATAATGAATTTGCGAATTTCCAGTGGTACAATCGATGTTCAAACCAACTACCGCATTATTTTCTTGTTCTTCGTTCTCGTTGCGCTCGCTCTCATCTCGGCAGCGGGTTCCGAATGGTGGCGAAGCAATAATATCCCGCAAGCTTGGTATCTATCATTTCTGGGTAAATTTTTATTAGCAATATTATGACGTTAACTGAAAATTGTTTTCTAGAGCATGATCCGAAGGGATCGTTTCTTTGGGGAGTCCTCACCTTCTTCATTTTGTACAATAATTTGATTCCAATCTCGCTTCAAGTCACTTTGGAGATTGTCAGGTTTTTCCAGGTAAGAGCGTTTTTCAGTTCGTGTGCCTTTAAATGTATTGTTTTCAAAGGCGATTTACATCAATAACGATATCGAAATGTATGATGTGAATAGTGACTCATGCGCGATTGCGAGAACATCGAATCTCAATGAGGAGCTCGGACAAGTCAAATTCATCATGAGCGACAAGACGGGAACGCTGACGAGAAATGTGATGAAGTTCAAGCGGGTCTCGATTGGAAAAGAGAATTATGGGAATAACGAGGACGATGAGTTTGATGATCCGAAACTTCTCGAGGATTATCAAAATGACAAGGTAACCAATTTGTAAAAATCATTAATTTTTGAAATTTTTTGATTTTAGGGATCGGATCATGCGAATGCGATAATTGAGATGTTGACAATGATGGCGGTGTGTCATACGGTGGTGCCGGAGAATAAGGATGGAGAGGTAGGAAGAATCGAAAGAGTGCGTATTTCTGATGATTCGATTATAGTTGATTTATCAATCATCGTCTCCTGATGAGGCGGCGTTGGTTAGAGGAGCTGCATCGCAAAATGTCGTGTTCCATACAAGGCAGCCGCAAAAAGTGACATGCAAAGTGGTATGTTTGACTATTGTCATGGGCCTATTCATAAAATTGCAATGTTCAAAAGCGCACGCGATTAATTGTGTGGGTCTTGATACGATTTATTACTGTAATAATATAATTGACCAGGAAGAATTAAGAAAAACGCAAATGTTTGGTGTGAATATTTCTATTTTTTCTCCACAAATGAAAATTTGAGGTAATTAAAAAAAAAGAAAATCTTGTATAGAAAGGAAAATTCAAAAAAAAATGTATTTTTTTTAATAGAAGATGCGATAAAATTACTATCGCTTTTCGCAAATTCTATAAAAAAAGTGATGACAAGATAATTGCATTTTCAAATTCAGGACCATTAGAAACTGCATATTTTTTGATGGTCCGTTAATTCGTGTCCCACAAAGTCCAAAATTGTTGGATTTTTAAGAGAAATCGATTTTTCCCTGTCTTCGATTTTTTTTCGGCATTTATTTTTTTTTCCGATTTTGCAGCTTGATGACGATCAGACATTTGAAATTCTCGACGTCATCGATTTCACTTCGGATCGGAAGCGTATGAGTGTGATTGTCAAAGATGCGCAGGGAATTATCAAGTTGTACACGAAAGGAGCTGTAAGAATTTTGCATCAAACCCCCTCCCCTTATTCGGTTCGTTTTTCAGGAAACGGTGATTTTCGAGCGTCTCAAACATGGAAGCGAGGAGATGATTCAGTACTGCACCGAGCACCTCGAAGACTATGCCTCATTCGGTTATCGAACGCTTTGTTTCGCCGCAAAGATCATCGAGCAACGTGAGTACGATGCGTGGGCTCCCGAATACAAGAAAGCGGTGTTGGCCATTGAGAACCGAGCGAAACTTTTGGCAGCGGCCGCCGAGAAGGTCGAGAACAATATGACTTTGATCGGAGCAACAGCAATTGAGGATAAGCTTCAAGAGGTTTGTCGCAATTTTATTGTTGGTGTCAAACCACTGAAGGGAAGGCGAGGGCTTCAATTTCGCGAAATCAATCTAAATATGTATATGTAGTAAATGCGCGTAAGCTAAAATGCAATGTACGCATAATTGCGTACTGCCCTGTCGAGACGCATTGGCAGAGCTGCGGAAGACAGATTTTTTTTTACGGAATCCGGAAGACATAAGATTTTATAGAAGATACAAATTGAAAATTAAGCTAATATAACCGAAACGTATCAAATTAATTTTGAAAATCTCTCACCAAATCGCTAATTAGAAATATTTGATGTTGAATTCCGTACAGCTCTGGCACATAGCCAATATATATATATATTTTTTTTCCATTTTTGCTCAATCGTTTGACACTGACATTATGAAATTTTGATATAGTAAATTTGGTGGATTCCAGTGGGTGCCGGAAACGATTCAAGCATTGATGGCGGCTGATATACGAGTGTGGATGTTGACGGGAGATAAAAGAGAAACGGCTATCAATATTGGTTTGGGATTCGGAATTTTCGAAGATTTTTTTTGCAATTTGATGCTTTCAGCCCATTCTTGTGCGCTTTGCCATGCTAACACAGAACTTTTGATTGTTGACAAGGCCAATTATGAAGACACCTATGCGAAATTGGAGCAGTTTGCCGAGAGAGCTGTTGAGCTGGAATTGCAGGAAAAGTGAGAAATTTGATTGAGAAAAAAAAGCAACAAGAACAACAATTTTAGAAATTTCGCAATGGTCATCGACGGCAAATCGCTTCTTCACGCGCTCACCGGCGAGGCTCGCCGCCATTTCGGCGAGCTCGCGCTTCGATGTCACGCCGTTGTGTGCTGCCGAATGAGTCCGATGCAGAAGGCGGAAGTTGTTGAGATGGTGCGAAAAATGTCGAAGATGGTGGTGCTTGCGATCGGCGACGGCGCCAACGACGTCGCGATGATCCAGGCGGCGAACGTTGGCGTCGGCATAAGCGGCGAGGAGGGCCTTCAGGCGGCGTCGGCGTCCGACTACGCGATACCGCGTTTCCATTACCTTCGACGCCTTCTGCTGGTTCATGGCGCCTGGAATCACGATCGATCGGTGAAAGTGATACTCTACTCGTTCTACAAGAATATTTGCCTTTATATTATTGAATTATGGTTCGCGATATTCTCGGCGTGGAGCGGACAAACGATTTTCGAGAGATGGACCATTGGTAAGTCTTTCCCGATTGAATCATCAGCGTGATCCAAATCAAATCATGTTCAAGGTATGTTCAACGTCATCTTCACCGCCTGGCCTCCGGTGGTCCTTGGGCTCTTCGATCATCCGGTACCAGCCGAGCAGATTATGAAATACCCAGCGCTGTACGCGAGCTTCCAAAAAAGGGCGTTCAGTATAGCGAACTTCTCACTATGGATCGGATTGGCCGTCGTCCATTCGCTATCGTTATTCTTCTTGACCTATGCATACTTGGAGCATCAGGTTGTTTGGGATGACGGCCGGACTGGTGGATGGTTGATGCTTGGAAATTGCGCCTACACGGTATCGATTGTTTTTTTTTTCTGTGAGTGCGACAAATCGATTTGTGTTTCAGTTTGTCGTGGCTACCGTATGCCTGAAGGCGCTACTCGAGTGCGATTCGTGGACATGGCCGGTCGTCGTCGCCTCGTTTGGTTCGATTGTGCTCTGGCTCGTATTTGTTGTTGTTTATTCATTGGTAAGCTTTTGGCTGGGTGCAATTAAGTGTGCTAGCTGCATTTCTCTTCCCTCCTGAAACTGTGAGGGAATGCATACCTAAAAGAATAAGTTGGAGGCTTAATCGAAAAAATCATATCGAATTAATGCTGCGGACATTTTTGCGGTCTTCAAAATGCCCGAAAATTTGCAGATCTTCCCAACGATTCCGAGATTTGGAGCCGACATCGCTGGAATGGCGTACATCATGATGTCGTCGTGGACATTCTGGCTGGCGTTGATATTCATTCCGATTGCGACACTTATGTGGGATTTGGTCATCAAAAGGTAAAGTTGGCCGCTGGTTGTTTATTGAATTGATTGATTGATGCTACAATTTCAGCTTGTTCACAATTGCACTTCCGACACCTCGCGAATTGGCGGTGATGTACTCGAAGCGCAATTCGACGTTTGGCGGTTTCGAACGGTTAGCCAGGTTCGCTTTCTGCTGTTGTCTAATCCAGAGATGTTCGGTTCCCCTCACATTTCTTGTTTTATTATTATTATTTTTTTATCTCTCCCTTCCCCCCCCCCCCTCCCCATTTTTGAACATTTACTCTTTTTTCTATCCCCCTCCCCCTTCTCCCTCCTCTCCTTCTCGATTGGCTCGGTATCGGTGACGGAAACCCGCCCCCGGATTTTTTTCGAACTTTAGTCATTCCTCCCACTCACACCCACACACACAGTGATTGCAGCAAACAGGTGCACCTGCAGACGATGCTCGTCTCGATCGAGCGCAAATTCTGCCAATGGGTCTAGGTATGCCCATAATCGGTGTTGTGCTCTTATGGGTGTCGTCGTCATCGTCGTTGGCCACTCGAACCGTCTCGCGCTTTTTTTTTTCATTTTACTTCTGCATTTTTCTTGTGACGCTCTTCTGCTTTCATACTTACTGCTTTTTTTTTCAAGGGGCTGATGCAGAATTTTGAAAAAAAAAAATAGAGAAAATACTCAAAAAAAAAAGGAAAAATTCATTTTTTCCTTATTTTTGTTTATATTTTGCATCATTGCTCTACCATTAAAAAATGCCTTTTTAGTGGTTGATTGAGCTGCGGACAATTCTATTTTGAGGGAGGTGGCGGTTGAAAGCTTAAGCTTTTTTGTCAATGCGTCCGAGTGCGACGCTTGGTATGAAGTTCTCGAATTTTTGGAAAAGAAAAATTGCTTTTTATTGAAAAAATTGACTTTTGTTTCCCAGCTTTCATTATTTGGCTTGCAAGTTTTAAAAAGAAGCCACAAATTTTGAAGTTTTTAGCTCATTTTTCATTCGCATGGTGTGCTTTTTCCTCTATTTTTTTTCTCTTAAAGTGTGTTTGTTTCCCCTCAAACCTATCCAAAAAACACAAACTATAGTATATATAGAGATTTTATGATTTGGAAATTTCGCGTTCGTTTCACACAAAAAATTGCTCGTTCGTTTTTGTAGCAACTGGGCGCCGAATCGCGGACCGACAAAAGACGCGGCGCACGTGTTCGCGTCGCGCTTCAGCCTACGCGCCAAGAAGGTGGCGCCGAGCGCGACGACGTCGCCGACGTCGATCGGAATGGATCGCGAGAAGTCGCGCCTACACACCGATTACGGAAGCACGGAGATGAGGCGCATCGAGAACGGCGACGCCGACAATCGCCGACGCGCCAAATTGTCGTCGTACGTGAATGACGGTTATGGCGGCGACAATGTGACGAGAATCATCGTCAACGATGACGATGAGAATGATACGCGACTGTGATGATGACAACCTCTTCCCTCCCGCCAAATGTGTTTCTACTGTTCTCACTTTTTTTGTGTATGTTTGTTTGATTTCTATTGATAACCATCGCAAGAAAACGAGCACCGTTGGGTATTTGTGGACCATCGCACTCTTTTTGGTTGTTTTTTTTTTCAAATTTCAATTTTAACGATGGGAATTGGGGGCTGGGGGGTGCTCGAATTTGTGGCTTTTTCTGTGAATCCTGTTCATCAATTGTGCGTGTATCTCACTATTCGACTAACCCCCACTCAATCACTTTGTTGTTGTTGTTGTTTTCGTACCACTAGCGGTCTTCGAGTAGCCGATACCGATTATAGAAGATTGGAATTCGACAAACTTGGTTGATGCGATGCAGTCGCATGACAATTTTTATTAAAGGAGCATTGCATCTAAAAAAAAATATAAAAAAAAGTTTTTTGAAGCGAAACACTCTTTTAGACTGAGTTTTACGAATATTGTGGACGCCACATTTTTGAATTGCCAAATTTGGTGTAACATCACGAGCCTTCACCATCACCATCCCTCCCTTCCACCCGCCACCCCCCCCCTTCTCAAATCGTCACCACTTAATAAGGCTTGAACGCAATACTAGCGAGAGTTTCACCATGTTGTACGTATTAATAATCACTGTTGTTGGATTCAAACGACTAAAAGAAATTTTAAAGAAACTTTGAAGCGTACGCGCTTTCGTATTGAAATCCTGCCTCTTTTGAGTCGTTTGAAATCGACAATGTCATTTAATCATTTCTATCAACGAAGTTTTTCTTTTCGTTTTCAAAAACGAGCGATGTTTTTCAGCTATTCGTCGAATGTCATTGAAAATATGCGATTGTTGACATCAACGCTGCGCGGCGCCAACAACGACGTCGAATTGCAACGCGCACCGTCGGCGGCTTCTTTGGCTTTGGCTGAAGAGCTAAGACGTAGGTTTTTCTTCAAATTATTTATTTTGACAGTGGAATTTGTCTTTGAAAGAATGACAAATTTCTTTTGGTGTCGAAATTTGCATAAAAAAAAATCTCGCACGCCTTTAAATGGCGGACAAGTATGTGCCTTTAATGTGATTTCAAGCATTAGATTTTGATAAACTCCAAAAATTGTTTTTAAAGGCGCATTTACGTAAATGTGGCCTTGTCGAGACCTCATTTAAAGGCGCATTGATTCGTAAGCATATCGAGTTTTTGTAGGCGGCTACGCGTTTTCACAAGACGAAAATGTGCACGTTGCGACGACGGAGCTCATCCGGTCGGTCGATTCGACACGTGTCAAACCCAGTGGCCGATAATCGCCGGTTCTTCAGTGATTTATTGATTTGACCACAATTCGACGTGTAGTTTGATGATTAGGATTACGGTAGAATATATGTTGCGGGACCAACCATGTATTTTTTGTGTTGCTTGTTTTTTTTAAATCATTATTGATCCAATTTTATCTTTTTTTCCCTTGTTCTTCGACCACATACGGGCAGTTAGAGAGGTTCTTGTACTATGTGTTTTTTGCCTTACGAATTCTTGCTCATCTCGCCGTCTTGCATACAACGATTTACTAGAATTTTTAAATGTAAATAAATATTTTTGAAATTATTTGAATATTTGACTAATTGCTGAAGCCATGGAGATGCTCCCAGTTTTAGTGGCTTTCATAATTTTTTTGTGGTCGGAATTTGGTTTGACAGAAATGCCAAAAAACGTTTGAACAGCTGTTTTTTTATAATTTAAAAAATGGGATAATTATCTAAAAATATATTTTCGGAGATTTACTTTTGGGGAAAATAGTTAGGATTACATTCAACATATTAGACGAACTTAATTAAGTGACGCGATAATAATGAAGGAGGGAAGACGTGCAAAGAATAAGCAGGCGAGAGACTTCTGGCGGCGAAGAGGCGATGAGAAGCGAGACGAATCGATAAAAGCTCCGTTTTCGGAGCACACGCATGCCTGGTGCTTTCACTAATATTCGAGGCATGTTCTAGACGGCAATGGATCAGGAAGATGGGTCCGATCACGAGGAGAGGCCCGACAGTCAATTGTCGGATACGAAGGTGAGCGTCTTATCGTTTTCTTTTGTTTGCTGAAATAAAAAAACTCAATTATGAAAATTAGTGTAAAAGTGAGGCATGTAATTATGACGTCATTGAGAAAAACAAATTTGTAATTTTAGAGTAATAAAAAAAGGCTGGAGCTTAAATTTAACTGAAACGAAATATTTTTTATTAAATTTTATAGAAAAACACAATAAAATCGATTCAAAATTTAAAAAAATTGTCAATATAGGAGATAAAATTAAAAATTGGAATACCGTAACTCTTTTAAAGACGCATGGCGTTCTTAATTAATGGTCTTGTTTGGAAGTGGTTTGTAATTTTCAATTTTCCTCCAAATTTGCCGCATTTTTCAAACTTTTATCGCTAAAACACTTTACGAGCAATATTGTCGTAAAATTTAATGATGTTGAAAATTGCATTTCTTCATAATACTGCTGTAACAATGCATTATTTTCTAGACGTGCTCCGAATATGGAACCCCTGTCAAAACGCCGACATGTAATGTGGAAAATTCCCTATATGACAAATATAATGTGCAAGAAAAAGAGCTTGAAAGGTGATAATTGGTCGAAAATGTTTTATTATCAATATGGTTTTAAGGCTCGAAGCCCAAAACAATGAATATCGCGATAAATTGCTGAAAACGATTAGGGAACGCGATTTAAACGAGGAAATGTTGAAAAATGTGCAATCGCAGCACAAAAAAGAACTCGATGTCCAATTTAGGAGGGTTAAGGACCTTGAAGTTCAGCTAAAAGCAACAATGGTAACAATTTTATTCGAAATTTTTTTAAATATGAAATTTAGGACAAAGCGACTGCCCAGGAAGCTCATTTCAATGTGACAACTCGCGAAATGAGCCAGAAGTATAATAATTCGGTGCAGCAGGTTTAGATGGTCCCTTAATTCAATCAGAAATGTTTGCTTTTTTTAGCTAACACGAAAAGCGGATCAAAACGAGAAGGAGAAGAATGAGGCGGTTGTGAAGTATGCGATGAGGGAAGGCGAGATGATGAAGCTGAAAACGGAGATCGCGAAGAAGGAGCAGGAGCTGAAGGCGTGCAATGAGGAGCTGGAGCAGTGCAGGAAGTCGCAAGCGGAAGACAATCTGACAGAGCTGGTAATTTTATGGAATTTTAATCAAGAAATTGTCATTTCATGGGAAAATTGATTCAAAAATTGCCGGCTAAATGAGGATTTTGTGAAAAAAAAAACGAAATGCCTAAATTGTCTTTTGAAAATGAAAATCTCGAGTAGAATTTAAATTCAAAAATTGGTGTGTTTGTGAAAAAAAAATTATTTCGATAAAATTGTGGGTAAAATATCAACAATTTTCGAATCTCTGCGAAAAATTCACACGGAATGACGCAATTTGAAAACATTTTCAGAATAAGACCATAAATAACCTAAATGTGGAGATTGAGAAGATCAAACATGAGAAATTCGACGTTGAGAATCGTCTGAAAATCGCCGAGAAGCGAGTCGAGGTAAAATTTTCGCAATTCGCCCATTTAATCCCCCACGAAATTCGTTAGACGTTGACGTCAAATCTCGCCGAAGCCCATCAGAAGGCCGACGTTCTCAGAAAGCAGTTGATTCAAGCGAAAGATGAACGAGCGCACGCTGAAAATGCGGAACGAGCGCGACGAGAAGCCGATTTGGAAAAACGGGCGAGAGAGGCTGAAAGCGATTTGGAGCGGATGAAGGCGTCGCAAATGGATTTGGCGACGAAATTTGAGGAATCTCGAAGGTCGGTTTGTCTTTTTTTTGTCTGAAATTTAAAGGCGCATTATAGGGAAAACGACGATCTTCTCGCAAAAATTGACATTTTACAAGATCAATTGAATCTCGAGGAAGATCGACGCAAATTTTGCGAGGAGCAAATCGAACGTCTGAAAACTGTCGAGGAATTTGTTGAAAGGCAATTCTTTTTTTATTTGTTCGCTAATTTCGTGTGCTTCTCATTTCCAGCAGCACGTGTAAAGCCGAAGAATCGCAGAAGGAGCGCGAAAACGCCGAGAAGGATCGCGTTCAGGCCGAAATCGAGGCGGCCGAGTGTCGCGAGCACGCCGAGAGAATGCTGAAGCTCACGCAAGAGCTCACTGAGAGGAATATGAGCCTGACGCAACAATTGAAGGTTGCTGAGGAGGAGGTAGAATTGAAATCTGTTTTGAAATTTAAAAAATGGCTTGCAGAACCTGAAGCTTGTCAATATTACAAAGGAGCTGGAGCAGAAGGTGAAAACGATAGAGCACGAGAAGACTGTATTAGAGGAAGAGAATATGGTAAGAAAACGAAAATTATTATACAAAGCTTCAAAACTCTATAAACTAATATTAGTATGGTTTAAAGGGGGGGGGGTTATACACAGATTTTTGAAAAAAAACTTTATGCAGATTAAAAACCCCTATAAAAAAAGTCGTCGACTAAAATGCATTAGGTGTAAACACGCCCGCTCAAATTCGAAAAGCCCTCTTTGAATTTCAGAATTTTGCCCTTTTATTGCGAATATTCCAGGAAGTGAAAAACACTGAAAAAATGTTAAAATGGTAGCGTACCGTTGAAAAAAATGAATTGCGGACTTGTGCATTTGATTTGACGACAATTCGCATCTGTTGATCTTTTCTGGTTTTCTGTGAAAAATTGCAATTTAAATTCCATTAAAAATGAATTCGAAAAATATCCTCATCATCCATGGTTTGGAAGAAAACGCGATTTCTAGAATCGATGGCTTGACGCGTTGCGGCTCGCGTGCGGTCATAAATAGAAGAAGAACGTGTTATTATCATTATTCTCGAAATTTCGCGTTTTTTTTTTCCAGGAGCTTCGTGAATCTTTAAACTCGAAACCGGCCGAGGCACCTCCAACACCGACAACGTCGAAATTCGAGGACAACTTGAAACGCTTTGAAGAAAACGCTCGAAAATGTAAAATCCGTCAACGATTTTCAACTGAAATTCAGTTTTGTTTCGTCATTTTCATTTTTCAGTAGAAGCCGCTGAAAACGAGCTGTCTGAAGTGAAAAACGATTTCGCTGCGTATCGTAAAAAGACGAACGCGACGATCAAGGAGCTCAAAACTGAGTTGAGCACATTGCGAAAGTCGAGCTCATCGAATTTGGACGTCGTCCAGCCAGCTCATGTCTCGTCGGAATCGGTGCCGAGCTCGCGGTCTCGCGCAAGCTCGATTACTAGTATTGATAGGGTTACGGTAGATCAAAAAAAATTCGGAAAACAATTTCTCATATTTCGCTGGTTTTTCTCGTAGAGCGTCTCTCGAGAGGAAGAAGCCGCGGCGGCCGCCGTCGAAGAGGCGAAGAAGCTCGAAGTGCAACAGGTGATGATCGACAAAATTGTGGTCCTGCAGCGAAAACTTGCTCGTCGCGCCGAGAAAATCGAATTCCTTGAAGAACATATCAGGCAGTGTCTTGAAGAGCTTCAGAAAAAATCAAAGTATACGAATTCTAAGGCCATCGACGAGCTTATATTTTATAATTTCCAGAATTATTCAACATTATGCGCTACGCGAAGAAGCTTCACTTCTCATGCCATCGGATGGCTCATTGGAGCAGGTGAATATTTAAAATGAAATTGTCCGCAGCATGAGTTCGCTAAATCTGAATTCATGGCGCATATGTAATTATCATTTAAATTTAGCTCTTCACCAAATGTGAATTTGTACAGGTAAGCTGAAAATGTTGTGAATTTGTGTTTTGGTGCTCGCTTGACATTATTTTGCGTTTGGATCTCGGTGAACACCTGTGCGCCTTTAAAGAATTTCGATATTTTGTGAAAATGTGGAAATTGGAGGGGAGTTGAAAAAAAAAAATACTTTGAAAGTGTTGAAGAAAAATTAGTTGTAATTTTTGTTTCCATTGTAACAACGAAGCTAGGAAACCAAAGAAATTTATTCAAAAAAAAATTCCAGGTTCCAATTGCTCGCAAAAACGCGGCTTGCGCTCTAATGGGCGCCATGTTCACGTCAACCGGCGAGAAAAAGCAGACGCAACTGCTCACCGAAATCAATTCGCGACTTCAGGCGGTTCTTGAAGACGCGATTCAGAAGAATATCAATTTACGAGTAAATAAAATCGAGAAAAAAACAAAAATTAAACGAAATTGTTGAAATTTTAGGCGAATCTTGACCAAATCTCGGCGGAAAACAGCCGATTATCGCGCGAAAATCGTCTGCTCAGTTTGGCTCAGACAAACGAGAAATGATTAGAGCACATTGTACGGGTTGCCTACCAGTTTTCCTGGCGAATCACATGAAATCCACTTTAACATTTCGGTTTCACTTTTGCCATCCAAATAAAGACATTTCACTCATTCGGTTGGAATTTTGATGTATAATTCAGTATGCTTTTAAGTTTCCGGCGTTTTCTCGAAAATTATTCGGTTCGGTTGACAACGCTCGCGAATTTTGGGCGTTGCGCATTTTAAAATTGAATTTTTACGAATGCCGTTTACCTTGTCGCTTGCGATCACCAATGGCGATGAGATATTTGCGCCCGGCGGCGCTGTTGAAGGATTTGCCACTTTTGATTTGCGCGAGACTATTAAGGTAATCTTTATTGAAAATTGAATTTCTATAAAAATCTGAAAAATTTGATGTGTTTTAGGGAAAAAAATGAATAAAAATAAAATGTGCGATTACTGTAGCATTTAAAGGCACATCGAGATATATAAAAGTGGTCTTGAATGGAAAATTACAAAAAAGAATCGATTTTTCGTATTTGAAAGGATCAAACAAAACTAAATTCCGTTTTATTTTTTCCAGTAAATTCAAAATCATTTTTTGTTTAAACAGATAAATATCTCATTATTCTTTCAGGCGAAGCAAATTCGGGTGATTGCTGAAGGATGCGCGAACACAAAATGGTTGCTTTCGGAAGGCAGCAAAGCGTATGTTTTCCGTGTCCCTTCAAACGAGGTCTTGAACCTTGAGAAATAATATAGCCATGTACTTTTAAATCAAAAGAAGAACATAAAATTAAGGAATCTTGCGAATCAGATTTTTAAAGATTTCAAAAAAGCCCACAAGTGATACGCATTCAAAATTCCATTTTGTCGAAAATTTGTGATTGCAGTTCGCATGGGCGTAGTCGCGAAGTCTCATACACCGCCAAAACGACATATATGGACGAGGAGCTGGTGGTGTGGAAACCATCCGAAGGCCACGCGAAATCGTCGATATTTCCCGGTTGCCATGTGTTTCCGTTCAAATTCGTGATACCTGAAAATGCGCCGCCGAGCTTCAAAGGTCGAGCAATCTTCTCATGCGTATACTTTTGCGTGTTTCTTTTTGTGAACCAAAATTTGGACACCCTGTGAAATTTTCGTCGATTTGGGAATTTAATAAATTGAACCCAGTCTAGATTTTTGCATATTTAAATTTTTTGAACTCAAATTTCACGCAAAAATCGAATAAAATTCTTAGGCAACAATTTATCAGAAAATTTAAACCAAATAATTGTTTGGCAATTGTAAAATTGCAGGTGACCATGGCATAATTCGCTATTCGATCAAGGCAATCGTTGAAAGACCCTGGAAAACGAATCGATCGACCACCAAATATTTCACAGGTACTTTCTCATTTGTCATTAGCTCAGTATCAGGAAGCTTAAGCATGTTTTCAGTATGTCCGAAAAAAGATCTGAACAATATAGCGACGGCCAGGGATGAAGCATCAAGCTCGAAATTGAAAAAGGTCGGATTTTTCCTATTCTTCAGGCATGGGAAAGTCGGATCACAGGTAGTCGAATTAAAAAATTTGCAAAATCTCGAAATTTTCAGATGACCATCCCGAAGAAGGGCTACGTTGCTGGAGAAACGATATCAGTGGAGACAAAAATTGCAAACGATTCAAGTCGGCCAATTATAAAGGTACGTCGTCAGTCGCGATTCCATCTAATTACTTCTATCAAAAGTAGAGGATTAACAATTTAAAGGAGCATTTCCAGGCTGAATGCTATTTGGTTGAGCGGTGCAAGTACTTGGCGTATCGCTATGGAATCGGCGATCCGAACTCGACGCACTACAAAGAGGATCTGCCGGATGACAGCTACTCAAGCAGAAAGCATGATGAGCATCGATTGGCGACAATTTCGCAGGTGTGGAGTTGAGTCTGCGTCGATTTTTACGCTACTCTACAGTATACATCAAAGGCGCATGCAAATTCGTCGAATTTCCAACAGTTGTCCGTCTTTGACAAAATTAATACGGAAATTTGTGTTCTGAAATCCGCTAATCGAATTCCCTAAATCGACACAAATCGTTTCAGGACCTCGAAATTCCCGCTCGATCACAACACTCGCTCAACTTGCAACTCCCAATCCCGTGCGTTTGCCCCTCATTCGCAAGCACTCTCATCACCGTCGAGTACGTCGTAATCGTCAAACTCGTCGTCAAATGCCGCCTAGTGAACACCGTCAAAACCGAATGCCCAATTATTCTAGGGACCATTCCGTTAAAGGACGAGGCTATTGGTAGAGAAAGTCTTCAACCAAATGTCAAGATGCCTTACAGATCCGGGGACTCCTCACTTCGGCGAGGCTCCCAGTGTGGTGCAGCTCACCCATCGAAGCATGACCTCCTGCGACGATGAGAAGGCGCTGCCCAAGTACATCTTCTATCCGAGATACAACAAACCCAAGATCGACGACGAGCCGCCGATTCTCATCGACACCCTTCCACCAATCGACACCCTTTCAATGGAGGACGAATGCCAGTAATTAGTCAACATGATTGATGATTTATTGGGATTCTCACAAAAGGAAGAACATCTTCAAAGTACAGTATATGACATATTCAATAAAAATCAGTATTTTATGGGGATAAAAACAAATGAAACGAACACTTTAGAAAAACAAGGAATAATAATTTGTTGAGCAATTTAATAATAATGATAATAATAATTTTCATTTTTTTTTCGCTGCTTAAAAGATCGGATTCCGCCATGTGCACAATTGTCGCGACGACGAATTAATAACCGATAGCCATGACGTCAAATCGGCTGGCGTATCAGCGGCGAGCATTACTCTGCAAAGAAAAATCAATGATTTGAGTCTTCAAACGATTCCCTCCAACCTCAATTGCTCAATGTCGTTCGGTGAGCTCAGCGTGGCGTCTGGACGAACCGCCGCATCCTCTTTCGGCACCCAAACATCAATATGGAAGCTGTTCGGATAGGGACAAATGTCGGAGACGGTAGACGCGCCGTCGGATCGAATACACGTGGCAAGATCCAATAGCACCAGCCAATTCTTTTGTCCCTCGTCTTCAGGATGCCTCCAGAACTTCATCTCGCCGCCGTCGAGAACACACCAATACCTGCAAAAACACCATTCACACCATCGCTCGACGTCTCCGAACATACCTCGTCCACGATCCCAATCCTTCTCGCGTTCGTTGGTACATCGACAGGAATCCTTTGTGCACAATATCGACGCCTTCGACAGCGCGCTTCTTCAGCTTGATCATGGCAGCGCCGTCGAGCGGATGAATCGGATGGCACATCTCGATCGCCTTCTTGCTCGGCGTGTTGATGTCGAACGTGAATGATCCCAGCATGTTGAAGCATGAGCCGACCGTCGACGATGACGACGACGGCGGAATGTACATACTCTGATTCTCAGCACCCTTCGACTGAAATCCAATCAAATTTTGCAAAAAATTTAAAATGAAATAATTATTTTCCGTTTACAATACAAGAAGAAACACATAAAGCATGCACTGGCAGAAATCGGCGTCTCAAACATCATTAGCGAAAGCCAATCTACCTGGGTCTCATCGCGACAAACTTGCAATTTATTCCACCACGCCTTTCGTTGCTTCGAGGTTGGCGGCGCCACGAATCGACCACCATACTGGCCGCGATACGCAAAATAACACCACTCATCGGTTTGCTGCTAAATTTCGGGGTTAGTAGGCGAATTTCATTATTTTTCGGTCACTCGAAAGATACTGTAGACGCAAATAAGAGAAGCGCGTGCATTTTTTCGCAAATCTGATTTGAAAATTGATTTTTGTGGCGTTATTTTTTCACAAGCTCTTCAAGAAATTCACAAAAATTTCTCCATGGTCTCACAGATTTCTGGTTAGTAGCTAGTAAGACACACATGCATAACGGACAAGTGAAATCGAGAAAAAAAAAACAAAAACAAGCGCTCGATGAGCAAAACTCACCTTCGATTTCAGTGTGGCTCCTTTAAGCTTGTACTTGTCCTCGTGCGAAATGCACTCTCGCTGCGTTCGTTGCCCATAAATCTCGACAATCGCCTTGAAGTCCGGTGGAATCGATTTGAGTTGAAGCGGCATCGGAAAATCGAGCGCGCCTTTTCGATTCATCGCCGCGTCGCTCGGCACCAACTTCGACACTTCCACTTGTTCGCCCCATTTGAGGACAGCGACGAAATAGTAAACTTCGGCTGAAAAAAAAAAAATCAACGAAATTTCGAGAGTCGACAAAAAATGAGCATTTACGTGATTTTCGAGCACTGGCAATATTCATTTGAACAAAATCGCGCGAAAGATTCACTTGAAGTTGAGATAGCGTGACGTCACCACGCGGTCCCTCGATTCTGAATCAATCATTATAATTCACATTCCACCCTGAGCTCGCTCTTACATTCGCGGTCCATCCCTCTGCACTCGCTCATACTCGCCGAGAAGTGCTCTCTGACGTTCAATCGCAATCAGAAGCGCTCGCTGCATCTCAATCTCCTCTCTCGATCCTCGGAACGCGTCCGTCTGCCGGCACAACGTCAACGCGCGTCTCGACTGCGAGATATGCTCCTCCTCGACCTTGATCGCGTTTCTCAAGCGCTTCTTCAAGCTCTCAACATCCTCAAACTCGCGATGAAGCGGTGATGAGCTTGACGACTCGCCAGCACCACTGGTGAGCTGTTTAAGAACATGCGCCGATGTCAACGGCATCGGAGCCGATGGCTCGACGGGCTTCGGCGTCTCGACAGTAGCCACCCGCTCCTTCTGAATCTTTCTATAGAACGAGACAGAGTACGGCAATCGGGATTCATTCTTCCGCTCGTTCCATTCCCTCTCAATGTGCGATTCCTCGCGAATGGTGGCGCTTGTGGTGGTAGTCTCAATAGTCCGCTCAACCTCTTCCTCCTCTTCGTCGTCATCTCCCATTGGCACGTCTTCTTCCTCAATAATCTCAGCAACAACGCGTTTTCGCAGCGAAATATCCTCCGATTGGGCAATAGGAGCGCTTCCGTCAAGAGATGGTCGATATGGACTAGGGGTTCCCATCTTGGATCCACCGCGTTCCATGAAATCAAACGCCTGATCAATTATTCGCGAGGCGTCCGTCGAGGCGAGCTCATCTCCCGAAATCTCGCCCTCGTCACCGCACACTGGATCGTACTCCTGATTCGATTCTGGAACATCATCCTCGAACACGTCGTCTTCGAGCACCTCATCGTCGTATCGCTGATTCTTCGCAGCTGGTGACGCGGTCACCGATCGAACTTGCGGCACCGACGATTGCGAGTTGCCGCGTCGCGTCGCGATCTTCTTCGGCAACGCCGTCTCCTTCATCTTGATGGCGGCGGCGATCAGCGAATCTTCGGTGGCATCGGGATGAATCGGGGTGCCCGTCGCCGACGAAAATTCCCAGCGAGACCGCAAATTCTTCAGTTTCGATTGTCCCGGACCAACAATGTCGGTAACGGTGGGCTCTTCAGCTCGCGCTCCTTTAACAACAGGGGTGTTGTGCTGCCCACGCCATTGCGTCTGCACTCCACCGGGTAAGGTGGGAGTATGAACGTCATCTAGAAGTTAGTCAATCTCAAATGTTTCCGAGAAAAAAAAAAACGAATTCTACCTTTCTCACGTTCAGGTTGAAACAACGTCTTCTGATGAGGCGCAACATGGTGATGAGGTGTGGCGCCAATTGGGTGTCTTGGAGTCGGAATAGGTGCAGGAGCTGGTGCCGGCTGAAATCGAATCGTAGATTAGCGAAAAGTCAAGAAAACTGCAATCCGTCGCCACAAGACCTGACTTCATTAGCACTATGCGCCTTTAATTTGCTGAGAGAAAATTTAAAGCTTAATTAAAAGAGAGGGTTTCGTGGCGATTGAGTTCACCGATTAACCGCGAACCAGAATAAATCTAAACATAAAAATTGACCTTAAAGGGACATCGTTAATCGTTACAACACACAAGGCTCCAACACCACGATAACGAAAACAAATAAAAAAAATAAGACAAACTCACCGCTTGCGATTCCTTGACCTTTTGCTCAAATTGATCTCGAATCGTTTTGGCGCGTGCGCTCTCCAACGCCGCCGATTTCGCCGGCGACAACGCCATCGTCGATTCGTTGAGTTTCGGCGATGAGGTGCTTTTGGGATTCTGTGCGAAAAATTCGTGGGTTAGACCGAAAAGCGACGTGAAAGCGGACGTACAAAGTGAACCGGCGAGTATTTCGAATGGATTGTCTCGCGCGAGAACGGCTTCGGTGTTCCCACCACCATCGACACCTTCGGCAATTCAGTTAGCGTCTCGTTCGGCTCGACGACCGTCGTCGTAGTTCTCGGCTTCTAACAAAACGTTATTTGCATTAGGAAAAAAAACGAAGCGTTAAAACCAGCAGCAGTATTGTTATGGTTAAAAAAAATACATATATACGATGAAAATAAACAAATAACCAAAACGCAACTAACCGCTCTCATAAATGTGTGCGCGCCATAATCCGATGACGCGTTCGGCATCTCGCCGACCTTTTGTCGCAGAATTTCATCTAAAACGCGAATCAATGTCTTTTTTTGTTCTTTTAAAAAAGCTGACTACCTCGATTATCGCATGTTTGGCTGTTAATAATGGTGTTCTCAATTGTGAGTCTTCGATCAATCGAAAAATCGCACGACAGCGACGACGTCGTCACATTCATCATTTCGCTGGAGCCGCCGAGCACCGTGCTTACAGTATCATTTACAGATGAGCCAGAGGCCTGAAACACTTGCAAATTCGGCCATTAGGTGGTTGTTATTATTAGTACCGATTCGTTAGTAAGGTAGTTCACATTAACAAGGGGATGTGCAAATTTGATGCGGCGATCCTCGAATTCGGCGTGCCGCACGATTTCCATCGAAACACTCTTATTGGGGCTCACCTTTGGCGGAGACGAAGCAGCGACGTTCGACGAGGATTTCGACGATGGCGGCGTTTTGCCGGTGCGCAACGCGGCGGCGCCCGCTGGTGTGCACAAAACGGATGGCCGCGTCTCGCCGATGCTCAATCGCGGCGATCGGCCCTTCATGTAGGCTTCTTTGGGCTTATTATAGTGAGTCTGGAAGTCGCATTCGAAATTGTCGAGCTCTTGGGCGAGCTGAGAGAATCGCGCTTTTCGCGTCGACGTTTGCTCGGGAGCCGGAATTGCGGCCGATTTTGGAGGCGAGTCATCCTGAAAATTAAATATTACACAATGTTTATGTTTTTTTTTTCTTCTACAAGACTTACCTTCGGTTCGGCAGGTTTAAATAATCCCGGAGTTCTGGGTTCCTCATTTATATTTGTCTTGGACACTCCAAACACTTTTGTTGGCGATTGTGGAACTAAAAAATATGAATGACGAGTTTTCTTTCCTCCTTTTTCTTCTTCTAAATAAATACCTTGCTCGTTTTTCCGCACTTCAGGAATAACATCTTCATTCTCTTTGGTTTCGCCAATGAGCTGCGATTGTCGTTGACGAATGCGGTCCATAATTTGCTAAATTATATCGATTGTTCGCAATCGTTTCAAATTTTCCACTTACATCTACTTGTTCATCCATTTATATACAGTGTATTTCTGAAAAATGAACGATTATCCCCGAAAAACGCGTTTGACGCACGAGAAATGCTTTGAAAAGAGCCGTGAAACGATAGAATTGAACAAAAAATTTGAATCCTTCGTATTTCCGCGTGCTATGATCGCGGCGAGACCCACTGCGCAAATCGGCATGCGTCTTTCGCCGCTGTCTGCGTCTCCTCATCCACCACACTCTTCTACCAACCATTCCGTAATTTTCGCGACAAAACTGGTTTGAATTCAAATCGGCGAGAATTTCGAGATGGCCGATAAGAATTGCAAAACGATAATTTCGTAAAATGATTTATGCAATTTGAAAATGAAGCAACAACTGTACAAAAAATTTACATGAGTAATTCACACCTCGTAGGTAACATTAGCGATAAGTATTAAAATTAACGAAAATAGAACAAAATCACATGTAAGGAGGGGGGGGGGGACCGAGTAGAATAAATTAAAGGCATTATTGTGCAGAAATCTCAGAAGCTGGCTGAACAAGCTCGTCATTCAAATTCTGTTGACCTTCTTCGCCATCGTCATCTTCAAATATCAATCTTCCATACTCATCGGGTTCTTGTCGCTGAAAAATTCAAATTTTCAGTTTTTTTTTCTTTTGAAAGCGTCGGGTCTCACCGAGAATGCGATAATCACAACAAACACGGCGAGCCAGGTGAGCACGCCAACAAGAAGGCTCGCAACACCGCCGATAAACGAATAATGCCTGGAAAGATATGATCATTGCTATTCGATTTATTGAAATCTTTACTTGACGCCGAAAATCGAAGAGAGCTGCTCTCTAGTGCCATCATCGAAAAACGCCGTTTCATTCATCCAAAGTACCGGAACGATGACATTCGTCGTGTTTTCCGTTATGCTGAAATCGTCAATATAACAAAAACCCCCGTTGGCCGTCCACAGATGAATTCGATCTTATTCTCATTTTTTTTCCGATTTTTTTTATTCAATTAGTTATTTAAAAAAAAAAGTTTACACGATATTCCGCAGTTTTCTCAATTTTTTGACTTTCCCTCGAAAGATTGAAGGTCGTTCATGTAAATTTTTACTATTTAAAACTATTCGGAAGATGCCCTCAATTTAAAAAGTCAATTTCAATACAATTTTCTCGAAAATGGCATTACCTCAAGCTTCCCTTCACCATTCCCACATTTATCTGCACCGTTCGCTTCGCCTGCGTCGGAACTCCCGCGTTCGGCTCCAAGTCCACATAGGTGTTATCATTGGCGTCACTTGGAACCGCCAGACCGCTAACAGCATGCCACAGCTGACAAATAATGATGATTCATTTTTGTTTCGATAAGAACATTTCAAACCTCTTTCGGCGATTTGTAGAAATGCGGTTGGCTGAGGTAAACGCGTGGCGAGCCGGCTTGACAACGGCTCAAATCGATAATTCCAGCAGGAAGGCAGTTTTCTGTGAGAAACGAGCATGTGGGCATTTTAAGGAATTTCAAAGCACTATTTTAACTAAAAATAATTATTATGCGAAAATAAGCTTCTGTGTGGTTTTCCTTTATCAAATAAATCGCAATGTTCCTCAATTTTCAACAGGAGGAAAATTTTAGAATTCAAAAAATGCTTAAATTTGGTCACATTTTGTCCAAAAAAAACATACCTATTTGAATAGTAGTGTTATCAAAATATCTTGGAGTTCCATGCTTATTGCAGAAATCGCGATTCGCTGGAATTGCCGGATCATAGAGATCCGATGGTGCCGTGTATCTCCACGATGGGACGCCGGCAACAGCAACATCCTTTACATATTCCAATTGAATCGATCTGAACAAATTTTTAAAAAAGGTGTGGCCGTATATGGGAGCAGTTTGAAAAAAAAAACCATTGGAAGTTTCAAAGACTTTTTAAAAATTCCAGAAAAATCTACTTGAAATCAGATCTTAATGAGTTTCATGAATTTCAAATGTTTTCCAACAATTTGAAAAGTTTTAGAGTGAAATAAATCAATTCAGGTGATGCAAAAAATATTTTTAAAAAACAATTTTGACAATGAAATTTAAAAAAAAGTGGCCATTTTGCAAATTTAAACGATTTTCATAGTCCAAAATTGATGAAAAAAAAAATCCACGAACAAGTAATTCCGTCAAGACTTCAATATTCTCTACTAAAAATTTGCTACTTAAAAATTGATTTAAAAAACACTCAATTTTTGAATTACAATATTTGCAAACGACAAAACGACAAAATGTTTGGTTCTCACCTGCACAACTGCGAAACAAATACGGAGAGCCGCTTCTCCCTTTGCAACATCGGCGAGAAAACCTGTCCATCGCTACCATTGATCATTCTCGCATACGGCGAGTCCCAAACATCCTCAGGCATCATTGACATGTTGTTCCATGAGTATACCTAGAATCAGGTTGGTTCAAATCATACTTAAATTGAAACTACTTTTTACCTTTCCAATATTGAATGGTGAAGGTTTTCCGGTATCAACTTCATATGTTCCATCGGTTGTTCCGTTTTGCTACAAAATTTTTCCTATGAAATACCAAGCATTTCGCTTATTCGACTTACTCCATAGAAGAAGCCAACTCTCTTTGTGATGATGTTTGAAGTGCATAAGATGCTGAGGATTTGATTCTTACAGACCAAGTCAACGATCGGATCATGGTATCCGTTGAAGAGGGCGTCATTCACAGATACCTAAACACGATAAATTAAAGCCTTATGCAAAGTTTAGGTTTACTGTGATGAATGGTCCCTCCTTGACAAGTTTTAAAATTGACTCGATAGCAAATCTGATACGAATTCCAAAAATTGTGTCTTCAGCGGCATCAACGAGTTTCTGAAAATAAAATATTCCAATTTTTCTTTTAAAAAATGCCTATTTCTACCTGAAATACTACATTTGGAATGGTAACATTAATATTTAAATGGCAAGCTTCGCACGAGGCATTTTTGTTGAAGAAATATAATTTTTGGTTTTTGTAGAACACTCGGGTGTCGTTGGCGGCGAATTTGTGGTAAACCTTCTCCTGTTTTTCACTGAAATCGAATTAGTTTCAATTATTTAGCTGGAATGATGAGGGTCCCACTCGAAGACGAATGGTCCGATCTCTTGGAGGTTGGGCTTCGCGTGACGATGAAGCACGTCGTCAACATTCGTCACGTTGAACATCCAAATGTTCAATTGCATTTTGTATTGGGGTTTTAGCCAAGTTGCCGTCATATTGGTTAGAATCTCGGTGCCATTCTCGTCGGTTGTGTAGCCAAGATAGTCGTTCTAGAAATTTAATCATTCACAATTTCAGCCAGAAATTTCAAAATTGTAATTTAATACAAAATAATTTTCAATTCATTTTTTTGCTTCTCAAATTTTCCAATAATCTGTTTACAATGCTTACTTCGAGTATTTGCTTTCTGACGAGACTGTCGATTGGGAATCCGATGATGCACAGGATTCCGACGATCGCCAACACCAATCCGACGATGACGGCGCCGCCGATCAGGCAACGCGAATTTGCCATCCTGAAATTGGAAAAAAGAAGAATTATGTAAAAAAAGACGAAAATCAGCGATGGAACGCGACAGAAACGATTGTCAACATGACGAAATTGCAAGTTTCCGCAACCCAAAGATTTTTTTCTCGCCTCGACATTTCACTGCGTCTCTCACATTATCATTCGCCGCCGGTTTTTTGTTTGAAGGGTTTGGTACTACCTCAACAACGGTGCGCAAACTTTAAAGATCAATGATAGATTGGCAACAAAATTGTTTATTTACTTGTTTATTGGCGTTTTGAAGACACTTTCTTTGTTTTTCTTAAATGCCGTTGGAAATTGAGGATATTATCGATTAGTAGACGTTGAAAGCAGAAATTTTTCACATTTTTATCGAGATTGAGCAGAAAAAATGAGAGATAGTGATGATATTGGCGATAAATCGAGTCTGAAAACAAATAAACACATGACACATTCTCCTCGTGGACTACAAATCCTCGTGGCCGAACTTGGCGGCAGCTTGAAAATATGCGATACGGTGCGCAAAGTCTGCAAACACAATGCAGATGTTCAATTTTTTTGCGAAATTTTTGGTGGAAATTTTATTCTTTGTTTCTTTTTTTTTAGGTATGGAGGCCTTACGGGAACGAATAGATGCGATGGAGAATGCCTCGGGTACCGAAATATGGGAAACCTTAAAAGAGGTTGGTTCAAATTTGTGCCAAAAAACCACTCGCTTAAATTCTAGTTCGAGGCAAAATTAAAACTTGATTTATTCGATATTCGCGCAAAAGAGAAGGAAGCGGAAATCAAACAGGCTCGTGAGAGGCAGAAAGTGCAAACGTAATTTTTTAAGCGATCGGTCTTAAAGAAATTTAAGGCAATTTTCAGAATACGCGCGGATTTGGAGAATTTGCGAGAGCAGGTACACGCGGCGACGAGCGATTTTGAGAAATTCAAAGAATCGGTGAAGCAGAAATTTGAAGAAGTATAATTTGGCAAACAAATTTATTCAAAAGAAATGAGGAAATTTGATTTTAGAGCGGCTTGGATTTCCAGAAGGCCGCTGGAATGGCCGAAAGCGCCTATAAAGAATCACTGTTAGTTTATTATATTGTCAATTCAAGTTTATTCTTTTTTTTTTGAAGTTTAAACCAAGAAATTTGCATTCGCGATCTTATTAAGCAGGATTACACCGATTTGAATGAAATTAAGCAGATTACCGAAAAAATTGTCAAAATTCTTCTATCATGCCGGGTATTTTTGTCAGCTTTTGTATTAAAATTCTTTCAAATTTTCAGACCACCAATATCCATGCGATTCTTCAATCAGATTTAGCCGTTTTTGCCAGCAAATATGTGAAATTCACGCGAAAAGCGCTTTGGGACCATTTGCACACATACGACATCATGACAAAAGCGAAGCGAGGTGATTAATAGAATAAAATTGGGAAATTCAATTTTCCAAATTTAATAGGTTGGCGCGATGACGAAGAAAAATCAAAGTTTTCGGCAAAAATTGACGATTGCTGCTCAATTTTGTGCAATTTGGCGTACATGACGACGAAAAACTTTCATGAATGGTGCTTCTTTGATTCGATAATTGTCTAATTAAGTAATTACAGTCCGGATATTATTATTGGCCATTTTCTCGTTCTTTTGGAGAATTTCTCGATTGATTTGATCGAGGAAGATCAGAACAAAAAGGATTTCGATTGGTTAGCTCAAATATCGCAATTAAAAAAATCGAGCAGTGACTTTCAGGATTCTGACATGCACATTTTCGTGGGCCGATAATTTAAAAGTCGCTGTGATGGATGCTCTCAACAAAATTGAAATTCGTCAAGTTAAGGTAATTTGAAAGTTGGTTTTTTTTAGTGAAATATTCAAAAACCTCTTTTCCATGTGAGACCCTTGGACGATATCCTGAATTATCGCAAATTTAGATTTAATAATTGAAAAAAATTAGCGCATCAATTAAAGGTATATTCTTGCCACGAAAATTTTAGAGAGTTCTTCAAATGTTCAATAAAAATTTTGTGAAATTAAACTCCAAGTGATTCTATTAAATTTTTTCCAGAGAAATGCGCCAAACTTTGAGAAACTTTATTATATGCAATTCGGTCGAGTGGTGAACTCAATTAGTGCTCATTTTATCATCAAGGTCAGCCATTTTCGCCTAGTTTCCCTCGAAAATGATTCATTTTTTTCCATTTCCAGCATATTTCGGAGCCATCGGTTTTCTCGAAAATTTCCAGAATTCTAAGCAAATTTGAGGCGAATTGGAGTACGGTGGTTCAAGGCGAAAAAATGATCGAAATTCGATTTGCAAAATTTCAGACATCGATGAGTATGGTCCGTTGTTCGACGCCCTTTATGACTCGGAGATATCGACGAAATGGCTTTTGGTAATTGGAATTTGGTGCGTTGCCACAAAAAAAATTGGTGTTTTCAGCTTCAAACCGAAATTTTCGCGTACGAATCGACGAAATTGCTGAAAACTGACGGATGCTTCGCAATGACGCTCGTCGAATTGGGAACGCCGATGCGATTCGCCTCGCAAGTCACAATGTTCATTGAGAATTGGGCTCATCGATTTGAGCATGAGGTGGCGATTATCAAAAATGCTGAAATTCGAGTAAGATTTTTTAAAATATAATGTTGTTTTTTCGTGATTTTGAAGCAATGCACGTAAATGGCTACTAAAAAAAAACTAAAAATCACTATTTTTCTATCAAAAATTCTTTAAAATTTTAGTTCCTATGGACTTATTGGTGAAATTTATTATTTTTCCCGAAAAAAATTTTCAAAATTTTATTTATGAGCTGATTTTTTGATTTCTTTTTCTTCAAACAAAAATGATTTTGGAATTTTTTTTATTAAATGCCCATTTTTGGCAGATTAAAAATCTTGATGATGTCGAAAAAAATTTTTTTATTAGAAAAACGTAAAAAATGGATGAAATTTAAATTCCACGTGGATTTTCTTTTGGCCAAAAATATCAAGAATTGAAAAAAATTATTTCTAGCCGTTTCAGCGGCGATTTGAAACGTTTCAGAAAGTGTTCTATGACACCGGCGTGATTCTTCTCGATGATTTCTGCTCGAGAATCTATGAAACCGCGAATAAGATGTACTTGGAGCCGACATGGGCTGATGATGTCTATCAAGTGATGAGCTCTGTTTGGTAATTCGCCGAAATTCGACGAATAATCATAAAATTGATCGCGTTTTGAAGGGAAATTCGACGAATCATTGCATTGGCATTGGCCTCGTGGCCGGTTTCGTCAGAAGAAGTTCAAAAAGAATATGAGTAAGTTTTGATTTATTAGAATATCAAATAAAAATTGAGAAACCTGAGTTATTATGGACCACCGCATTTTTTTTGAGGCGGTAATTCAAATTTGAAAAAATACTGAAAAAAACGGTTGTAAAATATAATAATTATTAGTTTTTGAACTGCGGACGATTTTCAAGTTGTTCAGAACCGAATTTTATCGGCTTGCTGGAATGATCTCGGAATACCTTAATGATATTATTGATGGAATGGATGACATTATAAAAGCTTCGTAAGAATTTAAAGTGAAGCTTAAACGAATTGAAATGAACATTTTCAGATATCCAACGGTTGCCGAGAAGGTGCGAAAGGTCGAATCGACGTTTTGTCGAGTGCTCAAATGTTTGGCGAATGTTGTTTCGAAAGCGAGCGAGGTGAATTTTCAGGCGAGAAACAAAAAACTGGCGATATTTAGAGCACACGAAGTCCGGTGCTCAATAAGTTGCTCGAGGAATTGTTCAAAATTCTTGGCGTCAAATTTGAGGGTTGGAAGCATTCCAAGTGAGTTTTTTTTTGCTATTTTTATTCTTGAAATTGAAATTTGATTTCAGCGTCGATCTTGTTTCATCGATCTACAATGCGATATACCTCGACATTTATCCATATTTGGATGGTCTGGTGAAATCGGGCCGATGGAAACGAGATGATGCTGCTCGATCGGCGATCACCCATTTGGATGCTTTGATGAAGCGCGCCGCCACGTTGGATCCGAGTGGCGAATTGGTGCGAATCGCGTTCAAATTTGTGAGTTTTGCTTCGAAATATTGAAAATTGGCAGATTATGGTTAAAAATTGTTCCAATTTTGAAGACAAGCAAATGGGAAAAATTTTAGGATATCAAATTAGAATATCACAGAATTAAAAAAATAGAAATTTTGTGTTGAACTGGCTTTTTCTGATATGGGTTTCATTAATTTACTAATTTTTTTTTTGAATTTCGCCAAAACTCAAAATTTAAAAAAAGGAATGAAATTTGAATTTTACGCGACCGAAATTGAGAGAAAAATTTGAAATTTTAAAATTGACGAAGAGCAAGTCGAGAAAATGCTCACTGAGCTTGGTATTCAGCGCACATCTGGCCACACGTTCCATGATTATCAGTAAGATTTTTCTCAATTATTATTTTTTTGGCAAAAATTTGTTTTTTTAGAATTCTTGCTGAAAACTGGTCGAAATTTCATGGGTAGTTAGTTCAACATCATCATCTTCATCATCACACCGGTTGTTGTTTTTTTTTCGTTGAATTTTTGTTTTTTTTTTTTCATTTTCGGTGTTTCTTTGCCTAAATAGTCCGTTAGAGCCCACAGAACCCGTATGTTTTTCAATTTTTTTCTGTATTTTCTATTAAATAAAATATACTTTAAAATTTTCGTATTGAAAAATGTAAAAGTTTTAACTAATTTAATTATTTGTTTTTTAATCGATAAGAAATTTAAAATTTTCTGCTCCCCAGATGGCTTTGATTTTGGTTATTGGGATTCCTGGAGCTGGCAAAAGCTCGCTTTGTCGAAAAATGAAGGCCAAGTATGGGGATTTGGTGAGAGTCTCCTCATTTGATGAATATCGAGCGATGGATTTGGATGGTGCCCGAAATTCAAGGTTCCTCGAAATCTTTTTTATTTTGAAAAATCGAAAAATAACAATTTTTTAATATTTTTTTTTACTAGGAAATGACTTATTTTGTTGAATTTATGATTTGTTCTTCGAATTTTGAAGAAAAATTATTAATTTTTTTAAAATTGAAGCTAATACAAAAAAATGAGCATAAAATTGCTCATAAGTTCCCTTACACGAATTTCCATTGTTTAAATTCAAAATTTGAATTGCCGCCACGAAAAATGCGGTGGTCTACAAATACTCAGAGTCCTCGTATTTTTTTAATAATAACTTTTGCAAAAAAAAATTAGGAAATTTTCTAAAATCTGAAAAAAGGGAAGTTTTTGTTGGAAAATTACATTTTTCGTTAACTTGTAATGGAATTCGAGTGTTGACATTTTTTTTTACAAAAAAAATTATTTTAGTTTCTTTTTAATTTAAATTTTCGGTAAAGCGTCGCTCTCTTTTAAGGACCAATGCGGAAAAAATTTAATAGCAAAAATAATTTAAATCGAAATTTGAATGACCGCCAATGCGATGGTTCAGGGTGCTTGATATATTTTTTAAAAAATCAATTTGAAAAATTTATTACGCTAAAAAGAAGGGCTTGTCCCGTATATTTGGAATGTCTTCAAAAAAAATGATTTTCAGAACGGCTCGCGAGGAGCGCGTCCGATTCGAGAGGTTCATCTTCGGCCAACTCGAGAATCTCAATGGAATCCATCTCGTCGAAGACATGTTCCATCTTCAAAGTATGCGTCGGCCGTTTCAGAAGATGTGTAAATCGTTGGCGCTTCGTTTCGGAATCGTATTCATCGAAATCGGCTTGGACGAAGGTTTGAGGCGGAATTCGAGGCGAGACCCGAACGAACGACAACCGGTGGAGACGATTCGAAAGATTTTCGAGAATTTTGAGCGACCTGAACAATCGAATTCATTGAGAATCGAAAGCTATGAGGATGTGGAATCGATTGAACAGCTTCTGACAATCGTCGAGAAGCAGAAGGCTGTGGAAAAGAAGGAGACGTCGAGAAATGGCGTTAGTTTCTCAAAAGTCGAATTCAAAAAAATTTATTTTTGACAGACTCCTTCAATCGCCCAGCAGAATGATGTTTTAACACGAAAAATTGTGCAGCAAATAATCCAAGAATCGAATTTCGCTATCAATGGCAAATTGTTGAATGAGGCGAGGTTGAGGGTCTTGAAGCGATCAAAGAATTTCCAAATGGACAGCGATTTTGCGAAATTGGAGATTTTTGAAGAATATGTGAGAACCTTTTTTTAGAAATCAAAAAATTTGTATTTAGAAGAATTCTTGATTGGAATCTACGTGTGATGGATCAGCCTGAAGGAAATGCTTGTCAGAAGCAGACGCGACTAATTAATTAGAAATTATTATCTTCGTAATATATATAAAAGCCGTCTGGACTTTTTTTCCGTTCTCATTTTGAAAGACTGTGTTCAATCGAGAGAGAGCAGGACACCAAGAGAGTGTGTGTTGGAAGGAGATGCAAACAGCTAAACACTTCACGCCCAGAGCGGGATCGGACCATCGATATCCAAAAATGATTCCAAAATTTGTGCCATCGCGTCACTCCCTTAGACGGTTATGACTTGATGACAAGTGCCACACAGCGCAGAATCTTTATGTAGAAGCTTAATCACAGATTCGGCCCAGAGTTGCACGGAATTTAAAATTTCTGAAAACGGAAAAACAAAATGTTTTACGGAAGACGGAATTCCGCGCAGTTCTGCTTGAAAATTGAAATTGAAAACAGAAATCTGTTTAGTTTTGCGTAATGCCCATTGCGGACTATCGCTACTGTAACGCACAAAATTCAATTTTAAAAAATCGTCGATGGTCCACAAATGCTGCACATGATATTCAATTTTTTGCGATCTTAAATCAACAATAAATCAAAGAAAAAAACGAGCGCCCTGAGTAATTGTGGACCATCGCATTATTTCGAGCAGGCGGTAATTCAAATTTAAATTGAAACAAGCTAACTCACTCATCCTAAATCGTCGTTTTTAAGCGAGCAGCTGAATTTCGAATTCAACAAGCTGTAAAAACAATCTGTCATCACCTTGTCAGATATTTCCAAGGTGTTAAACGACAAAATTCGGCTCTGCAATCAATCCGATCCGATTTGTAATTCCACAGATAAGATATTCAAATTGTTGGATCCAATAGGTCATTAATCTAATCCGTTTTATTTCAATCCTTCAATCCAAATCGGATCCATTTTGAAGCGTTCAGTATTTTCTTTTGTTGGTTGTTCCTCATTAAAATAAAATTACTTCGTTAAAAAATTCGAAATTGATTTATTTCAGTAAAAAGTGGCATTTTTAATATTATCAAAAATCGTTGCTCGGAAAACTGGAGAAGCGACAAAGACTAGATGGCGAAACAGTAAATTGGAAGAAGAAAAAGTCGGGTTTCCTGAAGCAGATTCGACGTCTATCGAACAAATTTCAGAAAAAAATTACCTCTATTTGCACGCGTTCTCCTCTTCCGAAGCTAATTCATCGATGACTGGTGTCGGCGGCCGCCTCGGATTCTCCTCTTCCGATTCGTCGTCGTTGATCGGAATCGGATTCTCAAGTTCGCTGGACATTGTCGGCGAGACAATCGAATGTGCACACTGACTCGAATACACTCATGGGCGGGCCTCGACGGACCATAAACGTTTATTGGATGGGTTACGGTAGCAGTGGGGTGCGAATGCGTCTACGAGAACATTCTAGAGGAAAAAAGAAGTGGCATTCATTTGAAGTTTGCAAATCGAAGAGGCTATCGAGGAAAACAAATCAATTTTCTGCTGCGGACAATTTGGGTTTTTAAAATGACCGGATATTGTCGGCAGCAAAAATATTTTAAAACAAATTTCACAACGCTAAAAAAAATTGGCAAAATGCCAAAACACGATTACAGCAAATCTTAAGGTGTAGATTTACGGGGGCTGGAATGAATTAAAGGCACAGTGGGATCTATTTTTATATTTTTTGTCACTTTGCCAATTTCCCGCAACCGCGCGTACATAGAGACGTCACAAGAGACCATATCAATCGATTTAGGGATACTCATAAAAGACAATTGGTGTCGCCATTTGGTGTACACCAAAATATCTTATTGGCGTCCTTTGGCAACTTTCCCCCCACGCCACGCCACATCGACATAATGCAAAATGTCTTTTAGATATAAAAAAATAAAAATGACAATCCGAATGTCGAATCTGGAATTTGGGATCAATCAATGCTTTAAAGAGACCCACTAATTAATTCCTTAATGATTTCTGAAAGGCTGAGCTCACACGATGTGATGTTTCAGGTCTGATCTCGACCCAAACGAAATTGGCGAAAGAGGCTCGCCAGAAGACGTCGGTAGACTCGTCAAATTTGACGTGGAAGCGAATTCGAAGAACCCCGAATGCTCACAATTGGATTTTTTGGATTCATACAATTTTTGTTGAAAAAAAATTGTGACAACCCATCAAAATTCGAATTTGGCAATTGGTTTATTTTCTTCGCGAGAAAAAAAATTCTTGAATAATGGAAAAGTAGTTTAACTATTTTGTTCTGAGCTCAATTCCAAAATTCCAAGCGAGACCCAAAATTTTAGAAGGGATATTCCTCGAAATTTCGTCGTCAATGGCGTTTCTTATTGCCGACAATCGCGTTTTTTTTCGCACATTTCATCGAACAATGGAGGGGAATTTTCCCCCCAATTTTTGGCACATCTCCAAATCAATGACGCCAAAAAGTGGGCGTGGCCAAAGCGGTCGCATAAATAGCGCGCGTTCGCTGCAATATTCCACACTCGTACACCATTACCTACTAATCCACCAATTCTTGTAGAATCCACCATTCGATTGGTGCAAAAGCTTGGCAATGGCGTGTTTGGAACGAATCGCCATCGATTCATTCCAATCACTGGAATCCGTTTGATCCATTTCCTTGATTCTCAGGATCCGCTTCAAATCGTCCTCCAAATGTGTAAGAAACTTATCATTTATTTTACCTCAATCAATAAAATTTCATTTCAGAAAATCACCAAAAACAATTAAATTCAAAAAATCCAAAAAAAAAGTTGCGTGCGCATCTTCCAAGTATTGAGGCTGCTTCATCGTATCCAAAATCGCCTTCTTCAGTGACGAGGAATCGGCGGACACCTACATATTGTAGAATGTAGAAAGAACCAAAACAATTAATTCCAAAAAAACCCAAAAAAAAATTAAATTTGTTGTAATTTATTTGAAATGAATAAATGAATTGTATTTAACGTGTTCTCTTGTGTTAAATAAATAAGCTTTCCAAATAGCTTTTACGCTATTAAAATCGATTTCAAGTCGAGTTGGAACAAAAAAAAATCAACTAAAATAATATGGCTAAAACGGGGACTTGCATTTAAATAAAAATTTACTTCGGCCACGGCCTCCGCTTTGCTGGCTATCGCCCGATTGCATGCGTCTCCTCATTATGGGCGCTCTCTCGTCGAACGCCTCGTCTTCTCGCCCACTCTCTCATTCCCATACTATCTCTACATTTTTTTTTTTAAATTTAACTATTCACTGATATTTTCAAAGAAATATAGAAGCATTTACGATGGGCCGCTCAAACTTAAAATATTTTCCCAAATTGGGCGTCCGAGGTTTAGTTTAAATATTTAGCTTCTACGATCCGAACAATCGAATACGGAAAGCATTTTAGAGATCAATCATGGCGAACTTCAAAGAAGACCTAGCCGCGAAAATGATGACGAGGAAAATCGTGAAGAATTTGTGAAATCGCAAACCGTAGAAAATGGAAGCGGTTAGTATATTTTATTATAAATCAGATAATATATAATTTAGCAGCGCTTTCACAGCATGTTTCCAAGGTTTCGAAAGATCAGATGTAAGAAATTGTTACCGAGCTAAAATTGTTGAGAATTTTAGCCATCGCAAACGACGGGACCATAAAGAAAAATCTGAAAAGAAGTTGAAGACGAAACACGGGTAGTTGGATAATTCTTAGTCAATCTCAAAAGTGGTGTTCTAGAAAGCCAGTCGACAAGCAGAATCACGAATCAAATGTGCCAACATTCGACGACAGCATCTCGACAGTCAACGAGAGCCAGAATCTCGGAGCACAGTGATCCGTTTCACTTGGAACTTTTACGATTTTGTTCTTGATAGCTTTTTTTTTTGAAATAAATATATATTTCAACGTTCTCTTACATTCGAATCTCCAAAATGATAATTGAGTCACCGTTCGATCACGTTTAGCACCCGGATTTTATACCGACTAAGTCGTTGGCGAATCAACTGTGGATCAAAGCGTTTTAACTGTGTGCGCCGCGCGGCAATTTTATGACGAACACTGATTAAGCGCGACGCAAGCATAATGGAAGCATTGTGGGAAATCTGTGGAACGGAAGCATAATGCTTCCATATAGGAAGCATAATGTAATTCTTAGTGGCTGTGGAAGAATTATGGGACGAATATGGATGGAATGAAAACGGGATGAATATGCTTCCGGTGTTTGCGAGCCGTGGAACAAATATGGATGGAATATGGATAAAATAATCATATGTCAATAAACATTATACAATTGGCGTCTGGACGGCAGACCAAGACAATTTCTAGAAAAATCAATACAAAAAACTTATGCTATCATATAAACAATGAAAATTTGAAAATTACATGATACACAACGGACGAAATTTAGCTTCTACCATTTAATGACTTATGTTACTCAGATTTATGTTAATTCAGTCAACTGTTCCTCACTTTGTTTAAAGATTGCCAACTACAATTTAGTCGTATTAATATATTTTTGCCGGTTTTTCCGAAATTGGCATCGCAAACTACTCACAATTTGCTCCAAACTGGTAGCAGACGCGCGTAGAAGAGGCGTGCCGCAGCATTGCAAAACCGTGCGCCGCTTTGCACAATGCGGCCACGCCTCACATTTTCGAAATTCGTTTTCAAAATTTTTGTCCTTTTGCTTTTTCTCAATGAATTTTCAAGATTTTTTGTGTTTTTTTTTTGTCAAAAATTAAAGAATTTTTTTCAAAATTAAAGGAAAAATGTTTTTAAAAAATAAAGGAAAAATTTTCATATTTATCATCAAAATCGAAACCAAAAATAAATTGATAGCATTCGAAAATTTTAAAATCGATACGATGTTTTCAAATCGTTTCCGACACTTTTAAAATCGAATTTAAATATTTTCTCAATCGAATTGTGTTTAATTTCTCATCGAATCCGTTTTATTTTTATTTACTTTAACATATTTTTTATTATCGCTCGCTTTTTTCTTTTAATAAAACATAATGTTTTGAAATTTTTTACAGATGAAGACAAGATCGAGAGTGTTGTCAGATATAACTGAAACTGCTCTAGAAGTCAATAACAAAGAACCAGAAGTCCCTAACATGGAACCAAATTCGCTCGACACTTCAGATCCAGATAGTCCAATTTACTCGCCAACTCAACAAAATTTTTTTTCTCCACAGTCCTCACAAACAACAAAATCAACGCCAATTCCTAAACCTTCGTACGCCCAATTTGTAAGTTGTTATCATCAAAAATTGGCCTGTTCGACTCCAGAAATGGTTTCAATTAGAAAAATATGCGCAATGAAGTCTTTATAAAGTACTTCCTAAGTTTAAAGCTTGTTGATTATTTGGTTCCAATCAGGGCTGTGCGGCAATGGAATTGCCGATTGCCGAAATTGCCGGTTTTTCAAATTGCCGAAGAAAATTTCGATCGGTAATTTGCCATTAGCCGAATCGCCGAAATTTCCGATTGCCGTACAGCCTTCGTACCAATATCATTCAGTGGCATTTATCTTTTTAAGTGGGGCTCTAGTACAGAAGTCGCCAGACGCCGACTATATAAAGATCCTATACTTTATTGCAAATATCTATATTACAGATGCTCTTATCCATGGCTTTGGGCAACAACCGACAAATGACTTCAAAGCGAAAGCATTACGCATGGTTCGAGAAGTCATGGATAATCTTCTGTAAGATTTTGAACTATGACTATTAATTTATTTATTTGATTAAGCGATAGAATGCGCCAACGACTTCAAAGGAAATTTGGTGTAGCGCCGGATGCGCTCGCGGCGCAATTAAGGAAGCTGCTTGATTCTACCAGCAACCCTCAGATGTGAGTATTCATATGTCTTTGAAATTTTAACCAAAATGCCTTTTTGCTTCAAATTTTGGAGTTGTTCTTTCTTCCGCCAATTCACTTTTTATTTTGTGCACTAAAGGGTTTCCAAAAATGCAATAAAAATAAATTATTTTTATTTTTAAGAAAATTATTGATGTAAAAAAACTGATTGTATTTTCTCGAAAAATTTAGTTTACGTAACAATGGTTTACAAGTTTTTCAAATTAATAGGCCCATTATAATCTACTTATTACAGCGTCCCGCTCGATGTCAGTACTGACAATGATTCGAATAGTTCGGCAGTTGCCAGTAACTAATGGTTTGATTATATCTTAATTGAAATTCATTTCATTGTTGTTTTTTTTTATTTTAAATTAAATAAATGTGTTAATATGAAATAAATTTTGAATACAGCAATCAAATTGTTTTCTTATTTTCCCATATGGAAGGCATACGGCTCATTCCATATACGAAACACGCGGTTCCGCAAAAAAATGCTTCCATTATGCTTCCATATAACTTGCATATAAGATTCCTATGATATCCACAGCCGTTCCACTATGCTTCCATTGTGCCTATGCCGCCGTTTATCTGTGAAGGTTCGCCCCCCGCCCAAAATTTTTTTCATTTTCATTATGAAGCGATGAATATCATTGTCATAAAATTGTTTTTAGAGTTTTCTGCATATCACCATTAGGATTTGGCAAATTATAGGATTACTCTAGGTCATTGGAGTGCAGAAAATTTTTCGAAGCAATTTCAACAATTTGCACTCCATTCGATTCATTATTCATTATCAGTTGTTTCGAAACATTTTAAAGGCGCTGTTTAGCCAAATTAGTTTGAATTTTCATAAAATATTTCAGAAGCTTCGATTCTTGAAAACCTATTTTTATTTTTTGGAATGATGGTCTTCCCTCCGAATTTCAAGCCGAAAAATCTGAGACTAAAAATGTCTTCTTTCCATTTTTCCATACTAGTAACTATTTATTATCATTCGTTATATGTAGTATTCTTCTCTATATATTAGTTAGCATTTGTTGAACGCCCACTAAGGTCATCAATTTTGTTTTGAAATTTCTTTGCTGAAAAAAATCTTCTAGAAATTATTGACACCTCAAAATCGAATTGAATCATCAATTTTTTGCTAAAAAATTTGAAAACCAGCAATTTCTTAGAAAATCGATGGCAACATTTTTTTTGACGTTGATAAAAAATTTGCCGAGTTCTCAACAAAATTCATATCCACTCAAAATCAATGAATTGGATGATGGTCCCATAACGAGATTCCATAATTTGTAATCGCCCTCATTTTACCATTAGCGGTTTGATCGCGCGCGCCAATAATACGCCCATCGGCGCGTCTCTCGCTTCTCTGTCGCCTCTCGCGGCCCCTTAAACTTATCAATGGTCCATTCATCGATCGCTGCATTGTTTTTGTTCGCTCCTTTTTTGGGGGGCTACCCTCCCCAGCTCACAAAACCCACATCTTTGTTTTGCAGCTCCGATGGACGAGATGCTTCCGAGATTTCCGATCAATCGTCCCAACGATCGCAACCTCGTCTATCATATGATGCGATTGAGCGAACGCGTGGCGACGTTCAGCGAGGAGGAGCGCCTCCGATTGGCGATCATGACGGAGCTCATCGTCTACGAGCACCATTTCGTCACCGGCGGCGTTTCGGAGCCGCAGACGTTCACGCGCATCTCGGCGCTATTGCGCGAGTTCAATCCGAACGCGGTGCTCTCGAACACGTTCGTCGCGCGCATGACCCGTCGATTCCGAGCGTTCGAGCGCATCGCATCGCGATTGGCACGTCTTCCGGCGATGGCGCGACGCTTCGAGCTTCTCCTTCAAGTCGTCGGCGAGGAACATGGCCGTGAGTTCTACGTGGTATCGCCAATCTCGTCATGTGCCCACCCACACTCGACGTATTCAGGTGTCGACAACTCCGGCTCAAAATTCGGCTGCTCCGGCTCCCAGTAGCGCTGGACCTGTTCCTCCAGAAGTCCGTCAAGCGCTCAACGAGTTGCTCGAGGAATCGACACCGACCGACGATGAAGCCAATTGATTGATTCTCCATTCATTATTGATTATTTAATTTTTTGTGTATATGAATGAAGTGAGAAATGAGAAATGTTGGAAATTACAAGAAAAATGAACTCATCCGATCCGGTGCCTCCGATTTGCGGCGATTTGGAGAATTCTGGAAAAGCCCAAATAATTAGAAAAATGTTTGGAACAAAATTGTCCTTTTTTGTGTAAAGCTACAATTTTTCCATTTTTTTTTGCAATAAAATTCCAATTTTTGAGCTCGAGATCGCATATTTCAGAAAATTTGATATTGAAATCAAATCGGGAAAACGAAAGCTATAGTTTTTTCTCAAAAAAAGAATGGTCCCTAGATTTTAATATTCAAAAATTCTACTGAAAACCGTTTCAAGATGGTCCCAATTCTCGCTTGAAATTGCGAAAAAATTGAGTTTGTTCAAAATTTGACAAAAAATAAAATTTTTTTGGTCTTGGGACCAAAATTGTGCGAGGAATTTCGTTTCGAACCAACCAATTTCAGAAAATTTTTGAATTCAATATCATCTCAATCAGTTATGGTATAGATGGTCCTTACAGAGCTCGGACCCCTTTTAGTTCACACCAAAACACACACCAATGATCGCGATGATCTATATATCTCGACGCCATTTGGCAAATTTAGTCGCGTTCTCGATGGAGCGCACTTGCAACTACATAGGGTTCTACTTGACGGATGGGGTTCATTCAATCATTCTCGGACCATGGTAAGCCTTCTTCTATTTTTTTTTCCCTTTCCCCTGATTATAATGGATTCCAATTTTGCAGAGGATCTCAAAAATCGCGACGGAGAACATGACGCTCGAGCGAATCCGAGGCTCGTATTCGCTCGATTCGCACGACGACATCATAAAATTGGAGCTCGTCATTCAAACAATGATCAAAATCATGGAGGACGCGACGAATAGCGACGAGCGAATCGTGACCGACGTCGTCCGATCCGACATCAACGAGCTCATTCGACAATTGTCGCCGTTCGAGAATCGCGCCATCGAGCGCGCGTTCGTCTTGCACGTGACGCAACGATTCAAGAAGCTCGAAAAAAAATTCTGGAGGCTCTACAGTCCTGAGAGATGGGCGAAACGACTTCAGCTCATCGAGGAAATCATGTGCAATGCGAGTGGATATCGCCTATTCGCGCGAAACGCCCATCATGCTCCTTTAATTAAGAAAAAATGATTCCAAATTTTTATTATTATTATTATTATTATTATTATTATTATTATTATTATTATTATTATTTCGATATTTAATCATTTATTTCCACCAAAATATTGTCCATAATTCATATTTGACGAATAAATAAATTAATTATTCGATTTATTTTCTCGAAATCGCGTTTTCTCCAGAATACTTCACTTTTATTGTTTCCGTAAAATTTTTTTCATAATTTTGTGGAGAAAAATGACAATTTTTTTGAGAAATTTCACAAATTCCTGGACCGATTTGCTCGTTTTTCAGCATTTTTTAATTTTTTCCGACAAAATTTCATTTGAATATCAAGTTTTATATACATTTCGAAAGCTTTTCGAATTCTATTTCTTCAATTTTTCCAGCTTTTCTCGAATGCCACATTTTATTTGCGTCCAAATCAATTTTTTTACAAGACGAGATTGAAAAAAAACGAGACCCCCATGACGTAGGGGGGTCCGAAAATCAGGGTGTTTCGAGCATTTTCGAACCAACAAATTTAAATGCGTTTGAATTGCCGCCAAAGTGTTTGCGGACTTCAACTATTTTTTTTGCCACAAAAATCTGGATTGTGCTAAAATATATACAAGCTGAAAAACAGATCATTTTAAGCGAAACGAGACGAGAGACTGTGTAAAAGTGAGAGACGCAGACACTGTACTGATTCTACCGTAATTCGAATCAATCGATAACTTGTACCATTCGTATTCTTGGCAACCCAACCCCACCCTAAAAATAGAAAATTTCCAAGTTTGGAGTACTGTAACTACCGTAATCCAACAACTACTATAATCGCTTAGATATTTGTACAGTAACATTCAGGCCTATATTAAATGCGCGTACGGTATAATGCAATGTACGCAGTTTCGCGTACTTCTCATATAGCCAATAATTTTTTTTTAAAAATTTCGTCAAATCGTTTGATTCCGACAAAATTTGAGAAATTGAAAAGAAGAGGGGCTCATTTAAATTTTTCCGTTTTTGATTTTCAACAATGTTTTCTCAACTCGCCATATTATTTCCAAAAAAAAAAATAAAATGTCGCGTTTTTTTTGCCATGACAACGAGTTTTGGTTCAACACAATCGCGAGACGAAACCCAGAAATCACGAGTGTCGTTGAGAAGCGACTCTCGCCGTCTGCTGATGCGAACGTGAGAATTGATGAACATTCGCATTTCCATCTTTCTGCTTTTCAAAAAAAAAACGTTTGATTCATTTATTTCTGCATTTTTATGCGCGTTTAAACGAATTATTTCGAAAATTTGGCAACCATTTTCTCCGATTAATGAAAATCAATCGGATTCGAAAATAATTTATTTTTCAATCTAAATCGAATATAAATTAATCTGTTTTGAAATATTCCGAAATTTTAATGGAATATGATTTCAAAATTGAGAATGAGAAATAAATCAATCGAATCGAAACCAACCGTTTTCTTAATCGAACTTGAATTATTTTTCAATCGAAACAGGTTAATTTATATTTAATTTTTCTTCGAATCCGATTGATTTTCATTTACCTGAGTGCATAAATTTCGTTAAAATTCAATCTATAATTATTTTAATGAAAGGTCGAATCTAGAAATGTGGTGTTCATACCGCAAATTCAAAAATATTTCAATTGCCGCCTCAACACACTTCGATCGACGCTGTCTGCTTCTTTTCCCTCTCCTCACTGCGCGTGCATCTCTCGCCGAGGACGCCAACCTCGCATTTTTGCGATTCGCCGTTCATATTATTTGTTTTTTTGTTGGTTCGCCAAATTCATTGTTGAAATTTCAGAAAGACTAAAAGAAAAAAAAAAGACGAGACCAACGGAGCGATGATCATCACGTTGTCGGAAGCGCATCGCGCTCGATTATTTCGCGAAGTCGAACGCCAAACGCCGATCGAATTCCTGCGAATGGGCCTCATCACCACCAAGTTGTTGTTCGCGAAAACCGCCGACGCGATTCACGTCGACGTCGCCGGCTATTCGTTCGCGATGCAGCTCACCGAGTTGCGCGCGACGCGGCGAATTTTGTCGAAGTTGGGCATCTACGGCGTGTTGAGCAGCCACACGAAAACGACGGCCGACCATTTGAGCGAGTACATTTTGATGTTGGCCGAGATATTCAACGAGTTTCTCGGCATCGAGGAGAATCAACGCTTGTCGGCGGATCGATGGGCCGATGAGGCGCTGCTGTTGGCGTTGAGGACGTTTCAGCACAAATTCTTCTTCTTGAACGTCGCTGGGGTGAGTATTTGAAGAGAATCTAGCCTCCGCGATTTATCGTCAAATTATGCGGATATGAGTTTCAATCAAATTGCGGACAATACATTTGAATTGACGAGCGCGGCATTAACTATTTAAACACTGTTCCTTTATCATTTTCAGCCGGCACTTCCGATTTCCACCGAGGGAATGATGGAGCATTGGATGGACGAGGGCAACGAGGATGTGCGCTGGATCTACGATCTCGACGCCGAATCGAACACCGAGGACGATCTCATCGCCGGCGCGCAAGGCTACCGCGTCGATTTCGCCATCTCTCGCCAATTGTTCGACACGATCGTCGACATTGTGCTCGAGGAAATCAACATGACGATTCAGAAGGCGATCAGCGTGTACGGAGCCGGCGTCGACGAGCGACGCGCTCCGCCGCTCATCGAGGTTCGTCCGAATGATGCGGAAGCGGCGGCGCCGCCGCATCCGGCCGTCGCCGAGTTTGTCTCGCAAGAGTTCGAGGAGCCGTTCGTCGACGGCTTCATGAACGCCTTCGACAATCTCGCCGCGCAAGGCGCCGACAATGTTCGTCTCGCCGACGTTTTGCACGCGATGAGGCGTCGCGGTCGCGATGAATCGGGAGAAGCTGCTGAAGCTGAAGCTGTGGCGCAACCACAGGAAGCTGGTGAATCTGGAAGCGCTGCTGAAGCTGTGGAGGTACTGCAGGAAGCTGGGGAATCCGGAAGTGCTGCTGAAACTGGGGAATCCGGAAGTGCTGCTGAGGCTGTGGAAGTACCGCAGGAATCTGAAGAATCTGGAAGTGCTGCCGAGGCGTCACCGCGGGAAACTGGAGAATCTGGAAGCGCTTCTGAAGCTGAGGCGTCACCGCTGGTAGCCGGAGAATCAGAAAGGGATGCTGAGGCTGTGGCGCAACCACAGCAAGTTGAACAATCTGGAAGTGTTGCCGAGGCGTCACCGCAGGAAGCTGGGGAATCTGGAAGTGCTGCTGAAGCTGTGGCCCTACCGCTGAAAGTTGCGATGTCGCCGGCATCTCGAGGAAATGGACGTGCCGCGCAAGAACCTCGTAATGATCCGTTCATCCAGAATTTTTTGCACGTGATGGCGAGTGCTCCGGTGGCGGCAGGAGCCGCGATTGACGCTGCCCAAGTGGCTGCCAACGTTGCCGCCCATCTTCGTCAGCAACAAGTTGCCGCGGGATCTCGAGATTCTACTGGAGCCGGTGAAGGCTCTTCTCGCGATGATGGCGGTGCTTCGCGATCCGGAGACGCGGATCATGTGGTGAGCATTCGCGATTTGCCAATCGAGGTCTACGAGGAGCTCTACGAGCGTCTGGAGCAAGCCGAGCGCAACAACGAGCGTCGACGGCGTGAAATGAGGCGTCGCGAGCGTCTCATCGATGTTGTCGGATCGGATCGCGACGATTCCGATGACTAGTCTACCCAAGTGTTGATGAATATGAAGCTTCTGCCCGATTTTTATTCAAATGCCGTTCTTGCTTGTTATTATTCATGCATATTTTGCCATTAATCCAATAGGGTTCACCTGTATCGTATTCCAGTTTAAAAAAATGTATTTGGTTGGATTTTGATGCTTGATTTTTGATGTTTTATTTTTAATAAACGCGAACACAAAAGAAGCCAAACAATTTAAGATAATTGGATTCTGCGAATCTCGTGTTGTCTCCAGAATGATATTGTTTATAGTCACCTAAATTGGATCAAATGGATTTTTGCTTTGGAATCAGAGATAAATGTCAAAAGCTGTGATCTAAATATGGATCACAATTGGCTCTCTGAATGGAAGTGCCGAAAATGCGACAATATGAACGCTGAGTATTAATTTTGAGCCAAATTTGGTTCAAACCAATTTTTTTTCTCACTTTTATTGCAAAAAATTCGAAATTTTCCCATCAGACGACCAATGGGCTTCCAGATTTTGTGCTGAAATTTTGACACAAGGCAATTATGCGAAATAATTAGCCTGATCGCAAGTCTCTCATACATTCTATTTCGCAATCGGACCCCCTCAAATCTTTCATATAGTTCTGGGACAATTTTTTTTAGAAAAAATTGCTTTTTAACTTTTTAATTGCTGGAATTCAAATTTCGTTTTCTCGAAATAAATACCATTTTGCACAACTTAAACTTCCTTTTAATCGCGTCGTCGACGATTCAGAAGGTTCAGTCTTGAACCGAACAATGACGGAATTGATTGGTCAAAACCTTATATACATAATCTGTTTGGTGAGTACTTCAGTCCCATTCCAATTTTGAGTCATTGAAGAAAAGTTGAGACTCAAAAAAGGAAGAAGGAAAAAAAATATAAATGATTCAATAAACAATTTGTGAATTTTCAAATTGATTTTTTTATAAAATTTCCATCATTTTGAATGTATTTTTATGGACCACTATATTCGTGAAAGGACCTACAAGTCAGTGATTTTTTCTAAATTTCTAAGGAAAAATCGGGGAATTTTAGGTAAGAGGGATCGAGAAGTTGGATGTCCAAATTCGAAAATTTTGAAATTCTGGAGCCGCTCTCTCAACACTACGAGCCACTATCAAAAATGTCCATCGTCGGAAAATTGAAGTGGGCTAGAACAACGTCGAAGATCAAGCCTTGCCCACACCGGACGAGCATTCAGAGAAGGGGTGAACACCACATACCTTCAAGAAGACCGGGGATACATCGTTCCAGAAGCACTTTGTCATCTCCTACTATTCTTTTTTTCGGAGCACATGAGCCCCCTAGTTCATTTCGTTGCTTCCAATTTCTGGAATTCAGAATCGCGCTGAATTGTTGCTCATCTGGCGATGAGATGAGAAGCTTTTGGACCGGGACGCTGGACAGCTGAAGGATGCAAACCATCGGCACGACAAAGCTTGAATCCACAAAAAATCCGGAATAAGAAAACAGCGGTGTGACGATTTTCATCAGAATGGGCCATCGGAAAATATTCTCTCGTTGAATTTTTATTTCCCTGGGAAAACCAATCACCGGGTGGGTACAGAGATAGATTCTTAGTCATCGGAATGTTGCAAGAGAATCGTGAAGACGTCGAAGATCACCGAAGGGGTGGGGGGTCCGATTGAACAAGCCATATTGGGAGCCATACGACAAATTCCAAGAATTTTAAATCATTCTTCTAATTCTGCAACAAAGCCGGTTTCTTCGATCGTCGGCAAATAAATCGAGCACCCAGAGAAATGGTGGACCATCGCAGGCGGCGGCAATTCAAATCCGGATACCCTCCGAGCCTGACTGAAGCAATTTCAAGCCTTCCATCATTTTTTTGTTGAATTCAACAAATTTATTGGGATTCAACAGAATGTTGACGTGTGCGTGGAAACTTCTGAAGTCAATTTTTGTGCTGATGAGGGCTCTCGAATAAAAAATGGTTCCATATTTGGTCGAGAAATCACAAAATCGAGCATTGATGGTAATGCAAAGATTACTGTAGATATTTAAAGGTACACGGGCGAAACGATTTGAAAAATTTTGAGAAGCGTAAAATGATTTTCAAAATTTAACAAAAACTCGTATTTTTCTTCTTTAAGGTGATTTTCAGATTCCATTTTTTTGGCGTTTATGTCAAGAAAAAAAACATACTTCCAGAATTTCCGGACCGGAAAGTAAATGATGAGCCGTCTCGTCTCATCAACATTTGGAGTTGGGCTCAATAAGCTCCAGCTCAAGAGTTTCTCTTAGAATGGTCCCAACTCGTTAAAATTGAATAGGAAAGAACAAAACCATAGGACCATTTGGAGCTGGAGCAGTATTCAAACTCATAGTTTGAATGGTCCCAACTGATTAAAATTGAATTGGAAAGAACAAAACCATGTGGAGCTGGAGCACATTGTACAGCTTCTTTCATGTCTCCGCCAACTTTTTACAACATCCGCATAATCGGAATCAAAAGGCGAAAAAGAAACATATGGAAGGTTATAAATATTGTTTATCAAAAAGTGCTCCAGCTCGTAAATTGGAGCTGGACCACATTGCTTCAACGTTCTGCGCAGAATGACACCCATTATATGCATTTCTCATTTATAAAATTATTTTTTCAAATTTAAAATGAAATTTATTTGAAACAGTAAATTGTAATAGGCGGTTTTTTTTCGGAATTTGAACAGTTTCAAATTTTTCAAGGAGAAAAAATATTTTTAAAGGTTTTATTTGAAAAAAGTGGTCTTTATAAATCAAATATTAAAAAAATTTCGAAAATTTCTTATGAAGAAGCTATTTTTGGAAGAATGTTGAATATTTTTGCAAAAAAAAATGAAAATTAGACGCTTTTTTCGGAATTTGAACAGTTTCAAATTTTTTAAAGGAGAAAACATATTTTTGAAGGTTTTATTTGAAAAAAGCAGCCTTTTTAATTCAAAAATTAAACAATTTCGAAAATTCCTTATAAAGAAGCTACGTTTGGAAGAATATTGAATATTTTTGCGAAGAAAAACCGAAAATTAAAATAATTATGATTTGATTCTCATTCAAAAAAAAAACGCCATTATCGATTTGTTTTTTTTCGCCGCAAACTGTTTCTACATTGATATGCGATTCCTTATCTCATCCCGCAATCAGGCGATTCATGCACCTGTCCGCCTGGGACCATCCAAATCCGCCACACTATTTCGAGCTCGATGGTTCGTTGAACCCAAAAATTGGATTTTGGCGCGAAAATGTGTGTCGAGCCGTGCCGCCGCACAGCTCCGACTTCATTCCATCCGCTCATTCCTATTCCATTTTCGTGTCCCTGGTTGGTGGGTCCCATTTTTCTTGTTTGGTCCTTCATCAATCGCCATTTTTCTTTTAGTGGTTTCCAGACAATGCCGGTGCCGATCGTGTGCGAGAATATGACGCTGGAACGCATTCGCGGAATCTATCCCAACATGAAGCACAAGCAGATGGTGCGTCTCGAGTTGATCATCCAGATGATGAAGGTGGCGATGTTCTCGAAGAAGGACGAGACGCTCGACGCCAACTGCATCAAGGCGTTGAGTCGCGGAAGCGATTTGAAGGAGTTCATGCGCGAGTTTCCGTGCTGCTCGAATTTCGAGATCAAAGTCCACGTGGCGATCGACATCGCCAGACGATTCAAGGCGATCGAGGAGGGCGTCGGCGCGCTGTACACCGAGCAGCGTTGGGAGAAGCGCGTCGAGTTGCTGGTCGACATTTTCGGCGAGTACAAAACGATCAACGTGTTCGACGTGGTGCCGACGAGAATGGCGAACAATTGGCGTCGCCGCGCGATGTGCTGTCGCACCAGCCGCCATTTTCGCTAAATTAATTATAATTAGACATAATTATTAATTATTATTATTATAATTGCTTCCTCATAGCTTTCTTTTTCTTGAATTTATTGCTTGATTTTTATTGTTTCAATAAATCGATTTGCGATTTTTTTGTTGATTTCCAGCCATCCAGAATTTGATCGAATCACATTCATTGAATACCTCGTCTAAATCGTTTTCAGAATTCTTTTATCGATTTCAGAATTGGACGACTTCAAATTTGAGGAAGAAAAACAGAGTAAGTCATTTTTTTTCCAAAAATACCAAATTTTGAAATAGATTTTTTTGTGCCAAATTTGTCGAAAATTCTTTTTTTTAAGGTTTTCAATTTTTGATTTTTTTTTCAATTTGAAATTCCCGTTTCGAGACAAGTTTAAAATGCAAAAATTATTTATTAGAAGCTCCTGTTTAATTTTTTTGATAGCAGATTACTGTATTAGTATTTGCGACCTTGTCGCATACCGTACTCCTCTGCCTGACCTTTATATCGCATACGGTCATTTCTTACTGTAGGAATGCAACTCACGTCAACTCCTGAGCGCAATTTAAAGGTGCTATGCCGATTTTGGGAAAAATGTGTATAATTTCTCATTTTGTTATTTAATGGTCCGCAACAGAAATAATTACAAAAAATGCCGACTTCTATTAGGTCTAGAAATTAATTTCCGCGTTTTTTTTCACATATTTAACTATAAAAAACTGGCAAACTTAAACAAAACTTGGATTCAAAATAATTTCCGTCATTAATAACAACATTTTCCCAGAGTTTTGGCAACTTATGGATTCCATCATTATAGAATTTTTCTAGTTTTGCCGCAGTCAATTCGTCTAGTCATTTTTTGACGTCTTGATGATCTCGAGAGCGCTGCTCCGCCAGACCATGAGCCATTGAAAACATGATAATCCGACGGGGGCAATATATAAGTGAGCTGATAATACAGAGAACATTATAACATAAAATTCGTTAGTTAAAATTTTTGACAAAATAGCAACAACAAAAAAAACGCGGAAATTAATTTCTAGACCAAATAACAAAAAAGCTACAATCTTTTTTTTTAGAGCTCTTCGAATTTTCTTCCCAAAATCTGCATAGTGAGATTCAATCGTATATATTTTTTAATGAATGCACTTTTCTTGAGATTTCATCTATTACATTTTTTAGAGGTTCCATTCAAGTTGCTCCAGCTCTAGAGTTTCTCTTTGAATGGTCCCAACTGATTAAAATTGGATTGGAAAGAACAAAACCATGTGGAGCTGGAGCACATTGTACATCTTCTTTCATGTCTCCGCCAACTTTTTACAACATCCGCATAATCCAAATCAAAAGGCGAAAAAGAAACACATGGAAGGTTATAAATATTGTTTATCAATGTGCTCCAGCTCGTTAATTTGAGCTGGACCTTCTTTTCATAGATGCCCGACCTATGGGCATTCCGAGATGTCGGCTGCGCGTTTTCCGGATCAGATTGATTCCGGAGACGAATTTGATCGGATCCGAATGGTTTTGAGTTTCCAGAATTGTGCCAATGAATTGTCTCAAGACATCGAGAAGTACGCGAGACTGCTCCTCTGCATTTGCGCGTCAACTACACCGCATTGTCTACCGTAAACAGTCAAAAGAAAAATCACGAAAAAGGTATTTCAATTCATTTTTTCTTAAAAATTTTTTTTGAATCCCCAAATTTGGATCTGACAAAAAAGGTATTCAAATATCACAAATTCTCCGACTCTATTCAAAATGCATTATATCAATAGTTCTATTTAAATCGAATCCATTGTTTATTTTGAATGTCTCCAATTTTGAGCCATCCTGCTCCAATTGTTCACCGTCTCGGCTCAATCTATTCAAATCTATTCGGACCCCCCCCCTCTTCGAATTTTAAACATTTGAATTGCCTCCATTCATTTGCGTGGGTAATACCGAATAAGCCACGAATTCTGAAAATTTCAAAAATAAAATGAAGAATCGAATTTTCCCGATTCCGTTTTCCACACGAGACCCCCATTTTTTGGTCGAAAATTCTTTCAAGCGGCACATTGTTGATTTTTGATGATCATCGCCCCAAAAATGGTCATCACGTCATCCTGTCTGTCGCCGCCTCTTCGGCGACCCGTTGCGTGGCCACTCGCGACCCGCTGCCGATTCATTTGCGCTCCTCAACAATTTTTTTTAGTTTTTCTTTGTTTTGAGATTTCGCGCGAGAAGCCCTTCGACGCGATTCCGGCGCGGATGTGTTTCGTCGTCGTCGTCGAGATGATCTACTCGCCTTTGACGTGCTCAACACCGGAGGCCTCGTGGATACCTCGTGTACGCGGCGCTTCAGTTCAACTATCTGGAAGCGCTTCTCGAGTTCAGCGCGGCCGAGGAGAAGAATTGGAGATGTTCAGTGTCAAGCACAATTGTTACAAGGCTGGAATTTTCGGTTGCACTCTAAAAATTTGAGTTTTAGCCCCACCCCCATGAATTTTGCAGATTAATGTGCGGAAACTCGAAATAAAATAGTGGGATGTCTTATATCGCGCTTACATCCCACCTCGGCAAGCGGTTGTAGTTCAGTGGTGTGTCGGTTATGCAGTCATGCCACTGATTAAGCGCGACGCAAGCATAATGGAAGCATTGTGGGAAATCTGTGGAACGGAAGCATAATGCTTCCATATAGGAAGCATAATGTAATTCTTAGTGGCTGTGGAAGAATTATGGGACGAATATGGATGGAATGAAAACGGGATGAATATGCTTCCGGTGTTTGCGAGCCGTGGAACAAATATGGATGGAATATGGATAAAATAATCATATGTCAATAAACATTATACAATTGGCGTCTGGACGGCAGACCAAGACAATTTCTAGAAAAATCAATACAAAAAACTTATGCTATCATATAAACAATGAAAATTTGAAAATTACATGATACACAACGGACGAAATTTAGCTTCTACCATTTAATGACTTATGTTACTCAGATTTATGTTAATTCAGTCAACTGTTCCTCACTTTGTTTAAAGATTGCCAACTACAATTTAGTCGTATTAATATATTTTTGCCGGTTTTTCCGAAATTGGCATCGCAAACTACTCACAATTTGCTCCAAACTGGTAGCAGACGCGCGTAGAAGAGGCGTGCCGCAGCATTGCAAAACCGTGCGCCGCTTTGCACAATGCGGCCACGCCTCACAATTTTCGAAATTCGTTTTTCGAAGTCCGTGGGAGACCAAGAGAAAGACGCTTCCCCGATATATATATGTTTGAAATGATAAAAAATGATTGGTTTTCATTTTAATGTTAATATGCCAACGCGATTGTGTGTTTAAATTACGTCATTTGGGTTAAGCCAAGTCGAGAAATTCTTTCAGTTGCGGAAGAAACTCAACATTTGCGCATGTCACCGTTTTTATTTTGTTTTGTGTATCATTATGATTTTAGCTATGACTAACCACATTTAAAGCACATTGGTTTATTTTGTTTCCTTAAGATTTATCTTTGCTTCGCATTATTTTTCAAGGCGTTAATTATGTTCAGATAATGCCAAAAAGTATTCATCGCCACTTCAATAGTGTTGCACAAAAGTCAAGTTAGTAATTATAATAGTCCCAACTAATTGGATTTAACTTATAGATGGTGAACACGTTGATGACAAAAGAAGTCAAAATAATAATGTTAACGAAATAAGCGTGCGCGCTGAGGAGACGATGAACCTTTATGATGCCGATATCCATATGGATACAGATAGCGAGGAAGAACAAGAATTGTTTTCTAGTTGGGAAAGTAAATTAATCGAGGATAATTTATTCTACAGGAATAGTCAGAGATCTTCGTTCGGCTCCAGATAAAGTTATTCAATTTCTATGTGCAGTATGCATGTCAAGATTATCGGAGAGTGGTTAAGTTATTTATACCAATTTCATAATTGTTTTTTTAAAGAATTCAATCGATTCATATCAGTAATGGACGAAGACATGGCTGAATATGTTGAAAAATTGTGGAGCACGGAGAAAAACAAACATTTGATTCACTATTATTGCAATGGTTGCGGTGCTAAACGGCTAAATAATGAGAAATGGTTTGTTATTTTGAAAGCGTGTTTTTGTATTTTTGTGGAAAGAAGAATGTTAGAAATCTGCGCGGACTACTATTTAATTGGTCCCGCAAAAAATTCAAAAAATTAAGTAATGCCATCTCCAAATTCGCACACCGTCAACTATAGCAGCACTATCCGAAACTCCAAATTACCACAATTGTATGTTTCTAGTTGCGGTTCAATTGTGAAGTTCGTGCGTTTGGGAATTCAGTCACAATTGCATCAGTTGATCAACGAATATTTCGAAAAAATCATCGCTATTCGTTCCAGTATTCGACAGGGAAAAGAGAGAGACCACAACTTGGCAAGCAAGTTCTTTAGAAAATTTTGGGAATCAGAAGAGGAAGGGAAAGAGCTGAAGCTATCTGGCGTATTGTCGCTAGATGGTGTCTGCGTTCCAGGAAGCAGAAAGTGATATAATGGTAAAATTACACATTTTCAAATAAAACGATTTGAGGAAACTGTGGCCCATTTCTTGCATCCTTGTTGATTTGCCAACCGGGGAAATGCAGAAGTCGACTAATGTTCTCCTCGAAGGAGTTGCAGAGAGTGATATGGACCCCAGCACGATTTTCTGGAACGCTATATTACCAGCTCTCAAGTCGGACTGCATCGGATCACTTGGAACAGTGAGAGGAGTGAATATTTCTTTTAAATTTGTAACAGTAGTAGCAGACCAACCTGTAAACATAAGTTCCTTGAGTCTACTTCTATCCATGCATTTATAGGCAAAAAGAGCCCTTTTCGGTTTTAAGTCACATCACTCGAGCCAGTCTTGTTTCTATTGCATGGCTACCGGAACATACTACAAGCAGGCTGGACCACGTAGGTTAATAATCGTAATCGAAACTTAATAGTTATTTAAACAGTTCGAAGTGTTACTCGTGGAGATATGCTTACTGTTTTAGACAGTTTACAACACGAAAATGGATTTGGAAACACTGCCGCAGGCATCATAGAGATCATCATGCCATATGAAACGCCTATAGATATCCTTCATGATTTGGGAGAAGGTTTATGTGAAATCATTACAAAAGGTATTCTATTAATTTTTTATTATTAGACGCTATTTCTAGAAGTCCTTCGGACTGCGAAACGCTTCAAATCAGATCTATTTCATCCAAATGCTTCTAACACCACTCTCGAGGAACTGCTTTCCGAAGTTGTTCTATCCTCGAAGTATTCTAAAATCAAGGATTGTCGAAACGGTAGCGACAAGCTTCACGTGAGCCAAATATTATAAATATATAAGATACGCCTAATTTATTGGTTTTAGTTTTTCCGAATTCAACTTTTCCTCGCCGCTTTATGTTCGCCGAATCTGCCAACAAAAGGACGGTTGGTGATTGTTGCCATTGCAACAATTGCAAATTCTTTGTACTCGAATTGCGAGAGTTGCGAAATATTTTTGTGCAGCTGTGCGCTGCAGCAAGGTGGTTCTTAATCGAAGCCAACGAAGAATATATGACTTGTAAAGCTCATGTAAGATAAAAATTTAACAATTGTAAAAAATAGTTTTTCAAAGGAATTTTTATTTCACTTGCCGCAAATTGTTGACAAATTTGGAAACACAGCGACGCTATCGACTTTCAGTTTCGAAAGCGCCTATCAATTTATTTTGAAAGGCTACAAGAGTCGATTTTCTCGAAATTTCTTGGAAACGGCATCTTCGAGGTAAATAAAAATGATAAATACAATCGAGAAAAGCAAAGCAAAGACATCTTCAGATTCATGTTGCAAAAAGCGCTAAGACGAGAAGTAAGGCAACGAGCAGCTCAAGATACAGTTTCCATGCCTCTGAAGAAATTTTTGCAAGCAACTCCGGAAATGTTGCCAAGTGCGACAAGATGGAGTAACGAAATAAAGCGAATTAAAAATGAGGACGTAATAATTGCCGACGAGAACGCCATTTATTACGGAACATTACATATGGCTTGCGGAAAATTCAAATCGGCATACCTTGATGATGAAACTGTGGATGACGTGATGTTCGCTGTTTACAATAACAATTTAGAGGTTTTCCGATTTATTGCTGTTGTATACCATTCGAACTGTGCTGAAGTGGTTGTTGAACTAATAAAAGAAGTTGAACCAGGATCGCAGTTCGCTTCTCTCGCGAAATCAATTAATGATCTACATGACACGGACTATTATTATGGAAATGAAATATTGAAAATGTTAAAAGAATACAAAGGCGTGAAAAACGGCGAGCTCACAGGAATTCGGTTAATTATTTCTATTGATTGTATAAGGCATTGTGCATGCTATATTCCTACGCATAATGGAATTTTGATTGTTGCTGCAAATGGCGCTCTTGTGCATAATTAAAATATTTAATAAAGGTTTTAAATATTTAATGATGAAAATGAACCAGTTAATACACTGTAGAAGTATCTATTTTTAATCAGTTATTCATTTTCTGTCCATTAATGGAAATTTCCTAGTTGCAGTGTATTATACTCGAGAAATCATGAGATGTGCCGCAGCATTGCGAAACAGTGCGCCGCAGCATTGCGAAACAGTGCGCCGCATTGCACAATTCTGCCACGCCTCAGAATTTTCGAAATTCGTTTTCAAAATTTTTGTCCTTTTGCTTTTTCTCAATGAATTTTCAAGATTTTTTGTGTTTTTTTTTGTCAAAAATTAAAGAATTTTTTTCAAAATTAAAGGAAAAATGTTTTTAAAAAATAAAGGAAAAATTTTCATATTTATCATCAAAATCGAAACCAAAAATAAATTGATAGCATTCGAAAATTTTAAAATCGATACGATGTTTTCAAATCGTTTCCGACACTTTTAAAATCGAATTTAAATATTTTCTCAATCGAATTGTGTTTAATTTCTCATCGAATCCGTTTTATTTTTATTTACTTTAACATATTTTTTATTATCGCTCGCTTTTTTCTTTTAATAAAACATAATGTTTTGAAATTTTTTACAGATGAAGACAAGATCGAGAGTGTTGTCAGATATAACTGAAACTGCTCTAGAAGTCAATAACAAAGAACCAGAAGTCCCTAACATGGAACCAAATTCGCTCGACACTTCAGATCCAGATAGTCCAATTTACTCGCCAACTCAACAAAATTTTTTTTCTCCACAGTCCTCACAAACAACAAAATCAACACCAATTCCTAAACCTTCGTACGCGCAATTTGTAAGTTGTTATCATCAAAAATTGGCCTGTTCGACTCCAGAAATGGTTTCAATTAGAAAAATATGCGCAATGAAGTGGGTATATAGTTTTGTGGAAAAAAATTTTTCCACTTTTTCGCGAAAATAACAATTTTAAATTGTTATTTTTTGTTTTATTTTGTGAATGTAATATGAAACTAATAATAATTGCGCATATTTTTCTAATTGAAACTATTTCTGGAGCTATTCGCTTTTTCGAGTTATTCGACAAAATTAGGGGTGGGTGTATAGTTATGTGGAGCACTGTATAAAATATGGCCAGACGCGGCTACAAAATTTTTCCTCATTGAATTTTAAATAATTTATGAAATGTTTTAGGTTCAAAAGGCAAGCACCGTAAAGAGGCAGCATACAGATTCTATGGAAGTCGCCGAAAACCAAGAAATTATGGCGATGACTACAAAAAAATGCGAAAGGGGAATGCGTCTTCAAACCACCAGTGGAATCCAATCGACTTTGCTAAAAATTATTTATTTGATGTTTCTAATGGAGTTTCGTACTCGAGAGAAGTACAAGAAGTAAGTAATTAATCACAGGAAAAATAAAATTTGCATTTTTTCGGTAAATGAAAATCAATAGGATTCGAAATAATTTCGATTTCAAAATTCGAAAATAATTAATGTATCGAAACATATGACAAATCAGATACGATTTTTGAAATTGAAATAAGTTTTAAATATTGAAAATGAGAGTAATTTCGAAGATTTTCAATTGAAATCAAGTTTTTTTTTTACATCGAATTCAATGTTTTCTTAATCTAATTTAAGAACATTCTTAATCGAATCAATTTAATTAATATTTCATTTTTCTTCGAACACAATTGATTTTCATTTACTGGAATTTGTACAATTTTACATTAATTTTTACACGTCTTTTTAGGCAAATATACAAAAACTAATCAAATCTCCAAAAAATATTGATTACCAAATATTTCTATCTATGGCTGAGATGGAAGAGAATGAAAAGCTGAAAGATGTATTCCTCGGGCAAGCATTCTTAGCGTGCGCTGTATGCTTTCGTTTCATATACATAATACCTAATAGGATTTTTCATTGCAGATAAATACTGCAGTCAACCAATGCAAATCAGCAAATGAATTAGGAAAATTGCAAACAAATCAGGAAAATATTTTTAAGCCAAAGCAAGGATTTAGTATCGATCAAGTTATCAAAGAATGAAATGAGGAGTTCGTTTTACCGAGCTTCTACTCATTTCAATTTAAGGACTTGATATCCCCAATGATCGCTTCCAATCTTTCATCATCATATTTTGATAGGGACGGTCGGACTCTAATGCGAGAAGCTCTCACAAAAGTAATTTTATAGGCCATTTAACAATATAAATAAATCAAAATTCTTTTTTTAGGTAGCTTTAAAAGATAAGTGGTTTCCAGCATACTCATCGAGTCCATCGTCATCGAAGGGTTACTTGTATTTCGGAGATCGTTTCATGATGAAATGCTGCGGTAAGTCTTTATAAAGTACTTCCTAAGTTTAAAGCTTGTTGATTATTTGGTTCCAATCAGGGCTGTGCGGCAATGGAATTGCCGGTTTTTCAAATTGCCGAAGAAAATTTCGATCGGTAGTTTGCCATTAGCCGAATCGCCGAAATTTCCGATTGCCGTACAGCCTTCGTACCAATATCATTCAGTGGCATTTATCTTTTAAGTGGGGCTCTAGTACAGAAGTCGCCAGACGCCGACTATATAAAGATCCTATACTATCCTATATCTATATTACAGATGTTCTTATCCATGGCTTTGGGCAACAACCGACAAATGACTTCAAATCGAAAGCATTGCGCATGGTTCGAGAAGTCATGGATAATCTCCTGTAAGATTTTGAACTATGACTATTAATTTATTTATTTGATTAAGCGATAGAATGCGCCAACGACTTCAAAGGAAATTTGGTGTAGCGCCGGAAGCGCTCGCGGCGCAATTAAGGAAGCTGCTTGATTCTACCAGCAACCCTCAGATGTGAGTATTCATATGTCTTTGAAATTTTAACCGAAATGCCTTTTTGCTTCAAATTTTGGAGTTGTTCTTTCTTCCGCCAATTCACTTTTTATTTTGTGCACTAAAGGGTTTCCAAAAATGCAATAAAAATAAATTATTTTTATTTTTAAGAAAATTATTGATTTAAAAAAACTGATTGTATTTTCTCGAAAAATTTAGTTTACGTAACAATGGTTTACAAGTTTTTCAAATTAATAGGCCCATTATAATCTAAGTGAAGCGACTAGGAAAAGTGGAGAAAAGGTAAAAATTCGATAACGGTTTCTTTCTACAAGCGTATATTTGCGAAAAAAGGATAGGTTAAATGTGCATTAGGACTTTTGCCTAATTTCTTAGCAATAGTTGTTGTTTTTAAAAATATCATAACACGGCTTTTTAACCAAGTGTGAACGCTATGAATTCTACTTATTACAGCGTCCCGCTCGATGTCAGTACTGACAATGATTCGAATAGTTCGGCAGTTGCCAGTAACTAATGGTTTGATTATATCTTAATTGAAATTCATTTCATTGTTGTTTTTTTTTTATTTTAAATTAAATAAATGTGTTAATATGAAATAAATTTTGAATACAGCAATCAAATTGTTTTTTTATTTTCCCATATGGAAGGCATACGGCTCATTCCATATACGAAACACGCGGTTCCGCAAAAAAATGCTTCCATTATGCTTCCATATAACTTGCATATAAGATTCCTATGATATCCACAGCCGTTCCACTATGCTTCCATTGTGCCTATGCCGCCGTTTATCTCTCATGAGAGGAGTTGCGGGTTCGGTCCCGGTACCTACAAACCTTTTCGCCAATTTTTTAATAGGCGATACAAGCGGATGACGATCGCATTAAAGGGAGCACACGATAATAAATTTTCCTCGCGTCTCGCCCTCCTTATAAGGGCGTCCGAACAGAGTGTTCATTTTTTTTATTTCGTATCATATATGTGTGTGTGTGCCTGCCTGACCCGAGAGACACCCGTCGCTTCATTCCATTTTCTTTCCCACAACGCGCCCCCCTCCCCACCTCAATAAATTTTATCGATTCGTTTCGTCCATATTTGGCAATTCATTTTCGATGTTCTCCTTTCTTTTCTAGTTTTTTTGGTGAGCCTCTCGCATTTCAGACATGCTTCCGCCAAACGTGCTCCATCGCATCGGCAGCGCGCACATCGACGCTATGCGGCGTCTCGTCGACGGCATGAGCACCATGGAGCTGGTGCGATTCCGCATCGTCGCCGAGCTGATGCGATTGTCGGAGGAGTACGCGTTGCGGCTCGTCGCGCTCGACTATCCCGTCGAGCACGTGCTCGCCGAGCGCCTCTATCCGCTGCTCGATCGCGCCGGCATCGATCGCCGCGTCACGCTCGACCTCTACGGCTTCATCTACAAGGTGTTCGGCTCGTTCGCGGCGCTCAATCGACGGCTCTGCAAGCGCACGCGAATCGAGAAGGCCGTCGCGCGAAACGGACTACTGCTCCACATTGTCAAACAGACATATGGCACACCGTTTCTTGTCACAATGGTTGCTCATCGTGCCGAACGTGCCGAACACGCGGCTCCGTGCACCTCAACAACGTCCGCCGAATAAGTGTCGTTTTTTGTTGTTGTGGAATGTTTGAATAAATTTTCGCCGGTTTCTCCCCCCACTAGTGTCCCTGAATGATGTCCGCAGATTGATTGCATTGGCTTGTCAACCGAAAAAAAAAGAAATTTATGAGCCCCCCCCCCCTCCTCCAGCTAAATTGAATCGCAAATGAGGTGGCGCAAAACGAAATTTATGGCAGCCGGGGTCGAACCGCGCGAAAATTCAGCGCGTTGAGCAACGCGCTTACCGCCTGCGCCATAGGACAAGCGCGCCGCACCGGCCACACATTTAAAACAAGCCGGGTGGTCTCTGGCCACCGCATTCCACTGCATGTCTGGCGGTCTCTTCTCTCTCTCTCTCTCTCGCCTCGCTTTGGGTTACGGTAACTCCTCCCATTCAAATTGGTTGATTTATTCGAGAAATCAATTGGAATATATAATTGAGTTATTTAATAATTCCTTCTAGTCGTACAGATGAATGTTGGCGGGATTCTGAAAATTCCATGATTGAATTCGTGGATTCACGCGCATTTTGCAAAAAAAAATAGCCGAAAATTTTTGTGCAAATTGTCGTCGAATCAGGCGCATTCGAATCAGGCGCATTCGAACACTTCAATATTACTTTTGATCTAACAATTCAAATCCGAAACAATTTTTTTTTTGAATTTTTTCAAAGAAATTTGCATTTTCATGCTTTCTTCGTACTTCTGAATCCATTTTTCAAAAAAAAAATCCTAAAAACCAAATTTCTCCAAAGAACTCGGCCACGGCCACGCACGCTTAAAAAAATAAAATTTCCTTTAAAAATCTTGAATTTTTTCTTTAAGCGTATGGGAAAAAAGCTTGACAACAAAATAAAATTTTGGTGGCCGTGGCCGAGTTTTCGGATTTTTTTTCGGCCATCCAAATAGCGATTTTTGGAGTGGTTTTTTCGAGCAATTTTTTTTGCGAAACACCATAAATTACCTCGATGCGAATCAAAAACGGCGTGCCGCGATGCATATGATAGATCTTGTTCAGCACGCTCATTCGACACACGTCCTTGTGCATGTCGGTGAAGCCGCGCATCGAGTGCTCGAGATTGACGAATTGCTCATAGGCGGAAGCGAACGAGTCGGAATGCGGCCGACTGAGATTGTGGATGGCGAGCTGCTCGAGTTGGCGCATCACCTCGGCGGCCTTCTCGCGCGCCAACTCGTCGGCCCGCCGATTCTCGCCGACCGCCTTCTTCGCGCTGATCATCTCGACGATGAGAAGCGCGTAGCGAAGCGCCTCGACGTCGTCGAGCTCGTCGGGCGGAAGTGCGTCGCCGGTGCTCATTGTGCAAGTCTGAAGTCATCATTGTGAGATCGATTCGTTTTTTTTTTTGAAATTCGATTTAGGCCGATTTTCAAAAGGAACCCCACTGCGCAAAAAAAATGGAAAAAAGTACTTCAAATAACTTTTTAAAATCATGATTACTGTACATATTTCAAATAAAAATGCTCCAAAAATTCGGAAAGGGTCCCTTTGACTTATTGACAGCTATCTGAGTTTTTTTTTGGAGAAAAAGAAAATTTCGAAATCCATCGAAATGTCGGTTTTTAGCATTTTTTTGGCACAAAAAATCAAGCTTTAAACCAAAGAAAACGAGTTTTTAGATGAATTGCTTTAAAATTTTTCAAAGCTCAAAAAAAAAATTAAATTAATCAAAAATTGAAATCCATAATTTTTCCCCCAAAAAATCGCTTTTTTCCAAATTTCGATTTTGGGAAATTTCTCAAAATCTCATTGCCAATTAATAATTCAATTTCGGGGGAAAAATAAATTTTTGGCTTGCCACTAATTATTTTTTGATTCAACAAGAGTGAAGTCACATGAGCCAGAGAGAGAGAGAGAGTGAGAAGCTCTAATTGGAAAGTGCACCATGATTAACACGCTGATTAATGATAAACAATCTGCGGACAATTAAATGGCGCAAAAAACGACGAGTGAAATGTCGGAAGATGAATTCGCATAGCGCTTGGACAGCGAGTGAGCGTTGCTTCGCGTTTGACTCATCGACATGAATCATCAAGAAGGAAAAAAAACGAAATTCGTCGATGGGGTGCTTCTATCATTTCGATCTAGTTTATTCGAGAAAATCTATCTATATGTGATCTAATGATCAATTAAATTTGATCGGCGTCAAGTAGGTAGCTTCATCTTCGGATTGGTGACAAGAAGGGACCAAAAATAGTCAATCGCATTTTTTTTTTGCGATGGAGAGAAAATAACAGTGTTGGTCTTGAGGCGATGACACTGCTCAACTAATGCTACCGTAATCCCGACTTTTGTGAGCGTCTAATGCGCAATTATTGCGCCAGCTTACAATCGCAATTTTTAGTGTACTTTCAATTGGCAGACACCCCGAATTGCATAGCTATGCGATGGCGATGTTGAAAACGCGCTCCACCGCACGCGATTTTTTTCCATTATTTTTCACTCGCTGGACTTGCGATTTTCAGTCAATTTTTTCCAATTTTTTAAGCTCAATTAATTCGATTTTAAAGCGAAATAAATATTTGAATTATTTTTAGACTCTATGTAATCGAGAAGCCTAATTTGTCAATGAGAATGGATTTTTTGAATAGCGAATTTCAGGCATTTGTCCGATTGGCGTTCCGAACTTGGCGGGCGCACGCGCTCTCCTCGCCTCTTCGACGCCTCCTCGCTTCACCTGTTCTTTCTCACGACGCCACCCTCGTCCCCCGAGCGCGGTCTTCAAAAACCCTTCCACTCATTTCCCTATCTATCCCAACAAACATTCGCTCGCAATGCCGACGAGCTTCGACTGGACGGATCTCGTCCGCGCCGCCGTCATCATCATGGAAATGAGTCAGGCCGAACTGTTGGCGGCGTCCGATTGCGATTGGCAAAAAGTTGCCGAGTTCGCCGACGACAAGCGTCGAGCCACCGAGTTGATTATGATGACGTTCGGCCATCCGAATCTCACGCCGAATCCCGACTATGTTGCCGGCGTTCAGCGCCTCTGCAATCAGCTCGAGGACGATTTCATAACGTTCGGCATCATCGATCAGTTGGCGAAAGAGGAGCGTCGAATCAACGGGATTCTCGCGCTCGTCACCAAGGAGAAGGGCAAGCGTTTCCTGATTCCGAAATGGTAGGTCACATTCGAAAATTATGATAGTGGTGAACGCCCCAAATTGCAGAATTCACCTCGCGTCGGAAGGATCGCATAATTTTTTTTTGATTAGCCTTCAAATAAATTGTTAATGCTCGTGTTTTGAAGAAAAAAACATTTTGGCGATGCCAATGATCAGAGCATCCTCTCCGCGATTCGCATTGTCTCTCGAGGCATCACAATTCCAATTTGAGCATCGTCGATTCGACGATGAAGCTGAACAATCTCAACGACGAGAATTGCTGAGAACAACTCAGGTTAATGAAAATCAATCAGATTTTGAAAAAAATTAATCTGTTTCGAATTATTCCAAAATTTCAATCGAAGATTTTTGAATCGAAACCCATTTTTCTGAAGGCGTGCTCATCAAAATATTCGATTTACGGTCCTACAGTAATCCATTTCAGAAATTTTCTTGTTGTGAATTGTCCGCAGCATGCGTTTGCCAAAAAAAAACAACCATCAAAATTTTGTCTGGGGTCATTCCCGTCAACGCCCCTTCGTCGAGAAGAAGCCGGCGAGCTCTGTTGGCAGTCATTTAGAGATTAGCTGTCTCACCTGAACCCCTATTATTATAATTATTATTCCAAGGGCTCAGGCAGCAAGCCGCCGCCATGGTGCGATTAATTGCTTAATTAGTCAATTTGGAGGTTCCCAAATTAGGCCATAATTGCAAATTTCCATCAATTGAATGTCCGCAGCAGCCTATCAACAAGAAGCACAATCCAAGCAGCTCTAGCAATCTATAATAATCACTCATTGCGCCTTTTCTTTCTCTTCTTTTGTTGTGCTCAATTTCGACGTCCCCGCATGCGAAGGTCTGTGTGTGCACGCGTGCGTATGCTTCTCCGACCCGCCTCCCTTTAGCCATGCAGCTCATTGCTCTCTCTGCCATTCTTTTGCTTTTTCCGGCTCGATTCGCTCATCATCAAATTCTGCAGATCTCGCCGTCCCCCGATGGATCCGGCGGCGTTCGAGTTGTACATGAAAAAAATTGGCGAGACGTGCGCCATGTTGGCCGAGTGCACACCCGACGAGACGACGCGCTTCTTCATCATCTACATCGAGATGATATTGGCGCAACGGTCGTTCGAGACGCGTCGTCGACAATTCTTTTTGGCGTTGACACGCGCCCTTGGCGGAATGCTCGACGAGGTGCGCCAACGGACCAACGGCGAGTGCTATCCCGACTATCGCAATTTCGCCGATCCGCTCATCATGAAGTTCGTCGAGTTCGAGCACGAGATCGCGTTTTTCGACGAGGTCCAAAAAGCGACGCTTCGATTGGACATGGTCCGAACGCTGTTCAAATTCAAGCATCAGGTGGATTGTGTGATTCCCAAGGCAACTAGTCGACTAGTCGTTTTCACTCATTCCTTCGATTGCCTTCAGAGCGCGCTTTCCGAGTACCTCAAATCCGAGGCGACGCCGATGGCGACCATCGACACCACCGGCGTCCAATTCACCGACGTCGTTGCGCCGCTGCCATCGCCGCCCGACATCATGCGCATGATTGAGGTTGTCGCCGAGCCGTCCGAATTCGAGACGCTTCGTCGAACCGTGTCGACGCACTACGAAGACATGATGCGGATCTACGCGATGAACGCGAGCCACGAGCAACGCGACGAGATGATAATGAATCGCTGGAAGGCGACGATCGACATTCTCAACGGGATTCATCTCGGCGAATGGATGGACAACGTGATGAAGATGCTCGAAGCGCAGAGAACGCCGGTGGAGATCAAAGAGGAGCCGAAGGACGAGCCGATGGATTCCTAAACTACTTTATTCCATATATGTATAAGACTCATCCCAATAAATATGAATAGATGGAAGTCTAATTGGCTCGTGGAGGAGATAAAAGGATTTGCTCGATGGAGGGGGATTCGGCCATCATAAAAGCGCGCGTTTCGATGAGATTTGTTTGAAATTTTTTTTTGGTCGTCGCTTTTTCCCCCTTCTTCCTAATGGATTCGGACATTCGCCATTCATTTCTCGCAATTTTTTTTGTTGGTCAAAAAAAGAGAAGCTTCAAATGTTATCAATTTGAGCTTGCGGTCAGCATTTTGCCTAATTTCAAATTTAAAGGCGCAAGCAAAAAAAAGGTAGGAAAATCAAAATGATTGAAAATTTTCAAGAAATCGAATATTTGAAATATTTTGATCTGCAATTTCATTTTCCAACATTTTTTGATCTAAGACGAAAATTGTACTTGCAATTTCGAGAAAAAACGGATAGAGTTGAATGCGTCAGAGCCATTCTCAAAAATCGATATGTCGCCGCTTATCTCATTCTCGTCGTTGTTTCGTTTATTCTTTTCTCGTTTTTTTCAAATTTCAGAAGAGCCATGCCATCCGCATCGCCCGGTCTGATCTATTTGGAGATGAGGTGAAGCTCATCGCGGTGAACTACGATCTCGTCTATTATGGACATCTCAAGTACATCATCATCAAGGTCAACAAGCTTGAAGCAAGAATCCAGAAGAGCCTCCATTCTGAAGACGATCCGAGAGGAGCCAAGGGAAGCCTATTCTCATCGAGCTATCGGTTTCCACATCCCGATGCTTCACGTCTTCATCACGCTAAGACGAGCTTCCAGATGGTGTTGGTTTCTTTACGATCCGCGCAAAACTTGATTATAATAAACGCGACGCTTTTGATGTTGCTTCTTCTCGAATTTCGCTAGTTGTATACAATTTGATACCCCTTTCTTTTCTTTTTTTGTTTTTTTCGAAAACCATATGCGCTTGCGAGCGCGCGCGCGATCTAACGATGTGAAAAGTAAACAAACCGGCGGTAGCAATAGGCATTTCTTTTTGGACCCCCCCCCCATTCTAAGCCTCAAAAATTCAAAAAAAAATAGCTCGGCTAAAAAGAGCATTCGAAAAGCTTTCGAATGATATACAAAACGTTGATGGCAATTTCGGCCGAATCGCTGAATCCGATTCCATGGGGATCGCCGGATTGAATCATTCCACAGGGATTTTGAAGCCTTCTAGATGATTTTTTCAGATTTTGCCGACCAGCCAGCAAAAATAATTTGATATGATATCGCATTAATAAATAGTTTTCATGCTCGAGGAAAACGCGCTCCATTGAAATTGTTGTTGATGATCAGAATGGTGTGCCATTCATCCGCCAACGCCCTCATTCTTTTTTCTTTTTGTCGAATCGTTTACGCAGCTCATTTTGATTGACGTCTTCCAGAAATGCCGCTTTTCGTCGCCTTCTGCAATTGCCAATACCTCATTCTGCTCGCATTTCTTCGACATGCCTCGCCGATGGAACGCCTACGCGCGTTCATCATCTACATGCAGATGAACTACGCCAAGTCGTTGTTCAACGGAGACGATCAACGCACGCATCTCAGGAATCTCGAGGCGACGCGAATCACCGTCGAAGAGTGCCTGGCGCGAAGCGATCTCGTCCGAACGCATCGCGTCGATCACTACGGCTACAATCGGATCATCATCAACAAGTTCATCGATATGGAGAGCACGATGACGCATTTGAGTGCCGCGCAGAAGCATTTGATGCGGCACGCGCTTCTCGTCCAGACGATTCTCGAAGAAGAAGGCCGACCGTTTCTGCTTGAGCGCGCGGCAAGCGGCATTCTCGCCTAGGTTCCATTGAAATTTTGCCAATTTTCAGGATCTCGCCCATCAATCACCATGACTAATTACGCCTAATTATGTACTCCTATTGTTTGTTTTTTTAATTTTTGGTTTTTGTGGAATAAAATTTTCAAGTCGAAAATCGCGTTTTGGGTCTCGCCAAGAAAAGGGCATTCTTGAATTTCGAAAAATTGAATAATAAAAAAGCAGACTTCAGGAAGAAAATTTGAAAAAAATAGATTTTGAAATCGATTTTTTGAGGAAAAAAATTTCACATTGCGTTTTTTTTCCATAGCCAAATCTTCCAAATTCGGAGCTTCTTGAATATCTCGAAATTCTCATTCCGAATAGTAAAAAATCGGGTTTTTTTTTGGTCAACGGATTGCCAATGAATCATCGTTTCTTGTTTCTCGCCTGCCAATATCTACAGGGTGTCATTTAAGTTCCCGCACAAAAGTTTGACGCCATGAAGAGCTTGGCTGTCGCACTTTTCGTGCACCAATACAATTTATTTTTGTTAAATAAGGTATATTTTACTTACTTTCCAAGTTTCACCTCATTCGGATGTGTTTCCGAGAAATGGCGAAGGCTAACATCCATTGCGCTTCCATTATCGAACTTCATAAGCAAAATGTGAGCTCGAGAGACATCATTCAACGGGTCGGTGTGCCTCGTAGAACGGTTTGCGACACCATCAAACGTTTCAAGGAGCTAAATACGACCAGTCACCGTCCCAGACAAGGAAGACTCGTCTCAGTAACCACTCCTCAGAAGATCAACGCCGTCAAATCGAGGATCAGGCGAAACCCCCACAGGAGCATGAGAAAGATGGCGTTAGACATGGGAATGAGCATCTTCGCTATGGAACAAATTGTCAAAACAAAGCTTGGACTGACCCCATATCGTGTCCAAAAAGCGGCAATTCTATCGGCCGTCAACAAGCAGAGACGCTTCGAAAAAGCAAAACGACTTCTTGCTCGCACGCGGTCTGGACAACACCTCGTCACTGTCTTCTCCGACGAGAAGCTGTTCACTGTGGAGACGGCATTCAACTCACAAAACCATTGAGTACTTGCCCAGACATCCCAGCAAGCTTCTGAGAAAAGAAGAACATATCATCCAGCCTCACATCCTGCCAGCATGATGGTTTTCGTTGCCATCTGCTCAACCGGGAAGTGCCCCCTGGTTTTCGCGGATCAGGGGGTGAAAGTGAACAAAGAAGTCTACGTTCGGGACATTTTGGAGAAGCATGTGATGCCCTGGACCCAAACGCATTTCGGTGGGCAGAAATGGGTCTTTCAACATGACGGAGCAGCCGCCCACACTGCCAAAACTACTCAGGAGTGGTGCCAGACCCATTTTCCCGACTTCATCAAGTCATCCGAATGGCCTGATTGCTCCCCAGACCTGAACCCGCTTGACTTTCCCGTGATGGGGTCTTGCAGGAGAAGGTCAACGCAAAACCCCATTCAAGTGTAGAGGCTCTGAAGAAGACATTACTGGCGGAATGGGACAATCTTTCCATCGAACACCTGCGTACCACAGTCGCATCCTACCCGAAGCGTTTCCGTGAAGTCATAGCTGCGAAAGGAGGCCGAATCAAAAAGAGTTAATAGATAAATATTTGTTATACTATAGATAAAAAATATTTTGAGTCTCGTTTGATTTGGACTTTTAGTTTCAGAAATATACGTCTTCAAAGTTGTGCGGGAACTTAAATGACACCCTGTATGTAGAACACATTTGTGTTTATATGCAGCAGCCGAGCGAGCGGGCCGAGTGAGGCCGGTCATAAGATGTGTGTGTGTGCCTCGGCTTGCGCATTCGCTCCCTTTTCTCTATAACTCACTTTTAACTACGGTATCGAATCTTTTAAGATCAATTGTTTAAAGGCGGATAACGCTGCCATCGCTAATTGGTCTTAATTACCCCCCGTCTAAATTACCCAAGTCTCGTTGCCAACGATTCGCATATTGTCGATCGACGCGTCCAGCGTGTTCGCCCGACAGACGATCTTGAGCCAGCATCCGATCTACCATCGTAAGAGGGGTTCTAGGCATCGGGTAGGATTCAAGACGCCATCTTTAGAGCATCTGAATCGTCGGAATAGGCTGACGCCCATTTGCTAGCTTCTTAATTATATTGCTGTCTTATTTCAGAAAAAAGAATGAAGTAAAAAATTTCAGACGGATGGATGAATGCGTTGAAGTTCTGATGGAGCGCATGCCGACGAAGCCGACGGGTCTCGGTGAGTTGCAGCTGAAAATCGTCAAGCTCTTCATGAGCACCGCGCACGAGATTTTCGAGCGTCGCAACGCCGTGATATCGGCGTCGATGATCGACGCGCTCGACGCGAAATTGACGGCGTTGCTCGTCGAGTGCCGATTGCCCGACGATCACGTCGTCGACGTCGAGTTTTGCGATCGTGTCGCCGTCAAGCTCATCGCGCTCGAGACTCGCATCGTGAATGAGACGCGCGAGCGGAAGTGCGAGTTGCGCGTCGACGCCGTTCTCGAGATTCTCAACGCCGACGTCGGATTCGTCACCCGCTATATTTCGGTGAGGATTGCGATCTTCGAAGCGATGCATTGATTCGAACAGGATGGCCAGAAGCAGGGACCAAGCCACTCGAAAAACCCCCACTATTAATAATCCCTAATAATAAAAATAATTATTTAATTAGTTTCTAATTTTTAATTCGAATTTCTTAATTGCCTCATTGCGAAGCAGAAGTCAATTCTTTCTTATTTTATATTTTTTTTGCCCAAATCAATTTCCATCTAGGGCGCAGAATGGACGAGGCGTTGCGCTTGCGAATCCACCGCGAGATCCAAGATGTCGCCGTCGACTCGATGCGCATCAGAGACAACGACGCGGCGATTCAGCTTCTTCTGCGCGCGGCGACGACGCGAATCGACGAAATGACGGCGGGCAAATTCGATTGGCACGCCTACGGTCATCCGGTGTTCGAGGCGTTCATCGGCGTCGAACGCGACGCGGCGACGTCGGACGAGGCGGCGAGACGCGCCGCGCGTCGTCACGCCTTCAACACACTGATGGCCGAGAAGCGCGGAGTCGCTTATTTGAAGAACGATTAGAACGCCGTCATCATTTTATTTATTGTTTTGCAATAAAGTGAATCAATTGATTTTTTTTCTCTTTTTGATTCGTCTACTTCTCTCTCGCTTCCACGGGCCGCCGAGCGCAGAATGCCAAGGCAATGGGGGGCGAAATAGTATGGAAAACAAGGAGGTGGCGAGGCTCGCGCGCTCTGGACTCTCTCGCGCGCGCACACTCTCTCGTCGCCTACTACGGTAGCCACGCCCACATGCACTTTTTGAGGCAGGCAAACGCGTCGGCCCAACATTAGTGTTTTCCTTGCTTGGTTTTGTTTTTCTGATGTCTTTTTTTTTGGGGTTCTCACAACTAAGGGGGTTCTTCTCGATTTTCGAATTCAAAATTTTCAGATGGAAAACGCCGATCAATTGTTCCAAGAAGCACTCCATATTCGGCAATTCTTTCGCGAGAATCTCGATCGTTGGAACACGATGGAGAAGTATCGCTTCTTGTGCGCAATTAAGCTCATGCATCTGTCGATCGAGCTGGTGGAGACGGGCGCGCCGATCGGACACATCAGCATCGAGATGAAGCGCGCCGGTGTTCGACGCCAATTGGCGAACGCACCACCGCCCGACGGCTATCGCTACAGCATCGTGTATCTTGTCGCGCGGGTTCTCGATCGCCTTCTCATCGTCGAGGAGACGTTCCGAAACGCGTCGGCGCTTCGACGCGAGCTCGAGCGCAATCGATGCATTTCTCAAATAATGATCACCGATGAGGGCTCGCCGATCTTCATGGTATCGTCGATCAATTGCTCATTGATTTCATTTTGTCAGGCTCGCGTCGCCAACCTCATCCGCCCACAAGCGGCCAACTGGAACGCTCGAGGAGCTCGTCGGGCGCCGCCAATCTTCAACCCGTTCGCCAATGCCGACGCGATGCCGCCACCGCCAGCCAACGACGCCGAATGGATGGAGCACATCGTCGCGAATCACGACATCGAGCAAATGCCGCCGGTTCAAGACTATCTCGCCATCTTCCAATAATCTCATTGTTCGCTTATATGATTGAAATGTCAACAACAAAATTTATTCTTTGGGTGTCAATTAGAAATTCTGAAAGGTGATCCTCATGGGTCCGTCATGATCTCCGCGGCCGAACAACGCGCGCTCATAATCGCTCAATCCGTCGAGATTCTCGATGCCGTTCAGCCACACTTCCGTCTCTTCGGCGTTCTGAAAAAATTCACTAGATCGCTGGTTTCTTTTTTTGTTCGTTGCTTCCTCACCAACGTGTACTCGTCGCGAATTTTGTATTTGACGATGAAATGGAGCGTCTCGCGAATCGCCAACATTTTGTCGATGTCGGCTTGGCCGACGGTGTCGGCGTCGACGCGCAAAAACTTGTCGAGCGCCTCGCGTCGGATCCAATCGACGTCGACGACGCAACCCGGCGGTTTGTCGGCGGCCAACTCGTCGACGCTGACGCGAATCGCCTGCTCTTTGCTGACACCGCGATAGAGTTCGCCGTGACGGCTCATGCTCGCCGACAGGCCGATCATTTTCAGTGTGATCGCGTAGCGATATTTCTCGCGCGCGTTCAACGTCGCCACGATTGCGTCGATGGCGTCGTTCACCGATTTGAGCTTCTCGTGCGCGCTGGTCATCACTGAAAATCACCGAAGCTAAAAATTGAGGTGGCGAAAAACAAAAAAAAGAAGGATGTAAAAGAAATTTGTGGGAATGCGGCGGCGCGCGCGCGACGCCACAGAGAGAGAGAGAGACGCAGGTGTGCAGTGTCGCCCCGTCGATGGCGCCAATGAGACATCACGCGAGATCGAGAGACACCCACAGCCATAATTTGCACTTTTTCAATTTTGTGGTGCTAGCAGAAGCATCCACAGATCACATGGGCGGTGCTGATCTACCGTATCCGTTGAGATGTGAGAGACCGCGGCGAGAGCCCCCCGATGACGTGTTCAGGATTCGCATTATAATAAGCCTAACACAAGCTAAACAGGTGGCGGCAATCTGTCGCGAGTTTGCGGCTTTTCAAATATTGAGATCAGAAGCATCTGGAAGTTTTTGAAAATGCTGGAGAACCTTGATTGCGCAACAAAATTTATGAGAATAGCGAACAACATAAAATGAATAAAAAAAAAAAATAACGATTGAGAAGAATTAGTCGAGAATCGGCTTGACGAACAGCACGTCGGAGTCGGTGGTGAGGATCTCGTGAAGCACTATCATTCGCTCGACGTGTTTGCGGAGCTCGGAATGCGCGGCGAAGTCGGTCTCGAGTCGAACGAAGCGCTCGAATATCGGACGGCCGTAGTCGGCGTTGTAGCGGACGCCGTAGAGGAGCACCGGATGGGTGAGGCGAAGCGTCTCGAACGACAACTCCATGAAGCTGTCGAATAGCGGAATGAGGGCCGCCGGCGGAAGCGACGTCGACGGCACCACGTGTTTGACGAACGTCTCGATTTTGGAGGTGAGCATGTTGCGAAGACGCTGCGTCGGCGCCGACTGCTCGTGCATCGCGATGAGTCGCTCGACGTGGACGAACGCGATCTGCTCGAGATCCTCGTCGTCAGCCATCAGCGAGAATCGTTTGGCGAGAAAGCAGAAATATGAAAAGTGACGAGATGGTGTGCGATTGCGACTGGGTGGGACGTGGTGGGGGGCGGTGCCTCGTGTGGCCCGCGAGTGGCCCGCTCGCGCACACCACACATTTGTAAACAATATGAGACGCGAGAGGCCGCCTCATTCGCGGCATTGTCCACTAGAAGAATAAAAAAATGATTTTGAGGGGGTCTGCAAAAAATGGGGCCATTTTTGTTTTTTTTTTTTTTAATCGGACCTTCAAAATTTAAATTTGTAATGTAGAGATAATGTGGAAATGAGAGAGTGGGCGAGAAGATGAGGCGGTGGGCGAGAGAGAGTGCAAAACGAGGAGACGCACGCCATCGGGCAATAGCCAGCAAAAAGGGGGCCGTGGCCGAAGTCCACCTTTATTTAAATCCAAGTCCCCGTTTTGTGAACACCGTTTTAGTCAATTGCTGATACTTTTAGTCGTCTTATTTCAGTTTATTTAGTTGTTTTTAATTTCCCAAGTTTGAGGTTCACTCGACTTGCAATAATCTATTTGGAAAAGTTACTAATTCCCTATTAATGAGATCTCCAAAAAAGGCCTAACGATTAAAAATTGGTTTTTCAATTTGAACGCCAAAAAAATTCAAAAAACTGAAAAGAAATTCACATTTTTTCAAGCAGGATTGCAAAAAATTGCCAATTTCGTGTAATTTTACAATTTTTCTTTGTATAATAAAAATAAAATTGACAAATAAGAAAAAATTGTTGGCCGCAATTTTCAGATGTTACGAATGACGAGCCACAATGATGGAAAACATCGATTCTGGAGGTTTTTTTTGAGCTTCATCATTCAAAAAATTTTTTTGGGATCAGCGCCAGGCAAATTTATGTTTTATTAACACAATTCGAACATGTGAGTAATGGTATACTATAGAAAAAAGGTAAGAAACTATAAAAACTCAGAATCATGCACAAAAAAAATAGGATTTTTGAGATTTTTAAACGCAAAATCTGCATACCATCATCTTTTCAACAATTCCTCAAAAGGGCTGTCGTATTTCGCCATATCGGCGACATTGGCTCATAGAAATTATGTAGAAATCCCTATTTGAGCAAACACTGAAAAGTTTTAAAATTTCGGTCTTAATTTTTATTTTTATAAAAATTTCATTCACCCACGCATTTTGAATGTGCGCTTTCATATCCTGACTTTACTCAAGGATTCAACATTGCTGGGGTGTGCGAGAGGAAAGTGTCTCTGCCGACGAATATTTTGGTGCGGGTTCGACCCCTCCCATCTCCAAGCCTCTTTTTAAACACGATGTTTCGTTGATTATACGAGCACTCTATGACCTCTTTTGTCAAAACAATTTAAAGAAAAACTCGCGACGTATTGCGCAGCATATTGTATTCATTAACATAAACGTGAGAAAGCTCTATACAATTCACAATTCATTGTTTTCGCATTTTCAAACGATTTCAAAGCAAAAATTGAAAAACATTCAATTCGATTGATTTTTAAGTCGCGAACTTTTCCGAGTTGTGTCAAAGACGAGAAATTATTGGAAATTTGAATAATTAATATCCTAATTCTGATATTTCTAATTCTAGAAGTGAAATGAACACTGTAATTTTCTCAAAGTTTGATACTCAGCCAACGACTACAATAAAATTATCGCCGAATACTAGAAATTCGAGTTTTGTTCCAAAAATTGGCATAAATCAATTCTAGAGCTCAAAATTGTTTTCAAAGAAAGTTTTATAATAAAACTTTTTTTGTGATAAAATAAGAAATGTTACCCTAAAGCAGACTTGAACACTCATTTTTTTGGTTGATATCGAAAAATTAAAATTCTAAGGGAGTTCGAAGCATTCGCTTAACGATTTGTTCGCAATAAAATTGAAAAAAAAAATTTTTTTTGAAAGAAAATTTGAAAAATTAAAAAAAAAAAACAATTTTTGTGGTATTTTGTATAGGTTTTTTTTTAATTTTTTTAAATCGATTTTTTATCGGATTTTTTTTGAATATTTCCTAATAAGCCAATCTTCTTCTTAAATTTTAATAGTGATTTTGCCGTTGAGGAGGGACCCTCTACAGGGTGTCATTTAAGTTCCCGCACAAAAGTTTGACGCCATGAAGAGCTTGGCTGTCGCACTTTTCGTGCACCAATACAATTTATTTTTGTTAAATAAGGTATATTTTACTTACTTTCCAAGTTTCACCTCATTCGGATGTGTTTCCGAGAAATGGCGAAGGCTAACATCCATTGCGCTTCCATTATCGAACTTCATAAGCAAAATGTGAGCTCGAGAGACATCATTCAACGGGTCGGTGTGCCTCGTAGAACGGTTTGCGACACCATCAAACGTTTCAAGGAGCTAAATACGATCAGTGACCGTCCCAGACAAGGAAGACTCGTCTCAGTAACCACTCCTCAGAAGATCAACGCCGTCAAATCGAGGATCAGGCGAAACCCCCACAGGAGCATGAGAAAGATGGCGTTAGACATGGGAATGAGCATCTTCGCTATGGAACAAATTGTCAAAACGAAGCTTGGACTGACCCCATATCGTGTCCAAAAAGCGGCAATTCTATCGGCCGTCAGCAAGCAGAGACGCTTCGAAAAAGCAAAACGACTTCTTGCTCGCACGCGGTCTGGACAACACCTCGTCACTGTCTTCTCCGACGAGAAGCTGTTCACTGTGGAGACGGCATTCAACTCACAAAACCATTGAGTACTTGCCCAGACATCCCAGCAAGCTTCAGAGAAAAGAAGAACATATCATCCAGCCTCACATCCTGCCAGCATGATGGTTTTCGTTGCCATCTGCTCAACCGGGAAGTGCCCCCTGGTTTTCGCGGATCAGGGGGTGAAAGTGAACAAAGAAGTCTACGTTCGGGACATTTTGGAGAAGCATGTGATGCCCTGGACCCAAACGCATTTCGGTGGGCAGAAATGGGTCTTTCAACATGACGGAGCAGCCGCCCACACTGCCAAAACTACTCAGGAGTGGTGCCAGACCCATTTTCCCGACTTCATCAAGTCATCCGAATGGCCTGATTGCTCCCCAGACCTAAACCCGCTTGACTTTCCCGTGATGGGGTCTTGCAGGAGAAGGTCAACGCAAAACCCCATTCAAGTGTAGAGGCTCTGAAGAAGACATTACTGGCGGAATGGGACAATCTTTCCATCGAATACCTGCGTACCACAGTCGCATCCTACCCGAAGCGTTTCCGTGAAGTCATAGCTGCGAAAGGAGGCCGAATCAAAAAGAGTTAATAGATAAATATTTGTTATACTATAGATAAAAAATATTTTGAGTCTCGTTTGATTTGGACTTTTAGTTTCAGAAATATACGTCTTCAAAGTTGTGCGGGAACTTAAATGACACCCTGTAACTCACATCACGGATCATCCGTGGACCATCGAAGGCAAAGGAACGAAAAGCTCGGAAAAGGAGTCGAAGTGGCTAAGAAAGCACCACAAAAAAAATTTAAAACGACAGGTAGATCAAAAAAATTTATTGAACGTAAAAAATGTATCATAGAATTTGAGAATTTTTAAAATTTCTTTTTTTTTCCAAAGTGAACCATTTTCGTAAATTTCTTCAACAAATTTATTTGCCATTGAGAATTTCGTAACACATGAAAAAAATCGTGAAAATTTGATGAAACAAAATCGATTTTGAAATTGTCCAAAAAAAATAAAACAATAATTTTTTGGCGGGGCGAAAAATGATGGGAAGGAGGGGCTGAATTCGATTCGGATGAGTCACCAGATTCAGATGGACCATTCATTTTGATTCTTGGAATGAAATTTTATCACAACTCCTAATTATATAAAATTGACGACTAGCGCTAATTATTATTATTGTTATTCATGAGGCGAATCTCCATGAAGATGACGTGAATCATGAAGTCGATGCGATTCGTGTGCTTCTCGTCGTCGTCCATGCCGTCCCAATGGAATTCGCGTTCGAGGAACGTGTAGAGAAGCTGCTCATCGAGTTGGGCGTCGACGACAAGCGTCTCGATCGCCTCGGCGACGGTTCGAAAACGCGGCAGATTCGTGAAGACGGCATCGGCGTAGGCGGCGTGATCGCGTATCGTTTTGGCGCGCTCGCGTTGCGCCGGCGTCGCGTTGTGCAGAAACGCCACCAGCGTCTCGTATTGGCGTCGTGTGGCGCCGACGACCACCGGCCTCGCCATCGCTGAAATCCGGACGACATTTGTCTAGCGAATCGCAAGAGGAAAAAAGGAATGCACGAGAAAATGGGGAAATTGATTTTTGGAGGCGACCGCCGCGGATCCTCACACCAGTATGGGAGGGCTCCGCTTTTATATGATGATGTAGAGGGCACCAGACGCCTAGAGTGAACACTGTTCAATCATCAACAGTTTTCGTTTTTTTTTCTCGCAAAACTTTTTCTCACCGCATACATTTGTGGAAGCGCCCCCCCGAAAAAAAAGAAGGAATGATACCTCCAGAAGACGCCGATTCTCATCGACGTCGAAAGGCGTCCAATTGCAGGTTGGACTCGGTTTTTTTTTGTTGCTAATTTGAAGACGAAAATCGATTTTGATGAATGATTTCGTCAAAAATTGCATTGCGAAAAATGCGCTTGTGATAGTTTTCTGCGAGAATTCGCCATCGTCTAAAAAAAACTTCCAGAAGAGGCCGTTTGACGTCGATTCTCATCGATGTCGAAAGAAGACGTCTTGAGGGTCCAATTGCAGGCGGACCCATTGTTTTTTTTTTTCAAAAAATCGATTTTGATGAATGATTTCGTCAAATTCGGAAAATTCCAGTTCAAAAAAAAATGCGCTTGTGATAATTTTCAGCGAGAAATTCGATTTTTATTTTTTGTGAGTTTTTTTTCATCAGAAAACACCAAAATTTGTTTTTTTGTTAATCAAGGGTAGATTTACGAGCATGCTCCTTTCTCTTGGTCTCGCAACGACCAACAAGTCATTTTGCTTTACGGACCATTTCGATAATTTTTCAAAAATTAAATTCATCAAAAAAAACATTGAGTGTCTGTGTGAAAACTGCAAAACGCGTGGCGAGACCTTTTCAAAGGCGCATGCGCGTAAATCTACATAAAACGACTATAATAGAACTTCAATATCAAAATCATCAAATTTTCAATTTAGAAATGGCATTTTTTAAATTTTTTTAAAAAATTCCACCAATTTTGAACTTAGGCAATATTTGCATCAAATTTTTGCGAAACTGCCTTTCAATTTCATTTATTTATCAACACAATCACAAAATTCACAACAATTAGTCAATTATTAGTTAATTATTAGCAATTAGGCGGCCTGATTTCGGCGGCGCAACTTTTCCTGGCACATCTCGACGAGTCTCGGCAGACGAAAGTAGCCGCAGATTTTGAGCATGAACTTCACCGAGAAGCCGCTGTTGCCACTCAAGAAGTAGTCTTCGCATTTGCGGATGACCGTCTCCATTTCGAAGCGATCGGCGATGCTCAGAATACCGATGACATACTTCCCTGAAACGAATGGATTCCGTGAGGGAGGGGTCGTCGGGATTCCCCCGATGCATACTTGTCACTTCCACACCGACCGGCATGATCATGTTGATGAGCTGGACGAAAGCCATGAACTCGGCGCCTTTGATGACCACCTCGTGCTCGTAGCTCTCGCGGAAGCAGCCGAAGAACATTCGATGGAACACGGGTGAGAAGATGGACAGGTACTGAATCACATTGATCATTTCGATTCACGAAAAGTTGCCTTACCATCTTATTCGTGATCAGTCGCTTGCCTTCGACAACGAGAGCGATATCGCCGTACTCGGGATACGATTTGATCGGATCGATTTCCGGCTTGAGGCCCTCCATCGAAAGCACCTCGACGTCGACGTGAACCTTGATTGGACCGCTCCTTCTGCAATTTGTGGATGATCTCTCAGCAATCTCTCTCTCTCGATTCTTACAATCTTTCGTCGAAACCTTGAAACTCCAGCACCGGACACAACACCTTATAAACAGAGTCCCTTGAGAAGCGGACCACTTGCGGCTCAATCGTCTCCGCGCCGATGTTCATTCCAACGTTGGCCTCGCAACTCCACTGCTTCTCGTTGTCGATGTCCTCGAAGTCGCACGTGGCGCTCAGATTGACGCTGTAGCACGGCGGCGAGGCGTCGGGCTGGGCGACGAAATTCAAACGCCTAGAATCACCATGATGGGAGTCAAAAGGCAAAAGCTCACCAATCGAAATGGCAGATGCGCGTCAACTTCTCGTTGTTCACACCGCCCGCGTTCTTCAACTCGATCGACAACGCGCCATTCTTTTTGAAGGCATCCAGAAAATCGTACGAGTAGTAGTCCGTCGGATCGAGCTCGAAGCTCTCGTCGAAATTGGGATTCTCGATTTGCTCGAGAATGATCTGCTCTTCGAGCTCGCTCATCTCATACTCGTCGAACTCAACGTCGGACATCTGCAACAGCACGAAAAAATAGAGTGAGAGATGATGTAAGTGACTAGAATGAGACGAATACCGTCGAATGAATGACTCGAATCGTTCGTTCACCAAAATTGGCGTCGTTTTGGGCGGAGCCACACACATTTGTTGGCGTCGTGTTGCCTGACGGCACATTCCCCCCGGAAAATGTGCGAAAGCGCCTAGAGAGCGCGCGTCGGCGAGAGGGTCCAGAGAGAATAGAGAGCGATTGATACCATTCCAAATATTTGGGTGCAATTGGTGCAATAATCGATTGGTGCCAAGAGAAATAGAAACTTGCCAAAAAAAAAGAATTATATAATTGCGTAATAATCGATTCGAAATTCCCAGCGAAATAATTGATTACAGGTTACGGTTGGCAATTGTGCAAATTTCGGACGCGGTGAACGCGGACCATTCATTTCTTTATTCGATTTCGAAGAAAAAAATTTGCATTTAAGTTCCGTTGAAGAGGAAGAAGTCGAGATAGCGATTGAAAAAGATGTTATGAAAATTGAATGGAGGAATCTGAAAGCAAAAAAAATTTTTTCAATATTTTTTTTTGGCGTTAGAGGGAATTCACCAGATTGATGTGATAGTCGGAATGGTCGAAGGCGGCGATTTGATAGACAACGTCGATGGCGGCGATCTCTTTGAGGAACTCGCAATGATTGTCGGGATTCGTCTCGACGCGCAAAAATCGCTGAAGCATACTGCGGGCGATGTGGAAATAGTCAAAGTCGAACTCGATAGGCAATTGATAGCGTTGGCGAAGGTGTCGTTTGACCGTCTCGCACGACGTCAAATTCGCGTAGTCTGCCGGAAATTGCGACATTCGACGCGCGAGGCTTTTCATGTCGAACGCCAATTGGATTCGGAACGCGTCGTAGAGATTCAGCGCGTTCGTCAACTCGACGATGTACGCTTTTTTGAGAAGCGCGAGCTCCAGCAGAAAATCCCAATCCATTTTCTGAAATGAGGCAAAGACGAATAGAAATTTTGAACGAGATTCAAAAAATATATATAATTGTAGGCCATTTTGACAAAAAATTTCGAATTTCAGCATGCGGCCCAATGCGCATTAGTTGACGACAGTTTGCGGACGGCCGACCGTCTACAGTACCACCGAAATTTGCCCAATTTTTCGATCTAGAATTCCTCAAAAAATTGGCTGGAATTCATCAAAATATTTGTGGAAAATTCAATGTTTTTTTTTAAATTTTTTTTCAAGCCTTAAAGAGGTGTCCACAAAAATGATTAATTCAAAAAAAATTTTTTTTATCGTTCTCCATTAATCGAAAATATTTTGCAAACTTTGAGCACCTAGTAGTGCATTTTATGGTCCCTTGGCACACGATTTACGAGGTGCGAAGTGCCCTTATGATTTTGATGGTCCGCGCCGACCAACTTCTGGTGACCCATTCTTTTCACATCTGTCACATTCATTTTTCCAGATTGCGCAATCAATGAAATTTGATATCCGCTGTTGATATTAATATTATTGGGTCCGCTCAATTGGAGGGACCTAGTTAATTCGGATCCCTGAAATCGCGAATTCGTTGAAGCAATTCTCGATTTGTTTCAGAATCCAAAATTCCATGGAATTTTTTTTGGAACCCGAAGGCAAAAAGCAACGATCTGAAAATCAGTAATTTTGAAGGCCTCAAGTATCGCCATGATTCTGAAGACGTTCCACCGACGATTCTGTCTTCAGAAGAGAAATCTAAACATCGACGACGGACCAAAAAAAGAATCGAAGCATTGTAAACAATCACATTAATATGTGTTCGCCCGATTCGCGTTTCTCATATAAACCGTGCGAAAGTGCACCCAATCATCATCGGCATGGGAATCATTCTCCATATATAGTCAAAATCAAGTAGGGACCATTCGGCTGGCAAGTTGGACTTTATTAAATATTCTCGTTTATCATACAAAAATATTTATTCGATTTCGAGTTGTTGCGGCACAATGTGGATCTCCTCGTGCTCCTGACCGAATCGGAAGTGCGGCTCGTGGATGACGACGAGCGGCGGAAGCGGATACTGAAATCGATGGATTCAAAAATTTCCGTCGGATCATCGTCGCTGAGTGTTACCGCTCGAACCGTCAACGGTTTGCCGCGCTCGCGACTGAACACTTCATAGACGGCCGCCTGCCGCGCCACCTCCTTCTGAAGATCGGACTTGTGTCGTTGGCGCTCCTCGAGGTCCATGAAGTGGCGGAGCACGCGTCGCTGAAGATAGCGCACGTTGTAGTCGCGGCCGGCCGGCAGCGGGATCTTCGGACTCGCCTGCCGCATTCGACTGCGCACAATGCACCGATAGCTCATCTCGCCGAACATCGCCGGCGTGTAGGCGATGTCGACGGCGAGATACATGATCTCGATGATGATCAGCAATCGGATTCGGTCCATGTGGTCGAGATTCGTCGACATCTCGTGAATGCTCTGACGCACCGCACGCCAACGATTGTACGTCTCGGTGACCGTCTCATCGTCGTCGGCCATTTGCACACACCGAAAGGGAGAAGCTGGAAATTGAGCAATATGAAATTTTCAACGAGAATCCCAAACAATTAAAGGACCATTCAAATTTTTGATGGCTTCAAAATTGAGTTGCTCACAAAAAAAAAACAGTGTGATACACTCACGCAAAATTGCACACATTTGACGCATTTTTTCTTAAAATTTTAGTCGAAATTCGATAATTTTTTGAAAAATTGAGAAGCAATTTCGCGAATTTTTTCTCGAAAATTGAAATTTCAAAAATTTCACAATTGAATTCCACGGAAAAAGGAAATTCTAGCTAATAAAATCGCATTTTCTCAAATATTTTATGGAAAAGCCTAAACATTTTTCTTGATGATTATCAAAAATTCCAATTTTCGGGCTATTCAACGAAATTTTCGATTTTCGCCGCGTGATTTTGACATTTTCGCCCACCAAAATAATAGAAAATTCCAATTTTTTCCATTCAACTTCAATTTTCTACAAAAAATCGTCGGAAAAAAAATTCGAAACGTTTTTTTTTGTTTCAAAAATCGAGAAAAATTAATTTTTTACAAGATTACTTTCAAAATATCAAAATTTGCGCAGTGAAGCCGAAAAAAAAGCGGCGAATTATCGGCAAAAAAATTATAGCTGGGCGGCACGCGAAACGCGTCAGCGGAGTATCGCGCTGGCGCGTCTCTCGCGCAATCAATTCCTTCTCGATTTCGTTTTCTTATCATGCCAAATTCAACATTTTTCCAGTGTGATTTATTACGAAAAACAAAAAAGAGCATTTAACAATAAAAATTGATTAGAATTTGTGGGAACAAAACACTGGATTTGATTCGATACAACGCATAGTTATTATAATTAATGAAAAAAAACAAAAATTTATGGGGTCATCGTGATGTCAGCATCCGATTCGCTGTCATCAGCGCGAAGCTCGTCGTCAAACTCAAACTCATCGAACGAGTCATCCTCGTCAATCTCCATCTCGCTCTCGGTATCGCTGGCGCCTTCATCATCAGCGTCGTTGGCGTCGGAGAAGCTCGAATCCAAATCCATTTCAACATCGCTGAGATCCTCGCTCATCGCATCCTCCTCATCTTCCTCCTCATCATCATCCTCCTCCTCCTCCTCCTCAGAATCGTCATCGTCCTCCTCGCCTTCCATTGCGGCGTCGGTCTCCGACGCCGAGCCGCCTTCCTCAATCTCCTGAAGGACCTGAACTCAATGGGTTAAGTTTTTCGGATTCCGCCTAGATTCCTCTTACCATGCACTGCCTTAAATAATCCACCTCGCGAAATTCGCGATGACGGATGGCTTCGAAGTGAGCCTCCTGAAAAGAAATTAGTGCGGATGATAGTCAAATCAGGATCACTCACTTCTTCACCCTCTTCCTCCCAACGTCCAGCACTCTCTCCGAGCCCGCTGAATATCAAATCCTTCATCGAATTGATTCTGATGCGCTTCTTGGTGTCCTCCTCCTCGACGTCTTGCAACTCGATCTCCATCGTGTTCAGGTGTTTAAGGGCGGGCAGAAAGTGATGATTCCAGTAGATCTTGAAGCCGGGCCGTCGGATGACGACAAACGCCGCCACCTCGTTCATCATCGTTCGAGCTCGTCGACGATAGATCCCGCGGGCGACCTCGTCGTAGTTCACCTCGCCGGCGAAACTCTCAAGAATATGATAGAGGCCGTATTTGAACTTCTCATCGCGATCCAGCGATTCGACGAGACGCTCAAAGTCTTCGATGAGCTTCGGCAACTCCATTGTCTGCAAATTTCCCCTACATTTCAAATGGTCCCAGCGAAAAATTGCGAACGGACCAACAGCCAATGAATGGGGGGGCAGATCAAAAAAATATGAGCGGGGGTTGCCGAAGAGAGAAAAAAAAGAAGAGGAGCCGCTCAACGAGCGAGCAGACAGGAATGAATGGTCCAATTGGGGGGAAGAGAATGGTCCCAACATGATCCCGACTCCGCCCACTTTTTGCGGCAAGCGGCGTTGCCTTTGGGAAGAATGGCGCGCGCGATTTCGCGCGTTTTGATTGACACCTCGTCGGGTTACGGTAATGCGCGGCGCAACCAGGCGACGAGGGTCCTTTGTGCGAGATTGGCACATTTTTTTTTGAGTTGGTGTGGGTGTGACAATTGGTGTACATTGAGAAGACCGCTAGAAAAAAATGGATGAGATTTTGGAGTTTCCACAAACTGAAATTTTGAAACAAACCAAAAAATAAATAAATGAAGAATTCGCGCGAAAACGAAATCGATTTTGAAAGTAGAATTAATTTTTTTCCAATTTTCGATTTTTCCACTATTATTTTTTTTTACAAAACCTTGAATTTTTCCTATTTTAACACAGTTTGCAGATTTTGGGGTTTTCAGAGGTGCTAAATTTAGCTAGATCACTAATTGAAAGCCTTAAACTCCCCAAACACCTTATAAGGGACCATTATAATTGGTGAGGTCTTTTAAAGTGATTTGGCGACATTTTCACATTAATTATCGCGGTTTTCGACTCACTTTAAGAGCTCGATTTAAAGTCAAAAATTTTGGAATTTTAACGCGTTTTTTTAGATTTTCGAAGAAAAACCCTTAAACATTCCAACGAAATTCGATAATTTCCGAGCAAAAAAAAGATTTTTCAATTTTCCCCCGCAAATTTACATTTTTGAAAATCTAAAAAAATTGTTTTTTTTTCAATGTCGTCAGACGCGTTGCGGTTCGCGTGCGGCGCTCATTTCTTCACAAAATCTCGGATTTTAGGGTTTTCAAAGGTGCTAATTTTGGCTAGATAACTGATTGAAACCCTTAAAGTCCCCAAACATCCTATAAGGGACCATTATAATTGGTAAGGTCTTTTGAAGCGACATTCCCACGTCAATTATCGCGGTTTTCGACTCACTCGATTTAGAAATCAATTTTGAATTCAACAATGAGCATAGTTAATCGATGGGATTCATAAAATAAAATATAAGAAATCAATTGGATCGTTGCGAGAGGTGTTTTGGTGTCGACGCGGCCGCGGGTGAGGCAGCACACAAACAAATAATTGTTATGATTTAATTAGTGGCGAAATGCCATCGATGTTGCTTTCCGACTGCTAGAGAATCACAATTTATAATTATTTTCAAATAATTTTCTATAAAAGCCAAAAAAAAAATTTTTTTTGGTTTAAAGGGGGGGGGTAATAATATGGTTGTTAGCCAAATTTGGAATTGAAACTGATTTGAAGCAATCCTTTTTGAGCTAATCATTTTTAACAAATTTTAAACCTATTTTTTTGAATTTTCAGCGAAATCGGCTGCGTTTTTGCGAAATGGCGTAGAATGCCAAAAATCGGGAAGAAATTCTGGCGCGACTTGTTTAAAAAATGGGAATTTCCAAAAAATCTGACAATCGGCGTTCGATAAGCTTGAAATAATGGATCAGAATTGAGAAGGGAAGTGGATATTCGAATTAGGGACCATTGAAAACCTCGATGTGGATATTTTCAAGAGTGCCAACCCGAAAATTTCGATTTAGGTTTTGAATGGTCCTAAATTTGAAAATGCAATTTTTGATTGCGAAAAAGCCTTTTTAATTATCAAATTCAACAGTATTATTTCTCAAAATTACCAAATGCGCCTTTAATGTATACTGTAGTCGGCACAATCTTCAACATGACCATAAATGGCTCTCGTGGTCCGAAAATTCCCAAAAGCAATGCATTTTGGCGCATTGTCAGCAGACTGATTGGCAATACATATGTGATATTCTTGCTGCCGACAATTTTTGGAATCATCAATTTCGCCACTAAAAATGAAATTTGTCACATTTTTCGAGCATTTTCTAAATTATTTTGGATACGGTAATTAAAGGCGCATACACATCGCAATTTTAAAAATAAAAAAATTAAAAATTTTTTGATTTTTGAAATTTTAAAAATAAAAAAATTAAAAATTTTTTGATTTTTGAAATTTTAAAAATAAAAAAATTCAAAATTTTTTGATTTTCGAAATTTTAAAAATAAAAAATCTCAAACTTTTTTGATTTTTGAAATTTTAAAAATAAAAAAATTCAAAATTTTTTGATTTTCGAAATTTTAAAAATAAAAAATCTCAAACTTTTTTGATTTTTGAAATTTTAAAAATAAAAAAATTCAAAATTTTTTGATTTTCGAAATTTTAAAAATAAAAAATCTCAAATTTTTTGATTTTTGAAATTTTAAAAATAAAAAATCTCAAATTTTTTGATTTTTGAAATTTTAAAAATAAAAAATCTCAAATTTTTTGATTTTTGAAATTTAAAATTTAAAAAATCTCAAATTTTTAAAAACTTATCGAAACCTGGTCAATAACGAATTCAAATTAGTGACGTAATCGCAATTTTTACGAAAAAAAATTTTTTTTCAATTTTCCCTGAGTGTGGCGGTGTCCTTTATATAGTTAGCATATGGTTAGCATAAACTATACAGTGCGCGTAATAATGATACGCCACCGCCCAAATTTCGCAGTTTTGAGAAAACCATATAAATTCATGAAAATAGGTTTTCAATGGTCCTGAATTTAAAAATAAAATTGTCTTGTCACCAATTTATATGATTTTCTCAAAACTGCGAATTTTGGGGGGTGGCGTATCATTATGACGCGCACTGTATACTTTTTGAATCATTTTGAAACGCCACGTGGTCGCTGTCTTAGTGTTTCTGAGCAATCTCAGATTGTCGCATTCAAAACGGCACGATGGTCGAACCGTCGGGTTGCGAAGAATTTAAATGGTCCGAAAACATTCGTAGACATCTTTGTGAAGGATCCAACTTGTGTCAACATGTCGCAAAAGTCAGGCGGCAGAGGAAAACTGGACTATCGCGCTAATCGAGCAAGCATTCGAGCAGCTTTGAGCAGTATGAAGTCTACAAATGACATCAAGAAGAAGCTAAACTTCGACAAAAGCAAGTGGACAGACCCCAACATCGCTAGAGAAAAAATTCGCGACTCACAGAGGATCATGAAATTCGACGCCTTGAGTTCGCATTCAAAAACATGAATACGGATTGGAACAAGGTGTTCACATTCGAGAATGTTGTGAATAATAACCATTCAAACTTCAACAGGTTATTTTTTCCGATGAAAAAAAAATGAAAAAAAATTTGAATGGCCCAGACGGCTATAACAGTTGCTGGCCCGAGTTATGAAAGAATCGCCTCCTGTTTTCAAAACTCAATTTTAGAGAAGAAAGCGTGATATTATGGGGGACGCGTTTTCGTAGGCCGGATTTCTGGAATTGGTAGGGTGGACTCTTCGGATTATCAGAATGTTCTTGAGAGCCATCTTCTTCCATTCCGACGTCATTATTGTCGTTTTTCAACAGGACAATGCGGTCATTCATGTGAGTCGGTCTACTTTGGACTGGCTTCACTCTCACAGTGTAGACGTTCTCGACTGGCCAGCATGTTCTCCTTTTTAGGGTCCCATGGAGAACATTTATGGAGAGTTAGTATGGCGTCTCTATGGCCAAGGAAGAAAATTTGGGGAGTTGGAAAGCTCAAAACCGAAATCGTAGTCGAATGGAAGACGTTAGAGCAGAAATTCAAATCTAAATCGACCCAATCTGTTTAAAACCTTCTCAAATCTATGCCAGACCGTTTTTCTGACATAATTATCTCGAATGGAGGTGCCACTAAACATTAAACTGTCGTTATTTTTGAGTTTATAACTTGTTTTATGGGGGTGGCTTTATAATTCTGCACCGCTCGAAAAACGGTTTTGGACCACAGCGCGGTTACTTTTGAAGATACTAACATAAAAAATTGGTACAAATAGGTTATTTTTCATGCTGAACACGATTTTGACAATGGTTGGTCTCAAAATATCGAGGTCATTGCGCGGCGTTCAAATTTGGTGGTGGCCTTATAATTCTGCAACGCACTGTATAGTTAGCATTCAGTGATAATATTAAGGTCCAAGAGAGTGATAGATTAAAAAAAAAGACAAATTTTCGATTATTTTTGGCCAGAAAATTTATAAATACTCTACAAAATTGAGTGATTTCTAGAAATTCATTTTCAGCTTATCGATTTCATTTTTTTGGAATTTCAAAATTTGAATCAAAATTGCGTTTCTAAAGCGGTAGATCAACGAAAACTTCAAATTTTAGATGAGAATTGAAAAAAATTATTTGCGAGTTTTCGGACAATTAGAGCAACAATTTTGATAAATCAATTTTTTTGCTCCCAAATTTTTTTTCAACTTGTTTATTTTTGCCATTTTCATTCCTCAAATCAAAATTTCAATTTTTTCGCAATTCTAAAATGACAAGCCTTTGAATCCCCGAATAAAAAACCATTTTTTACCATACCAGTACGACACTCCACGCGTACACATCGCCCTCAATTTAGCGTGATCGTATTCCTTCGGTTTGTCTCAAAAATTCCCATTCGACAATTTTTTGAAAACAGATTTCTCCCAGCATATTATGGGTCCAAATGTTTATAAAAAAAAGCAAAATTGAGGCCAAAATTGCCTATTTGCAAAAATTTGTTCAAAACGGGCGGCACCGATCGGAATTGGTCTTAAAGCGGCCGATGGATGTGAAAAAATGGCAAGTCAAACCTGGATTTGGATCGACTACTATAAAAGGAAATTATAAAGGACTCAAAAATGTTAAGATAATTTTTTTGCCTACCCAGGAGTCTGCAATTTTCTGAAAATGAGTGGTCACTTTTTTTTTCCTTGAAAGATTTTTTTAATTTGAAAATTTTTACTCTTTCTTTTCTTTTTTTCATTTCATTTTGGCTTTAAATTTTTGCATCTTAAACAATTGGGAATTTCGACGAAATTTCAATTTTTGGAATTTTTGAAATTTGTAATTTTGGGCTCAAAAAATTCCAGAATTTCAATATTGTCCCGACATTTTCAAAAAACTCGAGTTTTCATCGAAAAAATCGTTTTTGCTCGAATTTTTGGCCCAAAAATATAGTTTTTTTGAGATTTTTGCAAAATTTCGAAAAAATCCAAATTCGGGTGGGTTCTTGTCGAAAATTCGCATTCATTAAATTTTGTAGGTGCAATTTTTAATCGGACAATTTTTGAACAAAAAAATTTTTTCGATATAAAATTATGACAAAAAAAAAATTAAATCTTGGCTTTTTATCAAAAAACTACCATTTTCTATTTTTTAAATTTAAATATATTTTAAATTTAAAATTTTTTTCTTTAATATGAAGTTTTATATTTCAAATTCTCATTTTTCAAATTTTCAGCTTTTCCTATCAATCTGAGTTATGCTCCTTTAAAGTCCATAATATTAAGTCCCTCAAAAAAAAATCATCTCGATATTCGCGTGAAAAGTGTCCGAATGCAGGTGTTGGCGGCAGTTTTCAAAAATCCGAAAGAAGAGCTTAATCCGAAACATCGGGTGTGGGTGCACACGGTTTGGTGCAGGTGACGCCAATTAGCACACCAATTAGGCCGGCGATAAATTTGAAAATTGTGGGATTACTGTAATTTCAAACAAACAAAACCCGAAATTTGATGGAGTAATCAATTTTCTGCAAAATTTTTTGCTCATTTTAAAAAAAGACGAGAAATGATCTTTTTTTTCGATTTCAGAATACCGTACTTCGGATAACCTGCTCATCAAACTACAGTACCATTACATTAATTTTTAAAATTATAATAAAATTTTTTTTAAATAATAGAAATAAAAATTTTTTACCTTCGATTTTGAAATAAACATTTTTTAAACTAAAATTCGTTGGTCCGCGCGAGACCCTAACGAAAGACACGTGCTCGTAAATCGACACTCATAGATTTGTCGGCGAAAATAAAAATATAATTATTTTTTTCTGTAAACTTTTTTATATCTCGCTTTATCAATACGTCATAATTTCTTATAGTATCTTCATTATATTGTATATATATATATATATAAACCGTCTGTACTTTTGTCTGCGTACAATTGAGAGAGTGCAAGACAGGACGAGCGGTGGCAGCAAAAAGTTCCGCGCCAGAGCGGGACCGAACCCACGATCTCCACTTTTGAGCACAAAATTTGGGCCGCTGGGCTATTGCGCCCTCGTTTCGTTTGCTATAACTTGATGATAAGTGCCGCACAGCGCAACATTTGCCTTTCGTTGCTTAATCACGGATGCCGCCGCATAGGAACAAACGGCTGGTAAAAAAAATTAATTAGTTAATTAATATGCCATATAATTAACAATTCAAAATTTAAAAATGCAAATTTGTTCCCAAATTCGTCAAACATTGATGGATATTTTTGGAATTTCAAAATCTTTTACATATTTGCCGCAAATTTATTTCCCCCCTTTTCGTCAATTATGAAGCTCGCCCTCATTTTGTTCTTTTAAGGGTAGGCCTTCTCACATGCGAGGTTTATCATTGTTGGCTTAGCGATTCGAATTGTCCGCAGATGGTGGAGGGCAAAATAAAAGGAAAACTTTTTTCTTTTTGAGGAGGCTCGTCGAACACGTAAACATCGTAAACGCTTGGTTCGATGAGAAACGCAGAGAAGCTAGGAAGCGGGCGGTAGTCGGTCACACCCCAATCATTCAGCACACATTTGTGATGGTCCGATCATCTGGATCCGAGGGTTGGATCTCACCGAGATCTTCCCCTCGTCGGCAACCCCCTTTAAGGTTATCTGTTGCTCAGCGTGGTCGTTTCTACGACAACGACGTTTAGGTGTCAGCTGCCTGTTATTGTTATATACATTATATATTATAAAGTGTTAACATTTGACTTATTGTCTGGCTATAATGGTCCGTTATATACTTTTGATTTTGCTCTTTTCATTTTTTTTTTCATTGCCCCCCCCCCCTGAATTTTTTTTTAAATTTTTGCTGAATTTTTTTTTGTCATTTTTTTCATTTTAAAATATTGGGAATTTCGACGAAATTTCAATTTTTGGAATTTTTAAAATTTGTAATTTTTTGCCCAAAAAAATTCCAAATTTCAATTTTGAGCATCTCCCGAGATTTTCCAAAACAAAAACTCAAGTTTTCATCGAAAAAACCGTTTTTGCTCGAATTTTTGGCCCAAAAATATAGTTTTTTTTGCAGATTTTTGCACAATTTCGAAAAAATCCGAATTCGTGTGGGTTCTTGTGGAAAATTGCGCAATTTTTTGTCGCATTCATTAAATTTTGTTGTGCAATTTTTCATCGGACAATTTTTGAAATAAAAATTTTTTTCGATATAAAATTATGACAAAAAAATTAAATATTGGCTTTTTATCGAAAAACTACCATTTTCGATTTTTTTAAATTTAATTTTTTCCGACAAAACTACTTCACTTGAATATCAAGTTTTATATTTCAAATTCTCATTTTTCAATTTTTCAGCTTTTCCTTTCAATCTGAGTTATGCTCCTTTAAAGGAGCAGTTGTGTGGTTTAAAAATTTGAATGGAATTTTCGAGACATTCCCAACGTGACGCAATTTGGCACAGCGCCAGACCCTCCCGCGCGTCGCCGTCTGCTTCTCTCTCTCTCTCTCTCTCTCTCCACCTCCCATCATCATAGTCGTTTCCAGACATGGACTACAACGACATCGTGCAGTTGACCGACAACTGCTTCCAGTTGTACGTGCTTCACGGCGACGACGCCGTCAAGACCAGCATCAACTCGCTGCTTCTGACGGCCGTCGCCGATTGTATGGATCGCGGTTTGAGTCGTCGCGCCGTCACACTCTCGGTGGGCATCATTCGGAATCGGATGAATCAGCTTCTCGCCGAATTCTATCCGGGCTTCGAGATCAACTGGCGCGGGATGTTCGAGGAGAACACCGTGTTTCTGTTGGAGCAGCATCGGAGTCTCGGCTCGCGTCCGTTCGATCGCCGCCTCGTCCATTCGCGTGCGCTTCTCGAGCTCGCGCGTCGCCACAGACGCACACCGTTTCTGATTCCCGTCAGTCGTCCGACGCGTTCTCGACGAGTCCATCGATTTCAGATCGCCGGCGCTTCTTCGAGTCGAACCGGACAACACGCATAATTCATCTCCCCGGTTGTTTTTCGATTTCTTCAAATAAATTATGAGTCACATATCGTTCGTTGCAAGTGCGCTCTATTGAACAAGCGCCCCCATTTTCGGTGGCAATTAAGCCCTAATTAAATAATCGACTTCCCATGTTATGTCCGCAGCAAAAAAAAAGCAATACCATTAATAAGGGCCCCCGTTCATATAGAAATTCATCTGCGGACAAGCTTCCGGGGCTTTACACCCAACAGGTGTCCCATCATCAGTCTCTAAAAGGGCATAATGGGGGGCGGGTGGGTGGCGGATGGCCGAGTTGTGGATGGGAGGAGTTTGTGGCGATTCGCCGGCCCCGCCCGTCGCACTCTGCGTCTCTCACTCGCTCTCGCTCTCTCTCTCTCTCGGACGAGGCATGCGCGCGCTCGCAGCGCCATTTTTTTCTCGCCTCTTGAAACTCGCAATGTGATATCATTTTCGGCATCTGCGGACATTTTAATCCTCTCCCTGTCATTATTGTCCGCAGCACAGAATTATTAGATAGGCGAGCGCTAATCGATTTCGAAAATGTCCGCAGATCGATTTTTATAATAGATATTCGCATTTTTTTAATGAATTTCTCTAATTGATAAAAAATTTAATCGATTTTTGATTGATTTCAACGATCAAAAAAATGCGCAAAAATTAAAAAAAAATCATTGAAATTCGTCATTTAAGCAACAAATGGAGCATTTTCCAATATAAATTCGATTTTTTTGCATAGAGAGATTCCGCAAATTTGCGTGAAATGAGGCGCATCGAAATTCTGCAATTTTTCGTGGCGCACATGTCTGCAAGACGTCGTCAAATTCGACGTATCAATTTTGAAATCACATCGTTTTCTGCCCAGAAGAAGCTTCAATATCAACGTGGTTCTCTTGACGAATTTTTTTGTGCACTCTTTTATTTTAATATTGTCAAACAGTATTTTGTACCTGAAATACCAATTTTCGCCATTTTGCCCAACTCGAATAGATTGCAGGGTGTCGACGAGAAATGCCCGACAATCGTCTGAATGTCTCGGGAAGGTTGGTCATTTATTTTTGTTGAAATATTCCATCTGCGGACAATTTGCGGGCAGAGAGTATATAGTATCATAGGGATCATTTTTAGCGCCTTTATCTGCAGGCAGATAATGGATTTCGAAAATGCACATGAATAGAATTTGGGCGCCGCAATTTTACAATAATCCGTCTGCGGACATGTCGCGGGTTTCATCAATAAGCCTCTATCCACCCATTTTCGCTTACAGAACCTATAGCGGGTTGCTCATCTGCGGACATGTCGCGGGTTTCGCCAAGACGCATCAATAAGCCCCTATCCACTCATCTTCGCGCACCGCCACCTATAAGAGTAGGTTGTCCATCTGCGGACATGTCGGGGGTTTCGCCAAGACGCATCAATAAGCCTCTATCCACCGACATCCGCGCACCACATATAGAAGATTGCCCATCTGCGGACATGTCGCGGGTTTCGCCAAGACGTATCAATAAGCATCTATCCACCCATCTTCACGCACTGCCACCTATAAGAGTAGGTTGTCCATCTGCGGACATTTCGCGGGTTTCGCTAACACGCATCAATAAGACTATCCACCCCCACATATATGTACAGGGTGCGGCAAAATTACGGGTGCATAACTTTGGCGCAAGCTCATAGTGCACTGTCGCATTTTTTGTGCAGTTTTATGTTTTTTTTTTTTATTTTCTATGACGTTTTAATCATTTTCTGAAAGTTTCATGAAAATCCGTTTCGTATTACAAAAATGACAGCTGATTCTATTCATCGTGCGGCCATCATCGACTTGAAAAAAAGGGAACATCGTTCAAGATGATTTCTAAAATCCTTGGAGTTCACCACAACACCGTACAAACAACTTGGAAACGCTTCCATGAGATGGGAGGACTCTCTAGCTGTCCTAGAAGAGGAAGAAAACATTCTTCAATAACACCTGAGCGAGTAAAGGTCACCAGGGAACGAGTTCGTCGAAATCCAGATCGTAGCATCAGAAAGATGGCGTCAGAAGTCCATGTGAGTCCGAGATGGTGGGAAGAATAGTCAAAGATGAGCTGAACCTGATACCTTATCGTGTCAGAAAGGCCGCCATTCTAACCGAAAAAAATAATGAAGGTCGAATGAAAAAGTGCAAATCGCTCCTAGCAGGCACGCGGCAAGGAAAGCACCTAACGACTTTCGTCATGGATGAGAAGCTGTTTACGGTAGAAGCTGCTTTCAATCTCCAAAACCACTGAGTGATCGCCAGAAGGTCTGAGGAAGCTATGAACAAAAGCAGAACCATTCATCGTGTTTTCCATCCTCAGCAGATCATGGTATTCGGTGGGATCAGTGCTGACGGCAAGACCCCTAAGATTTCGTTGATCCCGGAGTGAAGATTGATCAAAATGGCTATCTTAATGAGATTCTGAAGAAGAATGTCCTTTCCTGGTCCCAACCTCACTTCGGAAATCGGTCGTGGACTTTTCAACAAGACTTAGCGCCTGCACAACGAGCCAATATCGTTCAAGACGGGTGCGGCAGCCATTTTCCATCATTTATCAAGTCAACGGATTGGCCCGCTTCGTCGCCCGACCTGAACCCCATGGACTATTCTGTCTGGGGGGTCTTGCAAGAGAAGGTGTCAGCTTTCCCACACCCAAATACGAACTCATTGAAAGCTGCCCTTCTGAAGGAATGGGACAAATTGGACGCCAAATACCTGCGTGCCACCGTCGACGCCTATCCGAAGCGTCTGAAGGAATTTATCAAGAATCGTGGTGGAAGAATCGAACAACGATAATTAATTTGTGATTGTTATGTGTTGAATAAATTTTGGTATTAATTTGAAAGAGTTTTGTTGATTTTTAAAAAAGTTATTTCGTTTAATCGATGCACCCGTAATTTTGCCGCACCCTGTAGTAGGTTGCCCATCTGCGGACACGCTTCAAAATGCAGATCGGCGATTCCGGCGGATCTGTGGTCGCGAAACCATGAATACCTCTTCGAGGAGTTCGACGGCGACGAGCGCATCCGCTATCGTCTGAACGTGGCGATTCAACGCTTCGCGTCGATCGTTTGCGAGGCGAACGCGTCGCGCGAGCGGCACGTCGCCTATCTGCGTACGCTCGTCGGCGACATCACCGACGTCATCGGTCCCAAATTCTCGCTTCACGATTTGGACTGGACCGATCAATTCATCGAGAATCTGTTCTATTTCATGAACATCGAGGCGCTCATCGAACGCCTTGACATCTCGCCAACGCTTTGGAGGAAACTCGCCGTCATCGAGTGCACCCGAAAATTCGCCGGCACCAATTTGTTCATCGCGGTTCGCATTATTTGATTGCCTAGGCGATTTTCCCAAAAATCGACAATTTACAGAATTTCTTGATGTCGGAATCGGGCGGATTTCTTGACGAAATTCAAATCGACGACGAAATTGAACCTTGAATTGTTGTAAGCTTCTCTTTATAATTAGCATAATTAGGCAATTTTTAGCATCAATTCGATTTGGGCGAAAAATTCAAAGAAATTTAAATCTATTGCACTCGCACTCAAAAACTAGCAGCTCTTCGATTTAATATTATGCTAACTATTATACTATTATACTATTATACTAATCCCATAATTACCTTTATTGATAGCACTACTAACAGCTTTGTTCAATTCTAATATAATTATACATATATGCATTGAGGAATATAATTCAACCAGCCTTCATAATTAACATGTGCTGTGTGGCACTTAACCTCAAGTTATGGTCGCCCTGAGGAGGGCGCAATAGCGCAGTGGCAAGGGTTTTGGGCGGTTGATCTGGAGTACGCGGGTTCGATCCCGCTCTGGCGCAAAGCGTTTTGCTGTCTTGCACAAACTCAAAGCGCAGACAAGCAATGCCAAACAAGGAAAACAGCTTAAAACTATAAAGCCAGTCGAGTCGAACGAAATATTAATGTTGAACTATTGACCTGCATAGTTTGACGCAATAATATCGAATATCAAATTGTTTGACGAGTTGACACGTGCCTTCAAATTCGACTAGCATTCATTGCGCAATCTCTCCGAATTACTGTAGCATCTGTTAACAAAGTATACTAAATGTGAAACGGTATTGATTACGCATCGCGGCGAGACCCGACAGCTGATGGTGGGGGGGAGGCGGTTACGGTAGTGGCTAAAAGGTCAAATATTTCAATCGACACCAATTTTTAGATTTGGGGGTCAAGAATCTCATAATTTTCTTAAGAATTGCTATATACGGAATTTGATTGATCCACTACAAATTTTAAAGGCGCATATGATCTTTTTCGAGAAAAGCGTTTTCTCATTTTTCAAAGAATCTTACTGTAGCATTTGTTAATTAGTCAAGTATACGGTAAGCAGAAAGATATTGATCGCTTCGAGACACACAACAGCTGACGAAGGATTACGGTAGCCGGGTTGAAGGTCATCCGCACTGCTTATAATTAAACATTTAGTTTTGAAAGAAAATTTCTAAATTTGAATTTCACAACATTCAATGGTCCACAAATGCCGAGGGTACGAATTAAAAAAAATTTTTTTTTAATTAAAAAAAATTTGTTAAAAAAAACCTCAGCCACGGCCACGTTTCTCAAAGCCTGCTATTAAGATGAAAATGATAAAATTTCGTGAATCTTGCAGCGATTTAATTTTTAAAAAATTGTGGTACATGGCCGTGGCCGAGGTTTTTGAGTGAAAAATTTCAAAAAATTTTTTTCCGTGCTATCCCATCCTATTAGGAAGTTAACATTATCGTTTATTGATTTCCTTATTTGGCGATGGACCATTAATATCAAGAGACTCTTTTTTGGCTTAAATCCAACTAATACAATTCTCTAGAAAATGCGCAACCGAAAATTGTGGTCCGATTTTTTTGGGCAATTTTCGTTGAATTATCGATTGGCGATTTTTTGATAGCGTTTTTGATTTCCGAAAAAAAAATCGCAAAATTCGAGAGGGTTTGTATTATTTTCGGAAATTTCATGTTTCCTCGAGACCCTCTCTCAAATTATTCAATTCTTCTTCTCATTTCCGCGAACGGCTCATTCAGTCCGGCGAGCTCGGCGAAATATAGCGATGCGAATTGTGAGAAATGGGATCGAGTAAGTCGAAAAAAAAAAATAACAATTTGCTCTTTTTTTGCTTCAGCGCCTTAATGCTGAAAAATGTCGAGCCGGATGGTCGTCCTTTATGCGGAATAACGTGAAGCATTGCGTTCAGGTGTTCCCGAACGCTGTGAGCATCGTCGACGCCAAAAAATGCTGCGCCCAATATGGAAGTGGTGGAGTTTTGGCGGGATTTCAAGATGAGACTGAAAGAAATCGAGTCATCGGCTAGTTCCTTTTCTTCTTTCCGATTGTGTTCGTTGAGATGGCGAGAGTTTATTTGAAATCTGACAAGGCAGGTCTATTTGCAGCCCCGTCTTACAGATTATTTAGAAATTTTCCAATCGAATTAGCTAGGTCTATGGACTTTCAAATTTTTAGTCCCTCCCCACCTGTTGCATACAAATGTGAGGAAACTCGAAATGAAATAGTGGGATGTCTTATATCCCGCTTTGGCAAGCAGTTGTGGTTCTTTGGCGTGTCGGGTTCAGAAGGAGCCGCGCGGGACCCGCCATCAATAGAATGACTAGCTTTATAAAAAAAATAGGTATTTATTGTGAAAAAATTAAACAGAACACATAAAACAAAACACATGCTTAACTTGACATTATGACATAATCAATTTTCAAAAAAAAAAAAACGAAATATTGAGTGAAAAGCGAAGGAAAGTGAATCTTACTGAATGGAGTCGACCTCTTGGTTCTTCTCCATCATGGCCTTCTTCCATTTACTCCAACGTATATGGCCATCTGTGTCATCGCCGTTCTATAAAATTATATCGGTCGGTTAAAGCGTAAACAAAATGTGTAAAATTTCATACCTTGCAATGGATTAATTTTTTGTTGCCGACATCGTAACAATATTCACGTATATACGTCCTAGAAAAAAAAATATGGAATGCAACTGATGAAAATGAGCACACAATGTATTGGTAATTAATTCATTGAAACTGCGCTTCAGCTTTACTCGACGTACCATCCGATTTTCAAGTTTGTCTTTCTTCATTATTATCTCCGAGAAGGAGGAAAAACTGAGCTTGTGCCGCAAATATTGTTTGACAAAAAGTCCGGCGGCACATGTAGATCGACGATGTCGTACAAGAATTCTGCGTTTTTATAATAAATGATATATATATACATTATAGGTGACTATACCGGTTATGGAAGAAGCGGTTTGATCAAACGCCGATTTTGTATTTAATTTTTGATTGGGTGTATAGTCGGCGTCCGGCGACTGCTGTACGCGGGTAGATTTACGGGAATGCGTCTTTCGAAATGGTCTCGCAAGGACTAACAGGCTACTTCAAATTTTATGGACCAATTCCATATTTTTTTAAATCGAATGACGTTGGACATTCAAGGAAATGTGAAACTCATAAAGAAAAATGAAACAGTTCACGTGAAAACAGCAAAATAAGCATTCATGCGTGGCGAGACCTTTTCAAGGCGCATGCGCGTAAATCTACCCGCGTACAGCAGTCGCCGGACGCCGACTATATATGAGTATAACCAAATCAGTGGAGCTGGCATAGTTGCCTAGAATAATTCGACTTAGATGAAAGAACTGTTTAAACACTCACTTTTATCAAAACCTCTCGAACTATTGACGCTAATTTTGAATAAACGTCGGCTGGAACGTTTCAAATAAGTCGTTCAAATGTTGTTGCTGAAACACATCGTCAATATTAAATCGAAAAGTGTAAAATTTCAAATTGTTGCGCTTCTTTCGTCTATAAGGTGGTCAGATGGTAGTTCACGAATATAACTATATTAGTGGCTAGGCTTGTCAACTTGCTCGGCTGTTTAGGCTGTTTTTAGCATAATACTCGGCCATAAATAACATAAAACTAGGCGGATTTATCGGTATTTGTTAGAAATGGCACCCTGTGCCGATTAAAAAAAATCTCAAATTTGAATTACCGGCCCGAAAAAAAACGATGGTCCACAATTAATCAGGGTTCTCGTTATTTTTGCGATGTAATACAGTGCTCCACATAACTATATACCCCCTAGTTTTGTCAAATAACTCGAAGCGATTTTTTCTATTCTGTGAGGTCTGACACATCGGTTGAGACGATAAGTAACATATAAAGAAAGCACAATGGTGTACCTCGAACGAATCATCGAAATTTATGAAACACTAAGCTTTCAAATAACTCTGACTCAAGTCGAGCTCGAGACCACATTCCAGTTCGCCTGCTTCTTCTAATCCAGCTCGACGCATATCGCCTTCGCCTTCTTCATGGCGATCTTCGTTCCTCTTGCCTCGTATTTTGTTAGCTATAGAAATTAGAAAGTATAAACGTTAAACATTTCATAACAAAAATACCACGTAGTCTTCCTTGGCCTCCTCTTGCTAACCGACAGATCTTGTCTGAAATCATCAGCGGTCACCAAATTACCTACCTTATATAAAACGTACTTATATCTTCTCTCTTGCTATCGAAATATCGCTTCATTTTCTTCCTCGAAAATCTACTGAAATAAACATTTTTTAACGGGAATCACGATATCGTCAATATTAATAGCAAGAAAAACGGATCACACAACTCAGGCATGGTTCTAAAATAATTGAAAAAATTTTCAGTCTTAATAAGTCCTATAAATATGAAATAAATTTAAATTTTCTTATAATTCTTTAAAATTCGTGATAAGTCCTCTAAATATAATAATATATTACAACGTTTTTCCTGAGAACAACGCAATAAAACCGAAAAAATCAACAAAAAAGCGATAAAGAAAAAAATCGTTGTGAAAACGCGCCATGCAGGAGAAATGCGTCAACAATCATAACCTTGGCGCGTTTTCTGACACCTGCGCGGCCGCCTCGAACAAATTTTTAAATGGACATTCGGTCCCGGTATTTGCAAACCTCTTTTGTCTATTTTTTTAATAGGTGATACGGTAATTATGAGTCTGAATTTTGCGTTTTTCGATATTCAAATTTGTCACTTTTAAGAAATTGAAGGATCAGTATAGGAAAAAAAATTTCATTTCAAGTTTCCTCACATTTGTATGCAAAATTCACGTGGGGAGCGGCTAAAATTTTGAAGGTCCATATCTCGATATCTAGAAGATTACGCTGGTAGGGACCTAGTTCATTCGATTCGAAATTTTCTAAAGAATTTGTATGGCAAAAAATAAGAAAACTCTAGTAAATGAGGCAGTGTTTACAATTGAGAGAGCGCAGACAACGAGAGAGCGTGTTGTGGGCGGAGACGCAGACAATAATTTTGAAAATTTTGGAATTTTGTTGAACCTTCCACCACACGAAAATTCTGAAATGCTGATTTTCAGCGCTGGCGAATCGACACGCGGTATTCGCTAATGGCGGATTCGTTCGAATTGGCATCGAGCGACGAGGTCCCTGCTATTACAAGAACACCACCGAATGTCGGGGAATCCGCGGATTCGAATGGCTCGATCCGAGCGTGTCGGGAAAAGCGGCGATGATGTTCCGCAAAGGCCAACCCGACTATTATCATTTGCAGCAGCACTACGTCGTGATGATGACAAAGGATATTAGACAGAAGAAGGAAAAATGGGAGGCAGGCGATATGGAGGATATTGAGTGAGCGACGGCACATAATTAATTAATTAGCCAATTTAATTCCAGAGAAACATATACTAGGGATCCTGTGAGGCCGGCGAAAACGATTCGAGGCTACGCTTGCAGTATTCAAGCACTCACATGTCTTTAATTGAAAAATTGAATGTTGAACATGAATTTTGCTTTGTTAGTCATATCTATCCTGACTCCCATGGATTTGCGAGGTGTGAGCTGCGGGGAAGTGGTAAGCTCGCCGGCGCGCTGTTATTTTGTCCAGGGTTCGAGGCCTCATAGGCTTTACACGCTTTTGCGACTCTTCTTGAAGGCCAGTAGAGATTTTTCAAAAAACCCGCTGCAGCCCATTTTTTCGTCGCTTTTCAAACCATCGATTTCCTTTAAAGGACACCTGAGAAAATTTCGAAAATTGTGCTCAAAATCTCGTTCGACTCAAAACTCAGGCGGCATTCGTTTGAACTGAGATTAATCTCGACGTAAGCCTCTCTATTCCTCATCGTTGCCCAACCTTTGTCATTCTTCATTAGGTTTAGTTCATTCGTGATATTTCAAATTTTGTTTGTTCTATTGTCGAAGTCGCGCGGCTGCGACGAAAATTGGCAATAAGCCAAGATTGCTTTGTGTACTCCACACGGACAATGCAACGTTCTACGGCGCTGCTTAAAAATCTGTCTCCATGAAATTTTGCATCTAAAATTTTTTGAAAAACTTGAAATCGATTCTGCAATCAAAATTGTTTTCAGAATTTCAAAATTAATTTTTTTTTCCAATTTTTCCACTATTATTTTTTTTTACAACACCTTGAATTTTTCCTATTTTGACATTGTTTGCAGATTTTGGGGTTTTCAGAGGTGCTAAATTTAGCTAGATCACTAATTGAAAGCCTAAAAGTCCACAAACACCTTATATCGGACCATTATAATTGGTGAGGTCTTTTGAAGTGATTTGGCGACATTTTCATATTAATTATCGCGGTTTTCGACTCATTTTAAGATCTCGAATTAGAAAATGCAGAAAATTTTGGAATTTTAACGCGTTTTGTAGATTATCGAAGAAAAACCCTTTAAAATTCCAGCGAAATTCGATAATTTTCAAAAAAAAAAGATTTTTCAATTTCCCCCGCAAATTTACATTTTTTAAGATCTCAAAAAATTTAATTAAACAAAATATTTTTCAATGTCGTCAGACGCGTTGCGATTCGCGTGCGGCGCTCGTTTCTTTTTTTGCAAAACGCTTGATATAAATTCTGGTGGCGCGCGAAAATGTGTGCAAACACCGTGATGCAAAATCACGACCTTGATTTAAAAAAATTGCTTTTTGTCAGACGCGAATGATCGAGAAGCTGAGCACCGGCGATTTGCGTCGTTTCATCACGCTCACCTACGCCGACGACGACGATTACGAACGAGCGTGGATCAACTCGATACTGGCGAGATTCGCCGCGCGAATCGCCGACGACGTCGTCGACGTCCGACGTCTTCAACGCCAAATGTTGGCGTCGCTCACGCGCTTCATCAACGAGCGTCTCAACGGCGCGTCCATCGAATGGTCGGACCATTTCGCCGCCAACTATCGCCGATTTCTGATCGCCGAGTTCGAGGCGATTCGCCATCGAAACGATCGCTTTCGTCGTCGACTTTTGACGTTCATCGACGTCATGGAGACGACTCGCGGGAAGCGGATGCTCGTCCCAAATGAGGTAGATTGGCGATTTCGACGAGGTGTGCCATTTGGCGAAATTTCAGGAGAACCTTGAAGCGGACCTCGACGGTGGATTCGACGCTGAAATCTAATGGTTACGATAGCTACCGTAACCATCTCATCACAATCGATTTGAGATTTTTTTCTAAATGAAGCATTTTGATCAATCGTTTCGAGACCACACCACATTATTCACGAAAAAAGCTACAATTGAGGGGAAATTGGAATTTTGCCAGTAATTTTAAAGGGACATTGAACTAGATGCAAACGACGCTTCAAGTTTTACGCGTTGCCCTCGAGAAATTGAATGGTGTAGATTAGAAGGGCCAGGCGCGTTGCGGTTGCGTTGCGGTCGTGTTCATTGGGTTTTTCAAATTAGTTATTAAATTCGCCTAGTATTATTGAAACCAATTGCTTCAGAAAAAAATTAAAACTGACGCACTTTTCTATAGGTCTCGCAACGCCATTCAAGAACAACACTCCAATTTTGACGTATTGCCCTCGGTTTAGCGTACCTCGTCGCAAATTCATCAGCGGCATGACGAAGCTTCTCATGATGACGCTGTCGATATTGGCGCCTCGCCAATGCTTCTTGAGATCCGCCGACGAATCCGACGCGAGTTTGAGGCGTCTCTATGACCAATTCGTTGACGGACGTGTCGAATTATGAAATTTTATTGATTTTTCAGCAAAAAAAAATCTGATTTATAGCGATTTTAATCATATTTTTACCTTAAATTTTACAAAAAAAATTGTAATTTATTCGGTGGAAAAATCTAATTTTTTGGAAATCCGAATGAAATTTGATTTCAATCATCTGCGGACATTTTCCGGCGTCTTTTTCTGACACTCATTTACATTTTTTTTTGTGAATTATTCTAAAATCGTGTCTCACAATATCATTAATTGTCCGTGTGGAGTACAAAATTAACGCGCGTCTCGAGACCATCACGATTTGTCGAGCTGTGTAGTCCACACGGATAATATAATAGAGATTTTCGAAACTCATTTTTGGCATGCGAAATTTTTTTTTCAAATTTCTCAATTCTTCAGAAACCACGATCTTAACAAAACAAGATATTCAACGATTAATATTAGTGAAGATTTTATTACAAATTCAAACGAGCAAAAAAAAACGGGCAGAAAGCTGAAAAGGCACAAAATCGTGTAGTTGTATATGGTTGAAGGGTGCATTTACCCGGGTAGATAATTGTAAAAATATCACAAAACAAAAAAAAAACAAAGAAAAAAAATCGAAAAGAAAAACAAAGACACGTATCGATGGGAAAAGCTGTAAGGATTTGGCTTGCAAGTTCCAGAGAGAGAGAGAGAGAGAATTGATGCAAAATTTGGTGCAAAAAGTCACCCTGAGCAATAATAATAATAAAAACAAGAAATAAAAAAACAATAATAATAATAATGAGCATGGAATGCGTTCGAAGTATGAGAATTTTTGAAAAAATCAAATAAATGAACAAGATTAATCTAGAGTGAAGGCAGTGAATCAACTCGTTTCGTTTTTTTCGAGCACAAGTAGATCAATACAATCGAGCAGACGAGGAATGACACGACGGCGACGAGAATCGGCGCCAAGCGCATACAAACATCGCTCGATTTCGGCGCCGATTCCGCCAACACCGTCGCCTCGTCATCGTTCGTCTCGCCGTCCGCCGAATCCTGAACACTAATGATCGATGAGACGGCGAGACTCTCGACGCCTTCCATCGGCACGAGCTCCTCGTTGACGGCCTCGTTGACGATTCGCGTGTGTCGTCGGAAGCGCGACGGGCCCTCGATGCATTTCGGCGTCGGGCAATGATCAACGCACGGCGAGCAGTCGCATTGGAATCGGATCATCGAGCTGTCCGGCCATTTGAACGTTCTAAAAGCCACAAAATGAAAGAGTCTGATTCGGGACCATTCAATGTCCTACCTGAACACCGCTTGGACCTTGTTCGACTCAACGACGGACCATTGAGGGAACAACGATTCATCAATGGCGCATCCGCTGGGATCGGTGAGTGTGTACCGCTCTCCGCTCTCAATATTCACGGCGAAGCAATTCTTCGGCAAAATTCCAAAGTGATCGCCCGGCAGCACTTCCAAACTCAATTTGAGCGTGTCTCCAACCGTCGCCGAGCTGATGCTGACCTGTTGATGATTCGTCACCGACAGCTTACACGTCGGCGCCAACTCCGAATTCTTGTCGGTCAGCGTCGAACTGGTGGCAAGCTCGCTGACGTTCACATGCGACTCGACGTTCCGCGAGCCGATCGGATACTGACACCGAAGATCGTATGAGTCCGCCTTGTTGGTCAGGAACATCGCATGCTTCTGAACGATGACCGTCGAAGCCATGGTGTGCTGAAAATGAGAAAAAAATTTTTGAACATCTTCGAGTGTTGTCACACTCACATTCTCCAGATGTTGCACGTCACAATGCTGGAATTCGACCTTGAATACGTAAGGCTTCTGCGAGTTGAGAAGCGAGCTGAACGACTTGGAGCAATGCGGATTCTCAGCCTGTCCCTTCACGAATATCCTTCCTTCAAAGTCCGACGTCTCATTGCCAAGCACGAGTGTCATTCCATCAGCTTCACAATACACCGAGAGTTTTCCATTGTTGACGTGCTTCACGCATGTCGTTCCATCGCCAACGTATCCCGGCGGGCACGAGCACACATGCGATCCAATCGTGTTCTGACACGTCGCCAATTTGTCGCAATCATGCGTTCCCTCTTTGCATTCGTCGACGTCCTGACACGCGGCCGAATCGGCAACCGTTCGGAATCCCTGCTTACAAATGCATTCGCCCGAAATGCACAATTGCGTCTCCTCGTCGCACGGCGTCGCGCACGACGACACGTCGGCGAGATCCGGTTTGGCGGCGAAACGCCGCGCGCACGTGTAGCCGTCGCCCTCGAATCCGTGACGGCAAATGCAGCTGCCCGTCGGCAGGCAGATCGCGTTCGTCGAGCACACGCTGCTGTCGGTTCGGCACGATCGATGCGGGAAGCACGAGACGCCGTTGCCCGAGAAGCCGCTGCTGCACTTGCATTGTCGCGATTCCGCATCGCACACCGCGTTCGGATGGCAGATTCCGGTGAAGTGCACACAATCGAGCGGATCGGGCACACAGCAGAGGCCGTTTCCAAAGTAGCCAGGCTGAAACGTCGGACGTGACACACCAAAAATGGAAAATTATAAGCTCACGTTGCATTTGCAAGTGGTGCCGCCAACACAATGCGCATTCTCATCGCACTGCGAGCAATTGGAAGCCCTCTCGTGAATACTAACACACTTGATTCCATCGCCAGTGAAGCCTGGAAGGCACTGGCATCGCCGATTCTGGCAGATCGCTTCCGGGCTGCAAAGATTCGCGCGAAGCACACAATCCTAGAAAACGTAATAAGCGTAATCTTTTTTTTTTCGCAGAATGTCTAGATTACCTGCGGATGCGGCGAGCAGATATAACCATCGCCAATGTATCCCGGCTCGCATTCGCAGCTCTTCGTCGAGTTGTCGCATTTGGCGTGCTCAGCGCACAACGATGGCAATGAGAGACAGTCGGCGGTGGACTTCTTGCTGCACGTTTGTGTTCCATCGCCAACGAATCCCTCGCGACATTCGCATGATCCAGTCGACGGATCGCACGCGGCCAGAGCATGACATTTGACATTCGCACACGCTAAATCTCAATTATAAGCTGCGGACCATCAAATTTCCCCCCCAAAAAAAATGAAACCCCAAAAAAACTGGAACCCAAATAACAAAATTGTCAACTCATGCCCAAAATCATGCCAAAAATAAATTGTCCCTTACGAGAAACAGTTGTGGTAGTTGTGGATGAGGTGGTTGTCGTCGATTCAGTGCCTTCTTCACCATATCCGCCCATTCCCGAATCAGTGACTAGTGGTGTCGTTTCCGTTGGTGTTGGTGATGGTGGTGGCGAGATACTCGGCGGGCCGCGATTAGCTGTATTAGTGATGAGGGTAAGAAAATGAAAATGAAAAAAACAATTCAAACTCATGCCAAAACGATTCATGCTGAAATCTGATGTAGCTCACCTGTTACTGACACTCGAGCAGTGGTGATGGTGGTGGTGGTGGTGGTGATTTCCGCTGGTGGTGCGACTCCTGGTGTCGTCGACGAGACGCCAATCACAAGATCCTCGGTGGATCCGGTTGGTGACGTCGTGGTGATGCTCACGGTGGAAGTGGAAGTGGTGGTGGTCGAGAAAGTTTCTGAAGGTTTCGGGGATCGTGTTCGATTCGAACGCGGAACAATGGGAGTTGTGCTTGACACGAGAACATGTGGAACACTCGTCGGGACAGTCACAACAGGTTTGACAGTTTCGGACACAGTGACATTGGGAGAGACAATGGTGGTTGAAGCCTTCGGATCGAAAGGCTCCGTGGGTGCGACAGTGACCTCGGAAATCTGAGAAACTGGATTCGTATGATTCGTTGGAGTCGTCGAGGCTTCTGGCTCGATTGTCGACGCTCTCGATTCTTCAGGAGACTCCGTAGATAACCCGATATGCTTATTAGTGACGTCTTCTGTAGTCGTCGTTTCTTCAGTTATCCGCGGAGTTGTCAAAGTCGATTCTTCTGACAGCGGCTTCTTTGTTCTGATTGTAGACTCTGGTTCTGATGTCGACGAAGCTTCAGATGACGTTGTCAATGAAACTGTTGATTCGTTCTTTCTTGATTCAGTTGTGGTTGCTTCTGAAGTTACTCTCTCACTAGACCGTGTTGAGGTCTCTATTGTAGGCTGGTGACTTGAAGAAGGTGTAGAAGCCGTGGAAGATCCTTCGGATGTTAATACTTTAGACGTTGTCTCTGGTTCAGGCGTGGTCAATGCGGTGAATTCTGTGACGATTTCCGACGAAGTTGTCAACGGCTTTGCCGTAGTCGATTCTCTAGCAGTAGTCGTTGTTACTCCAGACGTCGTCGGAGTGGAAGATTCTGGAGATCCTTCGGATAATGTAGTTGTCGCTGTTGAAGACGTCAGTCTTTCTGGCCCAGAAGTCGTAGACGTGAAGGCTTCCGTGACGATTTCCAAAGAATTCGTCGTCGATTTTCTAGCCTCCGATGAAGTACTTAGTTTTGTCGTTGCAGGTACTGACGTCGTTTCTACAACAAAAGGACCACCACTCGTCAAGGATTCCGTAGAATCGGTAATTTCCGCTTTCTTGGTCGTCGTGCTGCCGTAGTCAGGCGGAGTTGTACTCTCACGATCTTCCAAATTCACCGTTGATTCTGTCGTCCTCAAAACCTCAGCAGTAGTAGAGCTCAATATTTCGCGAAGTGTTGTCGCCGTTGAGCTCTCATCTGTTCCAGAAGACTCCGATGTCTTCGATTCATCTGGAACAATTGTCGATGTCTTGCTAGGTTCTTCCGTAGTGACGCCAGATGTCTGGTCTTCAGAATCTGGAGGTATGGCTGTTGACGTTTCTTCTGCCGTCGACGTCGAAGCTTCTGTAGAAGCAGTTGTCGTCGTGACTTCCTTGGCAGGATTGGTGCTGATTGTCGTGGGAAGAGTTGAAGGTCCGCTCTTTTCAGTTTTCACAGAACTTGTCAGTTTCGGGTTCTCGGTCGACAGTTCGGTAGCCATAGAAGATTCGGTCGAGTCTTCTCCTTCTCTCGTCACCGGAGACGTCGTCGTAGATTTTTCTTCATTCGTCTCAATTTCTTCCGTGGTAGTGACAACAGTGGACGCAGACGTAGGAATCTCAGTAGTGCTCGATCCTGCAGTTGATTTCATCGTAGTTTCGATCGAAGCCGACGTGGTGGTGAGATTTTTTGTTGTTATCTCTTCAGAAGACGTTATTACTGGAATGGTCGAAGTGGATTGTGTAGATGCAACTGTTGTTTCTTCAGTTGGCTTTGTAGTAGATTCAACCGAAGCAGAAGTTGTCGATCCCGATTCCTTCGGAATCTCCTTTTGCGGCTCTGAAGTTGCACCTGTTGTAGATCGAGGCTCCGTAGTAGCTAGTGTTGTCGATTCTGTTACTTTCGATGGTTTCGTCGTCTCCTTCAGATCAGGTTGAACAGAGGAACTTGTCGAAGTCAACGGGCTACCACTCGATTTAGTAGATTGAGTGGTGCTAGTCGAAGTGACGCTTAATGTCGTCGCTTTCTCTGTCGTAGTACTAGTGGTTCCAGCCTGAGGACCAGCCGTAGTCGTTGCTTCATCCGGCAATCTAGACGAAGTTGAAGGCTCCGTGGAACTAACTGATAGTGTAGAAGGTGTTGATGGCTCAGTATTGGGACTAAGTGAAGTTTCAGTCGTTGTCGAATGAATGGTAACTTCAGAAGCTGGATTCGTTGTAGATCTAGTCGGCTTGAGAGTAGTAGACTCTGTAGTAATCGATGACGTCGTTTTCACAGGTTTAGAAGTTGTTGTTGGTTCTGTGGAAGTAACGATCTCTTTAGAAGTCGTTGATTTCAAAAGTCCCTCTTCCGGCTTTTTGGTGATCTTCGGAATCGAAGCTTCGGTTGTCGTACTGCTTGAAGACGTACTCATTTTATCATCAGTCTCTGATTCAGTCGGCGCGGTGCTCAACAGAGTGGTTGCTTTTTGTGAAATTGTCGTAGATTCCGTAGAAACTGTCGTTCCTTCAGAAGACGATTTCGGCGCTTTTGACGATATCATAATGACGGTGGAAGCGGTAGCATTCGGCTTCTTCGAAGACAACGAGATTCCCGTAGTTGATGATTCTTCGGTAGTCTTCGGACTTCTAGTCGTCGATGTAGTGAATTTCTGAGAAGACGCGGTGGGATTCATCGTCGTAGACTTAGAAGTGACAGACTTCGTCGATTCCCAAGGCTTTTGAGTTGTGCTAGGTTCTACACCTTCAGACAATGTTGTCGATGTATCATTCTTCGTCTCTTCCACAGTAATCACTTCATGAAGAGTAGTAGTCGTCAAAGGCATCGTCGTTGTCGTCATCTTCACAACATCAATCTCCAATGTCGACGTGACACCCTCGCCCAGATCAATATCCGGCGTGGCGTTCGAAATGATGCCCGACGTGACGATGGCAGTCATCGTGGTGCCTTCGGGTGACCGCGATTGCGGTGATGGTGCACTCGTGAGATTCCTCACAGTGGGTAACACGGTGGACGACGACACAGACACGACTCCAGACGACGTTGTGCGGTTATTAGACACTTCGGAAACATTAAGGAAAGACGATGTGGTTGGTGTTGGTGTGCTCAAAGAGACAGTACGAGGTGTGCTCGACTTCACAGTGGTTGACATGGTCTTACCATCCTTCTTCTCATGATTCTCATTTGAGTCCTCATCAATCGGAATCGTGGCATTCGTCTTCGGAACCACAGTGGTAGTTCCTACAAGATTCGCAAAATTTGACAAGCCTGAATCAACCTCTCAACTAACCTAGAGCAACACACACGTTGTCCGACTTCTCGAATCCAGGCTTGCAGACGCATTTGAACGCACCCATCGTGTTCTCACACTTCGAGTTCTCATCGTCACACATTCCGTTCAACGAGCACTCATCAATATCTGAATCCGAGCCATAATACACACACTTCAATAATCGAGCGGAGCCTACCATCGCATATCTTTCCATCACCAATGAATCCAGGCGTGCAGACGCATAGATGCGAGTTCGGCTGAATATCGATACAGTCCGCGTGTTTGCTGCAATCGTTGTTGTCCTTGCACAAACCGGACACCTGAACCGGTTGGCAGCTTCCATTGATCGGCTGGTTGCCGTGAAGGCAGGCACCGCACTGCGGCACCTCCTCCTCGTCAACGGTGCACTGTTTGTTCTCAAGCTCGCACAGCCGCTCCCACTCATCAGTGCATTTGTTGTTGCGACTCTCAATCGTCTCAATCTCTGAAACGTTCAATTGGATTCTTGGTTCCAGAATCGCGACGAATAGAATCTTACTTGTGCACTGGGTTCCATCGCCCGTGTATCCTGCCATACATTTGCATCCGCAACTTCCCATACGATTAATACACATCGCCATACTATCGCATCCAGCCATTCCGCGATCGCATTCATCAATGTCTGTACAGATTCCGCCTTCGCCTTCATAGCCTTCGGCGCAATCGCACTTGAACGATCCTTCCGTGTTCACACACACCGTCGACGCCGGATCGCAATTATGCCGATTCTCATGACACTCATCAATGTCCACACATTCATTCGATGACTTATCGAATCGATAGCCCGGTTCGCATTCGCACACCGACGTAAGCGAGCCGTTGTAGACGCGCACCGAGAGGCACGAGACGTGCTCGACGCGTCCGCAGAACTTCTGCACGTCCTCGCAGCTTCGTTCCAGCGGATTCGTGCACTTGACGCCGTCGCCTTCGAATCCGGAATGGCATTTGCATTGGAACGATCCGGGAAGATTGGTGCAATCAGCATGCGGATGGCACGGATGCTTTTCGCACTCATTAACATCCTCGCATATGAATCCGTCGCCTCGGAATCCTTCATTGCAGGCACACGAGAATGTTCCGTTCAAGTTCTTGCATGTGGAATGCGGTGAGCACATCGACGTCATCCGCTCGCACTCATCGACGTCAACACAGACGCCGTCCTTCTTCTCGTAGCCATTCTTGCATTCGCTGCAATCGACGACGCCGTCTTCATCGACCATGCAAGCATGATTTGAAGCGCAGTTGGATTTCTCGAATTGCTCGCGCTCGCACGGCTTCTTCGTGTTCGGTACACAATGGTAGCCGTCTCCCAAGAATCCCTTGAGGCATTCGCATGTGTAACCACCCGGTTTGTTGCGGCATTGCGCGTTCTCACCGCAGCACGTCGAATGATGCTCTTTGCACTCATCGATATCTTCGCAACTTCCGTCGTCGAGCTTCCGATAGCCCATAGGGCAGAAGCATGCATAACCGCCGACGTAATTCTGGCAGCGAGCCGTCGCATGGCAATTGTGGAGGCCATTCGCGCATTCATCAACATCTGAATTCTCATCGATCGACGTTTGAAGCTCAAGAAATCTACTCACCAGCACACGACGTCTTCGGCGGCGTTCCTTCGAATCCCGGCTCGCAACGGCACACGCCAGTGCGTCTCTCGCACAGCGCATCGTTCCCGCATTCATCGCTGCTGGTGCATTTGACATTCTCACTGAAATAAGTTATGATAGCTGATTGATTAGAGTTCTAGAATTCACGAACCTAGTAGTTTCATTCTCGAACACCATTGGAACGATAGTCGTCGTCGTCGGAAGGATGAATGTGTCCTTGGTCGTCGGAGTCTCGCGATTCGGAATGATTGTTGCGTTTTCAGAGATTGGAGTCGTTGGCTCTCCGGTGATAGCTTTATCTGATGTCGTGGATCCCTTTGAAGTTGTTGTAGCTTCAGTGGCCTTCGTGGATGGTGTAGTTGATTCTGAAGTAACGCTGCTTGAGGTTTCAGCACCATCAGGTGTCGTCTCTTCAGGCTTCTTCGTGCTTTCCGTTGCGATTGCCGTAGTTCCGTCAGGCTTCTCAGATTCTCCAGATCCTTCTGTAACGCCGCTACTAGTTGTGGTTGACACTTCGGTGCTTCCAATCGTTGATTCCGTTGATTCCTCCGGTTTATTTGAGATCTCGGATGTCGGAGTAGTTGATTCACCGGACCTATCGGTAGTTTTAGAAGATGGGCTAGTCGTTTCTTCAGACGTTTTGGTAGATTCAGAAGTAACTTCTTCAGGCTTCTCTGTGGAGCCTTTTGGATTCTCAGTAGTTCCAGACGTAGCTGGAATTGTTGGTTTTTCAGTCACCTTAGTGGTAACTTCTTCAGGTTTCTTGGAAGTTTCTGGAGTTGTAGATTTTTCTGATCCGTCTGGATTCTCGGAACTTGGTGTAGATTCTTCTGGCTTCTTCGTGCTTGGTGTAGATTCTTCAGGCTTCTTCGTGCTTTCCGTTGCGATTGCCGTAGTTCCGTCAGGCTTCTCAGATTCTCCAGATCCTTCTGTAACGCCGCTACTAGTTGTGGTTGACACTTCGGTGCTTCCAATCGTTGATTCCGTTGATTCCTCCGGTTTATTTGAGATCTCGGATGTCGGAGTAGTTGATTCACCGGACCTATCGGTAGTTTTAGAAGATGGGCTAGTCGTTTCTTCAGACGTTTTGGTAGATTCAGAAGTAACTTCTTCAGGCTTCTCTGTGGAGCCTTTTGGATTCTCAGTAGTTCCAGACGTAGCTGGAATTGTTGGTTTTTCAGTCACCTTAGTGGTAACTTCTTCAGGTTTCTTGGAAGTTTCTGGAGTTGTAGATTTTTCTGATCCGTCTGGATTCTCGGAACTTGGTGTAGATTCTTCTGGCTTCTTCGTGCTTGGTGTAGATTCTTCTGGCTTCTTCGTGCTTGGGGTAGATTCCTCTGGCTTCTTCGTGCTTGGGGTAGATTCCTCTGGCTTCTTCGTGCTTGGGGTAGATTCCTCTGGCTTCTTCGTGCTTGGGGTAGATTCCTCTGGCTTCTTCGTGCTTGGGGTAGATTCCTCTGGCTTCTTCGTACTTGGGGTAGATTCCTCTGGCTTCTTCGTACTTGGGGTAGATTCCTCTGGCTTCTTCGTACTTGGAGTAGATTCCTCTGGCTTCTTGGTGCTCGGTCCATCAGGCTTCTCAGTTCCTTCAGTTGTCGTTTCTCCTGATCCTTCAGTGGTCTCATCGGGCTTAGCCGAAGAAGCAGTGGTTGTTGTATCGCCAGATCCTTCAGTCTGCTTCGTGCTTGGAGTCGTTCCTTCACTAGTAGCAATGGTACTCTCAGAAGAAGTTGTAGTCTCTCCAGATCCCTCGACAGTGGTTGGAGAAACCGTAGTTGATTCAGTGGTGGACTCTCCCGATCCTTCCGTAGTTGGTCCTGTTGATTCCTCCGGCTTCTCGGTGCTTCCAATAGTAACAATTCCCGTCGGCTCATCGGTAATCTTCGTAGTCTTCGGTGTTGTGGACTCAGTCGAGACGCTCTCTCCCGGAATTCCATCCTCTCCAGACTTGGTAGTTGACTTCGGTGTGCTCGATTCGCCGGATCCTTCCTCATCCTTCTTATCTTTGGGAATCTTGGTTGTCTTTCCTAAACCATCAACACCTTCGTTCTCATTCGGACCTTGACCATCAATCTCAATAGTCGGTTTCTTTGTGAACTTGCTTCCATCACGAGTAGTTCCAGCTGAAAATGGAAGGTTAGAATCAATGAAATTTCATCGTCATCATACTAAGTTCAAGGTCGTCGCCATCTCCAGAACCTTCCGATGGCTTCTTTGTACTTCCAGATCCAGAAATCTCGAGGCCGATCTATACCGAACGTCTAAATTTCTCGAAGATCACGAATACACACTCACCTTCTCCGAATCAATTGTGACTTCTGGCACTGGTGTAGTCGATTTTCCATTCCAACTGATCTCCAATCCGATTTTATCTCCATTCGTCGGCTTTTCGGTGACCTTTTTGATCTCCAAACCCTCTTCTTTCGTTCCATGAGATCCGTGCTCGCTTGTGCCCTTGCCACCTTCGCTTCCAACAGCTTCACCGCCTTCAGAATCAGTGGTAGTGACAGTGCCTTTTCCGGATCCTTCTTCAGATTTGTCACCAGCTCCCGGCTTCTCACCTCCTTCTTTTCCAGATCCCGGCTTCTCGCCTCCTTCCTTTCCAGATCCCGGCTTCTCGCCTCCTTCTTTTCCAGATTCCGGCTTCTCGCCTCCTTCTTTTCCAGATTCCGGCTTCTCGCCTCCTTCTTTTCCAGATCCCGGCTTCTCACCTCCTTCTTTTCCAGATCCCGGCTTTCCATCTTCCTTTTCGACACCTTCTCCACCTTCTTTATCAGTCGTCGTGATCTCCGGCTTTCCACCATCTTCTCCAGACTTGCTCTTCGATCCTTCTCCTTCCTTTCCAGCTCCTTCTCCACTTTCAGTGTCCGTCTCACTCTTGTCTCCCGGCTTGTTTCCTACGGTCGGAGTCTCATCCTTATCATCAATCTTCTTGTCGGCGCCTCCAGTTCTCCAGCTCTTCTGCTCAAACGTGACCTTCTCGCCCTTCTCAAAGTGTCCAGAGCTTCCCGATTCGAATACTTCCGATCCTGATCCATCAATTGGAAGCTTCTCGAACAACGGCGATTTGGTGCTTCCTTCAGATGTCTCCTCGCCAAGGGTGGTGATTCTGACTCGAATTGTTCCTTCAGACGTCGGCGCCGATGTGAATCCAGTTCCACTGATAGTAGTCTCCCGATTTCCTGATCCCATGAGATCCTCATCCTCGTCACTCTCATCACCATCTTCCGTCCAGATTCCCGAACTTGGCTGCTTGCCAGAACCAGTCTCTTCGACTTCTTTGCTCTTCGATCCTCGGATAATTCCCGATCCACTGATCTCAAGACCAAATTTGTCCTCGTCAGCCGTCGTTTGAATCACCGATTCGCCGCTGTTGACGCGTCCTCTCGTCAATATCACTTGTCCCGATGAGAAGTTCTTCGATTGTTGAACGACTTCAGTGATGAGCTGATCCGACGATGATCGATTCGACACCGCCGCGACAATCTTATCCTCCTCGTTGCCGCCGATTATCTGAAGTCCGCGTCGGCTGCTAATCTCGAGACCGAGACAATCATCGTGGGTGGCGTTTTGCGGGTTGCAGCACACGAACGAACCGATGAGATTGACGCACCACTCGTTCTCCTCCAAATTGCACGTCTCTGTGATGCACTCGTCGATGTCTAAACGATATCACAAATTGAATTATCCGATCAAAGGAATTGGTTTTACCTTCACAACCAACAAGCGCGTTTCCGCCATATCCTTTCGAGCATTCGCAATAGCCATCAATGCATTCCGAATTCGCCGGGCAATATGAAGTGCAAGAGAGCTCTGAATCAACAATTGCATTTTTTCAGATCAGAATTGCTTTGAATCTTACTCCCTGTGGTGGTTTGGAAGTTCTTTGGAAGATATCCTCTGGTAACCTTGAAAGTGCCACCGGATGAGTTCCTGATAGATCCGGCGCTTTCGATAAATGCTTCCCCGGTTGTCGTGAAGTCGGCACCGTTGTTAGAAATCGTCGAACTGTCAATCGATAAGGCTTGATCATTGCATTCCGGAATCGCGCTTCCTGGCTGACAGCACATGAATCCGCCTTGAAGGTTGACGCATCGATCACCGACACCTCCACACTTCTTATCATCCTCGCATTCGTTGATATCTGAGAAAAAGTGTTGATAGAAGATTCTGAGAGATTCTGAAGCCTCCTACCAACGCATTTCTTGTTCGCATCTCCACTAAAGCCTTCAACACATTGGCACGTCTGATTCGCGCAGATCGCGTTCAATCCACAACCACCGCTGCAGAACGCGCCTTGATCCTTGACGCATTGCTCGTCGGAATCGCCATCCTTGCAGCAAACGTAGCCGCCGTCAAGGTTGAGGCAGCGGCCGCCTGATTTGCATGGCGACTCGAGAGCGTCGCACTCGTCAACGTCTGAAAGTTTGACATATGGGTTCAACGAAAGCGAAACGCCAAGGGCCATACCATAGCAGGTAATTCCGTCGCCCGCGTAGCCCGATGAGCAAACGCACAACTCCATTTTGTCCAAGCAATAGGCATGACGATCGCAGATGGAAGGATTCTTTGAGCAGCTTCCTTTTGCTGAAAATTGGGCCACAAATCATTTCCAACATCTTCTCAATCTCAATCTTACGTTGACAATTCTTTCCGTCTCCCACGAATCCTTCATCGCATTCGCAAGTGTACCCACCAATCGTGTTGATACAGTCGGCTCTTGAATCGCATTTGTGAAGGTCGCCCGACGCGCATTCGTCGATATCCACGCACGCCGTCTCATTGACGAGCGTGTATCCCGGCGAGCACGTCTTGACGCATTTGAACGAGCCGATCGTGTTCTCGCACATCTCGTCGCTCTCGCAGTCATGGGTGTTCGTCTCGCATTCATTGATGTCAACGCATTTGTCGAGACCGGCGCCTTGATTGCCGCGCGGGCTGAAGCCGTGTGTGCAATTGCAGTAGAATGTGCCCGGCAGATTGATGCACTGCGAGTTGTCGGGACACGAGGCGGTGCGCTCGACGCACTCATCAATGTCCGTACAATCGGTACCATTTCCGGTGTATCCGGGAAGGCAGCGGCATTCATACGAGCTGAGTGTGTTTTGGCATTGAGCCATCATATGGCAAGGATGGTCGAGACATTCGTTTTTGTCTGAAAATCAATTAATTCGATGAGGAAAAATGGAAATTCGCAAAAATAAAAAGACAATGTCGTCAAATAAAATGCAATTGTGCATTTCGGTGTTTACACAACTCATTGCATTTGACGCAATTTTCGTCAATTTTTTTGCAAATAATTATTTTTCATCGTTTTACCTTGTAATTCGCAAGCTTTTCCAGAATACCCGCTGTCGCAATAGCACATTGGTTTAGTTCCATCGTACAAACAAGCGCCATTACCGCTGCAAGTCGACTCGCACTTCCTTTCTGCAAAAAAAAATATTTCGCATCAATTTCCAATTTGTTTTTTTTCAGATTATTACCGCAATATGGAAAGACCTCATCGTGCATCGCCGGATTCGCAAAACAGTCCTGTTTACCGTCGCAAAGCGAGCTCATGTTATGAATGTGAAGATCATTGGGATCAGCGCTGTAACACAAAGAAGATGTTCGCGGCTTTGAGCGACCTTGGAATGGTGTTGCACTTTATGTTGCGGTTGATTGCATTATTCAAGAGGTCAAAATATTGCCGACGAAAAGGAGTGTTTACCAATAACAACAACCCGCGACGATGTCCGCAGCTGAAATTCGACATACCTGTGCTGACAGATGACCGTGGATGTGTCGAAGTTGACGACAAACGTCGGCCTGAGGTGCGGCGTTGAGGAATTCACAAAATTTTTCGCTATTGTCTCGATGCCTGAAATTGTCCCACAATCAAAATTTTTTTATCACCCCCCAACGCGTTCGCGCTCTCAAGGTCCGCATCGGTCCCCCCCCCCTCATTTTCCCTCGCCGCCTAATTTTCACGCAATAAAATTCTCGAATCGACCTTGCTTGTTCGAACGCTGATGGGAGGAGGGAACCCTCCAAATTCGTTTTTTTTTCACTTTCGTGTTCTTCAATTGATTGCTTACCTCGAATATGTGCTAATATGATATAGAGGAGCGGGATGAGGACCCGCGAGCCCCCGCCGCGGCTCATTGATGTCATCCTGAAAGAAGAAGGAACGAATTGGGGCGAGAAGATTCAAAAAACGAATTCGGGGCGTTCAAATACGGTGTTCGTGACACAACACACGACAAATACACACTCGTGGGGAGGTGGAGGGAAAAGCTGAAATTTCCCACAGTAGTTTGAGGGTCTTTAACGACTATTTGGTCAAAAAGATGGGAGAACCGATTAATTACGAGAAAAGCCGATCTCAAATGGAACTCGGTCAAAACCATAATAAATTGCATAATTAAAATCCGAGGCCCGTTTCTTTTCTTTTTTTTCTCTCTCGCCGTCTTTTGAGTGCAACTAGAGTGAACCTCGAACTATTAATAAGTGAGCGCGTCGGTCTCGAACGATTTGGAAACGAAACGAAATAACAAGATCAAGAGCGGAAACGTCGGAACAAAAGTAGGACAACCACCGAGAAACCATATACGGAAGACGGGGGGGGGGAGGTGATGAGGCGCCGGCGCACATCGCCCCCGACGGGTTGGAGCTGGACGAGATGAAGGATGAGGTACGATCTGCCATGTTCTGAGGGAACATCTCCAACTTGAATGTCCCTCCTCCTCCTCCTCCTCCTCCTTCCCCCAACCAACATTCCGCCTCCTCCGCCCCCCCCCTCTACCTACCTACCTATTCGGCCCGTTTAGTGGTCAAGGCCGATATGTTTTTGCTTTTTTTCGCTGTCGGCGGCCGGCCGGCGCGCGCTTCCATCCATCCAACGCCGCTCTCGCATCACCCGCCCATTGCATCCGATTGTGCAATCATCTTATCGCGAGCGACGATCCATTAGAAATCGACGGACCATTGATGGCGGGCGACGACGGGGTGCGGGGGAGGCAGCGGTGATATAGATGTATGGGGCAATGGCGATTTTTGGAATTCCAGATGACCAGATTCTGGGGGATCCTGGAAATCCAAGAGTCCTGCAAATTCGGAATTATTTTTTTCGGTCATATGTAATTTTAAGGTGATTTCGCCTGGTACCACATTGTACCTCAGAATCAGCGCGCTCCCAATTCGGCTGAGTTCTTCATGTTCCGTCCAGCGGTCCATTCTCTGAGTGTGTGTGTGTTGCGCAACACTGTCCTTCAAACGCAATGTTGCATCGGCTAATAAAACCTATCAATGGATTTTGTGGAGAACAATTTCCTTCGGGTTTCGAATTCCTAATCCGATACCAGAAAAAAATCATTTATCAATGTATTAAAATCGGGCTAATCATCACAATGACCTAATTTGGATGATGAATTTGACAAAACTTTTGATTTACTGTGTTTCATTTCCGTCGTTGCACGTCTTCTCTCGTTTGATTTTTGAAAATTCTCGTTACGAGGTGATGGTGGTGGGAGGGGGTCTCTTTCGAGTCATACAGACTATGAGTGAAGGCTCTTGGAATATAAAAAATTCATCTGCGGACATTTTTCGGGTTTCAGCGCATGATATCGTTATTTTCATTCTATTTCGAATATCAAACATTAAAGAAAAACTCACAATGCTATTTTTTTCATATGCGGACAATTCGCCGACATCCAATTTTCGAATTTCACTAATTCGTAGACAAATTGTTCAGACGCTTGATAAGCTCGTGGCCGAATTCCTAGTTAGGCCACAATATCAGATCTGATCCTGAAACATTTTCAAAATCCATTTTAAAATTTTAATCTCGAATTATTTTTCAAGTGATTTTCCAGAAAAAGTCTATCACAATTTCCATAATTTTCAGCCAGTCTCAAAATTGTCCGCAGATGGTTTATTTGTTCGCAATTCAACCAAAATCGAGTTGAATTTCAGTTTCCGGCGGATAAATTTTCAGGTATGCGCCTTTAATATATAAAGTAATTTTTGCTAGCAAAATCGAGATGCTCGATAGGTCTTGTTGGCGTCTTCCTATCAATTGTGGAACGCCGCCGCCATTCCCCTAATGACCCGATTTACAGTTAGCAATTAGTCATAATTCTCCCGAGGCGTCGAGGGTCGAGTTCCGCCTATTAATCACCGCCGGTGAAACATTTCTCGGACCCTAATTGGTTGTATAGAAAAAAAAGACGTAACCAACAGTTTTCAATCAAAAACCTTCGAGTTACTGGGTCATCTCATTTTGGCGTTTCCAAATCGTTGGAATTTCGCGTGCAAACAAAAATTAGCTCAAATTTGATGGAGGAGATCAGCGAAAAACAGAGAGAGAGAAAAAAACCAACGCCGACTTGTCATCATTCCTCATCGGCCATCCGACGCAATCTAATCTCGTCCCATCGCCACAGCAATCCATTCATTCGGCTGCTACTCTCCTTCATCTCTCCGTCTCTGTCGATTTCGACACTAACACGGTCTCGGATTCAGACGCCTGGCACGCATCGCGTTTCGGTTATTCGTTGGCTGCAACCGCAAAATAATCAAGATAATAATATTTGGTATTTTGAAGACAACGAAAAAATACAACTCGCCGCATGTGTTTGTTTGTTTTGGCCTTGATTTATGGACTAAATTTTTTCGGATGGAACATCGAGATTAGAGCGATGAAAATGAGGTCGTGTTGAGATGACAAACCGCTATCTTTCGGGTACCATCTGAAATTTGGCAAATAATGAGGAAAAAACCAAAAAAAATTACCTTTTGTGAAAACAGATTACTCTGGAAGCAAAAATTCAATCTGTCGTCGGATTTTGCGTTTCAGTACGCAGTACACCGAACAGCCTACCGTAATTCATCATATATTTTAAAAACATTCTCAAATTTTCAAATTTCTATTGCAATTTTTTTACCCATTTCCTATCAAAAATTCTAGAAAAAAATATTGAAAATTAAAAAATCGTGAGGCTTTTTGTGAAATCATGAAAATATGATCAATTTCCAACGAAAAACGGTTCCGGCTTCTTCGGAATCGATTCACTAACATCTTTTTCATATATCATCGCATTTCGACAACGAAAAAGCTTAAAAACTGTGACAAATCGAAGAAAAAATATCGGTTGACCGCATGCGTCGCGAACCGCAACGCGTTGGTCCTGCAACGGCGCAATAAAAATTCGCGCGCGAAACATTTTTTTCAAAATTAATATTAATGTTTCATTTTGTTGAAACCCTACTTTTCGAGAATTTTTTTGTTGAAATTTCGCCAGGTCCATCATCTCTACAGTAATCCGAATCGTGTCGGAACCCACCACCAATAATTTGAAATTAACTTTTTGTTTATTTGAAAAAAGAAACACCACCAACCCTTTTCGCAAATTTGCGACAGTTTTTGTCAATTAGAATGTTCCAGATTCAAAAAGAAAATTTAAATGCTTCCGCAATGATTTTGATGGTCCCAATTGTTTGAAGAGGTTCCTCGCAATTGAACACCCATGCATTATTGTGCGTGTGTGTCAATTCCCATCAAATTCGAAACATTCGAGGCGTGTCGATTCCATCGAGCGCCTCGCCAACCGACCGCCTATCATTGTGTTGGTGCCCCCCAAACACACACCACCATCAACCATCGCCATCTCGCTCAGCTACTAAAAACAACTCCAGCCGATTAGGGGGTCAAGGACTCGGTGTTAAACGCCAGAAAGGAGACATTGCGCGATGTGTGTGTGATTAGGAGAAAACGACAGGAAAAAAAAATATCAAGGCGCTGCGACATGGATCTCGACGGACCACAAAAATCGGATGGTGGCACATAATCCACAAGATCTTGATGACTTTCACTTCATTGCGTCATCATCCAGGATTAGCCGCGCGCGCGCTTTCACTCCCTGGGAAATCCCATGATCTTTATTCATTCCCAATATGATTGATAATGATATTGGAGGCCAAAAAAGGCTCGAAGCGACCTCATCAACAGCGAAACTCAATTATCCAAAAGGGAAAGTGTTATCTATCATAATTAAAAGTGAAAATTATAAAATTGGTTTCAACTAATTTTTTTTAAATAAGCCTCCTCGGGCCTAAAATCGTCATTTTATTCTCGAGGATTTTTTAAATTTGCGCCTTATATTTTCAATTGCTATTTAAAAAAAGGGGGTCCTTTGTGTAAATTAGAGTGAGTTTGATTCTCTGGAACTCGAATTTCTGGTGTTTTAATTTCAGCTTGAATAACCGAGCTGCAAAATATTGAAGGTGTAAATAATGGAAGTCGATTTAATCGAATAATTACGCTAATTGTTAATTATAATTTTAGCTTTTCAAAATTCCACTTGTTAGTTTCTTTTTTTCAGCCAAAAATTCCCAAATGTCAAGATATTTTTCATTTTTCGCTAATTGAACCCTCCGCTTTGGTTTGCTGAAAATCCGACATCTTTAAATTTTTAACAAAATAATTTCCATTGCCTTTTTTGAATGATCTTCAAATGAGCCTCCTAGAATGAGAATTTGTGGAAAAAATCGGTGGTATCAAATTATTGAGGTCCGAATTCGTCAAAATTCGAGTTTGACCACGTCTTCCTCACGATTCGTTTTTGTTCTAATCAGGATTTAAAGCCAGCCGGCTCAGATGCAAAACGGCAATCCAACATCGTCTCATAGAAAGCAGAGGAAAAAATGGCAACCAAGTATTAAATCCTTAAAAGTTTAAGGAAATAATTAGAATAAAATTAATCTACTAGATCGACGTCAAATTCGATTTTTGAAATCGATTGAATCTTTTTAACATAGCCCTCAAACTCGAAAATTTTGAAGAAATGAGCAAAGCTTTTGAATTGTCGCCAAATTAGCGGTGATTGCGGATTTTTTGTGAATCTGTTTCTATTTTCAGCCTTTGGTATTAATATATATATATATTAGCATTTGATATTAACAATTAATAAATTAAAATAAACGGTAGCGCGCGATGTGTGCAAACACCGTGCCGCAAATGACACAGAAAAAACCGAAAAACACACATCTCATTTGAATTTGGTTTTCGCAGCAAAGGCGAAATTTTTAGAAATTTTTTTTGGACCCTTAATTAATTTATAAATTTTTACTTCACTTTGAAATAATTGAAGGAATTTGAACAAAAAAATCCAATCAAATTTGAATTCTTCAATATTTCGAATTATCGCTATCAGTGTCCTTTTTTGGGCCGCGCCTAATATTTCAAAATCAATTTGTGACATCATCCTGATTCGCAAAAATGTCCAATTCCGTACCAGTGTTGAAACTTGTGAAATTGTGACCCAAATTAGTCAGCGGAAAAAACCCGCGGAGGTCGCGCTTATCAGGTCAGACGGGCGTCGTCGAAGACGTACACACACAAAAAAAAAGAATTGGAGGATGAAGAATAAAGAAAGAAAGAAGCGTGTCGTGTGTTAGTTGATTGAAAAGTGCGCCCGGCGGCGGCGGCGTTCCATCCGTTTCATGGCCATCGGCACACTCCGTTACCCATAAATGGGAAACGAACCAATACCCGTAACACCCGTAACAGTCACCAAATTGTTATTCCTTTATTTATTATATACAAGACGATGAAGAATAAAAAGAAATCTCAAATAATTTCAGGGGGGGGGGGACCAATTATCACAATACCTCTGACGCTAGTCTTTTTTCGGGACAAAAAATGAATGCAATAGATTTTTTTTGTTTTGCTTTGTTTTAGAAATTTATACATAAACGAAATAATTGTTAGGGCTCGAGTGTGCTCCTTTAAATTCCAAGATCTTTGCGGATCAGCGCGGTGACGAGGCGGAATGGACGCTCCTCGAACTCGATGTACTTGTCTTTGGCGATTTTCACCTGATCGCCGTTCATGCGATTCAAAAGCGTCACGCAGACGATGGCGGCTGAAATCGGGGGGAGCGTTTTAGCGACAACCTATTCGTGGCAAGACTCTTACATGCATATCCGGCGCGACAGGTGAAGCTCGCGAAGCACGTGCTCTCCATCTCAATATTTCGTACGCCGAGCTCATGCAATTTGTTCAAGAATGCGTACTTGTCGGCTTCAGTGTAGTCGCAAAAATAGCCATCAAGTCGCATTTGTCCTGAGAACGAAGAAAATTGTAAAATTGCCGCCATTGGGGTCTACGCAAGTTCACCTTCATAAAAGTCATCAGCGCACATTGTCTTGCCGGTCACCACCGGAATTCCCTTCTCATTGGCAACGGCGCAGAGTTGCTCGCGGAGCTTCGCGTCAAGTTGAGTGGGTCGCTCAATCTGAAAACAAAAACAATACCAAATTCGATAGGCTGGATCGATCGACTCACTCGTTTGCCAGCGACAACCTGAACATGTTTGTCGCTGAGTTCGGCGTTCATCGCCTCCGTGGTGACGACGACAGTTCCCGGTTCAACACCAACTCCTCCAGAAGTGCCGAGCCGAATGAATCTGAACATTTTTCATTTTTTTGATAATTTTAGATTAATTCTCACTTAACATCCTTGGCTTTCGCGTGATGCATGAGTTTCAGCGTCTCAACGAGCATTATACTCAACGATGGGGTTCCCATTCCATGCTGAAAAAATAGAACATGGTTCGAATCCGATTAGGATTCTCACATTTATCCAGCACACTGGCCCAGTCTTGTAGATCACAAATCGATCGGACCTTGACAAATTCTCGCTGCACGGAATGCCGGCTTCCTTGGCAAACCATTCCGCGTAGAGCTTGAAGCGAGTTGGAGCACCACCGGCGCAAACATACTGAAAAAATGACAACAAATTAATTTATGAAATGGTTAGTGGAACAAATGGCGTAAAGGTCGCGTCCTCGAGATTTTAATTAAAACCTACAATCGTTTTTTTCGTTGCGGGATTTCATAGATTAGGTTAGTTAGGCAACGAAACATGAAAGTGGAATTTGTCGAGAATTATGGGGGAACTATTTATTTATTTACTTTGCAGCGCGTTTAATTTTGATTTGCTTCCTCACGCTTTTTGAAATGTTTGCCTTCTTTGTTTTTTTGCAAAGGAAAGCAAAATGTATACACAAAAATTGAGTATATTGTTTGTCGTTTAGAATTAAAATAAAGTGAAATTTTTTGGGTAGACAGAGCATCTCCATGCGGAAAAAACGGCGAAATTTTATTTTCTAATAATAAGCGGTAGAAAAACTGCGCTCTCTTGCACTGATTGCCAAGATGAATAATAAAAAATTTGGGCGAAAAAAATTGAAAAAATGACGCCGTAAAAATAAATGTGCATTTTCGCGTAAACACCAATTGCACTAATCACATTCTACAGTAACACATTTTTTTTTAAACCAAATTTGCTTCATTTCAATTTTTCAATTTTTCCCTTCACCCTCAATGAAGAATTCCCACCTTAGTGTCTCCAAAAATTTTAGGAATATCGATGGTACTAACGCCGAACCCAAAATGATATAAGAAATCGTCGCCAGAGTCCTCAAAGTACTTGTTGCGCTTTTCAACATTTCCATTTGCGATTTGCTCAGCCATTCTAAAAAAAAATGGGTTTCAAAAATAATAAAAATGAATAAAAGAAGAAGAAGAAGACGCGCAAAAAATAGCGCAACCATTAGTATATATTTTTTTATTTATTTATACATAAGAAAGTGCAAAAGAAGGTGAAGAGGGGGAGGTGGGGGAGGGGAAAAGCGCGAGAAATGATGCAATGCCTATTTTTTTTTGGTCGGGGCCGAGAGGCAGGCACAAAGCCAAAAAGAATCGATTGAAGCTGCGACACATACACATAAAAGCACAACAAAACAGACAAGTGGGCTCGTAATTGGATAGCATTCAAGTTTCTATGGGCTACCGTTGGAAAAAGGTCAATTTGAACAATAGATCAATGGAATCATGATAAAATGAAGTCTAATACATCAAATAAATGCTGCGGACAATTTGCGGGGGTTCGAAAAATACTTGGATGCGCTTTTAATTTGAATATTGCGTGTTGGGTAGTTTTTGAAAATTGGTAAACGCAAAAATCGCTCAAAATTAGCAAAAGCTGCCAATTTTATTTCGGGTTCTATAAAACCCACAAAAATCCATCAAAATTCTTTATTAATAAATTGTTGATTTAAAGGAGCATGCAATATCAGGTTGGCAGTTCACCGTGACGCGAAAATGCGGACAACAAACAAAGCGATGAAACCGGCTGATTTTTCTACTCTTTAAATACCAAAATGTTAAAATTAGCAATATTTTTTGAATAACACGCGGTGTCATAAAATGAAATGTCGAAAAGGTTTTATGCTTTTCTTTTTTTTTTAACAAAATTTTTGTTCCTTTTTCTCATTGCTGATAAGAGCCCCACTTGTTTCCGCCATCGACCTTGACATTCTCTACCGTATTAATGCAAATGGCGAGCGAAATGAAGCGTGTGGGGTGTGTGGCGCCAAACAAATTCGAAAAGTCCAAAAGAAATTGGTGTCTCGCTTTTTTTTCATGCGGGGGGGGCGGGCGATGATATAAAATCGCATCTGCCGACAATTTTCCGGCGGCAAAGATTAAAAAAATGGAGGCAATATGATGATATTAAATGGAAAATGGGAAATTTGATTCTTTGATTTCGATTTTGATAACGTCGCATCGCGAAAAAACATTTTTGGAAACGCGAAAAATGTCCGAAGATGCGAAATAACAAAAATGCGGCATTCTCGTTGAGAAAAAACAGACTTTGAGCGGTGAGGATGCCGTGTTCGCGCATCCCGGCAAATGTCCGCAGATGTTTATAATGAAATTTCTCTGGGGGCTCGGAGCTGAAAAGGACAATTTGGCAGCCCTGATTCCCTCTAATATAAGGGTAGCAATGAAGCGACAAAAAAAAGATCTATTGGGAGGCGTGGCGATCGTTGGCACCGATAAACTCGACGAATGGCAAAAGTGGGCGTGGTGGCGTCGATGATTTTCGGTGTCGTTCACACCAAATGATACGCAATGGTCTTTACACTTTTCATCTGCCGACATTCTAGCGGGCTGTTTGGGGGGGGGGGTTACGAAGAATCTAATAATAGGAGAAACCGAATCGAAAACCGAGAATCTGCAAACAAATATGTGATTTTTTTTGTGTTGAATTGACGCGTGTCAATATTGGGCCGAAATGACGCAATTCTCAAACGCCGACTCCACGTGGTTGCCATTGAAAGCCGAATATCGAAAACGATCTGCGGACAATTCGGTTTGCGGCTTCAAATTTCAAAAATTCCCCTTTTTTCAGGACCCAACATGTCCGAACATGGTTTTCTTCTTCAAAACGAGAACATTCTCAAAATCGAACTCTACTTTCTATTCAATTCCTTTGCCCAACCCGAAAATTGTCCGCAGCTAATATATTTTTATATCAACCATAATTGAGTGGAAATTTTTTGAGTAATTGGTTGAAATTTTTTATTAAAAAAAATCGCTTCGCAATATGTTTCCAACTGTCCGCAGATGAATTATATGGATTTTTTGAATTCTCCGCATTTTCAGCAGAACAATTTTGAGTTTTTGAAAATGAAAATAAAGAATAATGCAATTTAAAAATATGAAAATTGTCGAAAGACAGCTCCGCGTATTCTGTAAAAATTTCAGATCAATCGGCAAAGTTTGAAAAAAAATTTTTGGCCGAAAATGCGGTTTCGGGTAGAATTGCGACCAGCAGAAACAAATATCAGCGCCGATGGATGTTTGAACCATCACCGTCGATATTCTTCCGATCGTGCCGATCTGTACCGCGTCGATTCATCAAACTTATCTCGGCGGCTCATCTCATCTGAAAACTCGCGAGCGCGACAATTTGTCAATTCGTGTCGACGACTTTTCCTACAGTGTAATGCATCACACACGGTTTATTTTTGGGGGCGCGAGACACCAAAAAAAAATAATTAATTGACGGGATGGCGATGTTGCCGATTAGAATCGCGAGAATCGGCCGCCGGTCGAAAATCAAAAGAGCGTTTGAAGCGGCTTCCTCGTTTAGTCGACCCACACGAAAGCAGGCTCGTTTAATTTTGAATTTCCGCTTTTTTTATGGTACGCAAACATCGGCACGCACAAATTGCGGACTTTCAATACTCAAATGTCTGCGCTGCCTTTAGACAGGTCTTTGGCCTCACGAACAACTAAAATCGTCACTCAAAAAATTTGGATCGCGTCGAGACCCAACACCAAAAACTCAGCCGCCATGTGCACAAATCAACATTTATTTTTGCAAACGCGTCCCACGGACCAGACAAACAAAATAATAATAATAATAATAATAGTAATAATAAAAATGATAAGTAGAAACATTCAAATAAAAGTTACACCGTTCGTGTTTGGAGTATGAATTGAATTGTAGTCGAAATCTGAGAAAGGTGCGGGATTCTGGCATATTCAGTGGGAGAGGAGAAAGAGTTCACATAACATTTCGCGAATTGGGACCCGTTTCGCTCAACTATATGTCGTTTTAAAACATACCAATTACATATTATTATTATAGTACACGGAATTATGAACAGGGAATGGTAAGGGGAAAAAAGGGCGGGGGGAAGGGAGGGGGTGTGGGTGGGAAGGACATATACAGATGACACTTTTCAGCGATACTTCTGAAGTCGTTTGAATCGCTTCGAATAGTTATATTTGAGTTGGCGCCAGCGTTTCGTGAAGAACTTCTTCATTTGAATTCCGGCTTGTCCAACCGCCGACTCATCCACATTGAACGTCCGACAATTGAACAGCATCAACTCGATGTCCGACGCGAACTCGTCGGGCGTCTCATACGCGTACGACTCATTCTTACTACGAATCATCGACAAATCAATAGGCTTCTGGATGATCTGCTTGTAGCCGGGCACCGCTTTCAAATCGACCGGCTCCAAGAACGGACCAACGAACGGTTGAGCTTCGAGCTCATCGAGCATCGCCTTGCACAAATCATGATTCATCTCCAACGGCAGATGCAGTTGAACCGGCTCGTTGATTTTACGCTTCACCGCGACTCTCTTCTCGCCGGAGCTCGACGAGCCGTTCACAACGTTCGTCGTCGACGACGTCGGCGTTGTAGCGTTCGATCTCAATAGCGGTTTGTTGCTCTCCATCTGCTGTTGTAGCTGAAGCTGCTGCTGCTGATGCTCACCTTCCGCCTCCTCAATCTCGCGCTCCTCACTCTCATCGCGGAACATGACACGTTTAGCAAACCGGATTGTCTGAAATCGAATTGTTAATTCGAGAAAACTCCAGAATCACAACCTTAACATCAACACAATGCGGACAAATGAACTTTTCTGGATCATAGTGCTCCTTGGCCGACTTTTCCTCGACCGTACAATCATAATGCATATGGTAGGCGCATCGTTGGCACGTGATCAGCGTTCCATTCTCCTTACAGCAGAACATACACAAATTTCGACCGGTGCGCTGTTCACGGCAACGCGGGCAATACCAATCGCCGCTAGGCACTTTCGTCATGGCGGGCTGCAAGAAAAAAAAATGAAGAATCAGATAACGATCTAGGTTGGAAAAAAATTCAAATATTCGAAGAAAAAAAGCGAGACAGTGTGAAGCAATTACAAAAATTAAAAAAAAAAGATTTTCTCAGAAAACCTCGTGTAAAAATTTAAAATGTTTCAAAAATTCGTCTCAAATCGAAAATTTCAGCGTCGAAATCAACCCGATCATTGTGGGCAAAATTTTAGCGAAAAAAATACGAGTTAAAAGGTCAAACTTATGAATTAATTTCACAAAAATGAGCTTTTTCAATAAAATTTTACGCTGGAGATATTACGAGAAAAAAACAGTGATAATCGGCAGTAAATCTACACAGGGCGCTCCCTTTTTTGGCAATAGTATTATTTTGAGAAAAACTAACAAATTTCAATATTTTTGAGGGGAAAAAGATTCCGCGATTAAACAAAAATGTTCTCACCCTGAAGCATTCCATATGGCATCCATTGTCGCATCCATCGCACACCAACATCTCATCGCCGTCCATCGATTTGCAAATTTGGCATAATGCTTCACGCGGTGTGCGCTCCCACGCGATCATCGCCTCAAGCACCTAGAAATCGGCTCATTGAGCATATATGGGCACAAATCGCAATCGGTCACCTGCAATCCGACCATCAACTGGCTCGTCGTCGAAGCCTCCTCGAGCACATAGCGCCTCCATTCCGCCATTTTTTCCGGCTCCTTCTCAACGCCGTCGTCGCCGATACGCGAAGCGAACGCCGGCCGCCAGAATTTCGGCACAACCCATTTCGCCGTCTCCACAATTCTCGAGCGCACTTGAGCTTCTTCCAAATCGACGTCTCGCTCATTCTCGTCGTCATACGTCTTCCAAGCAATGTCTAAATAGGTAATTCAATTTAAGAGAAAAATAGTTTTTAAAAAAAAAGTCCTACCATCACGAACAACTTGCGCCAAAGCCATATGAGTCGGCGTCACCGTCGGCTTGCCTTTTCCATTGTCCGAGTATTCAGGTATCACAACATCCGACATTCTCATTCGACGGCGCAACTTTTCAATGGCTTCATCAATACGTTTCAGCGATTGTCTATCAAGAACCTCATGTTGAAGCTTTGATTCCACAGGTTCCAGGGTTACTGTAATCATACTTTGAAAACATTTAAGATATTCAATAAATCTTACTCTTTCCCAATTTGATGTCATTCAGGAACCACGGCTTGCAGAGAAGTCGATGAAGGCATCTTTCACGCATTCCTCGTCCGTGCAGCGACGTCTTCAGATGCTCGATTGATTCCTTAGAATCCAGCGTCCACCATCCTCTCTTCATATGGTTATCAATTCGGCGGTATCGACGCCTTTGCTTCTTATCCGCTTTGGCTCGATTCAGGATGATGGTATCGACAAGATCCTCAACGCACGCCAAAACGTCCTCGTCAATCCTGATCGTCGAATCTTTGGGCGCTTCAAGTGGTGCGGGATCTTTCGCACAAACCTCGAACACGTTGCATGCCGGATTATTTCGCGCCGCGCTCTCGATCGATTCAATAAGAACCGTCGGCGTATGGGCGAGAAGCCAATATTGTCGATGGAAGCGATCCAATCCAAACGGGAACGATCGAACCCTCAACGACGTCTCATGGATTTTCCGATTGATCTGTTGCGCTTCCGCATGAAGTTCGGCAATGCAAGATTCCATTTCTTCCACACTCATCGCCTCCTCTTCCGCTGTCAACACTTCGCACTGGCCAAGCCCCGGCGTGAACTTCTTCGCAAGCCCCGCCGTCGGTACCTGATGCTTCTGCGGTGTCGTGGAATGCGCGTGGGCTTGCGCCGGCGTCGTCGGCCTCGATCCATCCGAATCACTTCCGTCGACATTCGGCTGAGCCGACGAGCCGGCATTCTGCTTCTTCTGCTGCATCGTTTTCAGCGTTCGCGCTTTGCCTTCGCGAAGCCATTTCTCGCCACGCAATCGTCCCATCTCATCAAGATTTCGGTCAATCTCGCGAATCACGTTCGGCGACGCGAGAAGCTCATCGCAAAGATACGCCAGTATCGCCGCCTTCTCCTCGCCTCGAAGTTTCTCGTAAATCGTGGCATCGAGAAGCTCAGATAGCTAGAAAAAAAAACGAATCGCAATCCATTTTCAAACATCAAATCGTTACCTTTTGGCCTTTTTTGTCCTTGCCCGCTAGAAATAATCTCAAAACCTCGCTGAAATTGTCGCGATCAATTCCCAATTCACCGGCGCCTTGACCGAAACGCGTTTCGCTTCTCGGCGTCGACGCCATCCCGGGATGTTCCAACGCCAAACAAAACAGCTTCTGACTCAAATGCAGGACGGCGTCCGCATGCTTCTCATCGCCAGCGAGACCCGCGCAAAGCACTTCAAGTGGCGGAATTTGTGACAAATCTAAATATGCGAATGAGAATGCCCCGGAAAACACACATACACACACAAAAATAGGTGCAAAACAAAAATTACCAATTTGAAGAGCCGCATAGAAATTGTGAAGAAATTCGTGAATCATTACAGCGTCACCGAATCCCACCGAATCGAGGCACTGATTCCCAATTCTCGGCAAATCGGGAAGCGGCTAAACAATTGACGCGTTTTTTTTTGCAGTTTTCTATTGGGAACAGTAGAAACTTACTCGTATTTCATGAACTAGAAGATCATCGCCGGGCTCTCTCGACTTGTGCTCTTCTCCATTGGGTCCGAACGTTGTGACAACCGTCTCATCAATATAATCATCATTTAAATTGTCAAGAATCTGAAACAAAAAAAATTGAAATTCATTCGTTTCCGTCAAAACGCCAAAATCGCCTCTCATACTTCTTCGGGAGACGCGGCTCTCGACTGCTCCTCTCTCGCCGCTTCCGTGCTGCTACTCGACGGCGAGACGCCCGACGAGCTCGCCGCATTATTCGTCGCCATTACCAATTTCGGCGGCGCTTTCAACGCGATGAGTCGCGCCAGCTCTTTATTGACCTCCTCCTCGCTCATCACGACGAACTCTTTCGACGCATCATCGCCGTCCGACGACTCTTTGGTTTTCGGCACAATGAACTCGCCAACAATCAGTTTGCTAGTAAACGAGAAGTTGTCGCGATTCAAAAATTTGATGTCGTTCTTCGTGAGATACTAAAAAACAAAAAAAACATTCATTTTCAATTAAAAAAAAATTTGTTTTTGACCTACCCGTTGAACTTCCGTATAAGTGCTCAATTTCTTGCCGCATGGTGCATAATAGCTAACGTCACCACGGACTCCAGAAGCTGTAATGGTCCTCACGCAAGTTTGACGCTTCCATCTGAACATTTCAATTTTTGGTGATTAATGGGAAAAAGTAACTCAGAAAAACCCTATCAGAAACAATTTTTTCAGAATTTTTTTAAAGCTACCCCTAGAATCATTTAAAAAAAAGAATGTATTACCCCAATTGTAACGCCAATCTGACATTAATCTCCGCCATCATCGCCACCTTCTTGCTCTTCGCGGCATCCGTCGAATCAACGGCTTCTTCCATCGCCTTCTGCTTCTGCATCACCTGCTGCTGAATGAGCATCTTAATAATCTGCTCCTGCTGTTTCGTCGCTTTAATGCTCTCCTCCTTCTGCTTCTGCGCTTCACGCAACTTCTTCGTTTGCTCATTCTGCAATTGCTGGTGCTGGATCATTTGCGCGGCGACCAATTGCCACATCGCCGCGTCGATCGTATTCTTAGCGGCTCCCGACGACGTCGACGCCGTTGACGTCGACGGTTGTTGTTGTTGTTGCTGCTGCTGCTTGACAACCTCTCCAGGCTCTTTGGACTTGCTCGTTTTCGTCGCCGCACCTTTATTGCTAGCCGCCATCGCCTTCTGCATCATCTTCTTGAGCATCTCCTCCATGTTCGGCTGCTTGGCAGCGGCTGCCATCTGCTGCAGCATTTGCGCCTGCATCATATTCTGCCAAAACATCATCGCCTCCGGGGTTATCGTGACTGGTTGCTGAGCTTGTTGCTGCGAGCTTGCCGCCCGTAAGCTCGAGTTCGCCAACGAATTCAGCTGCGACATGGCGGCCGCCATCTGCGCCAACTGATTCGCGTTGCCGTTCTGCGCGCGTCGCCTACAAAATTGTCATTACAACAACAACAACAACAAAAAATGATTGTATTACCCATTGGTGCCATTCGATTGCTGCTGCTGCTGCTGCTGCTGCTGCTGCTGCTGCTGCTGCTGCTGCTGTTGTTGCTGCTGTTGCTGCTTCTGAAGATTCTGCTGAAGTTGCTGTTGTTGCTGAACAGCAGCGAGCATCATCAAAAACGCATTGTTCTGATTGGACATGTCTTCAACGCATTTGGTCTGCAAACAAACAAATCATACGATTTAATATTGTGTGGGGCGTGGCGTCGAGTTGAAATCAAATGAGAAACGCGAGAATCGAGCACGCCGGCGAACATCGGCAAATGAGTGACCTCAATCGATTTCTTTTCATACGGCGTGATCAGCACACAACACCTAGGCCAAGTCAGGCCCAAAAACCGTGGCGGCGCGCAGCAGCACGTTGTTAGGTTGGTTGGTTGGTTGGTTTTTCGGTGTGTGTGTGTGTGAGTGTGTGGAGGGGGGGGGGTTGGTTGGTTGGTGAGGGGCTGTTTCTTGATTGACACATCTGCCGCTTTTCGGTTTCTCGCGCAAGCCAAGCCAAGCCACCACGATCGTCCGAACGCGAACGCCTTGAGATTTCAGTCATGAAATCACCATCAACAACAACAACAACAACAACAACTGCGACCGCAATTAGAAGAAGAAAAGAAGAAGAAGAGAGAAATGTGGCGCTGCAAAAACAAAAAAAGAGTCATTTTTTTTTTGGCTCGATGGCCACACCGAGTGAAAAGAGATTAAGCGCCTTGCCTAGTTCGGCCTGTACGGTCTGGGTAAACAACCGGTTTTGGGGCGAATGCTCATTGCCAAGGCTACTCGGCCAAAGTTCAGGAGTGATTCTTATCATATATGCACGACAACGAAAATAATACAAATTGGAAATATAATTCGGCGGGCGCCGGCCGGCCGGCCAGCGATGTGCAATTATGTCAATGAGTCATTATTGGCGGCAGGTGCCTGAAAATGGACGTAAAAAATCCGGGAAAAAGCACGCCTTCGATGGTGGCGAGTGCGACATCGAGTGATGACATCGCCGCCAACAACTACTGCTGCTGCGGCGGCGGTGGCCGCCACATACACACACACACACTCACTTACACACACACACACGCACACCAGGACGGCTGTCCCCCCGGCCGCTTATTCTGGGTAGGAAACGCTGCGTATCTATTTCCTCAACGCTATTCGCTCATGTTTCGTGTCCCGCGATATATATATTCTACCAATCCTCGCGCGGGCGAGAGCGCGCCTCCTCCCCGCTCTTCTTCACAACATATTTTTGGAAGAAGAGGATAATGATGATGACGGCGTCCCTGGACATGGGTGGGGGACCTGGCTTGGGGGTACTGACTGACTCACTGACTTGCGACAGGGTCGAGAAAACGAAAACGAACACATAAACACGCACACACACACGCGCGCGCGCGCATCCATTCAAAACCAAGTGGCGGGATGGGGGGACGGAGGAAGAGAGGAGTAATAATCCTTGCTGACTATATCTAACGGGATCTCTTCTTTCTTCTTCTTCTTCTTCACGTTGTGTGTGTGTGTGTATTTTTGCCTTTGGTCGCGCTCCTCCGCTGAGCTGCAGCTGCTGGCTGAATGGCGCTGTCCCGTTTTCTAGTCTTAAGGTCATTTTGTCGGAGGCCCCCCTCTCCGGGCGGGGCTAGTATGTATGTATGTATGTGAGCGTGTGTGTGTGTGTGTGTATGTGCGTGCCCCGCTTTTTTTTTTCGGCCTCCGTCGTCTTCGTCGTCGTCGTTTGCGGCGGCGGCGGTGGCGCGTTGTTGTGTTGTCGATGGCGCGTTGTTGTGGCGGCTCGTTCGGCTATCGTTCGACGCCGCGTGATGAGCTCGACACGATTCTCGGCATCCCATGGCGCCAATCGGCGTCGGTGAGACGTGGGATGCAAGAAACCAATTTTAACAATGCATCATACCCAATAATTAGAAAATATTCGCGGATGATCATTAGAAAATATTCTCTCTTTGGTGGTAATTGGCTGACAATATCATGACACACTAAAAATGTCCCAAGAGGCGAATGAAAAGTAGAAATTAAAGATTCAAGTAGAGAAATTCGTCTAAAGAGCGTAATTTTCAAAAAAAAAATGAAAAATAGAAAGGTGTAGGAAAAACAAAAATATCTACTATTGAAGTCCGGAATTTCTACGATTTCAAATAAGATTTTTAGCGTTTTTGAGAGTAAATAATATAAAAAATCTATTTTAAAACTTTTTTGAAAAATAATTATGGTAATTTGACTCATAGAACACAAATGGAGCCATTTAAGAAATAAGAGGTGTGAGAAAATAGAATGTTTCGTCAAATATGGCGCAATGTGTGCAAACACCGAAAGCTTAAATGTGCACACAACCAAAAGGCTACAGTAGCACATTTTGCATTGTTTTCCGAATTTCTCAATTTCCTTGCTTTTTTTGATGGCGAACGCCATCATTAAAACATCAGACATCGCCGGACAATGTTGAACGCCGATGAAACTCATTCCCACGAATTTCATTCCGCTCCAATTGGTGAAAACAAGTTGCAAGCCGAAGCGGTGTGGGAGGCGTATGCGGCTGACTCATGCGACGAATTCCACCACCACGCCGGTCTTCAGAATCGCATTAGAAATTCCTGAGACCTTCTCACCAATTCCGACAAAAAAAAACGAACCGAGACGGGGGAGGCCGTGTCGAGAGCCGACGACGGCGGTGACAATTGTGTCCCGACGAAAAGCAACACACACACACACACGAAAAAAAAATGCGCGGCGGCGACGACGGCGTCGGCGGCTGACGGACACGAAAAAAAAAATGCAAAAGAAGCGAGTAGCGAAAAAAAGGAAGGAATGTGGAGCTACGAGCCGTGCCGCGCATTTATACACGTTTTTGTGCCAGCTTTTCATTTCGGCGGCGACGATGGCTGCCTCTGAGTGTGTATATACATATATGTGTATGTGTGTGGGTGTGGATGTATATATGGGCACCACCGGTGGCCACACGGTGTCGTTCAGCCGGGTGCCGAGAATGAGAATCGAGAAGATGGTGACAAAAGAAAATAGGAAGATAAAACTCGAAAAAGACAATTTTCGCGTTGATGGTGGCAATGATGATGGCGGCGGCGGCGGCGTGTGGCAACAACTAATGGCTCCAAGTGTATGCATGTGTGTGTGAGTGTGTGCGTATGTATGTATGTATGTGTGCCTCGAAGGCGGCCAGGCCCAGCTTTTCGTTGTCGTCACGCCGATCTTCAGACGGAGGGAAAACAATCCCAAAAAGCCGCCAAGAATATTCGAATTCATCTTAGGGGGGGGGCGTCCAGAGGGGTTGGCGCCGCATGATGTTTGATGAATGTGGCTCATTGGTGAAAAGCATAATTTTGAGAGGAAGCCCTCTAAAAAATTAAAAATTGAGAAAACAATTCAATTAGAAATATCGGGTGTCGTTTTGGCGTACATTGCACCTTTTTTTTTTAAATTCCCTCCCAGATGGTCGCCATTTTTCAATGCTTGAAATATAGAAAAAAATTATGACCGTAGCCACTCGAAAACAGGAATCGTGCAATATTACGTTCGGTGTTTGCGTCCCTTGAATTAATGCCATGAGAAGTAAAAGACAAGTGAATGAGAAAAATCGAAAAAAAATAATTATCCAATTTCTTTTTAATAAATTCTTGATTCCTCTCAAAAAGCGCGGCTGCCGTAGTTATTCAATGTCGCCAGACGCGTTGCGGTTCGCGTGGTCTGCCGTTTATTATTCCAAAGTTTTTTTTTTAATAGAAATGTGAACCGCAACGCATCTAACCTAGAAGGTCTTGCAGAAAAAATCTGCTAGTTTTTTTTGAAAAACGCACTAGTGCAATATCGCGTTCGGTGTTTACACCAAAAATTCGAAAATAAATCCGCCATTTTACGATGCCGGCGACCGCAACCAATATCGCATAACCCGTGTGAAAAATGGTCATTCATGCCGGCAACACCGCACAAAAATCCAAAATAACAGCTACAAAAAAGGAAATTGGCAGGAAATTGCGTTCATAATTTTCTGAAGCAAAAAAAAAAAACAAGTGTCGTCAAACTACAACTCAATCATCTGCACGCAATACGTTTATTCTTTTCCCCACAGAAAAACGGAAACAAGAAAAAATGAAATAATAAATAAATATCACAGGATGGGGGGACAAGAACGCGGACGAAACCAATTACGAGTGCGCAACTGTGAAATAAATGATCGACGCAATCAGGCCGATTATAATGGCAATCGTTATCAACAGGGTTCGCGTAGTGCAGCAAGTGTCCGCCGATGGGTCATACTCGACATACTTCAAATCTTCGATCGGCTGCCGAATCGCGTCCATTTCCTCGGGGGTCAACGCGCGCTCCCAACCATCATCGACGTGTTCTGAACAAATTTTGCTTGCTTATTCAAGGAACACAATTTTCTTATCAATACTAACCGATACTGGTCTGCAGGTCCATCATGTCATCAAAATTCTTTTGCGCGTCCTCCACACTATCAGCCTCGAAGAGGAAATCATTGAGAAGAATCGATGGTTGCGAATAGAGCACTGTGGTGCATGGCCGTGGAAGTTGGTGGACTGACGGGGATGACGATGGATTCACCTCTTCCACAACTTCCATAGATTCATAATGGAGTTCTGAAGAATGGGTTTCGGGTTTCTTTCGACGCGAATTTCATTGAAAATTACCCGCTCGTGAGCACAAATTTCTAATTAGATGGTGTTTCAGTGCCCGTTTCGCGTCCTTCACGTTTGTGCGGATTGGGACAGCAGCGCGCAGCTAAATTCGACCAGCTTATTGCAATTTTACTTCAATCATTCGGAATTTTAAACCTCAATGTCAAACATGACTTCGTGCAAGTTCGACGCAACCTCCTCTGTGGCTTGATTTGATCGATTATCTGAAATTGGGTGCAATGCGCCTTTCAACCAACAAAAAAAAATCAAATGTCTTACAAAGAGGGTTCAAGAACAATTGCGCTTCCACCGTTGACTTTTTATTCTTCTTCAAATCCTTGATAAGGGGCTCGTTGTCGTCGCGGACGACGCCGTCAAGAAGCATCTACAATTGATTTCATTTGTTTCATTTAAAAATTCTAATTGCCTACCAAATCGCAGGTGAAGAAATTGGTGGCAAATTGGCGTATGGTGGCGACAAAATCGCGATAAAAGTCGGGATTCTTCTCGTCTTTCAAAGGAACATTGAAGACAACGCGAGCTGATGCATTCGAAACTAATGAGATCCATTCAAGCTGAAAGTGGAAAACCGTGAGAATGCGCGAAGACGTTGTTACCTTTTGAAAGTTGATTTTCGCCGCGGTTTCGGCGCCGCGATTCAAGAAATCCATAAGATATCCTTCTGGTTTGGTGCCAGGCGTCTCGTAAAAGACAGTTACCTGAAAAAAAAATTTTAGTTCACGAAAATTCGAGCGTTCTTGGTACCATTTGCTCGGAAATGCTTCCATCAAGGCCCATTGTGGTGAGCGAGTTGTTCATTTTTTGAACTCGCGCCATTGTTTTCCTAATAGAATTGCGTCTTGCGTCGAATTCGGCTCGCGATGAGAACCAAGCAATTCCTTAAGCGAACCATTTTTCGCCGACTTAACAAAAAATACCGATAATGTGAATTCCGCCCGGTAGGATGCGCAAAAGACGCTCGGCATTGTCGGACATCCATTCGTCATCGAGAAGTTTCGACTTCTCATCGGCATCCTGGAACGTAGTATTAATCATTGAGCTTTTCGATATAAAGATTCAAACCTCAGCCAACGCGCTCATGTGCATTGGGCATTTCGAGGCATGCGCGACATGAATATCGCCGTCGGATGAGAACGAGCCTAAAATGGGCGCACAATATGCAAAATCGATAATAAATTCGAATACCTATTAAGAAATAAGCCGACGCCGGAATTTTCTTCTCTGTCTCCACGAACACGTGATTCTTGGCACTCTTCTGCACCCATTCGTCGAGTTGCTGATCCAACAGAATCATCGATTCTGTAACGACTATAGCCAATGACGACGTCATTGTGTACGCGGCGGGTTGGCGTTGTGCAGGTTGAATATAGCGGCAGAGAGCGTGAAATGAGTATTGAGAAAACGCAGCCGATAAGCGGTTGCTATGGATGCGAAAAGAATGTGGTAATCATTACCTGACTGGATTAGAAAACGAGGAATCAACGCGTTAGTATTACTATTAAGCTTTTGAGGTTAACGGTATGGACGTACATGGAAAAATAAAGGAAACCACTAATTTTTCAGAAAATAATTGAAAATTGATTACTGTAGTCGGGAAACTGTGCATCGGTAAGCGCTAGATGTTCACGTATTGCGCAGAAATTGACGCCAATTATTTTAAATTTCTTTTTTTTTTCAAAAAAAACTTTATCATCGGCCAAAAAAACGAGCGATTTGCATAGCGGTTATTCAAATTTGAATTTAAACAGTGGGTATTCGAATACTGTATTCTGGTTAACCGGCGAAGCTAATTCACCGTAAATCGACGCAGTGTTTTTTTACGAATGTAAAATCTAGACGTTTATTATAACGTTTCTGCGCAAGGTGGAAAATAATTGCATTTGGGGCAACCTGAAATTTTACTATATGGTTGTCAATGGTAACGAAATAGCTCATTTTTGGAATATTTTAAGCGTCGAAGCAAAAAAAAAATTGCAAAAAAATTTAATAGCTTCCATTTGTCACCGCGGCCGCGTGATTGCGATACGATTTAAATTCGGTCACGGCCATGAGAAAATTGTGGTTTTTTTCTTGCATATCTTTCTTGTATACAAATGACATTTTTCCCAAATAACTTTATTACCAAATAGGAGTAATCGTCAAATAATGGCTACAAGACCAATTTTACAAAAAAAAACGAGAAGTGACGAGAAAGCTAAAATCGATTTTTGATAGATATAGATTCTCAATTATCACAAATCATTTAAATTGTTTTAAATGAAACGTTTGAAAGAGGGAATAACATCGCGGAATGTTCTTTTTTTAAACTCTATACATGCTCAATTTTCAGACGAACAAAAGCCAAAAGATGAAAATAAAGGCGAGATATTTGAAAATGTTATTCAGATGCTCCTCTTCTTCGAGTTGTCGCGAGCCGGGACGCGGCGCGTCCGGACGACGCTCAGCCGGCGGATTGAACCAGGTCGCCAAGAACGACAACGGGAATATTCCAATGCCGAACGAGAAGTGAACACCGCCACCACCATCAGCTCCGCCCCATTGGAATCCCGGGAATGATGTCTTTAAAACAACAAAAATATTCATGAAACAGCCCGCTTCGACAATTTCATACCGGCGGCGCTTCGGATCGTTGCCCCTTCGGTCGCGGCGGGACCTTCTGCCTCGGATCCGCCGAATCGCCGCTCTTCCCGTATATCGGCACCACCTTCTCGGCGCTGATGCTGCTCTTGCAAACCGGACACAACGGATGATTCGGCTTCATGTCGATCCATTGCGAGAGGCACGGCCAACAGAATAGATGGCCACACATCGAAACGACGGGATCCTTCGCCGAATCGAGACAAATGTTGCACTCAAATCTGAAAATTGTTTTCATGCAATTGTCGAAGTCGCACAATTGCCGAAAACTGGCTAAACGCCGAAAAACTAAAGCAGTGGTCTTGGCGCAAAACTAAGTGTAGATTTACGGGACCCAAGTTTAGGATAGGTTGAAGGGGCACATCTCGCGCTAAGACCTTTATCTACATTTTTGGCATTTAGCCAATTTTCCGCATATTAACAAGAAAATATTTTTTAAATTCAATTTTCTAAACTTTAAAATTATCTATATATTTTTTTTTGTATATCGTTAGATAATTATGCTGTAATTAAATCCCAACCTTCCATCATCTTCCTTCTTCTCATTAGAGCTGCTCGCTCCCCCATTCGGAGGTGCAGCACTCTGGCTAACATTCATCTGAAATTGAAATTCTAAAACCGAAATGAGAAAAAAAACGGTAAAACTCTGGATAGGTTTGACCAGAAAATGCAAATAAAACAAAATCTCGAATAATAATTAAATAATTATTTTTAAAGAATCGACAATAAATAAATAACAATAAAAATCAATTTTACAGCGGCGGTACCACCATTCTCGATTCCTTTCGCTCAAGATATCGCTGCCTCATCGCCTCAATCTCCTCGGGACCATTCCTCTGCTTCAAAATCGCCTTGAGGCCCTTCAAACGTTCAGCGCGATCAATTTTCTTCGGTTTCAGCTTTTCCTTTAGCGACAGCTGAAATCATCAAGGGTTTTTTAAAAGCACACCAACAACGAACTGATTCCAACCTTTCGAATATCCCTTGAATTCGGCTTCACATCCTCGTCCTCTTCCTCCTTTTTCACCTCGCGCGACCTTCCCCGATCACGTCGATTTCTGAAAAAAAAAGATTAGTTAGAAGATTTTTGTATTTCAAAAAGAAAAAATCTCATTTTTAGCCAATTTTTGAAGGACTCGTGATAAACCGAAAATCGCCTAACGCCTGCGCTCTCTCCAAACCACACACTATCTCGCAACAGGTAAGAGATATAATTGAATCATATTTTGAATGTGACGAAACGCCGAAAAACAGAAGAAATGATTGTTTCAGGTTGTCAGATAAACATTTAATTAAAAATTGCCCCAAAAAAAACACGAAAATCTTTGATTTTCAGAATCTCTTTTTAATTTGCATTCGCAATTTCTATTAAATGGGAAAACAGCTGAAAATTTACAATTCAGCGGTCAGAAAATTTCGACGAAAAAGCCTATCACACACAATGCTCCTTTAAACCAAAAATTAAAGGGACATTGCGTCGAACCGCAACGTCATGCGCCTTTAAATAGAAACCATTCGAACCTTTCCGACGATCGGCTTCTCCTCCGCCTCCCCACTCCTTCATCATCCGACGATGGCGGCGTCGGCGTGAAATTCCTCTGAATCCTCTCCGCCTTCGTCGTTGCCTTCTTGACGACCTTATTCAATCCCGGCTTGAGGTCCCCTTCGAAATTCTTCGCCGGCGGCCCATTGTCCTCCTCATCATCTGAATAGATCGACTTCTTCTTCGTCTCGACGTCATCCGCCTTCGTCTCATCGCCCTCATCGTTCTCCGACGTCTTTCGCGCCCTCAGATTCGTCTTCTCTTTTTTGCGCTGCATGATTTGTGTGGGATCTCTCGAAATATCATTAAGAAGGGTCCGACCGATTCCAACTTCCCAAAGCTTCTGCTTCTGTACACTGGTCATGTCTGTTTTGAAAATAATTCTAGAATAAATTCCTTTCAGAATCGGTTTACCATTAAACAACGCCTCCTCGGCCTCAATTTCTCGAAACTTCTTCACTTCCTCTTGCTGCTTACGGTAGGCTCCCGTCACGAAGACCTCCTTATCCGCAAATTCGTCGCCCTCCTTCTCCCGCTCTCTCAACTGCTGCCTCTCTTCGCGACTAAAATTCTCCAATTGTCGGCGAGCGTGCGCCTAAAACCAATTTATCCATAATTATCAAAAATTATTTGTAGGCAGCCAAAAAAATTTACCTTTATAATTGCCGCCGCATATTTCGACTCCCGCTTCTGATCAGCTTGCTTCTGCTCTTCTTTCTAAACATCATTTAATTGTCATAATTGCCCATTAATTATCAAAACCTTCTCATTTTTAATTGCCTGAATCTCGTCATAACTCGCGTCATAGTCAAAAATTGACGGATCTTCGGCTTGCGCTTTTTGATGCTCGCGTTCGGCGGCCTTCTGAACCCGAATCACCGACGCCGACGCTTTATTAGTCGATGTTGGCGCCTAAATTCTCAACACACTTCCTTAATTACTATTAAATAGTTGATTACCGTTGTAGAATCGTCGTCATCGTCATCCTCGAACACCGACGGCCGTGGGATTTTCTTCAAAACCGGCTCCATCCGATCCTTTTTCAATACGAGACCATATTTTCTGAAAAAAAAAACAAAAGATTCGGCGATCTAACATTTCAATTAAAAAAACTCACTTTTTTGCTGCTTCCATACTTTTTGAGGAGATTGCTAAAAACCAAAATATTCATTGAAAATTTAGAGAAACCCATAAAATAGCGAAAATGGTTTGAAAACCATTAAAAAGAAAAAAAATAGTTTTAAAAAATACATTTCATTCTGAAAAAGAATAGACGAGACAAAAAGCAAAAAAGGAAACCCGGATCCCAGTAGATTGGCAAAAAATTGAATAAATTAAATTCAAATATAATTATTCAAGTCCTAGGAAATTGTTAAGGCCTTGGACAAATGTGATGATTAATGGCTGCCAGCACACCAAATATCGAATCCAGTCCAATAATTTTCCGTAGAAAATGTGCGGTTTTTCCCATCTGAGCATGATTTTTCATTAATTTTCTTGGGAAAAATGCAAGCGACTTACGGATTCCTAAACATTCTTTGAAGGTCGACTTTTTCCTTGCAGTAGGGGCACGTTTGACTTTTACCGACAACGACCCAACCTCGAATGCAAAACTCGTGGAACACGTGGCCGCATGTTAATCTGGAAATTGAAACCTCTTCAAGATTCTGTCAACAACTCCTTATTGTGAATTTTGAAGAAATGACTGTGTGGCCAAAAATAAATTTTCGAGAAACAACTGAAGGAAATAAACGATTTGTACAATTTCATAGTGGCCCATTAATAGAAAAATTTTCAATCTAAATCAAAGTTTTTTTGCGAAAAAAAATTTTTGACAGAAATTTTCAACAATCGTGGACCATCGCAGATTTTTTTGCGGGCGGTAATTCAACTTTCGAGTTGAACAGCATGGAATTCGGGTACCGTACTACGGATAACCGACAAATAAAAGTAATGGGCCGAATGAGGCTCATTTTTTGTGGACAATTCACGTTCATCGATAAAACCCAAGGAATAATCCTACAATAATATGATGGTCGAGTTCCGATGCGAAAATCCAAAAAAAATAGATTTTTTAAGTTTTTCTCCGTTTTATTATCCAAAAAAACAATTACTTACTTGTAAGTCTTCTCATTTTGTAATCCTACATCATCATCATCATCTTCATCAGGATTCTTCAACAAGCTCGTTCGTGACGGATCGCAATTCCTCGCTTTTGCCAAATTGAGTCGATTATCACAAACCGCGCACACATTCTCCTCCAGATGCTTTTTGGGTAGTCCGACCTCAGTGTAATACTGCAATAATAATCCGATACAATTTGGAATGTGCTGAAATGAGTTACCCCAATTTTGGCGGCCATTCTGTCTGTACATATATGAGCAAAATCGCGACCGAGAACACCGTAATAGAGCCCGTAGTATAGAATGAGAATACCTATAAATTGTAATTTGAACCAAAATTTTAAAATTGTCAAAATTAGCTAAAAAGGAACTGCTTTTCGAATTTAAAAAAATATTTTTTTTCTTGTTTTTATTTGCGCTAAAAAATTTTATATTCTCAAAAAATGTGCACATTTTGAAATAAAAACCGAATCCTCACAATAATTGTGCTACTGTTCTTTTTTTCAATTCATCCTTTCCAACAGACAACAATAATTTGAATAATTGAAAAAAAAAACGATATTTTTCAGCCTTTGGTGTATAAAAAGGTTTTTTTTTTTAAATTTCAAGCCAATTAACCTGCATCCATGCACGTATTCTGCTTGATTCCGAATACGTAATTAAATCCGAGTAATGCGAACATCATTATCAAATATCCAATAATGCCAAGAACATAGCTAAGCTTGTGAAGTAGAAGGAAATATTTGTACACAAATCTTGGCGTGTCGCCAGTAATTTGACTCGATGAAGCGCGGAACCAAATCATTGCCGAAAAAAATGTGAAAGATGCCCATGTGACAAGGAATCGGTACCATGAGCGAGTGGCGCACACGTACACGGGAATCAGCCACATTCCGATTAAGGTGCAAAACTAGAAAATGCCAAAAAATTACATATCCAATCTTCATCATTTTACCTGATATGATTTGAAATGCCGCCGTTTCCATTGCACTAGAAATATTTGGCCGACAATAAGGGTTACCACAAGAATGAGCATCATTTCAAGGTGCATTGAATCATGGCCCCTATGTAGCTCATGCATTTTTTGATGCTCGATTTGCCATTGCTCTTCCTCGGTTAGCTCGCGTGGTGCCTTATGAAATCCCAATAAAAACAATCATTTTTATTTTATTTAAAATACCTCCTTATTCGGATCGATTTCATTTTGCAGATGAATGGCACCACCGTGAGCCATTTTGGCTAGAAATGGACTGAAAAAAAAGTTTTTGATGAGCTAAAACACGAATTGGTGCAATTTGTCGTAAAGTATCGCGTTAATTTAAATGTGTGTGAAATATTTGAAGTCTGGTGTTTTTAATTATTTTTAAAGCTTCAAGAAATGTCAAAAAATCAATAAAGATATAACATTTCTTTCATTTTAAAAACAATATTTCAATATGCATTCGTGAGAAAGTAATGAAAATCAATACGAAGCGGGGCGATGTGGTACACGCGTCGCATTCCTAGATAATTTAATTATGCGAATGATGAGTACTTCGCAGAAAGAGTTGTATATAAAAACTAACGAAATGTTTAGTAACAATAAGAAATAATGCAAAAAAATCTTAAAAATTGATAGCAGGTTGAAAAAAAATTGGAAAGAAATAGAATATCAATAAATTAGGAGGACACGCCGCCGCATTGCAGAAATAGTGTGCCGTCTGCTAAAAAGTGGACACGCCCACATTTTCGAATACATGCGAGCGTTGTAGTGATTTTTAATGTATTTTCTCTCATTTTCTCGTTTATTTCTGATATAAATCGTAAAAATAATGAGTTTTGCAATTTTTTAATTTTGTTTTATGAGAAAAAAAGACGAAATGGGCTTTCAGAATGTCGATGGATAGTTAAAATTTTTTAAGGGTTTTATAGTGTAACAAAATCGTTTTTAATGAATCCGATTAATTGCGCCATACATTTTTTGATTTATTTCTTTTTTTTTCTAGAAATTTTATGGACAACGGGATGGTCGTCTCACAGGTCGCCGTGAATCAGGAACAGCCACTCGATCGCGAGAAGCTTTGCCCAATGCTGCTTCGCGTATTCTGCGCCAACAATCGCCACAATCCGCTCAGCGAGTACAATAATCGAAACGGTGGCTCGGTTCCAGCCAATGAGCTGCAAATGTATACTTGGATGGACTGTTCACTTCGAGAGCTGACTAGTTTAATAAAGGAGGTTAATCCCGATGCTCGTCGGAAGGGAACGACGTTCGAGTTTTCGATTGTCTCGCCGGACAGGAATTCGACGAGATTTATTTCGAGGGACATCGGAAATACGATGAATGGCCAACGAGGAATCGATGACTCAAAAACGGTATACATTCTCTATCTCGAAATTCTTTATTATGTTGTTTCAGCTTCAACAATGCAAATTCGAGGTCGGTGATTACATCGACGTCGCCATTACAATGCCGGGAATGAACCGCTTCCGTGATCGCTTCGAGCGCTCAGATCGCTTCACCAGGCGTCCAAGGAGCCCATTGCGAGCTTAAGACCTTAAAGATCTCTCTTGTTACCGTTTTAAATAATTTATTCGAAATTCCAACAAGAAAAAAACAAACAGTGTCTATTCCTTCTGTATTATTTCAATCGTTTTTTGTTGTTTTCCACGTTTTTACAAACTTTCATCCATTTCTAATAATAAGTAAATGTTTTCGCGAGTGTTGCTATTATTTGTTGTAATCATTTTAAATCGAAATTCTCAAGGAGTCTCGCTGGTTCCGAAATATTTGTTGAATCCAAAGTTGAGCGAGGAGAATATTGCATATTTGGCAAGTGCTTTGAACGAAGAATTGAAGGAGTATCGAGTAAAAATTGAATTCCCAAAAGCTTAATTTTCACCAACATTTTTTTAAAGCCAATTATTAGAAATTCGACATTATTTCTCGATGAATGCACATCGGACGACGATGACGTGGATTTTCCGAAATTTCTATGCGGCGTCGTCTATTTGATGCAAACGAAACCAAATTCGGAGATTTCGGCATTTGAAAAGGTGAAAAAACATTTTTCTCTGAATTCCAAACTCGAAATATTCATTTCTGATTTACTAAATCGTCTGATATTCCCTTTGAGACCACTTTTTTATCAACATTAGTTGGATTTCATTTCGGGATCATTTTAAAGGCGCATGGCTCTAAATCGACTCAAACAAATACAGATTTTGAGGAAAAGATGACCAAGAGTTTCAGAAAAAAAAAAAAGAATTTTAAAACGTTTTCAGAATTTTACTGAATTTCCTTTCCAGACCCTTTTAAAGGCGCATGGTCGTACATCATCTACCAAATAAAAATCGCGCGAAAAAAAACGAAATTCCTATCGAGACTATTTTAAAGACGCATTCAATAAGGCGCAAGGCTTTAGCTGAAAAATTGAAATGTTCTTCAATTCTCTGAAAATTCCCACAAACTTATTTCAGCTATTCGAAAACCGCCTAGAAGCTCTGAAATATTTGCAATCACTTTCCGAAAAGGTAAAATGGTCCAAATTTGCTCCAATTTCAGCCGTGTCGTTTCAGGACCATCTGTGCTCATACATGAACGGAACCGAAGTGACCGCGGTGATTCCCGGCCGAATCTACTACGGCTGCCTGCCAAGTCCAACGACTCTTGCCGAGCAGGTGACGACCTTCCGACATGATCGAACACTATCCAGAATTTTCAGCCAAATTTAAACATCGAGTTCCACTTCATCTTCCTAATCGACCATCCATTCCCACCAATCGATCAATGCTTCTCAAAATTCAACCGTTGCACTCTCAACAACCATTACGTCGACTTCATGCTCGCCATTGAGCACCACCAATGTTGCTGCCAATTCGATATTTGCGCCACACTGATCATCAATCAACCGCTTCCCGTTATCATGTCCACCATCGATTTTCACAACGATAATTATTAATATACTATTTATAAAAAAAACAACAAAAACCAACAAAATTATACATTTTTATTTCTTTCCATCGGAATTCACTTCTTCCTTTCATATGGCCATTTATAGACCGCCGCTTTCATCGGCTTCGCCTTTTTTACTCTAACCGGCTTGAGTTCCGATTTCGAGGATTCTGCTAGATTCTGAAAAAAGTAACATTTAAGTTTTTTTTATTTCTAAAAAATTTAAAGACAAAAAACCAATCTCTAATTCCATTACATCCCCCTATGCACCTTTAAATCTCTATCGTAACCCTAAACATCTCCCACGGACCTTTTTGAGCTCCAACTTATTCACGACAACTTCCAGTTCCTTGGCTCGATTCATTCTCTTCAACAGCTCATTATAACGGCTCCTTCTCAATCGATCAGCTTTCTGCAAAACAAAAGAAGAACAATTCAATTGTCATCCGAATATCTAGAAGAAATGATTCCTACCCGAACATCCTCTTTACTCTTAGCCCCAATGATCTGCTTCTCCTGAAGATCGTCGTTTTTCAGCCTGTTATAGCTTCTGAAGAGCATCGACGTCGTCGTGTTGAAATATTCCCGCGGGTCGAACTTTTTCGCTGAATTTTTTTTATTCTATTTTTACGGCTATTTTTCAGAAATTCCAACCTTCTGCTTCATCGTCCACAAAAATTGTATGGGTATTTTTTGCTGATAAGCACGACGAATCGGCAAAGTGCAATTCCGATTTCATTTCCTCAATTTTCTGTAATAAAAAATCCCTATTTGGTGCCAGATTTTCCATTTCTACCTTTTTCTCCTCATTCAACTTATATTTCACATATTGCAAATCTTTCAAGCTTCCCAATTTCCTCTGCAACGCCGTCTCCTCTTGCTGCGCTTCATTAAGCTTCTCAAAATGACGTCCATCATTCTGAACGACATCTCGAATGATAAATCGATGATTCAAAAAAGAACTACCCGAGTTTCACTATTGATCATATGATGATGGTACTCATCCTGGTTTTTATCAAGAGCCTGCTTCTTCAATTTCTTGATAGTATCCCGTTTTTGCTGAAAATCACTCAAAATCAATTAAACCCGAAAGTGTGTTCCGCAGATTTGTTACCTGATAATCCTTGGCTCTCTGCACATAATCCTTCTTCTTCTCAAGTTGCCCCAATTTGGCACGATGAGCCGGCTGGGCTCGTTCTCGATGCTCTCGCTGACCAGCCAACTTCTTGCTAATACTCACAAGCGACGACATCCTAAACGAAACGCTTAAAAAATGAAATGAGCAAAAATTATACGGTATAAAAGCGTACAAAACGCTAAACAAATTGGCAGAATATGTGGAGGGAGAAAAAACCAAAAAAAATGATTTATTAATTTAGAAAAATCGCTCTATGTACCGGTTGGAAGAAATGAAAATAGAAAAAGAGGAAAGAAAACATTCCAGACGACCCGGACGTTGAGAATTGGCGGACTAGTAAAAGAATCAGGCTATGATCATGTCGATTTTTGCGAATTCTGCTGGAAAACATGCTTAAAATACTCATAGAAGCTGATCATGATAGCGCAGGCCGGCGAGACTTTCACAAGACGCGGCGCCAATCCTAAAAATTCAACATTTTCTTCAATTTCGTGTTTCAATTTTAATAGAAACCTGCCGCAAATGACGAAATTCCTCTCGTCTTGTACATTTCGCGAGCCACTGTCAATAGCGATTTGTTCATTTCCTCTTTAGCGCCGCCAATTCGAACCTGGCTATTCGTTTTGATCTGGAAACCCCGTTTTAAGAATCGATTTTGGAATACATATTTTCAAATTCAAAAATTATTTAATTAAGATATTCGTATTTTCAAGTTTCTTTCGGAAAATTGCACATTTCCCGATAAAAATTGAAACTCCTTAGATTTTATTTCGATAGTTTTAATCTTAAAAATTGCAAAATTTTAATACAGAAATTTAAATTCAAAAAAAAAAAAAACAAAAGTTCTAAGTGAAAAAATCTATTTTTTCATTTAAATTATCCGAAAATTTCAATTAAGACCTTAAAACTTGTCACAATAGTAATTTTCGCTTCAAGACGCTTACCACATCAAACGGGTGAGTAAAAAGTGAAGCAACACACGCCGATATCGCTCCACTCAAGAAGCAGATCAAAAACGGCGCGTCTTCAGCACTCTGCGGTCGATATTTTAGCATCGACGTTCTCAAATAATCATATCCAGCCCAATAAATACCTGAAAATCTCTCAAATGAAAAAAAACACTAACAAAAATTTACCAGAAAATGGGATATCTCGAAGCATCGTCGGCGACCATCCCAAGTAAAAACTCGATATTCCTTTTGTAGCTAGCGAAGTCTTGATGAGAGTACCCAATTCTGCAAACAAAACACCAAATCAAATTTCCATCAGGTCCAAACCTTTATAAGTCAACTGTTGGCTTTGCATCTTGGTTCGGACCATTTCAATCGGGCTGACCACCGTAACGGCAATCGTGCGCGCCATTGTTCCGGCAAACGCGGCCGCCGACCAATCCGGCGGCGTCCATTTCTCCGGTTGAAGTGTACGTCGACAACACATTCTGAAGAGAGAGAGAGAGAAAAAAATTGAATTTTGCAAAATTCCCAACTTTTTCTTTAAATACTGCGACAAATTGTCATAGGTGGTGAAATAGAAGACTGTCGCCGGCAACGCCATCACCCTAAAATCCTGAATAAATCGCCTAACAACTTTGGGAGGCTCAAATTCAGCCTACATGGTTGGCGCAAGTCCGCTCCAAAGCGATCCGATTCCCTCGTGTTTCGCGATTTTCACAAAAGCGTCCTAGAAAAAAAAAACATGGCAAAAATAATGAAAAATTAAGATTTAAAAAAAGAATACCGCAGTTCCTTGAAAATTTCCGGGTCTTTGGTACCATTCACACGGTTTTTTCACCTCGCATGCCGTACAAACTACATCCATTAGTCCATTATGATAAAAGAAGCATTCGCCCTGAATTCAATTCAAGAGTTTCTCTCCAAATTTGGGCGAAAAAAAAACGAACCTTCGGAAATGGCCGCGTTTGCTGTTGTAGGCGAATTTTGACGACGTCGAGAGGAGTCACTAAACGTTTTAAAAAGAGTTGTTGAAAAAAATTATAAATTTTTAATTGGATTAAATTTGTTGGAAATCAATAATAAATTCGAAAAATGTTCTATTTTTCATATCGTAAAGAGCCCATTAAAATTTCGCGGGATGGAAAATTTCAATTAAAAAAAAAACTAACTAAATAAGGATGTGACAATTGCGCCAGAGCAGCTCGCCGCAACTTGTTGCAATAAATTCGATGTCGCCGATTTTCCGCAACATTGCAGTACAACATCTGAAACAATTCAAAATTCGAAAAAAAACCCAAAAACGAAATATCATACCACAATTATTTTTTGAGCAATTCGGCTCTTTATTCCCGCATCCTGGCATTCCTTAATTTCCATTAATAATTGTTCTAAGAAATGGGAGGAGGTAAAGTGGTGAAAAAAACCGTAGAAAATTTTTCGAAAGCTCAATTTCTATTCATTTTTATTCTTTTCTTAAACCGGATATAATATATGAAAGGGTCCAACTTCGTCGACTTAATTACAAAAAAAACAACCAAAGGGAAAACATAAATATTAATAACAGAAACCTATAACAAATGTCAAATTATTGGGGAATTGCGGCCACATAGACAATCGTTGATCCAATATCATAAGTCTTTCCATCGGATACGGTAGTTACCGTAATCTTATTATCTTGGAGATGGAAAACATCTAAATTCATAAATTCTCTGAGTAAAATCTTTCTTTTTAACTACCATTTTCAGCGAGCTTTTCGTTCAATTCCAATGGATTCTGATTTGAAATCATTTGACGATCACCCCAAACCGGATCTTTGTATCTCCAGAACGAAACCTCGAATTTCGCTAAAATTTGAAATTCAGCAATTCATCATGGGGTCCAAAAAGCCGAAAACGTTTGATTTGTGCCCTTCTTTCTTTTTCAAAAAAAAAAATCCACCAAGACCCTTTTACCGTATCCTAACCTCGGCACAATTATCGGATTTATAACAAAAGAAAATTGCATGGCAATGATTTGTTTGCCTATCGGAATATTCAAATTTTGCAATTTCGCAGAATATTTTCTTTTGCTTTCGAAAATCCAAAATTCAGAATAACTGCTTCGAGCATGGTCACAATTCATTTTAAAGATAAAATGATTTCTGGCAAGATCCTCAACAATACCATAAAAAGTACATTCATAGCAAAACTCATCCACAGTACGATCCTTTTAAGCGAAAACATGATCCCCATAAAGCTATTCTCTCAACCTGACTCTTTCGAACAAACACGCTCTCTAACAACCCATGGATCACTATGTGTAGTTAACCATGTATCGTTTTAATGATCTCATATCGCAAAATCTAGACTATAATCATCCAAAAAACTCACGCTTGACCGCCTTGTTGAATCTTCGCATTTTGCGAACCAACATCGCCACCGTATCCCCATCCACAATCGGCAACGGGACATCGAACAAACCATTGCACACATTCACGTTTCTCGCGATCACCGCGACTGATTCCTATTGGAAATTTAAATTATAGACCAACAAATTCGACCCTCAAATCAATCCTACCCGATTCGGCAAAAATTGCATAATCGGCGCCTGTGGAACAGTCGTCTCAACAATATTCGCATCAACTCCTTGTTCGTCAGTGTGTCGAATCGAAACGCGATCCAAATCCAGTGAATTCAGAATATAGTCGAGATTTTCTCTCAATATCGCTTCCTAAATTCAATTTTTTTCAAGTAAAAAAAAACTTTGTCTACCTGATCAATCGCGCTGTTCGACACTAACGCCGATGCTCCCTTCGCCGCATAATTCTCCTTGACCATTTGCACAAATGGCATCGCTTTTTTCATGAATTTCTTCAGCGATTCCTCTTTTGCGATGAGGACACTGATCGACTTATTATCCGGTAATTCGTTATTACTCGCCTAAAATTCATCAAATTTTTTTTCCAGGAAAAAAATAACATGGGAAAAAACCTTGGCTTGTGCCTCCAAAATATTTAAAATTGTCTTCTGCCATGGCGGATATTCTTTAGCGACGTATATGATTCCCTCAGTTGGCACTTCCGGAACCTCCTAATAAAAATATCTTTAGTTTTCAAATTTCCCCAACCCAACAAAAGATACCTTGCTCTTTTTCTTCGGCATCAAATACGCTTTGAGTCTCGCGCGGAATTCCGCGATCGCGTCTCGCATGAAAGTCGCGGCCAGCACAAGCTGCTCATCAACCGGCTCGGTGGTCGGCCACGGCGCATTCACAATCAATCCATCCATCTTCAACAACTGCCAAACGTGTTCGGCGATGTGCGGACAAATCGGCGACAGAATCACAAGTTGCGTCTCAATGAAGCGCATCACCAGCGGCTCGCTCATATTGGATTCCGAACCTCCGACGAGCTCACGATAGGTGTCGCGAATCGCCTGATACTCGAAGAAGCCCGTGCGAACCGCGTCCTTGAAATTCGTCGCTTCGTAATGCTTCTCAGTCGCCTGTATCAGCACATTCATCTCATTCGCGAACACGCGATCAGCGAATCGGGACGAATCTATAATAGAAAAAAATTGTCAAAAATCAAATTTTCTTGATTCGAAAATTGAACTCAACACAATTCTTGGCGGTTTCGTCTCAAAAATTCTTTTGAACCGAAATTTTCAACCGAATTCTGGATTTCGAGCTCACCTTTTCTCAATCCTCCCGAGTTTCTAAGCTCGACAACCTCCTTGACCCATTCAATAAGATTATAGAGTCGCAATATTGCCGCATCGGTCATACTATAAACAAAATTGGCATCCTCGAGTCCATCTCCAGCATCCGCCAGCGACAATCTCATACCATCCGCCGAGAATCTCTCAATAGCCTCGTCCAGTGTCATAAAGTTTCCCGTCGATTTCGACATCTTCTCATTGTTCAGAAGAAGATGGCCGTTGGCGCGAATCGATTTCGGCCATTTTGTTTCATCATTCGGCCAAATTGCAACATGATTGTAGATCAGATAAGTCAAATGATTCTGGATGAGATCCTTTCCAGAAGCTCGCATATCAATCGGATACCAATAAATGAACTCCTTTCTTAATCTCTGAAGTTTCTCTTCTTCCACGGGCATCGTCTTCGAATCATAAATTTCTCCAAGGAAAATGTAGTTCCATACGCCATCGGTCATCTGTTCAGCCCTTAAATATCTCAATTAATTCCGCACAATAAAATGGGCCTACTTGATTCCAGCGGGTCCCACAACGCTTCCATCAAGTGCTCCATGTTGCAATAGATGGGCAACCGTGTAATAAGCATTGTAAATCGTAGAATCCGAGAGAGATTCTATGAGATATTGTGGATCCCACGGCAATTTCGTTCCGAGACCATAACTTCTAGAGCACGCGTGCTCATGAAGCCATCCAATTGTGAACTCAAACGCGCGACGAGTCTTAATATTTCATAGAATTGGAAAATTTAAAGTTTCGCTCACCTCATCGTTATAAGTATTGACTTTAGCCAAGACTTTCTTCGCCGCTTCTTTCCATTCATTATCACCGTAATTCAAATACCTGAATTTTCGGTAATCAATTTTGTTACATGCGGACAATTATCGGGGTTTGAGAAGAAAATATACATTGAGAGAGCTTCTAAAGAGCAAATTTTTTTAATTTTCTAAAGACATCTCGCATTACAATATTAAAAAATATAGATTAGACTTTCTAACAAAAATTTGAACTAATTCCAGAATCTTTAAGAAAAATCTACTCGGATACGGTAACACACACTCGGATAGGGTAACACACATTTTTGAATATTAATGGTCGTTCTTCTATTCGACGAGAATGTCATCAGGGCGAATGATTTTTTTTGCAAAAAAAATATCCCACCATTGATCGCACAAAGCAACCACACATTCATCTCCGCTTCTGCTGACCACCTTCTTTTCCGGCTCCACATATTTCGTGGCAAGACCCTCCGCAATCAAATCTTCCTGGATGACCTTCTTTACATCAGCAGTCTTCTGCCCAGCGTATTTTCCAACAATCATAACCTGATAAGGAGAATATAAAGCAATTTCAGAATAGCTTCGATCATACTCCGTCATAGAATCCTTTCAAATAGACTTCTTTTTTCGCTTCTTCCAGCTTATCCTTCTCATTCTGCGATTCAATTTTGAGCCGTTTGCACATTTCAACGGCGGCGAGGTTTCCGAGCCCCTCAATATCAATGATCGGCACAGGTTCGAATGGCAAAACCATCTCATCAGTGAGATTGTACTTCTCTCTCAATGGCTTCTTCTTCTTTAAATCCGTCAGAGCTGCAAAGTCATCTGGAGAATCAGACGGCACCGAAGTCACCACTCCAGTTCCTAAAAAAAACTTAATCTTATTGTTGTTTCATTTTTCACACAATATTACCTTTATCATCCTTGATAGTGAGCATTGGAAGAGCGTAAACTCGTTCGTATTTGGCGAGCGGAGCGGCCAAAGGTGCTCCGATGAGCTCACTGCCCAGAATCTTCTCGAGACCCGGCACATAGCGAACTTTTCCGTTCTCTTTGGTGAGCCCTTGGTAGGACATGATCCTCGCGGCTCTCGCAGTGGCAACGAACACTTGATCTTCGTTTTCAGTGGCGTAGAACACAGAGTACTTGATGTCCGGATGCAAGTAGCAATTGGTCTGTCCGTACCTGAATTTAGCAAAACTTTCAGAATTCAAAAGCTTTAACAATTACATGGTCTCCGGTCGCAATGTCGCGGCAACAAGGAAAACAGGCTCTTTAATCTTCGCAATGGCTTTTGGCTTCGGCTCAAGGACCCTGAGCTTGATTAAAGTGTACTCCTGTGGACCCACTCCTTCACCACTGGCGCGATCATGGTCCATACATGGTTGGCCGTCTTTTGGTGAATAAATAGTGTATCTAGAATTCAATTATTCACAAAACCTTCATTTTTGTGAATCTCACCGTTTTCCAAAGTCGATTTTTTTCAAAGCTCTCAATTGATTGAATTGCCATCGAATAAATGAGTCATAATAGGGATTCACGTCGGTGGTGATGAAAGATCGCCTCCAATCCACCTTGATTCCCATTTTTTTCAAATCTGCGATGCAGTGTGGCGGGAAATAGTAAAGCCAGTGCAATGGATCGGCAAATTTGCGAATCTCATCGTCGGACAGACCCAAAGATTGCATAATCTGCCATTGGTATTTGGCATTGCCGGCTTTCGCAGCAGCTTTGCTCTGAAAATTACAGCATTCTTAAATATCAAAAATAAATTATGATTTGAAACCTTTTTTCCTTTGCTTTTATCCTTTGTTATTTCGTCAAGGGCTGAGACTTCCTCCTTTACTTCCTCAACATCTTCGGGGAAGCTAAAAACCAAATTTGAAAAAAATTTTTGGGTAAATAACATACTTTGGAGGGAATCCGAAGTCTTCGATTTCTCTTTTTAGCTTGTCAGCACAAGCTTTAATAGGCATTCCGGTGCAATGGAAGCCGAATGGGAAAAGCACCTTTTTCCCTTTCAATCGCTGGAATCCCGCGGCAAACTCGCATTTGGAAGCGGTAAAAGTGTGGCCCAAATGCAAACGACCGTTCATATAAGGATATGGAAACGTTACAAGATATTTTGGCTGATTACTGCAAAGAAACTGGCAAAAATCATAAAAAGTTCTTTTAAATTTTTACTCAGTCGCCGCATCTTGCTCGAAAGCTTTCTCGTCGTCCCACAATTGTTGAATCGATTTCTCGATTTCCAACAATTGTCCGACCTTCTTGCGCTCTTTGACGTTCTTCGCCATCGTAAATCACTTTTGTTACCCTAAAACACGAGAAAATTCAATTTCGCAATATTACATTATGTAAAGTGCCTGTTCGAGATTTGACATTTTATATAATTACAATGAATCATTCTATCATTTTTATTGAAAACTAGAAAAAATGAAATTTTAAAATCATAAAGAAATGAGTAAAAATAGGAACACAAATCGGAAAAAAATTATTGAGAGCGCTGAATTTCGCGGCCACGACCGAGAAATTCCTAGGCCACACACATTTTTTATTTTTTTTACGGAAATTGGTGCAAAAAAATTAAAAAAAAAAATGAATTTATGGTCAGAATCGTAAGATTAGAATGAATTAAACGTTTTATATATTTTTTAAATTTCCACGGACTGTATTGATTTGAAAAAATACTTTATCTAAAAATTAAAATTCTAATTTAAAAAAAAACAAAAATTATATTCTTACCCATTCCATATCTTCAAAATTGTGAAAATGATTATTTTTCACGTATATAATTGCTTCAAAATTAATTCCAACTAATCTTCCAATTTTTGAATCTCATTTCAATTTCCAATCAAATAACTTCACATTGGGTCCCATAAAATCTGAAATTTATCCAAATTTATGCGGATTGCCGAAAATCAAAACAATCTGAAATTCAGCGTATTATCGTTGTGCTTGTTTATTTTAGAAATTCGAACCAATCTTTTTCCTCATTTTTCGGAAAAGAATGATGCTATATGGTTGCTCGGGATTGTCATTCAATACCATATTTGCGGAAACGATGACGAATAACGATAATTATGGAAGAACTCGACGCGCGGATTTTCCCGTTTTGCTATTGACTCATCACTTCATTTTATTCGAATCGTCCTGACTCGAACACCATCATGAGCCCGGTCTCAAATGTCTTCACTGTTGCGTTTCTACTAATACTTATCTCAGGTACTAACCTAACTATATATTACCTTCACAAAAAAAAGTGCCCAAATAATTGAAGACTATCGCACTTCTTTTTCTAGTCGATAATTTAAATTTGAATTCAAACAGTAGGAATTCAGGTAGCGGACTCTGGATAACCTGCGAATCCCATCTCATATATTGTATAAATATAATATAAATATTTCCAAAATATAAAAAAAAACAATCCAATGTCGATACCGCAAAAATCGGCTAAATCACAAATCTTTGAGCTTGGTGCAATTTTCGAAGACGTGTACCTTTAATCTATAGCAATATAGTATTCACTTAAATAAGTTTCCAGGATACATTGAAAATCTTAATTGACCTAAGTTATTAAACAATAAATTTTGTTTTTCGACCATTTAAAGGCGCAATTCGTAAATACGACTAATTTTTAAAATCCCGGAAGCAAGCTTCATCATCGGATGACATCACGCTCTCACATTTCAGTTCATCCGAGCACTGCGACACCAGTGGTAACCTGTATGTTGTGCCAAATGATCACAGAGCCTCTGGAGCATGAATTCTCGCCGTCCGGTGCAATCAGCGCTATGTTCAAGTGAGAATCGCTCGAAATTTCTAGCTAATCTCCCCTTTAAAAAAAATTATACAGAAAATGCAATAAAATGGGATTGATGGAGCCGATTTGCGAGCAATTCGTCTCGGAGAACGTGAAAACGATTTTCGCGCGATTCAAGGCCGGTATTCCAGCGGACACGATCTGTCAGACAATGCGATTCTGCGAACCAGTTTGAGACTGCAACTAAATCCAACATCTAATTTATTAATTGAAACCAAAAAAAAAACATTATTGCATTCGTTTTCGAGGTGTGACAATTGGCATGAGATCAAGACTTAATAAATAATGCGTGAAGATGACTAAGCCCATTTGATGAGGAATTTCTTCTTTCGATCATCTATCAGGTCAGTATCATCCGCATCCTCTTTCAAGTGGGTTGAACTAGAGGAGCTGGAGGAACTGCTAGACTCCTTCACCTCCTCACCAATCTCGTCTGTAGAGGACTTTGACAGTTTTTCAAGGTCCTCTAGCTCCAAATCCTCAAGAGGATCTAAAGAAATGTTTGGATTTTCGAAAATTCCCAACCAAAAATTTCGCACCTTTCTTGTTAATTTTGGCTTCTCCGCTCTTGTTATCCTCATCCTCCTCGCTGTCTTCATAAGATTCTTCAAAATCTGTGGAGAATCCGCCTCCACCTCCGCCACCGCAGCCTGCAATCATCAGTTTTTTTCCTTATCAAGGAACATCGGCCGTTCAAGGCCATTCGACGGCTTTCTCTCAATTTTTTGAAAGGGAAATGCTATCTACCTCCGCCTCCGCAACCGCCGCCATAGCTTCCTCCGCCGCAGCCGCCGCCTCCACCACAGCCGCCTCCGATCGCTGGATTTGAACGGTAGATGTTGTAAGGATCTGAAAATTCAAGACATTTCAATTGAAACACTTCAAATGACGCGTACCGGAGTATGGAAGATATGGGTATCTATAGCTAGCGAACTGGTATTGTGGTGGGTAGACATAGGTCATTCCCGGGCGGAGAAGGTACTGACGTGGAAGCTGATCCCATGGATAATGCTGGAAATAATAACCGCGGCGATAATTCTGAAATTCACAATTGATTCATATCGTCTTAAATTCTCCTACATATGGGGTTGTTGTCGCCGGATTCCTTGGAGCGAGTGTTGCTGTTTCAATTCGTTTCGGGCTCAGTGTAGGCGGCCTTGTTGGAATATCGAATTTCGGCTGGATTGTGGAATACGTGACCTGCTTCAGATTATGATTCGCGCCTCCATTCTTCACTGGTTCATTAGCGAAATCCGAGTAATCATCACCAGCGTCGATTTCTCGGCGAACCTTCTGCAAGAACAAAAATTAAGATAAATTAAAAATGCTGCGATAATATGCCCCGATGTTTGCAGAAACTAGCAACATACAGTAACCATGGTATAAATTCGAATTTATTTTTTTCAATTTTCCTCCCTACTTTTCTCGCTATTTTATACCAAATATTACAACGCTTACCTGGGTGGCCGTCGAATATCCAAAAATGGCAGCAAGCAGCGTTATGGCTAACCGCATTTTGTTTAAAGTGTGTCCGTTGGTCACTCGATCCCAATTATATATACCATGCCGCCCCATCAGAACCATTCAAACTTGGACAGTTACACCAAAAACGGGTTATTACGTAACAACAACTGGGCAGCGGCAGTGCGAACTGATTGAATATCTATATGTGAAGAGAGATTCGCCAAAAAATCGGCGAAGAAAAATTGAAAGTCGCCTCGGCCCCAGTATTGCGCAACGCGGCGACGGCATCAGCGGTTCTTCAAGCTTCAAACTGGAATTCTATTTTTTTCCGAATGGTCAATGCACTGTTTCAAATAAAGAAAAAATGCATCACGAGAGATTAATTTCGTTGCAATTTTTGAGTGAAAACGTGACCGAGGAGATATTTTGAAGAAATCAACATTTTTTGTTTTTTTAGAAAAAAAAGTAGAGGCTGCGAGGCTCCGCCCAATGAGCAAGTTCTTGAGAATATGCACACGATCTGTGAAATCAGGTAAATTTCTTCTCTTAATCCCTGCGCTCCTTTTCTTTTACAAAAAGAAGCTCCTCAGAATTTGACAAGTTTCAGACAATTGCTAAAAATCAGCAACGGCAATAGTGTTTAGCCACAAGTTATCGTTTTTTCCAATAATAAATCAACAGATTATGAGCTAGAATAAATTATTTTGCTATTTTTTAAAATATTATATTATTGCAAATTTAGGCCAAATTTTTCAGAAAAATTAAAGAATGTGAAATTTCAACAAAAAATTATTTGGAAATTTCAAAAAATTAAAGAAAAATGTTTCTTTTTAAAATTTTAATCACATTTAAAAAATACAAAAATCTAAATATTCTCATTGAATTCCAACTTTCTTTTCAAAACCTTGTAAAAATCTGACCTTGGCTACATTTCAAATCAGAAAAATCTCGGCAATCATTGAATTATGGAGAATCGTGTTGCCCTTTTAATCTTCGTTAAACAGAAAATACGCTTATAAGTACATTTTTCATTTATTTCTTCAAAAAAAAAATATTGATTTTCTTTTTCACTGCACCGCTGTTCGTAAATTAGGATAATTCTCGAAATTACCACCGCCGACTTCTTTCCGCAGGAAGACACCCATCGAATTTCCCATATTTGCACAAAAATTCGTCATTTGTTGACAAATGGAAACATTCTGTCACAAAATATGTGGAATTGTTGCAACCAACCATTACAATTTTCAGAAATTGATTGAGAATTCAAATTTTTTGGCCTCATTTCTATCTTTCTTGTTAATTTATCGCGAGAATCATGTATTTGCTCGTCGAGCCGCACTTCTTCACCCCTTCTAAGCATGTCGCGTTTTGGAGGGTTCAGACAGCGAGGCATAATATATATTGCGAAACGCTGACTCATTTTTTCTCTCCTCTTTCGCTTTGCTGGTCGATTTTTGTTGTTTCTCATTCTTTCTTTCTTTCGCGTTTTTTTCTCGCCGCCAATTTCATTTATTTTCATTCAAGGCAAAATGCCGAGTTCAATCACACCTGATGGTGGCCCCGAAGTGGCCAAAGTCGAAGAGCAAGACTATTATCAATTGCTTGGCGTTGAGAAAACGGTAAGCGACTTCAATCCTCTTCATTTATGGAATTTTCCGGAATTTAGGCGAGCGAGGCGGAAATTAAAAGCGCTTATCGGAAACTGGCGCTGAAATACCATCCGGATCGGAATCCTGGCGACACTCACGGTGAGTTCATTTTTTCTTAAATTGAAAATCTTTAAATGCTGATGAAATTTTTAATAAAATATTGATTTTTTTTGGCAAAATTGCGATATTATCAAAATCTTTGACGCTGTTTGTGACAAATTGAAAAATCTCTGTTATTCTTTTTTTTTCTCAAGCCAATTATGTAACATTTCGATTGCATGTTTCAAATTTTCACCTAGAAAACGCTTTAAAATCGATTTTATGGCGAAATTTTCAAATTCGTGCAATAATGAGCTTGATATTTCCCGAAAATTATTTTTTAAAATCAATTTTTTTTTCAAATTTTCAGCGCAAGAGCAATTCAAGCGTGTCTCGATAGCCTACTCGGTGCTCATCGATCCCAACAAGCGACGACAGTACGATGTCAGCGGTCCGTCGGAGAATCAGCTCGATTTTGAAGGATTCGACATTTCGGAGATGGGCGGCGTCGGGCGTGTGTTCGGTGCGCTCTTCACAAAATTGGGTGTGCCGATTCCGACGCAAATTGTGCCCAAAGTGCTCGCGCAGGCTCGCCAAATCTGCCTCGGACAAGAATGCGAGGTGTCGGCGAGAGAATTGAACGCTGGCGAAGTGGTTTCAGCGAGTGTCTCGAAACAGGTAGCTTTTTTTTCATTTCAATGGGTCCTGTGTGCCATTTCATCATTTTTTTACTTCAGAGTGCTCACTTTTATGGAATTGACGTCAAAGAGAGCTATCAGAAGTTGGGAATTATGATTGTGTGCAAGAGTCCGTCATCCAGCAAGTTTAAGCTTGTGCTTTTCGATAGAGAGGGAGGAGTTCGATTAATTCAGGTAATTTTTGTGACCTTTATGAAAATTGAGGAAATCTGTTTTTTTTTGTTGCACAATCTACCATTTTAGGAGAGCCAGAAGCGCGGAAAGGGCACCCAAGCTGATATGTTTTTTGTTCCATACACGATTGCCAATATTGGGGAATTTAATGCGATGAAATATCACCTGGAAGACAAGTTGGTTTTTAGATTTTATCTTGTCTGAAAAATTTTGAACTTTTTTTTCAGAGAAACTCCCCTCCCTTTCCATTATTTGGACACGTTTGAGACCCAGACTGCCCAGTTGTTGGATACTAGGAAACATTATATATGTGTCTACGGTGATAATTGGATCAATGATGTCAAGTAGAAGGATTTTCATCTGAAATTTTGAAATCTTACGATTTTTTAGGTACACGATATCGTTTATACCGGTATCGGAAGAAGCGAAATCGAATTTGGAAACGATTACAGAGGTGATTTTTTTTGTCGAGGAGAAATTTTTATAGACAATTGTTTAGATTGAAAAGGTATTGGCTGAAAAGAAGACAGAGATGCTGAAATTCCAGAGAGAATTCGCTGAAGCTAAACGAAAGTGGGGAAATTTCTTAAAAAATTGCAATTTTCTTTTTTTTTTTTGCAGGTTTGAAGAGGCGGTTGCCAGGATTAAAGAGGAGGATAAAACGATCACGGAAAACTTGAAATTGCGTGAAAGCTTGTACGATCAGGTCATTGAGACGAGCCGAGCACCTTTCCAAAATCAGGTTTTGATGATTTTGGTCAAATTTTGCAAAAATAAAATTTTTAGGTTTCGCCTTCAAAATCTTCGAAAGGATTCTTGGGAAAATGGTTTTGATTTTTTTTTCATTTTCTTCCAATTTATTTATTTATTTTATTTCAATATTGCTTTTAACGAAAATTCACAATTGATGAACGGTTTCCTTTTCCACGCCCCTCCGAATATTCCTCTATCTGTTTTTCGACTATTTTCACTTGCTAGGTCATCATATTTTGTGGTGTTCTTTTTTCGGTTGTAAATGATTTATTAAATAGTGTTTAATGATCTCTAATCATTTTTTTTTTCTAAAATGTTAGAATAAAAATAGCGGTTTCGTTATTTTGATATTAACGATTTTTGGGAATTTCGCATGTTGCAAGTGCGCTCAAGCGAAGCTCGAAGTCTGTGGATTTTGAATTTATTGTAAAAAAAAAAGATTTCTTGAAAAATGCGATTTTCAGCGAAGAAGAAGCATTAGATGAAAAAAAGCATGTCTCCCGAGCCTTAATTTTTTAATTTGTGAAAATTGCCACTTCAAAGTGGCAAATGGGTTCTAGGAAGCGACTAAAAAACACTACTCATATTATTTAAGTGTGATAAGACAATTTATAATGAGTGAGTTGATAAGACATGGTTGATTCCGGAACCAAAGCCTTAAAATGCAATAGTTTATTTGCCTAAAAAAATAATTTTTTGATTAGCAATTATTTAAAAATATATATAAGAAAGTTCAATTTAAAAAATGCAAAAAACTGGTTCAAACTAATTTTCTCGGAAATCTGCATACAGGTTTCAGACTTCTTAAAAAAAAGAGCGATGTAGACTAAGAAAAAATGGAGAAAACGAAAGAATGATTATTTTTCTGTATTTTATATATTTTTCCTTTTTTATTTTCTCTACATTGCCTCTTAAAAAATTCGAGAATCTGCATAGTTCAAACTTTTCTTATTGACGCACACTTGAAAGGCTTTTTCTTGCAAAAGAAAAAATAAAATTCCATTTTTGCGGTTGTTTATTTGCCGGAAAATTCGAGACGCTTCGATTTCGCAACTCTCTTTTCCGCCCTCCACATTTCGCGGTGTGTCTCGTCTCGCCGGTGGGCGGAGCCAACCAATAGGCGAGTTCCATGTTGGAATGCAACGAGTAATGCTGACGTTGCTTTAGATCGATCAGTCAACAGCAAACCGAAAGGCGACTTCTCCGCACAGATTCGCCGCTGCCGGTGTGCTGACCGTATTAACAATGAGCTATAATCATCAACCGCGAACTATATATCTGATTCCGACGACGTGCGCGCGACCCTCGCGTCCGATCGTCCGCCAAAATGTGAATTCATCAGTGGCGGCTCGTCCGCAGAAACGCGTTCTCAGCTCATCGGAACCCGAAGATATTGTTTCGGAGCTTCTCGGTGAGACTCATGGCGCGCAGGGACCACGCAAACGCGAACGTTTGACACATTTGACCGCCGAGCAGAAGCTCGACAGAAGGAAATACAAAAATCGCGTGGCCGCGCAAACCGCCAGAGACAGAAAGAAGGTAATTCCGCTTTTTTTTTTTAATTTTGAAATTTGTAAATTATTTTTTTTTGTAGGAACGATCGCAAAAAATGGAAGAAGTTATGAAGAAACTCGTAATCGAGAATAAACGACTCCAAGAGGAAAATGCGAGGCTTTTGGCAGAGAATGAGCAGCTTCGCCGACAATCGACATCGACGCAGGTATTTTAAAATTTTATAATTATCTGCAACAAATTCCTCTTGAATTTTTCAGCAGCCTATGTATGCGCCAGTGTACACAGCGGCTCCGCAGCCTGCTTCGTACGTCACCGATGAGACCCTTGAATCAGCAGCATTCATTAATGCACCCCAGCAGAGGGTCCAGGCTCATCAACGACGTGCGCGCAGCTCGGCGTCGCCGAACAACACGAGGCCTCTTACTACGCTTCTGACGCTTCTTGTGGCTCTCCAGATGTCGCCAATGAAAACTTCGACATCGTCGACGACAATTGGGAAATTGAAAAGATCATTGAAGACCTCAAGGTTCGCTGACAACTCTCACATAACTGAATAGAATTTTTTTTGCAGAACTCTGACGTCGACATTGACAAGCTCATCCAGGATTTGCCGCCTTTCGAAGAGTCGCCGACATGCTATGCGTCGACCGCGCCGTATCAAAAATCTTCGTCGAGTGCCATGACGTCGCCGTCGCTGACGACGACGACAATGAATCAATGGGACGACGACGACAGTGCGGTGTTGCTCGGCGATCCCTGCCTCGGCTTCCAACCATCTCCAACTTGCTCATCTTCATCCTCAACATTTATTGAATCGGATAGCGATTGCTGGGCGGAGCCCATGGAATATCAGAACGTTATCTATGATGGGACATTTCCAATAGAGTAGTGTGAAATTTGTTTCCGGCCTGATTGCTTGATTTTTTGTACAATCATTTTCCTTATTTGGTTTTACATATAAACTAATCTGTATAAACATCTTATTTATATAATACGATTACAATAAACTCTAATAAACTTTACACGTTTTTGATTTGGCTGGTTTCGAATCGATTGGTTCAATCTTCATCGGATAGGGGTTCGTCTTCAAGATCGGGCATTGGGAATCGAAGAATTGCCGCACAGCCGGTGAGCTGGGCGAGCTGCTCGCCGGAGACGTGCATTGATGAGAAGATGTGCACTTTGCCATTCTGCTCGCGAACGCTTTCCGCAAGCTTCACGTATTTTCGGCGAGTTTCAATGTCTTGCGAGCGGAATAGCGAATCGGAGAGCAATAGAGTCTCGATGGCCAATTCCTTATTGGCCGTGTTCACGTGGCTGAAATTCGGTTTCGTTTATTGACGAATGGATGAAAAATGGGACGATACTTGTAGCCGTAGAAGGCGCGCTCGGGCTCCGTTGACATTAACTCCAAAAATTGATTGAGGGCTTTGACTTCAGCTTGAGCCTGGAAAGAAATTTTTTCCATAAATCTCGTTCAATTTTGGTCGAGATAGCAAAAAAAGATGCCGAATTTTTACGTTTCTGTCAAAAAATTTGTTGGTTTTGGGCAAAAATAATGGAAATTATGTTTTTTTAAAAGAAAGTTTGAAAAATAACAACTATGTCATACAATAAGGATTTTTAAACTTTCATTCAAAAAATGAACTAATTTAGCGCTTTACCATATGCAAATTTAAGTCAATTTTATGGAAAACTTTAATTTTATAGAAATATTAACAATAGGAATATTAAAATCACAAGTTTGCTTCACAAATATGACAAACATCGAAAATATTACGATCTCGTCGTTTAAAGTGGCCAAAAAAGACGGACTAGATTTCTTTTTTTTTTAAGAATTTGGAAAAATTCAGACTTACTTTGGTTTCTGACAATCTTGCGGCAACTTGAGGTGTTTCTAGAACTTCTTTTAACGCGTGTTTGAATCCGCTGCTTGAATGAGTTAGTAGAAATTTTGCCCGTTGTTCGGTGGTGATCTGAAAATGCAAAATTTTTTTAAAAACAAAATTATATTGAAAATTAGGCACCTTTTTGCCATTCGCAGCCGCATATGCCATTAAATGGTCCATGAAAGTCTCTTTAACGAATCCGCGACTAGCAACAATTACACATTTGACTAACTTAAAATTCAAATGAATTTCAGTTGGAATTTAGGCTAAAATTTACATCTAGATTAACATGACGCATGAATGCCGCACAAACGGCCTCGTAGAATTTTTCAAGACCTTTTTCGTGTTGGGATGTGAATCCTTTTCGTTTTCTGGGAATCTGAATGAGCTTAAATTGGCAAGTTTCGATGAAATTCCGCTTACTGCCATATCAATTTTTGCTCGGGTCAGCGTCATTGCGGGGGTTATTAAACAGACATTCGCCAGTCCTTCGTGAAGAACAACGGCGGCGACATCTGCGTTTTGAGCCGGGTCCAGAGCGGTATTTAAACGTTCTGAACAAAATTTTCTATAAAAAAATACGTTAAAATGACTACCAATGTCTATCGAATCCCATTCGGCTTTTCTCAATGTGAATTTTCGATGAGGTTCCAAATCCAACGTGTGATAAGCTCCCATTTTCACAATATCATTCTCAACGATATTTTTGCCTTTGAGATGAAGCTGTTGGGCTCCAGGATCGAAATCGATGCTCTCCACCTCGATGGTGAGCATTGTGTGAATTCTTTGCGATGACGTCGTGCCGGTTGACGTTTCCGAGACGACTTTTCGAATTGTGGACGCTTGAACGACGTCGCCAACGCGAATTAAATTGAATACGTGCCACATGTCTTCAGCTTCTTCTGCTATTAAGACGACGAACCTGAAAATTGACGAAATTCCATTTTAAATAACTAATTTTTATTACCCGGAGCCGTCTCGTTCTATTTGCCTTTTTAATTGTTTCATATTTACCTAAAAAAAATTGCAAAAATTATTAGATATATTGATATAACGAAAAAATACTAGAAATGATGTGTTGGATGAAAAAATTATAAAAAAAACGTTGGGTAATGTTGCAAAATAAAATAATTTTAGATTATCGGTGTTTGCGGACATTGCGGACTTTCAATTATCATTTTTTTATTTTTTCCCAATGTGTCCCACAAATGTCTTCAATTCACCACAATCTTGCTAACTTTTGCTTTCACAATGTTTCTTTCCATATTTTTCGCATTTTAACAAGCCCACATGTTGCTAAAATGACTGAAATTTCGATAAATCAGTTGCACGTTTCTATTGCGTACCGTATCCCCCGAATTTAATTTGCTTCTGCATTGCAGATGGGCAAAACTTCTCGTGATAAACGTGATATTTATTATCGTTTGGCAAAAGAGAATAAATGGCGAGCACGAAGTGCATTCAAATTGATGCAAATCGACGACGAATTCCATATTTTGCAAGGTAATGCAATAATTTTCACGTTGAAAAGTAAATTTTGCTAAATTCAGGAGTCACCAAAGCCGTGGATCTTTGCGCAGCTCCAGGTAGTTGGAGCCAAGTTCTATCGAAAAGACTTTACGAGGTTGACAGCGATGCCAAAATTGTGGCAATCGATCTCCAGCCGATGGCTCCGATTCCGGGGGTGATTCAGCTCAAAGGTGACATTACCAACGTGGAAACCGCCGAGAAAATCGCTGAATATTTTTCTGGTGAGAAAGCTGACATTGTGATCTGCGATGGAGCGCCAGATGGTAACCGAATACCGAATTAGATTGAAAAAATTACAAAATTCGATTCAGTCACCGGCATCCATTCGCTCGATGAGTTCATGCAAGCTGAGCTCATCTTGGCCGCCTTCAACATCACTTCATTTGTGCTCAAACAGGGCGGTGTGTTTCTGGCGAAGATTTTCAGGTCTCGCAACTCGTCGCTTCTTTACGCGCAACTTCGGAAATATTTCAAAAAGGTTTATCTGGTGAAACCGCGCAGCTCGCGTCAGTCGAGTTGCGAGGCATTCATTTTGTGCATGGATTTCTTCTTCCCGCCGGGTTTCACGCCGACAATGCAGAGAATAAGCCTCGGTCTGATCGATTTTAAGAAGATTTTGTGACCAATTCGACTTGTTCAGATTTCGACAACCCGTTGGAGGTGCTTCCAAACGTGATCGATGGATTTGTGACGTGTGGCGATCTTAGCGGATGGGATAGCGAACAATCTTATCCATTGGACATCGACACCTCATATCCAAGAGGTGGTGTTAGAGGAGGATTAGGGTTTGAAGAAATTTTGAAAAAATAAAAATTGTGAATAATTTTTTTCCAGCAATTACGAATTCGTCGATGTTGTTCAGCCGCCAACCGAGCCCGCTTACAAAGAGGCGCTGGAAATGAAGAAGACTGGGGTGTTGTCGAAAATGGAGAACGATTTGAACAAGGCGCTTCGCGAGAAGAATCGCATTGAGGCTCAGCGCAAGCATCGCGAGAAGAATGAGGCGAACGCTAGTGCAAAGGTGGAGCAGGTTGGAGAAGCCCTAGCCAACACTAAATTGTGATTTAATTTATTTTGTTTCGCGCAATTTCATATTGCATTTGTATTTTGATTCTGTTGTTAACATATAAAGATTCGGATTCGAAATTGTTCAAATAGTGCGCGGCCACTTCTTCGTCTTGTTGTTGTTGGTTCTGGCGATGCCGACCTGCCCAGCCACTATTAAATGTGCAAACATTAGAAGGGTGTTTTAATACTGGTGTTCTTCACACCCGCCTACCTTCCACTTTGGCTCTTTGCTTTGGCCCACAATATTTACCGTGAATTCGACTCGAGAGAATGTCTTCGGTGATTACGCTGGATGTTGAAGGCGTGTTTTTCAAAACGCGAATCTCCACGCTCATTTCCATCGATGGCACCTATTTTTCGAGATTGTTTTGTGGGAATTGGAAAGATCAATTGGATCGGGCAAGTTTTTTTTGTTGAATTTCATCATTTTCCCTTTCAAAATCAGCTTGAAGTTTCGATTTTTCAAAAAAAAAAAGAAGAGTGTCGTCATTTTCGGTACATTCCGTAGTACACCGGCACGCGCAATTACACATTTTCCTTTCAATCAAAAATTGTCATGATTTTTTTCGCAGGAGGGCCGTTTATTCATTGATCGTGATGCTTCCATATTCCCCGTCATTCTCAATTTTCTCAGGGACCATGAAAAATGCCCACTTCCCAAGGATGAGTACCATTTGCAGCGAATTCTTCGCGAAGCAGTGTAATCAACAAAAAAGCATTAATTTTTTGAAATAAGTTGCTTTTACCTTCAGCTTCTTCAACATTCTTCCGTTGAAGGTGATAATAGAGCAGCGTCTAAGAGTTGAATGCACTTGCGAGAAGCTTCAAAACGAAAACATTCCGATTCCGAAGCCACCGCACACGAAACGTAAGATTTTTATTATGCGATTCCATTTTCGTTGGAATTTGCTGTTTCAGCTCCGCCTCCACCGCCACCCGCACAAGTAACCGTGACCGATGTTCAAGTGCCAATGCGAAAAACCGCGCAGAAGAAAAATTCCGTAAAAAAATCGGCCGAATCGATAAGTTTGCCGAAGAATTTCACGTGGGTTTCGCCTCTCTTCGAGAAACATTCATCAATTGATTTCAAGACATATCGCGCACGTTGGCTGGAACGGCGAATCGGTTATGTTCAACAAGAAGTTGTCCGATGATCAGACGGTGAAGAAAATCTGCGACGCCGCCGCCGAAGCTGTCGACATGAATGTAAGTACTGTAGATTGGGGGATTGTGTGCAAACACCGAGCGTTGCAGGCCGTCTATAATGTGGTCAATCGCGGAAACAACAATCAAAGCGAGAGTGTAGAGGTTTGACAAGTCTAATTTTTTTTTCTTCAACTTGAAATTTCAGGTTCTCATCACCGGCGGAGTAATGCAGTCAAAAGATGGAACTTCAAGGCTATAACATAAAAAAATAAACATTTTTTGAAAAATTCGAAATGGGTCTTGCAACGATGAATGAAAGAGGCGGGACGAGGTGACCTTGGAAAATTGACCGCCCAGTACGCAATGGATCATTATTAGTAGTTTGGGAATGGATGGATGGTAGTACCAACACAGAACCATTATAATTATTATTATTGTATGTATGTATTGTGGAGGCGAAATCCACAAAGTGAAAATCATCGCTCGCCAAGGATAGGCCAATTAGTGTCGGAGGAGAGGCAAAATTGGCGGTCGTCGGCCGACAGAGGCCCACTATTAGCTTGCCTCCGATTCCAACATGAGGAGGCATATATACGATTTTTTTTGACATAAATCGGCCACCATTTACTTTATTTTCGCTTCAAGACCATTCTGTTTTTCGAAACGAACGATTTACGCACCATTTGATTTCTTGAAGTGGGTCGCCGCCTTTTAAATATGTAGGGCATGTCCCTTTAATTACGGTATCCTTCAATGATTGACATGTGTCGCCGAAAAAAAAAGAAGTTTGCCTGCAATTATATTTTTCTTGAATGTTTTGATTATCAACTGAAATGCTTTGATTGTGCCAGCCTTCCATTTTCCATTCATGTTTTCCATCTGCGGACAGAATTGTCCGCGGTCGAACGACGTTTATCCATCCATTTTTCGATTGCAAATCCGCCTTTTCAAAACACGCGCTCAAGAGTTCTTCAGTTTGATGATCCTTGAGGAAGCGCGTCGCATCGAATGAACAACGAACATCAATCGACGTCGTCGTCGTCGGCGCCGATCGCGAGTATGCGATCGATTCGCGTCTACTCGACAGATGGGCAGCGGAGCACGCGAGTCGAGTGCGACGCGAAAATGAGCTGCGCCGATATTTGTGAGCATTTCTCGTGCGACGTCATCACATTGCAAATCGGCAATTATCACTTCAGGTAGGTCATGGGTCTCAAAGCGATCAAAGAATCGCTATAGTTTTAACTGGGTGTGAAACAGTAATCTCCAATTGTGAAGAATTTTATGAAACAAGATATGCGCCTTGAATTCATGAAACATAATTTGTTTTCCATACAACAAGACTAGCTATGCGCCTTTAATTGCGACTATCATTGAAGGCAGCTGAAACCCGACACATGCCCGCTGACGATACTAGAGGATTTCTGCCGAATTCTGGCGATGTCCGACGACGGCAACGTCGACGAGACGATGGCGAGCCTGCTCGACTACGCCGACTCGGCGTCGTTTCGCCACATCTTCTCGTTTTTTCTCGGCAAACCGCGAATTCGCGGCAAAAACTCGCTGAGCGCCGAAGTGTTGTCGGAGGAGATCATCGTGCGACGCGGCAAAATTCTGCACAGTTGGACGAGCGCCAAAGCCGTCTTCTACAACTCGACGATTCGATTACAAATGAGTTTGTTCTTCTTTTCTTTTTTTTTTTGCATTTGGAAAGCCTATGCGCCTTTAATACTTGAATCTGAATTCTTCAAAAAGTTTTCGTTTTGTCAGAAAACAATGAGGACGAAGTGATTCATATGAGAACGATGAAGGCCGACGAGTTTGACAGCAAAAAAGGTGATCGTCGATTTTCGTTTTTCGCATCTCAACTTCTTTTTTAAGGAAAAGCTCTACGATTACGGGACAACGATTCGAATTGCTATTTGCTCATTTTTCAGCGGCCGAACATTCTGCAATTGTGGTTGTCGAAAGCGCAGCAGGTCAATTTTTTTTGAATTATTTAGCAGAAGAGCGCGTTTGCCTCACAATTACGCAAAATCCATTGAAATTCAGCTGAAAATTTCCGAAGAAAAAAACAAATTAGCGATGGAGCGCGTTTGCTGTCAGCTCCGAAAGAAATTTGAAACTTGAGCGAAAATTTGCCGAAATATGAATTGTCGATGGAGCGCGTTTGATCTCAAATTTAAAAGTTGAAATTCAACTCCGATTTTCTAATAAAAATACGAAAGCAAATTATCGATGGAGCGCGTTTGCTGACAATTCAAAAAAATTTGAAACTTGAGTGAAAATTTGCAGAAATATGAATTGTCGATGGAGCGCGTTTGGCTCTCAAATTAAAAATTCAAACTCAGCTAGGATTTTCCAAAAAAAAAGAAAACAAATTGTCGATGGAGCGCGTTTGCTACAACTCAAAAAATTTGAAACTTGAGTGAAAATTTGCCGAAATATGAATTGACGATGGAGCGCGTTTGGCTCTCAAATTAAAAATTCAAACTCAGCTAGGATTTTCCAAAAAAAAAAGAAAACAAATTGTCGATGGAGCGCGTTTGCTACAACTCAAAAAATTTGAAACTTGAGTGAAAATTGCCAAAATAATTTAGCAGTGGAGCGCATTTGCACGCAGTTCGGAGAAATCTGAAAAATTTCAAAAAAGAAGCGCGCTTAAATCGTTAAGCTTTTAGGTCGAACGCAATCGCCACGTGGATCTCAGCGACGAGCAGCTCACCATGATTCCCGAGCAGATTCTCAATTGCGATTCGGGCGTTCAGATTCTCAATTTGCGACGCAACTCGCTTCAATCGAGACCGCCCACCGAGAAGGCGATCACACCGATCGGCTACATCGACGATCTCTATCGCCTGCACACCCTCCAATCCATTGATCTCTCGGCGAATCAGATATTCGCGTTTCCGATTCAGCTATGCATTCTGGCGAATCTGCGGACATTGAACGTGGCGTCGAACTACATTTCCACTGTGCCCCGAGAGCTGGCGAATCTCAAACGTCTCCAATCGCTGAATCTCTCCAATAATTTGTTGGCGACGTTGCCAGATGAGTTGGCGACTTGCCCAAATCTCAAATGTCTCGATTTGTCGTTCAATCAGTTCTCGATGGTCCCGCGCTGCTTGTACCATTTGCCGATGGATCGCTGGCGAATGGCGGGGAACAACATTGAAAAAGTCGACAGGGTAGGCGTGGCTACTGTAGTGCGTTGAAATTGTGCAAACACCGTGACCGCAGGTTGGCGACGTCCCAATCGCCGAAATCGATCTACGACGCAATATTCTGGGGACCACATTTCGGTTGAACATTGAAAACATCGCCTACTTGGATATTCGCGACAATTCCTTGGTGTCGACGGTACATCTAACCAATCTCAGGTTCCTAAAGGTATGTTGATATCCATCTGCGGACATCGCACCAGATTCAGATCATTCACTGTGAGCGTCTACAGCTAACCAGTCTGCACTTGAACGGCGAACACCTTACTCATATCTATGCGGACCATAATCGTATTCCAATCTACCGTAACCCATTCGAATAACCATTGTTACAGTACTCGATAGTGTTGTGGTGATGCCGTTGCCGACGAATCTACAGACGTTGTCAATCTCGCAGAATCACTTCAAGCATCTGCCCGACTGGATTTGCGATTGCCAACATTTGCAGTTCATTCGCGCCAACAACAATCTCCTCGAGACCCTTCCGACGAGGTACGGTATCGCGACGAGACCCTCACCAACTTTCAAACGAAAAAAAAAAATATTCCAGAATATTCTGCTCGACGTCGATTCGATCGATGTTCCTCTTCGACAATCGCATCTCAAGAATTCCCGACGACGTCGAAGACAATTGTCTGGAGACGCTCATACTGTACAAGAATCGCATTCAGCACCTGCCCAAACACTTCTTCCAAATGTTGCCGAAGCTTCGCCAACTGAACGTCTCGTCGAACCTTCTCGAAATTCTACCCTACGTCGATGGATCATCGTTTTGCAGACTGCAGGCAACTAGCTCAATTGAGTCCCGATATCGAGATGCGCCTTTAAATTGCAGATTCTGCGCGCCGCCAACAATCTGCTCACCGAGAACAGCGTGCCGGTCGTCGTCAACATGAAACATTTGAAAGTCGTCGATTTGAGCCACAATTTGCTCAACTCGTTCGACGACAGGTGAGCCTCGAAGCGTGTCCGCAGATGGACGGTTCGATGGACGCGAAATTCTTGCAGCGCGTTGACCTCGTTGGAGCTTCTCGAGGAGCTGAATCTCTCGTCGAATCGTCTCACACGCCTTCCAGAATGCCTCGGCCTTCTGCCGTCGCTTCAGATTCTACGCGCTCATTCCAATCAGCTCGTCAACATTCCGCAATTTCGCAGCTCATCGACGATTCACGTAAGATTCGCCGCGTGGGCGGAGCCGCCGATGAGCCGATGATTTCCAGACGATCGATGTGTCGTGCAACAACATCTCGCTGGGTGCCGTCGAGTTCGTCGCGCCGCCGACACTTCGCCATTTCGACGTGACGTGCAACTCGGGCGATTTGCCGACAGGTTTTCACACCGGCATTCGACGACACATTGCGGACCGGTGATTTTTTTTTAGAATCAAGCTTGCCGCTGAGAATGAACACGATCAACATTGCCGACCTTCAACAGAGCGTTCACGGATTTCAGATCGGCGTCTCCGGCTCGAGGGGCTCCAAAAACAAGTGGGGGTGTCGACGAATCGCTTTTCTTACACCATGCCCATTTTAGGCAATGCATTCGACAGCTTCGCGTCAACAACACGTTCGCCTTCATCGACGGCGGCTCGAATTTCTACATCTCGTCGTCGATTTGTCGATTTTTGTCGCAATTTTTGCGCGAAAATGTAGGTAGATCAAAACGGAAAAATTGTTTTTTTTTTGAGCGGCGGTGGAGGGTTGCTTAAAATACTGATAACTTGAATTTTTGCATTAAAGTCGAATTGCAATATTCGTTCGGCGATTCTCAGTTGTCATTGCGAGCTCGGCGAGGAAGGCGAACGTCTTGGAGCCAGTGAGTGAGCCTTTGATGATGCGCCTTTAAATTGTTCGATTTCTAGGCATTTTGATAATGCGAGTTGGCGACGATTCTCTCGAGTTGGCTTCGACGGGAACCATCAGCGCAGCGATCGCCAAAGATCAACAAATTCGAATGTTGTAGGTGGCCACGTGGTGTACACCACAATTGACGACGTTTTGCAGAATTAATGGCCGCTATGAGATCGACGACGATGAGTACTCGCGAGTGCGTGAAGCGCATGGATTTGTCGATGAGGTGCCTCTATCGTAATCCTACCGTAACCCAATCAATGATTGCAGGAGAATCGAATAAATGGGATCATCCGATCCGCTCGGCAAATCGGCCATTTTTCAATGTTTCCCGTCGTTCTTCCAACGAGCACATTCAAGAAGATCGCGTTCAACGGGACCATTGAGGGTCTCGTGATCGCCAACAGCGCTCTATGGACGATGATGGGTCTCGACGATGTCTCAACCGTATTCTATGGTAATCGGAGTCCGATTGGTGTGGCGAAGCAGCTTCAAGACCGCCTGCAGAGTTTGGATTTCGGCGACAATTCGAATATTCTGGTGTTGAAGAAGACGAAGCCGGCGATGACGTTTGCCGATAGTTCGCCGTACGCGACAAGCGCAAAATTGGAGTGAGTCTCGCTGATGGTCTCGACGCGATTCTGACTCATGATTTACAGCGACACGATGCCGGCGACGCCGGTGATGGCGGTGCCGATTGCGGCGGCGCGCCATCGACACCGGACGCCGTCGCCGCCGCCGCCGCCGCTTCCGTCCAACATGCCGCCGGCGATCATCGATCAGGCGCAGATTTATCGCAGCTACGAGGTGTCGATACATCGTTCCGGAAATTTTCGGAAGCATTTCGAAGAGACGCGCGAGATGCTGAGCACGTGCCTGAAATTGTCGCCGCCGAACACGGTGACATTCCATATTTAGAATTGCTCATTCAAGCTTGAACATTCGGGTCTAATAAACATCTCCAGTTGCCTTTTTTTTATATACTACTATCTCAAATAGAAGGAGAAGCTTTTAGTAAAGCCTTGTGTTCCTCATTGTCAGATTTAAAGGAGCATGAAGCTTCTTCAAAATTGTTTTGCGTAAAATCGTGGTGAATGAAGATTCCATGATTCGATTTTTTAAGATTCAAAAAAGAAACGCATAAAAATTCCTGTTTTATATGGACTTGGTGGCCGAAAATGTGCGTGACCGTGAAAAAGTTAGTCCATCAAAATATTATTTTTTTTTAATCCAAACTATAAAAAGATTTTAAGAAAAAGAGCTCAGGAATTTTAAAAATCGGCATTTTCCAATAAATTAAACAAATTTCTTCTATTTTAAACTGTTGAAATTAGAAAAAAAAAAACGATTTTTCCATTTTTAAAAATGGAGATGGCCGAGGCCGAAAAAAAAACCTTATTTGGGAACCCAGTGGAAGAGTTGAAATCAATCAAAAATCGATTTCGAGTGATTCCCGAAAAACCCAAATGGCTCAGTTTTCATGAGAAATTCCCTGCCGTCGTAATAGTCAATGGCTAATACCGATTGGGACATGGTGAACAATTAAATTCACCAATGGTGCAACCTCATGCAATTTTAATTTCTAGTTTTATAGAAGTATTTTGTCTCATTGTCAGTTTTAAAGGATCATGAAGTGTCTCTAGTTAGAAAAAAAAACTAAAAAGCGATAAAAAAAATAGCAAGCTCCCCTCTCCCGGTCAGCAAATTCTCTTCCCTCCATCGTAATACATGCTATTTTTCTGTCACCCTTTTGTACAGAAAATAGCAATATTCCCACAGTTTATGCCCAATAATATTCGCCCTTTGTTCCCCTGCGTCCTTCCTCTCTCTCTCTCCCCTCTTCCTCGCCCCCGACGCGCCACAATTGCGCTTCGCGACTCCTTTCTTTTATATTTTTTCTTTTATTTTTCACGTTTCGCAATTTTTCGCTTTATAGTGGACCATCGTAGTTTTTCGAGGCGGCAGTAATTCAAATAGGAATTTATTCATATAGGAAGTACCGTACTCTGGATAACCTGCGAATCAAACTCACTATTTTTTTGGCGCGATTGCGGAAAATTGGCTAAATGCCAAAAATACAATGCCAGTGGTCTTGGCGCAAAATTACAATTGTCGATTTACGCACCAATATATAAGGATAGGTTAAAGGCGCACACCGCGCACCGAGAACTATTTTTTGGCGTCTAGTCAATTTTCGCGACAATAAAAAATCAAGTAATTACGTATTTTCTCGAAGCAGGAAAATTTTTCAAATTGAATAATTCATATCGAAATTAAGCTGCGGACAATGTTGCAGGTTGCTTTGATAGCCCACTTTCAAGCAACTCGCTTTCAAAATTTTTTATGTCATCCTTCTCATCATTGTTTTGTTTTCATTTTTTCCCAAAAAATTGAACTAGAAGAAACTCGAAGGGTTTTGTTTGATTAAAATTTGACACTAATTATTTTTCGATCATAATTGCGCAATTTTGATTGCCTAGTCCAATTTTCAACCATCAACTCATTCTTCGAGTATTTCTTTTTGATTTTTTTCTCTTTAAAATTTTTTCAAAGAAGATGACTCACAAAATTGTTATCGTAAGAACAACATCAAATTCTCTAGTAACTAACTCAAAACCAATCGGATCCGACAAAATTCGGCTTCGGAATCCATCAGATCCGATTGGATATTCGACGGATAATATTGTAAAATTATCGGATCCGAGTAGGATATTTGTGGATTGGTTATTAATGGAACCCGTTTTGTTTTAATCTTTCAATTCGAAGCGGATCCGTAGAATTTCCAATCCGGATCGGGTTGATTCCGGAGCCGAATTTTGTCGGATCCGATTGGTTTCGAGTTACCAGAGTCAGTAGGGAAAATGATCCTAGAAGGTCAATAGTAGAAGTTTGGATCTGCAGAAATTTGAAGTACTGCCGAGTTGAACCCGCTCCTAATAGAACTCTCAATAGAGCGCGCTTGCTTCAATTTATTTTTTGTATAATTAACTCTCAGTGATTTGTTTGAAAAAGGAAAAACCATAATGTCTATTTTGACGTTCTTTTTGGTTTATTATGCCACGTGGATCGTCCGTTATAAAAGACTTTAGAAGTCGAGAAAAAAACGAAAGCGATGCAAGTGCGCTCTATTGAGATTTTGATTACGGAGAGTTCAACAGGAGTAAAAGGAAAACATGAATTTTATAAAAAAAAAGAAGGCTTAGGTGTGATTTTTAACGGTTCAAAAATAAATAATTGAAAAAAAAGGATTATTGTTTGATTTGGACGGTTTTGTACCCCGACCAGTGGAATCAATAAGTCGATTCTGCGAATTTTTGCGTAATTTTCATTGAATTTTTGAAGAAATGATCTGAATGCCCAATGAAGTGTTGATAAAAATGCCGAATTTCAGCCACCACTAGACGGCGACCATTTTTTTTATTCGCCATGCGCCATGACGGGTGAAATTAATTACCCTTCTAGTAAGAATTCCCCCGACACACAAAAATAATTTGTGCATTTCATTTCAGGCAGTGGAACAGCGTCAACTGAAATGAAGCCAGTGGATAGGTGACTTATCACCTTGAAAAAATGAAAAGCAAAAATACATCGAGGTGATTTTTCAAGACGAATTTCAGCAACTCGAATCAATTATTTCAGGCTTCTCCGAGCAGCCATTATTTTTTGGCGGCCCACCCCAAGCAACCATTTTTGGATTTTAAATTAATTGACTCAATAAAAAATTTAATTAGCCAATTTTGAGACAAAACATGAAATTGAAGCATTCATGAAGACACTGGAAAACACAAAAAGTCTGGAAGTGGATCGTAAGAACTTGCCAATGGCTGGAACCATTGGAACCTTCCAGTGCGCGTCCCTTGCGGATGCCCGAAATTTCAATTGTCGGTTCAACGAAGATCAATGCCACTGCCGAAGCACAGGTACTCAAGTGAGATGCACGTGTGGCTTCTTCTCAATAGTGAATAACCGCTGATTGCCAGTCAATTCGAGAATCAAGGAAACCGCGTACGATCAAGGATGACTAGTTCCAGTGTCGTAACGTTGCACCTCACCGCTGACCAACATCGTTTCCGAGCTGTACAAGACAATGCCATTTGCAAAGCTACCTTCCTCAATCTAACCGGATGCTATTCTTGCCTCCCGGGAGCAAAGTTGGCAGTCCGTTGCACGGCCCCCCGCACCATCAATTCTGTTGACTGGCTCGGTTATCTGCGATGCTCCGCAGAAGGCACCGTAAACCGGCTCGAGTTTCACAGCGATTTTCCAAACGTCGCACTGAACTGCTCTTGCCAATGTGGTTCCACCACTACGTTCATCGGTTTGTTCGGGACCCTCGAACAATCTTTTCTGTTTCAGATTGACAAAACCGGATTTGCCACCTTTCACGAACGCTCTAGCTCCGACACGCTGACCGATCAACTTCTGAACTTGCTCCCCTGGAAAGCCCAAGCTCTCAAAACCACCGCCCTCACCATCGCCACGTTCTTACTGCTCCTGCTGGTTCTTGGCCTGCTGAAACGACGATTCCTGCCTCGTTGTCGGTTGCTCCTCCGAGTGTCGCGGCGACACACATGGCGACGCGAATGGCGACGTCGCGAACGATGATAAATGACGTCATACCGTTTTTGTTTTCCTAGACATCATAACGATTTTTTTCCTTTTTGCCCAATTAAGCTGTCTGGCACATTAAAACGACCGATTTCTTACAGGAATGGTCTCGCCACGAAATTCACTCTCGTAAATCGACACCCAACTCAACAGCGTCGCCACCTACAATTTCTGACGTTTTGCCTTTATTTAATAGAATTTTAGTTCAATATTTTACATATTTTATCGAAATTTAGTTTAAGGATGAAAAAAGAAAAGAAATTATTGTCAGGGCGGAAAACACGCGGCAAACATGCTCTAGCGCACTCGGCGAAACCGCAACGCGTCCATGATTTTTTCTCATTTTTTCCTGCAAAATTCTCCAGAAAAATTATTGGAAATAAATTTATATTGTGAATTTCTGCTAAAATTAAGTATTTCAGGTTTCGATTTTATTGAAATGTTTTTACCGTACTCTTGTTCGCGTTAAGAGCCTCTCAGGTAAATCGAATATAAAATATTTTGAGATTCATTGAGCAACTAACGTGTCTCTATAATATTTTAGAATTCTATCAATCAACTTTAGAACTTATTATGAGATTTTCGAATTTATTGAGATAATTTAGAATTTGCTCAACCAATTTTAGAAAATCTTATAAAATTTAAAAAATATTTTTAAGTTTTTTTGCGATTCTCAATAAGTTTTAGAAAGTATCAATAAATTTTAGAATTTCTCAAAATATTTTAGAGTTTATTATTGAATATTTGATTCTCAAAATATTTTATTTGATTTGCCTGAGTATATTTTGTTAGAATTTTCATTTAAACATTATTATTGCCTGATTAGGTCCCATAACGATTTTTATTGAAATTCGCATTCGATTTTTTTGTTAAATTCCAAATAAAGATTTTCCCACACTATATAGTTTCATAGAAACTTGTTGGTTTCATTTCTTTTCGGTTTCTCATTTTTCCCACGCCAAAAAAAACCCAAAATTGACAATATTCTAAATTTCTTTTTTTTTTCCTTTAATCTCAACCGTTGTAATGCGAATAGCGAAATTCTGACGTTTGACGATCGCTTTTTAACATACTTGCAAATTTCCGGGTCGACCCGCAACGACACTCCACGTTTACAGCGAAGCCCTCGTTTAGTGAAAAAAAGAATTTCGAATTACAATATTTGAGTAGAATTAATTGTTCTCGCAACAAAAATTGTTCAGAAGTCCTCAAACAAAATTGATTGAACCAGCTTTCACTGTTTTTGTTTCGTTTTCGATTTTTTAAATAAAATTTGCTTCAAAAAATCTACTAGCGGGTGACTCGACCCGCCCCGTTAAAGGTATGCCTTTTAAATGGTCCGCCGCGAAATTTGTCTTTCCAGAAGGTTCAAAAATTACTCAAAACAGGCTTCAAGTTCAAAATTTCAAATGAACAAATTTTTATGGGCAAAGTTTGAAAAAAAAATGGAAAATTGGTAAAATCAAAAAATTGAAAAAATTTTTTTTTCACCATGATGCAAGTCTTTTTGCTGTCCGCAAGCTTGCGCAACTGTGTTTAGCGTTCACAGTGAAAATTTCAGCCCGATAGACCGCGCGTGAGCCAAGTTATGCTCCAAAAGCACTTAGCGTACATCATTATGGACAGTAGGCCCCCTAGTACTGGCCATAAGTCGCCAATAATTTTTGGTGGTGGCTTCTGCATCTTCGATATTTGTTGAGGTGCTGCTCCGGCTGATGCTCTCATCGATCAATAGGATGAGAACTGACCATCAATATCACCACCAATCTCATTCTTCGAATAAATGCTACTGTATGCACCTTTAAGCATAACAAGTTTAAGACCCAATGGATTCTGCTTAAAAACAATTAATCATATAATATTTATCGGCAGACAATTAAATCCCAAGAGGCTGTTAGTTCGAGTTAGTAGAAGTTAGTTGAGTAGTAGTATTAACTAGTCGGCAATGCATTCATGCGCGCTGGCGGCTTCTCATCCTCTTCGCCGCCGGTTTGCGATGCGCACTTCGGCTGCGGCTTCGGCTTCTGCTGCGGCTTCGGCTGCTGCGGCTACGGCTGCAACAATCACTGACCATCGTTTGGGCGGCTCATTTCAACGAGTTATACCTTCGCGATCGGCTCGAGCGTTTAGCGCGTCTTCCGATGCGACGCGTTTGCGTTTTGCGTCCCGCGCGTCTCAACGAGCGCGATCGCGAGCGAGAGGGGCTGCGAGATTCGGATCGGCTGCGCGATTCCGTCGAGGATCGAGAGGCGGATCGCGAACGCGATCGCGTCATTCCACGGCGCGACATGGACGTGCTGCGGCCGGTGCGGCGGACGGACCTCGAGCGGCTCCGGCGTCGCGACGACGATCTAGACGATCTTCGGCTGAACAGTGAACTATAGAGGTCAAAGATCATAATTCGCCTACCTGCTAACGCTCGGACTTCTCGCCGTGTGCAGACTCTCGGATTTGACGGATTCGCGACGCGAGCGCCCACGCGAGCGGACAGCGCTCCGGCTACGCGAGCGTCTCGACGACGATCGGCCGGGCGTCGGCAGAAATCGGCCGAGCTCGTCGCGTGGCCGATTCTTAGCACTCATCGAACGATTCATTGGTGTGCGAGTCTCGATTCAATTTTTTCCAATACTGCCATTATTCGCATTTTTATAGCGTAAAATTGGCAATCTTGATAACCGCGCGCGGGGTGATCACGCGATGCGTAGCATTGGGCGGCATTTTCGAAATGTGATTTGAAATGAGATGATCGGAAACTCGAATAAGTTACAAAAATTCAAGGAAAACCCATTGGAATGATAAAATCGCAATATTCAAATGTGCGCGCTCGTCATGCATTAAACCGCGCGCCACTTGCCAAATTGGGTCACGCCCACAAAATTTGAAAAATTATGGAATCGAAAAAAAAATGTGTCCCTTTTTTAATTTGGGTATTTTTTTTGCATTTCTAAAATTGTTTGAATATTTTTGAGATAAAAATGAATCTTAAAATAGTCAAAAGTTTGAATTTTTCGAATTTGAAACCAATAATCTCTTAGAATTTCTCTAATAATTGCTTCTTTGAAGCGATTTTTTTTCGAAAATTCCGAAATCCAGAAATCGGGAAAGGCGTTTGAATTGCGGCTACCGTAATTAGTCAATGTCGCCAGACGCGTTGCGGTTCGCGTGCGGTCGCCCGTTTAACTTTCCGCAATTTTTGATATAAAACGTGCTCACGTTTGAACTACAAGGTCTCGCAGGGAATTCCGCTGATTTTTTTTTGGGTGCTCATTTTTGCGATATCGATTTTCAACGAAAATTTTACGACGGAGCAGGTACAACGGCCGTGGCCGAGTTTTCCGCGAAACGGCCGTGGCCGAGTTTTTCGAATAAATTTCGGTCAAGACGATTTCAAAGCTTATCTGCAAATGCTCATGAAATTTAAAAAAAAAAGATTTATTTTTAAAAAAATTGCAAAATATTTTTTTTTTCATACTTGCAGAAAACGAGGAGTTTCTCTTCATCATCCAGCATGTGTGTGTATTTTTTTTCAAAACGTCGTCCTATTTTTTCTTCCATGTCGACAAATGTGAAGAATGCAATACTCGAAGGTGGTGCACTGCCAATGATCATCACATGATTCGCCGACGGCTGCGATGAGAATGATGAGCGAATGGAGGACAACGAATAGCAGCGTCTGAGCACGACGAGAAGCATGGTTAGAAGGGCTCACGGCTCACGTGTGGCTCACAAAAATTGATCGAAACACTTTCAAAAAGCAAAAATGCAAGTGCGGCACACAAATTCTGAGAAAAACTGCAAGTGCGGCACACCACCACAAGCTGATTTTTTAAAAATTATGTGTTTCCGCGATTTTCTTTTATTTTTACAAATTTTTGAATTTTTCAAAAAATTTTTCACGTATTCATTTAGTTTTAATCCGGTCGTGGCCGAACCCTAAATTTGAGGACAATTTTTCTAGGCCGCGCGTGAGCTGCGGGGCGTTGAAAGTCAAATATTTTTGGAATTTTCAGGCCAAAAAAAAAGAAACGACTTACAAGGCTATTAAATTTTGAAAAGAAGGACATCATTATTTTCGAATTGAGCCAATTATTATTTTAATGGTATTGGTTTTTGGCGAGTATAAAAGATGTCACGATTTTCAGCGGAAAAATCGAGAATCACATTTTTTGTTTCGCGAAATGAATATTCTGGTGAGTGTCACGTGTTTTTTGGCCCCTAATTTTTCGCATTGTTCGTTTTGTTTTTTGTTCAGATCGCTCTTCTTCATTTCATTTGCCTCGTTGCGATGATCGACGCCGGCCGCCGTCGGTATGAGCCGACGCGGATTTATGAGCGAGTGCCGGTTTACAAGATTCGCGGACCACGTATGCTGCTGGAGTGCCGCGAAGAGACCGATTGTCCGGATGATCGACTTTGCGATGATGGCGTTTGTCTGAACGCCAATGAGCTCTTCGAAAAGTATCATTAAAAATTGTGCAATTTTTTTTAAATGAATTGCTTTTTATGTGTGACCTAATTTTTTCCACGGCCATCAATCGAAAAATCTCGGCCATGTACGGATTTTTCCAAATTGTGAAAATATTCGTCACTCGCTTCTGCGAAATTTTCAGGGACCCCCCGCCCCCGCAAAGAGCCATGGCATTGGTCTTAGTGTAAATTTACGAACGGACCTTTTTTTGCTTTTGGCATTTTGCCAATATTCCAACAATCGTTCGATGTCGAGAACATCAATATAATTTTTTGAAGCCGCCAGAATAAATTGATATCAAAGAGCGAAAAAATAGAAAAAATAAATCCAAAAAGTCCGCAAACACCGATGCTTCGGTGGCGGCGGCAATTCAAAATTTTTTTTCAAAATCGATGAAAAATTCATTAATTAAAATAAATATTTATCGAGTAGGTCATCGTTCAGACGGGAGGATTCTCATCATCTGAACGATCGGATACTTGAATCGGAATCAGCAAATCTTGGAACGAAGATTGCTGAAGAGATTGTCAGAAGGGCAATCTGGAAAATTATTATTATTATTGCATTTTAACTATATAAAATTGATAATTGCCTAATTTTGTGGTGTATAAAATGGGTGGAATTTGGCGAGAAAGACCACAAAAATGCCGATAATCACCATTTTTGGAAGTCATTTTCTTTTTCTTCGTCTTGCTTGCGCAATTCGATATTTGTTGAGGTGCTGCTCCGACTGATGCTCTCAACGATCAGTAGGATTGTACGAAGAAGGATGAGTACTGGCTATCCATATCACGAATCTTAATTCACCTTCGAATAAATTCATTCGCAATTTTACAGAAGCTTCATGCTCCTTTAAAACTGACAATGAGACAGAATACTTCTATAAAACTAGAAATTAAAATTGCATGAGGTTGCACCATTGGTGAATTTAAATGTTCACCATGTCCCCCGCCAAACGGTATTAGCCATTGACTATTACGACGGCAGGGAATTTCTCATGAAAACTGAATCATTTGGTTTTTTCGGGAATCACTCGAAATCGATTTCTGATTGATTTCAAGTATTTCGTTGGGTTCCCAAATAAGGTTTTTTTTTCGGCCTAGGCCATCTCCATTTTTAAAAATGGAAAAATCTCTTTTTTTTTGGAATTTCAACAGTTTAAAATAGAAGAAAATTTTTTTAATTTATTGGAAAATGCCGATTTTTAAAATTCTTGAACGCTTTTTCTTAAAATCTTTTTATAATTTGGATTAAAAAAAAAATAATATTTTGATGGACTTACTTTTTCACGGTCACGCCCATTTTCGGCCACCAAGTCCACAGAAAACAGGAATTTTTATGCGCTTCTTTTTTGAATCTTAAAAAAAAATGGTTTAAAAGCGAAATTTTTTTGGGGGGCAATTTTCAAGAAAGCTAGAAAAAATCGAGCAAGCCGCTCGTGGCTTTTTCAAATAGCAAAAAGTAGTGAAGAAGCCATCAAAAATGGAAATGTTGTCAAAATTTTCTGGAAATTTCGATTTAAAGGCGCATAAAATGCGTTGTTTTCGAATAAATCCCCCCACTTCTCACCGCTTCGAATCGCGACTTGACGTTTGGGCGAAGCGGAAGGGGGGTAACGGATTAGCCGCCACCCGACAAATCCCCTCCCCCCTCTTGATTTTACCTGGCGTCCGATATCTGCTGACATTTTTCCGGGGTAATTTGGCGGATGATCACAAAACGCGCATAATTAAAGGGGGGTGGGGTGTCTCACTAGGCGGCGACTTCATTCGCATGTTCTTTTCTTTTTTTTTTGCTTCACTCATTCATGCGCACCGCATAAGCGCGAGCTCGCTTGAGCTTATCGATTCTGAACTCGCGGCTCGGCTTTGCGCGACCGTTGCGCGTCGTCGCGACTATTAGCCATTCTATTTAGATGTATCGTGTTTGTGGCGCGCGCGCGACGACGTCGCCATCCTCTCCCCCGACCCTTCGTCTTCCTCTCCGCGTTTCGCGTGCCTTCTTCTTTTATTTTTTTTTGTGCACACTTTTGCGCGCCATCATTATGACTAACCAATGTTGCAAAAATGGTTTCGCCAAGGTACGGAATCGAACCCGGATATTGGCGTCGCGCACGAAATTAGCGCATTACCGGCTGCGCTAGTGATCCGCTCTGCGGCGAGCAGAGATGCGGCAAATATGTGTTGCGCGCGCGCGTGCGAATGAAAACACCTGCCCCCCTACGAATATTTCAAATTTTTCAAACGCTTATTATTTTTCGTTTCTCTTCTTCTGTTTTTTTTGCATATATGGAGCGAATGCTGGGCGTTGAGTTCTTCGTGGTGTGACTCCACTCTCTCTTTCCCCCCACTCTTCCCCCCATTTTTGCGCCATTTTTAGTTTAGTTTGCCATTTTGCAATACTGACAACTTGACGTCGTCCAATAACTTTTGCCACTACTTTTTTTTTTTGAGTTTCCCGCCAAGCCAAATATATTCATATCGAATTACGGAGCTAATCAAATAGTAAATAAAAAAAGGGAAAAGTAAATAAAATGCAAATTCATTGCCAAATATTTGAATCAAGACACCTCCGCGTTTTTTTTTTGGTCGCCAATAGGGCATTTAAATTGTGCCGCCCGTGACGAAAATAATGATATCATTTGCTGATATGCGCGAACATCCCCACAGTTATCAAAAGGTTGCCTTATCTTTACGTCATTACCAAAGGTTTGACTCATCGCATTCAGGAGCTGCTTATATAAAGCGTTCGTCCCGCCACTGGGGGACGCACTGATTAAGCGCGACGCAAGCATAATGGAAGCATTGTGGGAAATCTGTGGAACGGAAGCATAATGCTTCCATATAGGAAGCATAATGTAATTCTTAGTGGCTGTGGAAGAATTATGGGACGAATATGGATGGAATGAAAACGGGATGAATATGCTTCCGGTGTTTGCGAGCCGTGGAACAAATATGGATGGAATATGGATAAAATAATCATATGTCAATAAACATTATACAATTGGCGTCTGGACGGCAGACCAAGACAATTTCTAGAAAAATCAATACAAAAAACTTATGCTATCATATAAACAATGAAAATTTGAAAATTACATGATACACAACGGACGAAATTTAGCTTCTACCATTTAATGACTTATGTTACTCAGATTTATGTTAATTCAGTCAACTGTTCCTCACTTTGTTTAAAGATTGCCAACTACAATTTAGTCGTATTAATATATTTTTGCCGGTTTTTCCGAAATTGGCATCGCAAACTACTCACAATTTGCTCCAAACTGGTAGCAGACGCGCGTAGAAGAGGCGTGCCGCAGCATTGCAAAACCGTGCGCCGCTTTGCACAATGCGGCCACGCCTCACATTTTCGAAATTCGTTTTCAAAATTTTTGTCCTTTTGCTTTTTCTCAATGAATTTTCAAGATTTTTTGTGTTTTTTTTTGTCAAAAATAAAAGAATTTGTTTCAAAATTAAAGGAAAAATGTTTTTAAAAAATAAAGGAAAAATTTTCATATTTATCATCAAAATCGAAACCAAAAATAAATTGATAGCATTCGAAAATTTTAAAATCGATACGATGTTTTCAAATAGTTTCCGACACTTTTAAAATCGAATTTAAATATTTTCTCAATCGAATTGTGTTTAATTTCTCATCGAATCCGTTTTATTTTTATTTACTTTAACATATTTTTTATTATCGCTCGCTTTTTTCTTTTAATAAAACATAATGTTTTGAAATTTTTTACAGATGAAGACAAGATCGATAGTGTTGTCAGATATAACTGAAACTGCTCTAGAAGTCAATAACAAAGAACCAGAAGTCCCTAACATGGAACCAAATTCGCTCGACACTTCAGATCCAGATAGTCCAATTTACTCGCCAACTCAGCAAAAAAATTTTTCTCCACAGTCCTCACAAACAACAAAATCAACGCCAATTCCTAAACCTTCGTACGCCCAATTTGTAAGTTGTTATCATCAAAAATTGGCCTGTTCGACTCCAGAAATGGTTTCAATTAGAAAAATATGCGCAATGAAGTCTTTATAAAGTACTTCCTAAGTTTAAAGCTTGTTGATTATTTGGTTCCAATCAGGGCTGTGCGGCAATGGAATTGCCGATTGCCGAAATTGCCGGTTTTTCAAATTGCCGAAGAAAATTTCGATCGGTAATTTGCCATTAGCCGAATCGCCGAAATTTCCGATTGCCGTACAGCCTTCGTACCAATATCATTCAGTGGCATTTATCTTTTTAAGTGGGGCTCTAGTACAGAAGTCGCCAGACGCCGACTATATAAAGATCCTATACTTTATTGCAAATATCTATATTACAGATGCTCTTATCCATGGCTTTGGGCAACAACCGACAAATGACTTCAAAGCGAAAGCATTACGCATGGTTCGAGAAGTCATGGATAATCTTCTGTAAGATTTTGAACTATGACTATTAATTTATTTATTTGATTAAGCGATAGAATGCGCCAACGACTTCAAAGGAAATTTGGTGTAGCGCCGGAAGCGCTCGCGGCGCAATTAAGGAAGCTGCTTGATTCTACCAGCAACCCTCAGATGTGAGTATTCATATGTCTTTGAAATTTTAACCAAAATGCCTTTTTGCTTCAAATTTTGGAGTTGTTCTTTCTTCCGCCAATTCACTTTTTATTTTGTGCACTAAAGGGTTTCCAAAAATGCAATAAAAATAAATTATTTTTATTTTTAAGAAAATTATTGATGTAAAAAAACTGATTGTATTTTCTCGAAAAATTTAGTTTACGTAACAATGGTTTACAAGTTTTTCAAATTAATAGGCCCATTATAATCTACTTATTACAGCGTCCCGCTCGATGTCAGTACTGACAATGATTCGAATAGTTCGGCAGTTGCCAGTAACTAATGGTTTGATTATATCTTAATTGAAATTCATTTCATTGTTGTTTTTTTTATTTTAAATTAAATAAAAGTGTTAATATGAAATAAATTTTGAATACAGCAATCAAATTGTTT